TATAAGTTCCTAAGCGGATAAGACTAAAGGATATAATAAGGTTCGGTCGGCATTTACTTTTAAATTTCTTTCCTGGTCTTATTCTAAATTAATACTGTAGTCGTTTAGCTGCAAATTTTTTTTCGTAACGGGATAACTATCTCGTATACGCTTTATCCCTAATAGCCCGCGTAAAAGCAGTTCGTTCGCTTTCGTGCGCGTATTACTTAAATTTTAGATAGTATTAGTGCGTAAGGCTTCTATTTTTAGGCTATTAGGCGGATTACTAAGGATTTCGAGGTAAATACTACATACTAAATAAAATAGACTAAATCCTATAACTATATATTTATATACTTCTCGTAGTGAAAAAGTACTTAATATAAATAAAGATCCTAAGCTCTTACAGGCTTATTTATTAGATACTTAGTAAGTATCCGTCTAAGAATTCTATTTAAATTTTCTACCTTCCCGTTCGTGTAAGGGTAATAGGGAGTTATTATCCTCGATTAGGTCTTTAGTATTTTTATAAAGTAATATATAGCTCTGGCTAGGATATTTAGCCTATTATCGGAGATTAGTTCCTTTAACATATGATAGTATACGAAGATCTTTTTAAAAAGAAAGTATCAATAGTCTTTTTTGGTAGTAACTGTTATAGCTTATATAACTAGCTAACTAATAGTATAATTATTGGAATATAGACCAATGCTACATAGAAAGATCTATCCTTATATTCAACATATAAGACTAGATCTGCATTATTACGCTGTTGTATTTTCTTCTATCAAAATGATGTTTTGACCACTTCTGATTCTGGTTGTGGCCCCTCCTGAGCCATAGCATAGGCGGGACCATTTCCTTTAGGGTAAAAACGGTCTGCCTTCAGGTAATGGTCTGTTCCTTCGGGGTGTGTTCGAGGCATGCCTTGCCTGTGGACTTTATGATGTCTCTCGAATCGGTGAACAGACTTCGACTTTGGTCCCTTTTTGATAGGCGGACCACTTTCCCTTAGGGGTAAAATGGTCCACCTCCAGGCATGCATAACCTGATCCTGCGGGGGTGCCTTTGGTGGCTTAGACCGTCGATCCTTGATATCATTCTTTTCGCTTCTCTTCGGTTCCTGTGGGAGATCCAGCGTGAGACTGTCATGGGAGATCAAGTCTTTTATCCTTTGATGAATAAAAGAATATTTCCTTAATAGGAAACCACAGGTATGATATGATGATTGAAGAAGAATTATATTTTTCTTGTAGGGAATTGAGGTGTTTCACAGAACTTCAATCAAGTAGCATTCTAGGCCTGATATTAGACTTGCATTGTTTTAGGGCTCCAGGCCTGTCTTGCTTTGAAATCAATTATAGTCTAGGACTCATTTTTAGTCTAGACTGTATTGTCAAGGCATCATTGTAACAGAGTTGATCCACAGCAACACCTTTTAATAGACCTATTATAATTAGGTGGCTTTTTGATCAATCTGACCAATTATAAAGACTCAGAGCCTCCCCTGGATTACTGAAGGTAATGCTGACAGTCCTTGATAATGTGCAAGAAGGGAAATGCTGACAGTCCTTGAATATGCTGACAGTTCCTTTTTGCCAATCTTTGATCATGTTGCTGCCTAGTGTTTATATCTGTTTGTATATCATCCCAGATGTTATTTCTAGGCTATCCTAGCCTATAAATACGTCCTTCTTTTTGAGAACAGAATTGAGTCATTTTCCACTTTCCAAAGTCACCTCTACTTTCTTCTATCCTTTGATTTTTAGCACTGTGGTTCTGCCTTCGATCAGGCCATACCCTGCTTACAGCCCATTCTAAGACCTTTGACCTTCCACCTTTGTCTGGACCGACTGACCCAGCCGGACTAAGGTTAATCCTACGGACTGAAGGGGTCATGTCTTCTTTGTGGTAGCTTTACCCTTATAGCCCAACAAGATTTAATATTAAAAGACTTATAACAATTATTACTCTATAATATAATAAGCTTATAAAATATCTTAAAAGTTATATATTCTTCCTTTTTTTTACAAAATTATTCTAAATCCTCCTTTTAGTAACTATTTAAGATCCCCCTTAGATATTCTAAAAAGAGTATAAATATAAGTTTCTTATATTTATACGCCTTATATGAGATATAATATTGATTTTAGTAACTATAGGTAAGGTAAAACGCCCTTTAACTTTACCTAAGATATCTATTATTATAAATAAGGCCTATTAAAGCTAAAGATAATTTGTAATATTATATTTTAGATATATATAATAAGATTTAACCTTTATAAGTAGAAGCGGCTTATCCTATAAAATATCTCTTATATTAAGAGATTATAGCGATAACTAAGACTACAAAAACCTAGGATAAACCCTTTTAATCTAATTAGTGATATTAAGAAAAATAATATATATATAAAGGAATACCAAGGATTAGCGGTGAAGGTTTACCCCGCAGTGTAATAAGCAAGTCTCGGACCCGATTCGTAGTTAAAATTAGACTCAGCCCTCACCCGCGGGGCTGCCGGACCCTCCACCCGCACCTCGTCTTAGCGGGTGAAGGGTCCCACTTCTAGACCCTAAGGGTTAGGTATCTCTATATTGGCCCTTCTGAGGGTGACCCTTCGGGTCACCCTTAGGGTTCACACATAAGGGAAATTAGTAAAAAAGTCATGTTTTAGGCAGAAAACTATAATTTTAGGTATTAATTCGCTTAGTTAGCGTACCTAAAAGAGTAAAGCGTGTCCTAAATAAGTAAAGCGTGGCTTATTCGGGCAAGTCAGACCCTCTGCGGGTGACCCTTAAGGGACCCTCGGAGGTCCGGTGGAAATCCTGATCTAAACCCTGCGGGGCGAGTGAGTGCCAGGTCTCAGTTAAAATAAGAGGGTTTCCAGATAACTTAGGCTTAGTAAGAATCAGTCTTGTTTCTTTAATACCAGACTTAAGCCCAGACATTCTTCCTTATCCTCACCGAGCAGGCCTTTGATCCCTGAACAGGTAGATTCTTATAATATAGGCTTAGCATAAGGAGTCTCTTCTATAGTCTTATATAATAATAGCTAATCTTAAAAGGATAGAGATTATAGATTATAATAAAAATAATAATAACAATACTGACCTTCCTCTACCTAATACCTAATAATATATATTTAGTAAGAAGCGTGAGCGCTTAAAGTTATCTTAATAGCTATATACTTAGATCTTAATAATTTATTATTTATTCTATATATTAACCTAATTATATAATATTTTTCTCCAACTTTATAAAGACTAATACTATAGTAAAAGAAGCTTATTTCTAATAACTATTAGAAATATACTGATATTATAGCTCCTTGACCCTAATACCCTTTTTTACAGCTATTAAAAAAGGTAATACCTTAAGTAAAATAGCCCTAAATAATAATAGCTATTAAAAAATTAAAATTACTAATAAATACACTGAAAAATCCTGGAATCCGTATAACTTATATATAAATAAATAAGTTATATTTTTTACCTATTTATCCTATTTATAGACCCTAAGGGTAACCCTAAGGGTGACCCTCGGAGGGTTGGATATATAGGGTACCCGACCTTTAGGGTCTAGAAATGGGACCCTCCACCCACTAAGAGGAGGTGCGGTGGAGGGTCTGAGGGTCACCCGCGGGTAAGTGCCAGGTCTAGCGGAGTCTACTGGGATCTGGACTGGCATTTCTACTGGGATAAACAAACGGGCTCTCATACTTAACGAAACCCTAGCTCTACTGGGATAAACTGCATCCCACTTACCACCATGGGATAGGCCATACATTGCCTTAACAATATATACGGGCACAGGGGCCGCGGCGCAGTGATATACGTAGAGCCCTAGATAAAGTATACGAAATCCCCCAGTCTTTGTCTGCCCTTCTCCGGCTATAGTTAGGGCAGAGCCACCTCCTAGTCCTAGAAATATATAACTGTCGATATTATATGGGTTTCCGGTATAGTCATAATTTATTAAAGATAGTTCGATAATGTCCCCTCCCGAGCGCGGGTAAACGGCCCAGGAACCGAGCCGTTAAAGGCCCACTTCTTATATTTATATTTACTAGTCAATCTTTTAATCTTTGTAGATATTAAAAGTGGCACCTAAAGTAGCACTAGGTAGTCCCTCGTAATAGGTAGCGGAACGTTGGGGGCGGGTAGTGAGTACCGCCGCCTCTTTGGGAAGTCAACACGCGTCGGGAAAATTTCTGCAATATAATCGGCCGGGCCGGAAGACGATGCCAGATCTTCCGTAGACTCAGGATTCAAACTTCGATCCCAGCTCCTCGATCCTCTCCGTTGGCCCGATTATATCAATGTTATGCCTTGCAGTTGTCCATAGTAAAAATGTAGCCAAAGCAGATACTGCAAGAGAAATGGCCTGACCAAAACCCCCAGCCTATGTCATGAGCGTTCGATTTGGCTTGCGCTGAAAGTAATTTTTGTACTGTCCTCTTTAGAGAACCAGGGTGACAAAATGGCGCCTTTCAAGGGGGACAGAGTTGGAATGGCTGACAGAGGAGTTGGATAATATAGAGAACAAGCTGGAAAGCAATATGGTCAAATCGGTCTAACCCTGAGTATGTTCTTAAGCTATATGGCTGTAATTCTAATGACCTGATTTAAACATTTCCAAACCGGAAAAAATCTGAGAGTAAAAATAAAGAAGGAAAAACAAATGTGTCGAGCTAGGTCTAGGAATCGCTACCCACGGGTTGGGTCCTACCGTGGTCTACCTAGGTCACTGTAGTAGGAAGAGCATAAAATAGCTCTAGGCCCCGAATCTTTGAAACTCAGGATCTAGTAACCTATCAGAACCGTGTCTTTATTGAACCTACGATGATTTGTTGTCTATGAGCGAACCACTTGGTCTGAACCTTTAGGTGATGTATTTCTAGTTCCAAAATTGCCTGTCTACATACAACGGAATGTTCTGTATGCACTTGAGTGCCCTTAAACATTGGCAGACACTTTTTCACTGCTAATATTCATACCGCCTTTCGAAATCAGATGACAGTTCATGGCCAGTCGTCGCCTAAGAGCATCGCGGAACTGTAGCTGCCGTGCGCGTTGGTCTCGTCGTGCGCTTGGATCAAAACCAACAACAAGAAGCCCTCGAGAATCATGGTCGGCGTATTGCAAATCAGCTGTCCGGTTTCCGACCAGCGCATAGCGCTAGCAATGACCAGAAGCGTCACCACGACCACGAAGGCACCTGAGCACGGCGCACGAGCTGGAACACCACACGCCGACTTTGTGAGCGATGCGAGCCTGCAGGAGTTTATCTCTATGGCGTCGGGGTAATGCTGACACCCCAAGCAAGGTGCCTAGCCGGACGTCCCTCTCCACTAGCACTTCGAACTGCCCGTCGATCACCAAGGTCTCGCGGAAATAAACGTTACGTAACACGAAGCCATCGATGAACCCCACGAGCCCCGTGTACGTGCCAATTATCAGCCACCAGTTCGAATTCCATTGCATTGACGATCCGACGCCGATCCACACCGCGAACACCATCGTCGAGCAAACCAGTCCGACACCCGTGCCGAGGATCGCGGCATAGTAGTCGATCATCCGCTGGCCGCGCGTGGTTTCCTTCTTATAATCGTACTCGAGTTTCACTATCGGGTTTTCGTCTATATCGCCCGTCATCCTCGCGTAGTCGGCACTCTAGGCGTATATCCTCGTGCGTGATCGACTCAAAGCACTCCTTAAGATATCTCATATGGCGTTGTCGGGTATTTTGTAAAGAAAACACTGACAAAAGTGAGTTCAACGGCCGTTGCGCTATTGATATATAGCTGCCAGTTGTCGCCCCACTGTTCTCTATTGCCGAAACCTAGCCAGACAAAGATCCCGGCCCAGAAGACGATCCAGGCGAAGAAGAGCTAAATGCCCACACGATGGAATCGCATATCCGATCGTAGATGGTATCAGGCGGAAGATAGATGCCGTCATCGATTTGTTGGACGTTTAGCTCGACTGTGTTCCTTAAGTCGATCTCTCCCATAGGAGTCTGTATTTCAGACCCGAAGTTACTGGACTCGCCTGGCGTAATTGTTCTATCACGCGCCGGCAGGCCGCATTTCGCGAGCGGAGGCCGCAGACCCAGCTCAATAGGTCGTGACAGCTGTTCCGCTGCTGCCGCATAAGAAGGGTATCGGAGGCATAGCACTGGATAGAGCTAACGTTCTGAATCACAATCTGCCACACTTGAAGTGGGGCCTAGTACAATGCCGATGATTATCCAGGTGAGTAAGCCTGCAATCATGAGACAGAAAACGGCAGGCGTGCCCGCAAGAGCAACAATCTTGTCGAAGGTGTTCACGGATGCAGGTGGCTGGGCCCGCTTGTGATTGCTCTCCAAGTCGTTCCTTCCGTGTTTGGCGCCATCATGTATCCATAACTCCTGGGGCTGGCCGAGTCGTTGGATCGGGGCCTTCGACTGGATATCTGCGTAGGTATTGGAGGTGACAATCTTCCATGGTCTGCGTAATATACTGAGGGCCCGCGAGATGAACCCCGATCCTTCAGCTGCTGCCATGACAGAAATAACAAAAACAACGAATTATGGCTCAAGTAAATGAACCAATCTAATCTGATCCGGGGTGGAGGGGTGAATAGCTACTAAATATTTGCTTGGCAGGAGTCTGTGCGAAATTTTCGAACCTTCAGCACCGGGACTTTCTCCACCTGATAATACATAACCCGGGACGTAATTTCTTCGCTAATTCGAGAAAAAAAATGAATCCACCGTGGGTCACGAAGGTCCCCACATCCTCCGCTTGCCAGTCCCAAGAATGGCATGATCTTCCCAATTATTCATTAATCATTCCGGAACAAAGAATTGAATAGATGGAGTACAAAAATAACAAAAGTGCCGACGGTGTTACGTATCTCCTGGGTGAGAGACAGAGGTGGATATACAGTGAGAACAAGCAGCGTTCCATTTTTCCACGGTTTCAGTTAACCATCAGATAATGGTTGCACCTACGCGATACCACAGCAGAAAACGGCGAGAAGGGAAAGGAACGAAGAAAAAATAAAGTGTATTAAGCTACTTCTCGAAACAGACGACTGGAGTGAAGAATAAATAGAAGAAGAGAGCAACAGGAAGAAGGCAGGCCTACGCCAGAACGGAAACTGCCTGCCGGTGATACCTTCCTTATCTGACGCCGCAGGCGCGGCGGCATCAGAGAATGAAGGCAGTTACATACGTTAGGGATGAGAGGTGCGCTACCGATGATTCCTGTTATCTAACCTGATCATGATCATCTATCCTTTATCCAATTTTCGTTGCCAGTGTGAGCTGGCGTTGTGACTCGGAAGACTCCGGCTGCAAACACTTAGACCCAAAATTCAACTTTCATCCCGCCTCTTCCGGACAGAGGATGATAGTCATGAAAAAGCTCGTTTTAAACTTTACCGGCAGCACCAGATAAGGCAGTTACATACTTTAGGATGAGGGGTGTGCCTGCCGATTATTCTTGTTATCTAATCTGATCATGATTATCTGTCCTTTACCCAATTTCGGAGCTCGCTTGCTAGTGTGAGCTAGCGTTGCGACGGAAGACCCCGGCTACAAAAATTTAGACCGAAAATTCAACTTTCATCCCGCCTCTTCCGGACAGAGGATGATAGTCATGAAAAAGCTCGTTTTAAACTTTTACCGGCGGCATCAGATAAGGCAGTTACATACGTTAGGATGAGGGTGTGCCTGCCGATTATTCTTGTTATCTAATCTGATCATGATTATCTGTCCTTTACCCAATTTCGGAGCTCGCTTGCTAGTGTGAGCTAGCGTTGCGACTCGGAAGACCCCGGCTACAAAAACTTAGACCCAAAATTCAACTTTCATCCCGCCTCTTCCGGATACAGGGTGACCAAGGAATAAAGGTTACTTCTCCACTTCGATTCTGCCAGTTTTATATGAATAATCAACGTATCTAGCTTGTTTCGTTCCTCAATACCCGTGGTAATTACAGAAAAGGGAAGATTTGAACCCGTCACGTAAAGTTAATACGTGGGCGGTATGTAATTAAAAGGAAAAGGCGGTGAACAGAAGTAACCTTTATTCTTTGGTCACCCTGTAGAGAATAATAGTCGTGAAAAGGCTCGTTCTGAACTTTTACCTATCAAAACCATATCCGTGCCCTAGCCTCGCCCCACACTGCCCTTTGCCTGAAAGAACGCAGTGGGAAGAATGGAACAAAGGTGTTGAGAGATAGATAAGTTACCTCGGGGCCACTACTGAGATTATTCAGTATTACCAGCCTCAGTCCTTTGCCGGTCTCGGATTTACCGCCACTTAGCTTAAAATATTAGCTTAGGCCTACATCTTAGAAATATAGACATCCAGATTCTTCCCTATTATCTCACTGGCCTTTCCGATACTAGTCCGTACGGTTCCTTTGTGGTCCGACATATTTTACTTATATTCCCGCTTATTCTGAGATACTCTTAGGTAAAGCCACGTGATATAGTACGTACGATACGCTCTACAAGGGCCTTCTGGAGATTCTTAGAAGACATACTGAAACCTAAGAATAAATTACGCCAAACCGAAAGTGCGCCTGCAACCTAATATAAAAGGCATTATATAGTATTCAACGAGACTACACTAAGTCCTAAGCACCACGAAGCTTATATATAACCCTCGTAGTTCCAATTAGGTTAGTCTATCGGCTTCATCTATATCACGTGTAGCTCGTTATATCTTCCGTCTTTAATATTATACGTTATATAGCCCCCTTTCTAAAGAGGCTCGCCCCAAGGCTCTAGCTTTCCGTTATAAGCGTAGTCGTTAATAAACTGGTAGACCTCATAAAAAATATTTTGAGGGCCGGCATTTCCCGCCCTCCGCCCAACCCTCGCGGGCAGAGGGCGAGTCCTTACCTACCCTTACCCGGCCCTTAGCCCTTATTTATATGAAAAAAAGTTAATTATTCCTAATTGTCAGCATATTCAAGGAATATTAGTATTACTTTTAGTCATTCAAGAAGACTATAATCTTTATAATTGGTTAGGTTAATACGGAAAGCCACCTAATTATAATAGGTCTATTAAAAGGTGTTCTATGGATAGACTATTAATACTGCCTTGATTTAGGTCTAGACTATTAATAATGCCTTGACATAGGTTTAGACTAAAAATAATGCCTAGACTATAATTTATTTCAAAGCAAGACAGGCCCAGACTTAAAAAATAATATAAGTCTAATATAGGCCTAGAATATTGTTGATTGGATATAAATATGTCCGGAATTCCCTACAAGAAAAAAATAATTCTTCTTCAATCATCATATCATACCTTGAGGTTTCCTGTTAAGGAAATATTTCTTTTATTCATCGAAGGATAAAAGACTTGATCTCCCATTAGATCTCCCACTGGATCTCCCACACTTATCCTATTTATTCTAATACTAAATCTAATTAATAATTAGTTACTAATATTCCTAAGACTTCATAATAGTAATAAGTAGCTACTATAGGGGATAAAGCTATTAATTACGCTTAGTGTTACTTAGAGAAGATTTAATAGTTAAAAGAATTCTCTAAATATTAGTTTTCTCTTTAATATATAACCTAATAGCTATATATATCTCCGAATAAGTAACTAGTATCCCTCTTAGTAATTACTTATAAGAATACCTTCTAATAATCTTTTCCTTAAGCTATTATAAAAGTCCTTAAATAAGGAGACTTACTTTATCTATATTATTACCTTACTTAAAAAGTAAATATAGCTAGAGATATTATCGAACTTATTTAGATATAAGCGGATATTATCCTATATTATTTATTTAGCCTATATAAGAGATTAAAGATATATCTTTATATACCTTTATTACTTATCATTATTATTATAGAAGTGCTCTAAGAAGGCTTCCTTAAATATATTTTAGTCCTTTTTTATCTAAGAGTTTTATCTCTTTATTTAGGACTTAATAACCTTTATATAATACTAAGGTAATATATCTATAATATCCTTATTATTTTTAACGCTATATCTAAAATATATATCCTATAGCTTCTCTAGGAACTTAGAGATATTAGTCTTATTAAAGTATAGTGCTCCTAAGGATCCTAGAGCTAATAATATAGAGAAATAAAGAACTTAAATTATATAAGAGTAAGATATAGCCTATACTTTACTAGGTAGCTTAGTTAGGAATAATAGTGGAGATAATTATAATCTATATTATTTATATAATTATTATTACTTAGGGTTAATTTAGATCTTTCTACTATTACTTTACAGTAATCTATAAAGGTTAGAATACCTTTAGGTCATAATAGCTTAGGAGCTATTAAACTTAGTATATTATATACTATTAGTAGCTTATAAAAAAGAGATAGCTTTTTAGCTAAAAAGAAATACTAACTCTATATACTTTACTTTTAATTATATCTCTTTAATAATTCTTTTTTTTCTATTCTCTTTCTTATTAAGGCCGCTTCCTCTTCTTATAATTTATAATATAGAATTATTTATATTAATATTATTTATATAATAGAGTACTATAGCTATCAGATACTAAGGTATCTTTATGCCGCTACTATACTTAATTAGATAGGCTATATCTTTAGTAATATCTAAAGTATAACTATATCTCCTATATATTATTTTAATAGTATTCCCTCGTAGGAACTAAATATATTTAGGGGAACACTATATCTTAGCTAGTCACTCTCGGCTATCCGTACTAAATATATATTGTTGGACTAAAAGGGTAAAGCTACCACGAAGCAGATCGTGGCCCCTTAAGTTCGTGGGATCAACCTTAGTCCGGCTAGGTCAGTCGGTGCCAGACAAAGGAAGAAGGTCAAAGGTCGTAGATAGACTATAAGCAGATATAGCCTAAACGAAGGCAGAACCACAGTCCTGAGGATCAAAGGAAGAAGTAGAGATGACTTTGGAAAGTGGAAAATGACTTGAGGAAAGTAGAACTGACTTGATTCTATCTGCTAGAAAAGAAGGACGTATTTATAGGCTAGAATAGCCTAGAATTGACGCTCTAGAATAACATACAAATGATGTACAAATAGACCTGGCACTCACCCTCAATTTGGACCTGCCAAGATGCTAAAGAGGGATCCAGTTCCCACCTTGGACCCTCTTAGGTAATATTTGAAGGCACAAATAGGCCTTAATATGTAATTTTCTGCTTACAAATGATGTTTTATACACGCTTATGCAAAAAGGGACCCTCATTGAGGGTCCCTTGGCGGGTGGAGGGTCCGGACTTTGGACCCTCCGGCCAGGTCTACGTACAAACACTAGGCAGCAACATAATGAAGGTGGCAAAGAAGGGAACCGAAGAGAAGCGAAAAGAATGATGTCAAGGATCGACGGTCTAAGCCACCCCAAAAGCACCCGCAGGATCAGGCTATGCATGCCTAAAGGTGGACCATTTTACCCCTAAGGGAAAGTGGTCCGCCTATCCTTAAGGGGACCGAGGGTCAAAGTCTGTTCACCGAGGTCCGAAGACTATGGTCGAAGTCCGCGGGCAAGGCATGCCCGAAGGCACCCCCGAAGGAACGGACCATTCATGCTAAGGCGGACCATTTACCTCTGAAGGAAAATGGTCCCGCCTATCGTTCGGGGGAGGGCCGCGAACCAGAATCAGAAGTGGTCAAAATATCATTTTGATAGACGAAAAAATCTGGTCACGTGATAAATGCAATCTGGTCTTATATGTTGAATATAAGGATAGATCTTTCTATGTAGCATTGGTCTATATTCCAATATATATTATTATAATCGCTAGTGAATATAGTCTCCCGCTTAAGGTCTTAGATAGTCTTATAGCTTTTAGGGTTAAATACGATCCCTACCCTTTAGGTATATATTTCTTTATATAGTAATATACCTTAATAAAAGAGCCTTCCCAGGAGCTAACATAAAATAGGAATAGCTTAATAGCTATCTAGCGATATAGACTAAATAATATATATATATATACTACCTATCTAGTGTAGAGGACGCTAGATAAGGCCGTACTGATGCCCTAATATAGCAGTACGGGATAACTTTAATACTATATCATAAATAGAAGAAATAGGGTGACCTAAATGAATTAGGTAGATAACTTATCTATCTCTAAATGTGTCTTGAAGATGCACTATGTGCTGCAGACATTGAATCATGCCTGAGGCCACACATAGACTATTATGTCACCGGTTCTCCCACTACAGTAAGTTATATTTTATACTTATTTATCCTATTTATAGACCCTAAGGGTAACCCTTGAGGGTCAGATATATAGGTGCCCGACCCTTAGAGTCTAGAAATTGGACCTCTCCACCTGCTAAGAGAAGGTGCGGGTGGAGGGCCTGGAGGGTCACCCGCGGGTGAGTGCCAGGTCTAGTGCCGGTATTAATCTTAGTTAGCGCTTAAGGCACCTCGGCTATCCCCCTAGTCGAGTATAGCTATAGGTAGATCTTCTCGACCTTCTACTATTTCTTAAAATAAATATTTAGCTCGTTTCTTTTCTTCTGAGTGAATCTTCAAACGATAGATTGAGTCTGAATTGTTGAATCTTTAGTATTTTTTTGTCCTCAACGCGTAAACTAGAATTGGCATCGCGTCTAAAGCTATCTTTTCTTGGTTGTGGTGAAGTTTGATCCTTGTGGTACGGTATTCTGTATTTCAATAGTTCTAAAGCACTGACTGGAGACTTCACAGGCCATCTTATTGCTACAAAATATCGCGCCACCTGGTGCAAGCCAAGAGATTGCACCTCGAGCATACAGTATCCGCTTGATCATGCGGACCTCTGAAGCATCATTGCGGCGAGAAACGGCTCGTCGGTTGGTGCCTCTCGCCCAAAACGCGCACAAAGTCTCCCATCCATCTTGGGGCTCAAATTCCAGGACATCACGCCCGCGTTTGGCTGCCTCAGCGTGAATCCACGCATTATGTGCATCATAGTGCTTCGCTGTCAAAAGTTCATCCGCGGTTAGACCCAGCTTGCTCTGGCACCTCTCCATAATACTGTGCCACATGGCATACAGGTTACGGTTGGTTTTCCATAAGAAACAAACAGCGTGGTAGATAGGAGAGCCTCCCCAGGAGAGCACCTTGATAGACTGCTCCACCGGTGGCCGCCGCCAGGTCGCTTATTCAGTACGATCTTAGCGTCCGGATACATGTCCATGAGATCATCCATGAGCATTGATCCAGGAAAATCAGTGCTCGCCTGAAACCCGTCAAATAATTCATTGAGTAGCTTGTGACGGTGTGCTTTGTCATTTTCGCGCAAGGCAGCCAACAGAATGTCCCCGCGATCGGCGTTCGGTGCAATGTGTGCAAAGTGCATACAGGGAGCCAGCCCGATATGTTGAGACTCAAGTGCAGCTTGGATAGAGCTTGTCGTGCATCGAGGCAAACCGGCGCGGAGAACTAGTAAAGGAGTGCGGTGGGTGCGGTCGACGACGACGGTGTCGTTAATGAAACGCATTTCATTCATCGGTTGTTTTTGGGAGATTGGAACAACGTTGAAGATTTTACCAGTGCAGTTCCGGGGAGAAACCAAGCTACGAGGGTTGCAGTCACGAGATGGCTTCTTGGGGTGAGATTATTGTCTCACGCTGTCAGCGTCAGCGCTTGAACAAGACCTGAGGCCTGAGATTCTGCTATCGAAGCGCTAGCAATTTATAGACTTTTGTGCTATAATTCGCGCATGGCACCGCGATGAAAGCTTAGACCCTGTAAATCCAGCGAGGCATCGGTAAACCTGCCTTCGTGTATGAAGTTCCATCTTGGTACTGTAGATGAACCAAGAGTGGATGTTGGGTAATTTCGTGGTGTCTTACCATATATGGTACGGCTGTTCCGGATGGCAGGATTCATCAAGACGGGACTAGAAGCTCGTAGCGTAAATCTACTTCCCATGTTTCTGTTCAAGGCCTTCGTAAGTCATAGCTCTGGGTTTATGAAACAGTAAACTTTCAAGTCCACAATCCACAGTCGTCGGGTCTGGCTGCGGGTCAGCAGCCTTTAAAGACGTACATAAAGCTCGCTGCAAAACTACATGGATGAGAACTTGCTACAACTATGGAATGATTATGATTCTTTTTTGATCTATCGAAAATTTTTATATTTCTGACTCGGTCCCTTTTTCCACGGTCGATTGGTATTGAGTGACAAGAGTCATTTGGCATTGGCACTTAAGATTCTTCCATTCAAGGTTCAATCAATTCAACAAGCAAGTCATAGAATTGGCAAGATATGAATGATAGGTTTCCAAAAACAGATGTGTCGTATCTTATCGTCTCAAAAACGCATAGTTAGATCATTGCATGAAAAGACTAGAACACATTATTCCTCGAGATATGCATTCGAAAAGTCGTAACGCTGCCGAGTTCGATCTCATAAGAACTCCAGTAGAACCAAATCAAGGATCAACAAAGAGTCATTACCAACTCAGTCCTTGCACGGATATCAAAAGTTCGCATCGTCTGAGGCGCAGCTTGGAAGCCATTCGAGAGTAGCTTGCAGGGGTTGGACCAGTATACTCCTGGTTCTTATCGGACGCTTCGTCCTGAAGCCTTAATTTCTCGATAGTAAAATGGAAATTGGGAGTTTCTGACGAGCAATCGTACCGATTTGCCAAGTAGTCAATCTCAAACCACTGTCTCCTGTTGTCAAGAGAACGATGCTCAGTGGAAGTACCTTTGTGTTACGACCATCTTTACGTGCTACTATGTCTGCTCCCACTGCTGCGCCAATGGCACATTTCAATTGAGGACCGCGTGCCCTGACACAGTAACATAGCCCCTCGTAGAAATCGCTTGTACCCAGTGCCGAAGAATAAAGTGCCGTATCTTCAGCGAATTTATCGTCTTCTTCTATCCAGCGGCTGATGCGCTGGTACGTCCAGTTTGCGTAAAGGGAAGGGGATTTTTCAAGGGCGTTGCCAATAAATTCGTGCGTGTCATCTTCAGCTATACTCTCCGCGGATGACGCTAATTAGGAGGATATACGATCGCAACCGGTGCGTGATAATGTGGAGACCGATGACTCAGAAGCAGACATTCCATTTGGGAACGCAAAAAGCTGCCGCCAAAAAGCGTCGTCAAGCTTGGTGAGAACATGTCTAGGTCAAAATCAACAGACCCCTTTTCTTTGGCCATCACCGCTCAAACAAGGCAGAGCTGAGTTTGCCACTGAGCATCTGGTCGGCTACACAACATGGGGCTCACCAGCTAGAGCATCAAGAGTTACAATTGAATTATGGACTGGTTTCTGGTCAGAATAGCTTACAATTTGGGGTTGAGTCAGACCAGAAGGGGAGCGTGACAGCCCCGGCCATTGATGAGGAGGGATGAGTGATTAGAACTATTGTCACATTCCCAGGGGGGGTTGAACGTTCAAAATTCATAGGAGGCAAGATGGGAAATCAGGTATGCTAAGCGAGAGCGAACGAAGCTGGAGGGTGCTGTTCGAGGGGTTTATCAGACCAAAAGGTCAGAGTTTCAAGAGTCGAGTCGTAGCGACGCTGATGTTACTCCCTACTCGACCTGGCTCACAGTAGTCTCCTTCTCGAGAGACTTCGACACAGGCGCGGCCCCTTCCTCCGCATGCAGATTGGCCAACTTCTCCGACTGAAATGTACCCTGTTCAAGTTTTCGTACATGCTGAAATTCAACTTTGGTTTGCCAAGGCTTGAGACCTGGGGTGTTGAACATCGTCTCGATATCTTCTAGGGTCTTACCGGCGGTTTCTGGGAAACAAAAAAAGACGTGAACGGTCATGGCAAAACAGAAGACGCCAAAAACTAAGTATGTTTTCCACTGAATGTTTTCAAACGCTGGTGGCACGAAAGGAGGAAAGAGCGAAATTGAAGATCCAGTTGGAAGAGGTCGAGAGTGCCACGGCCTTGCCACGCAGCCGCAATGGGTACAGCTCGGGTGGGTAAATCCAGCTGACCGGGCCCCAAGTGGGTGCATAGCTCGCCACAAACAGGTATGTGCAGGCGATGACTCCTTTTGCGGCCATAGGGGCCTCAGACAGATCCCAGGACTGCTCGGGAGTGTGATTCAATCCACCTGGTGGGGCCGGCTTTCCGTAGGATGCCATGATGCCGCCGTTGGCGAACATGAAGATCATCATGAGAGTGGATCCGACTAGCAGAGGAGTACGACGACCCCAGCGATCGATAAAGATGAGGGCGAAGATAGTCATAACAACGTTGATGACATACTGAATAGATGAGGCAACGAGGTTGGCATTACCCGACAGACCGGCCATGCCGAAAACGTACGTAATGTAAAGCATCATGACATTCATGCCTGTGAGCTGGGACCAGATCTGTGTGAACATACCGATATGTGTCCGGTAGATCATGTTCGGTTTAAAAAGATCGAGGTACGAGGCATCCGCGTTGTGACGCTCAAACTCAACCATTTCACGGATCTCTTGCAGCTCAGTGTGTACAAAGGATGCATTACGGTCGCCCTTGGCGTGAACGAGCGCGAGAACCTCGTGTGCTTCCTCCCAGCGGTCGTGCTTAGCCAGCCAACGCGGCGACTCGGGCAGCAGAAAGACCATACCGCAGAGAAAGACAGCAGGAAGCACTCTGCAAACCCGAAGGGGTACGCCAGGCAGCATTTCCGGTCATAAAGCTGCACCCATAAGAGACGTAAAACATGATGAGGATACCCCAGGTGATAGCCCACTGTTGAGCACCAACGACAGTGCCACGCTTGCTAGGCTGAGCCAGTTCGGCGACGTAGACAGGAACTTGAGCACTAAGAATACCGACGGAGATACCGTTGATAAAGCGGCCCACAACAAGCTGAGGAATGCTGAAGGAGGCGCAGACGATGGCACTTCCGATACACCAAATGAGTGAGCCGACCTGGATGGCACGCTTTCTACCCAGCCAATCAGTCAATATACCAGAAACGAGAGCACCGATAAAGGAGCCACCGGGCATGGATGCCGAGATGCCACCTTGGTTTGCGGAGGTTGGACCACCACATTGTCCATCTGTGGTGCCGGTCTGATTAAAGAAGCACTTGTACTGTTGAGTACCAAGACTTCGAAGAATCAGCAAGAGCCATGATATATTTGAAACCGAAATGGAAGACATGATAGACTCACATAGCAGACATAGATGCGATGTCGAAGCCAAACAGTGCACCGCCAATGACGGCCACCGTGGTGATGACATAGATATTTCCAATCACGTAGCCCATGGTTAAGGCTGAGGCAAAGGGTGGTACCTAATTGATGTTGAGGAAAGAGATGAAAGTCGAAGGAACGAGAAAGGGGAGAAAGGGAGGTTGAAGACATACAGAAGGGGAAGAGTTGGCTCCGTTTTCCTTTTGCCAACCTTAATGCTTTTCGCCCATTTTGCGGGGCATGCGGGGGCCAACCGCTAGGGTCTTTTCCCACCAAAAACTGATATGTTAATACTACGGGTATTCTGAACAGGGTCCCCCTAAAGGTGCCCTATTAAAACCAGGAACAAGACAGGGTATACTCGGGATGCAATGGCAAACCTTCCGGGCTCGCTTCAGAGCAGCCCGACGCACCAATTAACATTCGTCGGTGCGGTCAGATTCCTCAGATTTGGCATTGGTTTTGGAACCAAATTGTTTCTGAATCAATCTGAGTCGAACACGAGCTAGTGCGTGTTACTTCATATGTCATCTGCCTGACCGTATGGTTTCATCGCGCCCCCCCATTCAGTGCGTCATTGCCTCTCTCTGTTTTCGTTGATCATTAATTTTCTCGATTTTGGAACCCTCTTTGTAGCGGATAGACCCTTACCCTCCGGCGTTTCGTCTTCCATGCCTTCCTCACGCATTTCCCGATATCTGATCTGCTGTTTTGATCGGTGCTGCGGCTACCCTTCTGGTCAGTTGATACTGATATGCTGTCAACCAGACTTGAACGTCTTCCAGCGCAAAGCTGGCGGCACATGGTCAGTTACTTCTCGGCGCCCCCTCTTTCCTCGGACCCCTTTATTCCCCTTTTGGCGTTTCACAGCGCTAAATTCGTAAATGATCTACAATGACAAACTTCCACTAGAACCCAATTATCCAGCCACTGAGCCACTGGCCGCCGTCTACCCTTGATGTAACCCGACTCACTCACTCCAAACGAATATCCTGGATCACGTGTCGCCTTCCCCTTCGAAGTGGCTGTCGCTCCATGCGCTACTGAGTTTCCGTCACCACAAATTGACCAGCAGCTTCTCCTTGTTGGCTCTGCGGCTTTGCTGTGAAGCTCAAGACTGGCCGAGGGTCAAATGATATATCTACGGTCATTTAGAGTCCTACGACCACGTCAGCGAATCACGCTTTCACTCGCACGTCTTGGCGCATCGCGAGAACGCCACCTGCCGGTTCAGGCTTGGGGGGCGCCTCCACCACCATCCTTGGTTAGACTGCCTTCGCAATAATTAAGTGGGGGCTCACCACTACCACTCTGGTGCCAAACACCGGAGATTATCTAGAAAGGTGCCGCATCCGAAGACGGCAAATAGAAGAAGTTACATCTTGCAAGATAGAGCCCCGTGCCCGGTCCCTGCCGTACTAACCGGTCATTTGCCTTGCTTTACAATTCGATGCCGTTCTGATGTCTTGTGGCCATTACTGTACGTTGAGTTCACCCAGAAAACCAAACTTCCGAGCCTCAAGGCACCAATTTCTCGATCCCAGCTCAGACCAAGTTGAAATCAAGGAATTGGAAGACTATGCATAAGACTATGCGGGGCTGGGCCATGTTAATTCCAGAGGTGATGGGCGCGGAGATCGAGAATATATACCCAGCGATAGTTTTCGAATTTTTTGCATGCGGGCGAATATAATTCAGTAAATAAATTCTCCTGTGATATAACTCGGTTTGGCTTTACTCCACGAAGTCATGTCTACATGTTTCCATACCTACCAATTCATTTTACCCATACTGCACCCAAGCTTGGAATAGAAGTTTTTGTATTTGATAGTGAAGTCGAGAGTAGTCAACGTGCAGAAAGAAGCAGTCGAGCACTTGATGTGAGAGAATTACATATTGCGCTATTTTTATCCAGATCTATTGAGCCGAACATAGTCTTCAATAATGTGTTCTAGCACCGAAGTGAAGGATTTTTTCGTTTGAACATAACCCCGCAAAGAAGGATTTAGTCATATTTGTACACAAGTGACCCATAAATGGTTCGACCATCGAGCCATGCAAGTGCCCGGGCATATGATAGCGAAACGAAACCTTACCGCGGCGAACAATCGATTATAGTGGGAAAGGCAAATGTTCTCTCAATCATGCCAGACACGACTTGCTTTGAAACAATTATTCTGATTCCTCAGCACGACCTTATACATAGCACTATCCGAGATTGAGGAAGAATCCCGGCATTGTGAGATAGTTTTCATCGTCTAGTCAGTAAGTCGCTCGAGTTTGCTTCGGCAGATAGCTCTCTTTTTCCTGCTAGAATTAATGGAAACTTTTGTTAGGCCCTTGCAACCTCGTCTCACTTGGGTCCGACCGCCGAAGAAGCACCGTTTGCCGTGACAATCAATCTCAGCATTTTGGAAACAAACACTCGATTGAACTTCGTCAGGGGCCAACTACTTAGCAACCCGTACCGGATACGACGCGCAACGACAATCTGACCCAACCAAACATATCACTATCCAGAGACGTACCCGTCCAGCTGCCCCATGCATGAAAGATTAAGAAAAGAAACAAGTCGTCGCTCTGGTCACATAACGCCGACCTTCAGTTTATGAGTAGATGTCATTCAGAAAATTATCTGGCTAGAGCTGTTCGGTGTCTTAGACGCTACTGCAATGAGTTTGAGTGATTGGCTATTGATCACTCAGATGGTTAGAACTTAGAATATGAATCAGGCCACTGGATGAGTGCCGGTAAGCAGGAAGAGACGCGATCTGTGATGAAGCAATGGCCTGAAAACTGTGGCACACATTACCCACAGTATCTCATAGAGCATGATCAAGAAATTCTGTTTCGTGTTTGTGGGCGTTAGACTAACCGGTAAGCTTAGTGAATATTAGGACGTCATTCCACTTGCCTCAGCTCTGCAACTTTGAAATTTGATGCTCAAGCCACGGCGGCGAGTGATGTGAGCAGTGCCGGCATTGCTTCTTTGGGAGTGATAATTCAGCAAATGATCTACTGGCTTTAGCGATGTCACGGCCGTTTACGGCCTATAGTGATAGTGACGAACACATTCATTATATCATATCACGATTAGTTGTGCTTAGTCTAGCTAACAATGAGCCACTTGGCTCGCCTAAAGAGAACCCTTCTAAATCTTATGTGGTCGGTGCTCCTACACCTCAGTCGAATTTCTTTTCTCAAGTGACGACAATAGGGCATTCATTGTATAGCTCCTGCCTTTATACAACTCTCCCTACATCATCGATGTACGCCCTCCCCAAATTTCAGTCTCAGCGTTAGTCAAAGCACCCTTCCTAGCTCTCGTCTATCCTTTCGTGGTTCCGGTCTTTGCTATACCCTAAGCGTGATCATCAGCGTACAGCTAATCTCTTAATTTCCCCCTACGCCCTATGCGGCCAATACCCTCTTACTAACGTCCAAATGTAGGTGTACACTCGCTGAAGCTGCCACGTTATATACCTGCTTAATGTATAGAAATGGTCCTATTTATTTTTCTGGACGTTTCGTGGATATCTCGTCGCCAAGCCTGGAATTAAAAAATGTCTGTGCTTTTACCATCCGATCTTTTCTAGGGTGTGAGGAGAGCAGGCCCCCTCTGCTTCCCTTGTTAGTTCTCTTCTGGTTTGATCTGTCCTTTCCCTAGGCATTCTAGGCAGTGGCAAGATGTCAAAAACTCATCTGTCATATAAATTTCTTTAAAACGTCGCTATCATCGTGGTAGCCCTCTTCGGAAGCCCAGAAGCCGACTTCACGGAAACTCCAATTCTCACCGTTCGACCCAACGATCACAATAGATCTTCAAGGCGTCATCCTTTATTAATACCAATTGATAAATGATAGAAATAAATAGCGTACTCGCATATTTCCCTAGTCTCATCCCTCGTAGCGGTGGTCAAAGCACTGGTGGAACAATAAGCTTAATGTGGAAAGAGCCTGCCTCTCGATCAAGTTTCTGCTTCACATTTTGATTAATCAAAGGTGCGTAAAAAGCTTCCTGTTCCTTGATTAAGGCTGAGCTTGCGACAAGATAATCACAGCATGGACCTCAGTCGCTCTGCCAGACCCACCTCCGTTTCTCTCCCTTCAATGAGGATAGAGTGGAAAAAAAAATTTCAATCGAATACGTTTTGTTTACGGCCATCCGGTCTCCCCACCCAGCGCGGTAATTTCAGACACAAGCCCATATCTTTACTTAGAGCACACTCCACCGACATCCCCGATTCAACTAGGCGGCTGTCTAGAAAACGCCGTTCGAATGGGGCTCTACACGCCCCACTGATAACCGGTCTGGTCTGTCGTCAGAAATTTCTCTTTTTCTTTTTCTTTGCCCTTCACCTCCCCAACATATTCTGATATCCTGAGAGATCGCCGCCTTTTCAAAGATTCTCAGCTCTGATACTATCGAAATTCATGGATTGATCAAAAGCAACGACCTGGCAGTAAACCTGCCCGGGCGCTTCATTTGTTCTTTGCTACTATGAGTCCGCCAAGACCTAACGAGGTTCTTCTCATGGTGGGAGAGCATACTGATGAACATGAAGATCGCTGGAACTTGATATTCGTCTGCCGGCATTTTCATAGTGTTTTTCTATCCCTCGTATATAGAAAGGTTGCACTCTACAAATGGCGTGATATGAGGTCTTTCCTTCACGTCATCATTAGGCAAGTCAGACTTGCTAGTTCGGTCAGGGAGCTCGATTTGAGGGGTTGGAAATTAGATATCGTCTCAGGTGATGATTGGAACAATATTGAGAATGACCTGGTCCTGAAACTCTTGGTCAAGAAATTGTCTCATTCAATTGCCGAGGCTACAAGATGGCAGGAGAGCCTGAGGAAGGGTCATGGAGATGCATGGATTGCACTTGCCCTTCCGCTGTTGACTCATATCCGGAATCTGCAGTTAACCTACGCGCAAGAGACAATCTCTTAATTCTCACTTTGCAACGGGCAACCAATGGTGCGAAGCCGTTTCACAAAAAAAACCGCTTTGCAATACCTACAACAGGTTTCGTGTCATGGAGTTGACCCTGTGGATCTTGAAGAGGCTCTTGATGATGACCGATGACCATCGTTTGCACTGCTCATTTCGTTCTTCCATTTCCCATCCACACGTACGACTGATGCAGATACAGTGATAGAGCCGGATCCAGTCGCCAAGTACTCCAACTATGGGCTTGGCTTCTCGTTGATTTCTGAACTTGACCTGCGTGCCAGTTGTGGTAATTATGGAATGGAAGCCATGGTGCATTCATGTGCAAACCTGATATCTTTCAAATAGCAGCATTCTGACTCCCATATTCACTCCCATGGTTATCAACTAAGGGCCTTCTGTCGGTCGTTGGCTCGGAGCAAGAAAATTCTACAGACGATGTGGCTAGACCACTACGGCAGTCACTATTCCTTCACAACCGCTAGTCTGAATCAAAACCATGATGAATGGTTTGGACCACTATCAGACTTCATCGCTCTGCAGGAACTTCGCATCCGGCTGGCTAACCTCCTCGATGTCCGATATCAAAGCAATCCGACCACGCCTCTTATCAAATGTCTTTCTCAATCACTTAAAACTATTTGTATTGAAGGCTGTGAAGAGCGCCATTTGGTTATGCTAGTATCTCAGCTTCATGAAGTCCTCAAGAATCGCTTGACCTACGTGCCCAGGCTCCAGTTGATAGACATTGAAGGGCCATTTCAGAAAGCCCCCTCCCACAATTCTGGCGATGCCAACCCCACAATAATGGAAATGACCAACAACACCATAAAAAGCAAGGTCATTCAGGCCGTGGAACCTCTTCATACGAGTTGTGTCGCTGCCAGTGTTATTTTATGCGTCCATGACCGCGCATTCACTCAGAGCTCGCACATTTGAGCCCCTTGTCTTGTCTTTTTATTGTCTTTGTCACCTTGTGGAAAATAGTTCATTTTACTATGTGATGAATCCATTTCATTGACACACAAATGGGTATATGTACATAGGTGGCCCATGAGAGGTTGATATGGGCTTGGTGTTTATGAGTGTATTACAATCAAGAACAAATTTGTGATGATAGCCAGTCAGCCCAAGTGCCAAGTTTTCTCATTTTCGTCTCATTCACCGAGAAGCAAGCACGGCATCAGCGCCAGATCTCTAGTAAATGCTGATCTCAGGTAAATGCTATCACACTCAACTTATTTTCAAAGAATTATTGATCCAGAACTTCTGCGGGTAGTTCCCTTGACAGCATCCCTCTCAATTTCAATTAGGGCGTAACGAATCTTGCCAAGGTTGATGACGATCACACACCGGCTTGTGCGGCGGGAAGCATTTTCGTTCAAGCCAATGCAATGAAGGATCCTGACCTTTGAGTCAGAACGGAAGAGACATTTGCCGAATCAGCTACGGTGTCGACTTTGGAGCGACATAGCCTCATAGACTTTCAATACCATTGCCCTGCACTGTGGGTAGAATTTTTGTCATTTAAGCTGGCAAATTAGTGCTCGGCATGGGCCTTCATTGAGCCTGTGGCAGCTGTCATTGGCCTTGGGATCTTTCCTTAGAAAAAAAAGATGGATAAAGTTTATTACCTCAGTCTAGTGAAATTCACAAATGGGCTTTCTTCGGCAACAGCTCTCGTGAATACGACTGTAATAAGTTGGTATGACTTTATGAAATGAAGTAAGTGGCCTCAATCTTCGTCGCTACAATTCCATTCAGAGAGCACGATATCTACCTAGACACTGCTTGATAGAGTCTATTTCTGGGCAAAGACAAAAGTCATTTGTGTATACTCACTCAAGAAGATTCTGGACTTCGTTTTCCAGTACTAGCTTCCGTTCAGTAAACTCCGTTGCATATTAAGTGACTACCATCAGTGGGAATGGAGTCTAGCGGCGATAGCCGCTACGGGTATTTGATCATCCTGCTATTAAAGTAAGCAAACATCATCAAAATCATCGAATTATGAATCGAAGACTTATTTAAATTACAATTAGATGACTTGCCCGCATTGTATGAATGCTTTGTCCCCTACTGCTGCTTTGTCCCCTACTGCTGGCGATGTCGATCGTCTCCAAAGGTTCCGTTGTTGCGGTTGCAATGTTGGCGAGGCATCCACCTTGAAATAACTAATCAAAATTTTTGATCTAGAGAGAATTAGAGAGGGTGAAGGCGACGCGTACCATCACGACCAAGTCATGCTTTCCGCCTTGGACAGACAGGAATCAGTCTTGATGCGTCTTTCGGCCGTGGCCTGCTTCCCTTGCCGATGGTGGAGTGTTTTCCTATGCTACCAGATCCAGCCATCGTGCTTGTTGCCCGTCTAAAAAGCGCTTAAGTCCTGCTGCTTTTTATGTAGCTTCACAATTTGCTTGTGTCACCTTTGCATCCAGTGAAATTTCAATTGATGCGCAACAATATGCATTGACAGCGGACAAACCACTATTCCTGGCTCAGTTATGGTTGAGTCGATGCATTTGGAGTTTGGGCACCTGGGTTACGCAGGCGGCGTAACTCTCGCCTTTTCTGCAAGTCTTAGGTCTGCTCGTGAAGTATAACGAGAGCTAGTGCTAACAGGGCCGGTCTCCACACTGCCGACGCCAGACGTTGCTTCCAACCATTAGCAACTCCGAATTAAATCCATACGGTCTGTCAATTACTATTATAGATGACTAATACTCAATCCAATGCGTATCGATTAGGACGTCATCACATGCCTTTGCGTAAGCCAGACGCAGGGTCCTCAGTTGGAGGAAAAATAAAATATAAGATTTCCCCGTGTTAGCCTCTTCGTGAAACTTGAGAATTCACCCGGTTTCGAATTTTATCTTCGGTTCGAAAATTGTGGCTATTCTCGTTCTTTAATTGCAAGGAATTTGGGATCAATCCAGAGATATGGCCGTTAACTTTCAACTGCATGTGGTCACTGACATGATCCTCACTTTCCAGCAACTAGCACACCCCGGTATCTCATGTTGCCCTCCTTCAAAGTTTTCAAGCTATCCTTGACACCTTCCAACGTCATTGGGAACGTCATTTTCACCGGCTTGATGTTGTGAAGAGCCGCAAATTCAAGCATGTCGCGATGCACCTGTCTCGCAGACACAATTCCTCCTTGAATCCTGAGACCGTTCGCAAGCAAAGGCATGTACGGAATCTTCAGGTCATTTTCATCAACCGAGAGGGGTGAAATGACACCATTGGGAGCCATCACATTGAGGTATAGCTGCCAATCTGGTTGGCTGCTAGTGGTCACAATGAGATTGTCGATGGACTCCTCCAGTTTCAACTCCTTAATACCCTTGGTTGCATGGAACTCGGAGGCACCCAGCTTTATAGCTTCCTCTTTCTTATTATCCGTTCCAGAAAACACAATCACCTTACAGCCCATCCTGGCAGCAAACTGAATCGCTAGATGGCCTAAACCACCGACTCTGACCACTCCCACACGAGCGGTCGGACGAACCTGAGCGACATGAAGGGCGTTGAAGACAGTCGATCCTCCACACATTAAAGGACCGGCGTCCTCATTGCTCATATTGTCAGGAATCTTGAAAAGGAAAGCTTCACGCCATACTGCATGAGATCCGAATGACCCTTGATCCAAATCGGCACCGGCGTACATCTTTCGTTCGGGGCACAGGGTCTCCCATCCGGTCAGGCACTGGCGGCAGTGGCCACAGCAATCGTGCTCATATCCCCATCCCACACGGTCGCCTTTCTTCAAAATCTTGGCATTGGGTCCGGTTGCTTCCACAACACCCGTCCCCTCATGACCGAGGGCCATGTCGGAAGTTTGGTAATGGACATCGGTAAAGCAAACACCGGAATAGGTGATTCGAACCAACACGTCATCGCGCTCGAGTCCGTCGCGCCGGGTGACTTCCTGCCGAATTGTTCCGTCCTTGGAACCTTTGAACACGGTAAATTCAATGGACATACTGAAAAAGTTTTCGAATCAGGGTGGTCCTCAGACATGATCTGGACCCTCGAAAGGAGGCAGGCCGCTTGGCTTCTATAGCCTATGGACCATTGACGTCATCTCCCAGCGTGGTAAGATAAAGGGAGGAGAATCAGCCACTTGTGGTCTCTTTCCATATCATGATTTTCCGCAAACAACGTTTGATCGCAGAAACTCCGATCTGTGGTGCAATCTGGTAGGCATCGGCGGGACCGACTGGCCGCTGATATCATCACCCAAGGAGCTTCCTTACGGCCCTGTCGAGGGCTGGGAACTTGGAAGAGCAACACTCATGTCTACTTCAAATTTGAGTGAAGCAAACAAGTACTTGGATGTGCAATTTGACACCAGATATATCCAATCTCGTGCATGTGTCTTGAGGTTATGCAGTACCTTGATAGAGTTCTCAGAGACCCAATCTGAAGCTAATTAGCGGAGCTCAAATTGAGGAACTCCATCTCCCGTATCACTGCCCTAGTAGCAGTGGGAAAATTATCGAATCGAATAATTGAGCCACTGTTCTTGCAAAAGGAGCGGAAATGCTTGATATTCCCTTGTAGCTCACTTGTGTCAATCTGACCAGCTTCCAAAGGGCAGGCCGTCTTGATGACCACGAGAAATAGGCATCAGTATTGCTTAGAAGCAGTGTTTCGTGAAACCGGGAAGAAATAATTATAGTTAATTTCATATCAAATTCTTTCATCTACTAGTAAACAACCATCTTGGCCGTAGTCTTCGTGATCCATGGCCTCCTTGCATGCGCTGACTAACCTAACATGTCGGTAATCCCCAATCATTCAAATATGGGAAAGCTAGGGAATAAACGACGTGATTAGGAACAGATCCTTCTTTAAAACAACGATTGATACCATAATTTTCAGAGACAAAAAGAGTTGCCCTCATCAGCATCATCAGACCAACCACATTTGCTCCCAAAGGTGGCAGCAAAACTTTCTTCCTCGAACAGTATTCTGCGTGCATAATTAGGCGGTAGAACAGAGTCCTACATTGGATAGCGGTGAGTCACGCGATATCGGAGCTCCCGATCAGGAAGGCCTTTAAAGTCAAATATAAAATTTTCCTAAGTTGGTATTTGTTTACATTCAGAGCAGTTGTCTACGATTGAAATCCTTGAATAGCCCAAAGGCTGGGTACCATTAGACGTTGAAAATGATCCAAGTGGACGGTATTGGCAGTGTCGACACCGCGCGATATTCCGATAAGGATGTCGCGCTGGCGATGGTCAGCGATGTCGCCCAGGAAATCGATCCAGTCGTCGCAAAAAGAGTACTGCGAAAAATCGATCTGTACTTCATGCCCGCCATGTTAGTCGGTAAGTGTGTCCGTCGCCGACGAATCATCGTCAACTGACGGCAAACATTGATCTTAGGATACGGTATGGTGTATTATGACAAGGTGACGTGGCTCCTATTTTCAATAATGCAGCGATCAATTGACAGTCTTGAATAGGCTATTCTAGGAAGTGCATCCCTATTTGGTATGACCACCGATCTGGCTTTGAAAGTGGTCGATAATTCCACCTCTCCAGCCACAGTCGATACCTCTCGTCTCAGTTGGGCAACGTCAATTTTCTATTTTGGAATGCTGGCTGGGCTTTATCCGATGACTTTCATCTTACAAAGATTCAATATTCGATATATTCTTGGTCCCGTCGTTCTACTTTGGGCCTTTGTCTGTGCGGCGACTGCTGGCGTGTCATCTTGGCGAGGGCTATTTGTTCAGCGATTTTTCCTTGGTACTCCCCCGGCTACTTTCGGACCCTTTGATATCAAATTTTCTGACAAAATGGAAGGTTTTATTGAGAGTGTCATTCCGACGAGCTTTATGACAGTTGTCGGCAGCTACTACACGCAAGAAGAGCAAGCTCTTCGACAAGCTTGGTGGTTTTCCGGAACTGGTTGGTTCACCATCATTGGCGGAGCGCTGAACTATGGCTTCGGTCAGATAACATCCGGTTCATTGGCCAGATGGCAGTATATCTATATTTTTGCGGGCGCCTTGACGTTTTTGTTCGGGCTCTGGTGCTGTGCAATGCCCAACTCGCCGGTGTCAGCCTGGTTCTTGACCCCGGAGGAGAGAGTGATTGCTGTAGAGCGATTGCGAAAAGGCCAAACAGGCGTCCGTTGCCAGAAAATCAAATTCGATCAAATCAAAGAGTCCTTGGGGGATATCAAGGTTTACCTTGTAGCCATCATGATGGCGGCAGCGTGAGTTTTTCTGCACCCACAACATTGAAGTTGAAATCGGAAGTGACCCATATAGTTACACCATTAACGGCGCTATCTCTGGCTTTGGGCCACTAATCGTATCTACATTTGGCTATGAGACCACAGACTCGATTCTATTCCAATTCCCCGTGGGTGGGGTGTGTGTCATATTCATACCTCTGTGCGGTTATATTCCAACCGTGATTCCCAACTCACGCATTCCCATGTTGATTATATGCTGCTTGCCGGTTATTGCCGGCTGTTGTATCATTTGGAAATCTCAATGGGGCTATCATCCCGCCACTCCAGTCGTCGGCTATGCACTGACGGGTTTCTTCGGACCAGTGGTGAGCCTTATCATCACGGTCGGGGCTAGCAATGTGGCAGGAGCCACCAAGAAATCCGTGATGGCGGCCACGGTCTTTGTCGCCTACACTGTCGGAAACATAATTGGACCTCAGCTTATCAAGAGTGAGACCAAGGCTCAACACTATCCAGAGCTATGGACAGGTTTGATTATTTGGTGAGCCAGTCGGACAGGCATATCATTGGTAATACTAATGTGTTTCTAGCTATTGCATCACTATTGTCGCAGCCATTACTCTTTACCTGGTGCTCTGGAGGGAAAACCGCTCTAGAAGCAGACTGGCGTTAGATGAGGTGCAGCGTGACAAGATCGCCTTCGATGACCTTACTGATGGGCAAAATCCTTATTTCCGGTACGTTCTGTAAAGGATACTAGACCAAGTCATACAGTTTCACCACAGGGGCCGGGGCGGGAGGTTTGGTCTTGAACACGTCGTGCTCATAAAGGCCTTGGAATTTGTCAATTTTCAGGAACACAAATAAAAGCGAAAATGAAAGTGAATGCGAGAATTGAAAGCAGCGATATACAATCCATTGCATTTATCATATAATGCTTGAATCATATCCATTCACACCGAGGCTCAATTTCGGTACCCAGCTTTGCTTAATTTTAAATCAGTACGCGTTGGCGCATCAGAAAGCCATTGTCCTGAATTGAAATGAAAAATATTCCACTGCGGTCACCATTTATAATCCCCCCTGGTGCTCAGACTATCTGACTCTCGACTTGTGGCGTTGGGGAGTCAATAGATGTAATACGGAATTTTGAACATTGCGTTGCGCTTCGCCCACGAGGTCACGGCTTGTGTCAGAGTCGAATCAGTCTTCATTAAATGGAATGTCCATTGACAGAAGACTAATTCCCGGCTATGATAGATAACGTTTCTTCGATCCGGTCTCGATTTCAGGAAACTGGTCATTACCAGTGATGCGCGTTTTGGAGTGAACCGGAAGGCCGATGATGTGGAAAATCTTACGCTAAGCCTGACTCAACAACTTTTTCCTGGTCGTGTGTTCTAGTAAGTTTTTATGGTTGAGGTTGGGCGCTTCGGTGTTCACGGGATTATGGATTCGGGGGCGGAATCAGTCCACGCCCATCCAGGAGACTACCTAGGAGCGATGAAGTTGATCGATCTGATTTGTGAATAATCTAGCGACTGAACTCGAATGCCCACGCGGTATTGGCATCGGTCTGGTATATGGGGAATGTCAACGTGTCACCAGAATACGCGTGCGAAACAATGCCTCGGTCACTGGGAGCATCGACCTCATCATATACAGATGTGCCCGCGAAACCCCAGGTTTGAATATTAACAGAGCCATGACTTGGCAGTCCGACCGAAGACATACTGCGTACGGTGATCTGCCAGTTACCAGCAGTAACGCGCGCTCCAGAGAGAATACGCACTTTATCGGAATCAACAGTCGCGTACACGTCAAATAAACGATCGCCAGTGCCGGAAGTCTCCACACACTCGCCCGTCATGTTTAGATTGTAATACTTGTATACCTGATATTCCGGAGCCGACGTATAGTCTGTCGCGTTATAGTTCAAAGGATCGGAGGTTTTGGTGAGAAGATTCGCAAAGAGGTCGTGCAGGCTCCAACCGCTGAGCCAGTTACCACGCAATCCAAACGTATCGTAGCGTTCCAGTCGGGAGATCCACCAGGCTGCGCCAGATGGGATCTGCTCGGCTGAATTGGCATACTCGTTGATGTTAATCTGACGCTCAGGAAGGCCGTAGATCTTCAGAAGCGCCATCAGAGTACCGTTTGTGTTCTGGAGATCATTGTCCCAATCACCCGTTTATCCTTCCAGGTGATAGGCGTACTGTTCTGGAATAGTATCGTTGCCTGCAATCTGGGCGAGCCAGCTGGCCCACCAGCTGTTGCCAGACACTGGGCGATAAGCCAGCGTAGGCCCTGAGAGTTGAACTCGATCAAAGTCGGCATTCTCGCTGCATCTCAGTGTTAGCAACGCGGCCACGTTTTTAGGAGTGCTCACTTACCGAAGAATCTTGTGTGTTCGAATGTACAAATCGATCCATTGCTGCTGGGAGCGGACCCAGAAGATCTGGATGTCTGGTTCATTCCAGATGTCCCAAACAAGCCCGTCGAGAGCACCATGCGCCTTCAGATCGGCCATCAAAGTTCTCACGAAGAGGTCATAGTCGGACCAGTCGCCGTCGTCGCCGGGCCATACTGTCGAAGAGTTCGCGTGGTCAGTGCCCCAGATATCGTGAGGCAGAATTATGAAGTTTGCTCCGTATTTCCGGCACGTCTGGTAGTTGGATAGGGTTGATGCTAAACGGCCTTTGTACTCCTGCAGCCCCCAAATCCAGCCCCGAGCTGGCGCGTCCAGCTGAGCTCCTCCAGCACGCCCGTATTGAACCCCATCTGGGTATACCATTGATCGGGGATCTGGTTGGGAGTATCTGGAATGCCATAAATAAAACCAGACGCCCAATGTAAGGTTGAGCCCCTGGAAACATTGAGGTTGACGGTAGCGGTGATGTTGTCGGCTATTGCCAGACCTGCAACGAAGAATGGCGCAAAGGTTTTTATTGAGTACATTTCGGGAATCTTTCAATTCTAGCTTTCCAATGCTGAGTTAATTTATGCCCTTCAGGAGAGCGAAGCTGACCACCTTTTATCTCATTTGATCCAGTCTCACCCAATTCGGCTTTCCCGGTATTATTGACACTTCGCGGGGTGATCCACAACGTGAAGAGAATGCGGAGCTCCGATGATCCCGAGAGCCCCATGCTTTCGTCAACGTGGAGACAGTGGTCAGAATGGCATTCTGCAAGGTTGTAGGGACCTTTCCCGGGATTTGATCTGAAGAATCAGTACTGTGTCATCTCCGGTGGAGGGAACCCACATGATTCCGATCTCCTTGAAGGATTATCCCGGTGGAGCAGAGGAGACGTCCCACCTATATTTCGGTTTCATTTTTCACATATCATGTAATGTGTGGGCTCTTGTGCGCTGAGGTCCTGAAATGATGGGCGTATCTGAATTAAGAAATAATGTAACACTGTATAAAACACTCGTGCCACAATAAAAAAGGGAATCAAAACAAAGAAAAAAAAAGAGAGAAAAAAAAGAACTACGCGAAAGTGAAGGGTACGAAAGACAGAGCGGTGATGCAACATCTCATTTATGTCCAAAAGATCAGATTGATGTTAAGTATCTTCTCCAGCTTGTCAACGATGTTCTATGAACTTTGATCCTTCTCAGCACTGTGAACAATCGTTTCATGGGTCACTTTGATTACTCCGCCCTGACAAGTATGGCTATTGGTCTCCCACGCGCCCTCACCAGACGTACAAGTTGAAGCCTGCTCTCGCGAGGTTGGCAATATCATCTGTTCGTCGCTGACAGTGTTCCAATAAGTATCGGCAGGAAGTGATAGTGGGTGCAAGAACTTCTTGCGCTTGGGATACCCGCTTCCATCACCATCAGATAAGGGATAGCTCTGGCTGTCACTCTTTTTTGTAATATAGGGGACCCACTCGGCGGAGAACCCGGCGCAAAAGGGGGTAGATCATGGGAACGTTTCCGATGACGACGGCGACGAAGGTCTCGCGACAGGCCCAGCTTCCTGCTTGTTCCGCGCCATTTGCACCGGCCTAGAAATAAAGAAGATGTTAACCTAACGTGATTGTGTCAGGGAGACGATGTTCTTACCGTTAAGATCAAAACACAACGCAAGATTCCCGCCATCATGACGAACAATCCGCCGCTGAAAAGAATGAGAAGCTCGAGCTTTTCTCGCCACTGGAGTCGAGCTTTGAATAAAATCTGAGGGAATATTTCTTTCCTTAGCAAGGTCTCTCGAATTGCCGGACAAGGTTGCCGGCATACCGGAGCAGGAATACCAATGAGGTACACGTCGGTCACGACATTGAGCACGACAGTCACGTAAATATCAATCTTTGAGACGGCGGGCTGGCAGTAATCTATAATCAATCAGAACTGGTCGCATGTTGATAAACTGATTCTCTTACTTCCAGGGTTTGGGTTGATCTGCCAGTTCTTGTGCAGTGGATAGCAACCAAAGAGAATGGAGAATAGGGTGGCTATGTATGTTGCAGCGATCAATCCGTAAGCAACTTGGATGCGAACTCGCATGTTTATGAGACCAGCTCTAGACAGCTTGGTTATTATTGTCCCTGGACACACATAGCTTGCCATACTCACGTCAATCGAGAATAGAATTTGGCCATGCACGTCTTCAGCAGCCACAGTAACAAGGTGTATAACGACCAGCCCGCCACTTGAACCTTGGACCCTCCAACTCGTAGGCGGTATTCCTCCGACTCAGGAGACAAAGTGGACCGTTCTTCGTCCGTCATTGCATTATTCGCAAGACCATGAAACCACGCACCCACCATGTACGCGGCAGCCGTCTCAAGTCCGTAAACCACCTGGTGCACCTTAGCGAGGTTGTCACGAGCTCAAAAGGTAGCCTACTTACACATGCCAGCAGCATCAAATAATCATCCGGCTGAAAATTTCTTGGTCCGACCATGATCCATCTTGCAGTAGTCCTCAGACCGATAATCACGATGGCCACGGCCAAAAGCGTGAAGGCCTCTGTAACGAAATCACCCATGGCGCGCGCACGTAAGATCTGCTTGCCTCTCGTTGACAGAGAGATAGAACAAAGGTCCTGGAATCTACCGGGACGGGCCAGATAAAGAAGCGAATCGCAGGCGGGTGGTTGTAGGGTGACGGCAGCGGACAATATCCTGATGTTTCCCTTCGGCGCTTGTCATTGGAACCAGGCCGGACAAAGCAACTCCTTCGACCTGGTCGAGATATAAACATGATCCCAAGTCAAGGGGACATGGGTGAGTGCCCAAGGAAAGCCATAGAATGAAGGAACCCGTTACGCTTGAGGAGCATGAGGCGTGGAGACGACTTCACAACGGGCTAAGAAGGCCCTGTCAGCCCCAACGGCTTCCTTGATTGAGCGCCCACCTGGTCACATTTTGGGGTCCATCAGACGTCCAGAAACATTGGAACCCCAATCCTGGGATGCCAAGGACACCAACAAGGCCCACTGGACGAGGGATTTCCCCATCGAGTACCCGATCGACATTGCCCCGGTCAGGGAGGGGTCCTGACGGGACCCGGCGACAAGGCTTCGCAGATGAAATTGAGTGGCAGCTCGAGCATATGCCGAATCGGTTACGCGTATACATTTGACCGGTGAATTTTCTTTGTCCTGGACCAGGATGGGCTGTGACGCAGCGACAGGATGCAGCAATCATCTGTCAAGAGCCGAGCTAGTCAGGAGCCCAGGGGGAAGGATGCCCTCTCACGGCGAGTCTTTTGTGACGATCAGTCCTCAAGAAGTCTCTCCCCCCACCTTATATACTGACAGAGCTACCTACTTGGTTCATAGCTTTTCTCGTTTGCAATGCAGTTGATGGGATGATAGGTCTGTAGTCGTGTAGTCGCTTCTGTCAAAGTCAACTCTCCAACCCCTTTACAATTCATATCAGCTCATATCAGCCTACAACCAACATCGATGGATGTTCTTTGTTCATGGCCACACCCTTAGTCCCGTTCGAGACTCGGATGTCCATGACAGCGGTATCTCGGCACCTCCGCCCAACAGTGGGTCACAGCGAGCCGTGCACTCTACCCGAGAAGCTAAACCACTGAACACATCAGGTCCTCGAGATCATGTCATCTCCGAGAGTTCGATGGATATGCATGCAATCGACCCTCGGGCCTGCAGTTGGCCATTTTGCGGAGGTAGTTCACTCTTGAATAGCCCAAGGTAGTTTCTTCCAGGGACCGGGGGGCTGCGCCAGCCGGGTGATCTCTCGACTTATCCGTTGGAAAGCCAAGGAAAGGCAGTTGATGCTACGCTCCTGGATGAATTGGCACTATCAAGTCCAACTTCCGATGCTCGGGCGAGGCCCCCTATTTCCCAGGTGCCAGCGCCCTGGAACGGTCCCTCGCGCGCGAACGAGGGTTGAGAAAGGTAAGTGATCGGCCAACGGATGCGCGGCGCCGAGATGTCAAAACGACGGAGCCCGAGATTAACGTGTGGGCATTCTGCTAGCGATCGGCATTCAAAGCAGCCACAAATTATCATCACTATGATCATAAGGAAAACGTCTCCAAACGATCCTTAAAGTACTTAAAGTACCAAAAGAGGGCCCGGAATGCCATTGAATTGGATCACCTGCATGCCAAGCGGGAATCTGTGAATGGAGACAGGGAGTTGTCACTGTGGCTAGTCCGCGTGTAAACATAGGCGATTGCCTTCGGTTCTTGCAGTTGAGACATAAGTCCCCGCCCTAATGCGGGCAGCTCATTTCCCCTCCGGTCTTCTGGCGTCCCACTTCGAGAGCGCGGAAGAGCTAAAAAGACGAGCCAGCTTCGAACCGTGCCCTTCTCGTTTCTTTGTTTCCTCCGGCGGTCATTTGTTTTTCCACCGGTCTCTGAACAGCTTCGTGCGTGAATCCCAGATCGCAACCGCGTACTCTGCCTTGATTTCTCGATATCGAGTCAATCCCGCCCATCACTCACGCCATGGAGAGTTTGGACCTGGTGGTGGTTGGCGCCGGTGAGTAGTTGCGGAAAAACATGAGAGATCATGCACGCTGACTGAATCCCAACTCACCAGGCTGGAACGGGCTCGCCGCAGTCAAGACCTATCTTGACCTCAACCCGGACAGCAAGGTCTGTCTTCCAGACTCGGCCAGCTCCATCGGCGGGGTGTGGGCCAAACATCGTCACTACAAAGGCCTCAAATCGAATAACTTGTTGGGTACCTACGAGTTCAGCGATTTCCCCATGAACGAAGCCAGCTTTGGCGTAAAGCCCGGTCAACACATGCCTGCGATGTCATCCAGCGATATTTGGAGGCATACGCCGACAAGTTCGGTTTCGCCGACCGTATTCGGCTCGATCACACCGTGGAGAGCGCCGAACACAAGCTGGACGGAACATGGCAGTTGATCGTGTCGCACAAACAAAACTCCGTGACCATCGACACCCGCAAGTTAATCATAGCCACGGGGATCACTTCGCAGGCCTATTTGCCCGACTTTACAGGACAAGAGATCTTTGGTGTTCCTCTGATTCACTGTCGCGACATGCTCCAGCATGAAGCTGAGGTCTTCCAGCCCGGGAGACGAGTCACAGTGTTTGGCGGAACGAAATCCGCGTGGGATGCGGCCTATGTCTGTGCAACGTCCGGTATGAAAGTGGACTGGATCATTCGCGAATCCGGCCACGGTCCTTGTTGGATGGCACCCGCATATGTCACGCCGCTGAAGAAGTGGCTAGAGAAGCTGGTGACGACGCGACTCTTGACGTGGTTCAGCCCTTGTGTCTGGGGTGACGCCGATGGTTTCGGGCGTGTGCGCAGCTTTCTCCATGAGACTTGGCTGGGACGCAAGATTGTCGACGCCTTTTGGGCCGTGTTGACCGACGATCTCGTGCAATTGAACGGCTATGACAAGAACCCGGAAACACAGAAGCTGAAACCATGGGTGAGTCCATTCTGGATCGCCTCGTCGCTCAGCATCCTCAATTATCCTACCGACTTCTTCGATCTGATCAAGAATGGCACGATCAAGGTGCACATCGCCGAGATCGACCATCTCTCCGACCGTACGGTGCATCTATCCAGTGGCGAGACACTCCCAACCACAGCTTTAATCTGCTCGACGGGCTGGCGTTGCACCCCTAACTTGAAGTTTCTCCCAGAAGGCATTGATCGCGAGATGGGATTCCCCTGGAGTGCAGACCCTGTGGATGAGGACATGATCAAGGCCGCGGACGAGGAAATTCTCCGACGATTCCCTCGTCTGCGCAATGGGCCTCCTGCCAACCCCAAGTACCAACCACTCAGTCGACAGTCAGAGGCAGCTGCTCCACATCCATTCCGGATGACTCGATTCATGGTTCCGCTTTCATTCGTCAAAGAGCGATCTCTGGCTTTTATGGGAATCACCATGACCATCAACACGAACTTGATTGCTCAAGTCCAGGCACTGTGGATTTCTGCCTACTTTGGGAATCAGCTCACCCCCACAGCGACTGAGCGTTGTCCGTCCGCCATACGCGGAGCTTCGGGTTTCAAGATGGAGGACGACTCTGAGCTGGATCTGGCGTGGGAAACAACTCTTCACACAGAGTTTGGCCGATTTCGGTATCCAGGAGGCTACGGCCATCGCAACCCAGACTTTGTGTTTGACGCCATTCCATATATCGATCTAATGTTACGCGATTTAGGTCTGGCTACGGAGCGTAAGCGCGGTCTTCTTGCACAGTGCGTCTACCCTTATGGCACGGAGGATTATCAAGGACTGGTTGAAGAATGGAAAGCGAAGCAGAAGAGTCAGCAGTGATCGACATTGATCAATTAATCTCTTTCTTTCTGGGCGAATTTTTCGTCGCGCATCCCGCGAGATACCCTAGTTAGCTTCAATCTGAATTTACATCAATTGCGCGACTGGGTTCTCATTCATTGCACATGTCCCACGATTCGATCGTGGGTCCCGCATGTAAAGCATGAGGAATCATAGGGAGGCGCTTCGAACGAGTCATTCTTGCAGTAATCAAGATTCTTACTCAAGCAAAGCAAACTGCTCAAAAACTGCGACACCTGAAAGCCTAGTCTCGCTGGACTGCACTGGAGTACAAACATCTTGACGGTCCTCACTCTGCCCCTGGACAACCTCCCCCGACAGGCTGCCCGTCCACCGCATGTAGTATTTGCCGTCTCCAGCCACAAGACTGTCAATCGAAACATTGACCTTCAGCCAATTGTTCGAATTCCCTAAATCGAATTCCAACAAAAATCCATCCGGTATGTCACCCGCCCAGGGAGGGTATCGGCCACCAGTAGTATTGAAACTTCCAAATGGCCGAACAGTGAGAATTGAGGAGGTGCAGGCTGAAACGAGAACATCGCCATCCTTGGCAACATAGCTGCTCACGTAGGTTGTATTGCTTGGGTCATCGAGCGCAGAATAGCTGAACCAGACAATCGAATACGGCTCAAGACGGCCATGTCCCCAATACCAATTCTGGACGGACTCTAGAAAGGGTCGATCTGACCAATTCTACGACTCATTAGACTCTTCTTCAAAGAATTAGATATATCACTCGCCTTGTCATGGTATGCCGGCCCGCGAAACGACAGTCTCGACCCCTGGATGTTCATGTCTATCGTTCCAACGGCGTCCGGAATCAAGCACGCCCATCCGATATGGGGCGCAACCTCAAGCTTTGTGGTTCCAGCTTGTATTCCGCAGGCAGATGCGGTGTCAGGCCCTATATTTCGGTCGCAGTGTCAGTACAAACCATTTAGCACGATAGGACCACACCAACTGAGCTGAAAGTAACTCGACCCTCCACTTGTATCTCCTCCGAGGCAATGACGACCTCGTACTCGGACAGGTCCTCGTTCAGAGCCGTCCAGCTAAATCCTGTGGAACCCCAGTTCCCGCTACTTGGAGGCTTAGCAGAGTCTCCACCAGCAACGGTAGCAACGGTCGCTGGGATGTACTCTGAAAAGACAGTTCCATTGGCAAAGGAAGCCCACAGATAGGCGATGAGGACGGACGATCCGCTCGGATCTAAGAATGGGAATGCAGTAGCGGAGGAGGTGAAAAAGGTGACTACAATCGAGTCACCAGGGTCGGACTCGGAGACAGCATCGAAATACCACCAGTCGAATACGGAGGCATTGATTGAACTCACTTGTGGGCCGTCAAGTTTAAGCAACGCTTCCGAGCTCAAAGTTGCCTCGGAGGTCGATATATCGAATCGAACCTGACTGGTACCGTTCTGCACCTGACTGGAGATGAGATACTTCCAGTCATGAGGGTCGGATGCAGTTCGTAAGCTATCTTTTATCAAAGGATGAAGTTTCCGAGCAACTGCAGACAGTTCCACGAAGATGCCGAAGATCAGCACAAAAGAGATGATGCGAACCGACATTGCAGCTAAACGATCCGCCAAAAAGAAGAAGAAAAGGAAGAAGATTCACTGAATCGTATGCAGAGCGGAAGTACGAGCGTGATATAAGAGAACACTCAAAGCAGGTCTCAATCGTCATCAAAGACCCGGGTGGGGATGGTTTTGGAGTGTCAGACACGACGTGTTGCCTGAATAGGTGGAAGCTGCAACCACACGTTGTCAACACGAATGATTTGCGGTACAAACTTCGCGTGAAGGGGGCAGGAGGAAGTCTGGTCATTCTTTTATTGAGGCCTCGATAGACCGCGCTTGGCAGTCAGACCACGCTTTCGAACAATGGGACAGGTAGAGTATTGCAGGTCGCGCTGGTCAAGACCCGAGCGGCCCAAGAAACCCGCCCTGACCATTCTGGTGACCAAAGAGCCTGTCTGCATGCTTCGACAACTAACTTCTATTCCACAGGAAGTTCTATTGACCTGATGGAGCCTAAATAGTTGCGTCGATGCTTTGCTCGGACGACCAAGGGTACCTCCATCACTTGAGGAACGAGACTGCCGCGGGATTCTCACACGACTGGAAGTGAATCAGTGCAAGTGTAATGCAATTAATCATTCATGCTATATACCATCGAACACCGGACTCACGAGGTCCCCCGTAAAATAAACAGTCAAATCCAAGTGCTCGCTCTCAAGTCACAGAGAAGGATAAGGATCAATACACACGTCACACGTCAGGCTAAAAAACACAGTAATCAAACACGATCAAGACAGAAGATCAGACCATCCCAGTTATGCCCAGTGAACGCACCCTTCGCCAGTAACAGAAAAAAAAAAAAGACAGAAAGAAATTATAAAGAACCCCCGACTCCCAAGGCCGCTGTGGTTGATCCGTCATCCTCGCCTCCAGGGAAATACACAATGACGGGGGCTTGTAGTTGAGGAGCTGGGACGGAGACCACAGGAATGCAGAAATACCGAGCACGTCTAGGTGCGCCCGTTGATGACGGGACTGCCGTCCTCGCTGCGCCCTTCGTGTTTGACGGATCCATCAGCACCCACCTGGTTGCCATCCAGATCACCATCTTTACCGCAGCCCTTGACCAGAATGTGTCGCTGCAGAATCAAATGTTAGTTCGAGGTCACGGTCGCACTCCCGAAAAGAATATACACACCTTCAAGGCATCTTTGCGCGAGAAGCTCTTGTCGCAATGCGCACAAGGGAATGGCTTCACAGCCAAATGAATGCGCTTGTGACGTTTGAGATCGTGATTGCGGTTGAAGCTCTGTGGACACTGGTCGCATTTGAAGGGACGATCGGCCGCTGGCGCAGCCAGACCGTGCGGGGGCGGGTGAGCACCATACATATGCTGAGTGTTGGCAATATGCCCGCTGTTGAAACCCGGTAGCAGCCCTCCGGGCTGCATGCCGCCCATGACCGACATGGGGCTATTCGGGCTGTGCACATTCGTCATAACGGGACCATTCATGGCGGGTAAGGAGTACGAGGGCCATGGTTGGCGCGGATATGCCAAGTGATGCTGTGCACCGGGGCTTTGGGCGGGTATACGTCCAGGGTGGATACCCAGCCCAGCATGACCGATTGGGGACGGGCCGCCATACATGTGGGAGTAGCTGGCCTGGTGAGAAGTCGCGCCGTATAGAGAGTGGCCTTTGGGAGTGTAGGGGTCGTTCGATGGAATAGGAGCGGGCGATGTAGCGTGACCAGATGCATAGAGGGACATAGATACCGGTTGAGCGTTCGGAGGGAGACTAGAAGGTGGCGCGGGCAGAGAATGATGGAATGAGGCCAAAGGCGGCGCCTCGTAGGATTGGGATAGTCCGTCGGTCGTTGGAGGCGATGTCGCCGGTCCAGAACGTCCTACCATGCCAGATGGAGAGAAGGAGTTGCGCGCAGAGTAGGGATTGACACCGGGGGCCCACTGAGATGGGGCGGCACCATAGGGCGAAGACTGGGGCCAATACGCGGGAGGTAAATCCGACGAGACACCTGTCGACGGTGCCAAGGTTTGTGATACCGTGGCGGTCTCTCCGGATTGATTTGTGGCCGGGGGAGTCAACAGGTTGCCCACGCTCACATTCGGAGGCGGGTGGGACATGGGCGGGTGTCCAGCATGCGCGGAGAACTTGGGGGCCGCACTAAATGGTGGCGGCGGTAGTTCGAAGCTGGGCAAGGCCGGAGCTTGTGGGCGACGGCTCACCAACGGCTGTGAAGCTAGAGCATCCAGCGCCGATCCCATCGGAGGCGGCACCGCAAGGGCAGCCATGTGAACGGACGGATCTCGTGCGAACAAATCGGCTTCGGAAATCGATGGAGCGAGGTTAGGGGGAACAAAAGAGTGTCCCGTATTCAACCAGTCTCGACCACCTGTAAGGCCCCCAGAAGGGCTCGAAGAATCCAGGAGGGGCAAGAGGTGATCGCTGGTGCTCGCGATCGAGAAAGCAGTGACTTGATCGATGAGGCTCAAGTCGAGATTTTTTGGGGGTTTTTGGGTTGGCCTTTTTTTTTATAAAAAAATTAAAAAAAAAAAAGAGGATGGCGAGGAGGGAGAGTTGGAGAGCAAAGAGAGGAGGTGAATATTTTACGCTCCAAAGAGAGAGGAGAGGGGGGGGAGGAAACGGGCTGTCAGCCCTGAGAGGGGAGAAGACAGTGTAGGGAGATCGCGACTAAAAGGGAAAGAAAGTCAGGGTCGACGAAAGCGCGAGTAGTGCATGGTCTCGAGATTTTGTTCCTGGTGAATATCCCCAAATCACTGAAAGTTGTGTATAGCCGTCGAGGGAAAGAAGCTTGAGGAGGAAGAGGAGGAAAGGATAAGAAGCACAAGCCGTGGCGTTGGGGAGGCGCAGAAGCGCGGGGATAGCAGAGGGTAATTATAAGAGAGAGAGGTATAGGTGTATAGGGACGCGAAGAATGGTGGGACCCGTGGTCGACGCGGGTCTGGCCAGCGTGGGGAACGAATGGAACGAATGGACTAAATGGACGATGCGAAGACTCCAGAAAAGAAATGTAGATGGAGCAAAATCCCAAAGAGGAGGGGCAACGTGGTTGACAGGCCCCGGTTGACCGTTCCGAAGTGTCTCTCTCTCTCTCTCTCTCTTTTCTCGATCCAACTATTTGCTATGGCTACTAGTGCCTCTAATTCTGGGTTCACCCTCCGATGGACGATCTCTCTGCTGGATACTGGTCCACGGGTAGACTGACACAAGTCAAAATAGAAGAAAGTCAGACACAGAAAGCGGAGGCTCTCCTTGCGTCCCGACTCGCGTGAAAAAGCAAATTGGAAAAAATAATATAAATGAAAAGGAAAGTGAAAAGGGTTCAAGGAAAGGGAAGAAAAAAAAAAAACAAAAAGGAAAAAAAAAAAGGGAAACGGGAAAAGGGAAAAGGGAAATAAAAAAACCCCCCCTCCCAAAAGAAACAGAGGAAATGAAAGAATGGAAAAGAAGAAAAAACTCTAGAATGCGCGCTAACGATAAGCTAGGACCACAAATAGGGGACTGTGAAGGTATCACTCCGGAGAGAAAATCTATTCCTGACCATCTCCGGCTATCACATAATATCGGTTTTCCTTTTTGATGTTCCCACTCCGTATCGTCCTCACTTTAACAATCAGACCCGGTCAGATTCCTGCCCAATGCGCGTAGCGGACGCACGGACATGGCCGGAATGGCCAGAATACGAGCCATGGGAGTCTGGAGCCGTCGCCTCTGATGGGCAGAGACAAGCGAGCCACGCGCATGGTCATTCGCCGGTTCCCGGCGCGCGAGAGCGGATCTCGTTAGGTCGAGTTCGAAGTTGGGTCCCAGAGTCTTTTCGCGGTCTATTTGGGTCTTTTTAGCCCGTCTCGCTGGTCATCTGCACCCTTTCGGCCCCCAATGGCATGGAGGTTTTTGTCCCCGGGTTCGCCGGCCATGGTTCTGTACGAGATTGCTCTCTCTCTCTCGCTCGCGAGACCGTGGCACCAGGGAGAACCAATAATCAGCATGGCACCAGACTGTCGGGTCTCCTCTAGTATATCCGGCGCGCGTGCGATCGGAGTGGCGTACGGAAAGGGTTCAGCTGGCTCACCCCTTGATCTATGTCAATTTACTTGGACCTTCGCTTCCACGCCCCCGGGGATTATCTTCCCTTATCCCGCCAATAGTTGCCTTCTCTTTGCCGGTGTCTGCATAGGTTTCGGATGAAAAGGGGAGGGGGAAAGAGATTCACCAGTGAATCATCATCTGTTAAAATGTCAAGATAGGTGTCAGTGTCGGTGGTCAACTGTAGGCGTTGCAACTACGGAAGTCCCGAGGTAGATCTGTCGTTTTCCTTTTGCCCGGATGCCGCCGTTCGACACTTATCGGGGCTTCCCACAGGATCGCGATCGGGACTGCATACTCTATAGTGCCCGTCGGGCCTGCAATTGATTTCCAATTACCTTCGTTCGAAAAAGGGAAAACGACTGGATGCGTGGCAATTTGCCTTAGGATTGGGTTCCCCCACCCCCACCTCTTCCCAGAGTCACATTCCCAGAAAAAAATAATCCCTGTCGGGGGCCCCTTGGCCTGTGTCTTCCCATACTTCCTCCTAGCACAAGCTCCAAGCACGTACACAGAGAGTATTGGTACACTCCTAGGATACACGATAGCTCTAGAATTCGAAAGTCCTCTCGCGAGACCCACGATGGAGGTCCGACTATCGGGCTCCCTCGTCCATGCTGTTGGAGCCGTGTACATCGATTTCCCGATCGAAGCCCTGATCGTCCCCCTCGGTAGTTTCGCTGCCGATTTGCTAGCGAAGCTCCAGTGCTCCAGTGCTCATGCAAGGTGGCTCCTACCTTACAGATGTGACAGCGCGGGTGGATCCACCAAACTCTTGTCTCGGGCTCGAGCCATGCGATCGTCGGTTCGGTTCCTGCCGGTGGCTTCGGGCGAGGCGGTTTGGCGTTGGACCTTTCACCATGAACAGTAGTTGATCGACTTGTAAAGGGTACGGGAGATCGACCTTGAGCTTCGCAAGGACTGCGGCTCGGCCTTTGAATTTTGGGAAATGTAGGAACCTCGTGCATCCTGTGTCTTTGGATCTGCGTTTTTGTCTGTTCCATTTTTATTCTTTTTTTTTCTTTTGATTTTCTCCCCTGATCATCTTTGGTTGCTGGGGCTTCCCCCGGTCATTCAGGACTAAGTAGCCAAATCCCGCAGCGACTTGCAGAGACCGGTGAATCACAAACGATCAGTCCCCGCATATAATTACGCGGCTACTGGTGACTGTCGATGGAGAAGCGAAGCATCTCGAAGCCCAATCTGGGGCCATCAAGCGTAATCATTGTTAGATCCCGTGAAGCCTCGCAATGAAACCGCCTTTGACATCTCGTGTCCTCGAAACTTTCGTAATACAGTTCAAGAGCCAAATCGAGATCCAGCCGGCAGCTATCCAGATCTTCGTGCTCTATGTCCATGTGAGGCTCTCGTTCTCGGCGTTGTCTCGCTCTTAGTTTGATCTGCCAACCTAAACTCGAGTCCATCTAGATTATTAGATTTCAATGTGGGGTGCATTGCATGGTGGAATGTGATACCCATAGATTCGTTGCACTGTCGGGCGGCGCTGAGACCCCAAGGGTTTTTGAATCGATTGCAGAGCGATATAGTTACTGATCAAGGTGCACTCGATACCGAACGATACCTACCGTCGGGGTACCTCCGTTCATACTGACTACAAGTCTACCTCAAAACGCCCACAGATCATTGATGGCTTGTCAGTCGTGTGAACCTGATAACCCAAAAAGACCCAACATATAACCGAGTCGCACCAGGTTGCTGATTGTCCGTGATGACGTCAAGCGGGGTTGGATCTGGACGAACTTCCTCCAACTTCCGTCATTCTCGCTCTTCACTTATTCAGTCTCTCTTGATCGCTACCTAGCACTTCTTCTCACCTCTCTCAATCTATAAGATCAATCGATTGTCTAATTGGCGAACATGTCCGGCATCAGCAAGGCATGCTGCTCGTTCGTCCTTTTCTCCCTCCCGGTCACGTAGCACTGCTAACGAGCGACCAGGATTCCGCCCGTCGTGGCTAAGGGATACCAGGCCAAGGGAAGCTATCAGACAATTAACGGCCTGAAGACCTGTAGGTGTGCAGATTGGACCGAGTTTCCTCGGTCGCATGACTTCGAGTTCACATAGGACGCGAAGTGACTGACCCTTCCAACAGACGTTACAGGCCCTGAGTCGGCAACTAAGGCCATCTTGGTCATCTACGGTAAGTCATAGCTCTTTGAAGTGATGCAAGTATGTGACTTGTGGGACCATACTTACGTACCCGTTCTTGCACCAGATATCTTCGGCTTCTTCGACCAGACCATCCAGGGTGCCGACATCTTGGCCACCTCGAACGAGCAGAAGTACCGGGTATTCATGCCCGACTTCTTTGAGGGTAGCCCTGCCGACATCTCGTGGTACCCACCTACCACCGACGAGCACAAGCAGAAGTTGGGCAACTTCTTCTCGACTCAGGCCGCCCCGCCCAAGACTCTCTCCAAGATCCCCAATGTCGTGGCCGAGGCCAACAAGCAGGCTCCCGGCGGTAGCTTCCAGTGGTCCATCCTAGGCTTCTGTTGGGGTGGAAAGATCGCCGCTCTGTCCGCCGGTGCTGATAACAAGCTCTTCAAGGTTGCTGCGCAGGCCCACCCGGCCATGGTCGACCCCAATGACGCCAAAACCATCAACGTGCCTTTCTTGATGCTTGCCTCTGGGGACGAGCCTAAAAACGATGTGGAAGCCTTTAAGGCCAACCTGCAGGTGCCCAACCACGTTGAAACCTTCCCGACCCAGATCCACGGCTGGATGGCGGCTCGGTCGAACCTGGAGGATGCCGATGTCAAAAAGGAATACGAGCGTGGCTACAAGACTGTTCTTGAGTTCTTCCATCAGCACGCGTAGAATATAGCTTCTATGAATTGCCGCAAACGATGACGGAACACGAATCATGAATTATCTGCCCAATGGAGCCTTTTGCCAGTGCTGCAATCGTAAAGTGGCCCCGAGCATCGGAGAAAAAAATGTGTAGAGTATCAGACTAAAGTAGATGAGGTAGGTCAATCGTCAAGATAGTCGTCCAAACAGAAGCCGATTCATCCGTTTTACCCAAGGCCAAATCGGGTGAAACTCGGCTCCCCGCTTCTGTTGCCGCTTGAGTTCCGCTGCGACCCGAGATCAGCACTTCAAGCTTCTGGGTCTACCTTATCTCAAGCTCTTGTCTCGGTGAGCTGTTGCATTACTTCTACTTGAAAGACACCGGCACATGCGATTCAGCGCTGGCATGGTTGATCTGGGTTAACATGTCATTCATCTTTGGCCGTCGACGTTCCCAGTCTGACGTGAATGATCACGACAAGAGAGCAAGGCCAACACTTGCACGTCACTCTTCATTAGGACCCCACCAAGATGAAGAAACAGGAATTCTCCACACACTCTTTCGAAAACGAAACGAGAGCACATCTTCAGATCCTCCCAAGCTCGTGAAGAGCTCGGTAAGGCTGCAACTACGTCATGAGAGGCTACATCTAATTGATCATTTAGAGTCAGAAGGGTGTCCCAAGGATTGACACACATGAGGTGGCTAGATCCAAGAAGAGTCGCGACTCACCTCGGTCTTCTCGACAAGATCTCTCGTGCAGTACAGCGGGTAGCCCCGAGCTTCCCGCTGATGTGGCCCATGGGGGAGCCAAAGCAGCCGACAAATATCCAGGATGCTTTGGAATATCAATTAAATGCGGCTTGCGGCTCCCAAGGTGACCTCAGTGATGCAAGCGCCTGTCAAAAAGATGGATACTGCTTTAGCAAGAGAGATGTCAAGGCCCTCTTATCAGGAGCACCCCATTTCCTCTTAGAGAGAGGCAAACACGGTCGCTGGTATCCGCAAGTGATTTTCCCCTGGGACGAACATAGTCCATCGATTCAGCGCATGCTGGATCGTAAGCCTCTTTCACACGCATCATTCACGCTCTGCACTCTTCATGCCCATCTGCCAGTCCCGGATGACTGGGCAGTAAAGGGCGGAGTCCCAATTCAAATAAAAGATTGGCATCGATCAGGGGCTTTCAAACGGGCTGCTTTCGATGTAGGCGTGTTCGAAGTGCCAAACATGCTCGCGAACAATGGGCGAGAGCCTGGAACTGTCGGCTTCCGACATTTCTTGGAGTTTCCATTGGCCGATGCAGTCCGATATACCGGTCCTCAAGAGGCGAGGCAGGCACCGAATTTGCAGCGAGTCACGACACTCCCAGCCACAGAGGCGTTCGAACTGATGGATTCGTACAACAAGCCGTATTCTCAATGCCTCAGCGGCGCCGTCTTCGATCGACGTCAACTCATTCGGGACGGGCCTACGGGGTGGAAACGCATCGGGGTACGGGATATTAATCTTCAAATTTTGACCAAGCGATTGAATCAGCTGCGGCAGTTGCGCTTGAATGTACTGCATGATGGTTCGACGGTCACGATTCTGGATGTTGAAACTCCCCGTGAGATGCATGATCTTCTCCACACACATTTCCTCCATCCTCGCCCACCTCCAGCCGATCTCGTATTGGGTCATCCGCAGAGCATCAAGTCTCAAATTAAGACTTTGGCCACTGTGCTAGCCACTCCGGGGGCTTGGATCGATTTCAGCCTGCCGGAATGGCGTTTTCGAATAGGTCAAATTCTATACGAGACTCCGCCACATGGGGACGGGGACTGTGTCAAATTTGGTCCCGCGGTGTCTAGAGAGCCGTGGATCAACTCGGGGATGGAACGCAAGTGGTTGCTGGTTCAACTGCTCCTGGCGGCAGAGCTGCTGTTCCGACTTGATGCCTTTGTTCATGTCGGCATGCTGCATGATCCCCACGACGGCGTCATCACGGCGCCAGAACTTCAGCACTTCGACAAATTGCGTGAGGGCAAAGTCAACTGGGATTTGATTGTTGTGCGTCGGTTCCTTGACAACCTCGAGATCACTTGCGCCTCTCCTTCCGATGCGCCGTCTGCCCTCAATCATCAGTTTGTAACCCCGATTGATAAGGTGCCTACCAAAAGCCGACGTTTCGCTCTGCTCGACTCCATCAGTCGCCGTATCGCATCTACTGGCGGGCCTGATATTCATTCCGCCTGGCAATGTCGGATCAGCTCCCCTCACGTTCGACAGCAACTGGAAGGCCTCTACGTCTTCGCCGAGAACATCGGATGGCCAAGCGTGGATGCTGTACGATCTACGTTTGAACAGAAAATGAAAGATGGAAAAGATCCACTCCTTCCAAATGAGTGTCTGCGCAATTTGGAGAATCACTCCGCTATCAAGGCGACGGTACTGGACAAGGAGAAAATGTATACACGCAGCCAGTCACGTCGATGTGTTGAGCTCCACAGTTCGTGTCGTGAAGACAATGACCCTCATGCAGACGAGCCTCTAGGCTGGGTTTCTCGAAGCTTACTCTCAGGATTGGTCATTCCGGGCGAACCAATTTGCCATCTACTTATCGGTACTCTGCTGGAAAACGATGACAATGCAATTGAGCAACTGGGGCCCAAGGCAAACCTGTTCGGTGGCTTCTCATATAAAGGACGCAGCTACTGGAGCAAAGCTTCGATCGTTGGCCGTGTACTATCCAGCCTAGAGGGCGCCAAGACTTGTATGGGCTGGGTGGGCAGCGACGTGCTTCCACGCGATGCGACTACGAATGAGAGCTTGGAACCTGGTTGGTTCGAGGTTCAGGCCAGCGAGGCTCTATGCAAGACTGGCAAACCTCGCATCAAGCAAGCCGGGAAACTAGCCATGGAGTCGTCGCCTCTGGGCATGGGCGACATCACTGCCGAGTCATTTACACTCCCTACCGACCAAGCCGCCGAGTCCACGCTCGGTGTCCAGCTTGATGCCCTCACCTTGTCAGTAACTTCTTCCGGGAAGCGGAAGATTACTGTCAGTGACCAGGCCAAGCTTTCGTTCTCCCTTGACGGATCTGTAGAAGTTCCCACTACGGTTTCCTTCCCTCTCACACATCACGTGCGCTTCATTTCGGCCCACGAATGTCGTCCACCGCTCGGTTTCACTGCGCATCACCAAATTGGCTCGTCGGAGGAGCCAACAGCCAAAGACTGGGGGAAGCACAAGCGTCTACCAGGGCATCCGTTGCACCGATCTTTCCCGTATCGGCATATCTCGCTGGAATCCCTGCCACGCCAGCCAGCCCCGCAGACGGATTCGCCTTCTGGACAAAGCCCCGAAGTACTCGTGATTGATGCTCGCGGCAGTCGAAGCAAAGAGACCTTCGCGCGGGCCTGGTGCGCGTCCATTGGCTGCCACGCGGTGATCGGCCGAGTGGGGAGGGCGTGCGTCGCGTGCTGTGTCAGGGAGGCGAGGGCCTTGGATGTTCAGGTAGTGGTGAGAGTGGGTGAGAGCGCAGTTCATGTCTTGGGACAGGTGAGATGATCGTCTGAATTCCCCCGCCCGATGTACATCAATTCGGTGGCGAAACGGGGGTCATGGAGGGGAAGCTGGATGTGCAGGCGACTGCGGGAATTTTCCACACTGTACAGAGCCATGTCTCCATGATGTAGAACGCGCATTTTCCGTTCGCCACATGGAGCCCTTGAGTATCTTGCGCAACGAGTAGATCACTTCCGGGCACAACTGGCCAAAGGTGAACTTTCGGCGATATACCGGCATTCACAAAATCACACGGGCCCTAGCCCCCTTTTCAGCCAACCCGTTTTTCTTCCTCCCCTTTCCGAGATTCCCTTTCCGAGATTCCCTTGGGGAATCGAGGCCAACGTCAGTAGCGAGCTAGAAAACTCCAGAAAATACCACCTTCCTTTTTTTTCCAGGGGAGGGAGTCCCAGAGAGGAAGTTTTCGGTCTTGGGAGGACGCGTAAGTGCAGGTAGCAAGTCAAAAGAGGGAGACCCATTACAAGCAGCCGAGCAATGCCGTAAGGGGTCAAGGGCCCGAGAATGGTGAAACCACCGGGTCTTCATCCAAAAGTGCTGTGTGAGCCAGTGATGTCCCTACATACCCACTCCACGCGAGAATGCATCTCTTGAGTGTAAAAGAAAATAAAAATAAAAATGAAAATAAAAACTGGATTGAACAAGATAATCGTTAATTTTTATTTTTATTTTTTCTAGAACAAGAGCAGACTGGATCCCTCGAGATCGGGCCCGCGATATGATAACGTGTAGATCTCGGACACGAGTTGGATTCTTGCACATTGCTCCACCTCGGGAATGAGAGCGCAGAACCACGACTGGGGCTCAGCTCAAACATTCCTGAGAGATTGCATCGTGGTGGACCCCAACGGACGAGGTACAATGCGCAATGAATCCAATCAGGCGATCCACTGAGTAACACCGACTCTATCCCCAAGAAGTCGAATCATTTGCCAAATTGGCCTTGCCGAAAGAGTTTCGATCCCCGAATGGATGCGCAGGTGGTTAAATCAGGCTCGAGACTACGGTCTAGGGAGGACTCCGTACACCTGCAGCACCTGAGGCCGGCAGTTGGTTTTGGCAGATGGAAATATGGCTGGCCACTAAGCCCGGCTCGGTTTAGCGAGGCGGTCCAAGAGCGAGTCATTGCAGAAGGAAAAGAACAAGAGAGACAGTACGGAGAACTCCGTACTTGACATAGTGCCAGAAGTCGCTAGATATTGACCTCGGGGCGAGGTTTTGCCGGAGTGCCGGCTGCCCTACAGTGTTGAAACTAGAGGCTAGAATGCTTCTCGAATGTCTCAGATTATAGGCGCGACATCTTTTTTTTTTTGGGGTTTGGACATCAGAGATCTGAGTCAGCCCTAGACCCTTTGTTTCGCAAGTCCTCGTTTCAGATCGGCGCAACGTTGAGACCGGGGGGGGGGGGCATCCCGGGCCTGAGCCAATTACCCAACCGAGGCCGAGGAAATTCAATGTACTGTACGAACATGCGGTCGGAGAAGCCTTCTAGGATCCCGCGTATATTGTATACCCTGGCCCTGGCGTCCTGCTGGAGGGGGAAACATGGATTCCAGTCTGGGGGCCACTGCCAGATCTATCGCGTGCTTGACCAGCCGCCGCGTCAACACATGCGCCTTGTAAATGCACCCCGACCTCTTCGGATATCCCAGACCCAATCATGACCTGCCTCCGGGTCTTCCCAAAGCTGCTTCGTCGATCTTCGCTCAGAGCGTGCTCGGCGGGGCCAGAGCTGAATCTCTCATCTCTCATCGTTGCCCAAAAGGCGGTCGCGCCACGCCGAGAACGAGCGAAGTTCCGAGGATGCCAGAACAAAGGGAAATGGGAGATGAGAAATAAGACATGCGCCCGAAGTACTCACAGACGATGCGCCCGGCGTCCTTCTGGTGGAAGAAACGCACACCGCATCCAGAAATGCGATCCAGGGCCGCGCCTTGACACGTTGCTTGCCTCTCGGGGCCGGTAGAATGTCCGAAATGACCACTGATGATGGTCATTGATGTTCACTATCCTCACCTCTCCTTTCCCCTTTTTCTTTTTTCCCCCTTGCCTTTGACAGGAAAGCATCGTGAAAGGTGGGAACCCCCCCCATTCGCTTTATCGCAGATCGCGCCCCATCCTCATCTCGACCCTCTCTCAAGATGCTGTCGAATCTTCCTTTCTGCTCCGCATGGGTCCGTGATGGAAGCTCGCTTCTGGATTCGAAGGAGATCGCACGTTCCGACGGGTGCCAAGGCTACGGCTGTAACGCGCTACCGCATCGCGATGATCCTTAATCAAACCTTGACGGCGTAGGCCCACTTGGTGCTAGTCTGTCTCAGAAAACGGCAAGATCGCTCAGCATCATCCCACGAGCCCGTTGGTGGCTAATGTCGAAGCCATCGGACCGTTGTCCATCTCGGGCGTAGTTGTGCATTCCTTCTCCGATCTACTGCCCTAGCGACAAGGGTAACGATGTCACTGTCGCTCGGTATACTCCGTTGACTCTAGAAGGCGTCAATCCTCTCGGACTTGGCGAAGCCGCAGCTCGATCAGATCCAAGGGTACTGAGGACAGGTGTCGATGTAATGAGGATGGTCCTCATTGACCAGGTTGCCGGAAATTCCTTCAACCAAGGTACCCGAGCCCGAGCAGGACTGGGCTCCGTCAAATTGTATAAGCTAAAACTGGATCGGTGACTAAAGTGCCCCCGACAACCCTCATTGGTCACTCGGCAATTACTGGGATCATGGAAGCCCGTTGGGTTTGACCCTGCAAAAGCTGGAGAGGAAAAATCCCTGGGACCCAAAAGTTGAACTCGAAAGTGAGACGATGACATCGACGGAACCCGCTAAGTAAATTAAGCTACGCCCAAGATTCGAGAGAAGACTCATCGAAGGTGGTCAAATGAAAAAAAGAAAAAAGAAAAGAGAAAAAGAAAAAGAAGAGGGAAGAAAATTGAAGAAAAAAAAAGGGGGGGAGGGTGGAATAGATAATTCGAAAAAGGAAAAAGAGAGACAAAAGGAAAAGAAAACAGCGCAAGACCCATTGCGTGCTTCTTCGGTATGAGCCTGATACACATCAGCCGTGGACCCTGAATCTGTTTTTAGTACCAATCAATCTGTGGTTCGTTCCTGATTGCAGTAGTACTATTCGTGGCCAAAAAAAAAAATTTTAAAATTAAAATTACATCTCTCTTTCCTCGGATTGATTGGATGTATGCAGTATCTCAGAGGCAATGTCAGAGGCAATCTAAAATGCAATGCGGCACTTTCCTTCGAAAAAGTCCCTCAGAGTTCTGGAGATCTTCGGAACGACCAGAGAGAAGACGATTTGGAGCCCTGGACCCTAGAGAAGAACAAGCTAATTGGTTCGAGCTGCCGAGTCAAGCCTGCGTCGCCAATCATCAATCTAGGACTTGAAGGCAGCATTCCCCAGTTCATCAGGGATTGACAGGTTAGCCCACCTGGCTCCAAGCCCGAAGCGTACACGCGCGACCAACTTCCCACCCACACAGACCCCACTGTGTCAGGGCTCCCAGACCATGGTTCCTCCCTCTACCTCATTTGCCATGGACCGGCCCTGGGGAGGGCTCTATCGTACGCAATCAGGGGCTATGGGTTTACCTAATCGGGTTGCATGGCCAAGGGAATGCGAAGTACTGGCACCAGTGTTTAAATCTGGAACCTGGGTACATCATCTACCTGAGAAGAATCATGTAATCAGAATTCAATCAAACCCCAAAATCGAATTCGATTGACAGACATTGAGACGTATCAAGAGTACATGCCCAATGGACTGGAAGTAGACAAAGTGTGAAGCAAGTTCGCCCCGGGGCCCCTCCCCTGAGTTGGGTCTGAGATCATCGTTGTGGTCCATGACAATGACCTGCAGTCGATTTGGGCTAAGTCGATGCATCCGTCTTGGTCCTAGTGTCGGTCTGATGTAGGGCCACTTTGTTCCACGTATGAATATACACTGAAAACTAAAATAAAAATAAATCGAAATAAAATCAGAGAGAAAAAAAAAAAAAGAGAAAAAAAAAAACAAAACCTGGCCCAAGGCGTTTCACCCCGCGATTAGCTTCCAGTCCTTCTTCGTGTCTATAGGAAGTCCTCGATCTTTCTTCTCTCTCAAGTTTTACCCAATCCACCCTATTCACTCCTTTGGTTTCTCGTTTCTCTGCCCTTTCGCCCCGACTAATATTCTCCCACTGTGGCTGTTTGACCGGTCCCTTTTCCCGATCTCATACTGGATCAACCAAACCAATCTAGACCCTAAAACCATCCATCCTACGTCGCGCGCCCACTTCCCCTTTCATGAAGCATTCTAATTACTTTAATTATCATTGATTAATTCCCCAATTACTGGATACGGTTCGGGTTTCGCGGGAGACCCAAAACTGAATTCCAATCTATCGTCTGTTCATTTTCCCCTCGCCGCGCACTTCCTCCTGGGCCGATACACGAGGGCCCCTCCCCCGACCTGCAACTACTTCGCTCTGAAACGCACGAAACATCCTTCACGATCCCGTGGTGGCGCAGGGTGGAACCGGAGTGCTCAGACAGGCACCGCTGTCATCATCATCCGGAAATCGCGACCCCTCCTTGACTTTCTTTCTGTCTTGTTACTTTCTTTGGTGTCTCCGGTGGCTGCATGGCCTGGCATCTTGCTACTTTGCATTCGCCCCGGACTACGATACGAGACGGTTTGGACCCGAGCCCGAGGGTCTAGAAGGCCGCGCCGCTGCAACGCCGTGGATGCGATTCGGGTTCGAGTAGTGATAAGAGATATCTTCCTTAGGGGAGCTATGCCCGTGGCCGTCGAGACTATGGCAACAACACCGAATTCACAGAGTGCCATGGACGCCGCAAACGACAAGAAGCGTAATAAGTTGGGTTATCATCGGACGTCAGTCGCATGTGGTCAGTCATCCCCCAATTTCGCTGGCTGTCTGCTTGTTGTGCCGCCTTGCTATCTTGCGCATTGTCGCGTATACGCGCAAGATCAAGAACAAGACATGATGCGCGCGATCAGTTATGTGATGCTACGGAGGGACTTCTTTTGCTGATACACCTTGGGCACAGTGCACTGCCGGCGACGCAAGATCCGATGCTTAGTAGCGCCAGACGACCCGCAGGGACGGTGTGAAAACTGTATTCGATTACGAAAAGACTGTCAATTTTTCCCAGTTGATCAACAACCGCCAGTGGAGAAGAAGTCACGGCCCAGTTCAAGATTAGAGACAGCGTCTGGGGGCTCAGCGACAACTCCAATTTCCTCGTCGCCCACCAATTTGACCGCGGAATCGGTCGATACGTTCTACCAATATCCGCAGGTTGCTATGAATTCATCAGGGCAGGATATGGCGACATTTCCGCCAGGCGCGTTCGCTGGAAATCCCCTGTCGGGCTTTGTACCAGGTAGGTTGATGGATCAGAGGCGGAACCCGCGTGAGGTTCAATCACTGACAAATGAATCACAAATAGACCAACCCATGGGACCAGGGGAATTCACTGAGACATCCGATGGAAGCAGGGGTCTGGGATGAATTTACAACGATATCTGACCCTCAAATGCTCGCCACTATGAATGCAAACAAGAACCAGATGATGAATCTATCCCCCAATGTGTGGCCGGCTGGATTGCCGCCCAATTCGCCCATGTCAGCAGCTTCACCGATGGCAGGTCAGGCACAGCCGATGAATCCCGGCACAACTTACGCGATGCAGCCCGATGGAACGGTCTGGCAAGTCCCACCTCAGCCGTCAAGGGCAATGAGCTACCCCGGTCAAGACATGGGCTCTTCCTTTCCGCAACAATTTCAACCTCAGATGGCCCCCGACCTCAAGCGGAGGATGACCACTCCCGCGCAAACGGTCGCTTCGCAGGGCGCATCAGGACCAACGCCTGACATGCAGCTGCCCCCGGGCTCTTACCCAGCACAAGCAGGGATGGGATTTCCACAGTGGGCTAACATGAACGCCGTGCCTGGCATGACGGTGATGCAGTACCCTATGTACGGGGACGTCCAGCAACAACCATTCACCAACCCTCCTCCGATGGGGCATCCCGGCGGACCAGGACGATCGGGTCCCTGAACTCCCCTACCCTTCATCATCGGGCACTTTCATAACACCTCATTTTCTCTAAGGACCCGGACCTTAGGCACGTTATACCACACATTTCAAGGTTTTCCTAGACGGCTTGTTTCACTTCTAATACCCCGTGGGAGATACACATTTTTTTTGGGATTTTTACATCTGCACTTGTTTCCTTGTTTATATTCGCCTTATCCTCATACACCGTGGCGGGTCTGCTATTGCAGCTGGTCATTAGCGGGCGCAAGGGTTTCGGGGTGGCATTTTCTGATTCGTTCCATCATGGCATGGCCCACAGCCTTATTTTTCACTTGTGGTCCATAGGCATTGTCTTGTTTTGCATTGGAGGACCTCTGATTTATTCCTATTCCCCCTTTTTGTCTTTCTCCATTTGGAAGATATGATTTGGTGGTGTTTCCTGGGGTCAGGAAGACAACCTTGGCTTAGCTTTGGAGAATTTTGTTTTTGGGCTCCTATAGACTTTCCTTTTTTTTTTTTCCCCTCGTCTCCCTCAAAGTTTTTGCTTTGTCCATGTTCTTTTCTTGTCTCCTCATTACGTCTTATGCCTTTGTTTCCTTCTCCAAGACGGATACTGAATTATCCTGTATACTCCGGGCGCATGGATTGCTTGGCCTTGTTCAGTCTATCTTTTGACTGGGGGGTACATCAGGGGAAGGTCGGTGATTGGACAAAAGTGATTAGAACCATAATGACGCGCGACTAAAGAGTTCTCGATAAGCGAGGGTGAGATGACGCCGAGACCACCACTGGTCACCTCCTGAGACTTAAGCGCTAGAACTTGACGACCAGGTGTCACGCACCTCCACTGAATTTATATGTTCCGGTTCTATAAGGATTGCATCCGCTATGAATATTATAATCTACCTACGGAGCTGGATTTGTATTCTCCTTCATCTTGATTTCAACACTCTTTGCCACAGGCGTACTCAGATGTGAATTCTCGAGTACTGCATTGAATGTTCCGCTCAGGGTTACTGATGACAACCTGACTGACGACGTTTTTGTGCCCTTGTTTTTTTATACCCTCAACCGGAGGTATATTTCCGCTGGAAGAGGGGAAGGAAGTGAAATGACTCATCGCATTTTGTTTCATTGGCTACCTAGTTCTCAAAATATGGCCTGGTTTATTTTGTCTGAGCATCCGATCAGAAAATTACTCTATCTCTCCTCCGTCACGAATCTACTTATCTCTAAGAGTTCCTCATCGATAAAGTTTATCCCGAGAGTACAGATGCCAGGGACGTTGATCGAGATAAGATAGATTTCAGGCGTCACTCTGGAGGCCAGTATTGGCTCCGATCTTCGTTCACAGGCGCATTGTCCAGGGGTATTGCCGTGCATCATGACTCCGGCATCGGTGTCCCGCTTCAAATTTGGAACTATTACTGCAACTCGACCTAGTGACGTGTTGCAGCGCCATTCTCGTTCTTCAAATGCACTAGACAGTCGGTGCCCAAATTAAGAAATCTACTCGGGCTGGCTCGGGGCTCAGCAGCCTCAAGTATCCTTTCTCTCCATGGCCACCTCAAACATAGCCGAGGGCTTGCCGGATCAATAGCAAGTCCCATTTTACACCGTCTGTATAGGACGGACCGAACCTTGCTTATCCTGCAAGGAGTCTGTGTCGGATGTGACCCCATGATAGTCGCTGCGACTGATTGTCCGGATAATATCTGGCAGGTCCGACGCAGCTCCGAGGAGATGATAGTCTCATGGCCCTCAAATCTGACGATGGCGTCAGTGCTCCGGGTGCCTCGAGTCCAATCAACTTCCCATATCTCGGCATATCTCACAGTGTCGGTGAGCATGGGAGATTACCAGTCCGACTCTGACTGAGAGAGTAGACACATCGAAACCCGATTTATCAGTCGTATTCCCGTCACAGAAGTGATGAGCAGTTGACCCTTTGATGATAAGAGGGTTTCACACAAATGGCAAGATGTTATTCGACGCCACATCTTGGGGATCAACCGTCGGACCGTCGGAGAGATTCTGGGGTGAAAATCTGGAGATAGCAGACCCAGTTCGTTGGGCCAGAAGACCAAGGTAGCGGTGTAGTTCAGCAAATAGGTTCCATCGGACTCCAGTCAGACACCATTGGAAGACCCATTCGCCTCCAGGGCATTGATAACGAGTTTTCTTTGGGGGTATATGTGTAGGGATGATCATCCATTTTTGCGCCTCACTGTTTTTCAGGGGTTCTTATCTCGTTTCGAGCCCCCCCTGGAAAACCCGGAGATATGCAAAAGTATCCCTGTTGGCCATGCTCGTATCGCCCAGGCAGGCACACAGGCGGTCGGTAGCGTCACGCCTTATCGAGACCTTTTCGAGTGATAAACCCACACTCCAGCGCCTGTCGTTAAAGATATATAGACCTCGTTTCTCGCATTCCCTGGACCAGAGGTTTCTCTTTGAGAGCACGGGGACAGGGCCCGGGTATCACCCCTCCAGACTTCCCTCTTATGAACGTGTCCATCCGGTCTCTTTCTGAGAGCGCTGGACCTAGTCCAGGATCTTCATTGCAAAGAGGGCACAGAGGCACCTGAGCTGATCTAACATTCAGGAAGTGGTGCACAAAAGGTAATTTTACATATGCGCCGCGTCGGTTTCTTATTCCCCCCAGCTTGGTAATTTCGGCCTCGACACTCAGATGAGGGTTGTCCACATATTGACCCCGGCCCCGAAGCGAGATCGGATTTCAACCTAAGCGCAGGTGCCGGGAAGAAAAATCACCAGGGAAAAACCACATCGACCTCCTCCTTTCTCAAAGGGCCAGAAAGTCCCCCTGTCGCTCTTACTCCCATATGCCTCTCTCGGGGCGAGACCAGAGAGAGCAAAAGTACCGCCACCTCCATGACCCCGGTCGGATTTCCATATCTTACTACGCCGTGCGCCATGGCCCACTTTGGACATCCCGAACTAACTCGACCATGGGGAATTATAGCCCAGCTGCAGATGGAAGCCGGGTTACGTCAGGACGTATCCCATCCCAATCTGCTAGAGGGCCGATCCCCGTTGCCTCCATGTTTGCCACTCTCACGCGACAGGAACAAAGGGCAAATCTTTACGGAGATGAGAAGTGACATCAGATGGTGAGACGCCATGGGGAAAAGTCCAAGATTAGACTCTCCACCGCCCTATCCGCACATCCACCACGACCGTCATAGTCCCTCCACTTTGTGTTGAGCCGTGTGAACGAGGGGATCGGCGACGGTTATCAAACATGACCACCACTAATTACCATCTGCTTGGCGGCTTATCATCGCTCTTATCTTGTCATATCTTGGATGCCCCGACCCTCGGTGGAGCTGTGGGGCCACCACGAACGGGCACACGAGTAGATGTCCGATTTGAGATGATGCATCTGCGAGAGACGTGAGAGTGTTTCGCTCTTATCTCCCACTCTGGAGAGGGGGGGATGATCGTGATGTCAAAGCCAGTCGGATAATTTCCAGCGATGAGTGCCGAATGAAGCAAAGCACAGTGGCAAACCTATAGAATCAGGGGAAAGGATAAAAGGCAATCTCTCAGGAGATGACCTGGGCCGGGTTGAGGGTATTCGGGGAACTCTGGGCCTCGAATGAACGACGAAAAATGGATCATGGGAATGGGGGCATGAGAGCAACGAGAGTGGAATTGGACCTTTTCCCCCGCGCGAACGGTTGACCCGTGAAAGGCCCATACCGTCCCATACGCAGTACCGCGCCAATACAGGCCTCGGGTAATCTAGGGTGGCCTCTCGGTGAGTACGGTTTCCTCCAGGGCAGAGGGGTGTTATATCCTCAACCCCGTTTAAGCTTGGTCTATGGTCGAGGGCATCGAGTCTTATCTCGCCGGAGTTCATCCGTGCTGACGCTCTGCTATCTCCGAGCCGTCTCTGTGCTTCCCTCCATTTTTTTCTCTCTCCCTCTCTCCCTCTCTCCCTCTCTCCCTCTCTCCCTCTCTCGCTCACGGAACAAACTACTAATAATTCAGGGCATATACGGGACTTGCGTGAGATCGATCAGCGATGAACCATAGATATCAAAGCCAAATAGAATTAATCCTACTTTTTGATTCCCAAGATTTCCAATGATCAAGTATAAATGGACCGGTTCGGGACTCCACTGCAAGCAACCTTTTCCACCCGACTCCACTCTTACACTTCTGGACACGCTCCGGACCTGACCTAGGTTGTCTTTTCGGCTCCAGACTGACAAGAAAACCACCTAGTCAAAGTACCTGCATGACTGGACGGTCGCGAAGTGATTCTCGGTCTCGGCCCGATACACAGCTGACCCCACGTCCCGGCACTTTCATTCGTCATGAAGCCATCGCGATCTGGAGCAATCAGGGCCGTGCGTGGTCCGCGCCGGGGACTCACGAGGCTGCCCACGAGCACGATTCGTGGAATTATCTTTAGGTCAGAGGTTTTGGCCACGAGAGGGCTTGTCGACTCTCCTCAATCTCGGAAGTGGCGTCTTAGCCGCATGAATCCATGCGTGAAGCTGTAGTGGTCGTTCAGAGAAGCGCCGTAAATCGGGCGATGCCCGGATACATGTAATACCCGTACCCTTTTCAAGGCAAATTGCAATTTAGCAATTTACAGACCTCGTTCACTTGGCACATATCACGTCCCAATTCCTCTCCTTCTCTCTTCTCTCAAACTCTCTCTCTCTCTCTCTCTCTCTCTCTCTTTCTTGCTCTCTCTCTCTCTCTCTCTCTCTCTTCTGGACTCAAAGATCCCTTCACCCTTTTCTACTTGTGACCGCTGGGCTCCAGCTTCTTTTGTTTCCCGTGCACCCTGTGGTGGTTTCTCCCGTCCACATTCTCTCGGGTCGCATTCCCTTTCCCCGTCGCAATCGCATCTCGGGGCATGAGCGTCTGGAGGGTCTCAGCCCCCCCTCCACGACCGTAAGGCTGGTGTAAAAAAAAGTCCAAACCCATAGGACAGGACTGGGTGGTGGCAGACCATCGTGTGTACCCCTACAAAGGCCCCATCTGCACATCCGTATGGAATTGTACTGACGTCGATGCTGACCCCGGTCGTTGGCTGCGCCATTCTACCAGTCGCTTCACCCGCTCGACTTTCTATTTTCCAGGGTCTCGTTTACGGCGGGTACGGGGATATTCTAATTTGGCCTATTCAGTTGAAACCCCCTCCCTCTGTTTCCTTATTTATCCTTGGAAATCCCACCCCTCCACCTTCCTCGATATGGAGGATATCCACCATGGAGGCCATGCGGGAGCCCGACCGCTGGCTTTCGACATTGACATCGATTCCCATATGATGTCCGATGACTTCTCCTTCGGCTCCCCGTTTAGTCCGACCAACTCTGCCGCCCAGGACGGTATGCTCCAGGATCCCATCTTCCCGGAGTGGAAAACCGGTGCTCAGCGCAGTGGCGATAGTCCCGAGGAGTTGCAGAAGCAGGATCCCCTCGCCGCGCAGATTTGGAAGCTCTACACGCGCACCAAATCTCAGCTTCCGAATCAAGAGCGCATGGAGAATCTGACTTGGCGGATGATGGCCATGAACTTGAAACGCAAGGAACGGGAACAGCAGCAGCAGGCCAGGTAGGTGATCTTGCATACATTCCGTTCCTTCTACCCTTCCCGATGGACGGATAGCTCATGTCTTGGCCTGCAGGTCTTCACAAGCCCAGCAAGATACCATCAGTCCCATCCCAAGCGGCAACGTGCAGTTGCATCTGTCCGACCAGGCGTCGAACTCGACCACCATGAACCACGATGCCACTTCCGATCCCATGAACTTGGATGACTTCATCGTCCCCTTTGACTCCCCCACCGATTACTCCTCCCATCCCCATGCCGACCGACACTTCACCGCCACCCCGACCGGTATCCCTATCAAAGCGCGCAAGAATCACCCCATAACTGATTCCACCGTCGCTGCGTCCTTTGGCCATCCCCCGCAGGAGCAGCGCAAGGATAGCGAATTCGGCTACGTGCCACGTCGAGTGCGCAAGACGAGCGTCGATGAGCGTCAGTTCTTCAACGGCCTCGGGGTCCCCGGTCGCAAGCGTCCCGCCGAGGCATCTCCTCAGGTGCCCCCGGTCTCCAACGCCATGCTGTCGCAGCACTCGGAGCTGTCGGCCGCCCTACCAGATTATTCTTTGGACCATCCGTCCTCGGCCTTTGCCATGCCGGGCAACGGCACCGTTGGTCCCCGGCGTCACCAGCATCAGCACTCCGGCGTTCCCTTCGGTCTCGATACGTATGGAGTAGGCGGCGAGGATTCTGGCATCAATTCGGCTGGTCCCTACCAGCAGCACTTCGCCTTCTCACCTTCTGATTCTCCCATGGCGGCCAGCAATCCCTTCTCCAACCTCTACGCCCAAACTCCCATAGCCTCTTCCCTGAACTCTACCGAGTTCTTTTCTCCTCCCCTTCAGGGTATCAGTCGGCCGTTTCGACTCCACAACCCATATATGAGGGCGAACAGTCCATGTTCTTCTCTGATGCGCCCTCGGCGGAGTCGCACTCTCAGCGCCGAATTCCTAACTACATTCAGCACCGCCAGTCGAACTTGTCAGCCTCGCTGCAGCCTCGCCACATGTATAATACCAACGGCGAGTTCCAGTCGAGCAGCGTGAGTGGCCCACCCAGCTCCATGCACTCGTCTGCGTTCTCTCTACCGGGCCCCCAACACGTGGATCCCTCGCAGGTACTTGGTCCCGGCGAATTTTCTACGACAGCGCCCAGCAGCAGCATGTTCACCTTTGGCGGGGACTCTGACAACGAGGACGAGGACGGCAACCAGTTTGATCGCGGTGGGATCGCCATGCCCCATGACTTTGCTTCAATGGAGGACTCTGGGGACATGAACGCGGGTATGACCTGGGATAGCGGCTTTCCCGGGTCTGTTCAGTCACTGCCGGGTTTCAACGGCCAGCATCGCAAGCATGTTACCATCGGCTCGACCGACATGATGGACGGCCCGCCCGAGTGGCACCACGCGGGCAGCCTGGGCCGTGGCCACGGCTCAGCCGCCTCAGTCAGTGATGTACGCAACCGAGAGCTGGATCCTCGTCGGCAGAAAATCGCTCGTACATCCTCCACTCCCAACGCCCCGGGGCTGCTGCGACAACATATGAATGGCACTCTCAGTGGGCCGCCGACCAACCACCCTTCTCCCAACACGCCCCCGGAGTCCGGTCTGAGTAGCGCGGTGCCGTCTCGGCCAGCCAGTCCTGGAGGTTCGAAGAACGGAGATCCCAATGCCGGTCCGACCACATGCACAAACTGCTTCACCCAGACCACTCCCCTCTGGCGACGCAATCCCGAAGGCCAGCCCCTGTGCAATGCATGTGGCCTGTTCCTCAAGCTTCACGGCGTCGTTCGGCCGCTTTCTCTGAAGACCGACGTCATCAAAAAGCGTAACCGCAGCAGTGCCAACAGTCTCGCCGTTGGCACCTCCCGGTCCTCCAAAAAGTCTTCACGCAAAAACTCCGTTGCTCAGGTCGCTCCCATTAGTGCGGCTGTTTCGCGCGCGCCTAGCGGCACCGCCTCCGAATCACCACCTGCGATGACAGGCTCGAGCAAATCTGGCGTGGTCCCCATCGCTGCCGCCCCGCCTAAGACTGGACCCCCAGCGGGGGTTGCTCAGGCTCGAGCTGGTGTGCAGGTAGCACCTCGCCGCCAGCGTCGTCTGGAGCGGGCCCCGCCCGGGTCCGAACCGGACACTGACGAGAGTCCCAAGGCGAGCGCACCTTCTGGTCGCTCTAGTCCCACGTTTCCGAACCATCCTTGTACTTCTCCATCTTCAATCCAGACATCTCCATTCCGGCCCTCTGGTACTCCTTTCGAATATCTTCCCAAGCAATCTCATCCTCAGTCTTCTCATACTCCTCATCATTCTCGTCCGGATCCGTACAAGTACTTCCCGACCCAACATAAATGACAAGCTCAAACTCTACCATCTCACCATACGCCACCTTCGGCCCCTCAAGTGTCGAGCTATGCGGGCCCGGCTTGAACCACCAAGGATCGAGATTGACCGGTTCCAAACCCCCATAGAAGATAGAAGTACTGCCGTGATTCCATTCCCATCGAACCTTATCAATAACAGTATCAAAAAACGTCCCCATTCGAAGTCCGTTCTCGACAAATGTCCGAGACTGTCTCCATCCCCATGTAAATGGATTAGTGGAGTTTTCAAAATGTCCGATATTGCGCATGGGGGGGTTGATGCGTTAGCATACGACGCCAACTTGCTTCGGGACGGAAGTATGCTTCTTTCTTGCTTTCTTTGATCAGGTCCAGGGTTCCGAGGTCGATATATAAGACCTCGACTGGATCGGTCTGGGACAATTTTTTTTGGAAAAAATGAGTGGAATGATTCTGCTAGAAGGGGATTCGAGATTCGTTCTGCGCATTTGTACGGTGTGTCCGATGGGAGGAAAAACAGAGCTTGTTGGAGAGAGGGCGTTTCGTTGATCAAGTCTTTCCACATGCGGCATACTCGTTGCGCGGTCGTCAGGGTGCGTATATCGGTTTGGTTTAGGATGCATGTTACGATTTCAGGCATCCGAAGTGCCTTGGATTCGGATGAATGGTGCATTTGGGACTTTTTGAACATCTGTGATCTGCGATGTGAATGGGGATGTGCACAGTCCGTGGTTTGATGTTCTTGTTAAGGGCCTTTTCTGAGCCGCATGGCGTGGGGGCTGTCTTTTCATCCTGAAGCCATTGCCCCCCGCTTGAGACCAGTGTGCATGTGCTGAGCTGTGTAAACAAAGCCCATGCACTTGGATCATAAAGTCCAGCACCACACGACATCTAGAGTGGTCCAACCGTTGATTACCCCGTGGAGTTTCTGCAGTCTCGTCGTGGATATTACGGGTTTCTCTGACAAATACAATGATGCGCGTTCTTAGGAATAGCCTTTAACAAATCTTTCTGGCAAGAATAAATACAAATACCACCCTGTATGATGCTGGAGGTGCTATGATGACGTGGCTGACCATTTTGAACTAGGCAAAGTGCTTGTCGTTCAAAACACGACCTGTTAGTCCAGTCATTCATCTCAATGCAGGAGATTGGCGTCCATTGATTAGGCATCTGGATGCGCTCAGAATTCATAGTTATATCGTTGTTCCCAATAATTGCGCCTCTTTGAATTTGGACATGACAGTGCTTCAGCGAGCCTCTCGCCATCATGTTATTTTTCTCCAGCACCGGTGTACCGACGGCATCTTGAATTTACAGGAGACTTTCAAGACGTCAAGCAATACAAGACTTTATGCAGGTGGCTATTGTGATTGCGTTGAAAAAGTAACTAGGAATGAAAAGCCGAACCACATTCCCAGCCACCATCAATATCACCCGTGTGTGCACTTCAAAAAATCGCAATGGCCACATGAACTGGGGATGAGATACCGCGGTAGCTACTCGAGAGATTCACTGTGTCCCTCTCGAGGGGAACATCACGAGCAGTCCGACGAACGCATCTGAATATATTAGGCTCTTCTGTGCCTTGATTACCACTCTTGGCACGGGATATTTAATGGCGTGCCTCCACGCGATACCAAGGTAGGTACCGGTTCCCAGGTCTCAACATGACATCACTAGCCGCAAAGGTGGACACTCGAAAACAGCCCAGTTCCAACGGGAAAAAAAAATGAGAGAAGATGATTGATGACCATGCAAATCTCGCTGATCACACACGGCCAAGGCGTTGCAGATCGCCACGCCAAGGCGCGTCGCCCCCGCTTGCCGGACTGTCATTGCTGGGTCGTGGCACCGGAGACTGGTGATTGAAGGGAATGGTGCGAGTATGCGAGATCCATACGGGCCGCGGACATAATTCCCATATGTAGTGCGGCTTATGTGCGGCTCGTGTTTAGGTATTTTGAAAGGAAAACAACGAGAAATAAAAACGAGAACGGGTATACAAAAGCAATCCAATTATGCTGAGTGTATTTCCACTGTTGGGACGTGTGTATAAAAACAACGAGAGAAACGCCATGAATGCTCAAACACTGGATGTCGAACCCATCATAATGCTGGTAAAACACGCTGTTTATGTGAAAGAAGCAGAATGGGAGAATGGAAAACGATATTATTAAGACGTATCACCGGTCAAATACCGCCTTCATGTCTGCACAGGCGTCGCGGTAAAGAATGTCTACGCTGTCCTGGTCTCGGAAGGGATTCGGGGACTTGTCCCAGGCGTGACGGGCCTTTTCGATCATCATGGCTCGTACGCGCTTGCCTAGTCCCTCCAAGCGACGCACGAATGTTTGACCCTCCTTCATCAGCATGTCCCACTCACATATGTACAGCCATACGTCACGCGGCAGGGCCTCGGCCAGGATGGAATCAGAGGCACGAACAGGCGATGCGAAGATCGAGGAGCGATCATTCGGGTCGGGAAGGTACGATTCGTCGAACAGGGAGGTGAAGAATTTAGGCATGGACTTGTTTGGCATGATGCTCATCGCCCGGCGATGATCGCGAGACTCGAGGAAGTCGAGAATGGGGTACCAGCAGAACAACGCCACGATCTTGAGTTCGCTAGTCATATCGACTAGACGTTGCGTCGATTCCGCCCGACCAAAGTTTTCCTTGATCTCGGTCGAGATCCGGCCTTGCAGACGAAGGGGAACCGTGATAGCCAGATTGCCGCCCGCTGAGAACCCGCTCAGCGCCACGCGACTCACATCCAGACCCAGATCAGCGGCATTGCGTGCCAGATATAAAAGTGCCTCGACACCGTCATCGACCGCCGCCCGGAACGGGTGTTCCGGGGCCCGCCGGTAGCTGACACTGCATACGACGGCTCCGACGTGCGCAATCACCGCATTTGCCCAGCGAGAATCGTCGGTAGCGCAACCCAGCGTGAATCCGCCGCCGTGGAAGTTAACTGCGACTGGGTAACGATGGCCCTGCCGTCGCTGCTCATAATAATCGGGAGGACAATAGAAGTGGAGGATCACGGGTGGACCGTGGGGGTCGGATTTGACGGTCCGCGTAAACCGGGGACGGGGACAGCGAGGCGGCGTAATGTCGTGTAGGAACATGCCAATGCGCATCAGGAACCGCCAGACGACGGCCTGGACTTGCAGCCACCATCGGGAGGCCATGGGATCACAGAGATCAACGGTCGCGGTACTTCGGAGTCGGAGTCTTGGGGGTCCTGGGAAAGTCGGCATCCGGGAAACACCGGGAGAGAGGCCAGGCCGTGTCAGATATTAGAGATAAGGCAGAAAAAATCTCGAAAAGAATGTCGCCAAATGGCCAAAAAAGAATGAGTAAGTTCTACACCAGAATCATTCGTCTAGGTTCAGATCAACATGTACGTCAAAAGATTGAGGGGAAAGGATTTTCATACCAAGCATCACTCAGGACAAGGGAACAAGGCCAAGATTTCGCGCAATCCGGTAATCCTTCGGATGATGTCATCCGCGGGCACGAACGCGGTAACTTGACTTGCTTTTGGGGTCCAATGTCTTCTTCCTTTAACAATACAAATTTCCTTTACTGGATCCTGCATCCGGACCCCCTTTTTCTCCAATCTATTTCGATTTGATATAAGTCTTGTTTTCCCTCGTCTTCCGGGATTTTGTGTTTTGTTGACCTCCGAATCCCAACCGGGTCGTAAGCATTGCTCGCCCAGCTGCGGCATCTCACCCCTCCCCCCGCCTCGGTCCCCGCCGTTTATACTCAAAAATCTCTTTCCCCCCTTGTTCCAATCTTTTCCTCCGCCACCATTCATCATGTCTATCAAACGAGCCTTGTCTAAAGCCATCAAAGGCCATGGGGGCGATGATGACTCGTCAGGCTCTAACATTCGATCTGCCTTCTCTCCGAGGATGCGCACCTCCATGTCTCGCGATTCGGGAGCGGTCTCCCACCCGATCCCCCCGCCGCAGCATCTTAGGAAGCTTCTTCCAAAAAGACTACCCCTCTTCCTCCGAGGATATCTCGGACGATTCCTCCAGTGGTGCCCTGAGCAAGAACCAACAAAAGCGACTGGCCCGTCAGCAGCGCCGCAGTGAGCGCAGCCGTCTGAGTGAGGAGCAATTTTCGGAGCCAGATCATCGTCGCAAGTCGGAAGAGATTGCCAAGGCAGTGTCTGAAGAGACTGCCGACATGAAGGCCCGCTATGGCGAGTTGCCTTTGATGCAATCGCAAGATCGACCTCGAGAGGAGCGAACGAAACTTGAGGATATCACCGCCGACATGGTGGGAAAGCAAATTTACTTCACTGCCCGTTTGCACGTGGTGCGCCGGATGAGTGCTAAGCTCGTCTTCCTCGTGTTCCGCCAGCAGCTCTCTACCTTCCAGGGTGTGCTACATGAGCGCCATGGAGTGTCATCCATTGCCATGGTTCAATGGGCAGAGCATCTGCGTGTCGGGTCTTTCCTTCGGATCCGCGGCACTATCCAGAAGCCCGAGGTTCCTGTCCTTGGCTGTAGCATTCACGATGTCGAGCTGGCTATCGACGCCGTGCACCTGCTTGTCCGCCGTGAGGAGCCCGTGCCTTTCAGCGTCTACGAGGCTGAGATCCGCACCAACGAGGAGGACAAGATTGAGGGACGCCGCAGTCATATCCCAGATCGCACGCGCCTATCCAACCGTCTGCTTGATTTGCGCACGGCAACGTCACAGTCCATCTTCCGTCTTCAATCTGCGGCGTGTAACCTCTTCCGTAGCGCTCTCGACGAGCGTGAGTTCATCGAAATTCACACCCCCAAGCTCCAAGGTGCTGCCACCGAGTCTGGTGCCAGCGTCTTCAAGGTCGATTACTTTGGTCGGCCCGCGTTCCTTGCACAATCGCCTCAGCTGGCTAAGCAAATGGCCATCGCCGCCGACTTTAATCGCGTGTATGAGATTGGAGCCGTCTTCCGTGCCGAGAACTCCAACACCCATCGCCACTTGACTGAGTACACCGGTCTCGATCTCGAAATGGCTATTGAAGAGCACTACCACGAGATGCTCGAAACTCTTGATGCAGTGATCAAGAACATTTTGAACGGCATTTACACCAAATATCGCAGGGAGATTGAGATGGTGAAGCACCAGTTCCCCTCTGAGGATGTTGTCTGGTTGGAGAAGACCCCAATCATTCGCTTTACCGATGGTATCAAAATGCTCAACGAGTCGGGCTGGAGAAGCGAGGATGGTGAGCTTCTGCCTTTAGATGAGGACCTTTCCACTCGCGATGAGATCCGCCTCGGCCAGCTGGTTAAGGAGAAGTATGGTGCCGATTACTACGTATTGGACAAGTTCCCCCGTGGTGCCCGTCCTTTCTATACCATGCCTGATCCAGAAGACGACAACTACACTAATTCCTTTGACATGTTTATTCGTGGCCAGGAGATCGTGTCCGGTGGTCAGCGTATCCACGATCCTCACATGCTCGAAGAGAACATGCGCAAGTCAAACATCAACCCTGATGACATGGAGGAGTACCTCGAAGGGTTCCGCTGGGGGTGCTCCGCCTCACGCCGGTGCAGGTGTTGGTCTGGAGCGCCTACTGATGTTGCTCCTTCAGGTGGGCAACATTCGCCTCACCTCTCTCTTCTATCGTGACCCGAAGAGTCTGCCGGCCAAGCCGCCCGTGCAGCAGCTCCGTCACCCAGAAGCATCGACCCTGGATCCAGTCTGGCTGCGTGAGCATCACAGGCGCGTAGCGGAGGATACCAGCGAGCTCCAAGAGCTGGAAAAGTTGATTGCTAATTACGGTGATGCTACATCTACATCCTGGTTCGACGACCGATACAAGATTTGGCGTGATATGACCACTGGCGCTGCGGTTGCCTACGTGCCCAGTTCTCACAACTACGCTATTATTCCAGGTAACCCCGTCTGCGATCCGTCGCAGTACTCGCGCACCATCAACCAATTCTTGCAATGGCTGCGCCGCGAGACTAAGTATAAGCCCGTCTGGATTCTCTGCTCTCCCGAGGTCGAGACAATTCTTGGAGAACGCCTGGGATGGCGCAGCTTGTCTTGTATCGCCGAAGAGCGCGTCGATCCGGCGCGCAACGCGGCTGCATCGGACGGAGAGATTGCCCGTAAGCTGCGCAAGGCTGAGTCGGAGGGTATCAAGATTCATTCATTCTCCATGGGCGAGCTGCCGCCGGAAGAGATTCGCAATAAAATTGATGAGCGTGTCGCCGAATGGTTGGCCAACCGCAAGGGTACGCAAGTGCACCTGTCTGAGATCCGCCCCTGGGTTGACCACGAGCACCGCTGGTACTTCTACGCCCGAGACAAGGAAGGCGTCATCTGCGCCTTCGTTGCCCTTGCCATGCTTTCACCCGCCTACGGCATGCAGGTCAAGTACAGCTTGGATTTCCCTGGCTCCCCCAATGGTGTTATTGAGTACATCGTCACCCAGGCCATCCAGACCGCCGCCCAGGGTGGCGTTACCGGTCTCACATTTGGTGCCGGTGCCACTAGCCAGATGATCCCCGGTCATAACTTGCACGGCACCAAGATCAAGATGCTAGAGCACACCTATGAGGCCCTGGCCAAGCAGTTCCACCTGGTACGGAAGAGTGAGTTCCGTGCCAAGCTTGGTGCCACCGAGGAGCCCCTGTACATCGCCTATCCAACCCACGGCCTGGGCTCCAAGGGCATCCGCGCCGTACTGAACTTCTTCGAAGATTAAACCACCTAATCCTGCTATTTGAAGAGCATTTACGAAAATGGCTACGATTTTATGGGTTCTTATTTATGATTGGTTTTACATGGGTTTTGACTCATATTTATTGCACCCTTCTGAGGTCATCTGTTGCAAGATGCACAGAATAGGACCGGTAAACCGAAGTTGTTGTGTTATTTCTTTTTTTTTTTTGGCTTTGGCTTTGGCGTTAGCATAATTCTGTTTTTTTTTTTTCCTAATTTTTGATTTGATTTTGCACATGCAGTCAGTTCGCGTATTGCTTGTTCAACAGTATTCCCCCTCCTGTACCCCAACACCGCATGTGTCCCTTTTAGATCGTTGCTTAGGTTGGTGATGTTTGTTTTGCTGCCGATCTTGGTATTTACAACAATTGACAGATATTTCTACTCTTATGAATGAAATAGTTTCAAGTTTATCACCTGGTTCCCCCTGATAATTAGCTCTCTCTGAAAATGGGGTTGACCATATTATGCACTTGCGTTGATGTACATGAACCCTAAGAGCCAAAGGAGTAGTCAATAAGCATACAACACGCGTTGAATAAAGCATCAAGCTCACTTCCCCTTTTTCGCTTCCTGTAAAGCTCGCTCCGCTTTCGCATCATTGACTACCCTCCCAAGCTCCTTCGCCACCCACCTAGCAACGACAATGGCAACAACCGACACGACACCAATCCAGCCCGCAGTAGGAAGCAGCGATCGCGGAAAAACATTCCACAAGAACGGGTCCAAAATCAGGTCCACCGTCACTGGCGGCACGTCCCGCATCAACGCCTCGTCCGGGCTGAAATAGTCCGCGGCCGCACGCACTCGCAGAAACAGGACCGAGTCTTTCGTCGGCGCTGGGTCCGGGGATCCCCTTTTGCTCGTCCACGGGATGGCATTCTGCATCTGTGCGTCTAGTGATGCGAGACGGGCGGACGAAAAGATGCTTAAACTGGAGAGAAGCGATGTGTCCTCTATTGTGCTGCCCAGTTCGTGGGTTGTCAGAGTGAAGGTGGTAGGTTGCTTTGCCTGTTAGATGTGATATGCGGTGGTTCAAGTGAGGATTGATACATACAGTCGCTAGCCAGCAAACTCGTACTTCATAGCGTTGGCGTGGGGTGAGGTTCTCAAGAAAAAAACCATGATTCGGTTCCTTCCGGCGCCTTTTCTGACGGGAATGATGCTTGAATTTGTGTGCGTAGAATTGGGTTCTCTGGTGATAGTCGTTCCAGGCCTAGGTCGTCTATGTCTGGTTCTCCAGATGGCACAGTGGCTGCTGTTGGTGCTAGGAAAATTGTTTTTTCCACGTTCGCTTGAATAAGTGTAGCGTATAGAGCCAAGACTGCCCAGATAAAGTGGTACATCTTCTTCTATAATTTTTGGTAGGTTATGATTCACCTTATTGGCAGGTCATGTTGAATTGATAGAGTGATGATGTTAGATGTAGAGTGGGGATATATCCCGGCTGGATTGCTAGAAACGGCGGATTTGGCGGTGAAGGATGGGGTTGGGCACAACCCACGAGAAAAAGGACGATTTTCAATGATACAATGGAATTGTCTTTAGGCCAAAAAAAAAGAGTCGGAGTTGTATCGACGGGGTGAAATTCAAAGCGTAGAGCCAGTTATACTCCAGATCAATTCCACTGTTGATGCTCGTCGTCCGTCACATGACAGGTCACGTTACACGACGCGGCGGTGAAGGAAGTGACTAATCCGCCAATCACGGGCCCTGACGCGACCCAATGAGTGGGATCAACAACGAACTCCCCCCTGCGCAGCACAGACGCCCTCCTCCACAACCTTTTCTTCCTCCTGTTTTCTTCGACTTCCATTCTTCCCATTCTTGGTGCGTATCTGATTACTACCCCTTTGCTCTACCTCTACCCCTCCCCCTTGTCACGTTGTGGTGATCGAATCTTGGATCTGCCGAGTACTGATCCCCCCTGAATCCACAGACCCGTGTTTGTTGTTGGGTCTTTCTTCCCCCTCCTTAATTTTTGATCTTCGACATCAACCACCAACACAATGAGAGAGATTATCTCTTTGAACGGTATGTGCTGTTTGATCCCTGATTATTTTCGATGGAATTGGGTTTTCTCTGAAGAAAATAACGCGCTGACATTTGATCCACTTACAGTCGGCCAGGCCGGGTGCCAGATTGCCAACTCCTGCTGGGAGGTAATATCTCGCCAAGTTGCCATTGTGTATTCGGAACGCAATTGACTGACAGATGTTTTTTTTTTAATAGCTGTACTGTCTGGAGCACGGTATCCAGGTATGTGATTTCAATCTCGCCGTGGCGCCCGACGTCAACTGGGGGGGGGGGACCCTTGCCCCTTTTCCTTAGCCAAATGGTGAGTATTCGCGACTGACACGCTTGATAGCCCGATGGATACCTCACCGATGAGCGCAAAAAGGCCGACCCCGACCACGGATTCAGCACTTTCTTCTCCGAGACCGGTATGTGAATTGCAATTTTTTTTTTGGGAGCGGTGCTCCTTCCCACATCCTCGGCTTGATATTCTAACATTTATTTGTTCCTGCTCTCCATAGGCCAGGGCCGCTACGTTCCCCGTACCATCTACTGCGATCTCGAGCCCAATGTTGTCGATGAGGTCCGCACTGGTACCTACCGCTCCCTCTTCCACCCCGAGCAGATGATCACTGGCAAGGAGGATGCCTCAAACAACTACGCCCGTGGCCACTACACCGTTGGCAAGGAGATGATCGACCAGGTTCTCGACAAGGTCCGCCGTGTTGCCGACTCCTGTGCCGGTCTCCAGGGCTTCCTCGTCTTCCACTCCTTTGGTGGTGGTACCGGTTCCGGTTTCGGTGCTCTCCTGATGGAGCGTCTGTCCGTCGACTACGGCAAGAAGTCCAAGCTTGAGTTCTGTGTCTACCCTGCTCCTCAGAACGCCACCTCCGTCGTTGAGCCCTACAACTCCATCCTGACCACTCACACTACCCTCGAGCACTCCGACTGCTCCTTCATGGTCGACAACGAGGCCATCTACGATATTTGCCGCCGCAACCTCGGCATTGAGCGTCCCAGCTACGAGAACTTGAATCGCCTGATCGCTCAGGTCGTTTCCTCCATCACTGCTTCGCTTCGCTTCGACGGTTCCCTTAACGTCGACCTGAACGAGTTCCAGACTAACCTGGTCCCCTACCCCCGTATCCACTTCCCTCTGGTCGCCTACTCGCCCGTCATCTCCGCTGACAAGGCTTCCCACGAGGCCAACTCTGTCACGGAGATCACCTCCAACTGCTTCGAGCCCAACAACCAGATGGTCAAGTGTGACCCCCGTAACGGCAAGTACATGGCCACTTGTCTGCTCTACCGTGGTGATGTTGTTCCCAAGGACGCCCACGGCGCTGTTGCCACCCTCAAGACCAAGCGCACCATCCAGTTCGTTGACTGGTGCCCTACTGGCTTCAAGCTCGGTATCTGCTACCAGCCCCCCCCAGCAGGTCCCCAACGGCGACCTTGCTCCCCTCAGCCGCGCTGTGTAAGTTCCTCATGCATTGTTGACGTACGAAGTCACTTTACTAACGATCTCCTAGTTGCATGCTGTCTAACACCACCGCAATCGCCGAGGCTTGGTCCGCTCTTGACCACAAGTTCGACCTCATGTACTCCAAGCGTGCCTTCGTCCACTGGTACGTTGGTGAGGGTATGGAGGAGGGTGAGTTCTCCGAGGCTCGTGAGGACTTGGCCGCTCTCGAGCGTGACTACGAGGAGGTTGCCAGTGACTCCATGGAGGATGAGTTGGAGGAGCCTGAGTACTAGATTAGGGAAGCTGTGTGATCGGGTCTGGAGCGTGGGAGATGGTATCCGCAGCATGTTTGAGAGATACACCCCGACGTGGACGGCTCGGATTTTCTGGATTTCCTAAATCTCCCGGACTTGCAAATAGAAGGGAACATAGGTTTCAGTCCGACGATGTTTTCTGGCTTTGTTGTTCGATATATCTTTAATATCCCCGAAGCAGCGATGAGTTTTCTCCCCGCTCGTTCTATCCATTGTCCATAAGAGACGGATTCTACGAGACTTGTAATTACAAAAGCACCAAAAAAAACACTACCCTCTTTTGTTCAATGCCACCTATACTACTTAGGTGCTGGCCTGGTCGTGGGTCAGACCTCGGAAGAATGTATACCAGGGGAACGTGTCCGTGGACGTAGAACGATCGACACGGATGCACCCATTGGTGCTCAATTGATCCCTCACACCAACCAAAAAGTGCTCTATAGTAACCAGTAAACTGCAATGTCAAAGGAAAGCCAATTCGATCATCACTACCCTCCATATAACATAACGTAGCGGATCTCCAGTGAGACCCTTCCGCGGGTGGAATGGACGCTAGAGCCAACTGACCGCCCTGGGGCCAGCTTCCTTACGACATCGGCTCCAGCCACTCTTTACTATTTCCCTTCCCTCCCCCCTCCCTCCCCCCCCATTTACACCTCGTCGCCCGTTGGTTTCGGCTTTACACAGGTGCCGTCTTTTTTCCAAAGCTACGTTTGGACGCCTCAGTCCATGCCCGTGGCTCCCTCCGGCTAACCCACGACTTCCCGTTTACTCCATCTTGATCCCCAGGCCCCAACTATTCAGGCCACCATCGACTGCGGAGAGAGCATCGGCTCTCCATAACCCACAGCCATGGCCGATACGTGTAAGTAAGCCCGATGAACCACATTATCGTGAAAAGGGGAGTGCGAGAGCTGTTCCGGCGCAAGTCAGGAGGCCCGCTGAGCTCCACTTCACGTCCATCCCCTCCCCTTCTTTTGGAATATTGTTCAGACAAGAGCACCGGAACTGACGGAGAAGCTTTCAATGATACAGCACAACGACATCCGAACCTGAATCTCACGCCGGAGGAAAAGCGCGTCTTCTATCAGCTCTTCCAGGCCGCAGACACCACGAACCTCGGCGTCATCACCGGTGAAATTGCAGTTCCGTTTTTCGAGAAGACGAAGCTTCCGTCAGGTACCCTTGGAGAGGTAAGTTATGTATGAAATGGCAAGTAGAATAGCGACTGACTGCGACTGCGGCTCGTCAGATATGGCAGCTTGCGGACAAAGAGAACAGGGGTCTTCTTACCCCGTCCGGCTTTGGCATTGTGCTGCGATTAATTGGACATGCACAAGCCGGACGCCAGCCGTCCGATGAATTGGCTTTGCAGCGTGAGTGATTCAATTCCGGCCCTACATCTGAGGCAGAAAATCACCAGACCAGTATTGATGACATGCTCTGCATTGCAGCTGGCCCTTTGCCTCGATTCGAAGGCGTCTCGGTAGATGTCAACGCTCCTATACCAGAGTCAGGCACAATTAGCCCTCCACCGGGCGCTGGTACTCCCATTCGCGTGCCACCCCTGCAGCCCGATGATGCTCAGAAATTCCTATCTCTGTTCGAGAAATCGGACGTCCAGAACGGAATTCTTTCGGGCGAGACCGCTAAACAGATCTTTGAGCGGGCTAGATTGCCGAATGAGGTGCTTGGTCGGATTTGGTTTCTTTCAGATACCAAGCAGCGCGGAGCTCTGGATGCCACAGAGTTCATCATTGCTATGCATCTTCTGACCTCCTATAAGTCGGGTGCTCTACGCGGCATTCCCCAGACACTGCCACCTGGTCTATATGAAGCTGCAGCCCGCCGAGGCGGTGGTCGGGGATCCTTTGGATCGCGCGCCGATGTCCCTCCTGTACCGGCAATTCCTCGACAGTTCACTGGCCCCCAGCGTACTGCCAGCCCTATGAGCCCCACTAGTCGGGCTCAGTTCGGCGGCCATCTATCAGCCCAGAGTACTGGCGATTGGCTGGTCACGTCCCAGGAGAAGGCGCATTTTGATACCATTTTCGAGACTGTCGACACAGCCAAGGTCGGTGTAATTACAGGTGATCAGGCTGTTGCCTTCTTTATGAAGGCTCAATTGCCCGAAGAGGTTCTCGCGCAAATCTGGGATCTTGCTGATATTGATGCCGACGGCCAATTGACTCGCGAGGAGTTCGCTGTTGCCATGTACCTCGTGCGGATCCAGCGCAGCGGAAAGGAAACTCTGCCGCAGGTGCTTCCTCCGGCGTTGATCCCGCCGAACATGCGTCGCCAGGCTACTGTCCCAGCTGTTGCGCCGGTCCCAGCCCCTCCGCCTCCTGCGCCTCCCGCGCCTGCTCCTGTGCCACGATCTGCCGCGGACGATCTTTTCGGTCTTGACTCGCCTCCGATGGCACCGACCCAGCTGCCTCAGCCCACTGGCGGATCCAACGCTGCATTCCAAGCTCCTGGCTCGCCTGTTTCTAGACTTTCACCGCAGCCGACATCTTCGATTTTCAAGCCCTTCGTGCCTTCATCGTCCTTTGGACAGAGCCTGCAGCCCCAACGGACCGGTGCATCCATGGGTACACCAAACCTCGCTCGCTCCCCCCACCTCCCGCGGACGATCTCTTGGGAGACAATGATCCTGAAGAATCGAGCAAGCTTACGAATGAGAGCACTGAACTCGCAAACTTGTCTAACCAGATTGGCTCTTTGGCTAAGGAGATGGGCAATGTGCAGGAGAAGCGCACGACCGCTGAGCAGGGTATCTCGCAGACCTCGCAGCAGAAGCGTGATTTCGAGGCCCGTCTTGCACAAGCCCGTACCATGTATGAGCAGGAGGTGGCCAACTTCAAGGCACTTGAAGAGCGCCTGAGAACTTCCAAGGCCGAGACTGCGAAGTTGCAGCAGGAGTATGCGTTGATTGAGGGTAGTCGCCAGGATCTGCAGAACCAGTATAACCAAGTTGCAACGGCACTGGCTGCTGATCAGCAAGAGAACGTCAGCCTGAAGGAGAAGCTTCGCCAGGCGAATGCTGAGGTTGCTCAGCTCAAGCCCGCACTCGAGAAGGCGCGCTCCGAAGCTCGTCAGCAGAAGGGTCTTGTTGCTATCAACAAGAAGCAGCTTGCTGCAGTCGAGGGCGAGCGGGACAAGGTTCAGAGCGAGATCGACAGCCTTGCCTATGAGTCTCCTCAGTATACTCAGGAATCTGCGACTCCTGTCAGCGCTGCCGAGGTCACCAGCCCTGCTGCTTCTACGGCCAGCCACAACACAAACCCCTTCTTCCGGCAAAACACGGGCACCCCGAGTGAGCACGCACGCTCCCCCGAGCCTCCTACTGATCAGCAAAAGGCGTTTGACAGCCTGTTCGGCCAGTCTTTCGTAGGTGGAACCCACGGCGCCCCGCCAACTTCGTTCCGTGCCGAATCGCCCGTTACGTCCAATGTCCCAACGCCAACCGTCTCGCCGCCCCCCGGAAACCTCCCTGGTGCTTTCCCTGGCCTGGCGTCTGAGATTCCGCCGCCCAGCCAGTCCCGCCAGCTTACACCGAATTTTCTTCCCTTCAATGAAACCCAGTCCGTGACCTCCTCCACGATGGTCTCACCCCCGGGTAGCAGATTCGGTGGGCCTGAGACCTCTGAGTTTGATGTTCCCTCCCAAGCCAATACCAGTGATGCCGGTGCGCTGTCCGTGAGCGCATCAAGTGAGTATAGCCAAGCTCCAGCGGGAAACTCTTTCGAAAGTACCCCAGTACGATCTCCATTTGAAGAGATTCCAGAGCCCACTCCTGTTGTAGCCGAAAGAGCTGTCTCCCCCACTCACGAGAACCAGGAGACTGCCAAAGACCTTTCATTTGACGAGCTTTTCGGTAGCAAAGCTCACAAGCGGTCGGAATCCCAGAAGGAAAACGACTTCGAAGAAGCATTTGCGACTTTGAAGCAGCCTGGACCTGAACACGCTGTTGCAGCACCCGCTTCGGAATTCCCTCCCATCCAGGAAGTCCATGACAACGAAGAAGAGGAAAGCTCGGATGACGAGGTCCCGCTTGGGTTTGATGATGATTTCACCCAAGTCTCGCCTTCCACTACCAAGAAGGATAAGCAGCCTGAGTCACTCGATGCTGCCCAGCTTGCTGCCTTCCCGACCCCAGGATCGTCTGTGCCCCAGCCACCGGCCCCCGATGCTCAACCAAGCCCTCCCAAGTATGAGGCTGTCACTTCTGGAGAGACTAGCCACGCGGCTCCAGAATTCAGCGGCCTTCTCCCCGAGCGATCAGATCCAACTGTTGCTCCAGATGCTCCCCACGCTGTGGAATCAGGAACTGGAGCCCCAATTATTAATAATGTGCCCCAGTATGATGATGCTTCCATGGCTGCTACTGCTGCAGCATCAAACACTGGATCCAAGAGTGGCCCTGATTTCGAGGCAGCCTTTGCTAGCTTCAACCTTGCGCCTGCGCCGGAGGTGGAGGATGACGATGATGATGAGGAAGAACCCGCGGGTCAAGCTCCCAAGAACGCTCCCGACTTTGACTTCTCCTTCGATTCACCTTCTCAAAAGAACACCGCTTCCTCCAGCATAGATGCTAGTCATGCAGGCTCATCTGAATACTTCTCTTTTGACAACCCCCATGCGCCCACCGCTCAGACCACCGCTTCACCGAAGGGGGCTGACACCAAAGCCGGAGACCATGACTGGGATACCCTTTTCGCACCCCTTCAAGGCGCCAAGCCCGCTACCGGCGAAGAGCCCTCCAATGGATCCGACCCCAAGGCACCTGGATGGGCTCTCGCCACCGACACGGGCGAAGACGACTTGATCCTGCAACGACTCACTGGTATGGGATTCCCTCGCAACGATTCGCTTGCAGCTCTGGAAAAATTCGACTATAACATCGACAAGGTGAGCTCAGTAACCGATGCAATCGCACCAAGTAGTCTAACTCGAGAGTAGGCGGCCGACTACCTGACCAACAAGTCATGAACAACCCGTGATCCACTACACCTTTGCACATAGTATCATCCACACATATATCTGTGATGTATTTCCTTCATGACAGCTTCCCTGCTTACAACACGATGTGATCAGGTGCACTTCATGCTTTGCCCACAATTGTCTCCTGCCAGTTCAGCGCCCTGTACATTCCTTCTTCCCTCTGTCTCTTTGTCATCATGCTGTGCCATTTGACATTTCTGGACTCGTGAACCCCTCGATGTTGCTCGCTTGGGATTCAAGTCTCATATCTTGTCTTTTCTGTCCCAACCCAGTGTAGTGTAGTTTACGATAACCTATAATCGAATTAATTCATGAGCTGTGCCTTTTTCCAAGCACCTTTGTGACTGCTCAATCGCCCGTAGTACGTAATGAATGGATTGCCTATCCAAAACAAGTCACCACATCTCCCAGTGTCTTCGTTCAGGCAAAATCCTCTCTATTTCGGCTGCAATAACTTTTTGTGCTCTCACATGTTATATGCCAACACAATTCAATGCTACCATGGACAATCACTTGGCCGTGAATCCTTCTCATCTGGCCATAAGATCTTAAATTTCGCCGCACCAGAGGAAGTAGGGGTTTCTGAATGTCTCGTTCTCCTTCGATGTCTCAGACATGACTTCTTTCAGAGCTTTGTGCCATTGTTCTCTATTGTTTAGCCATGGTCATACCGTCTGAAAGGCGAGCCATAGTCACGCTGGCCCTGTCTTGAGACAAAAGGATCTTGGAAGAATTCTTTGAAATAATCGTCCGAAAGGACATCTTTGATTATTAAAATGTGAATCTTTTGAGTTGCACCGACTCCGACTCCGGGGTATTAAATACTGGAATGTTTTCCGTCTCAGGCAGAGCATCGTTCATCTGCAATTACACTCAAAAGAACAGCTACAGTCATAGTCAATCAGGTCACCTCTCAATCTAGAGCTGACATAAACACTCTGAACACATACATTTATATGATGCCACGTCAACTATGTGAAGGTAAGTAGGAGACTTCGCGACGAGGTTCTACAAGTGGCTCGCCGCACAAGCCAGGCAGGAATTTCTCCTGCTAGAGAAAAAGAACCAACGCTAGATAATCCCTTGGGGTTGAGAATTCCAGGTCAGTATCGAACTACCGAGATCATCCAAAAATATGGTAGGTGTCAACGAGCCGGAGCACAGATCCCGCGATGGATAGACGATATCAACGAGCCACTCTGCCCAATCGATCCCTGCACATTAACCTTCGGAACATTCATAGAAACGTATCCAGATGCCCATGCAATCCCCCTTCTCCCTGATATCGAGTTCAAAGAGCAGATATGTGCGCTCGGGCTTCCTAATGAATGGGATTATCCAGTTCAAGGATCCATCTATCGACGGTGGGCGTTTGAAGAAAAAGACCAAGGCCTCATTTGGCACGGGTTCACTGGACCAGGCTTCATTTTGATAGAAGAGACCCAGCGAGAAGATAAGACCGCACCACCAACTCCGCATATTGCTCAGGCATTTTATGAAAGGAACTTTGCTCTAACTGGACCCCGTGGGTTAAAGACTATTTTCGCGTCCAATGTAATTGAGAGTGCGAGAAACTTATTCGTTCGAAGTTTCCTGTACACAGCGGAGGCTGGACTGGAATGGAAAGCTGGTGCTTCAGCTGAGCCACAGATCTGGACTTATGGCACCCGTGAATATGATGCATTGCTGGGTACCCGCATTGGTAGGTCGGTTGCTTATATCGTCTTGGGTGCAGTTCCCAGAGGTTCTCGACGGATTGGACGAATTGTAACCTGGTTTCAAGAGTACGGGTCACATGTTCATATGCGGTTCGATATTGAGGAGATTTGGTGATCTTTGCGGACAATGTTCGAACAATGATATGTTTCCTAAGCTCTGCTGAAAATGTGATTTCCTCGGACGTTTTTTTTTTTGTCAAGATCGCCCAGTCTGACGTCGTTCGATTTGAGAAGAGTGGGGAAAATTAAAGAAACATTTCATTTAAGAAAGTTTCATTGCGTATGTACAACCATCCTTTTAGGTAAATGATAGCATCGAGACTGGCAAAGCTACATGGGTAGGTAATCGGGACATCGTTCAAATACAGCATCTATAAATTTGCAAAAAGCTCAGAAAAGCTGCAGGCTGAATATCCAGAATATGGCATCTGGGAGAACGAGCTGAGCAATATGCACGATTGCCGCATCGGCGACATAATATCTTTGAGCCGCTATGCGAAGATAAACGAAGCACGCTAAGGCGAGAAATAGACGCCGCTCAACGGTACATCGTGCACAACACATAGACTCGGCGTTCAGTAAAAGAGGATCAATGGGAAGCGGCTGGTGAGGGGCTGGTGAGGGGCCGATGAGGCCAGGGGATTCTTTCTTGGACGATGGTGAAGATCACTCCGAGAGAGGTATTTTTATTGCCAATCAAACTCCTAGGGAGTAAATTTAGTTAAGTGTCAGTCGCGAAGTTGTGGTTACTCAATCACACTGCTCAATAGCGATAAAGAGTGATTTGCCTCACAAGTCTTCATCGAAAGGCATAATGAATGCATGAGGCACAAGGCTTGACGGTTAAAAGCCATGAGACAGACAATTTGCTACTCAAAGAATTGATGACCCCTATGGAAACTTCAGAAATTTGATAATAGTGCGGATATTTAGGTATTGTTATATTTGAACATATGTACACAGCATGTTGACTAGTGTCACACTTCATAAGACTTCCATATAATACATGTCTAGATCTGACGATCCTTAGTGCTTCGCAGCCTCTGATGAATTAATTAATATGTGATCGTACTGGAATCAGCACATTGACGACTTACCCTTGTTGGCGTCAGCCTTGGTGTTGTGCATGGTCTCGTCCTTCTTGTTGAGAGCGGCGTCTTTGGCTGCGCTTGCGCGAGTGCCGAGGCTTGCGTCGGAGTCCTTGGCAACGTTCTTGTTTGCCTCCTTGGCTCCCTCGTTGGTGGTGCCCTTGACACTCTCGGAGACGTAGTTCGCGGCGTTCTAAGTGTTTCAGTCAGCGAGATGCAGAGCAGGAAGTATCCGTCTGCGAACCTTAGCGGTTTCCATTGTGAATGTTAAAAATGTTGTGAATCAATATGCTTGACAAAATGATTTCGATGAAAGTGCAAAGCTGGGCCCTTCAGTGCTTAATATAGCCAAGTGGCTTCAGGTTTGCCACTTCCAAGACCTCCCCCGAGGTCAGCCAACCTGTTGCCTTGCTCCAGTCTATCCTGTTATCTACAAAGATATCACGTCACATTCATATCGATATTCAAGAATAAGACAGGCTTGAGAACAAGGAACGTGAAACGTGGCGTTTCGCGCTCGTCAGGACACGACTATGGTGACATCAAATCCAACCCTGCGCATTATGGAAACCGGTTTAGAGATAAAGCGCATACATGTGATTCATATAACCATGACCTGCATTTCTTGGATGGAGATCACAGATCGCCTGTGAAAGCTATTGACCTACCCCGGTGTGGGGTACAACCAGACCATAAGATGTAGTCATGCTGAGGTAACACTGAGGTCGACGGGAGCCCCGCCAAAGTGGGACCAAAGTGAGTTGGTTGTATGGTCTCGCCCGACCTGAATTCTTCTGGGCGATCGTTACTTGAATCTTGGTAGGCTCTTCTTATGAGGCCACGTTGCGGAGAGCCTGCTACAGAGGTCTCTCCTTATGAAACTCGTCATGGGACAGTACTGATTTGATACTTGTTCTGAGAAGCTTGTGTTTAGGGAAAGAGGCGAGTGACAGAGCTATGTATTGGATGTTTCTATGAGACCGAGATAATGGGACAAGGGGCCTTGAGGCTTTACGGACCCACGTGAATGACACTGATGAGGAAGCTCAATGCTCAAATAGGCCGAGGTGTGGCGACAGTGACTGTACAATTCAATAGAGTTACAGTCTATGTGATCAAAATTTCCTTGTTAAATGTTTGGAATATAGTAAATATTCACGGGAGACACTTCCAGGTGTCGCTTTTATTCATTGCCCTCAGCGTGTTCTTTGTACTCTTGATTGGCACCGCGGCCAGCACCGCTGATGTCTTCTTTGCCGCCCCGTAGCCACAGGATGCCAAATGCTGGTATGGCTAGACACGCAGCCATGATGAGTCTGAATCGAAGTCTTGAGATCAGTCTCGGAGCTTTTTTGAAAAACTTGACGAGCACAGCATTGATGAACTTACTGTCGCTGGCCGCCGGGCTCTTTCTCCTTTGCCTTGTCACCAACGGTGTAGCCCCTTCGAGTATTATACAGGGGTTTGGAGCACGAGGTCCTCGTCGCTACCGGCCGTAATGGCTGTACTGCTAAAGCACCGACAGAAGATGCTCGGATTGGTAGCTTCATATTCTCCGAAAGTAAAAGGTTCAGGACTTTGCCGATTATTTGGGATGGCGCAGAGGTGTGAGCTCGACAGACGATAATAGAAGTTGATGTTCGTTTCTTCCGAGGTCACCATAAGCAGAGTCAAATTGAAGTACTTCTAGATGGGATATCACTGTTCTGATGGAACATGCAACATAATGAGGTAAGAATGATTTGATGCTTCACCAAGTTCAGGCTTGCGATTGGGTACGGTTTACCTTTCTTTGAACCAATCATGTAGCAAAGGTACCGGCCAAGATCTAGCGTTTAAGACAACTACTGGAAGTTAAGTGGCCAGAAGCGGATGAGTGTAAGCAGTAATGAATAGGCTACAGCAGCATTTTAAAGTTGATACATAATAGTTCTGAAGCTATTCCTGCTGCAGCAGAGCCTATGCTTGCTGACTTGCAGCGGTGACTATAGCATTAGTACCTTTCGCCGGGTTACGTTGTCCAGGCAGCATTTCTCAAATGGAAGTATCATCTAGTGCCATACTAACTCCGGTTGACGAGAAAAGATCCCCCAACCCGAGCTTGAAATGAGACAAGTTCTCATGAGAAGCGGGCCGTATCAAAGCGTCGAACGCGAAGAATGCTCTAATCAAAACGCTACGTATTGCTGCGTAAACGACTAGTTGTCCTTTGAAACCAATTTTCCGGTCATCTTCACAAGATTCTACACAAGATAAACCAAAAATTTACGACATCAAAGGGCCTACATATTATCGACTTATTGTGGTACACTGAAGTCGCGCTAAAGCCTGGCCCATGAGTCCAGAAAGTACTTGCTACGCATGTGTTGACTGAGCCAAGTCACAGATTGACTGCACTGTATGCACTGAAGAATTTGAATTGGATATCCTTCTAGATTTACACTATGCGCGAACGCTATGTTACTCCTTTGAATCCTCAAGAGGCTTTCCACTGTCATCCAGACGCTCGCTATCCTCGTCGATGCCTTTCCACTTGGGAATTCCGTCGTAAATATCCCTCAACCGATGTTCATAGAAGATGTGGCATCTATTCATCACAATTAGACGGACTCCTTCAGAGATAGAAATGATACTCACGATGGTAAGAATGTTGCAATTCGCTCCCGCTGCTCTTCTGGCGAGTGGGAAAAGTCAATCAATTGCGGGAACAATAAACACATGTTGCGGCCTTCATCCATGATCGGTGTCCGACAGAAAGAGCAGGAAACTTTCGTGGGCGTTTGATATCTGGAGTTTTTCTCTCGGGCTGCATAGAACGACAGATTGCTTGTTCCATTATCGAACCGAATATCATCCTTCGGGAAGATGGCTGCCCACTGGAAGGGTGCGCCGTGCATCACTTGGCAATGGCGACAATGACAGAACTTGGCGTTCAGCGGTCGCTCGCGTCTCAACTTGTACGATACCTTGCCACATTGACAATGAGCGCGCCATTTGACCTCGCCGAACTCTTCTAGCGGCTGCTGGGCATATGGCGCGCGATTGCTAGGATCTTCATCCTTGAACGTGTTCTCGGGATGGTTTTCGAGAGACGGCATGCGGTCAGCACTATCGCTAGAGGAGGCCATACTGGTAGTCGTAAAGCGGCAGTGGGACCCTTGAGTAAGATATCGGTTTGTCTTCACGAGGGAAATTGGAAAAGGAGAATATAATGCTCGTCTTCTGATATGAGCGGCGTGCCTCGAGATCATATTTGGGTTGGAATGGTCTTGCGCGGAGTTGCCTTAAACAGCCCTGCTTTTGGGCCTTTTCTAATCGCCGTGAACATTCTTGATGATGCTCTTTTCCCGCCAATAAAACCCCGTCAAGTCTCCTGCCAGCTTGACGATCTGATCATGTCCGATGGGTAGTGTTGATGTCATGAACTTACAGGGTTTTGTTGGACCTATTTCCGTTGTGTGCGCCTTCCACACAGGTACATGATTGCAGTGGTACCACAGGGTTCTCTACCTATTGGCCGGCAAGAGTAACCGACACATCATTCTTCAGGGAAAACCCCAGAAGGACTGGGTAACAAACATGTTACGATCAGTCGTCGATCGGGAGATGACGGTAATATTCCCCCCGAAAGTATGATCGAAACTTGATGGCGCAGCCACTCCGCTTGGCCGATCTGCCCCAAATCCTGTAATGTCACGTTAAATAATTGACCAGATCCTTGCTCATCGGAATCCCCACAGCTGCTTGATTGAAATAATATCTTTACAGAATTACTGACAATCGTCCTACGGTGTAAGGCACTCATTTTCATGATTTGACCTATTCGGCACAAATAAATGACATATGCTGCAACGTGGGTTTCTGTAACCAAGCCAGTAAAAAGCTTGATAGAAGTAGGCAATGACACACCTGCAAGTCACTTTCAGGAGGTCTGTAATAGTGACCGTATCGGCCTATTCAACAATTATCCTCGTCCGTCGTGAAAAGAAAGTGAAACGTATTGCCTGTGCGCTTTTACCCTTTTACCCGTGGTGACTAATCTAGGACGCCGTCAAAGACCGGCGTCGGCAGAATTTCCAGAAATTTTTCATTATTCAGGATCTACTGTAGGATCGATTAGTCAATAAATGTAATGCTTGTATTCATCTTAGTTTCGAATGGCCCTCGATAAAAGAGGGCGTTCATGGAAAAGTTCACTATTTCAGGATGGCTGCCAATGTTACATCATCCCTTATACGTCACATTGAGCACATCTTGCCCGTATTTACATCTACATCTTCCAAGCCAAAACCAAGCACATTGTGCAGGATCCAATAAGCAAAATGGATAAAAATCTCAAAGAAAGTGTCAAAAGTGTCCCTCTCTCCTATGCGACATGCTCAATTGGCAATACCCCAGCCGATACCCTACCGCGGAAACTCGAAGCCATCAGTAATGCCGGATTTGCTGCGATAGAGCTTGCATTCCCAGACATTATTAATTACGGTTCGCAGTTACTCGGCCACAAGATTGCGACAGATGATTATGCCGAGCTGGTCACTGTCGCGAAGGATATTCGCCAGCTATGCGAGGCCAAAAACCTGAAAGTTATGATGCTCCAGCCTTTTGCCAATTTCGAGGGCTGGCCGCGGGACTCGCAAGAAAGAAAAGATGCATTCGCAAGAGCGGAAGGGCTGGGTTGAAATCATGGATGCTGTGGAGACGGATATCCTGCAGGTAAGCTGGATTCTCTTCTTGTTTTTGTGTGTACAGCGACGCTTATCAAATAAAAGGTTGGTTCAACCGATATTCCCGTAAGCGAGCTTTCAAAAGACCCCGAAGATATCATCTCCGACCTCCGTATCCTTTGTGATCTACTCGCGCGCCACAACAAGCGCCTCGCTTACGAAAATTGGTGCTGGTCGACTCACGCCCCGACATGGGAAGATATCTGGCACATTGTTGCCAAAGTTGATCGCCCAAACATTGGTCTATGCTTGGATACCTTCCAGACTGCTGGCTCTGAATGGGGTGATCCTACAACATCTTCCGGACGGATCATGGATGCATCTATCGAAGATTTGAACCGTCGATTCCTTGAGAGCATGAACAGGCTAGCTTCGACTGTGCCCAAGGAAAAGATTTACTTATTGCAAATATCGGACGCAAGAAAACCTCAGACGCCCATTGAAAACAAACGGCTGGATGGTCTATGGCCGCGCGCACGCTGGAGCCATGACTTCCGGCCTATGCCATATGATGGGGGGTATCTGCCGATTGAAGAGGTAGCTAGGGCAGTGTTGAAGACTGGTTTCCGGGGTTGGTTTTCTATGGAGATCTTCGATGGAAACGCTACTACAGGAACGACCGAAGGAATGGGAGACTATGCGAAACGGGCTATGCAAAGTATGGAGAGACTATTGCAAAGCTGTGAAGGTGTCGCGGGTAGATAATCTTGTTCTCGAAACAATATTCACGAATGATTGATCTTCTCCTTTCCTTGTAAATCTCAGATTAACAACTATCTTTTCAGTGTTTGTCTTCATTAGGGTTCTCAGGTTTCGGGGGAGTGTTGAATTCACAAATTCACAGATTGAACCTGTGATTATTCAACACATGTTTGCAAGAGACTTTCGTCTTGTACAATGCGGTTATAATGCGATATGTTGAATTTAAACTAGAGCTTAGAAATAGGAGTTTTTGAACTAGTATTGATTCGCGGATGCCAAATGTATGGAATTAAAGGATTGCTCGAGGTCTTATTGTCCAGCACGACATACAAATCGGCGTACAACAAAATGGTTCCAATTTATAAACAAGTCATAGAGAGCCATTGTGTAACAACATAACTTTCAGATCCATAGTACTTCATTTTTCTTTCCATTTTTCATGTCTCGTAATGCAAACTTCCAGTTGGTTTCAGAAGCTTAGCCATTGATCACAACTCCTCTCGTTCGGGTGCAAAGATTGGCCGGAGATGAAGCTGCTGTCTTGGCTTGCGAGGAAGACAAAGCAAGTCGCAACCTCACTAGGTTGGCCTGGGCGACCCATTGGTGTGCCACTGAATTGGTCTTGTGCAGAAGAATTCATGGTTGCTGGGATCAAAGGGGTCCAAACTATAATTTATTAGAATTGAAAGGGTAAACCAGGAGAACTTGAAAAACTCACTCGGTCCAGGACACACACAGTTCACTCGGATTCCATTCTTAACCTGCTGATTGGACAATCCTCTGGTGAACGCAACAATCGCACCTTTTGTTGCAGTGTAGTCAAGCAGGTCGGGTCGACCAATGTAATGATTAACAGAAGCACAGTTGATAATCGTCGAGCCACTCTTCATATGGGGCAGCGAATACTTCGACAGATAGAAGATGGGATGAATGTTGGTATCGAATGTGCTCTCCCATTGAGACCTGTGCGATTTGAATCAGTAAAAGTGAAGGTGATGAATGGATGATACAACATACTCTTCCAAATCCTTGATATCATCGATCATCGTTTGAGTGCCAGCGTTATTGACAAGAATATCGATGCCACCTAAGGTCTCGAGGGCTGTGTCGACCACCTTCTGACAATTCTTCTTTTCGCGGAGATCAGTTGCAAAGCAATGGCATGCTTGTCCGATTTCTTCCACTCGTCGCTTCGTCTCCTGCGCATCTTTCTCCTCTTCAGGAAGATATGTGATCAAACTAGAAGCTCCTTCCATTGCAAAAAGAATGGCGATGGCGCGACCAATTCCTGAATCGCCACCAGTGATGATGGCCTTCTTTCCTGAAAGCTTGCCAGCCGCTTTGTAGGTCTGGTACCCGCCATCTTCAGTTGGCACTTTGCTTGATACAGGCTTTGGGTTCTCCATCTCAGCCTGCAAGCCAGGCTTGTTGTGATGCTCCACAGGGATTTGATGGCCTATAATTTTCATGAGAACGAAAGATTGATATTACTTAATGAAGTCAACTTACCCTGCTGGAACTGGGCTTGGGGCCCCCGGGAAGGCTTTTCCACTTCCTGCTGCATGTTTGTGATTTTTTTTTGCTGACGACTGCAGTAAATAGCAATTGGATATCTTAAACGAATAAGACGCAATATGTATGATAGGAAGGGTCGATATCTTTGATTTCGAAATGGCTGCTCTTGGTATTCTATATAAACATGTTTTGGATCAGGGCGGTCACTCTCGTCAGAATGACGTTTGGCCATGTTTCTAATCCGGCAACAGTCTACAGCTTCCTATGTCCATATCCTGCTTGAAGATATTTTCCGTCCTTCAACTTCAAAACTTGTTTTGCTTTTTAGAAGATGCAAAAGTGACATTGGGGCTAGAGCTGGCTATGCAAGAAGCTCACCTTTCCGGATTATCGGGATTTCATCAAGTTTTCTGCGGATTGGAATCAAAGTGACTTGGCATCAAAACCTGCGAGCGTAATTTCGAACAATCTTCGAAACGGTATTGCCGACGCGTTCGAGACCGGTGTGGTGGCTTTCTTCATCCCGCCAATGGTATGTCGAGGCCCAGCTATCGACCGACGATCACTAGACGAATCACTAGACTAGTCTAAACTATGCCGATAAAGTTGCGGAGGACCTGCACTAGATTTTCAACTGTTCGATAAAGATTATCGTTCGAGACAGCCTTATCCGACCGATGTTTTCCCGCCAACTTAGGCGAATTTGGAACATGCAGGTAGCACCACACTTTCGGCCAATATCTCAGGGGGCCGAATAATTTCATTGCAGGTCACAATCCTTTTACCCTGTGTTCCCGCAGAGAAATGAAAGCCTGTTGCTAAAGGACCTCACCACGGCAAATGGAAGCGGGTGAAGGACTAATCACCAACGTAGCCGTGACAAGAAAACCCTCTATAATGTCCGAATTTCATTTGGATGCTTGAATGTGCTTCTTGCTTCCAAACAGTTCAAATGTGTGTTTGTGACAAGCCGCAAATACTTGTCGACGAGGGAAGCTGATTGTTGGCTTCTCTGATAACAGATTAGACCCTGAAAAATTGGTCTGAATCCGTCAGGAATTATTCAGAATCATTCGCTTGGTATTGCTATGTCACGGTCAGATCTGACGCCAATATGACAGCAGTATCATAATGTGGACTAATTTTTTCGTCGCGAGAAACTTCTCCCCGCATGTTGGAGATAGAGTTTGCCTCCGAAAAACGGTGTTCCAGCTAAAGATACTTGTTCGTGACCACGGTAGATGACGACAGATCTATGTAATGAATCCAGTTACCAATCTAGTCAAACAACTTAGTAATCCAAATTAAATCAAGTAGTCCTAGTTAAATGGCAACGGATCTCCTTTGAAGAAAAGTGAAATTTGCGTTTTAAAATTCACGGACAGCTGAACTACCAACAATGGCTGACGGAGTATTGCAACTTGTATGCGATTGCAAGGTGAGAAAGACTCTTTGCGACCGGAACATACTGGCAGGATCTAATAAGCAAAAAATTTCAGCATGACCCATGGGGAAAATCCGGGAAAGATTCTCTAGCAGGGCGATTGTGGTCGCATATGCCTGATGCAGGAGAGCTGAACGATTCAGAGACCTACTCCGAGGTGAGTACTTTTGTCCGTTAGTACAAAAGCGAGAATGAGCGCTAATACCATGAAGATGTGGATGGGTACATATCCTACTGTTCCATCGCGGGTTCGTGCTACAGGCGAATCCCTCTTCGACTATCTCAAGAAAAACCCCGATCTAGTTGGGGAGTCGGTTTGCCGTAGATATGGTCCCGACATTCCTTTCCTTCCGAAGGTGAGACTTAGTACAACATCTCTGAAAGACGGTAATGACTAATCATGACCAGATTCTATCTTTCTCGAAAGCACTTCCACTTCAAATTCATCCGGACAAGAAACTAGCCGAACAATTGCACAAGGAGAACCCTGAAAAGTTTGGAGACACCAACCACAAACCCGAGATTGCGATTGCCTTGTCTCGCTTTGAATCATTTGTTGGGTTCAAACGCCTCAATGATATCGCTGAGCTAATGCGCTTGAAACCATTGGAGGAATTTGTGCCAAAGCACGAGACCTTTGATGACGAAGTTTTACGGCAGCTCTGCTCGAATCTGCTAAGCCTACCCCCGGACACCGTATCAAAGACGGTTACAGAGCTACAAAATAGTCCACTGTCGGAATTTGGAAATGATTATCGTATTCCATCACTTCTTCGTCGGCTTGACGAGCAATATTCCAAATCAGACAATGGAATTTTGGTCGCCACACTCTTGATGAATTACATTATCTTGGAGCCCGGGGAAGCTCTGTGTGTCCCAGCTGACAGCCTCCATGCATACCTATCTGGAGACATTATGGAATGCATGGCGCGATCTGACAATGTCTTGAACACAGGCTTCTGCCCACGCCCCGATCGTGATGATGTTGAGCTATTTTCAAAGGCCCTTACTTTCCAACCCCACAGCCCGGCAGAATCTGTACTTGTGAAGAAGAAGAGCCAGATTGGATCAAAGGGGCGGACCAACGAGTATGCGCCTCCATTCAGCGAATTCAATGTTCTCGGTGTCGCTTTGTCTTCCAAGGAAGCTGAGGCTCATCGGGTTCTTGAAAGTCCCAGTATCCTGATCGTAACTCAAGGTTCGGGCACAATGAATGTGGGCGATGGATCTGTCCACCAAATCAGCGAAGGAAGTGTTTACTTTGCTGCAAGATCCGCAGAGTTGAAGTTCTCGACAGACGTGGGAATGACGTTGTATCGAGCATATGCCACCTTCTAATGGCTTTTATTCAACTTTGGGAGAAAATTGAGCACTCAAATGCTTTCGAAGTACCTTTCATCAATTACAATAAATATACTGCGGCTTTGTACTGTACTATAGGATTATGGGTGGAGACGGGGCCTTTTGTGCCAAATAAATATATCTTCGCCAGTTTTGGGCACTCTTTGAAATCTTCACGTCGTGCTATTATAAGGCAATATATGTACCTTCCTAGGGCAAAGCAAGGATGGGACTGTCAGAACCGCCGCGGTGCCTCATGTCAAGCCCTAGATTGGAGAACTATCAGCGTCATGTCTGTCATCTTTTTTTACATGATCGGTATGAAAGATCACATTCTCCAATACGACGACTATCCTTCTTGTATCAGCCTCACAATCTGATCGAAAGAATACCTAGAGATCAATCTAAGATAATGTCTTCTCAAAGGTCATTCTAGTACGCCCGATGGTCTGTTCGCGATCTGTTCCCGGTAGTTCTGCCTTGGCTTCGTCGCCGAATGCCTGGAGTACGCAACAAGTATAACTGTCTTATCGGAGCTGCATTGGATAGGGGTTCTCAGATTGTCATTCTCGTCCTTCCCTTACTGTTTTATGGTCTCAGTGGCTCCGTAACTTTTTCTATAATCCAAGACGTGGATATACGAGTCGCCTCGCGAATATGCCAGAATCGATGCCGATCACTGACGATGAAAATAGAGCATATAATATGCGTGATTTGGATGGCCTGCTGATCAATCCGGCCACTAGATTTACAGACTTGGCATAGGCATGGACTTGAAGATTTCCAATATCAAGCTATCATAAGATGGACTCCCAATCTGGCCTATATGTAGGTTCCCTACCGTCCATGTAGTCATTTCACCCAAGATATTTGACAAAGAGTTGTGCAACGTCATCGTGATGGTAGACGGGGAAATGCGCGAGCGTGAGCATGAAAATGACAATAGTGACACCGAACTCCATAGCAAGAACCAATGCAAGCGATTTGTAGAAACTCAATAGGTTCGACGATGGAAGGCTGTTCCAAGCACTTTTAATGCCAGCGGGTCTGTTCCTCTTTTCCTCGGGACAATTGTAGGCAGCAACGCGAAGAAAGATGGCATATGCTGGAACAACGGCTCCGAAATAAAGCATAGCAATGATGAGCAAAATAGCACAGGTCTGCATCTCCATGGAAAGATCAAGCTCTCTTTCCCAAATATCCGACAGACGAATGATGCAAGCCGGGAGGTAGAAGCATGTGCTTGAAACTGTGCTATACAGCAAGACAGCCGAGAACGTCCTGGACCATGTTGACCAACTGAAAACACGTTGATAGATTGGAATTAAAGAGTCTGAATTGAGAATAGCGTGTACGTTGGCTACCTTCAGAGTTTGAGAGAAGCAATTCCGTCGATATATTCAAGGCAAAGCAATATAACAGATTGGCGCCCTTTACGGAGAATCCGGTGAGGAAAAAAAATCTTGAAAAGTCGATGGAGGATGAATATTGAAAAACCACGGAGGCGTTTCCTTGAAATGTGCGCTAGTGCTTCAGGGTCAGGCCTCAGAGTTACGGCAAGTGTCGCGATGACATTTCCATGAATATATATAAGCTGCGATGATTAGCTTCTGTGACTCTTGGTTTGTCATCGCATCGCGGCAATAACTCACTAAACTCACTAGAATCAGAACGACCAAAAGCCCCACCAGACCTAGCGAGAGGGGAATATTCAGCACCGGTGCGCCCTCAATTCCGTAGAAATTCGAAACCTCAAGCAAAGAACCGAACGACATGGTTGAAGAAAGGAAGAAATGGTTGAGACGTTCAGAGCCGAATTCACCGGATTCCGCGGCAAGGCTACGCGGAGGATAATTCGAGTGACTTTTGAGGCTAAAAGCGGAGGTCCACGTAACCCATGCCTACTAGCCCCAATGTACGTGAATACTAGCGGCTCCACTGAATTAGTCCAGTGTCTCCTTTTGGCAACATTTGAGCCCAGGTGTAGAGGGCAGCCTTTTCTGTGATTGGAAGCTATAGTGCGATTGGTGTAGTTAAGTATATGACATGACTCAGGCACAAGCTGCCTTTGCTACCATTTCCCTCAACTTCAGCATGACACTCTCCTCATTGTCGAAGTTTCCAAGGAGCTTGGCTGCCCCATCAAGAAGTCCCTCCTCCGCGTTATTGATCTCCCGGAATTTGCCCTCCCAGCTGTATATGACATCGCCGTATCTTTGATCCTCAGCGAGCAGCAGTGCTACACTCCGGGCCACAGCTTCGGAAGTCTGAACCGAAGGGCCCATGGCGGCGATGTACTCCGGTGGAAGAAGGCCAGTAGCCGTCCATGAAGGCGCAACTGCATTCAGTCGAATATTGCGGGCTTGCAAGAGACTAACAAGGCCACGAATCATGCCTAGAACCCCATGTTTGGTGATTGTGTAGTCGCCCGAGCTAAAGGTCTGGAAGGATGAAGTGGAGGCAGTGAGCACAATGCTTCCTTTTCCGATGGGGCGCTCTCGCGCTAAAGTGGTCATATAGGCTGAGGCAAGTCGAAGAGTGTAGATCGAGCCCAACAAATTGACATTGATAGTTCGGAGATTGGGCGGCTCAAGCTGACCGGCTTCATTGAGCGTGACGTCAAGAAAGTCGGTAGTGTTGGCGACTCCCGCGTTGGCGACAACATGGTCGATACGTCCAAACCACTCATTCGCTTTATCGAACATGTTCCGCAGACTCTCCCATTCCGTCACGTTGACCTCCAAAAACTTCAACTTATCGTTTTTCTCAAACTCGGGGTTGGGGGGTTGGATATCTCCAATCACGACGTTTGCGCCCAAGTCGAGGCACAGCTGTGCAGTTGCGCGGCCGATTCCAGAGGATCCCCCTACAGGATGTGAGATTTTCTGCGTTCATACCACAGGTTTCAGGTCAAAACATACCGGTGATCAAAATGACCTTGTCTTCAAGGCCCTTAAGCATGTCATCAGTAATGGTAATGTCGGCCATTTCGAATCTTCGGTTAATTAGAACCACATAGGCGGATGGAAATAAGGATAAGGCACACTTTATAGGTGATTTCTGGAATGGAAGACCAAGCCGAGGCCCCCCCATCCCCTCATCTTGGGTACCATTGCTGACTACCTGAAACCTGAGCTACTTCGCGTGTGGGGCTGCGGAAAGCACGTCTACAAATGTCTAGCGTTGGACACATGTGTGGCTTCACAGCTCCCGGCCTTTTTACCAAAAGCGTGAATCACGCCACGGAAAGGCGCAAGTATCCATTCCCCTGCAGTTATAGTAGATATTAAATTGTTGTCAGCATTTTAAATAGCCGGTCATCTGTTCTCTCGCTAGCTCCACTTGGCCTTGTACTTCCAAACTCCAAAGCCAATGTAGACGCTGCTGAAATATGGCTTTGAGCTTTTCTTCATCATATCCTACACCATCCTTGCACAAAAAGAGGAGAGAAGCATTCTCCTTGCTACTTGTCATCACCCGCTGACTGCGCGGGCGACGTATCTCATCGTAAGGCTTTGAATGCAGCCGCGACATCTTCTGCAGCCTCAACGCGACTGTCACCGATAAGCTCTGACAAGACATGTGCATCTTCGATAGCTTGTCCAGCACCCGCACCCTGATGCGGAGTAGAGGTATGAGGCGCATCTCCAAGAATCGCAACCTGCGACTTGGCAAACGTGGAGAGATGGGGATGTTCAAAAATAGCCCACTGCGAAGGATCCGGCATTTGCTGAAAAAGAACGAAACATTAGAAAAGGAAACCAAACTAAGCAATCAAGCGACTTACCTCCACTAGCGCCTTCACATATCGTCCCATATGTTCTGTATCCCTCAACATGTCCTCCCTTTTCGCCTTTCTCACCCAAGTCTCACAGTCCCACTTCTTGCTTAAGATAATAACACCCACATTCACATTCTGAGCCCTCATAATCGGATATGAAATCCCGTAACCCCCATCTCCAAGATACATAGTCGTAACCCTAGCCCTCTGATCCCCGACCGCAGCAACCATATCCTCCATGTCAAAAGACAGCCCGATAAGCATACATCCCACTATACCTTGGCATCAAATCCAGCTCGCCCGGAAATATATTCTCCTTAACTCTCGACTTAATCCCATCACATCCAATGACCACATCCGCAAAAACTTCACTCCCATCCTCGAATCTCACCATAACACCCTTCCCATCCTCTTCCACCAGACGATCCAGCCTTTTCCAAAAGTGCACGATCTCCCGCGGAACCAAACTGATCAGTGCATCTAAGAAATCAGCCCTCCTAACCGACGTCTGTCCAGAGCGCGTCGCCTTCAAATCCATAAGCAAGTCCCTTTCTTTCTTCCCACTAGCTCAAACAAGCTCGAACCACGTTTGTCGATACGCTTCATATCCCGGACTATCGGTGTGGGTAGTCACGATAGAGTCATGGATTTCACGGATCTGAGGATCGATAAGAGGCATGCAGCGGTGTGCAGCTGGTCCTATGGATAGACCCAGGCCGATTTCCGAGAATGAAGAAGCTGCTTCATAGATCTGGACGGAGTCTGTCAGTTCTGGGTCCCGGTCAGCTGGAACCCGCTGATCTTCTTTTCCGAGTGCCGTGGAGGAGGGAATGGGCTTTGACAGACGGGCTGGGTCGTATGGACGCCGGTAACCTCAATCCAAATGGCACTAGAAGTGTTTGAGATTATGCATGCTTAAGGCACGGAACTTCACGTGACCGACTCGGCGTGTGATGCCGATCTTTTGTTATGTCGTAAACTACGAAGGAAGTCTAGTGGAGCGAAGAGTCTATGAGAACTAATTCATTGATTCTAGGTCCCAAAACCCCGATCCTGCCGGGAGTACATAGTAGAGATTGATAAGCCAAAAGCTCCTGGCGAGATGGTCCGGGCAAATCGTGTTTGAGCCCAGTCGGCTCACTGAGCCTGTCGTGAGGGTAGTTGTTTCCTTGGAGGTTCGGGCGAGGAATTGCTACTCAAGATGTCTGAGAGCCGTTCGTTCTGGGAAAGGCTTTCATTGATGGGGTCTGCCGATCTGATCGAATTCAATGTTACCCCAAAGCCGAACAAATCTGACTTGCAGATTTTAAAGCTGACAGCTCTACTAGCGTCTCGAACACAATTAGGCCTGGAAGGCCTGCAAGACTCGCAAAAAAATTATGAAGAAAAGAAAAAGGATGGAAGAGAAGGGTGGGTCAAATCATAGGCGCCGTTACAATACGCTTCCCCTGCTCCCACTTGGGAGGTCCAAAGGGGTCATAACTTTCAGGTTTATCCCAGTCTGAGTCACTACCGTCCCTGCCGGCGATGCGGATGGGGGATGAGGAATCGGAATCATCGAGTGCGCGTCGGAAGCGAAGAAATTCATGCGAATCGACTGTATGGATTGGGTACATTTGGCCCATCTCCATAGACTGCAATGCTGCCCGCTGGATATGGCGGATATCGTCACGTAGGTTGGAAACTTGGCTTTCAAGGTTCCGCCGGGCTGTCTGTTCGCGACGGAGGAGCGTCACCAGGGTGCTGTATTGTTCAATTGACACGCCTGTGAAGTCGGATAAGGATGTGGTAGACGGGGCTGGTCGAAGGGTGCGTGAGTGCATTGTCTCGGGGCGAATGGTGCTGGTGCTTGTGGGGCGCACGGGGAGAGACGGCAACGGACTTGGTGATTCGTCACGTTCAGGTGTACTTGAAAGACCAGAAGGTCTGCTGCGCGCATTGGGAGCGAAGGATTCTGTGGATGGGCTTTGTTTTCGACGGGATGTGGATTGAGGTTCCACTGAGTTCGACTGCATTCGTGCAATGGCAAATTCCAGGTCGATCATCTTTACTTCCAGCGTATTCAAACGCTGTTCCACAGTGAGGCCATCGTCTTGCTGCATGCTCCGAACCAAGTTTCCCACATTGGGTGGTAGACTTATCAGGTCTGCATGGTGATCGGACTGAATGGACGGTGCAGCGGACACTCTAGTCACGCTCGTCACCGTAGTCCCCGTGGACGGACGACCAGAGTGATCACTTGCAGAGCTTCCCTCGTGAGGAGGGGATCTTGAGTCGGGAACGGAATTGGGTATTGAAGCTGTGCGGGTCGGCCAATTGTGAGACATTGGTGGTTCATCTACGAGATCACCAATCGCGCTGATGCTTCTTGATCGTCTTCGAGCCTGGATCATACGGCGCTCGCGTTGGCTCTCCGGTATAAGACGTTCTTCCTGAGGATCGGAGATGGCAGAAACAACACTCGATGCTACCCCAATCCGGGACTCGTCCTCGGAGAATATCACGCTGGGGAGGGTAGCACGTCGTCGGCGCGGTGGCATGCCAGGAAAGCCTGGAGAAGTCAAGCGAGTCGGAGACAAGTGTGTTTCTGCGAGGGACAGGTTTTCCTCCGAGAGTGGACTACTCCGTTTGGACTCTGATGGTGTGGGAACAGCCAGGAATGATTCCCCCAATGGCGGCAATCGCCTCGACGGGGAAGAATTGTAGTATGCTTCATGCGGACTTTCTTCCACATCGTCGACCTGGCTCTGTCTTTTCCTATTGAAAATCTTGCGCATGACAGTTTTCAGTGTGCTCCCGGTTCGGCGGTGTATAATGGGTGTAGTGTGGAAGTTGATAGGGGGTAGGGCAGTATCGTAATGGTTCATATCGATGGAAAAAGACGGCGGATTCGAAGAGGAGCGCTCTCCGCGCGCCGATGTCGATCGCGCCCGCGGACTTCCGATCGACTCGCTGCCGGCGCTCGCAATTGATCGAGTGGTGGTTCTCGACATGGCGGTCAAAGAGGTCACGACAACTGAACTCGCGACGGAATCATTACAGAGAATATTCGCAATATGGGTATCGAGATAAAAGGAGGGTCGGGCGAAAACAAGTATGTGGTATTAGACTAGGCCGCACAGCGGATTCGAATCAAGGCCAGGGGATTGATTCAGTCGAATCGCGGAGCTATTGAGAAGTACTGTCAAACGCCAGTTAGTCCCGAGTCACCACAAACGCGAGCACTGAGCATACAAAGGGTAGAAGGACCATCGTTGCAGAAAGCGTACAGTGCCCGTTTGCTTCAGACCGAGTTCCAAGGTCGAGGGGTTCGCAACCACGGATAGGGTGGACCAGAATGGAGCAGAAGAGTAAAAAGACTGGAAGTAGAAAAATGAAAACAAAGAATTCGAATCCCAGAAAAAATAAATAAAAGAGTGTCGGCGAACAGATTGCAATGTTCAAGAAAGCAGAAGGCCGTGGGAAGAAAAGGGAGAAGCGAAGAAAGAAACTAGGATTAGGAGAGAAGCTACCCCCACATGTAGTCGGGACTTTTCAGCCACTGCCGAACGGGATTTCAATTACAAGACGAACCCCATTCTGTTTCAGGGTCTACGGCCGAGCAGGGCGTCCAGGATCGACTTGCGCCCGATAACTTATTTTTCACAGCAATGATGAAGTGACCGTGGTCCAAGGAACATTGGCCCAAAGCCATTAATGAGCCAGTCCCAAGCCTCCAACGCGACTGGAAGGCGGAGACAAGCTACCAAAGCTAGGAAAAGGTAAGCCAGCCAGAGCAGGGCGAATTAAAATTGAATAGCGCCTCCGACCCATGCGTGGATCCAGTCGAGACCGAAGTGGAGTGGGTAGTCTGAAGGGCCGTTTTGAACTGCTTCCTCTTCCAACTTGAGTCATTGGAGTCTGGGGGGCCATCCTAGTCAATTTAGGAGACCAATTGTATCAAAAAGACGATGGAATTCACTGAGTCGGAACCTGCACGACCGGTCTGAAACACCACATGGCGTTGATCGTAACGCACTTTGACCCGCACAGACTTCCATTTGCGCCCGATCTTCTTTCTACTTTTCTGCCACTTCAGCTCGTCACGCAAAATGGCACCAACAGATGAGACGTCTTAGTGGCACAGGCAACTTGAGTTGCCAACGTATCAAGCCTGGAATTGGACTCTCGAACCGGGACATCAGACTACGTCAAAATCTGTCCGACGGCAGAGACCCTGGCCACGGTCACGGCATTGCCGATCAGAGAAGACCCCTCTCACGCTTAAACTATATCTAGTAATGCATCTCCGACGGGCCCAACACGATCGCGAAGATCATCCCCAGTAGAGGGGCGCTGCGTGTCTTGAAACACGGCTTCTGTCGTCCATCCCGTTTCACCGCCTGCGTGTCTCGCTTCAAAGACGGCACTGAAGTTTCGGGCCCCACCGATCAGGCAATCGGGACGAGCTGCAGGATTGGACTACAGGTCTCGGCATCGTTGACTCGTAACACCTCGATTGCTAATCCCAGGACTCGAGAATTAACTCAAAGTAGATCGCCTGCGTCAGGATATCGCAAGTCCGCATTCTCCTCCAAGTAGTCCATCCAATGCTTCAGGAAGCTACTGCCACTGCATCCCAATAAGACAATCAATCAAACCACCCTTTTTCCACAGACCGAACACGGGCACTTACCGACTGATGGTCTCTGAGTCCCCGCAGATGCAGAGATGCCGCTTAGGTCGCGTCATAGCCACTAGACCCCGCCGTTAGCTGCGTCCAGACATGATGACAGGTCCAATATGCACAGCCAGGACCAGGATGAGAGAACATACCGTTGAGACGCCGTTTCTCACCAAGGAAACCAACCTCGTGCTCCGCATTGCTGCGCACGAGACTGACGACCACGGCTTCCTTCTCTCGGCCTTGGAAACCATCAACACTGCCCAACTCCAGACCGGGATACTTCTCACGGAGCATTTGGGAAAGGAGTGCTAGCTGGCCGTTGTAAGGGGTAATGACGGCGATGTCTTCGGGCTTGAGACCGGTGTCGATAAGCTTATCGACATGTCTGGCGGCGACCATTGCTTCCATCTCATTGCTTTTGCTTTCACCAAGGAGTGCCTCCTTATTGCCGATCTCCTTGTCATCGGCTTGTTCGGGAAAGTCGCCACCTTGTGTATCCCAAAAGACAAGGGGTTCTTGCGTGTCATCAGTGCCTTCGACTTCGTAGGCAGCTCGGCTAGAAGACGGGCTTTCACAGAATCTGCGGCCATGAGCTTCGACTCGTAGAGCTCGTCTGATGGGAAACGCATGATCTTTTCATGCATTCGGTATTGCGTAGTCAACATCCTCTTGATGCTAGGGCCATGTAAAGATAGTAAGCGGTCAAATAATGTCCGCTCCAAGGACACACCTTTGAGAATCTCCTTGTCGGCGGTTTGGCCCGATTTATCCACATTTCCCTTCTCGTCCTTCGACTTTGTATTCGTTGACTTGACCGTTGGTGGCAGTTGCAAGTGATCACCAGCAAGGACAACCTTATCTGCAGACAAAAGTGAAATCCAACACTGGGCCTCAAGAGCCTGACTAGCCTCATCAATGACGACCACATCAAATCTCTGATTCTTCAGCTGATGACCTCCGGCACCGTGAAGTGTTGCCAGAACCACGCTACTCTCGCGCACCAGGTTATCAACACATTTAGACTCGCGCTCTCGAAATTCCTTTCGGAGTTGTTTCAAGTCGTCGTAGATTGCCCGTCTTTCTCGACCAGACTTTGTCTTGCGGATACTAGCCTGCTTGGTATCGATCTCCTTGCGTACATCCTTGACGATGTTCCCTGCATCAGAAGACTGCGTGAGAACCTCGAGAGAGTGCTCAAGCACTGAAGGAAGAAGCCGAGCCGGATGCCCGATGCGCACGACCGGGACTTTCTTTGGAGCTAGGCGCTCCACGATGTTGTCCACAGAAACATTCGACGGGCCACAGACTAAAACACGTTTCTTCCGTTGGACGAGTTGCATGATCAGCTCAATCAGCGTATGTGTCTTTCCAGTACCAGGCGGGCCATGAATAAGGGCAACATCTTTCGACGCTAGAGCAAACCGAATAGCATCTTTTTGCGAGTCGTTCAATGTCGGATCCATAAATTCAATTGGTCCCGTCATATCATGGCCTGGTTGTAATGGGGTCGTATGACCAAAAGCTACGCGCATAAAATGCGTGTGGTCTGCTTCAGTCATCTTGACCATTTTCTCCATAGTCTGTCGCATCCTAGAAAAGATCAGCCCCATTCCCCGACTCAGTCCATCAAACTAAACTCACCGTCTGTACGTAACATCATTGGCAAGTTTAATCCTATCGGCCAGGTCAGCAAACGACCCAATTGCAACATCCAAAACTAGAAGAAAAAACCCACGCCCAGAGTTTCTTTCCCCACAACTCCTCAATAGCCTCATCTTCCTCCTTCGACCTTCCCCCACCACCGCTAGACCCAAACGCAATCCAAATAGCTCGATCACCCGTTCTCGTGACAACACCCTCCGCCCCCTTCACATCCTTCCCATCCTTATCCTTATCCTTTTCCTTCCCCACCTTCTTCCCCCCGCCGAAACATCATTGACACGCACAACATCCCCAACCCTTATCCCATGCGATCCAAGTCTCGGCTGTCCATCTGATGCGCCATCTTCACTCTTCGACGCGATAGCGGGGTCAGGTACGAACTCGCCCACCACGCGACCGCCCATTCCAGTACGGCATTGTGAGAGAACGAGACCTGTCAAAGCATAGCCGGTAGCTTGGAGCTTTCGGCGCGTCGAGGGAGAAACGGACGCGGCAGTTGAGGCGAGCGTTGAGGAGGAGACCTCGGCTTCGTGTTCGCGTAGGAGAAGCTGGAGTTGGGTTTCGGCGAAGAGGGGTATCGAGATTGGCGTTGGGGCCATTTTGGCCGGCGCAAGCAGGGATTGGAGCTGTAGTCGAGACGTGGAAGTTCGCTGCCTTGGTAGAAATTGGGTGCTATCGATAGAGCGAGCGATTTGTTCGAGATTGAGCGTTGTGGGAGGCTTTCGGGGATAATTGAAGCTGGTATGTCCGACCCACGGGTGACCTCATTCGTTTTAGTCATCTTATACTTGCTCCCAAAGTTAGCGTCGACTTTCTTTGAACAATCGATTGTGCCTGATTCTGTATTTTTTCTTGATGAAGTGTTATTATTCTTCCATACTAATGCAAAACGGTCAGGTATCTAGCCCGAAAAAAATCGATTGCCGAAAGAAATAGATACTTTTTATATTAAGAATTGACAGAAAAAGAGAGGAGAGGCAACGTTGTTTCGAAAAACAATACGACGTTTGCAAAGATGGCAATTGTTCCCTCCTTGAAAAAGCCAGTCCCGCCTTTCTGTGCCAGGTCTGTCGTGTCCAACCACGAGCCCAAGTAAATCTAGGACAGAGGGGCTTGTCGACCTTTGGGTAGCTCCCATGAGGCACTAGCTGAGCGTAAGCTTGAATGGGGTCGCATACATCCCCGATCTTCATCGAGGCGTCACAATGAGCAGACACCAGCATGGCTTGAAATCTCAGAGATCAAGGCGTCTTTCCAGAATGCAAATCACACCGATTCAATCTTAACTTTAATCTTCGGCTCCTCATCCATAAGACTTCTAATCTCAGCCTCAGACTTCATCGGCGAAAGGCCTCTAATCTCACTCTTGCAAAGCTTCGTACCGGCAAGATAACACTCGTCACATCGCCTTTTGACAGGCCCACAAGCCGTCTGACCAAGCCCAACAAGCAGTTTGTTAATCTCATGCCACTTTTCCTTCGGCAACCATGACTGCAAGGCCAGACGAGTTTCCTCGGGCGTCTTCGTCTTATGCCAGCCCCATAGATTGGTAATTCGATGCACGTGAACATCGACTCCAATGCCGAGGTGTTTGCCCCATGCTGCGCTCATGCATAAGTAGGCCATTTTCGGACCTACGCCCGGAAGACTCATGAGTTCTTCTGGGGTGGATGGAATATCGCCGTCAAATTTGTCCCGGAGGATCAGAGCGGCGGCCTTGATGTACTTCGTTTTGTTATTGTGGAATCCAACCTTTTCAATGAGTTCGTTCAACTTTGTTGGTGACACCGCGAGGATATTGCTTAGGTTGAGCGTGCTGTCCTTGACAGGAATCTTGATATCTTCTTCCTCGGTCTTGACCTGAACATCGCCGATGCATTCCGGATTTTCAGTCTTGATTATATCCACGCAGTCTGCCTGCTCGCCAAGCTCGGTGTGAAGTCGTTGCATCGCCACTGCTGTGACGGTATCCTTGGTTTGGGAGGAAAGCATCAATGCAATGAGCGTCTGGAAGCGACGGTCTTTGGGGGACGATGGCCGCCAGAATAACTCGGCGCAACCCATTGTATCCACTGGTGCTGTCGGATTGTCCTCTCGCATCTTCTTCACGATGTTGTACATTGTCTCCCAATTAGACGGGGGTTCCATCACTAGTTCCCCTTGAGCATCACGAGTTTTTCTCGCTGGCAAGCGACGAGCCTTGGCTGGCGCCTCAGGCTTTTCATCCGGGTCCTCCTTTTTCAAGACCTTGCGTGGCGTGCGACTCAACGTCGGGAGGGACTTCGTGCTGGCGTTGCGTTTACGGCGTTTCGTAGGTGGTTCGAGGAGGTCTTCGATGTCGGCTGTGTCAGCGGACGAAAGGGAGGATTCATCATCGCTTCTAGCAGGAAGATGAGCGATTGTTGGGACCGATTGTGTCTCCGCGGGATTTGCATTAAAAGCAAAACTACGCAATGCACTCGCATTGAGCGAGGAATTCCGCGTTGAGCGTCGCGCAGGAGGCGACAGTGCCTGGAAGACCTTGGAGGCTTCCTTGGAAGCACGAGAAGTGCGCATGGTGGAAATGTAAATGCAAGTTTGAAGACGGAGAGAGTTTCACATGTGGAGAGCGGATCGAGGTCAAATGGGCAAATTGGGTTCCCCAGCCTCGGCGATGACCCCAGCTCTCCGACCTCCGACTTCCAACTCTTCGACGGAAGCAACCTCTTCCCACCATTTATAACCCACATTGAGGTCACCCGCATTCCTCTATAATGGCCTCGCCTTCATCACAGACGACACAAAGGCTTCTGCGTGAGCTGAAGGATTACGCAAAATCACCAAACGAAGTGCTACTCCATTTGGGTCCCGTTGATGAAGAGGACCTCCTACGGTGGGAGGCCGTCTTGAAGGGCGTGAATGGCTCCCCATATGAAGGCATGTCCTAAGCTTCAGAGTAGGCGACCGTCATCAAGCTGACAGCTCTTCACAGGCGGCCTATGGCACCTGCGCATTGTGATCCCTCCCAACTATCCTCTCGCCCCGCCCACAATCACTTTCACGACCAAGATATCACACCCGAACATTTCCTTTGATAAGGGCGAGATCTGCCTAACTTTGTTGACGACCGAGCACTGGACGCCTATCTACACGATTTCATCGACACTTACCGCCATTCACCAGCTCTTGACCGAACCCGCGCCTGACTCACCACTCAATGTTGATGTTGCAGCACTCCTTCGCGATGGTGACATTGCCGGCTGGGAGAGTATCGTGCGATACTGGACAGCTGAGGAGCGATGGCAGGGGTCGACCAGTTTCGGACGGTGATATTAGTCTTCCTTTCGAGGCTACACGATTCAAGTATCTTCTCCCGACCGGATACATACAATTACTTTATATTTTGATTCCCTCAGACGCTCCCACGGCGCATACATACCCTATTGCACATTTATTGGAAGATATAACAGCGCTGTGAAGTTTATACGCGAGTTTCAATTGAGATGCCTCTCGGCCCGATTGCATTGTATTGTATGTTCAATGTGTTAGATAAGATATCACAAGATGAATTAGAAAGTGCACGCTGTTGATATTCGCCATCTTATCGCAGACCACTTCCGAGGAAGAGTAAAATGAATCATGACCATGTCCTGGTCGAACGCCGGAGCCCATGAAAAGGAAAGACGTAAGTCGGAAGCTCGTAAAGATCGTGAGATGACAATCGCCATCGGAAATGCTAAGGATTGATGCTAGATTGTAGGTGCAGATAAAAGATGAAAGATGAAGGAATCTAGATTTCGAGTTTTCGGCGGACTTCACAGAGCAAATGCTACCATGATTGCGCCACCGACCATGACGAGGGCCTCGCGGGCGAGACCAGCGGTGGTCAATGCCGCGGCTCCAGTTTGGAGGCCTGGAGAGCTTTTGGTGGTAGACGTGGCGGACGTGCCAGTGGGTTTGACATGCACGATCGTGGTGGAGGTGATTGTGCTTAGGCTACCGTCGGGCAGGGTGGTGGTGCTCTTGTAGGTTGAAGTGTACGAGCTCTCAGTGCTAGTTGCAGAAGTCGTCGTGTCCGCGGACGATTGGGTCGACGAGGTGCTGGTGGTAGTCGAAAGAGTTGAGGGAACAGAAGTCGTCGATGTTGTTGAGACACTCGTCGAACTCTCCGTGGATGAAGTGGTTGTCACTTCAGTGGAGCTTGGGCCTGAGCTTGAGCTAGTACTGGAGCTAGTTGTCGAGGTCGAATCCGTTGTGGAATCCGAGCTAGAGCTGGAGCTAGAGCTGGAGCTAGAGCTGGAGCTGGTGCTGGAGCTGGTGCTGGAGCTGGTGCTGGAGCTGGTGCTGATGCTGGTGCTGGTGCTGGAGCTGGAGCTGGAGCTGGAGCTGGAGCTGGAGCTGGAGCTGGAGCTGGAGCTGGTGCTAGGCACCATAGAGGAGGTCGACTCCGATGAGGTGCTCTGGGTAGTCTCGCCAGTTGTAGTCGGGGCAATGCTTGAAGTAGTGGCAGCAGCCGACGTGGTAGGAGCGGTGTCAGACGTGGTGGCATTCTCCTGACGTTTCACAACGCGCAGCAGACTGGCAATCTTCTCATCTTCATCTTTCAGGGCCTCGGCGGCACTGATGTCAGTCGGGAAGATTCCGTCACGGAACTTGGTGGAGAGGGCGTGCAAGGCATCGTGAATCGAGGCCACATTGATACCGGCAAGCACGTCCTGGAGGGACTCACGGGGGGCGACACTCTGCTCATCGGCAGGTGGTTGATCCGCCGCGAACACAGTGGCCAGGATCATCAGCGAAAGGATGAACACCTGGAGCAAGCTGACGCGCAGCATGGTGGGCTGATATTGGGTGGGGTTGGACTCTTTGGGGAAAGGTATCGGTGTTGGGGTGTCCGGTGAATTAGATTGAACGGGAGGAGGATGCAAGGATGCAAAGAGGGACAAGGACAATGACAGGAGAAATAAAGAGAGGAAAAAAAAATAAAAAATAGAAAAGTAACAGCAAGTTAATGCTGGTGATGCCCGGTTTTTAGACCACGCTAACAATAAGTGGATCTCACGTCCCAAAGGAAATAGTTCAGAGAAGCTTGGATACGGTGGCAGCCACTAAACTCCTGAGCTTGTCCTAAACAGTCGTCCTTCGCGTTTCTATTCCAACCGGATAAATCGGGTGATCCTCCACGGACTATAAGAAACTACGCCTATTCACTTTGACACATTCCGACCGGGCGACCGATTCAAAAAGGTTGAAATGCAACATCGGAAAGCCGTTCGGGCCTTGGTTTGCACCAAACGATGATCAATTGCATCCACTTGCGAATAATAGAGAAACGCTAGATTATCAAGTTGGCCATGATTGGCCCCGTGTCATGCTGAAAATAGCACAGTAGTCGTGTTGTCATACACAGCCTTCAGCCTTGGGGATGAAAGTACTTTGCGTACATTAGGGGAACACAACACGAACACCAGTTCCTGGCCTGACCATGGCTCTGTAAACAATGCCAACTCTTCTCGTCCCTAGGTTTTACATTACGTTTCCGGTGAGACAGTGTTCGGACCTTGGCACATCAGAAAAATTTACGTCTGCTAAGTCTGCATATACTAAACTGATCTCTCTTTACAATTAGGCCTCCAACATACACCTCATGGTGCACACGGTCACAAAGTAGACGTAATCGTGAAGCCGACTTCGTATCCGTCACCCCCGAGCCCATCTCGGCCTAGGTCCCCCCCCGCACGTCCGAAGACAGCCGAACTCGGCTTCGAAACCGATTAAGTATACACATAAGAAAACCCATTGGCCAAGGGACTCATGACCTCATGAACCGGTCGGGGGGAATCTAAATACCCAAAGTCCATTATTGTTTCCAAAGTCACGGGGTCCGCGCTCGGCGGATTCAAGATGGTACTCGTCCCGTTCAACGCATTCCGCCGGTTCGCGTCCACATCTTGCCACTTCGCCCACAATCGATCGATCTGTGAATGATGCAGGAAAAAGGCAGGATCCTGACTCGATCCGAATAGATCTTGCATTGTTGATCCGATACTAAAGTGGCCTCCGCCATGAAGGCCGAGGACTCCGTCCTCTCGAGGTGGCCAATGGTCAAGGACCATTTGAAAATCGGCAATCTTGCTGGTCTTCATGAGAGTGGAAACAAGGGTGGAATTGGTGTACCGGCTGGAGACGAAATCGTTGAGACTACGATTCAAACAGCGTGGGTTGTATTCGAAGCGTGGAGCCGGGATCTCTGTGAGGGAAGTCAAAGAGCCTGGGAATGGGCCCATATGCACTTTCATGTCTTTAAAGGGCCCGCTCTTGGCACAGCCTCCCCCCCGAGCCTCGGAGTAGAGTGATGTTCCCGCCAGACATGTTTTGTTCGCCTGGGTTGTATTCTCCATCACCGGAGATGGATGTCTCACTGCCATCGAAGAGTGGGCTTGTGGCAAGGTTGCCTGCCCACAGTGGCCAGTTCCAGTATCTGCCGGAGTTAGATCATGATGAAAAAGAAGAATAAGAGGAGTCCTACGGAAGATATCCCTGGTATCCACACTCCTCTCGCAAAGCCCTCTCCCACAACCAAATGAACCGTCGATGCCAAGGCAAAAACAGACCGCTGTAGTGAGTATGCAGAGTGTAATTGATGTGGGTTCTGGACCAAAGTTAAAATAACTCGAGTGTCGGATCTCTCCGATGTGAGGAGTCCATTACTTACGCCACAAAGTCATCAAAGCGGCTCCGAACGCCCGGATAGTCTGCCGTGGGAACCTGGTTCGGCAGGTTTTGTAAACACAGCACCGCGTTTGTGTAATTGATCCGTTGGCTTGGTGAGAGTTCGCCCCTGAAGATGTTAGTGAAGCATAGAGAGTGTGACAGTAAGAGTCACATACCATTCCCTTCTCACACCTAAAGTCGCGGCTCTCTCGGCCTGGTACCTTGGAATGACAGCGAAGGAACAAACGAAGTGACCCAGGGCAAGCAATATCCAACAGTACTGAAATAGAATCATCATCACAAATTCCCTGGGCCTGGTTCCATCCACATAAAAAAAAAAGTAGAACTTCTCAGAGGATTGAGAATCGATTCATGTGCAAACTGGTACTTCGCACTTCTTGTACCTCCCAGAAAGGAGGTAGTACTTCTGGTCTGGGCTCATCCCTCGCATATTGGAACTCTCCGTCTCTCCAGGATATTGATTTCAATGGCCAAACCAAAGGACGTGCAGCTGCCCAGGTGGAGAGCCATGCCCTGGAGGCATCAAAATCAACTGCAGGCACCAAGGACCACAGGGATGGAACCTTGCATGAATAGGGCTTATTCGACGGTTGCAAAGATATCTATAGCACTTGACTCATAAGTACCGACTCATATTAGCAGTGATACAAGTGCTCCGTATCATCCGTTGCATGAAACGTCAATAATAAACCGCCAATTAAGCCCTCGACTGAACGTTCGTTATTGGTAGAGACAGTTGCTGAATGTTCACTATTGATAGAGAAAAGTTGCGCCGTTAAGCTGAACTTGGCATGTGCACATGCCCCAGGTGACAACTCATATTGCCTGGATCCATACGAGACAGCGATCATCGCTGTACAGCGGCGATAAGCCACATATAGCTTGATTACTGGCAGCTTTTGTCCCTGAATGATTAAACATCCAATGACAAGTCTCAACGTCGTGGATCTTGGTATCTGTCACAAGCAGCCTCCAATCTGCCATCACGCATCAGCATGGGTGGTATAATGTCATTGCAGATTCTCAAACTCAAGTTGAAGCTATCGGATTTCGAGTAACTTGGACACGATAACCAGCAAAGATGTCCTCTTGTCGGGCTGATGCGGACGAATTGGAAATCTCTATCGGCAACGCGGGTGCGGCCTCGTGGAACAGACAGGATTCGCCGTCAGACTGCAGGGGTAGGGCCCCTAGAAATCGGGAGTTCTAGTTGCGATTGAGTCTAGGGCTTTTCGTACAGAATCTCGGGCTGGGGCGTAGAGTTAGTCGTGGGCTTTAACGCTTTAATTCCTCAGTCGCACCTGAGCCAAGGTCTTGCTGCCAGAGGCCCGTACGACAGTAAAGCCCACACGACAGTAAAGCCCACACGACAGTAAAGAATTCTGACCCGATATCTCAACATCCAGGACTGATCGAGTGCTAGTTGGCCATGGATGCAAGCTTGGTCGAAGATGAAATTCATACCTCGTGTGATCGCAGCGTCGTCATCTACGGCCATAACCACGGTGACCATGATCGTCTTCCAATCTGACCCCGAAGAAGCTAGGAAAATTTTTAGATAATAGAGAGTAGAATGCAGAGTCTGGATCCAATTCGACCATTTCTCTGGCTGGGTTGTAGGAAAGAACCAGTACCATGATATGGGGCAACTATAGTATAGCACATGATCTTGGACTGGTGAAGAGAATGATATGAGTCGCAAATAAGAAATAGGTATACGGATGATTCGGCGAAGAAATATTTCACAGAGACGGGTCAGCACAATGCCTTAGGACTGAGATCACTCCCACTTCCTCTCGTAGACTCCGTACCACTCTCCCCAACCGAGAACCTTCCCGTTAATAGCAGTAGCCATCTCCTCTGCCGTAGGCATTTCACTCAACTTGCTTGCATCGACCGCCTCATTGAGGGCGATCAAGGTGAAGAAATAACGGTGGGGCCCATGGCCAAGCAGAGGACGAGGAGGAATATAAACATTCCCACGGCGATTCTTGCCATACTTGAATCCGCCCTTGAGAGTGTAAGGTTCCTTGGCTTTCTCAAAATCGGCATGACTGACACCTATCATGGAAGATGGAATACCGTAATAAATGCCATGAGTGATTGGGCTGGGAAGAGGTGCATCGGGATCTTCGCTGATGAGCAAGTATTGCTTGGTCTCGGCTGACGCTTTAGGCCACTGCAGGGTGGGAAAATGGCCCGCGCCTTCTGCAGAAAGCTCTTTGGGCAGTTGCGATCCTGACATGCCTACCTCAGGGCATAAAAGAGCGATGGTGGCAGTCGGATGCAGCGCGAAGGCAGGGCCCTTGGTGAAAAGTCTCGCTTCACGTCCTTTGGCGCTCGCAAAGATGCGGCTGAGGCCGTACTCGATGTAGTTCATCTAGAAAAATGTGAGCCAAGCGCCGCGTAACACAACTATGCTCGGAGGAATTACCGTGGCTTAGATCGCATGTGTCACTGCGAGATAGAGACAAAGTGAGCAGCTCAGCTTTCATGATGGTTGAAATCCGATTAAATCATATCGCTATTCTCCACCGGGCCGTTTTCGGGCCGGTTACGGGGGGGGCTCACTTTGCTTATTAGACTCAAGACTACTGTCTTGAGACAAGTCAGCATGTCCCTCACTTTGATTCGAAATCGCCGATCCAGCGCTGACTATCGCAACTTATTAAGTTCCGTGACAGCTTCACATGGCAAGGCCTTAAGCCGAGCTCCACCCATTCCCGCGATGTCTGACGATCGATTGTGGGGACGGGAAAAAGAATTCTGGGGGTCGCCGAGGTTCATAAAGAGGCGAAACCCTGCCATCCCGGAAACTCCGTCATGATTGAATAGTGCGAAACCCCCACAATTATGTCCGTTCAACTTGATGGGTTCCTACCAAGGGCTGCGGTCTTTTGGTCTGAGGTCGTGGATTCTTTTTCGCCTCAGAGGATCGAGTTCGTTGGGACACTACTCGTTCAGATAGTGGCATTCTGGCTGCCATCAATATTCTATATTCTGGTCGATATGATCGCTCCCACCTTCTCCCAGCGACACAAGATTCAGCCAGCCCCAAAACAACCCACGCGACAGGACATCGTTCGCTGCTTCATCGTCGTGACGCAGAATCAAATCTTGTCCTCGGCACTGCACATGGCACTTCTTTCCATCACCAGCCGCGCCGGTTCTGCATCCGCATATCGCGTCGAGGCAGCCTTGCCCCCAGCTATTGAAATTGTTCGTGATGTCTTCATAAGTCTCCTTCTCCGCGAGGCAATGTTTTATTATAGCCATCGCTTACTGCACGTCCCGTACTTCTACCGCCGCATCCACAAGAAACACCACAAGTTCACAGCGCCGATCGCTCTTGCTGCGCAGTTTGCGCATCCCTTTGAACAAATCCTCGCAAATACGCTCCCTATTTCATTGCCGCCGCAGCTTCTACGAAGTCATGTGTTGACATTCTGGATCTTTTTGGCTTGGGAGTTGTTCAATACTGCCACGGTGCATAGTGGGTATGATTTTTTCCATGACAAGGCGAAAATGCATGATCTGCATCACGAAAAGTTCAATTTGAATTATGGGTCTATTGGCTTGTTGGACTGGGTTCATGGAACGAACAAGTTGGGCAAACGGCATTCCGAGTAATCTTGGAAGCTCAGACCGGTAGCTATGTCAATATGTAGCACCTGATACACAACCACGCAATATCCCATCTCAAGGATGACTCTGTATCACAAAAGCAATACTTCTGGTCCATTGAGAGCACGACTTTGTTCTTGGTCAACTTAAATTGTTACAAATTAGTTGACAGTTCCTCCTATACCCATGGGTCTCGTAAGGTTTGCAGAAAAATCACCGTTGTTGAGATGACCGAGACTCATCCTTACAAAAATCCAGCATCCTTTCCACATCAAGCTCCGCTTCTTTCCAACCCAGTGAAAAAAATCTTCTTCCATTTTTGGGAACAAGACTATGAATATAGTAAAATAATTCCCACAGCGGATAATCTGTCTCATGAAGATCAAAGTCGACCGATATCAGTTGGCCTCTTGTACGTACTTGTATCGTCCTCGAGTGAATGTAGAAGATGGAAGTGCCGAGGCAACTCACAGTCATCAAAGACGGACCCTTCCCTGATTGTCTCAGCGGCGATAGATCGCAGTTTCCTTGAAGCTCTTTTATCAGTTCCAGTAGAGCTGAAAAGACCACTGAGACCAGATGGTGATGTTGGGGGAAAGTCTCCCAAGGCCAAGGGAGATGGATCGTTCGCTTTGGCCTGAAGCAAAGCTTCCAACTCATCGAGTCGTTTCAGAACAGCAAGACTCGTAGGGTCGAATCTATTCTCTTGTTTAGTTTTGATTCACGTTCTACGTGTAATCTCTATGACTCTCCGTGTCATGGAACGCACGTCGACGGGTCATTTTCCTGATACGCATATTCAGCATCCAGTCGCACGCAAGCGCATGGAGGTCGATCATTGTCGCATGTAGATTTTCGGAAGTGACACGTAAGACAAGCCTGAGTGACTCGCTTTCGAGGGTAAATGGCTGCCGACCGGAAATACCTTCGCTTCTAGGGCTACGTCCGGTTGAGAATTTCCGATTGGGTGCGCAAACTGTCCGACAATTGAGGGCTTTTTGTTCGCTGACCGGAAAAGCGCGTGAATATCTCAAGTGAAGGACGGCGGAGTTTCGGAGATACGGTGGCGTTCATCGGAGTATGTTGATGTGTTCAATGCACAACACAGCGCTTGTCCTGATCTGAGCCAGGGTCTCATCTAGTCTCCCACGACGCCACGAGCACGGGAATTTCATTCGATTCATCTCCGCACTTATCCCCACGCTGGCAGCAGCTTGTCGATGCGGGAAATTGGGTTTACCCTGAAATTAATCCCGGTCAATTAGCCAAGGACGCCACAGTACTTTGCGTTCATCGCAACCCCGATATGCCAAGAATGGCCCCAGTAGCTGTCAGGCAAGACCTCGTTCGCCGAAATCCGGATAATCTTGCATATATCTCGGTGCTCAAGCATCTTTTGAAGGAGAACCCCTGGAAGCGAAATTGAACATATTTCAAAGCAACCCCAGTGGCCTCAAACCCAAATGAAAGTTCCAGAAAAATGTTCATCTACTCTTGGAACTTAGGCGAAAATTTGCTTGACCATCAAAATGGGTCGTAATGAAGAAAAATCGATGGCTGACGTCCAGCACATCGATGACAGTCAACCCGAATGGAACCTCCGAGATTTGCTGCCTGATACCGGCAAGCCGTTGTGGAAGGAGCATTATTTCCTCCATCTCGATTTAGGAATGATCGCGCCATATCGATCGTCAATCACCAACGGCTATGAGGGATCGATGCTAAACTGTCTGCAGTCTATGAGCCTATGGCACCACTTCTTCGGCTCTCCGATGGGCACTCGACTAGGCTCCCTGTCGAACGGGGTAATCTTCGGCCAGATCCTGGCCTTTCCCATTGCCCCGTGGCTATGTGACCACACTGGTCGGTGCTTTCCTATTTTCTTCGGGTCATTTCTCCTAGTCATTGGCGCCATTCTTTAATGCGCTGCGCAAGACTCTGCCATGTTCTGGTTACCCGTATGATCATTGGGTTCTCTGGTTTGATTGCGGTTGCAGCGTCGCCGGTGATCGTCAGCGAGCTTGCATTTTCGACCCATCGCTCTGTTCTGGTAGAGTACCACAATAATCTGTGGTACTTGGGTGCAATGCTATCCGCATGGATTATGGACGGGATTTACTTCATGGGTCCAGATGCATCATGGGCCCGGCGCATCCCCCTCCCTTCTATAAGGGTCTTTCCCCTTGGTCCAGGTGCTTTGTGTATATCTGCTCCCGGAGTCGTAACGGTACCTAGAGCAAAAGGATCGATGTGAGGATGCGCGCAAGATGTTTGTAAAATACCATGCCGGCGGATAGAGGGATCGCCTTTGGTAGATTTTGAGATGAAGGAATTCATTATGCAGATCCAAACTGCCAAGTAAGCTTCCAAGTCTGGCTATCGCGAGTTCCTCAGCACGCGCGGCAATCTGCATCTCATTCTAGACTCGATTAACTTTCAGCTCAGACCCGCAGCAATTGCGCATTAATGGTAGCTTGACAATATTTAGTCTCGGCGTCTCCGTTGCACTAGCCTCCCCAATGGAAGTAGCCGGACGCCGAAGAGTGTTTCTGTTCTCGACAGTGGGGATGTTGACTTTTTACGTGATCTGGACGATGTTCTCAGCCATCAACCAGGAACGGAACTTCAATGATAGTTCTCTCCGAATCGGAGTTGTCGTCATGATCTTCTTCTACCAATTTTCCTACCATGCGGGTCTCAATGGGCCGCCGTGGGTCTACGTTACTGGAGTCCTTCCTACTCATCTTCGGGCCAAAGGCACGAACATCATGCAGATCGCCCCTATATGTGTTTTGATATTTAATGGATATGCCAATCTCGTTGCGATGGATGCAATCAGCTAGAGATATTACATTGTTTACTGTTGTGTAGTTGCCGTTGAAATCCCTCTCGTTTATTTCAGGTTCCCGGAAACCAAAGGCCTCAATTTGGAAGGCGCAGCGCTGATCTTCGACGGTGAAGAAGCTTTTGGCACTAGGACCAGGGGAAATCGACCGGAGGTCTAAGCTGATTCAGATTGTGACATTTAGCTGCAGTGGATGGCTTCGCTTAGCAGTCAATTTCCTTATGTTTCCAGGACTATCTTCAACCTTCAGTGACCAATTGGATATTCATGATCCAAAGTGGGATTTCGTATTGTCTCTTTCACTCGGCAATTCCAGCGCCACGATCGGAGTTTCAACAAGAAAATGGCAAAGCAAAAAGCTTCGTTATATTAACGGCCAAGCCGCAGCCTCGGCCAGACGGAGTGGTGGCAACAAGAGCAGGTCACGTAGTTGGAAAATGGTGAATCGAATCATAACCATACCTACTCTCACGAGCTCTCTGGACTAGGATGTTGTCTCGTGTTGGTGATTATATGGGGGGGACTAATAGCCTGAATATCGACTTGACCAGGTTTGCTCCGACTTTCCCCGCAGTTTTGCACCTCCGATACTCCGCCGTCCAACCATTGGTACACTGCGGCACGGCTCGATTGCATCCATGTTACTAGCTTATGTTTTAATTGCCGTCGCGCATGCTTGGCTCGGCACTAATCCCTCAGGAATGTCACCCTGAATTTGTAGAAAGGCACCTGCGCACCATTTGGCGCCTCCTGCCGAGCACAGGGGTCTTCGCCCAATCTCGGGTCATGGGGTTTTTACAATTTATCATATATGTCCGAGCGGACATTTGGGCGAATATGAGGGGTCTCGAAGGAAAGCAAGGTTGTTCGGTCTCTTAATGGAAGGAAGACCTTAAAAGGGGAGCAGGGTCCGGGGGATTCAAGGGTCTCGATGTACAAGAGCTTTTAGCCCCTTTCCCATGCAGCTTTTATTCTCTGTTTTGGCAACCACCACAGCTGTCCAAGCGTATAGCTTGGGCAGTGCTGGATGGGATGCAGCCTATTCAAAAGCCAAAGTGGCCTTACTCAAGCTCAATCAGACTGAAAAGATCGGTATCGTGACTGGTGTCACTTGGGAAGGCGGACCCTGTGTCGGAAACACATACGCTGCCGAGTCCATCGGCTACCCATCGTTGTGTTTGCAGGATTCACCACTTGGCGTTAGATATGCAAACCCGGTCACGGCGTTCCCAGCTGGTATTAATGCCGGTGCAACATGGGATCGCAGTCTGATGTACGCCCGCGGCGCTGCAATGGGCGCTGAAGCCAAGGGACTAGGTGTCAATGTTCAACTAGGACCAGTGGCTGGACCCCTTGGAAAGAACCCCGATGGAGGCAGAATCTGGGAGGGTTTCTCTGTCGACCCTTATCTGAGCGGTGTTGCGATGGAGGAGACGATTCAAGGCATGCAGGACTCTGGTGTTCAAGCATGTGCCAAAGTAATGTGGCTCCCTTTACTACGTGTTGAACCTTGCTGACCGGATCAACAGCACTGGCTTGGAAATGAGCAAGAGCACAACCGAGAAACCATCAGCTCGAATATCGGCGATCGTGCGGCGCATGAGCTATATGTATGGCCGTTCATGAACGCCGTGAAAGCAAATGTCGCCTCTGTTATGTGCTCTTACAACAAGGTCAATGAGACATGGGCTTGCGAGAGTGATGCCATTTTGAACAAGATGATGAAGAATGAGCTCGGTTTCCGTGGCTATGTGATGAGTGACTGGAACGCACAGCATACTACTGTCAACAGCGCTTTGGCTGGACTTGACATGACCATGCCTGGAAGTGACTTCAACTCCCCACCCGGTAGCATCTTCTGGGGAGCGAGTCTGCAAAAGGCCATTGCAGCTGGCTCGGTACCTCAGGCCCGTCTGGACAATATGGTCACCCGAATTCTGGCGGCCTGGTATCTCCTTGATCAAGATAAAGGCTACCCCGAGGTGGCTTTCAGCTCTTGGGATGGCGGCAATGCCAGCGTCGACGTGACTGATGATCACGGCTCTGTTGTTCGAAAGGTTGCCCGTGACTCGATTATTCTGTTGAAGAACGAAGGCAAAACCTTGCCCATCACCAACCCAAAGAGTCTGGCTGTCATTGGCTCGGATGCCATCGTCAACCCAGATGGACCCAATGCGTGCTCTGACCGTGGATGTGATAATGGCACGCTGGCCATGGGTTGGGGTAGTGGTACCGCGCAGTTCCCGGTAAGTTATGATGGGCTTTGCAGTTAGACACTGAAGCTAACTTGCCTATCAGTATCTCGCAGGTCCCCTCCATGCAATCCTGCTTCAATCCCAGAAGACCGCCACCAAGGTCATTCAGAGCACCACCGATGATACCACTGCAGCTGCCAAAGCTGCAGCGGCAGCCGCGACCGCAGTGGTCTTCATCAACTCCGATTCCGGCGAAGGGTAAGTCTTACCTCTACTATGCACCGGGTTATAACATGCTGATTTTATGTTTTCCTAGATACATCACCGTAGAAGGCAACGAAGGCGACAGGAATAACCTGAGATCCCTGGCACAACGGCAACGCACTAGTCAAGGCCGTCGCCGCCGTGAACAAGAACGTCATTGTTGTCGTGCATAGCGTCGGACCCGTGATTCTTGAAACCATCCTCGCCCAGCCAAACGTCAAGGCAATTCTTTGGGCCGGCCTTCCAGGCCAAGAGAGTGGAAACGCCTTGGTCGACGTAATGTACGGTGCCGTTTCTCCCAGTGGAAAGCTACCCTACACGATCGCCAAGCAGCGTAGCGACTACGGCACCGGCTGGGTAAATGCCGAGGTTGATAACTTCGCCGAAGGTCTTTTCATCGACTATCGCCATTTCGACGAGACTGGTCTCGTCCCTCGGTACGAGTTCGGATTTGGCCTTTCCTACACGACTTTTGCTTATAGCGCCATCGGGATCCGTGTCTCTGCCACTGCTGGCCCGTCAACTGGAACGGTCATTCCCGGTGGTCCGTCTGAGCTTTTTGAGTCAGTTGGCACTATCTCAGCGCTCGTTCATAACAGTGGTTCGGTTACTGGCTCCGAGGTCGCGCAGCTCTACATTGGTCTTCCGGATTCTGCTCCGTGGACTCCGCCAAAGCAGTTGCGTGGGTTCCAGAAGCTGAAGCTCGCAGCTGGACAATCGACTTTGGCTTCCTTTGAGCTTACCCGACGTGACTTGAGTTACTGGAATGTTGCGAAGCAGGAGTGGGTCGTGCCTAGTGGTACATTCAAGGTGTATGTTGGTAGCTCGAGTCGGGATATTCGTCTACAGGGTACATTTACTGTTCAGTGGTGAACTCGGAGATAACCGGAAGACATCCTCTACGATTGATGAATATCGAACTTTCAAATGCCAGAAGCAAAACTTGCTGTAAATGTTGTCTCTATTGAGACTCGTATGTGCATGTCGGGGTAGCCAACCCATCGTCATGGGTCGGGGTAGATTCTTTTCCCAACACGCTCATAGGCAGCTCAGACGCTTACACCACCTCTTATCAAGAAGAATAATACCCCAAAACAGGCCAATCCTGCCAAAAAGGAAAATCGACCAGTTCACATGCTTATCACCTTACCCCAACGAGATGTTGGGGTAGTTCACGACAGGTACAAGATACCCCCATCAACGGCTCTTATCTGCGGAGTCAAACATGATAGCAACGATGTATGGCCGACACCAAAAATCCCTGTAGATACGCACATGGAATACAAAAGCACCTCCGTAGGGCCATCTTATCATGCTCTTCACGAAATTTTCAAAGTCAGTTCCACACAAAGTCCCACCACCATGGGCAACGACCTCCAAGTGCTCTCGCCAGGAGTCGGCTACGGCATCGTGATCGGCATCGGCGGCGTATTCGCCCTTTTCATGCTCGGCCTCACATGGCTACAAAACCGCTACACGCAATTCTCAACCCACAAAGCCGAAGAATTCAACACCGCATCTCGATCCGTGAAACCAGGTCTCATCAGCGCCGGTATCGTTTCCTCGTGGACTTGGTCGGCGACGCTCCTGACTAGTTCCACGTTCGGGTATAGTTATGGTATTTGCGGACCGATGTGGTATGGAGCCATGGGGACGCTACAGATTCTCATGTTTGGTCTGATTGCTGTGAAGATCAAGTCGAAGGCTCGGGGGCACATACTATGCCGGAGATTGTATTGGAAAGGCATGGAAAAATTGCGCATTTGACCTATTTGTATTATGGACTTGCAACGAATATGCTTGTTGGGGCGTGTTTGGTGTTGGGTGGTGCGCAGGTTGTTGGTGCGTTGACCGGGATGAATGTATACGCGGCGGTGTTTTTGATTCCACTTGTTGTGGCGGCCTATGTGATTGCTGGTGGGTTGAGGTCGACTTTCATTGCAGATTATACACACACTGTGATTTTATTTGTTGCCATTCTGGTGTTTGGATTCACTATGGTTTCCACGAGTGATGTTGTGGGAAGTCCTGGGAAGCTCTATGACTTGCTGCAAGAGGCGTCAGTGACTATGCCGATTGAGAGGAACAAACATGGGTCTTATCTGACTTTCCGATCCGTTGGAGGTCTGATTTTCGCCTTTGATCTGTTCGTCTCTTCTTTCACGACTGTATGGCTGGATCAGGCATATTGGCAGCGAGCTATTGCTTCCAAGCCTGAAACGTCCGTGAAGGCATATATCCTGGGTGGGCTGGCCTGGTATGGTGAGTAATGATATCCGAATACTATACTATCGCTTGCTGATAACATCAGGAATCCCATTTGGCTTTGCGACAGTCATGGGCCTCGGGTGCGCGGCTCTGACCAGCAATCCGGAATTTCCTACTTTCCCTAACCCACTGTCCATGGAGCAGACCAACGCGGGTCTTTCAGCTCCAGCAACTGCAATTACACTTCTCGGGAAAGGCGGTGCCGTACTGATGCTGATCCTGCTTTTCATGGCGGTGACGAGCTCCACGTCTGCCGAATTGATCGCCGTCTCCTCGCTTCTGACATTCGATGTGTACAAGACCTACTTCCGGCCCAACACCAGCTCGGAAACGCTAGTCAAGGTCAGTCACTGGGCGATTGCATTATATGCGGTTGTGCTTGCGGCCTTTTGCTGCATTCTCAACGCCGCCGGCATCAGCTTGACTTGGATTCTGACTGTGCTTGGCGTGATTGTGGGTGGTGCATCACTCCCGGTGGGCATGATTCTCCTGTGGAAGCCCATGTCTACAGCTGCGGCAGTCGGCGCACCCTGGATCGGATTTCTATGTGGCCTGCTTGTATGGTTCGTGACGACCTGGAAGCGCTCCGGGACTATCGACGTGGCGACCACCGGCGACACCACCAATGCCTTGGCGGGAAACTTGGCGTCGTTTGGCGTGGGCTTCATCATGGCCGTCGTTCTAACATTTGTGTTCCCAAAGAAGCACGCAGCGCGATTGGATGCCATTCCTGGCTTCTCGAAACAGACCAAGCACGAGAAACCAGAAGCCGACGTGAGTGAAGCCAAGGAGCCTGTGAGTACATCAGACGCACCGGATGAACTCGTCGCGCCAGTCTTGGCAAGGAACGAACTAGTCGACTATCTTGAATCCAACAACACCGAGCCCATGGACCCCATCCAAGCCAAGAAAGCTGAGCGTCTTGCGTGGATGGCCACGGGGATCTTCTTCTTTGGCGCGGTGATTCTGGTTCCTTTCACTCTGTTTGGGACCAGCTACGTTTATAGTAAATCATTCTTCACCGGCTGGGTTGTAGTCTCATTTATTTGGGTTTGGACTAGTGTGATGATCTGTGTGGTGTACCCTGTGGTAAGTGGAGACTTTCCCCTGAAACGCCGTGACATTGAGTGAAATTGACCCTTGGTAGATTGAGAGTATGGGAGCTCTGCGGAGCATCGTGGGCGGAATGTGGGCGGACGTCAAGGCGGTGAGCGGACATCGGAAACCGCATGTGGAGGATCAGGTGGCCGCGTGAAAGGAGATCCTATTCACAAAACCATCTCAGTCATTCCTCCGTACTTGACCATTGTCGCCCATCTTCGCTTTTGAAAACCCAGATTGGATTTTGTGCTGCCTGGTACTTCGGGTATGAGGTATGACCTGGGCCAAGACCCAGACTGGAGCCCAGGCGGGCCATCAGACGAATGAGGGGTCTGGGGAAAACTCCATAGTGGTCCCTGAGAGTCCCTGGTCCCCTTTTTTTAATTTGGTGCACTTCTTGCTGGACGAGACCTCCCCCCCCACTGTGGCTGCTGTGTTTTCGATTAATACAGCCGAGCGTGCCTAGGCCTGCCAAGGCGCGAGGCGTGCCATGGCCATGTCTCAGTCTCAGTCTCAGTCTCTGTACAAATGGCTTTCATGTCCCAGTCCAGATTTCCGGATGGTCTATTGATCCCTTGGGACACTTCCTAGCTTGTGATCGGCGGGAACTCCACTCAGGGGCACGCGCGTCACCGTCAAGCCAATCCTATGTATCTGTCTAAGGAGTTGCATCCAGATGGGAGGTGGCAGTGCTGGGTCAAATGTATGAACGGTGTAGAATGTGTAGACTCTGTCTCGGATTATCAGATACCGGTGCGGGTGTGTCCCCAGACGCCCTTGGGTTGCAATCCACGGTACCAATCTTAAACACGTCCGAAATAGAAAAAAAAAACAACCACATAGACTCTCATAACGACACCAGGGTCCACCACTCTCCACCTGCTGCGCCTCCTTGCGCGAGGATCGACCAGTCGGAAGTTATATACCATGGGCAGCTTTCAGGGCCTGCCAATCATGGCCGAATCAATCCCACAGGGTCTTGGTCCTTGCCGCTCGTACTTTTCCACCTCCCTGGACCCCGTATAACATGCTCAACCCCGTTCCTTCTTCATCCCTACGTTCCTCCGTTTCACCTTCGTTCCTTCTTTCTTTTTTCCCTCGTCACACCAGTCATTCGTTAGCTACTTGGTGACATCCGATTCTTCTCGACACTCGTTCTTACAACTACAACCACCCTTTCTCCTGCTTTGATTTCGAAATTATACCCACACCCCCGAACAACATCATGAAGGCCTCAATTGCCTCCCTCGCAACTGCACTCACTCTGGGCGCTTCCACTGTTCTCGGTGCCTCCATTCCCGAGAAGCGTGCCAGCAGTGTCACCCCCATCACCGTCAAGGGTAATGCCTTCTTCAAGGGCAACGACCGCTTCTACATCCGTGGTGTTGACTACCAGCCCGGTGGCTCCTCCAAGCTGGCCGATCCCATCGCCGACGCCGATTCCTGCAAGCGCGACATCAAGAAGTTCCAAGATCTTGGCTTGAACACCATCCGTGTCTACTCCGTTGACAACTCGGCCAACCACGATGAGTGTATGACTGCCCTGGCTGAGGCCGGTATCTACCTCGTCTTGGATGTCAACACCCCCAAATATTCCCTCAACCGTGCCGACCCCTCGCAGTCCTACAACGATGTGTACCTGCAGTACATCTTCGCGACCGTCGAGATGTTCGCCAAGTACGACAACACCCTGGCTTTCTTCTCCGGTAATGAGGTCATTAATGATGGTCCCTCTTCATCCGCTGCGCCCTACGTCAAGGCTGTCACCCGTGACATCCGTGCTTTCCTGTCTGGCAATAACCTGCGCAAGGTCCCCGTCGGTTACTCTGCTGCGGATATCGACACCAACCGTCTCGAGATGGCTGAGTACATGAACTGCGGATCCGACGATGAGCGCAGTGACTTCTTCGCCTTCAACGACTACTCCTGGTGCGATCCCTCCTCTTTCCAGATCTCCGGCTGGGACCAGAAGGTCAAGAACTTCACTGGCTATGGTATCCCTCTCTTCCTCTCCGAGTACGGTTGCAACACCAACACCCGTAAGTTTGAGGAGGTCAAGTCTCTGTACTCGACTCAGATGACTGGGGTGTACTCTGGTGGTCTCGTCTACGAGTATTCTCAGGAGTCTAGCAACTACGGTCTAGTCAAGATCAGCGGTGATTCCGTTAGTGAGTTGCCCGATTACGATGCCTTGAAGACTGCCTTTGAGGGTACCAATAACCCCAGCGGCAATGGTGACTACAACAGCACTGGTGGTGCCAGCGGTTGCCCCGTCAAGTCCGCCCCCAACTGGGATGTCGATGGTGACTCGCTGCCGTCTATTCCCACCCCGGCCAAGAAGTATCTGACCAACGGTGCTGGCAAGGGTGTTGGATTCAGCGGCAAGGGTAGTCAGACCTCTGGCACTCAGTCGACTTCCACTGCCAGTTCCGGCTCTGGCTCTGGTTCTGGTTCTAGCTCCAGTACCTCCTCCAGCAGCAGCGGTACCAGCACCAGCACCAACGGTGCCTCTGCCGGTCTTCAACCCTCTGCTATGAGCTTCGCCCCCGTTGCTGTCGGTCTCGTGACTGCCCTCTCCAGTGTCTTTGGAGCCAGCCTTCTTTTCCTGTAAAATTATTGACATTCTTTGTTCTTTGAACGCCGATTTCATCATTCACACGGCGCATTTGCATTTCTTACGGGGGCCATGGTCTAGGCTTCCTTGACTGAAAGGGCCACAGCTATTATTGATTCACGGAGGTTTATCTTGAGTGTACAGCAGGTCATAATACACACACATTACCTTTTCAGAAACACGAAACGCATGACATCGCTTCCCATCGTAATTGATGTCATTCAAGACTATGTAGACTTCAAAACTTCGAGTTGCCCATCTAGTCTAGGGTTCTATAGCTTGGACTTTGAGCATCTCAATTCTCCTTTCGTCCGGCTTGGAAGTCAATCAGCCCATGTGCCCCAAAACCCTTCATTTCCTCAATTAGCCCTTTGATTCTATAAACCGTTCCCTCCCCCTAACATGGGCCCACCCAAGTCTGACGAGCTCTTTCGACATACCAGAAACATCAGGAGATGCAACCTTCAACTTTGCCGGAACATGTCCAACCGCGTCCTGAGCTTTCCCACATGATCCGCAACATCAGGCCCAAAGCCCTTACAAGACCTCGCACTCGAAGCTCCTCAACTAAGACCTTGCACAAGGACAACGTCGGTTCACGAGAAAAGGCAGAGCACCATTCTCGAAGACCATGTTTCCATAATGTCACTAGACACAAATCAAGCTTCACCTCTCTCGACGTGACATATCAATCGCGTCTGTCGACTCTCATGCCAAGGGATAATGCTATTCCACTGCCGCCTTTGGCTAACCATGTCACTTTGGGTTACTGGTCAATCGCCCTCAAATCACCCAGTCAATCACTGAAACTGAGCATTGCTGGCTGAATAGCCTTTTGCAAGTGGTGTGCTCCCATCTCCAAAGCCCTTTCTCGAGCAGAAGAAGTTTCCATTTCCCGTGACAATGATGCGTGATTCTGTGGGTCTTTGCTGGCGTCTGTCACCGCAGACTTCACGTCTGAGTTCACAGGTGCTATCGACGCATTGCCATTCTTGGTTTGGTCCAAGGCTTTCTTCAGACTGCCTCCTGGGCGTTGCAACTGCAGTCCTTCCGTCTCCTTTGTGAGGTCCAATTGCAGGGAATGAACCATTGAAGGCTTGTTCTTCCCGTTCAGCATGAAGTTGGTTTTTCCTGCAAGTGCTGTCCCAGCTCGACTGTCGTACGTCTTTGAAAGCTGATCTGAGATCCAAACTCCAGTTTCAACGAGCTTGGATAGATCAACGCCAGTCTCGATACCCGCATTGTGGAACATGTACACCAGGTCCTCTGAGGCTAAGTTGCCCTTGGCTCCAGGCGCGAAAGGACAGCCACCGAGTCCTGCTATACTTGAGTCGAAGACTTGTAGCCCGCAGTTGTATGCTTCCCAAACATTTGCTAAAGCTTGGCCATACGTGTCGTGGAAGTGACCGGCAAGTTTCTCACGAGGAATATCATTGCTGAGAAGGTAAGTAAGAAGGCTGCGCACGGTTGAAGGTGAGCCGATGCCTAGTGTGTCGCCTAGACTGACTTCGTAGCAGCCTGCATCGAGGAGTTCTTTCACGCAGCGGAGGACCGATGCTGGTTGCGTGGGTCCATCGTATGGGTCTGCGAATATGCATGAGACATAACTGCGGCAGTCAGCGCGATGGTCATGGGGAAATATAAGTGGACTCGACTAACCCTCGAACAGCGATCCTCGATTTCAATGCTAGAGAGGCAACAGTCCTCGCCCTCTCTATGCCTTGCTCAACAGAGCAATTGATATTAGCCTTACTGAACCCCTCAGTAGCACTGATAAAAACAGCAATATCTTTAACACCATGCTGGATCGCAATGTCCAGCCCTTTAACATTCGGCACCAAGACAGGAAGTCTCAGATCTCTCCCACCCATCTTCTTAACCCGCTCATCCCGAAGAACGTCCCGACAATCCGCCAACTGCGGAATAACTCTGGGGGACACCACAGACGTCAACTCAATCGTACTGAGTCCCGTCCCCTCAAGCCTGCGGATAAGTTCCAGCTTCGTCGACGTGGGGACCGAATCTGGAATGTTCTGTAATCCATCTCGGGGTCCTACTTCCACGATTCGGACAGATGAAAGACTTTGCCCAGTCATGGTGCCACAGCGGTGTGAAATGGAAATATTCTATAAAGGTAGCATCTAGTGAGCTTGGTTTGAATATAACATAGATCATGACCAGACCTCGGCTGATGAGATACGACCCTACGTACCGGATTTCCTCTGCAACTTCTTGGCATTGCCCTTCCGGTTTAGTGCTGAGGCATTGCCGCTTTATGGCTCCCTGAGTAAATTTGAGCACGCCTCTGATCAGATCAGTGTTTTATCACGTAAGCGCTATAATCTGCACTCTGAGCATCGGCTGAACAATCTGATCACCTAAATGGACCTCGTCAAAGTGATTCGCTCACTGAGCAGATCCTGATCGTTTGGATAAGCAGCCCATGAAGTGACCTCAATAGAATGCCGTAAGCCAAGGAGGCTCACGCGCCACATTCTCTCATCAGTTACCCCTATGATCGCACCAAAAAGAAAAAGTAGTGGCATCATTATTGACGTGATGACCGGACCTACTACTCAATTAAATCACTGAATTATGAGTATTATACTATAACATACGCTCCAAATACTTCTTTCAATATCTCTATGTTTTCCTTATCAGCCGGTGAAGGCTATCAGTGCTGAGGCAAATAGATAAGGCTGTTGAAATACTTGTATGACGACACGGCCTTATACATTGATGCTTTTGGCTGCTTTAACCTATTTTGTCAGTCATATAGCAACGCCCATGGTCTGACCTTATGCTTTCGCACCCCTTCCTATTAATATACATTCCCTCGCCTCTGGAATCTCACTGTTAATTGTTAGCAGGTTCTTCATGTATTCTCATGTGATGCCGAAATAGGTGTCAAAATATGAACTGTATGAATTGGGTGCGTGGGAACGGTGCTATAAGAGTACTAAGATTAGTCCTTTCTCATCGATCCGTGTCTATACTAACAGCGCTGTTCAACATGTTGATGCTTTATTTTGCTCTTCAAATGCCTAGTTTCGTAGTATAGATGTACTAGGGCCACTCTAGGACTAGTGTTTCAGCCAATGAAGAGTTCCGCTTTCTCTGAGTCCTGGACATAACATCATTGCATTTATGTTTTGTTGGCCATCTTTCTTTGATTTAAGCTATTTGGGTGCGGGCACAATAGGGTTAAGAAAATAGTGATGCGAAAGAGAGCGATGAACGGACGTCAGTAAGAGCCCTTTACCTGGTCAAGATGCTCCTCGATCTTCATTTCCGATGCATATTACAATCAATTTTACTTGGCGAACCAAAATGCAATCAGGTTCCCTATACGACTTGCTCTCGTCTGAGCCAATTTTTCTCGAGTTGAACAAGTCGCCAGGCCTATCATCCGAAGGTGACCACGACATAGGAAAAAAATCTTATTCAAAAGTTTCAGAATTCCAATATATGCAAGATTGAAGTCCAGATAACAGACGGCTCACACCTCACAAATTTTCCATCTATTTGGGTTGAAGCACGCCGCCTTCGTCGGTACGCTAGGATGGCAGATAGGGTAGAATCAAGTTTTATTTAAAGGCCACTTTTCCAACGATGAACAATGATCACACCGTTAGAACAGATATTTTGAGCAATCTATCGAACGGTTTTTCTGCCATGTCTTGCCACTTCATAGGGTGCCAATCCGCCTTCTGTCAGAGAGGATGACTGGATATGGAGATGTGTGTAAGAGTAGTGAATTAATGCTATAGAAGAAGTAGGTATAACAGGCTGCAAACACCTTCAAAGTCACATTGGACTGCAATTGAGCCACTAGAGTATTGAGAGGTGACCCATTCTTATAGAAATCGTGTCTGCGTTCTGCTTGGAAAACCTGTCACTTTAGTTTCGACGGAGTCAGAATGCGAAGACTTCACAATACTTGTACAATACCAAATGGTATTACATTTATCTAGCCATCGTAAGATGGCTATATGATTCGTTACATTCAGTAATTCATGCCACACCAATCCTGGTTCAAATTTGAAAAGCAGGCGTCTCCATAGTGAACACATAGAGTTAGGACTGGAACACTCGGCCCATGTGAAGAATATGATGAGAAATTCTTCTGTTCAGAATATGACCGATTTGTGATACCAAATTACAAACAATCATGGGATACCTTCCCTGGGGCGGGAATTCCCACACAGTCGATTTCGAGTTTCCCCCGAACAATGGTGTGGGGTTCTTGAGCCAGCCATTCCTCATGTATTTTCGAACTGACTGAACTTGTCACGTATTGTAGTGGTCTAGGGTGGAGTCATCGCACTGGGCTTCTTCAAGTCGTAATTCCGATGAACGACTTGAAACATTACAATCCACCTTTGATCGGCAGTGTTCGAAAGCCTCCACGTATTGATGGCCGGTCTGTCGAAACGAGCTTAGTGTCCAAGCAAATGCTCCTCTCTTACCATCCACATTTTGCAAGCCTTAAATAGGGAACAAATTGTGTCATTGTCTTCACCATGGTATCTTCTGATCGCATCTCTTGCACGAGCGGACAATTAGGTCAAGGTATATTCCACTTGTCCAAATCATGAATGAATAGTTTAAATGCCTCTATTGTCATCGCATGTGAAAGGTGACACTATCTTGTCATTCAATCGTGAGGGCTCAATCATGATACTGTGGTGGGTATCTCGCTTACCGGTAACGCCTCAGTAAAATAACGTGGTCACTTCGCCGTAATTAATCATGATTAAACTGATGTTCAGAAGATCGCCTGCTTAAATTGCTTTAAATGATTCCTCGGCCCTCATCATTGTCACTTTGGATTTTATTTTATCTTTGCCTCACATTGGCTACCATAATACAAGAAGCGAGTCCAAAGCGAAAGCGACCGAAAATGTCAGTCAATACTCAGAAGAGCCTAATGGCCCTCAACTCTACCCAGAAAACCCTTTCAGGTGTCGAGATACCTGTGCTAGGTTTTGGTGTAAGTGCGTGAACAATTACTAAACTCGGATCTTGTTGTTATTATTGCTGCTGCTCTTGTTTTGAATCATTTCTACTTTTTGTATTGGAAAAATTCTAACCTCTATTTCAGGTCTACGAAGTGTACGCTATGTTTCCTAGGGATTATTTTTTTTTTTTGACTGGTAATCTAGACCGGTTACTGAGGCCGAGGAAGTGACTACCAAGGCACTGAATGCCGGATATCGCCATGTAAGCTGGTTTGCATTCCTTATCATATGATAGTCTTGACTGACTGAGGATTGTCTGCAGGTTGATTCTGCTGCATGGTATGAAAATGAGATGCAATGCGTGTCTGCGATTCAAAAGGCTGGACTGAAGCGTTCAGACGTTTTCCTGACTACCAAAATCCTCCCAGAGCCTGCGGGCAAAGGCGTCGGGTATGAGGCAACCAAGAAGTCAATTCAACAAAGTCTCAAGCATGCCCAAACAGACTATTTTGACTTGTAAGTCATACTCATATCATAAAGTTGACAAACGGTGGGCTAATTACGAATAGGATCCTTATCCATGCACCATATGGTGGAAAAGAAGCCCGACTCGGCACTTGGCGTGCGCTCGTCGAAGCGCAGGAAGCTGGACAAGCCCGCTCGGTTGGTGTGTCAAATTACGGCATCCATCACTTGGAAGAGCTAGAGGAATACATTCAAAGTGGAGGTGGCGGCCAGATTGAGGTGGGCCAGTATGAACTGCACCCATGGCTAGGACGTGCCGATCTGGTACAGTGGTTGCGCCAACGGGGGGCAATTATCGAGGCTTACTCCCCGCTTGTCCGAGGTAATCGTTTGAATGAGCCTGTTCTACAAACTTTGAGTGAAAAGCACAACAAGTCGCCAGCCCAGATCTTGATTCGCTGGAGTCTTCAAATGGTAAGTATATCAATCCAACCATTTCCCGACCGTTATACTCAAGCTAATCTCGGTGCCTGTGCAGGGATTTGTCCCATTGCCTAAGTCTTGCACTCCGGAGCGGATTGTTGAGAATGCGGATGTTTTCAATTTTCAGCTGGATGAGGATGACATGGAGCTTCTGCATACTGATGAATATTCACCTTCCCCGTGGGATCCTACCGTTGATCGAGACTAAAGTGGCACTAATGAGGGTTTGAACGCGATGAGCTCGCGGCATAGCAATTCGGCAAGTGTACAATGTTGATTCCCAAAGCTGAAGTCTTCAGTCTACTGTCTTTATGTACGATGAAAATGGCTTTTCTTGGTAGGTATAAGGGAGATATTCTTCAAATAGATAACCATTTCCATGACTCAGGGAGTGATAACCACCACAAAATCATGATTGAGCCCTCACGATTGAACATCGAGAGCCTAAGTAAGGATGAAAGAGTGCTTTAAATTTGGTTAATGCACCAACTAGTCCCGAATAGGTTGGACACGACGGAAAGTTATCATCCGAAAGATGCAGCCTCTGGGGGATCCCGGCCATTGAATCAAATGATAACAGAATTGTTCGATTGATACGCATCGCAGCTGATCGATCAGTCAAACAATGATCGGCACGTTGCGGGTGATACTATGTAAGGACAATTAATAGAAGTAGCTTGAAACAATGCGATTCTAATCAAGGAATCGATCAATCATCGAAAAGCACGCCACTAATAGCCACGTGGCTTTCTCTTTCCCTCAATGTTTCGCGCCACGGTGAGTAAAGATGAAACGCGTAAGCCAGAAGCTCAAGACTGCATCTCCACATTCTTAGAAATTAAGGAAGCAATTGACCCTTAAGTGTAAGTCAGCCGTGCTTCCTAAACAGACACAAACGGAATATAAGTGTGAGTCAATCGGGCATTGGGGGGGCAGCAATGCGTATCGATCAGTTCAGCTGCGGGGCTTGCAAAATTGGCGACGGAACTGACGTGCTCCCAAGCGAAAGGCCTTGAATACGGGCCCTGGATGTACCAGGGTCCACTTCATTAACTATTGAACTTTCACAAGGAAACTGGTGTTGATGTATCATCGTATCCCGCCAATGTTATTTTACTGACAGGCATATGATTACATAAATGCATCTTAGTATTGGACGGTATTACAGTAACGATTCACGTGCGTATATCACCCATTGGAATCACGACCCTCGTACAGTAGTCTCGGTCTGATACTTTTTTGAAAAATAATGCAAGGAGAGAAAAGAAAAAATCAATTTCCTGTTTTCACATCAAATGATAGGCTCAGTCCTGAATTGTTCCTACTCACACCGTTTCCTGTGAAAATTACGTGTTTGACCGTAAGAGGCAATGTTTTTGTTGCTGCTGCGTAGTGCATCTTCGGTATGAACGTGGTCAACTGCGCAATGTTTCGAAGTAAATAGAAATGACATAGATTCCACGAATCTAACTGAAAGATCTATTTTCACAGCACTTGGACTCCAGGAGTGATCGATAATTCCGAGCAGACGCCCACTCCAACTTCAGAAAACGAACATACGCTGGATAAATATACACATTATCGAAAACTGACTATCGAGAATCAGGATCACCATTGTGGAAGTCCAAGAAATGGACGAACCACCCTGCGATAACGGGATCTGTTCGCAATAATCAATGCCAATATTGCAAAGCTTTGATGCAGACTTACTAAGATAAGAGTAATAGTTACCATGCTCATGAAGACCCCAAACCAGTCGACCATTCTGAGCTTCCAGCAAATACCCTGGGTGGTATATGACCGAAGCAGAACCATGGAGATATAGATGACCGCCACCGCAGCCAACGGGCCTATAAACCAGAATATCCATCGCCAGCGGGCCCAGTCCATTCCCCAATGCCAATGATGCCAAACTGAGAACCCATCTGTTCTAGAGAAGTGTAGTCTGGTACGGCAATCTGAATGAGAGCATTGATCGCTCCAGCTCCAATTCCGCTAAAGGCCTGCGCCGTAAGTAACTCACCCTTCGTGCGTGAGAGCCCCAAAGCAATGTTCCCTAGGGCCATGATGACCATGGCAAAGATAAGACATGTTTTCCTGCCTAAGATATCAGATAGCCGGCCCTTGATCAGCTGGATGCTGTTACTGGTGATCCAAAAGCTGACGCCAACCCAAGAAATGGGGTGGCCGATGTTCTCGCACACAGAGGAAATATGGAAAAAATACGGGATAAACCGCGCTGGAATGGATTTGAGGTCAGCTGTGACTCTGCAAAAACCAATGTACCTTCCAGCCACCTACGTTTTATGTTGGTAGGCGTGTGAATATCGTGACTAGTAATCATACCACCGTACCGTCATAAACACCGTACCGTCATAAACACCGTACCTCGAATTACCGATCGTTGATACGAACACCGAACATCGCGCCGATGCATCCACAGGAACGGAATCCGCCGTAAAAGCGGGCTCGGGGTGGACAAGATCCAAATGGTGCGCCAGGACGGCTGAAGATGCCATTTTCCCGTGTGTAATGAAGTTGGAATTGGATCCGCTCGATAACAAAGAGCTTGGCATGAAATCACGAAAGAAGCACTTTGTCGATCACAACGCGGATTGTAGACCATGGCGCAGGTCACATTGAGCTACGGGCTCTAGAAGAATCTCAAGGTCACCCAAAAATAGCTGAGCCGAACAAGATGCATGCACCACAACACATGCTGAATGATCAGTGTTATCGGAGAATTGGTGGAAAAATCTAGAAATGGCTGAGGACTGTAGAAGCCATCGATCCCTCACTGAGGTGCGACCGACCCCACGATGCAATGCATGAGACACGGCTGATCTCGATCGAGGATCTGCATGCCGGAAGCTACGTAGTACCCCTCGAGGCTTTTCGACGGCGCGCACTAGCGCAGTACAGTACGCGAAGAAGTATGTGGGTCCCGTTCCATACTGGTACCTTGCAGGCATCAGTCATCTCGTACCAAATTACGAGGATCGTTCGTTTGTTCTGGACGAAATAGCTGAAGCGTACAATTTACGGTCAGCCACCCATGGAGATGACCGAAAAACCTAGAGCCCTCTGACCCCAGCATGAATGTCAAAAACAGCGGTGGGCAAAGTCCACTATCTCTACATCGGTCGGATCTATGCTGTAATTTGCGGTGATATTGTGGAAGGTCCACGATCGTAGCAAGCATTTACTAGTTATCTCCGTGGCCATTCTTTTCTCACGATAAATTTCAGCACCTGCTCCTCTCTGTTCTGAGCAGCGACGAAGCATACAAATAAGCCCTTGCTATAGGATCACATAGTATACGTCTGAGTCCCACCTCCGGGTCAGGGTCTGAGTTTAAGGCGAATAGATTCGGGCAATTGGGGAGGTTTTGGTATTTTGTTCATGTCTTGGACACAGAATCGCTGCATACTAGGCCTAGTTGACCCGTCCTCTCATTCTTAGCAACAGCATCCCTCTCCTGCGCAACCTCTCTCTAAGTTACACTTAACGCGCCTAGGAGATCTTTGGCAGGACTTCATGGGCGTTCTTTCCCTTCCAATATATCTACCGTCCTTATACTCCTTCGAGACCTTTTACCGTCCGGAATTCCTTACTGCGGAATTCATTCGGCCACTAAAGTATAATTTTTTTGGAGATGGTGACCCGTAGTCCGTTGTTCCTCAAAAATCAAAAATAGATATAGGCTCGTTCACTGTACTTTTCGTTAGCTCGCCTAGGCAGTTAATGGAATCGGATGGCTGTGATGAGTGGCTTCATATCATGCCGGAAGAATTAATATTATTACTAATCTAGATGATGCTAAAAGCCTACCTGCTAGCGGCGTCTTCCGGAATGTGCTTCTCTATATAGCCTCGCTACCGGGATAGGGTATGAGTGAGAGCTATAGCTTTGCTTTTCCTATAAGATCATAGAATCAGCTGTCTGACTCGCTAGTGCTAGATGTTAAGGTCTTGACGAGAAAGAATTGGATCAAGGCCAGGTTTGGTGTCCTGCGAGGCGAGATCAAGAAGGACTGCAGCCGTATTGTCACCGGCATAGCGCCGGGCGATACATAGGAATAACAATAAGCGACTCGTGACTTCGCCGCTGGGAAACTTCTGTCCAAATATGAAGCATATAATTTACTTGGTAAGTTATCTCCATACTGTTCTAGCGAAGGAGTAAATCGTCTAGATGTAAATCACGACCTTGGGAGTTCGTGACAGCTGATATGCGGGTATTTGAAACCCGCTAGTATCAAATGCATATTTTACACACACAGTCCCAAATCAAAGATACAGGTGGGCCTCTCAAGGTTCGGTTTCAAGATTCTCCAAACTCAATTGCACTCTGCATTTTCAGCCCTGACTCTAGTGTCTCTTCTCAAGGATCGAAGACATCCCAATTCGGGGTGGATATGCCTCAGCTCCTCCTGACAATGCCGAGATCTCCACCCATGAGCCCGCCGAAACGACGAGATCGTACGACCCGACTTCACCGTGTTTGGCATGTTTGTTGATCGATCTTCGGAGCAAAGCAATCTGAGCGATCCGAAATATGACGAGCAACACTTACAGACGGCAAGCCTTTTAAGCCTCTTGCTGTGCCTCACGATGCTTTTTTGGACTCTGCCTCCGAGAAAATTTCACTATCGATTGATGCGGTGTCCTACGACGCTGTAGATTGCTCTTTGATCGTTGCTTGGGAAGTGTGCTAAGAATCACAGGAAATGCAACTGCGGCAAGAAGCGCCGCCATGGGGTCGCTTAGTGCTGGAAGTGGAAGGCTGATCGGAGCGCCTCAGATTCAGCAAGAAAACCATACATTTACTATTCTAAATGAAATATGTTCCAATTTGGCGTTATCTCGCTCGATCGCGTGATTCGGACGGGCAAGGGTTGGGGTGAGAAAGCCTATTGAAACACCTCAAGAGATTATCAGAAAGTCATCGACGAATTATAGGTCATTATAGGTCAGACTGCCCTCTTAGATATAGACCTAGCTCGGACTGAGTGCTCAACAGACGCGTCAACTGAAATCTATACGTAGTCAGTGAGCAGCTCACTGAGCCTGAGCCCGGACTGAGGTTTACTCAGGGAGCTTCCGAGCGCCCCCGTAAAAGCGGCGGCAGCTTGACAAGGAAGACCATCAAGTACGTACGACGACCTAGGTATGCACACAGGTCGCGCCCGGCCGGACCAAGTTGTTCCGCAGGACACTTGCTATATTGCGCTGGCTTTTCTGTGGTCCCGGATGATGTGCTTCTTTTGCTCTCCGCTCCCAGTCTTCCAAAATCGCTTCCTCTTTTTAAATCCAGAATGTATATTCTAGTGTTTTATGCTGACTGAGCTTCCCACCTTTGCCTTGCTACAACGAGAATCCCGAACCCACCAATTACCAGGAAAGCCCTTGCCTTCTTCTTTATCCCCTAATACCTCTTCTGCAACGCAAACCCGCTAAGACACCACTAACCGCTCTCTCCTGTCCCAAAAATTATCCCCTCCCATGGAATTTCGCAATCGTACGCGGCACCACCCTGTCAACCGCCTCGCCCGATTCTCGGCGTTATCCTCAGTAGAATTAGTAGATGTATCCGGCGAAGTATTCGTTACCCCATTCGCAATCAACCCCTCCTAGAGGCCCAACGTTCAGGCACGATCGGAGACGACTCGAACTTTGCAATCTGATAAGCCGGAATTCTTTTCGATCGGTACCAGAATTGAAATTGCCAATAATCGTGTTTCATGCCGCGATACATGTGTGCTACCTGGGAGTGCTCCCCGTTCTCGGGTGAGCATCCGGGCCTGGGCAGAACGGGCTTCTAAGCCCTTTTCCGGCGTGGGGTACCGGACTCAAACGTTCGATTAACAGTTTGGTTCTCATCTGAGAATCGTTCTAGTAAGGAATACTTAACTTTCATCTTCAATTGGAAGACCGAGTTATTAATCCTAGTTCCCTTCGCCCAACCCAGAACATCGAAATTTTCTCGGTTGATTGGATTAATGGTGACTTTTCGAGACAAAAGTTCTGTGGAATTCTCCGTTGGCATACAGGCACTTCCTGCGATCTGGTCCCAATAAAGCTCGTCGCCATGGATGATAGGTCTTTCACCACTGGCCCTTACGTTACATATGTGAAATTATCAACGGCGATAGCTGAGTAGCTTCCAAGGGCCCCTTTTCGCCTCATTCTTTGTAAGATTCACTGTATTTCAACAAAGCTTCCTTGCCCAGTCAACCAAGGTTCCACACCCCTGGTAAGCAACGTAATTCCAAACGCCTAGTATCACTAGATTTGACACTGTGTTTGTCTGCGTATGATGTTTAATTAGACCAGATTCAAATGTTTTTCAATTGTTGGGAAGCTTTGAATCAACTACCGGATCGGGCTCCGGATCAGGATCCGGATATCACGTACCGAGCAACTCTAATTGTGGGTTCCCCGCATTTTGCCAAGCGCCCGAGATCTCGTTTTACAAAGCCCGCCACCTCGGGATCTCTTCACAAATATCGATACAACGGGGCTGTATTCGCCATGTCTGTGAATTCTTCACCTGCAGATACACAGGACGCTCAAGAAGAGCGATTGGCGCTACCCAGATACCAATGTACGATCTGCTCGCGGCGCTACAAACGGCGCGAACATCTCTCCCGCCACACGACTTCGCACACAGCAGAGAGACCTCATCGATGCAAGTCTTGCAACGGTTCTTTCCAGAGAGCCGATGTCCTCAAACGCCATTATAGAAACTGTACAGGTGGAAGCTCGCGATCTGGAGCTCGCCGGCGCGCCTGTGATCGATGTGTTCGGCAGAAGAAAGCGTGCAGTTCGCAATATCCTTGCCAAAATTGTGCCAAAAAAGGCATTGCGTGTTATTATAATGAAGGCTTTGATGATATCGATACCCGGGAGCGAATCGGACCGCTTGATTCGACACAACCTGACAGAGGTACAAATCAAACTGAAGCTGCCTCATCAGCGAGTATGACCTTACCTTTCGGTATTACCTCAGAGGACTTGCAGGGCTTTGCAACAAGCACTTTGGACGATATGTTGGGTCCGGGTGGGCTCGGGCAGACTACACCGAACTGGCTTGACCTTTTTGGTCCACCATCCGGTCGGATTGTCTCCGAGGACCTGTCAGTGGCCCAGGATCACCATTCACTATATTTCCTCGATAGATTCACAAGCAACACAGGCTTAGTGGCAAGTTTTGAATGTGGAACTCAAGATCAGAGAGAGCAGGTCGCCTCTGCATTGGAGGTCGAGGCTCTACACACAGATGTCCCAGGGCACTCGATATCACCCGGAATGCCTTTGGACATGACGCCGCCCTTATTGGAGAATATCAGTGACCCCAGCACTGAAAGTTGCCTGCCGCTGAATTGGCTGGGTGATCCACTGTCACTGAAGACTCACGAAATCCTTTTGCTCATTGAGGAAGTTGTAACGATCAAACCGCGAAACAGTGCGGTGACGCTTGACTGGTCAGCATCACTGAAGAATTCATGTCTTCAATTCTTTTCACCATGGAATCTGCGCAGATTCCTGGGAATGTATTGGGCTATCTGGCACCCGAACGTCAACTTTGTTCATCGGCCCACGTTTGACCCGGTGTCCGCAAAGCCTGCTCTTGTAGCCGCCATGGCTCTGATGGGTAGGCTTCTCTCTCTCAGAGGTTGAATTGAAAAAATGCTAAAACAAAACAGGAGCTTGCGTGTCGCCGGATATGCCAGATAACGAGGACGCGCGGATGTGGTTGAATTGCGTGGAAGAGATTGTCTTTATTGACGATGACTTCAATGCTGATCTCTCAAATCGCTCGTCAGGTCGCTTAGCGACCCATCGCAGGAAAATCCAAATTCTTCAGGCCGCGTTCGTAGTCTGTCTTTACCAAACTTGGGAAGGAACAGACTCCAGCAAAGGACGTGTTCGCCGGTATCGCTTTGCCACGTTGGTATCGGTGAGCGAGCTCTGGTGACGGATAGTTGGTCATGATGCTAACACTTACAGACTGCACGAGACATCGGAATTGCGACAGCCACACACTTAGACTACGCTAACCTAGCAAGGCATGAATTTGAGTGGAAAGAATACGCTGCTCGCGAAGAGCTCATCCGGTATGTGTCGATAATAGACTCGTGGATACCGGTACTGACTGAGCAGAGTATTCACATGGATATTCCTACTTGATACCGCTTTTGTTATATTCAACAATTTACCACCTCGCTTTGTCATTAAAGAGATGAAGATGCATATGGCTTCTCCGGAGGCATGCTTCCAAGCACCGACAGCAGATGAATGTCATAATCAGATTCAGCTCCATCTACCGACTGGGAGCCTTTATTGGAATATCTCGTTTCGCGGGGCATTGGAGGCTTTATCAAGGAAGAGTTTACCACCGACAATGTGTCAAGCGCTCGCAGATTTGGGACATCTGAATCTTTTTGCCTTGGCATCAGGTATGCAGATTTGACTCGACTTTTGGAAGGCAAAGGCTTATCAAACGTCTTATCTAGCTATTCATTCACAGATATTCCAGTATCGCAGCTCGGTGAGCACCTGGCATAACCTTACCCCGGTTCTCAATACATTGAGAAATTGGCGAAGTGCTTGGCAACTTTTTTCTTCCGCGGCTTTTTTCGGCGTCTCTCCACATATCACAGTCAATGACCAACACCTTGATCCTGAAACAATGTGGAAGAGAACTGGTTTCACTCGTTTCTGTCATGAGTATTGGCTTTTGGCCAATCTCATGGCAGACCGCCTCGTTGCATTAGGGCGCTTGCAGGACACCGAGTTGACGGTTCTTGGAGAGGGTCCGTTAGATCCTATTCTGAACCAATATGACCAGACTAGTATGCGACAGGTGAATGACCTTATCATGGGCTTCCAAACGTTTCAAATATGAAAAATATGAATCGTGACATCGCAGAATTCACCCCTGTCAATTTTAGTAGAGAAAAGCTTTCCTCGCCTTGAGGTAAAAGAGAGGCAGAAAAAGTAGACCTCATGTCGTACCAAGAGGATTTAAAGCCACCAAAACTCTCCTGGATCCTACATCTTGAAGATCACTGGCAACAATCTCCCTTTGTAAATCCGGACCCTTGACCTTCCGTGGGAAATGTGCACGGGGTACCCCACAAGTCCGCAGCCCCCCACCTCCGCATCCGCGGCCGACCATAGGTACCCCACTCGAGGACCGACTTTAGAGGTCAAACTTGAATTCATAGCTAGAAAATGAGAGCTTACCGGTCGGAAACGTGGGGTATGGGGAAAGGAAGCACTGGGCCCGTCGCCTAGGTATAAAATGCTCGTCCTCTCCATTCAATAGAAAGAAATCATCGAATGATCTTTTGATGAGGCCAAAATGCTATCTTTAACTCTAGTTATTGGCATCGCCATCGCCGCCACGATCCTATCTCGGCTCTTGAGGGTAGGACATCGGCCCAAGAATTACCCTCCTGGCCCGCCAACCTTACCTATTCTAGGAAACATTCACCAGGTTCGATTTCCAGCTCCTTGGTACCATGCACACCCATACTAAGTGTAGTCATACTCAAGATGCCCTCGCGTGATGCCCATCTCCAATTTGAGAAGTGGGCACGTGAATATGGCCCAGTCTATAGCCTCATGCTGGGTACAAAATGTCTCATCGTGCTGTCTAGTGACGAAGCTGTCAAAGAGTTACTAGATAAAAAAAGCGGGATTTACTCGGACCGACAGGAGATGTACATCGGCCAGACATTGTGCAGTGGAGATCTGAGATTATTGATGATGGTATGTTATCCGTACTCAAATTGGCATGGACTTTATTAATCCAAGATAGGGATATGGACCGAAGTGGCGCGGGGTATGTACTTTTCTACGGTTCAACAAGATCTGTAATGTTAACAAGAGCAAACAGTTCCGTAAAATGATGCACGGCTTGCTTAATGTGACTGCTTCGAAGAAATACGTCCCTTATCAAATGCTGGAGAACAAACAAATGCTCTACCAGTTTCTCGAAGAGCCAGATAATTTCTTACGGCACATTCGTCGTTACTCAAATGCGCTTACGACGACGATGGTATTTGGATGGCGCACGCCTGTATACGAGGATCCCAAAATGATGCAGCTTTTCGACGGTTTCTCTGAATTTGCAGTCATCAATCAGACCGGGACAGCGGCTCTCATTGACTTCTTCCCTGGCTTCGGAAGCTACCCGAGTTTCTTCTCCCAGTGCAGCGAAAAGCGAAAGAGCTCCACATGCACGAAAAGGCTCTGTATCTTTCGCATTGGATGCGTGCTAAGCAAGAAACGCAAGAGAATACAATCAAACCATGTTTCTCTGCTGGAATGTATGAGGCGCAAAAAAAAGATGGCTTCAGCGACGACCAGGCAGCCTACTTATCCGGAACATTGCTCGAAGCTGGGTCCGACACGACCTCTAGCACACTATACGCATTTGTGCAAGCCATGCTTCTTTTCCCTGAAGTTCAACGTAAAGCCCACGAGGAGATCGATCGCATTATCGGGCCCGACCGGCTGCCCGACATGGATGACCTGCCCAAACTGCAGTATATTCGCAGCTGCATGAAGGAAACACTTCGTTGGATGCCAACCACTATTCTTGGCGCAGTTCCTCATGCGGTGACTCAAGATGATGTGTACAAGGGCTATCTTATTCCAAAAGGTGCAGGAGTGATTAATAACGTGTGGGGAATTGGAATGGATCCTGGTCGCCACCCGAGTCCACGCACCTTTGACCCGGATCGGTATCGAGAGGACTATCAGAGTCTTGGTGATGCAGCAGCTAACCCGGACGCGTCAAAACGAGATGCGTTTACCTTTGGTGCGGGCCGCCGAATCTGTCCTGGCATTCATGTTGCTGAGCGCAGTCTTTTTCTCGGCATGTCTCGTATCCTTTGGGCTTTCAGTATCAAGCCTGCTTTGGATGAGAAAGGCTTGCCCATCGTACCTGATCCTGATCGTTTGACTCAGGGCTTTGTTTGTATGCCTGAAGAATTTCCCGCTAGTATAGCCCCGAGGTCACAAGCGCGTGCAGATGTGGTGGTTCGAGAGTGGAAGGAGGCTGAGAAATTGCTTCATCCAGAGACAAAGCAATGGCTGCAGCCACCCGTGGAGACCATCTCAGTTTGACAGTCAGAAAACAAGAATCATTTGTGGGCTTGATAATTTTGGTCCCAAGGGTTGCGTGGCTGATGTCGGCTAACTTGGGAAAGAGGAGGTCGGTCTGGACTGATCATCCTCATCAACCATTTGTGCAAGGAGTAGGAATGGGGGTCAGATAAGTTACACAGGCGTATTCATATTGCACCGACTATGCGTCAAGGATTCATGGCCTGACTGTTAGACATTAGTCAAATTGTACCAAAATTGAGGGCCTATTTGCTTGTATATCAGACTTCCAGCTGAGATGGACAGCTACTGTATCTCGTGGAAAAGCCTATGCTGGATTCACCTTTTGGCCTTTTGTCCATACATAAGACACAGGATTATATTCTTGCTAAGAGCAATTAATCCCCTTCCGAACGCATCATCAGGTCGTGGGTTTCTAGCCAATGCCGGGCTTGCAATCACCTCGATCTTTGTTCGCAGCCATCGCGCGGTCGGGAAGCTAACCCAAAGCAGAAGGAGCTGCAAAGCCAGCCATAAAAGTACACGCTAGAACTGAAGCATTACGATCGCAATCGCGGATTGCAATTGAGGTCTACGAGGGAACAATAGAAGAGTACAGACAAGTAGTTGGAACACTCAGTGATTTGAGTTAGACATCGGTCGCGTTGCGACAGCTGGACTCCATCGCGCAAGGTCTGGGATGTGGTTGTCCGCTGATCAATAGAACACCCTGTCCTATAAGGCCCTTTGCTTGGGGTATTAATGTTTAATTCCCATGTCGGACGGGCGCTTATTAAAGCGCTAGTCTCAGTAGATTGATTGAGGCTTTGCTTGTGCACGCGCCGCGAGATTGTGGCTTGCATTAGGAAGGAAATTGTGATTTTCAGAGGCATGGCTTGGGGAAGCCTCGCCGGACCGATGTCCAGTCTCTTCATGACTGACCCAACTACGAATCCAAATGTATTAATATTGTAATTAGAGTCGCGCCAAATCAGGATCTCGCGCACTCGCTCGCTGGAGAATCGGCAGGCAAGGACCTGGTGGAGTTGGGTACTGGTGATTGAATCACCAGCAGCACTCGATTGAACGAAGTTATTGTGAATATGGAATATTGAGCATAGAGAACGCCCTGAAAGCTGTCGTCGAATACTTGGCACTTGAGTGGTCGAGAACCTTGAAATGTTCCCATGTTATTTTGGCGTTAAGCGGGAATTATCAAAGCCACAAACTAAACTGGCAGGGGATTGGGAGAGCAGCTAGGGAGCACTCGAGGCGTCTAGCCTAGCATTGAGCAATATTTCTACACGAACGGAAGTGACTTTGCGACAAGTAGAGCGTCACCATGCTAAGGCTTTGCGAAGAGCAAATAGTGTCCAGCAAGGTATAAATATGCTTGTCAGCACCGCTGCTCTGCACTGAACGTTCCACTCGACCGGCTGCGAAGTACAATACATTCGATCACTTTTCATGTAGCTGTGCCATCTTATTTCAATGCGGTTTTTTCTTGAGCAGGAATCTGAAAGAGATTGTGAGGATTGTGAAGTCAGGCTTCAGCGCTGAAATTATTTTTGTTATTGTGCGTTCTCGGATGGCTAAAAAGTGTCCCGGCATGGAGATGTCTGACGAAATGAAGACAACAGTTGCTCTTGGTAAATTGGGGTCGCGGGGACTACTGACAATCTCAGAGTGAGGTATGATTCAGGCCAAAGCGGGGAGAAACAAGTCCAAAAGAGACCACGTCAAAAAAACCCCCCCTTTAACGAGTCAGCTCTGCCGTAGGTGGAATCCGATCTGGAAAGGCAGTAGCGGTACTTGGACACGGTGAGGGAGCGGTCTTAATATCAACGAGAACAATTGGAAAAGAAAAATGCCTCAGGTGTACAAAATCACTCATAGTTAAGTGAGATGAAGTGACTAGTCGAGCTGTGGAGATCGGCTGAATTTGCAGAACGGTAGGTCGGGCCACCCGTTTCTCTATGGAGCTTAATTTTCCTTATCATGGACCTCTTTTGCCGCGTTTTAGTGTTAGCGAGAAAAATTACGGATCGAGGTACCCAATTTGAGGAAATTCCGAGGGATCCTTGGGAGATTGCGGGATGACATCGTTACATGTGAAACAGAACCTGTGAAACCATTTCCAGGCAACTGCGCGTATGGAGAAAATCCAAATAAAAAAAAGCCCCCCAGTGCGACGCCACTTAAGCGAACCTAGTGCACAGCCACCTCCATCTGAAACTTGATCTTGCCAAGTGTTGGCCCAGCTAGAGGTGATCTCTCATGTATGCAACACCGTGCACGACACACCAGCTCCATAGGGAACCGAGCGGACTTTTCCACGACCAAAGGGGGGAATTTAGCTAGGGCTAGCGCTGCGTGTTCCCCGGACCAATTCAGCAATTCCGTGGGTGGAATATGTATGAGGGATTTGTACTTCAGATCTAGCACCGATCTGGCAGGCCGAGGACATACACCGGTGCCTGGGAGATTGTTTCCTGGGGGAAAATTCCGTTTGGTTTTTTCCCCCTGGACAGTGGAGGCAGCTCTGCAAATCTCCTGCCGAGGCCTCCCAAAAATCCCTCACGCTGTAAGCACAACCACATTTTCCATGTCCCGCAAAGACCTTTCTAGAGCGTAGACTGATCTCCTGGTGTCCGCTGGATACAACTACAAATATACCGGGGCTCTTTCTGGGGCTGCTCCGTGCATTTGAGACCCACGCTGTGCGTGACAAAAAAAAAAGAAGAGCACCGCATCTATAGCCACTCCAGCGACACTAGACGCCAAAGTTTTGCGTCTGGTCCAAGCTCCCACGGTACAAACCAAACAAAAAGTTGAAATGAATTAAACCGAAATAAAACAGAAATTAATTGGAAGGACTACAGAGACTAGATTAGCTTTCAGAAGTACAGAACCCTTCGAAAAGCACAAGCCAGTCCCACCTTCAGGCGATCCTGTGGCTGTGACAAAAAATCACGACAAGACCGCATATCCTCGACACATAGCAAAACGGGACCATTCCTGTTTCAGCAGTCGGCGATAATCCAACTAAGGGTAGCTAGGGTACATCCAACGAGAATTTTTGTGTCATCGTATGTCATAGCTACCCCCCCTTTCAAAGACGCGCCCCTCAGTCCTACCTGAAGCTGGAACTGCGGTACTTTGTAAACGCGGGTCTGATCGATCAATGGTCTCGGAAAAGGTATAAAATCCGGAAAGCCCTACACCGTCCTTGCTGCTTCCTTTCATCTCATCGAGGGATGCTTATCGACGGTCAGAAGTGGGCTTGTGAAGCTTGCATTCGGGGGCACCGTGTAAGCAGCTGCAAACATCATGGTAAGTAGCTTGCTCCCTCCCCCCCCCCCCGGCTCTTTTATTGCCCTTCGCTTTTTTTTGTGCCGAGGTAGTGTCTCTAATAGAAATGCACAAGCTAACCGCCCAAACACACTACAGATAGACCGCTGATTCGCATCAAGCGCAAGGGCGACCCTTCGCAACATGCTCGATCTGTCACTCAACGCCGTGCTCGGCGCCTACCGAGCACGCGCGGCAGAAACGCGAGGCAGAGCTCAAACATCCTTCAAAAGTAACGCAAACACGCCACATAGAATTTCCAGCACCCGGAAGGCAGATCTTCGGCCAAACAAGAAGAGATGCAGACGGTATGGTGCTGATGTTTCGTGGTTCTTAGAAAGCAACGCACGGCAGACTTTATCCTCGCCATCATAATCTCAACGGCTTCCAACCCATCGCGCCTCGTCCAAGCGGGAAAGACTCCTGTGGCTCGTCGTCGGCTCGCGTGTCTCGCTCCGGGTCGTCGGCTTCGGTGTCGCACACCCCCGTCCGCTCGGACTCTCGTCGTGGCTCTGCGGGGACAGGACACTGGTCGGGCTCGGAAGCTTCTGGCACTGAGTCGACTGGAAGGACGCAGTCTGCGATGAGTGTTCCCGTTTCTGGAAGTATCAGTCCGACTGGTTCCGGCGGGCTCTCGCGTTCTGCTGACAATCTCGCGCTGGATCCCCTGCTATCCAGGGATGTTTTCGATCCCGCCTATAATCTTCTACCTTCGACTGTGTCGGGAGCGTCGTTAGTGCAGAATATGCCGCTGATTAGCCCTCTCGAGAGCGCGAATCCGTTCGACTTCCCGTCGAACCCATCGCTGGCTCTCGATGATGGAGCGCTGCGATATTTGGAGGATATGGAGGTTGATGTTACCGAGGGAATCACCGAGGAGGTTTTCCATGTGGAGGATTGGTCGAGGTATATGTGGTCGGCGGAGACCGGCTTCGAGCATTTAGACACAGGATATCCTCCTGTGTCTCGATGACATATGCTGGTCCCGGGTGGGAAGCTTATGACCCTGATGATGACGCTGATGATTATGATTGAACACGATTTACACTGTAGACTATGTTGAGATACACATATATGCGTGGGGGCATTTTGGTGATTGTTCTATGGCATGGACTCGGGCTCTCCGTAGGGCGAGCCGATGGTGCAAGGCTTGGGGCACGTGCTTAGGTAGGTAGTATATCTCGATGGTGCTTCCTCTTCGAAGCAATACAATGCAGGTCACAGAAAATGAAATCCAGATAATGTTACTTGGTGACCTAATGTCCCATGAGCTCACTAGGCCGTATTCAGGCGGGTAAAGTCCCACGTAAGGATAGCTGAAAGTCCAAGAATGTGATCAGCGATCACCGATCGATGTGATCGTTTCCTGACCCTACCTGAGCGGTATCTCGCGATTTGATGTATGTACAGGATTAGGATGGTGACACTTTTCTCATCTCTACAATTTCCAAAAAAGATATTAGGTGCTACCCTTGAGAAGTGCTTATTTAGAGAGAAGCCATGATTCTCGCCCCTTAAAATGAACATGACTCGCACCTGAGACCACCAATTTCCAGCAAATATGGGTGTGCAATATCATGAAATTGAAGACGCAAAGGGAGGTTTGATTGTTTACGCAGATGAATTCCTTTTTTTGATGCCTTTATTTTCTCGGAATCGTAGGGCTCCACGATCCTCTTTGCAAGTAAGCAAGTGCGATATCAAGGCAGACGGGCAATTATAGACCTCCACATTGATCAATAATGATAAAAACCTGTTTGAATAGGAACTCTGCGTGCATGGAGCCCACCGGAAGACAACCCTAGGACCATACGCTGTTTGGGGAAGTTTTTCTGTAGATAAGATTTCGGAGACTTGGCCCGCAAGCCCTTGAGGTTCACAGCGGCTGTTTCACCCTCGAGCCTTTTTCAGGGAGCTATCCGTCAAGCCACAGCCAGTAGAGTTATCATGATGCAATGATGCTCCAAGAAATTTCCTAATGCATCTATACTCGCGTTTCTTGTGAATCATGCGTGAACGAACGACGCTTTGGGCAGCAATGACATATATTTTGAAGTCTGAACTCAAAATATACGTTGGGGATCGGCGAGCCCGAGTGACCGGTTCACCAAGCACTCGGAAAAACATATTTAATGCGCATCTTGAAACAATATATTCAACTTCTTTAGACTGATACGCATGATACTTCATTCTACGCCGCGACTAAGTGCGACGCTGAAGGTCGGTCTGTCTAGTGCTGGGCTTAACAGTCCGAAGAGCACCCCCAAACTTTTGACATATATCATTTCCCCGACCATTAGAAGCGCTTAAATCATATAATATATATTTCAGATCGATCACAGCCGAGATAGCAGTTTCACACAAGCGTAGATGGATGGCGATCACGGACATTACTCTTGGGCTATTTCCCTATACTCACACTGGTCCCAAGCAACAACTGTATCGTCACGATCCGAACAAGTATACTTGAAGAAGCCACGTTTCTGCTGGTTAACAATTGACTAATCTTGGCCTAATAATTCTTACTTTCTTCGCGTTGTTTGGCCATGTTTCCCTTGTTTGCATGCCAGGTAAGCCACTTTTTACTAGATCAGGCCAGGGTCGCACAGGTCGACGAGCAGATCGTCTTATTCCCGAGAATTGAATCGGTGGGGAGCTCAGCGGTTCGGAATGTGGTGCTGTCTCATTTCTTTTGTTGGTTGATCTTGGAATTCCGGCACGCGAAGGCGAAGAACGCCAGGGACGGTATGCAAGGCCTAGCTAGGTACGATCGGTTCTCGGATCGACCTATTGGAACGTGTCCGATACACGTAGACCAGTGGCTTTTTTCGGCCGTTGTGTTTATTGGCGTCATTCTATAGGCGTATGCCTGATATTTGTAGCCCACAGGGCTGATTATAGAGCATTGTGTGAAGAATCTCTAGGCTTGATTCAGAAATTTTGTTTGTATTGAGGTCCACATAGAATGTTGCCTCAGTAAGCCACTATATGGATACCGCAGTGAATAAGACCAGTTGGGAAATCATTGATCGATCCATCTTTCTATCAGGAAATTCCACGCTAGTAGCGTCTACCCGAAAAAGAAAGATCGGAGGGTTGAGAGTTTAGTTCGGGAATTTTGAACAGTCCCCAAGGGCTCACTTCCATTCTCGGCAAACGTTATTCTGAGACATTGGGGATGAGTTTATCGAAGCTTGACCTGTGCTTCAACTTGCCTTTCTAGACAGTCGACGATGCGCCTCTCATTTTTACTAGGCCTAGCTGGGCTAGTAAATGCCATAGAGCAATCTGATGGCACTTACTCCAGCACAGTCTACATCACACGAACAGCGACAGGAAGCTCACCTTCTGCCCCCGTAAGATCTCAAAACTCGCCGAGCGCGTACTCAAAATGGGGTCACTGATATCTCTGAAGCCGTCACAGTTGCCACCGATGACAGCGGACAGTACACGGCAATCGACGACGCGATAGCCTATGCGCAGAGAAACAATATTCCCACAGTTACAGTTCTACCTGGAACTTATGCCGCCGTCACTATATCAGCAACACCGTCCGTGGCAGTTTACGGCAAGACCAGCAATCCAAACGACTTCACGCAAAACCAGGTCGTCGTATCAAGTGATGGAACAGCTCTCGCAATATCCGCCGACATCGCCGGTATTACTGTCAGAAACATTAACTTCATCGATACCTCATCCTCAGGCGAGGCAGCTTCCCTCAAAGGAAACAAGAACGGATTCTATCAGTGCCAATTCATATCCGGCTCAACCGCAATCACGATGAACCCCGGCGTTGGCTTAATTGCGAATAGCTACATCGAAGCTTCCGACAAAGTAATAGCCGGTCAAGGAAATCTTTACGTTTTCAACACGGCTATTGTTCCCTCACAAGACTCTGCGCTGGTCGTCCAATATCAAGGGACGATGTCTAGCAACCCCAAGAGCGACCTTTTCAAATCAACTATTGTGATCGATCGATCGTCAGTGTCGCAAAAGGCCAGAGGAAACTCCAAGGACTGTTATTTAGCCGGTGCTTCCGGGAAAGGCTCAGTAGTGGTATACCGAAGTTGCATCTTAGGGAGCCTTATTGCGCCTTCCGGAGTTCATGTCGACAGCACAACCCAAGATGAGAGCAACTTCTACGGAGAATATGCCAATAGCGGCCTCGGGTCCTACGCAAACAATAGGGCAGCTAGATCAAAATATGTGACATCACTAGGGCCCTTGGACTTATCGTCATATTCCCTCAGCGCAGTTTTGGCAGGAGGCAACCCTGCTTTTGCAACGTCCGATACAACGTGGATCGACCCCAATGTGCTCGCTGCCATCGAGAGCGCCGATGTTCTTGGCCTTTACCCCCCTCCAGATGGATCTGGTGGCGGCCCCGGGTCTTCTGGTGGTAGCGCACCGGGGTCCTCTGATGACACTTCTGGCAGTGGCTCTGGATCAGGTTCCGATGATGGCTCAGGGTCCGGAAGTTCGTCCAGTGATGATTCAGGCACCGGATCCAGCAGCTCCGGTGATAGCTCTGGCAGCTCCGCGACGGGTCAGGCACAGCTACGGGATCTGGGGATGGCTCAGGCTCGTCCGATGACGGCTCTAGTGCTACCTCTAGGTCCGGCTCCGGAGATAGTTCAGGAACAGGCTCTGGGGGATCAGGCTCTGCGGGCTCGGGCTCGGGCTCTGGGTCTAGCGGCTCTGGTGGCTCTGAATCCAGTACGAGTAGCTCCGGTTCTGGTGGCTCTACCACTAGTGGCACTGGTAGCTCTAGCACTGGAAGCTCTAGCACTGGAAGCTCTAGCACTGGAAGCTCTAGCACTGGAAGCTCTAGCACTGGAAGCTCTGGCGCTGGTGGTTCTGGCTCTAGCACTAGTGGTTCTAGTTCTAATACTAGTAGCTCCGGCTCTGCCGATTCTGGTACTGGCAGCTCTGGATCCACTACGACTGGCTCTAGCTCTGGCTCTGGCACTAGTAGTTCTAGAGATCCTAGCACTGGTACCTCTAGCACGGGTAGCTCTGCCACGAACGGTGCTGGCTCTAGCACTGGTGATTCTGGTTCTGGCTCTGGCTCTGGTAGCTCTAGCTCAGGATCATCTGGGGCCGGTACTGGCTCCGCCGGTTCGAGTGGCACTTCTGGTTCTGGGTCTGATGTCTCAAGTGACTCGGGAGACGGCTCTGGATCAGGTAGTGGTGGGTCTGGATCGGGGACTTCTGGCTCTTCCGGATCTGCTGCATCAAGGTCCTCGGGAGGCAGTTCAAGTGGTGGTGGCTCTGGATCAAGTAGCTCAAGCGACGGAGGAACAGGCACTGGGTCGGACTCCTCTGGTGATGGATCTTCAGGGAGTAATTCTGGTTCATCCGGCTCTACGACATCTGGTAACGGCTCGAGCTCTTCGAGTTCAGGGTCTTCTGGCTCCGGTTCGGCCACAAGTACAGGATCTGGATCTGGGTCTGGATCAGGCAGTGCCAGCTCGGGGTCTGGCAACGGATCTGGAAGTGGATCATCTGGAGGTAGCTCTGGCTCAGGGTCGTCTAGTACTGGCTCCGTATCATCTGGTAGTGGGTCAGGGACATCCGGCGGAAGCTCAGCATCTTCTGGAAATAGCTCTAGCGGCCAAGGGTCTGGCGGCTCCGGGGCGTCTTCTACCGGCTTGTCTTCATCTACACCTGCATCTACCGCCGTCATGGTTACTGAAGATGCAATTTCCTTCACCACAACAACGATTCCTGGCCCTATCCCCAGGTCAATGACAACCACTACCGTTGGTGCGACCCCAAATGCCATGACTGTGACAATCACAACAACAGCTGTGATCACGACTACTGTTACGACAACCGAGCCCGCAGTGACTTTGACGATAATATCGGTCATCGGGAGTGGGCTTGTCACTGATATCGTTTTACTGAGTCAACTTAGCACTCAAGTGCCTATAACAACTACAAAGACTGAGACTGGCAGGGTCGCATCTACGGTCATCAAAACATTGACTGCCAATGACTTGACACGCATGGCAAATAGCACACTCACAGTGACTCAAATCATCACTGCCTCTCCATCTCTCGTCACTTCCACGCAGGCCGTGACAATCACTCATGTCAGAGAACTGGGTCCGGGAACATCAAAAAGTACCTTCACAACTACAACCACACTTGATCAGACTACGACAATATCGGCCAAGCCAACCACCATCATATCAAGCTTGACTTCCACTGAGATGACCACAAAGAACGTTACGACAACTCTCACCTGCATCCCACTATCGAAAGCCAAACGTGGTCTTCTCGCGCCCGTCTATTACGCTATTGCCTCCAGGGCGACAAGTACTTCAACGGTGACTGACTACGTCACGACCTCAACGAGAACCATCTCAGCCGCCCCCGGCTACACAGCAGAAATGTTCACAAAGACAAACACTGTCAAGCCTGCTACGATACACTTCACCGTCACCTCATTCTCCACAAAGACGTTCACGGCCACTATCACGGCCGGCACGACTCAACTCACGGTCACGAGTACTTCAACCATCGTTCATAAAGAGGCCACCCAGGAGCAGTCCACTCAAACAGTCATGGTGTTCCCGACAGAAACATCAACTACCACCGTAGCTGGATCGACAGTGACCTCAACGAGTCTCACGACGTTTACGATCAAATCGACTGTGCAACCAGCCCCCTCAACAATCGTGACTACGACAACATACACAGTGGAAGTGACATCGGCCCTACCCGTCATAACCTCTCGGGCGATCATGACAGTAACACACGAGAATCCCCTAGTCACAATCACGTCTCAACCCACCTCCACTATCACTCAAGTTGTTAAGACCACCTCCACTATCACCAGCACAGATACCCAATTTGCACAAGGTGCTACAACTTGCTCTGCTTGATTAATTCATCGGACGGATACCCTTGATTTTTGTCTTCTCCCTTTCCATGTGTTTCTACTAATGTCTGTCCCCCGCTGTTTCTGAGCAAAAGACTACATTTAATACTCTATTTATGATACACGGAAAATAGATCAACGTGTACACTCTTGTTTTCGGTCTTGTTTTTCAAGCATAGACTCCAAAATACCCCAAGCGAAGACAAGTGAGTCTCGCGGTAGCTTAGATCGCTTAAAATGGCGCGGTAGCTTAGATCGCTTAAAATGGTACGTACACTAGATGGTGCAAGTACCTCTTTGTCATACAGCGGACGCCAGCTTCAGTAGACGTCTGCGATCGGCAAGAGACTGACGAAGAATGGTTCCGTAAAAGAGTTGCACGATCGAAAGGATGGCAGCGAGAGCGAATGCGGAACTTCCATGAACATTCCACTCTTGGAAAGACGCCAGCAGTCAACCTGGTCAACGATGGACCCGCGCTCCTGGCTTAGTTGGTCTGACTGGCTGTATCGAGGGGCCTAAAATCCCCCGAAGAGACCCCAGCATACAAACAGCCAGATTAATGGAAATCGATGCTCCCCGGAAAACCCGCATTCATGCTCGCGTGGATGAGGTGGTAAAGGATGCCACGAATGCAGAGAAACTGAAGCCTTGGTATCCTGTATGGTGTAAACGACCTCTCTTCCTAGACGACTACCTCAAGACCTTCAATCAAGACATCGTGACTCTGGTCGATACCGACGGCAAAGGCAATCGATCGGATGACGGCGGATTTTACAGTCGTCGGCGACAACACCTACCAGGCCGACGTAGTCATCTTCGCTCCAGGTTTTTTTGATATTTTGTCTATCCTTCGAATCACGAAATCGACCCTGACATGGACGGGTGTGTCTCAAATGATTAGGGAATTAATGCGTGAAAGTGTGAAAATAAAATTGGTTTCAAATATGACTGTAGCAAAAATCTAGAGTATCTCGCGAAGCCACCACAAACAAAACGTGATTGGTATATGAGCCAAGATGGAATCCCAAATATGCAGAGATAGGAAATATGGATGTGAAGACACCAGCTAGAGCCAGACTGTACAGGGCTCGAAGTGAATAAGGAATGTCATCGAGACAAGAAGGTATGGGGTATGCAATGACGGCAGTAGGAGGAGGGTAAAGGGGAGGGCGTAGGGTACAATTAGCTGACAAGATTATTACTGGCAGTGTGGATGACGTTGGCAACCCGATCGATCCAGTGCTGTGCAAGGGACCAGTCGCCCGTATTGATGCTGTCGCGGATAGCGGGGAAAATGGAAGCGTCGTAGCCGGACCACAGCTCGGGTCCGTAGACCACATGGCGGAATTGCGTGCGATTGGGAATCCCGCCACCTTCTTCCAGATCCAACAGGTGGGTGTCAAAGCTGGCCATTCGGATATTGTGATTGACTCGTTGAATAGCCATGACATTGCTTTCGTAACCACCAGATCCCCAGACACTATCGTGCCAGATCTGAATCCACTGAGTGAATCGAGCAGCGTCGGCTTCAAGTTCGGCCGCAGCGTTGAACATCAGCTGCATGTCAACTTTGGCGCCCTTGTTCTTCGCAAATGTGTCCAGATCTTTGACCCAACCGGTGATGGAGGTGGCGTAGGCTTCCATGTCAAAGGGCAGCATAGGGTTCTCGGACAAATCGAGTAAGAGCAATCCCCAGAATTGAGCGAGGACTTTGTGATATTGGAAGCCCGGGTCACCAAACTTCTCCATCCAGTCATAGGATTCATAGCAGCTGTGGTACGGGTATGGCCCGCCCTCGAATCCGAAATCAATGCTGGAGGTACCTGCGATGTCTTGAAATGCGACATAGTCACTGCCGGCGCCGAGCGCATCAAGCTTCATACCCTTGTCATCCCAGATTTCTTTCAGGGTTTTGTTGGCATACGGATCCGAGAGACGACCCAAGATCTGGTGCACGGAACGTTCAAAGACAGGCGACCCTGCTGCACGGAACTCGGAGCCTGAGACGCCGACGTCCACGTTGAGATAGGCGTATGCATTTTTGCGGAGATGATCCACCTCCTTTTCAACGTACTCAGTCGATCCAATGAGGTTGTATTCTTCTCCATCCCAGCTGACAAACTCGATTGTTCGCAGTGGTCGCCATCCGTAGTCTAGCAGCTCGCCAAAGACACGCACTACCTCAAGGAAAACGGCAGTGCCACTGCCAGGGTCGACACTTCCTAGACACCATGAGTCGCGATGGTTACCAACAATGATCTTCTTATCACGCTCTTCAAGTCCAATAATTGTTCCATGCACATTATAAATGGGCTGCCGTTCGACTTCGTCCTGCAGATTCATCAGATGCACGACGGGCGAATCTTGATCACCTGTCCACCAAGCTTGGATCTTGGGCACCCCGCCAATCCATGTATCAGGAACTTTCGATCCATGGCCTTCCAAAGACTGCAGAAGGCGCTGTGCATCGCGCCAGGCGATCGGAAGACTGGGAATTTTGGTTAATCCAGGGCTGTCCTCTGGTGACAGTCTCTCCTTCTCTCCAGGCGTAGATGCGAAACCGGGAGAAAGCACGTCTCCAACAACGTGAGACATGAGGCTGACACCACCTCGCTGGACACCATCTGATGGCATGTAGCGGCCTTTGGGATACGCAGGTCCTTGTACAAAACCGTCCTGTTGCGGATCGGAGTAGATGATGCAACCTGCCGCACCAGCCAGCTCGGCGGCTTTAATCTTCAGGGCCCGGTCGCCCTCGGTGCCGTAGTAGCGCACTAGAGCAATGGAACCGTTGAGTGAAATACCTTTATCGGCGAGCAGTTTGAAATCCTCACGGGAGCCAAAGTTGGCATAGACCAAAGGACCAGTGACGTTTCCGGATCGGGAGTGCCCGTGAAATGACGGGACCTGAGAGTCATTTTCCTCTAGTATGGCCTCCCAGGCCAGGTGAGGCGGGTCAATAATGGCGATCTTGCGTCCATCATCGCGAGGATAGTTCAAATAGACTTGGAACTCTTCTCTCCGAACCTCATCGAAGCCTGCGCGGTGGAACTCCTGCTCGATCCATTCTGCCAGTACGAAACTACCCTCAGTACCGGCAACGTGAGGGAAGTTGGTAACGCGTCTCAAGTTCTCCGCGATGCTGGTTTCATTTATGTGGCCCTGTACGAAGTTTTCAACCGAGGAGGCGCTGTAAGATTGACCCATCACCATGCGGCTATTAAGGTTGAAGATGTCGCCAATAAAGAAGACATATACCAGGGTGACCACGAGCAGCAGGGCGAACAGGCGCAGCAACATGATGCATCCACGGTCCTTCATTTGTGCGCGAGCATTGTTGAGATCGAGCCTGAAGTTGAAGCTTGGCAGGCTCGGCAAGTATCGTTGAAGGGGTCGTAGCGTTCGTGTCAGACTGGAGAATCGCTTGGAGAGGTGATGTCGTAAACGGGGGCGAGATCTGGACGATGAGCCATGCGCAGAATCATCGACATCCATCTGATCTAGTTCCCTTCTTAAGTCATCGGTCGACCCGCGCTCGGAGCCCGATACGGAGGAGGCGAGATCATCGAGACTACCGCGGACCGATTCGACGGTCGGCGGTTGTAGTTTCCGCCATCGACGCGACCGAGAAGACCCTGGCGTTCGACATCGTTGCCGTCGCCCAAGTCGGAGCGAGAAGGGGAAGGCTGGGCCGTGGCCTCTTCGTAGGAGGGGATGGGGAGTTCTCGGTATTCGAACTTATCGTCGCCCATGGTGGAACTGGGTGGGCTCGCTGGAGCCGTAACAAGCGGAGAAGGATGCCGCGGTCTGGAAGATCATGATCTAAGAGAAGAAAAGAGCGTCCAACATAATCCCCGTATAAATGAGGGGGTAGGGGGGGAGATGAGGTCGAAGTGAGGTGAGTAGTTCAGTAGTGAGTTGTTAGCAGTGATAAGGGAGCCGGAGGAGTCGGAGATGTCTAAGGTTGCCTTGCTTTGCCCTCCCCGGACCCTCGTGGCGCAGCGACCCACGTCAACGCCCCCATCTCCCGACTCAATTTCTCCTGACAACTCAGGGACACTGGTCTGGGACAGAAAGAAGAGTCTGCAAAGGATGAAGTGTACTACAAGAAAGTCTCCAGACTAGGGCGATCATTCCCCAGGGCCCAATCTAGTCCCACTCTGGTGTTCACCGTACTGACACTTGTCAAGGGAACCATGGTCTACGCCAGAGTCAGGACCTAGCCAGGTACGGTGATCGTGGATCAAGGTCCGGGGGTCCGAAGTCATGCCACGAAGCATCATGTCCGCGGTGGGAGACCAGCCCGATCGACCAAGTATGTCTTGATGGATACAACCAGATCGATAAGATGACAGACTGAGGTTTACACGGTAGTGCTGAGAAGGTAAAGAAGTCGGTGAACACTTCAATCTTCAGGGGTAGAGCCCCGAATTCATTAAGAATGACCAGAGATAATCTGTAGGTGCGTGGATCTGTACATGACAAGTCAAGTACCTACAAGTACCTACTCACAATCCCCCGTACGCCTCAGGTACCTCGAGTCAGGTACCACAAGATCGTTGAATCCTTGAGGAGAGATGCGTTCGAACACCGGATCAAAGGAAGAGGCGATCTCCCCCCACTTGTGGCAGAAACTGGCAAAAAAAAAAAAATAACACGGTGACTGATCGTACACGGTAGATCCGAGTACACAATCTCCTGCTCCTTTAATTCAAAGCTTGCCTTTCATTTCTCCTGAGCTTCTCTTCTCTCTATAAGATCTTCTTGACCTCTCCTTCTCTTCTCTCTCTCTTTTTTTATTATTCTTATTTGCTGTTTGGACTTTTTGAATACCCCTCTACAACCCCTCACCCCACCATGTCTGCCCGTCCCCAGAACATCGGCATCAAGGCCATTGAGGTCTACTTCCCCAGCCAGGTTGGTAACTTCCTTCTCCTTGAAATGGCTCAATTTGATTTCTAATCTAAGTATTCCTTTTAGTGCGTCGACCAGGTTGAGCTGGAGAAGTACGATGGCGTTAGTGCTGGCAAGTACACCATCGGTCTTGGCCAGACGAAGATGAGCTTCTGCGATGACCGCGAGGGTAAGTTCAATTGCATTTAAAAATGCGGCAATCAAGATGAAAAAAAACAAGTATTGATTGAGCTCTGCATAGACATTTACTCCATGTCCCTGACCACCCTGTCCTCCCTCATGAGCAAGTACAACATCGACCCCAAGTCCATTGGCCGCCTCGAGGTCGGCACCGAGACACTCCTGGACAAGTCCAAGTCCGTCAAGTCCGTCCTCATGCAGTTGTTTACCCCCAGCGGAAACACCAACATTGAGGGCATTGACACCGTCAACGCTTGCTACGGTGGTACCAACGCTGTCTTCAACAGCATCAACTGGCTCGAGTCCTCTGCCTGGGACGGCCGTGATGCCATTGTTGTCTGCGGTGACATTGCTCTTTACGCTGCGGGTGCTGCCCGTCCCACTGGCGGTGCTGGCTGTGTTGCCATGCTCATCGGTCCCGATGCCCCGATCGTCTTCGAGCCCGGTCTCCGCGGCTCCTACCTTACCCACGCCTACGACTTCTACAAGCCCGACCTCACCAGCGAGTACCCCGTTGTGGACGGCCAGCACTCCCTTCGCTGCTACACTGAGGCCGTCGATGCCTGCTATAAGGCCTACGATGCCCGTGAAAAGGTCCTCAAGGCCAACCAGAACGGCACCAATGGCACCATGGACGAGTCCAAGACCCCCCTGGACCGCTTCGACTATATTCTCTACCACGCCCCTACCTGCAAGCTCGTCCAGAAGTCCTATGGCCGCATGCTCTACAACGACTACCTGAACAACCCCACTCACCCCGCCTTCGCTGAGGTCGCCCCCGAGCTCCGCGACATCTCCTACGATGCCTCCGTCACTGACAAGTCCGTGGAGAAGACCTTCATGGCTCTGACCAAGAAGCGCTTCGCCGAGCGCGTCAACCCCGGTCTGCAGGTCGCCACCCTTTGCGGTAACATGTACACTGCTACCGTCTACGCCGGCCTTGCCTCCCTTTTGAGCTTCGTCCCCTTCTCTCCCTCCGAGCCCAAGCGCATTGGTCTCTTCTCCTACGGCTCTGGTCTCGCTGCCTCTATGTTCAGCGCCAAGATTGTCGGCGATGTCTCCGAGATGGTCGAGAAGCTCGACCTGAAGAACCGCCTCGACTCCCGCACTGTTCTCGAGCCCCAGGCCTACGACGACATGTGCAAGCTCCGCGAGCACGCCCACTTGAAAAAGAACTTCAAGCCGTCCGGTAACCCCGAGACTTTGCAGAAGGGTACTTACTACCTCACCGAGGTTGATGACATGTTCCGCCGCAAGTACGAGGTCAAGGCCTAAAGCGGTCGTTGCCATTTCTTTTGCCGTTGGACATGACCCTTGATTAGACGGTTCCAGAAAAGATTCCCCCAAGCGTTTATTTTTTGTGTGTTTGTGCGTCGGTATAGACCATGCAAGGGCTCCCCTTGCTAATTTTTCTTTTTTTTTTCTTGTTTGATCTTCGCTGAGGCGAGATGAGTGATGAAGATAGCTGGATCCTGCTACAATAATTAAATGCATGACATGACTCAATATTCCAATATCTCCATTTCATCTGATTGTAGCCCAATGCTTCCCCTTTTGGATGCCTTTTCTATGCCGAGGTTTTAATATTCCAAGCCTATCTTTATACACTAGGCAATGGCGGATCCAAAGCCACCAGAGAAGGATGATCGGCCAGACTCCGCCAAAAGCCTGCCTCTAAATCCCACAAATCCTGACTCAACAATGCTGCCCAGTCATCATTCCCCTCCTCGTCTCCCATTTCAGCAACAGGCTGCCCTGTCTCCGAGTGGAAAGAATCCAAAAATCGCTGGATAGTCGACGTAGCCTTGGACAGCAATGCATAATTCGGATCACCCGGCTTAACAATCGTCCCAATTTGGACCTCTGCAACAAATACGCTTAAATCTTGCAGGATTTTATGGCGTGATATACCAGGTGCATGAGACTGTTGTTTAAGGAGGGCAAGAAGCAGGATTCCCGCGGCTGGAAGACCGTAATACGCAACCTACAGCTGATTAACTCTGAATTTTGTCATCTCATGAGAGACTGTGCATACCTTCCAGATAAGACCAGTTCCAGAATTAGTCAATTGGTCGCGGAGGAGGATGATCTCCACCACGAGCGCAAGCATCTGGCCCGCTGTCTCGATGATGGGAACATCGGGCTCGGAGAGTGTGTTTAACAATAGTAGACGAAGAAGGAAGAGGACGTGGAGATGTGTCAGCCGTACGTGAGCGAGGAAATCTCGCTGGAATGGACTCTGAGCGCACTGTTTGAGACTGCATTCAAGGCGGAAGTGAGCAGGGAGAGCGTTCCACTGCTCTTCGGTTTTCCTTTGAATGATGCTGGTTCTCGTTAGTTGTTTGGCTGACTCATTCTAGAGGAAACTCATACCTTGCCCGCTCGACACAAGATGCATCATGTTTGTCCTGTAGTAGTTCCCACACCTCTTCTTTCAGGAATGCGCAAAGCGCGGACCAGCGTGTATCTGCCCGGTATCCGGGTTTTGAATCTGGGTTCCATTCGTGTAGATTGCCTTGTCGCGGAGGCAAGTGATCTGACGGGATCTGAAAGTGGCAAAAACGCCTGTTCATCCGCGGTGGTCGGCCGAGGAAGATGGCAATATTCTTGTCTGCTGAGTAGATTCGGGCGAACGCAGTTTTACGTAGTTCCATGAGGAAGATGGGAATTCCAGGTTTCGTCTCAAGGTTCTCGTGGTAGCCAAGTGCAAAGGTTGAAGATATCACATCGCCGAGTTTGCGCCATGAGTGGTAGCCTGCTTCGTTAGCAAATACTCATATCAAAAGTAGAGACAATCGATTTTACTTTGGTCGCCATCCACGTACGAGTGGACAATAAAATTCTCATACTGCACAATCAATTGTAGATCATTCAAGCAGTCTAAAGAAAGCGAGATCTCCAAAGCAAAATCACTCAGCTTGGTCGCAAGTCTCCTCAACGTGTACTGCTCTTCTTCCTTCGAATAAAGGGATGGAAAGAAGGGAATATCAATGGTGGCCCTGCTCACTGCTGCAAAGAAAATGCCCAGGGTTTCCCATCGGGAGTTGTGATTCAAGAATTGGGCCGAGAAGGCGTCGAGATCGGAATTCTCGTTGAACTGAAGCGGCTTTACAGAGTTTTGCAATAGACGTCGCGCATATACCAGGTGCCAATTGTCGTCGTGTAATGTGAAGAGCTGGCTCACACTTTCGGCGCATTGTGCGACGAACGGCTCGGCGAGGGCCAGGTTGGCTCCTTTGGCTAGCCAGAACGTGATCAGTTCTTTCATGGCAGACAATGAATACTCGGTGAGCAGGTGTCGGAGAACATCTGCACCCTGTAACAACAAATAATTATCGCCGACTGATCGTGCTGGTGCGTCTGGTTCTGGAGCAGCACCGTGACTGAGGTCGTCGGACGCGATATGTTCGAAAATGGCGGCATGGCTGGACGAGCCCAGGTACCCGGGATTCGGATATGGATTACATCTAGGACTGAAGGACGGTGACGGGTCTGGAGAGCGTAGACTACAGGATGCAATTGTTAGTAGTTCGCACTCCACAGTAGTCAGTTTTGCGCCACAGGTACCTCGGTTTCTCGGTGCGCCTCCGCTTGAACGGCGCCGTGCGGTAGATGCAGATTCCTCCGTTGCTCTGACAGCGTGAACAGACCGGCTGCTGGTGATCACAGGCGAGCTTCGCCTTGCGGCACGTCTCGCAGGCGGCCAGACGCGTCGCCATTGCGGAGTCAAGTCCGCAGAGAAAGTTCTCGGCTAGTGACGGACTCTCGGTGGTTTCGGTATTTGATAAGATAAAAGATGGGGAGGAAAGCGGGGGAGACGGACGTATAAAGGGTTGCGATCCGCTTACTTCGTGTCCATCAACAAACCTCAACATGACGGGGAACATCAAATTGGCCGATTACCTGTTCGCCCGACTGATTCAGTTAGGTGTTGGTTCCATCTTCGGTGTTCCTGGAGACTATAATCTGCGACTACTGGATTATGTCGTCCCCGCTGGTCTACACTGGGTGGGCAACTGCAATGAGCTCAACGCTGCATATGCAGCCGATGGTTATTCTCGCATCAACGGCCTCTCTGCGCTGATCACCACCTTTGGGGTTGGTGAGCTGTCTGCAGCAAATGGAATCGCCGGTGCTTACGCCGAAAGATCGCCCGTCGTCCATATTGTGGGCACCCCGCCGCGACCTCTACAGGATTCTCGTGCACTGATGCATCACACCTTCGCGGACGGTGAGTATGGCCGCTTTGCGGCCATGTCGACTCACATCACCGCTGCTCAGGCGAAATTGGTAGACGCGCAGACAGCCCCAGACAAGATCGACTGGATCTTGCAGCAGGCGCTCATCCACAGCCGGCCTGTGTATCTCGAGCTGCCTGATGATATGCCCGGTGTCCTTGTGTCATCTGCGAATCTGAAAACTCCTCTAAGTGTCCCGAAGATTCCCAGCCCAGCCTGCGAGCCTCAGGTTCTATCTCGAATTCTGGAGCGGGTATACAGCGCCAAACAGCCCGTCATTCTCGTCGACGGTGAAAGTAGAGCCCTTGGAATCCTGGATCAGCTTGACGCCCTCATCAAAGCCACAAATTGGCCCACCTGGGTGCCGGTCTTCGGCAAGGGCCTCGTGAACGAATCCTACGACAACGTCTACGGCTTATACGCCGCAGGATTTGGCGACAAGCTAGCAAAGGAATACTTCGAATCCGCAGACCTAATCCTCACATTCGGACCTCACTACAGTGACACAAATACTTACTTCTGGACGACCGTTCCCAAAGATGCAGTCGCAATCACATTCAAAGACAGCACAATCCAAATCGAAAGCGAAACTTATCGAGACATCTCCCCGGCCTCCGTCCTATCCAAACTTCTACAGTCTCTCGACTCATCTCGCGTCATCAAACCCACCGGACCCGCCAAACAAGTCATCACCACAGATGATATCAAGGACACAGATATCATTGCCCAGAAAAACTTCTTCCGCCTCATCAATCCCATCTTCGGCGAAGGAGACATCATCCTGACAGAAACCGGCACAGCAGCCTACGGAGGCCGAACCTTCAAACTCCCTCCCAAAGCCCGCCTCTTCGGCGCCATAACCTGGCTTTCAATCGGGTTCATGCTCCCTTGCACATTAGGCGCGGCCTTAGCGAAGCGAGAACAAAATGCAGCAACCGGCGGTTCTAACCAGACGACCTTGATCATCGGTGACGGCAGTCTACAGATGACAGCGCAAGAGATCAGTGTCATGATTAAGGAGAAACTGAACATTCTGATCATTATCATTAATAATGAGGGATATACCATTGAGCGAGTAATTCACGGTCGGAAGGAAAAATACAATGATGTGCCGTTTTGGAGACATACGCAGGCTTTGAGCTACTTCGGGGCCGACGAAGAGCATGTCAAGGAGAACACATGGACAGCGAAGACTTGTGGTGAGCTCCGGGAGATTCTGAGGAACGATCGTGTGCATAGTGGGCAAGGGGTTCGAATTCTGGAGGTTATGATGGATAGGGAGGATGTCCAAGAGGGGCCTTTGCTATATTTATTGAATAAGCAAAAGGCCGAGGAAGCTGCAGCTACGGGGAACTAGGGCAGACAGATTTTAGATCAAGATTGAGATTTACATAATGAAAATTTACACTTGAGGCCTAGGCTACTGGAAACCGGGAACGGACGAATGTCAAGGTAATTTTTTCATTCCATCCCATCTATCACCATGATTACCACGTGTGCCCGCTTCCAAACAAAAAGAAAATAGACAGCTAGCCCGAAATTCGATCGAAGGCTCTCGAACGCCGGTGCCCTATGCCCCAAGTCCCGCGATGCACACGGTGTGTAAAGAAGAAAAATAATTAAGCCAACAGTATTAAACACGAGGCTTATAGCCTCAGCAGTGGAGCGTCTATATTCAATTCGGGTTGTTTTTGATGATTCTTAGGTTAGGAGTATGTGGTTATTTCCTGAAGCTGTCGACACCTAGGGTTGGTGTCTCGACCAGTCGGTCGTTTGGTACGCCTTCGTCACGTCGGCGGGCAAAGAAGCTGTCGCATTCGGAGACGATGTGTGCCCACTCGGCCAGGGCACGGCCTGCGTATTTACTCGGCACGAGATGGTCGAAGGCCGGGGCGGATGGTAGCTCTGGGAGGGGGGAGTCTTTGGTTGTTGCCGTCCTCGTGTGGGGTTCGGGGACAGATGCGAGGACAGGTTTTGAAGCAGTCTCTTTATCTGTCGTGATTTCGGATTGGCTTTCATCCACGGCGTTCTCTGTAGTGTACTCCCCTTCTGATGCCGTGTCGAATTCGGTGATTGACTTGGCTGGAGAGCGTCGGTACTGCACGTGCAATTGAGAAGCGACTGGGAGGCAAGGAGTGAAAAGCCGCTTGTTCTTGGTTGGCCATTGCGGCCGGTCCATCCACTCTAGAGAGAATTTGAAGAAAAATGGCTGGTGAGGAGTCTTAGGTCGAGTGAGCTCGTCCGTGCTGGTGCTTGGGGTCGGCTCGTGCACTTCCAGGCATTTGCTCTCGGAAATCACAGTCGGTTCGGCGCCGCCTTCAGACTCATCTGAGCTGCTACCGCCCCCTATATTTTCCGTGGATCTGTTTCCTGGGTTGCTTGAGGTGCCAAACATGGCACGAAGAATACCCCATCGTTTCTTGGCGGGCTGATTATCGGTTCCATTCGAGTCTGTAGAGCCGGTTCGTCGATGCGCCATGGGTTGGCCTGGCGGGGTGGGTGGAACAACTCGATCAAACGAGACAAATAGATTCACTGGGGACAACTGGTTGTCGCACCGAATGATTATAATTCGGCGCCCTGGGGCTGGTGTACAGGGAGCAGAGGATAATGGAGCGGTATAGCCCTCTTCAGCCTTGGACTGGAACCCAATATAATACTCCCAGACTCGGAGAAGCCGGTCAGAGAGGGTTTCATAAATCATTCTATTCATTTTGTGAGCTTGGGTCAATAAAAGAAAGAGAGGAAGACTCACGAGTCGAGCGCTGAAGGTTCCCCATTGAATCGGCCAATTCGCCAACACAACAAGCGATGGAAGTAAGCGCGGACCATCGGACTCCAGTGGTTAAAGTAATGATAGAAGATAGGCTCGTGCAACAGGAAACCCAAGCACAGTCCAGCTTTTCTCTCCTCCACGGCAGTCCAGATTCCCCAGACACAGTATAGGAAAGAGAAAACGCGGACTTCGGTCAGCGAGTTGTGACTCTGCATCATCTGCCGACAGACTTCAAGCCAAAAGTTCCAATCAAACAACTCAATTTCAATGGACTGAGCATACCGCGTGATGATTGGGATAACCTCTTCGATGAAGTCGCACAAAAGGAAGCATGCGTTATGATCGAAAAGAGAAACCCGCTGGGCAGAGATCTTGAGGACGCTACAGAATGTTTCGGCATAGAGCAATCGAGCGCGATTTGGTTCCGAGGATCCTTCGGAAAGGAAATCTCGCAGGAGAATGATCAGACGGTTCTCGGCCATAGACCGGTTAATGTTCCTCGTACCTCCAAGAGCCTGGGCCGAGGCCGAGACATCGGGCGACTCAATCAAATCATCGAAAGTGATTGCAGCCGCAGAGTGAGTGTTCTCGGCCATCAAATGCATGGACTGCTTGTAGATTGTATCTTCCAGGGCGACAAGAAGCTGTGCGTGAACAAGCAACAGCCCAGGTGCCAGTATTCGCTTAGCTTTCTCTGTCTCCGGCGGCAAGTACTCGGCGTACAAGATATGGATATATTTGATGAAGACAAAGAAGAGATCTGTATCACGCCCGCACCAGCGCGCTATCCAAGGGCCGTTCCAAGGAATGTTGGCGGTATTCAAGGGCGCCTCCGGTTTACTACGCAAATATCGCACCAGATGCCCATGTGAGTGAAAGGCAAGAGGCCGCAGAGATGCAGGGAAGCTCAGAGAAAGTTCTTGTGCATAGGCTCGCAAATTTCCAACTCGTGATTTGGCGGATTCCTGCAAAATGCGGCGGAACACAGCGTGAGATGTGCTCCAAAGACGAACCAGGATATCTGGCACCCCTGGGCAGAAAAAGAAGGCGTAGGCACACGCTTTTCCACAGAAGGCCACCAAACTAGCTGGAGCATGTCTCATGGACATCCGTTCGACCACGAACTGCATTTGCGACAAGAGATTTTGCACAAAGATATTGCGGATGTTATGATGTATTGACTCGACCAGAAAGTCGGATCCTGATGAGCCTGATCCATCAGACGTGTCTGATACCGAAGTTGAAGCGTATTTTACTGAATCTGCAGGTCCACCATCTGGATGCATCGTCGGGAACGGTATACGCCATTCTGGTCGAGTCATTATGCCCACAATTGCCTCAAGAAAGACCGGTCTATCTGTTCCCGATATCGATTGGTTATTCTTGCCATTGAGCATTTCTAGCATGCCAATCCACCATTTGTTGAGAATGTTTACCCGGCGATCCAGGTCTTCAGGTCGGAGGTTCTTGCACGATCCATGAAGATGATGGCGGCCGAGGAAAGGAAGAAGTGCGGTGCGAATGACATTGGCTTTCAAGGAGCTCGATTTGGATTGGAATCTTTTATCCGGTTAGCAAAGCCCATGCAATTGATGACAATTTGAACCTACTTTTGATAATCCGCTTCCAGGCCGCGGAAAATCCCCCAGAGCTCGTCTTTTTTGCGCGAAGGATCACTTCCACTATACGCGTGGGCTGCAGCCGCCGCTGTGGCCGCAGCCCCCTTGGGCATCGGTGGGAGAATTGGTGTTGAGACGGATAGGGAAGCCGTAAATTTCTCGAAGGAGGTCTTATTCCGTAGCGAGGCGCCAGACGGACTGCTGGGCGAGTCAGGATCTTCATTTCCTCCCTTCGCCACGACAGCGAGCATTGGGCGCCGTGGTCGTTTATACAGAATCGTTCGCTTTCGAGAGGGCCTTTCCGAATCCGATTCAGCCACGTCGGCCTTTCGTCCGGTCTTTGTAGGGGTTTTGGTGGGAGATTGTTCTTCGGGCCGCTGCTTGGATCTCTTGGCTGACGGGGACGGGGATCGGGAGGAAGAGCTCCATGGTCTCCGTGCGAGGCTGACTATGCGTCCGGACATGGAGCGGCCTTTCGAGGGGCGCGCAGCCCGCTCTGGCGCCCTAGTTTCCGGTACCTTGGAAGCATTGGGATTTTTCAATTGCAACTCCGTCTCCTTGAGGTCCTCTGACGATGACAGTGTAAAGTGTGACACGGCGACGGGCGGCTCTTTTTTCGAGCGTAGGGATGTCCGTCGTAGAATGTCCTTCCCAGCAGCCACGCTTTCCTTTGTTGGTGAGGAAAGAGTTGGTACGGCGTAATCGGAGAAGGTTCGCCTTAAGCCCGGCTGGACACCTTCGGACTGGCTAGGGAGGTCGGTGTAGCTGGCGGCACGAGAGAGGACATTGTCGCCGTCGGTGTAGCTCTTTAGGGTGACGGGGGAGGGCGAAGTCATGGTCTTGAGGGAGGTCAGGTCAGGGGAGCGCTAGTTGTCGAATACACATGTCCCCCGGGGGCACCACGGACGTGAGAGAGAGGTGTTGAAGAAGGCCAGCTTCTCCATGTACCCAGAGATTCCCTGTCAATAGTCTTCTCTCACTGCGGCATTGCACGAATAGAGAAAGCCAGGCACCACAACACACGGGGCGACCTCCTCGAAAAAGAGATTGCTAGCGAAAAGAAGCTCGGACGAGTCAGACTAGGGACTCCCAGGGGTCCACTTGGGCAAGTGCGCAGGGAGGGAAGTCGGTGACAAGTCTCGAAGATAGATCGATATCCTATGCAGCTACACCCGGTTCGGAAGGGCGCCACTGGGGGGCCGATGAAGCAAATGATCGGCGGGTCTCTCCTCTCAACGGGCGGTTCGTTAGCTAGGACCAGGGTCCGTTTCGGGGCGGGGAAGTGAGGGAGTATAGTGGTTGGGAAATAATTGCTGGGGGAGGGTTATGGAAAGGGGAGGATCAAGTTTGAAGGGAGTTCGATGGGGTGCTAAAGCGAATTCTTCTTGGCCTAAGATAGCAGGACCAAGAATCAAGTCAGATAACATCGGGTTGACCATGTAATGCATTTCCCCCCCTTTGCTATGAGTGAGACACGCTACTTCCGGGCTCCACCGAGATCCCCAAAATCTGCGGCTCCAGCTATAGCCATCATTCTCGCGTAATATCGCCTTTCGGTTCTTGGTTTCTATTTTTTGATTTCTTCCTAGAGGCTGAGCATACGAGTGGCCTCGCATTTAGCCCCGTTATCAACCCGCCAATGATATGGAATCCGGAAGGGGAACCAGTGTACAAGTGGTGTACGACCTCTTTATTGACTGATTACCCGATCCGCCACTTCCGACCTGCCTCGAACGCCATGTCCGCCATTCTTGGCTTCTACATTCTTGTAGGGCAAGGAATGTCCACTTCGTAAGTCAGATACGAGATGACAATGATCTGTCAAGCCCCGCGTTTTTCTCCCGGGGAAATGAGTCAGTCTACCTACCCTCTGACTTTCTATATTTTATTTTCACTGGCCGGCCAGGATCGCAATTGAATTCATTGTCGCGTGTCCGTGGGGAGATGCATGCCCATTCAGATTATCCACGTCCAAACGATCGCAATCCGCACTGCAGGGGTCCATGGCTGGGGGGAGCTTAAATAGTCATGGATAAACCATGCCTCCTGGGGAATTTGGGTTTGATTTGGCTTAGCTTGGTTCGGTGGTTCGGTGACTCCGGCGAACATTTATGCATGGCGCGATCATCCACTATTCACTCATAGTCGCGACGAGCACCCCTGCGGCGACTATTGAGAATCGGGGATATGAGGAATATGCATCTGCGAGTGTGCCCATTTGTGCGGGACTGACGCCGTCCCTGCACTTGGACAAAAGAGCTGTGATCAGAGTGTCGAAATGCACTAAACTAGAGACAATATTAAGCTCGTCTTCTCCCATGATGCAACACGTCACGGAGTGATGCCGTGATCCACCGCGATGGCGTGGTGAGCTGATGGAAAAAAAAAGAAAAAAGGTTACGACACTGACGTCTAATGCACCTTTTCCCTTTTGATCGTGGTTGTGATAACGTCAAAGATGGCTCCTCCCAATATCGTCCAGGCAAGATGGCCGAGTTGGTCCAAGGCGTCAGGTTAAGGTCCACCTTAACACCAAACAATGGTTTCCTGATCTCGTTTACGGGGCGTGGGTTCGAATCCCACTCTTGTCATATCTTTTTGCGTCCTTTGTTTTTGCTCTCCATCTTCATTTACCATATCTTGTCTGAGGCCCCGCCTCAATCAATCGGGGTGATTGCGGAGATAATAGCGCTAATTCTCCAGGTGTGAATCGTGTGCTTCATTCATGGTATGTGGCCTCATGCATGCTCCCTTGGATTCTTTACCCCCTTGATATGCATGGGTATTGATCATTATTGACGAACGTGCAGCTCATCTAGAGACCTGACAGGTCAGTTCTAATATGACATATCTATGATCTACATCTAGCAGTATGCTAAAAATCTGCCAATGGCTACGGCGGGCATCGGACCTTCCGATAGCTCTCGGGTAGCGCCGACTCATCACTTTCACCGTGGGGTCCAATGGATTCCATTTATGCTTGCTAGTCTATTCCAATACCAGTCAATGCGTTGGGTCACCGAGGGCCGTATCAATTAGCTCAATGGACCTATATAATCATGTCGACCCTAACAGTCGAATGGCCATGTGCAGTACAAATTGAGGCGTGTTTAGCTCACCTGTCCAAGCATGTGTGAAAGTCTCACAAATGGATGATCGTCTGCTTGGCTTCACACGGGATGAAGATGGAGCTATTATAAACAGAAAGCTACTTCTCGTCCTACATCGTCCGTAATTGAAACATGAAACTGTTTATTGATTCACAAGAATTGCCGAATGTCCGACGGGAAGATAATTGCTATCAGACGATTTGACTATCCGTGAGCAACTAAAAGACCAATAATACACACTCTCTCGGTACAAGCAGTCTTGAAGACCCGTATATAGAAGACATCAATTGAGTCTGGGGGGCATATTTTGGTGCAATCCCAGATCCATAGGTGGCGTGACCTTGGCCCGGGGAAGCGCCCAGCTACAAAGTTCTTATATCATCTATAACCGATCAAACGACTTCCGAGTCGACCGAAAAGTTTCTCGTAACAAAGAATCCAGCAGCAGCTGAAATGAAGGTAAAAAGAATCGACGTTCAAATGTGGTCTAATTTACAAGCTTCAGGACCCGAGGGGTGGCCAGACTAATGATGCCGTCCCCTCACATTTCCCCAGACCTTGCCAAACGAAATGAAAAGGACATTTAGTGGGCGGCAGCGGACTCCTCCTCGTCCTCCTCGAACCAGTGCTGCTCGACGGGGGCGGTCTCGCCAGCGGCGGCCTGGCCTTCGACCTCAACCTCCTGGCTCTCGTAGGCGGAGAGCTCACCAGCGAGGTTAGCCTCCTCGGGAGACGCCGGAGCCTTGGGGAGAGTGAACTTCTGGACGTGCTCGTCGGCGTCACCGGCCTTGATGGGGGTGGGCTTGTAGGCCTTGAGCTCCTTGAGGTAGAGGTCCTGGACGGGGTCGGCTGGAAAGATATGTTAGTGACCCGGACGATCGGAAATGCGTAGCCATATAATCAATGCCTAGGTAGAATCTTTATAGGAACATACCGCGGCGGACAGCGGAGGTCAGGAAGGTGCGGGCGACGGGGACCTGTTGCCGAGCGGCACGGGTGAAGAGGGAGCGCTGAAAGGGTTCGCGTTAGCCATGCCTTACGGCGCATCATCATCTGTAGGTACTCACCGAAGCCCGGAGAGTCTGGGACATCATCTTGACAGATAGGAGTTGTCGATGAGGGGGTGAGGGGTTTAGTGCTCGACAAGATGGATCTGATCCGTCGTTCCGTGCAGTTGAGGATCAAAACGACTTCTGTTCGGAATCGGGTGCCTTGGCGCTGACTCATCCACACGTGACCCATCCGCCCAATGGAGCTCATTGATAATCGCCGTTCTTTCACCTTCAGTCATCTTCCCCCGTTCGACTCACCCCTCTCCTCCCTCTTCCTCCGCTTGTCCCCCGGAACTCGACTCTCGACGTTGCGCTTCCCTGCAACGACCCGTCAGATTCTGCGACCTCTTTCGTGAGACACCTCTTACGGAGACCTTGACTGGTTCATCGTGGTCGGACACGCCGAGGCTTTGAGGCTTCTGTGACCTACGCTCTCAGCAAAAGCTTTGTCTGCGCTCTTTTCACATTTCCGGGGGTGAATTCTCAAGGTGTGAGTAGATCACGATCCTAAAGGTAATGACAACCTCAAAGGAATCTACTGTCGCATTGCGAGATGAAAGTCAGACGACTCTGCGCTGGCTCGTCTTTGGCTTTGATCGTGAATGTGGTGGGCTAACATGACTGACCATTTAGTGGCTCACATCCCGAGGCGGCAACTTGTCTTTCATTGTTCGCTGCTGAGGTTTGCTCAGTAGTTGGATATTCCTTTGCAGACCACAACCGTCAAGACGTATTCGCCACTTTGGTTCCGTTGCTATAACCAAAAATACAATCTGCGGGTCAGTGCCAAAACAGTCGCCAAGAGACAAACCAAACGCTTCGAGGCTATACGAAACGCAAAGAAAATGGCTGCCATCCCTGCTGCGGCGAGGTCCGAAGCGACTACCCCTTGGAAGAAAAATCTCTCTGCGACCATCATTTGCTCCGAATGCAAGGAAGTGCCACCGAACCTGGAGTTCCCCGACTCCCACGAGACAGTTTGCGGCTCCTGTGGTCTGGTCTTAGCTGATCGCGAGATCGACATGCACTCCGAATGGCGAACCTTCTCCAACGATGATCAAAATAACGACGACCCTTCCCGAGTCGGTGATGCCTCCAACCCGCTACTGAACGGTGATCAACTTGAGACCTCGATCGCCAGTGGTGCTTCCGGCCGTGCTCGGGACCTCTACCGTGCTCAAAACAAGCAGTCCAATGAGAAGGCGAACAAGCAGCTCCTTGCGGCGTACAAGGAAATTGGTGCACTTTGTGATGGTTTCAACATACAGATTAACGTGGCTACCACTGCCAAGTGGCTCTACAAGCTCGTAGACGACGCCAAAGCATTCAAGGGCAAGTCGCAGGATGTGATCATTGCAGGCTGCATTTTCATCGCATGCCGAAAGTGCAAGGTGCCCCGTACATTCACCGAGATCTTTGCCATGACCAAAGTCAGCCGAAAGGAAATTGGTCGTATCTACAAGCAGCTGGAGAAGTTCTTCCAAGCACAGAATCTCGAGCGTCACAACGCGATCCTCGAGATGGGTGGTGTAGTCGATCCCAACGACACCTACACTACGACCACTTCTACCAAGCCGAGCGAGCTATGCAACCGTTTCTGCAACATGCTCGACCTTCCTTATCAAATCACCAGTGTTTCCTCGTCTCTGTCTGACCATGTCACCAGCATGGGTGATCTCGCTGGCCGTTCTCCCTTGTCCATCGTGGCAGCCTGCATATACATGGCTTCTCATCTGATGGGCCAGGGCAAGTCCGCCAAGGAAATCTCCGCTGTGGCTCACGTTAGTGACGGCACGATTCGCGGTGCCTATAAGCAGCTCTACGCTGAGCGTGATCGCTTAATTAACCCTGAGTGGATCAAGGATGGCAAAGGCGATATCTCCAAGCTGCCTGTGAGCTAAATGCTCGAACAGTCACATGGTTCATTGCTCTGCATTTCCCTTTATCGAGAACTTCATGTTCCGTTACGGTATCTTAAATTTTTCGCCATTTTTCAATGGTCATTGCATGGTCTTGTTTTCGCCACATAAGGAATCAACCCAAAAAAAAATACCCGTCAGCCTCTGTCATCCGTGGACAAATGACCTTTGTACTTTGATATCTCCACGCTCGTGGATTTGATTTATGCAATATCCCCAGAACCGAAAATAATATTCAAAAACAAATTAGAAGAAAAAACTAAGTTGCTGTTTTCCCTCATTATTTGCACAAGTATCCCCACAGATCGTGATCTTCGTTCGGATGTACATTCCAACACAGAAGCCAGTCTCAATGAATTATTTCTAGCTTAAATTTACCCCCGTGTAGAGTCTTGTCGTAATCTTCAATACTCTAATGAGTTTAAGTTCTTGATCTACAACACCGACAACAGAGCACAGTATACTTAACGCGCAATGCCACACAAGCCGAACACGCAGGCATTTCACAAGCCGAAGCTCTTCAATGCCACCATGGAATTGATGTTCTGATCCAGATCCAATTAAGAAAATGAACTCAGAAAGGCAGGGTTTAGTTAGTGTGCGCCCAACTACGCTGAGCACGTTCCCACCGGTCATGAACAACAAAGCGAATGAAGAAGACAAGGTAAGAAATGAATGGACATCAATTATCACAATTAGTACCCCTCGGTTGCGTGGATATCGCCATCAGACGACTGCTTGCCGTCAGCTGCTGCGACCATGTTTTCAAGGGCGTCATCTAGCTTTGTGGAGGTTGGAATCGCTTCGGAAACGGCCGCGGCTCCTACTGGAGATTCTCCGGGCAAGTCTGTTTTGGGTGCAGATTCGGATGGTATCACGGAGGATTCGACAGTTTCTGTGGTCTCGGGTCCGTCGGCAATTGGGTCGGTGTCGGGTTGGGCAGTGCCGGGTGAAACAATTTCAGCGGCTGGTGATTCCGGGGTTGGATCGACAGGTTCACCAGCCGTGTTCTTGGCCAGTGCGGGGGCTGCGGGGAGTACGGATGGAATGGAGGGTTCGGTTTTGGAGGGAGATGCCTCGTTGCCGACGGTCAGACCGCCGTCTTCTCCGACAGACCAGACGTTCCATGCCGTGGTGATCTTGATCTCGGGGATGGTGGGTAGTCTGGCATTGGCATTCTCTACGGCGGGCTTTCTCCGAGTCGGGCCCCGGGCTCGTCCCTTGCGGGCATCGCTCAATGGCTGCTTCTCGGCCGCCGGCTCAGGCTCCTTCTCCTGGGGCTTGGGTTGTTGAGGACCAAGCTGGAGGCGAGAGTTCAAGTCTGTAAGGAAACCAGCCTTCAAAGCTGCAATTTTGCTGCCACCAGGACGGGCTGGAATGGTGGGCTTCGCCTTGGGTATGGCTGCACCCTCGGCTGGAGCCTGGGAACTAGGCTTTGCAGGGCGGGTTGGAATCTGAGGCTTGGGTCGGTCTGGAATCACTGGCGGCTGACGCTTCCCTGTAGGAGACGTTGATTGTGTTTGTCTCTGCGGGCGTGGGGGGGATCGAAGGCTTGGAAGCATCAGGGCTTTTAAGTTCATCTGTGGCGGGTTCGACGGTAGTCACAAGCTGCTGACTGTCGGGAACATCCTCCCAAATGTCTCGACTGGGGAAGCGCTTGTAATCTGGTCGCCCAGTTTTATCTTTGCCACGAGCGTTATCGCCCTCAAGAATATAACTAGCCACCCTGTGAGAATCAATCTTCTTTGTCTTCATGCGGCGTGCGGCCTCCTGCTCGGATGTCTCGAAGCTCTCAGAAGGGTCGCGTTTGGGGAGATCAGGAGTCGTCACAGTAGTGTAATATTGTAGACTGTTGGGGGTATCTTCCCAAATATCCTGACTAGGGAATCGGTGCTTCAGAGTTTCTGGGCGCTTCTTGAAGCGCTCTGCCGCAGAGATAGGGCCATCTTTTTTAGACTCGTCCTCGGAGAAGAGGGGCTCGTATTCCTCGACATCTTCCAAGGGGGTGTGGTTATCCTCATGTGTCTCACGCGAGTCGTAACGGGTTAACATAGGAGCAGCTCCAGCACTTGCTGACCTGCTGTTAGAACGGCTATGCGAAAAGCTAGGCGTTCGCCTATGCTCATCTTCATCGAAGCTACCTCTGTGTTCAAAGGTTGGGGAAACTGCAGGATGCAGATAGGCCGACTCTGGGCGCATCTCATCGGCGGCAAGAATGGGCTCCTCGTATTCAGTGGATTCCTCTACCTCGGGCGTGTGGTTTTCGAATGCAGGGGTGGGGGCAAAGCCGTCCGGGTGATGAAGGGGGTGCATGGGATCGTCGACATGAATCACGCCTTCATGCTGACCGCATGAGCTGCTCCGATGGTGGTGCGTGGATCGAGTAGGGCTCTTCGGCTGAGTCTCGGAAACGGGGAAGCTCATCTTTCGCAGAGGGGACTCAACGGCTGGCTGAGAATCAAACCGAGAATCCGGAGCTGGTGATGCAATGCGATGCATATATTCATCTGAAGCAAGGTAGCCAACCTCTTCTTCGGGAGTACCAACCGCAGCAGGCGAGGCACCTGGTAAGAGATTATTAGCTCAATTCAGGTCTGAAACCCAACGATGGAAGACTTACCGCTACCAGAGCCAGCCGAAGCTGGCGCTCGAACAATCTTATTCAGATCATCGCTACTCAAGGCCCAATCGGGACGAGGACTGCCAACACCAGGGCCGTATTGCCCCTCTTCCTTGACAAACTCCTCGGGGTGCTTTTCGTACCATGCTTTCTCGAACTTGTCGGCATTGGGCACACCGTGTCCGTGAAGACCATAACTGCCTGGAGGCAAGGAGGCGTCTCGGCCACTCCGACTGCGGTTGTGGTGACGACCACGGCGCTGTTGAGAACCTTGATCTAGAGACGACGGGGCCGGGGACGGCGCCTGGACGTCACCCGCATTGGGGTACATGGGAACTCGGAAGCCGGGCTCCTCGCCGAGCTGCGCGGAATGGCGACGATCAGACGACGCAGTAGAAGATTCGGCCCGTGAATGGCTCGCTCGGGAGTGAAGCGGGCGACCAGCACGGTCATGCTCCTCGCGTGCCGGAGAAGCTTCGCGACCCAGTCCGGCCGCTGCAGCCTGGCGAGAATCCGTACGGGTTACCGCCTGCACCTTTGCCTTAGCACTCGAAGTAGGGAGAGAAGGTCTCGGAGCATGAATCTTAAGGTCATTGCTAATGTTGCGAGTCTCTGCCGGAGCCTGATTCACGCTATCGGACATGTTCTCCACATTGAGATCGGCATACTCAATGCCCTCTTCACCCAGCGAGGGAATTGTCACACTCGGAGGGCGCTGAGGAATATCGTTCGAGGTGGTTCGGCTAAGACTCGGGCCACTCCACTCGTTGAAGGGAGATGGTGCATAGCTGTCCCGCATTGGAGACATGGACCGGTCCATGCGGCGGTTGGATGGGCGAGGAGGGATTTTGGGCATGCTGTTGTCTATAGACGTGAGGGGCTTTGGTGATCGAGCCGGTCGCGGGGGGACGGCCGGAGCAGTTTGGGTAGACATAATGGGGGACGTTTTGAAGCTGCGGGATTTCGAGATTAGCTTAGGCCCAACAAGTCATAGGCCGATGGCCACGTGCGTATACAGCTTAAGCCTCTCTCCTCTCAATTACTCCTTGGCCGTGTCGGATGCATCCTGGGAATTTACCGTCCAAATGACCTGCATGGATGCAAGGCGGAATAGGGTCCATTCCACAGCCAAGGAGAGGGGAGAGGGGAGAGAGGTACCACTGATAAGCACGACTATGATGATTTGCTTACCCAGTTTGATATGCCTGATATCGTGTTGGGGCTGACAACGGTGTCGTAGGGTCCTGGAATGAAGAAAGTACAAAGATCAGAGATCAGTGAAGCAATTGCTGCGAGGATGATGTATGAGGTCTTTCTGCCACGATCCACCGAGCGCGTGACGTGCTCTGACCGCATTTCCATCCAGCCAAAAGTCAGGACACTGTTGTATTACAGTATTGTTACGATAACTCCGTATTCCCTGCTTTGCCCACCATAGACACGTTGCGAAGATTCAACTATGTTTGGTTAACCTTGACCCTCGACTCGAATTTGAACCAAGTCGAGGCATTAACTATAGCCAAAAATCGACACCCCGACCCGTACATTCTTGCGGCATTTTTATGGCTCAAATGCCTCACCAGAGTGGAGTGGTCGTGATTCTATTGGCAAATCATGCCTCGTGCACCCTGACTGTCCAACCAACGCTACGCCGAGAAGCAGCTATCGTGTGTCTTCCGCCGTAGGGGTATTAGACCGACAATCCCTGTGGCCAGACCTTGAAAAGTATTAATAGCGTTAGTCTGGGGGGGCCCCTTTAGACCTTGGTGGCTGTGCTAGAGGACAATCTAGTTCACTGATTCACTGAAGGTAGGACTCTTATCGTGATAAGAAACACTTGTATCGGTCCGGATTATTTCTTTGCCCGTTAATTGGCCGGTGTGGCCGAGGCGGTGAGTAACGGTTCTCCGCATTGCATCATCCATCTGTTCCCTCGAGCTGTCCACCGTTTCCTTTCAGACAGTTCGAATTTGGATAAAAAAGACCTCCCAAAATCTCTGATGACTTTCACCATAAATTGAAGAAGGGGACAGCAAGAGGGAGGCTCGTGAGTGTGTCTTGAGACCCAGGTCCACACTGTGAGGATCCACCCGCAGCCGATCCTAGCCTTACGGAACGCCGCGAGTATTGCGACCGCACTAGTCTGGGTGTATGACGCGGGGGTCCTGATTTGCCGGTTATTCTGACGTGGTTCCTGGACATGCTACGTATGGCTGAAGTCAATGCAGCCAAGTTGGTGAGGGGTCACGAGGAGTGCTGAGGGTTGAGAAGTCATCAAGTAGATCATGCAGACCTGGTATGATTATGCAGATGTGAAGATCGACAAGGGATGACTATGGAGATCATCCATGATCGATGGAATAGCCGGGGTGTTCCGTGGATCATGATCAAGTCGACACTCTCAAAGGCGGATCTTTTGAGTCATGAAATCCACCCTTTCATGCTGGAATAAATCTTCCTACTTCTAGTAATCCACCGGTGGTAGGTCTAGATTGCCTATCGAGGGGCAAACTGTGTGCACAATAAAAGTGACTATGCGTTGGATCCTGTCCTGCTCCAATTTTCGATTGTAGCTATGAACAACTCTATGCCAATCAGTCGCCGTGTACGTTACTAACTGGCCTCGAAGCGTTGCAGGCGTATGGAACCCACTCGCTTGAAACATCTAGGGAAGAAGATGACAACCACCACTTCGATCCTGAACGAGGTTATTAAAGAAAAGGATGCACTTGCAAGACACGACTTGGTGCTGGACCAGCAAAGAACTAAAAATGATCTTGAGAACAAGACGCAAAAAGATATGACAAGAGTGGGATTCGAACCCACGCCCCGTAAACGAGATCAGGAAACCAATGTTTGGTGCTAAGGTGGACCTTAACCTGACGCCTTGGACCAACTCGGCCATCTTGCCTGGACGATGTTGAAAGGAGCCAACTTTGACAATATGAGCTCCAAAAAAAGGTCAACCACTTTCGGGTACTTTGCGCAACGCCGTCAGACACTTTGTTCTCAAGCGCTGATGAACGCAGATGGGAGACCCCATGAACGTACAAAGAGTGTTGATGAGAAACGGGCTTGGGGACCAAGAAGAAAAAGTATTTTCTTACGGAATCATATCAGGATTGCAATGGAGCCGATGGATCAAAATCGTCACTCGCCTGGGTGTGCATTAAAAAAGTGCCAAATATGACATTGAAATTGTGTACATCGTATACATTGTATTCTAACCTGATATAAAAAGCCAAGGAAAATCGTATCTGCACCGCGAAAAAAAGAGTGACCCATGCTTTCCTGGGACGGCTCTTCTGGACTGCTGCACATGTCGTTGCTCGTATCTCGTCAAGAACCTGTGAACTACCACCAGTCTACTGACTATGCGACTTTTGTAGAATCTTTTGCACATCCCCTCGTTTGACAGGCTTGATGAGGAAGTCATCAATGCCAGACGCGGAGGCTTCCTCTTCGGCAGCTGCGCCTCCGAGTCCTGTCAAGGCAACGATGCTCAGTGAAGGCACATCCTGGTGCGATGCTCGGTATTCTTTCTCAAAGGCACGGATTTGACGGGCGGCTTCAAAGCCATCCATGACGGGCATTGACATATCTGGATAAATTAGTCTCGTAACAAACATGGTCGGAGAAGAAGGAAACACACCTAATATGATGACTCGGAAAATGTCGGGGTGGGCCTTGTAAACATCAACAGCTTCGGCTCCATTACGAGCAGTCATGTATTCGTAACTCGTCTTTTTTGTGTAGGCGCACAGTAGTTGAAGATTCAGATCGTTGTCGTCCACCAAGAGAACAGATGGCCGCGAGTAATCTGGTTCCTCATGGACCCCATTTACACCATTCACACCGTTCGTGGGGGTGGTCATTGGTGACATATCTTGACTCGATCCATTCTGGCTCTCGTCATTCGAGTGTTGTCGAGAGAACCGTTCCCCGGATCCCATTGTCTCCATCGTCGGTCGTTTGCTGAGTTTCATACGCTCGTCAGGTGGATCGGTGGACTCGAGATCAACTGGGAGATGAGAAGATTCCGGCATTTCAACCCAGCGAGTCGGCTCAGCAGGGGTAGATCGACCGGACGGGGAGTCGCGCTGTCGCTTGATACACAGATTCAGTGCCCGGGCCAATTTGCGTGGCCCACAAGGCTGGCTGATAAATTCGAAGACGGGTGCCTCTCCACGATTCTTCGTCGTGACAAACATATGGTGCGCTTCTTCAGGTGACTGGCAGATGACGACGACTGGCGAGCCATTGCCATCTGTGCCGTGTAAGTTTTTCCCAAGGGCGAAAAGATCTCTGCCCCCTCTGTCTTCAGAGTCCAGTTCGGTTTGCACAGCCAAGTAGAAGTCCAAGAGAAGGGGCTCGCCTTGGAAGCATGACACGTTTGTAACTGTCAAGCCGAACCAGTCGTGACACAATCGCTCGAGGGATTCGAACAAGGACCTGTCGCGCTGAGAGTTGAGGGACGATCCGAAACCTAAAAATCCGATCGACTTCCCCTGGGTATAACTTAAAATGGAATTGAACTCCGAATTCGAGGAAACATTATCCGAGTTGTCGAGGGAGCGCACAAGAGGAGTGCGGATCGATAATTCAGTGCCGACTCCCTGAGTAGAATTGATTTCAATCGAGCCACCAAGTGACCCCACAGCTTGATGAACAATACTGAGCCCCAGTCCACTGCCAGACATGAGTGAATCCTCCTGCATGAAGGGTTTGAAGAGATCTTTCTGCAGATATTCAGGTCCAATACCCTTGCCGGTATCTTTGACGGTGAGAGTGACCTCGAACTCGGCCTCTTGGTTTTCCGGTGAGTCCGGAGCCAGTTGTGAGCCACGTCGAGAACCAGTCTTTTCAGATGACTTCAGTCCAAGGTAGATGTAGCCTTTTTTTGTATATTTCAGTGCATTACCGAAGACATTCATCAAAATGCGACGCCAGGCACCAGGATGGGTATCGAATTCCCATTCTGTGTCAGGCTGGATGTCAAAGATGATGGTGACCTCGCTGGCCCGTGGGCCGACCTGATTGGAACTACTCGTTTGACCCGCTGAACGTGAAGAAGAATCGGTCAAAGCAGGGGGCGGCATTCTGGGGTGATTGTAGAAACTGTATCCGGCAAAAACGGACTCGGCCACTTCCTCAAGCACCGCATCAAGCTTGACATGCGAAGATGCAGCCTTTTCACCGCGCTCTTTCTTTCGATCACGACTTCCCTCCTTCGTGGCGGGGAAGTGTTTCTCTCCCATCTTCTTGCCTTGATGATTCTTGTTCTGGCCAAGGAACGCGAGATCCAGCAAGTTGTTGATGGTGTCCAGAAGAGTGCGGCCACAGGATTCAATTGTGTGAACCATTCCGTGCTGCAAGGCATTCATAGCCGTATCAGTGAGAATATCCGCAGTGCCCAGAATTCCATGCAATGGTGTTCGAAGCTCATGGGTAATACTGCTGAGTAGCCTGGTCTTAGCCTTGTCTGCCATCTCGACCTCGAGACGATTGATTTCGGCCATGATGCTATTTGCAAAGGCCGAAACATACATCAGCTCATTCTCGAATGTAAACACAAGCTCTGGGTCATTTGTCCAGACCAAAGTACCAGCAAAGCACCTTCGTTTGTCCGAGTCCCAGATTGGCAACAGAAGAATACTCCTGGCTTGAGGGAAAATGTTGATAAGATGATTAGCATCTTTTTGGAAGCTTGATCTGCTCCTCCTTTTGCTGGATGATCTTCGCAGATCGGGCTTGAAGCTGGGTTCCACTCCTGGTATTTCCCGTGTGCTGCCGTCGCTCTCATCAGATACGGCTCGGTTGGCATCGTAGGTGAATATCTTTCCACGTGGGTATCGTCGAAGGAGTGAAGTGAACAAAGCTTCATGTACCATGGACGGTGGGCCGCTTAGTGAGTCATCATTGATGGACGACCCCGACGAGGTTGAGAATCCCAAGCATAGAGACAAAGGTGAAGTGTCTTCCTCTGCGTCCGAAGTAGTGGGTGAAGAGTCTTGCTTTGTCGGTGAGTTTGAATCGGTACTTTCATCACTGCTTGATGGATCACTCGGTATCCCAGGGTCTGACCTTCTGTGGCCGGCTTGATCACCTGTGCCTCTGAAGCGATCGCTTTGCGCATCAAGGAAGATCACACCCTCGGTTCCAATTGACTCTCTGATCAAGTTTGCTGCCCTCGAGAAGACCTGCTTGATGCTGTTTGTATGCATTTCTTCCTGTGGACTTTCTCCGGAAATCACGCTTCGCATTGAACTATCCTTGGGTGAAACCTCTATCCCAGTCTTTTGACTGGGGTCCGGACCCCAGCCACTTTGTTTTGTTCCCCCTTCAGTGTGATTCTCGGCTTGTTTCGGTCCTCGAACGACAAGCGAAGTCGAATCTTTCTCCTCTTCGTCCTGTAGACGCTGTTGCTGGCTGTTGGCCCGACCCTCTATCATATCTTCAGGATTCTTCTCAGCGTTTTCCTCCGCATTTTCCTCCTGCCAGGCATGGCGAAGGGTGGATTTCCCCTCGTTGAAGCTGCCCAGGCCGACAAGCATCCGTTCAGCCTGCCGACTCTTATGAGTGAAATGGCCCATCACCAAGTGTTTCATAATGGCATCAGCCAGGTCCTTCATGAAGCGAAGCGAGTGCTCTGGAAGTGTCGAAGTCCTGACTTCATCATCCATTGCGCTGAGACAACCAACAATGAGCCCTCGAGGGCTAATCAGAGGCACAGAGGCAAAGAAACGAACATTCGATAGCGTCTCCAGGATTAAACTGGTCTTGATACGCGAGTCGTTCTTCACGTCACCAACAACCAGGACACCGCCCTCCACTGACTCCCCATCCTTCATGCAGGCGGAGATGGGCACATCCTCCACGTGGTGACAGAGGCCTCGTTCTTTGGGAAGCACGCAGCTTCCCAGTAACATCTTGTCGCATTCATTTTCAGGCTTGCCCCCAGTGAGACTCAATGATGGAGTACCCTCCGCGAGGATATGCTGGTGTGTGCGATCGAAGAGAGTGATGAGGGCCCGTTGAGTTCCGAGGCGGATTGCTGCGAGCTGGGCAAACGAAGTCAAGGCAGGGTCCGGCGAAGGCTGAGGAGTGTATTTATGGCGACTCGCATGATCGAAAGGAGCGTACTGCGCGGCCGAATACTCGCACGGTAGATACCTGTCGCGGGGGAAACAGCTGGTCAGCAATTTTCGATGCTTGCGAATGACGTAGTTTTTCCCTTACTTGCGAAAATCGCGTTCCTGCGCCAGACGATAGCGCGCACCCGAATCGTTCGCTACAATCGCAGTCATACTGAAGCACTCAATGACTCGATCGCATGATTTCCAGGTCTGAGAAACTCGGGTTTATCCGAGCATTTGAGTAAGTCGGCGAAGTTTCAAAAGCAGGTTTTCTGCAATGGGGGTGTTCGAGGAGCCACCCAATCAGAGTGGGCCCTCGTACCTTACGCGGTCGAGATCTTTTGATAGATTCAATTCAAGAAATTCCGTGGTTGAATGACTCCTCTTTGGCATATTTGACTCTATATAGATTAACCACATTGATGATATATCTTTTAGAACTTCCACAACCGAGATGGTATTCTACACTTTCGTGCTTCATATTTTCCATACCTCTATACTTTGATCCAAAAGGCGTCAGAGCCGATGAGGTCATCTCCCACTTGATCTTCAGGGCGCCACCGCCTCATGGTTTTGCCACCCCGGTCCCGACCTGCAGGTGGGGCCCATCAACAGAGAGAAGGTAGTGCGATGCTCATGGCATAATACTTTATAGTGGCGTTCCTGAGTCTGAGAAGTGTCATCGACAGTAGTGGAAAAATCACTAGTAGGTGTCCACCATCATTTGGTCGGCAGGCCAGTCGTCAAGGTCTGCCTTTGTGGTCGAATTGTTCTTGTCTTGTCCATCGCGAGTACCCCCACGGTGATAATTCAAAATCTCCATGTACCTTGATATAATTGTCAATTAGAAAATCAAGTCCTGGCATCGACGAACGCAGACGTACATATTACTCTTCCACTCATCTGTGGACAGCTCCGAATCCAACAGAGACCAATCAATCTGGCCTTCAAAGACGGGTTCATCTTCGGGGTCATGGTAGGCTGAGACATAGGGGTGCTGAAGTGCATCTGCCGTGGTGATCCTCTTCTCCGGGTCCATATTGAGCATCTTTTCCAACAGATCGACAGCTATCAAAATCAGCATTTTGGACACATGGATGGACACTGGTGTTGAGATGAGACGATAGTATAGCGGCGCATACCTTGAGGATCGGCACCTTTGAACAGAGATGTGAAGGGAAGAGGCTTCCGCTCTGGTAGAGATCCCACAAATTCCAATGTCTAAAGGTTCTCCGGTCAATGACTAGATCGTGATTTGGACTCCCGCACTGCTGGATCTTACATTCTGACTGTACACTCTCTCCATGATCTCCTTGGGTGGCTTCCCCAGAATATCGGTAATCAATGTGAACTGATGCACGTGGTCCTTGCCCGCAAAGAGAACTCTTCCAAGGAGCATCTCTGCCAAAATGCACCCGACACTCCAAATGTCGACCGCATAGGTGTATTTCTGCCAAGTCAACATGATCTCCGGGGCCCGGTAGTATCGCGTCACGACATAACCAGTCATGTGTCGGGCGTCTTGTTCTCGAGCCAATCCAAAGTCGCAGATCTTCAAGTCACAGTTGTCGTTGATCAGAAGATTGCTGGGCTTGAGATCACGATGAATGATCCCAGCGGAATGAATGTATTTCAATCCTCGCTGAATGAGTCAGTGATGCTGAGTGCCCATTCTTTCAGCTTGAATGAACATACCAGCATTTGATAGGTAAAGAACTGGATGTATTGGGCTTCCAAAGCCTCTGGTTTTGATTGGAGGAGACGATGAAGATCTGTCCGGATGAGATCCGTCACAATATAACTGTAATACAAGAATACTCAGCACGCTTCTTCAAAGGTCACGTAGACAGGTGATTTACATACAGATCTTCTGACGGAGAGATAAAGATATCTCGCATGTTGATCAACTAAAATTGATGAGTCTTCATGGTCACGATTCCAATTCCTGCAGGGCTTGTCACATACATTGTCGTGTCGCATATTACTTAAAAGGTGTACCTCACGGTACGTGCGCTTGGTCACAGCAGGATTCTCAAATGGCTTCCCAATCTTCTTGATTGCGACCGTTTGCTTTCCTATTGAATCATGTGCCGAGCTATTGGCAACGGTCAGTAACTCATCAGAGGTAGCGATACAGTGATCAGAGCATACCAGATGACTCCAGAGGCACCCAAGCCTTGTGGTTCTAAATCCGAATACCTTTCAGTGACCTGAAGGGTTGTGCCCATGATTTCTATCGTAACAAAATTTGCCATTTTTGCAGGGTGAAACCAGCCGAATCGTTAGGTTGAACCAGTTGAATGATAGAGAGACGAAGGGTAAGTGAATGGTTGCCTGGAAAGAAATGCAATTATACTGATATCTATATGACATCACCCGTGCACATGGCCCAAACTGGGGCCTATGTCATATCCGGTTAGAAGTGATCCCTGCGCATCAGGATTATCATTAATGCAAATCTGGTTCATAGGTCTTCATTACTTGATGACTGGACATCTGGAACCTGCAAACTTCTCGGAAGCGGCGCAGCCCTTCTCGCAGTCAATACCAGCCCGGGATGGACCACGCCACCTTCCAAGGTTGCTTAGGACAATGTAAGATTCCTACAAGCTTGGCGATGAGCTGTGTTAATCACCTGCACCTGTAATTATTTGAGAGGTACGTCTGGCACCGTAGATTTCTGCACTTGGGAGAAGATCGACCTCTTTCTTATTATTGTCGCAACCGCTATTTTACAACTGGACCAAAGAAGTAGGGTATAAGAATCACGTCACGCTTTCATTTACGCTTCTAAAAGGGTAGGACTAGAAGTGTAATCTGACTTCAATGTTTGACACCGAGCCACCATCGGTAGCCATTTCTTCTGATGTCGCGAGCTCAAACAGTTCAGCAGTCATGTCCTGGCCATCTGGAATACGTTGAACCACCTCGTCATCAAGGATGATCTTCATGCCGTTTGGATTGATATGGAACAGATCCACTTGACGATCTGGACTAAACTTTTGTTTCTGAGAGATCTTTGTCACCAATTCCCGCACCGTGGGTTCTGCCAGATACACCGCTGTGTGGTAATCATCCTGCTGTACACCATTTGCCTGAAAACGGAGGTAGAAACACTTCGCTGATTTAGTTGGGCGAATAGCGTATTCCTGACCTGATAGTTTTGGGTTTAAATCATCCTCCATAAGTTTGGCATCTCCAGTACTAACCACCGACGTTGCAGGTCCTGTCTGTGGCGTAGTCGCATTCACGAAGAGCTCCTCACTACCCGTGTAATCTGTAGAAACATTCGACGAGCCACTACAGTCACTTGGCTGGAGGTTTTCCGGGTCACGATGCGACTCCTCCCGCTGCTCATCTGCTGAGATATGTGATAGATTTCTCGATGCACTGCTTAATGTCGATGGCGGAGTCGCAATTTGGACGGCCGGTTGGAGTTGGTCAGTTCTTTGCGCCCGCTCATCTGCCACATGAATTGGAAACAAGTCCGGATCATCCTTGTCTTCACCCGGAAGGCAAAAGCTGCTCACGGGTCGGTTGGAGGTTAGAATGCTTTGCATCCTTGCCAAATCTGCATCTAGATTGTTCACAAGTTGAGCTTTGAGTTGGGATCCAAGTTGGTTGCTGGAATAGATCGAGCGGTTACCGCGTTTCCGCTTTCCGAGGCTTTCGCTCCCATTCTGGGCTTTAGCAAAGTCTTGCTTCCGTTTTTCCATTGCTTTCTTCAACTGAGAAACGTCATTGAACATCTTCCGTTCGGCCCCATGGTCACGGAACAGCTTGACTATGCAAAAGCTCAGCTCAGCAGTACCTGGCGTGGACGTCTCAGTTTTGGCGCAAAGTCTGAGAGGTGCCCCTTTCACCCCCTTCGAATGGCTAAAGTCCGTAGAGAGGAAGTTGAACCGTACCCCAATCGTGCAGCCTGGCGGCCCTGTGGACGGATCCCCGAACCATGTGACACAGAAGCCATCTAAGAACGTCCTTTCTAGCTGGATGGGGTACATTTGACCATGCATCCCTTTTACCAAATCAACCATCTCGACCGCATTCAAAGTGCCATTCTTCTGTTGCATCTCACGGCTTCGTGTATCCTTCCATAGACTCCAACATGCGGCGGGGTTTGATACGTGCTCGGACTCTTCGAACGATATGCGGATCGAGGTTCGGTATTTGACCAGCCCTTCGTTCCATAGTGGAGGCCTGGAATCGGTGATGGATAACGAGTAGGTATGGCCTTTGTTGAGATAGGTGACCGGGGTATCATTCGGATTATGGATCATTGCCGTGGGTGTATTCATAGTCACGTTATATCTGAAACTATGCAACCAGTTAGAATCAATTCGCGGTTGAGATCAAGATTCAACGTAAAACTAACTTGGCATGGCCATAGCTAGGAGATCTTTCCACTTTTGGAAAGTTATTCCCGGAGAGATGAGCTGAGACGCGAGCTGGCACAGGCCATCACCAGATATCGGAGGCAACTGTTCGCTAGAATGATTGAAAAGACCATCGTTGCGATTGGAGTGAACAAATGCGCTGGATGGGTACGCAGCAGTCAGGTCACCAACGTTCGTGCCTTGAGGGTTTTGTACAAAGTATTGCGGATCCAGATTTCCATATGATGTGTCAGTGTTGCTCCTATGCAGGGGAGTCACCGCAAATTTCTCCAGAAGTGTGTTAGGAGAGATCAATTTCGTGTCCACACTTGGCGTATGGAGATCTCCGGCCGGGCCATGAAACACCGTATTGGAACCACCTGAAATGTAGTCCTGATAGGCCAGGTTTCTAGGGGTGGGAAGTGCGAAGTCATCTAGGAAAGGTGTAAATCGTAGGCCAGCTTGGGGTTGAGCTTCCGTCCCGGGGGTCAAGATGTCCTCTTTGATTGCGGGTCTACATATTCGATTCAAATGCTTAGTCGCTGGACGGCCGAGATTGAGGAAGGCGGCGTGAACGTCTCTGTTCAGCAGGTACATACCTAGACGGAGAATCGTATGTAGTGGGCCGCACAACATCAGAAAAACTCTCCTGGAATTTGTTGATGAGGCCCTCGGCGGGCTTCTTCGCATTTGGTCTGCGCAAACCAATGTCAGCTCAATGCAGCTGGCAGGGTGGCGCTGGAAAAAGTCCACATACCTGTTACCAAACATCTGCTGCCGTCTAAAACAAATTGAATGAGGCGGGGGGGGGCTCAAACTATGTACCAAGAACAGATATCCAAGGCATCGCAAGAGGGGTATACGAGGATCTCTCAGAAAAAGCCCGGTGGGTCCGACCAGGACTAGCCTTGCTTTGGGGAAGTGGAGTCTCACTAATGAAACCACTCCATTTTGCAGTGACGGCACCGGAAGCTACCCGCCAGTAGGATTCTGACCGGCGAACACTCGGCCCTTGCATTCATGTATCGAGGTCGAATGGGAGAAGGCTGCGGAAGGTACTTTGGATTGATCAACACCCGACTGGCCCACTGTGGTCACGGTGGAAATTTCTCGACCTTTCCCTCAGCGACGATGACGTCGTACGGGATGTCACTTTGTCACAATCATAGGTGGGCTAATCTGGGCAAACCTAGCTCAGATTGAAGTCCTGCCCAACTGGGACGATCGCTTATCAGCCCGAAGCCGAACGTGCGATCAGGCAATAAGGAGTCAAGCTATCGCACTCCTGCCCGAAATTTCAACGCTGAGCTTTTACATGGGACGAAAATTGGAGATTGCGTGGGAAATGAATATATATTGGCGACAAAAGTCTAGGATGACCGTATTATCTCGTCTTGTGGTATAGTGTACATGAACAATCATAAACCTTGTGCCCGTCTGGCGGACACGGCAGTGGCGTCATCAGGTAGTAAAAGGATGTACATCGTGCACTTATGAGTGCTTAGCCTGCTCTATGTGGTTGTTAGCATCCCACCATACAACATGCCAGACGAGGCAACTTACCCTTGTGAAGATCGGCCTTGGTGTCGTGAGTCTTCTCGTCCTTCTTATCGACAATGGCATCCTTGGCGGCAGCGGCGCGGGTGCTCAGCTTAGCATCGTCGTCCTTGGCGATCTGCTTGTTGGTCTCCTTGGAGGCCTCAGCACCAGTGCCCTGGATGGACTCGGAAACGTAGTTGGCGGCGTTCTGTTCAACAGGACAAAATTATTAGTAAGCACCCACGTGAACCTCGAGAATGGCCACGAACCTTGATGGACTCCATGATGAAGATTTATTGGGAAATTCGAAGGATTCGAAAGGTAATGATGTTTGTGTTGTTGTGTTTGATGATAAAAAAAGTCAATTAATCTCGCCGGGACGAGGGGCTATTTATCCTTTCCTGAAGCATCATCCAAGATACCTTGACGTCATCGTTCCAAGGTTGAACACAGAGCGTCGACGTCAATCGCCATACGGGCTACAATCACAACCGGTTATTGTGATCTAAAGCCAACATCCGAAGCTGGTTTTGAAGAATGACAATAGACGGCTGACGTAAAAAGCTCCTCCTTTGTTAGCTAAACAAGCTTCAATTCACGAATTAAATAAAATCATCCAGACATGGCTGTACCCACGCTGAATGACAAGCCTAGAAGATGCTGCCAAGAGACATGAATAGGTGGCTGTGGGTTCTTGTCTTACTATTATGAGATATTTTTACCTGATATGGAAGGAAAGTGAACAAAGACTGTGTAGAAAGTCGTCTATACTTCCCTGGAGAGAATGTCACAGGAGCCCAAGATAACTGAAGTCTTGAAGCCCAGTTGCAATGTCTCCATGGCCCACTGTGAGTCCGATGAATATGAGCTTGATCTTTCCGGGAGCCACTTTTCATCTGACGCTTCTTCTCCATCGTCGCTTTCATTGCTCTTCGATGTCTCACCGTCGTCGGAATTCGCCTTTATATCGAATTCAAAGTTCATATCAGACAAACTAAGATCTAATTCAAGAAATCTATCAGCAGAAGGGTGCCGGTCAGCTCGAAGATATTAACTGCCGCGATAATTTGCCCGTAGCCAAGGCCTACGTGTCTTCTCCTCAGAGCAACCGTAGGATATTAAAACAAGCTCATACAGCCTCCTCCACGTGCTAGACATCCATGCTCACCGCATCCAGGAGCTGCGGTATTAGCGCCAGCCTCAATGAGCTTACGGGCGTATACGATTGCCGCAAGCTGCAGACATGTCGCTCCTGTGCGATATACAGCCTTCTGTTTGACATCTGCAATGATAATCTAGCAGGACCTGAAAGATGTCTTTTTTTTTGTCAAGCAAGCTCACTCTGAATCCAGGGCCTGTTTATTGCTTGTCTGATCGGTCATTTGTAACAGACCTTGTAAGAAGGATCGATGCAGCAAGTTGATCTATATCCTGTCCCGTGTCTCGATGAGGAGTCCGACCAAATGTTAAGCCCGAAGGGCAACATGATGGAACCTCTCTATCGATCTAGCTGGTATTTATCAGGAGAGGTCTTTGTCACTCGGCGCCTCGCACCGTTAGGAAACTCACTCATTGGGAGTCAACGTGGCATTAGAAGTACAAGGTAGCTCGGCTTTTCATGCGTCTTCAGTGGAATCATCTTGGCTGGGACTTTATTCGGAGCGAAGCATAGAGGTACCAGGCACTGATGAAGGTTAGGGCAGAACAATTCTCAGGTTTGAAGAAATTCTTTATCTGGTAACACTTGTGATCGCCCTCGCCGAGGCACGTCCCGACTAGATACGTAGTCAGAACAATACGTTTGGAGTACAGAAGGCACAAGCTTAGGGATCGAACCGTCTTTTTAATCATGATTGTTCAGTCATTCGGGAGCTATAGGGAGTAATCATGGACTTAAGTCCATACACGAAGAGAATCCCAAATATGTCCGCGGTGCAAAAACAAATATTGAGCCGGCTCTTTCAACGCGACGAAGGCATACAATTACAGGACGACAATTAAAAACAGCGCAAGGTCATGACGCATTCCAATGCATGTTGCTCAAAAACGCTTCGTTTCCAGAATTTCGCATCGAGCATCTCATCATTCCACCCACATCGTCAGCCGCCAGTTATAACGCTAGTAGGCAGCTTCAACATATGAGAAGCTCAAAAAGAACCATTCATATTACATGGGCTTAAACGATCATCTGCGCAATGCCCTGGCCTCCCAGAGTCTTGCTGCCGACGAACTCTTGACTCTTGAGACCAGCTAAAGCGTAGAAGAGAGCAGCAATCAGGAGGAAGACGGCGGCGGCGATCAGGCTGGATGCTCCGCCGACAAGACTGACCCACTGGATGGCACTGAGGCAGACGTACATGGTGGCGCGCATCCAGTTAGTCGTGATCCTGCGGATGAACTCATCAAATCTGCCGGAGGTCGGGCAGATGCGAAGAAGGAAGGGCACTTCGACGAAGAGAATAATTGGGGCGGAGATACTGCTGGGGGTCAGTATCATATTGTCTCAAAGGGAATGGTTCGACTAACATGCAAAAGACGGCGAAAAGGATGTGCCAAGGGTGGGTGGTGAAGATATTGGCGATACCGAGAGCCATGCAGAGAATAATGCACAGCACTCCGGTCCTATTGTTGCGCGTGTCAGGACAATTCGCAATCACAAGCAATCAGGAGCAATCAAAAGGCGCTGAAAAGCCCATTTCAAATATTCCAGGCTCCCGTCGGTCAGACCACGACAACCCCCTCCCCAGCAAGATTCGAGACCGACGGTAGGTCACAAGGACAGAGGACGACACGGATGAGAGTACTAACCATTGACCGTAAATGCCTAGATAAGCGCATCATTAGCAAGACCAACAATCAGATGGGGCTGATCGACAGAGCCGCCACCCAGCATGAGGCGGGTACTCACTGAAATTTCTCGAGCGGAACTCCTCGGCCAGCGTCATGATGGGCGATGTGATGGTAATGGTTTTTTGGCGACCGAGCTGAGAAATATTCTGTTCCAAGCGACAGAGTGGGATGTCAAGAAGCTTTGAGATGGAGGAAAGAAGAAGTGTACACGCGGCTGATTTGCTGGGCTCCGGGCGGTCACTGCCACGCAAACAAAACAAAGAGTGGAAACTGCGCCGTTGCTGTCGATCAGGAACGAGGTCACCTCAGACCTGGGGTTTCCTCAATGATCGGATAACGCTGTCCGATATTTTGTTCAGTTGCTCTGGGTTTATTTTTTCCTCCAAGCAGACACCCATAATATGGTTAGCCCACGGCCTCTTCTAACAGGCTACAGTATTTTATCTCTACCTTTGTCCTCAAAGTTACCCCTTTACGAGGTGAGATTAAAGATAATATCGGTCTCATGTAGTCCGCATTCCGTTCTCTGTGTAGTCAATTTAATCTCACTGACTATTCTGAAACTATTTCAATGCTATCAATAGTCAGACATCAAAAAAAAGACCATACTTGAGGGAGTATTATAGAGCTGGGGCCAAATCACGCCAACCAAGCAGACTAAAAAATGTTGAGAAAATGTTACTTCGAAGAGTTAGCTTGCTTCTGAAAGTTGCCTTTCCGCGAGCCGAGGCAGCAGGAGAAAAAGCAAAAAGAAAATGACAAGAGTGGGATTCGAACCCACGCCCCGTAAACGAGATATGGAAACTTGGATCAGGTGAGCCTGAACCATACGCCTTGGACCAACTCGGCCATCTTGCCAGTGGATTGTGAGTTTAGGCTTTTTTGGTTATATGAAGCCTTCAGTGTCCTGAGCTTTGACTGAACCATCACTTCACTATTGATTTAAGACACGTTCATTGTCTACAACCAACACCCCAAATAACGAGCTGAAGTAGTCAAAATTCCTGACTTACCAATTCATACTTTTCGACTCACTCGGCCAATGATGTCGTGTAGATAAGGATACCGTGAGCAATTGATTCCGCGCTAAGAGATATGACTCAGTCCGGATGTCACCCTCTGCTCCTGATAATATTAGGCTCGCGAATGTCCACATCCGTGGCCCTGACAAGTCAGTCTTGGGAGCCATCCATTGTCCAGACGTATTGGCAAATCAGCCTCCAAATGACCATTCACTATAATCAATTGACCAAGGAGCCTTACTTGAAGCTTCCCGCTCCACGATCCAATGTTATCATCACTCCACACAGATTGGGAAACATTGATGAAAACGCCGATGCATTGGCAAACATACTAAATGATTCAAGAGTGTATCCCTGCCTGGAGCGGACGCCGTACCCGTATCTGCACGAGCACGGCGTGGGATGGATTGAGGCGCACTGCAAACAAAATAAGGAGGCTTTGTCAACATTGCGCAAGCACCTAGGACAGAGAGAGATTATCAACACAGAAAGCGCTGATGGGCGAAAATTCTTCGACAGTTGTCTATTCACTTGCATTCGCGAGGTTCTGGCCGAAGATCCTGAAACAGGGGCCCCGCTTGAGGATCGCCTGATTGGCGACATGAAAATGGAGCGGTATACATTCTACGAACATTTATATGGTAGCGAGGAAAGATCCAAGGCGCAACACAAAAATGAAGAATTGCCGACTGGAGATGAGAACATAATATGGACGCTTGGAGGTATTTGAAGGCTCATTGGACATTGACTTCCCACTGACATGTTCACAAGATTTTCTAGCATCTAGCCACCACGGCAAAGGAATCATGACACTCGCAATCCGGACTCTCATTCACGATTGGGGTATTCCGCACATGAATGTTCACCATATCAAGTGCTATGCATTTGTAGGCAATGAAGGTAGCTTGAGAGTGCTCGAGAAGAATGGCTTTGAAAGAGAGCGCACATTGGAAGACTGGGTCCCGGTTTCTGAAAGCCGAGGGGGTGGAAGAAAGTCGATTGTCTTAATGGCATGGCGGGGTGCGTAGAGTAGACCGCACATGTCCCCTCCCCCCCCGGGGTCCTTTCTGGTTGCTTCTGTACATAGTCATTATAGTATCGTCTCTCGATCGTCGCATCCATTTTCCATGACGAGATTTATAAAATGTGATCACGCAAGGCTATGACGCCTTCCTCGCAACGACTGCTGTTTCATAAGGAGTCATTCCAGCTTCGATAAAGCTCAACTCGGAGAATGTGGATTGACGAAAACAAGGCTCAAAGACCACCCAGTCTGCCGTTGGCCCGAGCCAGATTATCAATTGCACAGCTTGACCCCCGTATGTAACGATGTATTTCGTGATTAATTTTGGATCTCGCGGGTATACAAACATCCACGCTGAGGCCACCTGGGCATCGGAACAAAGATCCCACCCGCCAGCAACGATGTTCATAGCCTCCTCGGCAATATATCGGTTGACGCTTGAGCTTACCTCGACCCCTTCCACCGATACATTTTCAAAGTAATGCACGATTAATGCCTCGAGGAAGCCTGACCCGCTGCCAACTGAGAGGGTGAATGCGGGTGTCTTAGGGAGGATTGAACCCAGGTGATCGAGCAAGGTACTTGAAATACCCAGGCAGCAATCGGGGAATCTCTTTGGTGATGAATCCAATTGATCCGAGAGGTGAGATATGTCCATTTCGGAATTGTTTGTTCAAGAGAGGATTATCATGGGGCGTGTGAAGAAAGTTTGAAATTAAGTGTGGAGTTACTAAGCGCCCGCGTAGTGGGTTTCATTGGCTCCCTGGGTGGAAGGGGAGAAGTATAGCATTTGAGGGTAAACATGGCCCTGAGAAGCCAACAACCTTGATACAACGATTGTGACGGATGGGATGAGTTAGACTATTGAATCCAAGGTATGTGAATGAGAAGCATATAGACCGGTTATTTTGGAGTCTTTGATTTCAAAGGGTTCACTCTTGCTTTCGGAGTTGACCACTGTCCTCCTGCGGGCCAAATATATGTTCCCCGCAACATATTGGATCACGGTCAGCGATATAACTTTGGACCCAATACAAGCATAAATATCAGTGTTCCGGCATCCACAACATTATACATCATTGCCCACAGTGTCGCTCAGATTCAGTAACGACACTCGGAGTTCGCGGAATACCAGGTGGTTGTAGATACCATTAAAATGCGCTGTAGACAGCCTCTAACCGCGGCAACGAGATGGCAGCCCAGCAATTGCCAAATTTAGAGCATACGACAAAACGGATAAAAATTTCGATAGAGTAGCTAGCTGCCTCCCTTATATTCTCTGAAGGATCAAGATGTCACCGTATTGACTGCCTATTTTGACACGTAGAAGGATCCTGTAAGAGAATAGAAACGTTGTCTGTCTACATAGGTACGTGTACGTGGACCAGTAAGCGTTATAACCGAAAGTCAGCTCCGCCAACACAGATGACATTCAACACAGATCGTGCTTGAATGACATCTCACATCTAGGCCAATCCAGGTCCGGGCCCGGACCCGAGAATGCGCATGGCTTCAGCAAAATCTGTCCCAGCATCCAATACACATTAGTCAGACAGATCACGTGTATTGCGTCATTGCCCGAATACGGACAAGTGCACACTGGGATCGCGTTCACCGCACCGCATTCCGCTCTGTGCGTGCAACGACTGGTTCCTTTCAAAGTCCCTTGGACCCACACGGCTGTTTCGACACCCGGGACGGATTCCTGTCGTCGTCATCGTGAAATCATCCACAGACCCAATATGCCACACAAAGACACAGGACAATTGAGTGCTGGGATTTATCTGAGGGAAGTGATTGATTCGATTTTCTTCTGCCAGCAGCAGATTTGACTCTTTTCAAAGACTAGTAGAAAGAAAAAAACTTTTTCCCTTATTTCTTCATCTTGATCGAGTGGCCAACTGAGCCGGAAAGAAGACACTCCGCTGGTTTGCCACAACGTTGATTGGTCGAGTGTCAACTCCGGGGTTCCACCTTCGTTCTCCGGGTTCGACGAGGCTGCTGGGAAGACTTTTTTTCCTCTTCTCTCGCCTCTCTATGTCCCTGTCATCGGGTGGTTCCTTCTCATGACAGATTACCGTAGATTCATACGATGTGGTAAGCCATGAATAGATAAGATCACGAATGTGGGACCCACTGTCAAAATGACACAGCAGAGAGATATAGAAAATCTCTAAGGGAGGAGTAAGTGTATAGGTCTCGACCACATAGAGGAATTTTCTTTCCCTGATTCGAGCCCACCTTCCGTCACGCGCGAATCAGAAAAATCCAACACAACGAAAAAACAGGATGGGGTGGTACCTGGCAGTTACATTACTTTACCCGCCCTGGAAGGCAAATGAGGAGTGCTCGCGTAGGCACACGATTGTAACGGTACAGAACCGGTACGGAGTCTGAGGGTTACTTAATGTTTTCATCCCAAAATCCCCTAAAAAACTGTCGTCATCCTCTCTCTACGTCACTTTTCTCCTTCTCACCATCCCTCGGTGTCCAGTCTCCATACAGCAAGCCACTCGTGGATTGACTCGAGTTTTGTCTTTTTGACACTGATCAGTGATGTCTGCCGCGGTCGCTCCTAGTGTGTCAACACTGCACAGTACTCTGTCCTCCATGGATTCCAAGAAGAATTCCCAGAAAGAAGGTTCGTCAATGGCGCGTGCGCGTATGTCTCTTGCCCATCAAATCAACCATGTCAAGTCCCCAAGCAAAAATCCTCCCTTGTTATTTTTTTATTTATTTTATATGTGCAAATGTGTGCATTACACTGGAGTGCCTTTCCCACACTTTCCCCCCCTTCTTCCCGTTTGGCTTGGTAATACGCCACCTGGGTGTCCCGTTACTTTAAGCTCCAAGCCCCCTCTGCCGTTGGGATGATCTCACACCTGGCGTCATCGATTCACCTGTCCACGATGAAGCGTACTCGATCTAGCCACCCTTCTGGTACCTTCGCGCTGTCGCACACCATCTCGTTCTCGCGCGCATGCTAACCTTCACTTCTTCGACAGACTCGCAGGCCGTGTCTTCGGAGATTAAGGATCAGAAACCCGACGTAGACAATCAGACCTCGCTGGCGCCACCTCCGCGTCCGAATGCGACCGGGGCCAGTGATACCCCGGATTACTTCAACTCCGTCCACAATCCATTCTCCCTGGAGCCCAATCCATTCGAGCAGTCCTTCGGTACGGGCTCAGGCGAGACTCCCGGCAAGTCGCTGCTGCCACCCGTCGCCTCGCTCACTTCACCTGCCATCCCCGGTGCCAGCTCTGGTAGCGGCTACAACTGGACTAATTCCCTGCGCTCGGGGCCTCTGAGCCCGGCTATGCTGCCCGGCCCAACTGGTTCTAATGACTACTTCGATAACATCGGTCGCGGCTTCCCGACTCCGAACGAATCTTCTCTCCGCACCGGACTGACCCCAGGAGGCGGTGGTTCTATGTTCCCGGCTCCCAGCCCCAACTCCCAGGCTTTACTGCAACAACTTCAAAGCGGCGGCGCGACCCCGTCCACTATCGAGTTTCACCGCACCGCCCTGGCGGCCAAGAAGAATAGCAACTCGAATGCACCCACTTCCGCTGCCAAAGAGCAGGAACAACCTAACACCATGGATCCTAAATCTACCCAGGCTGCTTCCGCGGACCCCTTCACTCAACACGATGCTGCCGATGCTGCCAACGGTCTATTCATGTTGGCCAAGGGCGGTCAGGCGAATAACATGCAGATGAACCAGGGTATGCAGAATGAGACCCGTGCTGCTGCCGCCCGTCGCGTCTCACAGAACACCAACGGTACCAGCGGCCGCGAAATGAGCGGCGACGCTTCGGACCAGGAGCTCAGCAAGCCCAAGGGCAAGGGCAAGAAGAATAACTCCAAACCCGCCTCTAACAACCGCCGCAAGGCCGATGATACTGGCCGGGGTTCCAACAAGAAGGCCAAGACCAACAGCATGATGGAGTCGCCATCCGACATGGATTCCGAGGACGAAGAGATGAAGGGACTCGGCGGTGATCCGAAGAAGATGACGGATGAAGAGAAACGACGAAACTTCCTGGAGCGAAACCGGTACGGAAACCCACCATCTACCACGATCTTCATACAAACATGCTAACATGTTGACAGTGTCGCTGCCCTTAAGTGTCGTCAACGGAAGAAGCAGTGGTTGGCCAACCTTCAGGCTAAGGTTGAGCTATTTACCACTGAAAATGATGCCCTGACCGCCACCGTGACCCAGCTCCGTGAGGAGATTGTGAACCTCAAGACGCTCCTGCTGGCTCACAAGGACTGCCCTGTCTCTCAGGCTCAAGGACTTGGCCCCCCTAATGATGAACGGCATGCAGACTGGATTTGACCCTCACGGTTACGGCATGCCCAGGGTATGGGCATGCAACCGGGTGGACCGATCCCAGCCCAGGCCATGCGTCGTTGAAGCTCGCTTGGGTGAACATTTTTCCTTGCTATACCGCATGCAGAGAGATCTTCTCCTTGCTTAGACCGGGCGGTCCCTTTCTTTGTTCTCTTATCCTGTTTTCGGCTACGGTTTCCGCCGAATCCTCTTTCTGGCATGGGCAGGTGTTTATGATCCTCACGACTCAAAATGGATGGGATGATTTCGGTGGCCCAGGATGAATTTCGCTAAAGTTTGAATGGCGCGTCACATTTGGCATCTGAAATTCTTATCGATGCTTTACGATTGTTCTGGTTTCCGATGGCTTATGGGGATGCCTGCCACGTTTCTCCCTGTTGTACTTCTTCCCCCCCAAACCCTTTCTTTTTTCTATACTAATGTTTCTCTCTCGATCCCGAGATTCTGTTGTTTCCATGTTCTCCTTTTTCGCTTGTTTAATACTTGAAGGATCCGCAGGTGCATGTTCCTTTTGTTTCAACCCGGGTTGCTTGTGCTGTGATACATGATTTCTGGGCGGCGTACCGGTGGCTTTGTTTTTTTCTTCTTTTCTTTCTTTCTCGTGTACTAGTTTCCGAGCTGGAAAGCTTGGCGAATTTATTTTGACGTCGTTCTGCGTTTCAATAGTATTCATCTTTCGTATACAGGAAAGCTGGTAAATCTAGTGTTCTAGATGTAATGATGTAGTGATGTAGTAGTGTACCTGAAAGGTCAGGGCACTGATAAGGCGATAACGACGCGCCCCTGGCAAACAACCCAAACATCACGAACCCAGTGGGACTCTGTTTCGGCATGGGCTGCAAGTTTCCAGATCAATTGCGAGACAATAATTTCTCACAATTCAACGGGATCTGCACAAGCACAATACTTTTCGAGCCTTCAAACTTGACGCGTTGCCGCCCAACACAACGTACCCGCCCCGCTGAGAAAACAAGCATCAGGAACCTCGAATACCTGAATCGCGAATCGGCGGGGAAAGGGCAGGACCATGGCAGCCTCGACCCGACAACCTGCTCGCCCGCGTCGCATCGACGACGCCCTCTCCCAGCTTGTCGATGCTCTCACTCCTCCGCTCCCCGTCTCCGCCATACAAGAGGAAGATTACTCCGACCCAGAAGAAGCCCTCGCCGCAGCGGAAGAACACCGCCACAATGCGAAGTTAGACCACGCCTGGCGCACTATCGACGCGCATTCCAGCAATCCAGCCGATGGCGGCTCGCTGGGTCCAGGCGGACGCCGTGGGAGTCTCGCGGGAACGGAGAACATCAACAACGCGCCAGACCTGATCAAGCGGAAACTACGGCGCGAGAACGCAAGCCCGGATAAAGCGGTACGCTTCTCGAATCTATACTCCCGCCTCCTCACGCAGCCAGTGCTCTCGCAGAAATGGGGCATTCTGTATTTACTCTACAAATTATCCGAGAACGACGAGGTACCCGACGGTGAACGAAGTCGAAGTCCCATGATGAAAGATGAAAACCCGCTGGATCTAATAGCAAGGGGAGGCTCACGACCTGAGACGAGGCACGAATCCGCGCCCTGTTGATTCGGAAGACGAGGGCCCGGCCGTGAGCTCTTCTGCGTCACAGCAAGCCCGCCCCCAATCCCGTCCCACGTCTGCAAAGCCAGAACGGCAGAGCTCGCTCCGTCGTGACTGGGAGCGTCAAGAGGTAGAGGATGCAGCACGTGTGTCTTTTGACACAGCGCGTGATGACCGCGCTGAAGAGGAATTTGATGCGCCAGCATCGACTGCGACACCAGCAACGTTTCCTCGTTCGGCGGAGTCTGTTGAGAATGGACTTTTACGCGACCTACCTTTCAACTTGCAGGGACTTTCGTCGTCGAACTTACAGTTTAAATCTTCGAAGAGCTTGAAGTTGCCGGCAAATTTACCATCGCCCATTATTTCTTTGCTAAATTCATTGGCTGAACCGTGTCTTCTTTACAAAGAACTATCTGCTTTTGTGGAGGGCTCTGAGGAGGGACTTGTGAATCAGAGTCTACGAGCTGCTATCGCTACTGAATTGCGATCTTATCTTCGCTTGGTTGCCACGCTGGAAGCGGAGATTCGACAGGCACTTGCTGCGCTCGGGGATGGGCGAGAACCAAAAGGTGTCCGGAAAGGTGGAGTTACTCTGAAGCGGTGCATGGTATGGACAAGAGATGCGACAATGGCTCTTCGATTGATGAGTTTGATTGTTGAGGAGGCTCGTGGTATGTTCCGCTCATTTATACAAGCGTTTCTATGTTTACTCACAATAAACAGACAAAAAGGGCGGCCAATTGATCTCCCTAATCCATGGCTTCTCATCATCACACGGGGATCCCTTCGTTGGTGCATTTGCCGAAAAGCTCTTGGCTCATGTGACCCGTCCATTCTATGACATGCTCCGGTCATGGATTTACGATGGCGAGCTGTCTGATCCATACAAGGAGTTCTTCGTCGCTGAGCCAACCTCCCGGCCCGGTACAAACCAGAGACACATCGCCACCAGCGTCTGGGAAGACAAGTATAAGTTGGATGATGACCTGGTCCCTTCAATTATTACTCAGGATTTCGCAAAAAAGGTGTTCTTGATCGGCAAATCACTGAATTTCATTCGCTACGGTTGTGGGGATTCAGCCTGGGTCGAGGCTTATTCAAAGGATGCCTCGAAGGAACTTCGATATGGTGATACGGCTACCTTGGAATTTTCAATTGATGAAGCCTATAAGACTACGATGGCGCGGCTGATCCACTTGATGGATGACAAATTTAAGCTATTTGATCACCTGCGAGCGCTCAAGAAGTATCTTCTGCTTGGACAAGGAGACTTCATCGCTTTGTTAATGGAGTCGCTGGCCTCCAATCTGGATCGACCGGCAAATTCGCAATACCGACATACTCTCACTGCCCAGCTCGAACATGCCATCCGTTCTTCGAACGCACAGTATGACTCCCCAGACGTGCTGCGCCGACTCGATGCTCGAATGCTCGAACTCACCCACGGTGAGATTGGCTGGGACTGCTTCACGCTGGAATACAAGATTGATGCTCCCGTGGATGTTGTCATCACACCCTGGGGATCAACCCAATACCTGAAAGTTTTCAACTTCCTCTGGCGCGTGAAGCGAGTCGAATTCGCACTTAGCAGCACCTGGCGCCGCTGCATGACCGGTGCCCGCGGCGTCTTGGGAAGTGTAGATGATAAAGTCGGGCCAGACTGGAAACGAGCACGCTGCGTGATCGCCGAAATGATCCACTTCGTCAACCAACTGCAGTATTACATCCTGTTCGAAGTGATCGAATCCAGCTGGGACCAGCTCCAAGCGGCCGTTTCGAAACCTGGTTGCACTCTCGACGATCTAATCGAAGCACACACCAAATATCTTAACTCAATCACCCACAAGGGCCTCCTGGGCTCATCTACATCCTCGAGCTCCCGCTACGGTACCTCAACATCCGCAAACGCCAAGCAACCTGAAGAGAGCTTCCTCAGTCAGCTTCACCACATCCTCAAAATAATGCTCGCCTACAAAGACGCCGTGGACGGCTTATACTCATTCTCAGTTGCCGAATTCACCCGTCGCCAAGAAATAAGCGCCAAAATCGAAACTCGTACTGCCCAAGGCCGCTGGGGCGTAACAGAGCGCGATCTGAACCGCCGAACAAATAGTCGCGGTAGCACCTCGGCCTCAACGCCCGACATACGACCCGCCAGCTCCGGCCCGAACCCGGATGGACTCGGTACCCCGTTCTCTCTTTCAGCACAGGATCTCTCAGCAGACGATAGCATGCTCTCGACGTTGCGCGTCCGACTGCATGATCTATCCATCGACTTCAGATCTCGTCTAAATATCCTCCTAGGAGACCTCTCTTACCAACCGGACGTGGATATGCGCTTCCTGGCAGTGGTTATGAATTTCAATGATGTCTATGAGCCTGCGAGGCGAAGGAAGACGGACAAAGAGAAGGAAAGGGAGAGGTATAAGCGGAAGCTTGCTGGGACTGCGGCTTCGGGGACTGGCTCGGGGACGGAGTCGGGGCCTCATAAGGAGGTGCGCAGGGAGCGAAGTGCGACGAATGAGCAGTCATAATGCGGCTGCGTAGATCGCCGCTGAGTGGCTTGGTGATTATACCTTAACATCTTAATGTGGGACGAATCCATAATTCCTTGTATATGTTTGTCTGTAAATGACATCAACTGCTAAAACTGAATCATCACCCAGCTTATATTGGCTTAATCACTTTTTGTATACTCGCTATCTCCACAGGCCGAGACCGCCCTCGTTGGGGCCTGGCAGAAAAAAAAAGTCGATTCCGCCCTCGTGGAGCAAGAGCTACTGTCTCAAGAACCCAAGACTCACTGATTGAGTCATTTCTCTAGTGACAATTGCAAACTGCAGTTGAAAACTAAAGATTTACAGCAGAAGACTTTCTGCACCAGCGAGAATGGCAACAGACACGGCGGTTGCCTCCACCAAGAAGTCCTCGAAGACCAAGCACTCCAAAGACTCCGACGAAACCCATGATGACCAACCCATGACCGACGTCAAATCCGAATCCAAGGACAAGAAAAAGCGCAAGAAGTCCAGCGAAGACGGCGAATCAACGAAGAAGAAAAAACGCCGCCACGACTCCGACGACGAAACCACTGAAAAGAAAAAGAAGAAGCGCGTCTCCTTCGGTCCGGGCACCAAGACCGAAGACGGTTCCGGTGATGAGACCAGCGAGACCGTGACAGGCGAGGAGGCAGCTGAGGCCGAGCCTATTCCCGAGACCAAGTCCGACGAAGCGGCCGAAGCCGAGGCTGCGCTAGAGGAGATCAGAAAGCGCAAGCGTGAGAAGAAGAAAGAGCGCAAGAGTGGTGCTGCGCCCTCTACTGCACAGATTCACGAAACTCCTATTCTCTCGTATCTGAACCGGTACTACAAGGATCGGGAATCATGGAAGTTTCAGAAGAATCGGGAGACGAATATTTTCAAGCATATGTACTCTATGGAACATGTTCCTGCTCCGTTCAACGCTGCGCTGTTGGCATACATGCAGGGACTGAAGGGAGACATGGCGAAGATGCGATTGAGTCAGGGTGCGGCTGCGGTTTTGAAAGCCGATACAGAGCAAGCCGCGGACGCCGATTTCGAAAAGGCAGTCGAGGAGTTCCGGTCGACTTTGTTGGAGGGTGGAGATGTGAATGAGACTGAAGATGTGAGCGGTGATACTCAGAAACGTCTTCAGAAGAGGCAGCGTGCGGAGCTGGTCTTCTTCGCTGTTACGGGGAAGCTCTTCACCAATGAGGAGTTGAAGGAGCAGCAGAAGGCCGCTGCTAAGGAGCGGGCTAAGGAGGCTGCGAAGTTGAAGAAGAGGAAGAACAGAACTGCTATTGTCATTAGCAGCAGTGAAAGTGAGGATACCAGCGATGACGACAGTGACGGCTCGGATGATGAAGAGAAGAAGAAGAAGAAGAAGACGCCTGTTGCTCAGGCTAAGTCTGTGGCGAAGCCTACTTCGGCTGACAATGATGATGAGACGAGCAGCAGTGGCAGCAGCGACTCCTCAAGCAGTGACAGTGATGGTGACGACGAGGCTCCCGCTCCTAAGAAACCAGCTGCGAAGGCTACCAAGGCTCCGAAAGCCAAGAAAGTGAAGCCCGTTAAGCCCGCCAAGGTTGAGGAAGCTGCGCCGTCGAAGAACAAGAAGAAGCAGAAGCGAAAGCAACGCACTGTGAACATTGAGATCTCGAGCAGCGAGAGTGATAGCGATTAAGGGTTCGTTGGCTGGACATCTGGAGTGTTTTTTTTGGGTCTGGTTCTGATAATTGCATGTATATACCATGGCATGATTATGATGTATCTTACTTCGAGTGTCTTATGAAGATTGGCATGGTGGATGTTCTATCAAGATAGTCGCTCGTAAGATTAGAAGCAAGTTGGCGGGACTTCGTCTTTCTTGTCAAGTTGAGGTTGTAGGAAATTTCAGTTGCTGGAAAATCTCGGAAGCCTCTTAGACTAACGAAGTATGTTCGAATCTACGGCTTCTCCTCTTCTATCTCTTTTATGAAAGACCTTACCAGCATTTAAGATCGCGGCGTATTCTACGTCTAGGCAGACGCCCCACATTAATGGAGGATCAGCATGAGAACGAGTATCTGAGCAAGGAACCAAGACAGTGAGGAGTCATTCGGAGGGGCATGCCAAAGAAGAGTAAGTAATGCCTCGGAGATCCAGAATGAGATAGGCGTACGGAAGTCGGCTCAAGCGTACGAGACAAAATGAGCTTACGGAGTTCACTTCACCAGTGACAAAATGCGACCGGTCAATCTGGGTCTTACTTTTCGGGTATCATCCATAACTTCCTTTGTTGCTCCAAGGAACTTGAAATTAAAGAAAAGATCACAGGCGATCCCCGTACAAGTGCAAAGGCGGTGAGCAGCGCCTAAGCTCGAGCTCACAGCTTAGGCACAGCAGGCACCGCTAGCACGCGTCACTACCAATTCTCCATCCCATCCATCTCTTGCCTGCTCCTCTCCTTCACCATCTTAATTGCTTCCCTTTGACAAGCTCAAAGAACTCGCATACCACCATCATGTCCGGTATGTCTTCTGAATGCCGCGGACCAACTCCAGCCCCATGATCTCGACCTCCACTGACCACCTCTCTCGCATCACTCACAGGCTACGACCGACACATCACTATCTTCTCCGACCAGGGTCGCTTGTATCAAGTCGGTATGTTCTTTGACCCCACCCTCAAAAAACTCCAGCTCTGCGAAAACCCCCCCCCAAAATCGGCCAACACCTCGTTATTATCGACCACCACTGACAACCAAATCTACTCTCCAGAATATGCGTTCAAGGCCATCACCTCTGCCAACATCACCTCCATCGGTATTCGAGGCAAGGACTGTGCCGTTGTGCTCTCTCAGAAGAAAGTTGCCGTAAGCGTTCACCCGCATTGAAGCCACAAGTGCGCCCGACTAACTTCGCTACCACCAGGACAAATTGATCGACCCTTCCTCCGTTTCACATGTGTTCAGAATCTCTCCTTCTGTGGGCTGTGTGATGACTGGATCGATAGCAGATGCTCGCGCTTCCGTCGACCGGGCCCGTGGTGAGGCTGCGGAGTTCCGCTACAAGTTCGGATATGAGATGCCCTGTGACGTTCTCGCAAAGCGATTGGCAAATATCAACCAGGTCTACACACAACGCGTGAGTCTCTTCCTTTGCTAGCCCCATGATACCGGGGCACAATGCGCCCTTGGATCAGCAGCCCCGCTCACACCTCCCCTTAGGCCTACATGCGACCACTCGGCGTTGCCACAACCCTGATCTCCGTTGACGATGAGAACGGTCCCTCGCTCTACAAATGTGACCCGGCCGGATACTACGTTGGGTACAAGGCCACAGCCTCGGGTCCCAAGCAGCAGGAGGCGCTGAACTACCTCGAGAAGAAGCTGAAGAACAAGGATTGTGCGCAGGGCAACTGGGAAGAAGTAGTGGAGCTGGGCATCACTGCCCTCAGCAATGTGCTGAGTGTCGACTTTAAGAAGCACGAGCTGGAGATTGGCATTGTGGGCGGACCCAAGGCAGATGGCGAGAGCACCACGACAGGGTTCCGTGCCTTGACGGAGGAAGAGATTGATGAACGGCTACAGGCCATCGCTGAGAAGGACTAAGCGGATGGCATTGCAGCATTCAATGTTGGGGGTCGAGATTCACCGAATAGGTCCGAGATACGGGAGTGGGTTTCTTGTTTTTTAGAGGGACGATGTGTGAATGACAACTTGGATTTTTCTGCAAGGGTTCGGTTTCGGCCGCGTTTCATGGCATAGACTGGGTCCTGCGTGAGTCTGAGCCACTAGGCTCTAACTGCATCGTGGGGATCATTCAGCAGTTCAGCAGTTCAGCATTTCGGGTGGGTCTTATAACCATCGCCACCCAGCATTCAGTCGCTTATAGATGGATCACAGTTTAGAAGATCTGCAGGGTAAAATGTGCATAATTGACGTAGTCGCAATGTCCACGGTTTGAAAAAGCCATTGCAGATTTCAGCTGTGATGTATCGGCGCCACAAGTGGCTCAGCGTCGTGGCTGTGATCTGGAATGGTTTCTATACCGCGCAAGCTGAAATCAATTTATAGAACCGTGCTTGGTGTACGGAGGAGCCGTCACACCTACGAAGCCTACCTGCCAACCTGAGAAAGACACAACGTTCGCTAATGCCCTGATGCAGGGGTTCCGCGAGCCACGATGACCACCCCTGTCAAAGTTCACAATTGATCGATTGCGGTCCCCACTCTCGAGTTCATCCGAGGGTTCCTCCCATCCTCCAATCACGAGAGCAAAAGGGGCCATCTTGGCCTCGCCCAAGACGAGCTCCATCGGCCGCGGAACTTAATCTCAGGGAACGCGTGAATCTCGTCCCCACTCGATCCCTTTCGGGCCCCGGTTTTCAGAACTGCCGGTCACAGACCTTCCTGTGGTCCGCTCCTGGGTGCAGGGATGCACCTGGCGCTGCCGTTGACGGTTTCTCGGGAGCTATCGTGTGGCCCGCTCCACCGTCCCAGCTGTGGTTGACTCCGCGAGGTTCCTGATTTCTCTGGCTACACCGTCTATTGGCCCAGCCAGCCATGTCCCTCCGTTGATCACTTCTGACGTTCGTCTCCATGGGCTGATACTGGATCCTCTTCGACTTTTCATTCAATTCTATTATATTTAATTTAATTATTTTATTTTCTGGATTTTTCTTTTTAAAATTCAATTCTGTTTCAGGAGCCATGTCCGGCCAAGATCGTTTCCTGCCATGTATGGGGTAAGAGGAGAGCTCTACTCGGCCAGATTATAAAACTCCTCCTCTGCCAGACTCCTGACCGTTGATTTCTTTCCTCAGACTCATCGACTCTTTCCTTAGTTGGTTTTTGTTCTTTTTATTTCGACCCTTCCTTTCCTCCAAAATATTTCATTATATAATTCAATGGCGGACGGACGTATGTATTCCATTTGAACCGATGTGACTATTCAATTGCTTAAGACTTAATAACTCTTTACAGTCAATCAGGCCCGCGCAGTGCGAGTGGCCGAGCTGATCAACGACTACCGAACCCTCCTGCTACACATTTCCCAGCAGCAAGTCGAAGTCCCCGCACAAGACCGCTACGAAGAAGGCTTCGTCGTCCTCCAAGAATGCCACACCGCCGCTCAGAGACTAGTATCTGCCAATTATCACCCATGCCCAGTAAACGGACAAGGCAACGCCGAGACCGAAAAGGCCGAACTACAGAGGTAAGCTATACCACATCTCCAGTTGTATCAGTTGATCTAATATGTCTCCAGAGTCATTATCGACAGCAGTGCCCGCCGTTTTCAAGCACACAAGATCTATCTTCGCGCTGCCGCAGCCCGCAGATGGGCCATGACCCGCGCCAACATCCTTCGTGGGCAGCAACCAACCCCAACGCACGCCACAGCTCTAAAGAGCGCCCAGACGGCATTGCAGCAGGAGTTGGCGCGCGTCACTGATCAGCATGTCATGGCTGACCTTCGAAACGCTGATCTGCGGGCAGGTCACTGGCTCGACGATGATCCGTCCTTGGAATTGATCAAACGTTGGGTGCAGGGTAGGTAGAATGGCCCCGGTTAGTGGCTACGATGGACGGTAATCTCCGAGATCATGGATCATGGGTGTATGAGTGTATGTTTTAGAGGGGGCCTCGGAATGGGCATGCGGGGGGGCTCTCTGTTCTAGTGGGACAGCGCGGGTCGCTGGTGTCCGCGGACATTCGCAGCAGGGAGAATGTCTTTTTTCATTTTTTTTTTTTAAATTTTTCTTCAATTTCTGCTTTCTTATCTTATGTTGAGCACGATGAGCATGGCGACGATATCCCCTTTTGTTTCGTGGATTTGTCTTGATTCATGTTTTTGGTCATTTGTTGTTCTGCATTGAGGGAAGTTCTAGACGCTTGCATCATTCCTCCTGGAGAGGTGTTCATACACACGACCTTTTTTTATTTTTTATTTTTTTTTTCTCTTTACGTGGGACAATTGAAAATTGACAATTTACAATTTGCATTTATCATTACATATCTTGTGTAGGGGCAACTAAATTTCACTTGCGAATCGTCCTAAGATCATCAGATAGATCAGACAGACTTTCTCTCGTCTCCACCAAGATACAGTGCACACGTGGAAAAGACTGGAACATACGTCCAGAGTCAGTTAGTCAGGGGCAGGACCCTGTCAGAGTTTATTCCACGCTTTCGAGTCACGAATGACCCACCATAGGGTAACTTGGACACCTGGTCCGCAAGGTCGACACCAGCTGAACCCGTGAGTGCAGACTCCACCGTGCCTGAGGTATCCAGTCACAGCCGTACTCAACCACTACTCTCGTATGTCTAGTGCAAAAGGGACCCTAAGAAAATATGTGACATGAGATCCATCTGCAACATTCTGGCGCGCATCTTGATCGACCATTCGACAATCGCGAATCCATGACGGTGGTCCCGGGCGGCTTGAATCGAGTGGGTCCGGGGCTAAGGCGTTAGTCTGCCGAGCGAGGTGCCAATCGGGGTTGAGATCGGGCGTCTGTCGGCTCAGCTTCAGCTGGTGTTGGTCTTTCTTCTTTTGGGATTCCTGAATTTCCAGGAAAAGATGTTTTCATTAACCTTATAGTGTGGTGGAGATGGTTCAAGTCTCGGGGTCTCGGGTTGATTCCTGCCCTATCCTAGCGAGATATCTGGCTCGTCGACCGCGTCACTGTTCAGCTGCCTCAGGTTCTGGGAGATCGGCGTTACCCTTTGTGGGGGCTTGGGCTTCTTTTTTTTTTCCCGACCTGTTTCTCTTTCTGATTTCCTGTCTCGGAATTTGTGCAATGACTATATGTCGAATTAGGTCAGTCGCATGGTTACCCGCTGGTCGATGGATCTCTCGGCTTTGTTCCTTTTTCAGCACTCGTCCGAGTTCGCTCCGCTAGGACCGTGTGCTTGGGGTCGTGTGGTTGTGTGGTACTTTCGAGAATGCTAGTGGCTTGGACTGGTCACTCAATTTGGAAGGCATTCTCGCGCCCACGGTGGATCGGCTGGGTTTTCCATCACTGGTGTACATTTTCGTGGAATGAGGACGTGTAGTTCTTGTGACTGAGTCATGAACAAGCCTTCAATATAAGTCTCTTTAGATATACCGAGTAATTCTCACTCTATACACGTGACTACAAATCGCAAAAAGGTTGGGAGTCCGTCGGGAAAGTATTCCCAGGACACTAATTCGCAGGTCCTGACTATGACAGGGCGTGAAATGCCATTGCTTCTACTTGGGTGCTGATTGTCTAGGATTTGTATTCAGCGTGAACAAACTCAAGCTCAAGATCTGACCTCGACTCTCGGGATGTGGTCTGTTTTTTTTTCCTTCTCTCATGTAAAGGAGAGATATGTAGGTCAGGTGTCGCTCTTGACAACATTCAAAGCCATTTTATCTGTCGCATGACTGTCAACAAGGTCATTTGTCCAACTCGAAATTGCTGTTGCTGCCGCAGAAGTAGCTATCTCTTCGCTCTGCACTTTCTCAGAGCTGGACCAGGGGTTTTGCCAGTAGTAGTAGCCATCGACCCGATGCTTTCCATAACCCGGCTCGATAGAAACACGCTTTCACACTCAATTCGGCCATTCTGAGCGCCCAGGATCAAACATTGACCATGTTCTCTGCTCCATGATCAGATAGTAAAAATACCACCAGGTTTAACTGAACTTACAGGCCTGATTCTTGCAAGTCAACAACATCATCCTGCCGTATTAAGAAAGCATAGGGCTTCTTTTTCTCAGGGTTCAAACAAATCAGAGTGTATTTTGAAAGAATTCAGCGGCAGCATGACTGACACCTCAGGTTGCACAAAGACCCTGCGCAGGTGGAGAAGTCATGCTTTGTAGTTTATGGAGAGGTGAAGCTGCTTGGAATAACCGCTCCTCAGGACCAGGGTAAGGCTCACAGTCTTGATTTCACTTTCATTTTTACTAGTCAACAGATAGAGAAGCTCCTTAGACGTCAGATCGTATCGGTATACGCACAAGCCACATATCGGTCCCTGCCCCGCCACACATACACAGCCACAATTCTCCTGTAACGTGGGGCATGTTATTTTTAAACCGGTACAAACATTCGCTAACAACTTAGGCTGCGACATTAGGTACCCCTCCTTATATTGATTGACATCTGTACTTGACTCGTCTTTTCGATTCACTACTTTGTTTCTACAAAGACTCTACAGTGTGGCTTTTCGAACTTCGCCCATTGTATCGCTTGCTGCTTTCGTGCTTCTTGTGGCTGTTCTTGTGCAATATTCTCACTCACCTTGTACCACCCCTTCTGCCCCGACCATGTCTGAATTCAAGACCATCACTTACTTTGTCAACTGGGTAAGTCTTTTCACATTCGCCTCGTTAGAGAGCCAACAATTTGATAGGGTTCTGTCGAACCTACCGGAGTATGTCACTTGTCAAACAATGAATGCTGACCCCACCATAGGCCATATACGGCCGTGGTTACAACCCGTCGGACTTGCCTGCCGAGAAATTGACCCATGTTCTCTATGCATTCGCGAACATCCGACCCGAGACTGGCGAGGTGTAAGTAAGGTCCTACCTCCGACAAGCAGAATACTCATAGTGCGACCAGGTACCTCACCGACAGCTGGTCTGATGTTGAAAAACATTACCCCGGAGATTCCTGGAATGACGTTGGTAGCAATGTATATGGATGCATCAAACAGCTCGGTCTGCTGAAGAAAGACCACCGCAAGCTGAAGGTTATGATTTCTATCGGCGGCTGGACATACTCGTCCAACTTTGCTCAGCCTGCCAGCACCGAGGCCGGAAGAGCCAAGTTTGCCGAGTCGGCGACTCGCCTGGTCTTAGACAACGGTCTTGATGGTATGTCGAGTAAAATCTCTTCGCCGGGATTTTTCGCTGATCTCTGAAAGGAATTGATATCGACTGGGAATACCCCAAAGGTAAGCATAAGCACCCCTCAGGAGATACAATCGCTAGGAACAGAATCTAACATTTTCTTCAGATGACAATGAGGCCCAGAACCTGGTCCTCCTTCTTCAAGCCTGCCGAAACGTATGAATTATGCATCTCATGTCATTCTACAGGGCTTGTGACTGACTTCAATCACAGAGTCTCGATCAAGCTGCCGGTCCAGACCGCAAGTTCTACCTGTCCATCGCTTGCCCGGCAGGTCCCTCCAACTTCAATAAACTCAGAATCCCCGAAATGACCCCCTTGCTGGACTTCTATAATCTCATGGCCTACGACTATGCCGGCAGCTGGGATCAAGTAGCCGGCCACCAGGCCAACATTTACCCATCCAACTCAACCCCCGGCTCAACGCCCTTCTCCACCGACGCCGCACTAAATCACTACATCAATGTCTCCGGTGTGCCTGCATCTAAGATGATCTTGGGTATGCCGCTGTACGGCCGCGCGTTCACCAACACCGACGGCCCAGGCAGCGCATACAACGGCATCGGACCCGGTAGTTGGGAGAATGGAATCTGGGATTTCAAGGTTCTGCCGCAACCCGGAGCCAGCGAGCAGATCGATGCACAGACTGGCGCATCCTGGAGCTATGACAGTGGCTCTCGCACAATGGTCTCATACGATAATCAGCAGATGGTTCATATGAAAGCGGATTATGTGAAGGGTCGAGGCCTCGGTGGGGGCATGTGGTGGGAGAGTAGCGGTGACAAGGGAGGCAAGGGAGCTAATGCATCGGATGGCAGTCTGGTCGGGACCTTCGTCGATGGCATCGGTGGTATCAATGCGCTGGACCAGAGCGCGAACGCTCTCAACTTCCCCGAGAGCAAGTATGAAAACGTGCGCACCGGATTCAACTAGGGCAGTGAAGTGTTTGAGTATGTGGCAGTAGGAAACACGAAGACATAGACTTTGGCATACTTATGATCTTTACATTTCTACAATGTATCGTTTACAAAGGAATCAGAATTGGCAGAGCCGGATTTTTGTGATTTTTTATTTCACAGCAAGGACTTTGGAAGCACCCAACCGTAACATCGACCGTGACATCCCAATCAAAGCTGCACAAGCCTAGCAGAAACCACGCTCGAACTTCATAATAGAGATATCGCGATCACATGTAGTCCATTTACTTGGACTCGTCGAAGACGTAGGTGAGGTGGCACTTTCCGCAGTACTGGCGGTTGTGCATAGCAGCCATGAAGACACCGGCACCGCACTGAAAAACGGAATTAGTAATCATTCGGGATGTGAGAATCGGTAGAGCGGAACATACCTCGGGAGTGGGGCACTCGCGGCGGAGACGCTCAATCTTGCCATCACCGTCGACCTTGTAGTACTTGAGGATGGCGAGCTTGGTCTTCTTGTGCTTGTGCTTGATCTTCTTGGGGGTGGTGTAGACCTTCTTCTTGCGCTTCTTACCACCACCACGCAGGCGGAGCACGAGGTGAAGGGTCGACTCCTTCTGGATGTTGTAATCCGAAAGGGTACGGCCGTCCTCGAGCTGCTTACCAGCGAAGATCAGGCGCTGCTGGTCCGGGGGAATGCCCTCCTTGTCTGTGGCGGGGGTCATTGTTAGTTTGGCGCATGCACAGTGGAAGGAAATAAATTTCTTACCCTGAATCTTGGACTTGACATTGTCGATGGTGTCCGAGGACTCCACCTCAAGGGTGATAGTCTTACCCGTGAGGGTCTTGACGAAGATCTGCATCTTGAATGAAGGCCTGCGATGCAAGTCAGTCAGATGTTCAAATTTTTGACGGTGCGAGTGCGCGAGCGCCACGAGATTGTCGGATCAGGTCTGCGCATTGCGCATATTTTGATCCAACAAATTGTGAATGCGCTGCACTGTAGGGGCAGGGGAATCAAATCTTACCTCGACAAGTTGTCTTCCTCAACCTTGCAAGATGGAAAGAACTTCGATGTGTGGGACTCGGTTGACGATTAAAATCGTTGTGCGGTCACATGACAGCGGAAATCGCTCTTCTGGGGTTAGCGTGGAGCGGGACTGGATTAACAAGAGTCCGAGTCCGGGCCCTGCTTTTTTGTGCCTGAGGCAAAAGGATTTATGCCTCAGGCAATTACATGACATCGTGCAGCATTGAAGCGGGTAATTCAGCCCCAGAACTCAAGATCCAAGCGGATCACGCCCTGTTTACGGTTTCTAGGGATGTCCCCATAGCGACGGCAGAAGGGTCTCCCTAGCTAGGGACACCTATACTCCTCGCAGCTCATCCTGGATACCCTTGCAGACCGGGAGCTCCTGAAGTCAGGGAGGAGGCGATGGTGAAGAGGACTACGACATGTATATGGGCTGGATCGAAGGTAGAGAGAAGAGCATAATCGCACAAGTGGGCATGAAAGTGGGCCCCATCATCGTCACAGCGGGACAAAATTGGACAAATCCAGTCACATTTGGTTTCCCAGACTCCCGACACGGCGCGTTGCTATGCCAACACATGCATTGTTGACAGGAACCGTGGGTTCAATTGATAGATCGCCGAAGCTGACCCAAGGCTTCACGGTCTTCACATACTCACTTATTGCCCGGGTTTCCTATCATTCAAGTCTGGTTCTCTCTACAGATCCTAAGATCTTAAGACCTCGAAGCACAAGTGTGGTGATACTTTGGATCTTCAACACATCAAGCTAAACCTTATCCGCTGAGGCTCTAGCTAACCTTTCCTTCTCTTCTCGTCTTTTTGTTGCGCGCGTTTCTTTGAAGTTCACAGACTGACACTGTGACAGGGTTGTCCGAATCGAACGGCTGGGTAGCCATGTTCTCCGCCACCCCAACGTCGCAAGGGCCCGGTCACCACCGCCGTCAATTATCGACTCCAGCATATCCTGAAGCTGCTACTTTCACGAAGCCAGTCATGGCCGGAAACCAACCACACAGAGCGCACCGACGCGGACAGACTGTGGACTACGGATACGCGCCACAGGTCTCCGCTGGCCGACGACCTGCGCCCAAGACGGTTCCAGAGCTTCGGGACTACTTTAACGAAAAATCAGGTTATTTGCACCAGACTAGGCCTACTCACCAGGCTCCTGCCTACGTCCAAGCACAGCAACCATTTATCCAGGCTGCGCCGCCCATGGAGGACGCATATCAATCATATCCGCCGCAATGGACGTGGAGCCGAGAGGAGCTTCAAGAACTTTATCAAGCTTCTGCTTCCTCTTCATCTCCAGCACCATCCATTACGCCAGCGCTCTCAAGATCCGCCAGCGAATGCTCCGACAATCAATCACCGTTGAAGACTGCCCTGCACCGTATGCGCCAGGAACAGCAGCACAACCTTTCAATGGCCCAGCAAGCGCAAATGGCTAGCTATCGGCCCATGCAACAGATCTCTATTCAACCAGAGACAATCACCCCCAAAATGGACCCATATCTTTCTTGTAAGATCCACACTCGATCCAAGATATCGCATTGAGCCCAGACTAATTGACTGGACAGATACCTCCCCTCTCACCCCCAATTCTACCCCATTGAAGAGTTCATTTGAATTTCCCATGTATAGCAACGAGCAGACTCCCACCAAGTCCCAGAGTTTCTCTTTCCCCCGTACCCCTGTCAGCACTGAAATGCAGAGAGCCCATTCCCTTCAAGGGGTGCCTATGTCAAGTCCTATTCAGTCTCGTCTTCAGATGCCTTCCCCGGCCGAATCGTCAATTCCCTACACAGAAATGGCCGCGATGCCTTCCCCCAGCAACGCCGATGTGTCCGAGACACCTTCCATTGGTCGAATCCAGCAGTATAGCATGTCTCCATCATCTTCCCCCATGCCCGAGGCCGAACAGCCAGCAGGAGGCATGAGCGAGGTCGACCTCGATGCTCGAGTCAGAGCATCCGTTCGCAACACTGGCATTTCCAGCGAAAAGATTGCCGAGTATATCTCCGGTCCCGATTCCAAGGACGGCAAATACGTGTGTTTGTATGACGGCTGCAATTGTCGATTTGGTCGCAAGGAAAACATCAAATCCCACGTTCAGACCCATCTCGATGACCGCCCTTACCAGTGTGACGTTTGTGACAAGCTCTTCGTCCGAGGCCACGACCTCAAGCGCCACCTTAAGACACACACTGGCAAGAAGCCCTTCGAGTGCCGTTGCGGTGCTAGCTTCGCACGTCACGATGCCCTTACTCGTCACCGTCAACGTGACATGTGTGTTGGGGGTGTGACCGGTTTCGTCCCCAAGACAACCCGCCGCGGACGGCCACCGAAGAAGAGTCGCCCTGATATTGAGACTCGCCAGACTAAGTCTACTCGGACCCGTCAACGAGTCGCCGAAAAGGTCTCTGTGTCGCCCGTCAAAATGGAGGCAATCACCCTCCAGCAAGCCCCCGTCTTCAACTCGCCCAACTACGCTCCGTCAACAGTCATGTCTTCGTTCACGCCGCCTACTTCACCGGGCCAATCTCAGTCACCCAACCATGTTGGCACTTCGCTCATCTCGCAGCTCGAGGATGACATGCTCCCACCCCCATTGTCGCCCCCTCAGATGGCTCACGCCCGATACGAGCAGGCGATTTCTCAATTCATCCCGAGCCTCGCCGCGGAGCAGGAGAACTTCTACAGTGACCGCGCTCTTTCTCCTCACGACGTGTCTTCGCCTCGCACCGCTCCCACTCTTGACGAATACACATCCGGCTCGGAGATTGACCTCTTCATTAGCCAAGACTCCTCTGAGCAAGTGCGCCACGAATTTGCCAACATGACAAACAACGGATTGTCCGACTTCTCCGCCGGCTACTCCTTCGTCGATTCATCTGGATTCCCATCCTCGTCAATGTACTCCACTTTCCCCGAGAAATCCTACTCCGGGCTTTCCACCCTAGACGAATCCTACGTGGACCAGATCGACACGCTTTCCCAGGAGTTTCTCAACGATCCTTGATCACGATGAGCGGCATTTTCAAGTTTCCACGAACACGGCATGACATAGACAGCGTGCTTCCTATTCATTTTTCACGGCGATTTCTGCGACGATTTCAACGAGACTGTACAATTCACGACACACGACCTAAAACGGGAGTCTAATCCTTGGCACGAGCAACATGCCGACATCTGACGCTTTTCCTGCACATTTCTTTTTCTTTACGGGGCTTGACGATTTTCCGGCGACTTCGGATTTGGAGAGTTTCTTGCTCTCGCTACATTGCCCCATCTTGTCTTTGGCCTTTACAATCTGTTTCACTTCTTGACATTTCCGGCCTTTGGATTATTTATCCAGGGTTCGATAGAGCCATGCTGGCACTTTATTTCTTCTGTTGGGCGATTATTTGGTCTTTACCCCTTAATTGCCCCTCCCCTTCACGATATTGATATGTACTTCACGGCTTCCGAATGGAATTGTTTGTAGCTAGCTAGCCAAGGCGCCTTCCTTTCTGGCGGGTCCGTTTCTTTTTCCACGTTACCACGGATGAGGATGGTCTGTATTCTAGTTCTTCATCCTGTAATCTGTTCAATCATGACCTCACTTCAACTCGATGTTTTTTTTTGGATAGCATAAGAGTTTGACTCTTAGAGTTTGTAGATGATTACCTGTGTCAGAAGAATGAACAGAACAGGTAGATAATTTGAATGTAATGTACAAGATATTGAAGCGCCACCCATGTTTCCCTTATAAATGCAAGCAATATGTACCGATCACCGTCTCGCTAAGAAATGAATGCATGAGATCGCATATTATAACCAAATATAACAATCAAGTCTCCGGCACGAATTCATAACGACGCCAATTTTCAGCAACCCACCATTGAGCGACATGCGCCGCATCCCTAATCCACTGAGCAGCCCCCTCACCATGAACCTTTCCAACCTGCTCCAAAACGGCAAGCAAGTTGAAAGATTGCAGGGCATGCAGTTCGTACGGATCGACATCGACGTCGGTGAATCGCCATTCCACTTCGGGAACCAGAGGAATGACCAGACGATATGGTTTCGATGCAGAGCGCAGGGCGAGCCAAGTTGCTCCGGTGTTCATGACGGTGAATTGCCAGTCCAGGATCCCGTCCTTTTCGAGGACCAGGTCGCGGATCATTGACTGACCTTCGTAGAGGGGGAGAAGGTCTTTGATCGCTTGGCTGGAATTTTCGTCCAATGAGGCAGATTCAACCAATAGGTCCAGAATCGTGGGCAGGATCTGTAGGGAGGTGACGCGGTTGTTGATTTGAATCTGGGGAAGGTGTGGATGGGAGAAGACAAGAGGAACATGAAAGTTCGAAACATGGGGATTGTCGCAGGCCGTAACGCCACCGTCCTCGATGGTGGAAAGACCGCTGTTGTGATGTGAGTTAATGTCATAGAAAAGGGGAATTTGGGGAATTTCTTACTGGTCGCCCACCATGACAACCAAGGTCTCATTTGCAACCCCGGTTTCTTGGAGGACCTCCTTGATCTCTCCGAGCCACTCATCCACCACACCAACAGTGTTCAGGTAGCGGTTGATCTTGCCGTTGTGACTGAATAGGTTGGGATGAATCATTTCCTCGTATTCGTCGCCCACAGGGAGATCGAATGGATGATGCGTCAGTCCGGTGAGATGCGTGAGAAATATCCGCTCATGGTCTGCCTCCGCCTTCTGGATGGCCTCAACGAAGTACTCCCGCAATTCATGTTCAGGATAACCCCAAAAGTTGAACTTCTCGGGACCATTGCCAAGTTTGTTCTCCCACTTTTTGGTGATGTTCTTGGATGTCACTTTGCTTTGGAAGCCCATTGCGGGCGTGAGAAAGTTTTGATTGTCGTAATGATCAGTGATGCTTTGCATGAAGTGTGAGTGCCAAGGCCAGGTTGTGTAGTCATGCGGGTCTGCAGCCTCGTGGGAGTTGGCGGGGATCAGATTCAACGCGTTCAGAATCTGGGGCATACAAGGCTCGTAGAAATGGTGTAGATATTCATGGTTGAAATCAACCACCAAGGGTGAAATACCACAGACACTAGCAATAATGCTTTTGAGGGTGAAGGTGCCACCCGTGTAGGCGTTCGTAGACGTAATACCACCATACGGTTGGCGTGGTTTGTCATTAGAGTTGAAGCCTGACGGGATGCCAGTAAACATCTCAGCATTGCGAGTCAAATTGGCCAGTCTTCCTTCGACATCGTCTGGGATCTCGTTACCGGAGTATGACTCGCGGATGAGGTCGGCAACATGTGATTCCTTGCGCAAAGGGAAAACATCGTATCGGGTACTTTCCAGCTTGAGTAGGAAGACATGCTTGATGTTCACATTGACGGATTTCAGAGATTCACGCAACGGTTCGAGGATGTCGCGATGACGGTTGGAAATATGCAGAGGATTCTGGGTTGGATCATAATGTTGTGGGGATTTGTCGTTGGAACCTTCATACCAGTCTCTGAACCCTCCGATTGCCTTTTCTGGTAGCCAATCCAATTTGGGCGGTTTGGCCAGCGCAGTATGGTTATAGAGCCAGCTGTAGTCGCCTGGTAAGTCCGGGAGATCAAAAGAAGACTGTTGACTGCGAGTAGGAGGCTTCTCAAAGGGCGCCATGATCACAGTTTGTGAAAGGAAGGTATATGCCGTATCTGACGGGCGAAGACAGCGCAGCAGGAGGATAATGACACCAGCCGAGGCGACCAGTATGCAAACTAACGGTGATGGGGAAGTCTGCTGTGCCGATTTCCTCGAGGAGAAGAGCCCTGTTCGGTCTAAATCGTTGTCACTGCCGTCCTCTTCATCCCAATCCTTGACGGGCACGTCGTCGTATGACTTTGGGCCGGCATTTCGTCTCCAGCCCATTAAGAGCGCCGGTATTGACGTCAAAGCGTACACCCCTCTTCGCACGAAGTTGTATAAATGAGGAGTCGATATCCAAGCCAGAGCACTAAACAGAATCTGACAAATGACGACGCCAGTCAGCCCCGTCAGCAGGGTCTTGATGGAGGCTGCATCCCGGTGGAAGTTGTGGGCTTGTCGCCAATGGACTTCCGCGCCCGTTTGGGTGTAGAAGGAGATGTTGGCCGCCGCCAGAATCGAGATCGACAGACTAGAGCCGATGGTCAGCCGAGGCCGGTGATCCCCCCCGATTTCAATTTACATACCTGACTAGAATCGTCACCAAAGCTACGAAGACACGCACCCATCTAGCGGAAAAGTCCTGGCAGAGAAAGTGTGCGATAAGAATGCACAAGATATCTTGCAGGAAAAAGGTGGAACCCCATAGTAGGAAGCGGTCCAGCGTTAAGGAGTTCAGATGCGAGTAGATGCGGAGAGCTTTGGCACATATCACGCCGATGAACAATAGGGAAAACCAGTACTTGCGCGAGGCCGGCCAGTAGACGTCGAACCACCGACTCGGAGACCACAGGATCCGGAGCGAATCCTTACAGTCCTGGCGGACGCGAAGCTTCATGACAGCGACTTTTAGACTGTGGAATGTACCACGGCTTCCATTTCGTTCAAGGGCAAGTGCAGAACGTCGGGGACGAGGAAAGGAGTCGAAAAGGAGAATGTGAAACCGAGGATTACCCAAAAATCAAAATCAAATAAAGCCCCCGCGATGCGCCCCATAATACGTTCAGGGTCTAGGCTGAAGCAGCCTGAAGGAGCCTTAATTGCTCCATTTGACTAATGGTGTCTCAAATATGGCCTCGCGTGCCACTCTAGATTGGCCCCACTCAATCTCGACACATTCCACGATGGACCATTTTGGCCGAGGCCGGGGCTAGGAAAAAAAAAACCCCGTATTCGTATTCCGGGTCAGCCTCAGGAACCAGGGTCTCTCTAGCATAATGGCATAATTTCCCCGTCCCACGAGTTCGAGACCATTTCATCGTCTTAGTCATCACACGCTTCGATTGAGAGGGGCATCTAGGGCCTCGGCAGCTTTCCCTACAAGAGGGATTACAGGCACGTTATTAACCGCTTTTAAACATGCTGATGTCGAGGCTCGTGCTTTCCAGACTATTAAAATACGACCGAACGCCGGAATGATCTTTCGTTGTACACATTGGATTGGATATGTCAACCATGATATTATAAATGCCTCAGGCTTGGAATACAGGAGGCAGAAGCTTCTGGGAGCCTCGAAGTAACGAGAGTCGAGTCACTAGGGCCAGTCGTGCGCCTTCCATGAAATCTCTAATTCGATCGGATGTTCTCCTTCTGAGGCGAAAATTGTGCTCTGCACAAAGCCCTTGGGTGCCTTGTCGGCATAGAACGTGGTGTTTCCCTCATAGCAAAGCTTGTCGTCCTTGACCTACAAATCAATTTGGTTAGAAAGTAGACTCCCAGACTACAAGTAGACTGAACATACGGTGAATTCACTAGGAGTAGTGACATGAGTCCCACACCTGAAAACGTCCTCTTGGATACTGCAAGGTCCCTTGCTTGACTTGAGAGTGAAGGTGTCCTCTGAGAGTATCACTTTGTTAGTTCTGTCATACTGCAGGGTCAAAACATGGTGCAACGAACCTGACGCCTTCTCCGCTCGGAAAGTAGCACACGTTCCGGATATATACCACGTCCCCCAGCTGATGATACATCCACGAATTTGATTGACTGTGGAGACAATCATGTTCCCCTTGCCTGAGAAGGGGATGCCCGTAGCAGTGGGCTCCGAACCACCTCTTGTTGTAGTTTGGGTCGGCTCAGGCTGTCCGCCCCGTTTAGGCAGGTAGTGGATACCTCGACGGGGACAGTTGGAAGACTGGCCATCTGTTATATGGTAAGCGTATGATTCAGGAACAGAAAATCCTATGTAAAGCGAACCTGGGCGGGCGGGAATGAAGTTGCCGGTCTGCAGGCTTCCTGCAATGTTGAAGTGGTACCAGATCTCGCTCAGCTGGCCGCGTCGGCAGTGGACTGTGACAGGGTGGCCGTGGGCAGCTTCTAGGGCATCTTCAATATCCTCGAGTGCATAAGTCTGCGAATGCGAAGGCACGATGCCGGCCTTGGCCAAAAACTATTATAAATAAAGATTAGCAATTCAGTAGACATTGGCGTAATACAAGTCATTGGACAAACCTCATAGGAAGGTAACGTCTTGAAGACCTCAACAGTCCGATCGAAATAGTCTACCACCTCCTGCTGCGGAAGATAGTCCTCGTAGCAATGTGTTTCAAGAGTGCTGACACAGGTACCATGCTTGTTCCACTCATGTTGCCACAAGTTTTGATCATCGAAATGGTAATCTTTCCAGTATTCGCTCATATATTCTAGTAGGTCGCCACGACCGGCGTCCACCAAAATCAACGATATGTTGCTGTACTTGCGCTTGGGATCGCAGAATTGGTCGAACCCGCCATTGCAGTGATCGGGCCTGGTAGAGTTCAAATCAGTATGATTGTGTTGTATGAAGCTTGTAACTAGCTTACCAGAGTCCGTGTATCCCCCAAGAGTCATCGGGGCCGAGAGCGGGGTCCACATCCCAAAGCTGGGTCTGTAGCATTTGACCGCCTGGGTAGTTGAAACAGCAAGTATCTTGACCGTGATACTTGGCTTGACAGCTGGTTTCCCCCAAGGGGCATGATGCAGAGGTGCCGGGAGGCGACTGCCCATGAGACTGCGACAACCACAAAGATCCTAGGGTCTTTAGGAGCTTCTGGGGCCCGGGGATATCCAGGACCTGTTGTGAGGAGCCCCACATGACGATAAGGGGTCAGTCGAAGGTCAGGAAGCTGTAGCTGCCCAAGCCGAATGGGTTGTAGGTAAAGAATATGCCTTTCAAAATACGAAGACTACCTTCAGAGGACAAGTAAGAATGGAAGTGAGTTGCAAGGTACCGTTATCGGCCCTCCCCTCCCCGGATGACTAAGGCGATCATCGTTCAGCTGATCGGATCCCGTGAGAACCAGATAACAGTGGAGTTTGTGTTTGTGACACATTTATGAGTGTCTTGAAATGAGGGGGTATCTTGTATTCCTATGTGCATATGCTTTTGTGACTCCGAGTAACATGCTAGAATATCACATCTCTGGTCTCTCAAATGACCTCCTTTCGTGCTTTCTCTTCCCTGTCATGCACTCTCTCCTTCCATAGCCGCATAACCTCAAAGCCAACCTCAACAGCAATGAGCAAGATGATGATCCACTCCAGTCGGAGACCATGGGTTTCGCTGAGACGTTCACGCAGTACACTGGCAATTTCTTGCGCGTAGTCCATCTTTTCGTTCAGGAGCTTGATGCGAATACCGACATCCAAGGCTCGACCGACCTGTTCGTAGTACCCCTCTAGGCCAAGCTCGTGTCGACTATCCCAGAAGAGGTCTGGCAGAGAGTCTGTCAGTTCAGAATAGAGGTTAAGCTGAGCACGGACGCTGAGTAGTTGCCCAGTCTTCCGAAGAATGAAGTCCCGGGTGTAAGGCAGCCGAGAGCCTTGGGAGAGGAGGGTTGGAATGGTGCGCGTTGACTCAAAATAATTTGACAATAGGCTTTCAAGCACAGCCAGCTTCGTGCTCCGAGCCAGCCCGGAGGAAAAGGCAACCTTGGTAAGGACCGTGTCAATAGTTTCTTGTTTCGCAAGCGGGTTTCCTAGTCCATTTCGCGTGCCCAGAATGATTGTGTCACCCTTGATACTGCTGTTATCTCGCTTTGGATCTTCGACAAATTCGAGATCTTCCGTTTCCAAATCATCAACATGAGCCCCTTCGGCTGCGGGCAGTAGAGTCCTGGTTGCCAAAAATGAGGTAAAACCTTCGGGAAGGGCCCACGCCACTACCGTCCCAGACGGAAAGACAAACACATCGCCAACTTCATCGGATGATAGATCGGCCGTTGATGGGTTGCTCACCCGGCGTATGGAATCGATGGGTACCTGAACGTGGACGACTTGGGGGTAGAGACCTGTCTCTAATGGATCCGGCTCGTATCCTCTGTCTTGTAGGATTTCTCGGACTTTGCGGATGTCGAATTTTTCGGCAACGGCATAGGCGGTCACTGTCTAAGATAGAAGAATCAGTATGAAGACAACGTATGGTGAGCGAGCTACTCTACCTTAGTCTGGTCAATTCCCTGTTCTTTAAGCTGGGTCTTCGAAATGAATCCGTCTCTCGACCTTTGCGCCTCCACAGCAACTCGGCGCAGAGAAGTGGGCGCTGCCGGAGCTCTACCAGCACGTCTCTTTTTTTTCTGTAGTTCTAATTGTTCGGTCGATTCGTCATCGCTGGGTTGTTTTTGCGCCAGGTTGGCATTCGACGAAAAGAAATTCCTCCGGCGGGGAAGCTCCAATGCCGGCGACGCATGGAGATATTGGATTTGTGGCCGAGCCAGGGGTCGCAGAGCTAGCGACCGCTTGCAGGCCAAGCCGAAAGGAGCCCTGGCAAACATGGCTGAAGAATGTCGAATCGATGTCATCGCAGAGAAATTGAAGCCGAGGAAGACCCGCTTAGTCAGGTGCTCCACCCGACCCCAGCTGCTCCCGAAGCTGCAGTCCGATCACCGCTGCCGCTGCATGTCGCAACTCGATCAACACCCGCCTAAGAGCTTCGGGTGTCACGAGCGACTCGCCATGGACGCGCCTGGCGCGAAAAATGGTGAAAGAGGGTGCCAATGGAGGCCCCTCGGAGCCCGATACATCTGCGCGAACCCAACCTCCGGGCAACCCTGACAAACCCGAGCAACGTCATGCAAGCAATGACGATGAATCAAAAAGACGTGTTCACGATTCTGGAGATGACGACGACGAAGAAGGAGAAGAAGAAGAAGGGGGGAGGAGGAGGAGGAGGAGGAGGAAGAAGAAGAATCTGACGAAGAAGAGGAGGAGCCCCGACTCAAATACGCCTATCTCACCAAACATTTGGGATCAGTATATCGAAATGGAGACGCAACCAGCACGTTCCTTGTTGCGGGAGACAAGATGGTGGGTATATTCGGAGATTGACCTGATTACGGCGGAGCTAACACTATTCACAGATTATTGGAACACACAATGGCGTCATTGTAAGTAGATTGCAGCTATACGCATTTATATCGGGGAGATACTAACCTCGCCAAGCATGTGCTATCCTTGCCGCTTTTGCAGTCCCTCCGTGTGTACCAAGCACACTCAGCCAGCGTGACGTCTATATCGATCTCGCCGTTTCCCCCGCCTCTACCGAGCTTCAAGTCCGATGCTTTAGCCAGACAAAGCGAGGAACATGGTCCTCCATCGCGGGCGTCAACAAGTGCGGGCAGCATCCGTGGCCAACGCAGATCACACCCAAATGCAAATATACCGGCTATCCCGTCGAACTCAATTTATATCGCATCAGCCTCCATCGACGGCAACGTCTGCGTTTCCTCATTAGTGGATCCCAAGGATATTATGAAGCGAAACTTCGGTCGACCGGTTCAGGCAGTCACGCTATCTCCCGACTACAAAAATGATCGGACGTTCCTATCTGGCGGTCGAGCTGGCGAATTGGTCTTGACTACCGGTGGTCGTATTGGTGTAAGCTCGAATGCCACCACGATGGGGAGGAGCAACAGCAGCAGCATCCAGTTGGCTAGGATCAATGGGCTTAGGTGCCAGTAGTGGCAAGGATACCATTTTGCATAGCGGAGAAGGTACAATCAGCACCATTCGATGGTCCTTATCTGGAAAGTATGTCTGCTGGGTGAACGAGGAAGGTATCAAGATCATGCGGTCCAACTTGCACCTGGAGTCGTCGGAGATGGAGTATGCCTGGAAACGTATCAGTCACATTGACCGTCCCAATGGGCCAGGCTGGGAAGAAATGGCCAGTGTTTGGAAAGCTCGGGCAGAATGGGTTGATCAATCTGCCCTAGATGATGCAGATAATCTGGACCCTGGTAATGAGCCTACACCCCACAAGACATCTTCTAGTGGCACTGAAGAGAAAACCGAAAAACTCGTGGTTGGTTGGGGTGGCACTGTCTGGGTAATTGATGTTTACCCAGATCGGGCGTGCAAATCTTCAAAGGGTGAGAGATACGGATCTGCAGAAGTGACAACAATGTAAGTTGAGAGATTCGCGAATCACCGGAGCCATGGCTGATTTGAATACCCAGATTACGAACTGATTGTGTAATCTCTGGCATTTCGTTGTACACACAACGTCTCCTCGTTGTTCTTGCATATATTGAAGCAGACAAAGATTCCGCAGAAGATGATGGAAGAAGCTCCGGGGCTCACCATCGACAGCGGGGCTTGGAGCCTGAACTTCGGATCATTGATATCGCGACTAAGGAAGAGCTCAGCGCTGACACGCTATCTGTTAGCCGATTTGCAGGCTTGACTTCATCTGATTACCACTTGAGCGTGCTACCTCCATGGAGAACTCCGGAGGGCCAAGTGGTCCAACGCGGTGCATTAGGGACCATTGGGCATGGCCTGTTGGATGCGACGATGTACCCGGCGCGTCTTTTCAGTTCTGGTGCCAGTATTCGCAGCTCGACTAGTAGTAGCGATAGGATATCTTGCAGGGCTCCGTCATCTTTCTCCGCAAGACATCTCTCGCCGGAGGACACTCTTCCAAAGGAAGTTCAGGATGTCGCTGGAGCCCCAGGTGCAAAGATCTTTGTTCACAGTCCATACGACTGTGCCGTTGCCGTCAAACGAGATCTCTCTGACCGATTGTCCTGGTTGAGTTCTCGCGGTCAGTATGAAGAAGCATGGAACCTCGTTGACGAACATCCCGAAGCTGCAGGCCCAGCCTCCGAGTTGAATGAGGTTATTGGAGGGTCGCTGAAGTCGAAAAGTAGTCTCACCGATTTCTTCGCTGATGATCGATCATCGATTACTACGGCCGGTCGAGGAATGGCTCCAGCTGCTGAAGAAGAAAAAGCTCGCCTTGGTGAACTTTGGCTCGAGCAGTTGGTTGGCGATGAGAAATGGGCAGAAGCTGCCGAGGTCAGCGGAAAGGTTCTTCATAAACCTGCTCGATGGGAGCATTGGGCGTGGGTGTTTGTCAAGAAGGACAAGCTCGATGAGATTACTCCTTACATTCCCATTGATCTACACCCGGGACTGCCTGCCGAGATCTACGAATTCATCCTCATTCACTACGTGTCTCGAGACCTCGGTCGGTTCAGGGAGTTAGTTGAGACATGGCCTTCCGATTTATTTAACCCTGACAATGTGACCGCGGCAATTGAGGAGCAGTTGAACTCACCATCCATTGAAGCCGAGTCTGAAGAATGGCGAATCCTTACGGATTGTCTGGCCAAGCTGTTCCTCGTGGGTGGTCATTATCGAGAGGCATTGCATTGTTATGTCCGACTTCAGGATGCCGATGCCGCCATGTCTCTGATCAAAGAGCATCGCTTGGTTGATGCAATTTCCGATAATATCCCAGCGTTCGTTATGATTCGCATATCCAAAGCCCAGATGAAATCAGCGCCGAAATCTGAGCTTGGAGAACTGGCCGCAGAGCCAATCCAGCTCCTCGCGAGTGAGGCCTACACGGGGATTGTCCCTCCTGACACCGTGGTGTCACAGCTCAAGGCTGCGGATCGTATCCTGTTCCTTTACCTCTATCTTCGTGCGTTGTGGCGAGGCGAGTCTCTCTCACATGAATCTTCGAAGCCCCGAAGAGGCCGTGGTGCTCATGCCCGGGATGCAGCGAGTAAGCTAGCTGCAGACGAAGGAAAGGCTTTGATTGATGGCTTTGCGGACACGGCCGTGGAAGTATTTGCAGATTACGATCGACCTCTGCTCATGGAGTTTCTCCAAACGAGCATCTCGTATACCTTCGAGGCTGCCATCCATATTTGTGAGCAACGGCGTTTCACCCAGGAGTTGATCTACCTGCTCTCAAAGATGGGTCAGACCAAGCGAGCGTTGAACTTGATTTTGTCCGACCTGAAGGATGTATCTCAAGCAATCTCATTCGCCAAGTCGCAAGAGGATCCGGATCTCTGGGAAGACCTCTTGGACTACTCGATGGACAAGCCCAAGTTTATCCATGGGCTTCTCGTCGAAGCGGGCACGTCCATTGATCCTATCAAACTTGTGCGTCGTATCCCGAGTGGGCTGGAGATTGAAGGGCTTCGTGACGGCCTTTCACGGTTGATCCGTGAACATGACTTGCAAGCTAGTATTAGCCAAGGAGCAGCACGGGTCATGCAAGGCGAGGTTGCCCTTGGAATGGATACATTGCGCAGAGGACAACGCCGCGGTATCAAGTTCGACATTCATGACGACAAATCCGAAGAAGTGCGGAATGGTGACTTGACACCGACAGCGAAGACACAGCAAGACGCAGTCTCAGAATCTGGTGTCTCTGTAAAGCGTGCTGGTCTCGGGCGTGGAAAGTGCAGTGGCTGCAACGCCCCATTCCAGGCAAACGGTAAGTTGCTACGTGTGAAAATCTCTCCACTTATGGTCACGACCGCTCATCACTTTTTATCTACAGAGAAGGAGATTCTCATCGGCTTCGCATGCGGTCACATCTTCCACCTTTCTCACTTGCATTCAGAATCCTCGCAACAATCCCAGTCCTCTCAGCCCTGTCGGATCGGCCGATCGGACACCTCGGCCCTCCACTCCATCAGACGAGCCCACTTCGTCCACTGCCTCTCGCACTGTTGGACCCAAGGTGACGACAGCACGACTCCTACGCGATAAGATTGGAGACGGATGTCGGATCTGTGCATTGACAAGGACGATCGAGGCACTTGGCAGCGAAGTCGATGTATGAGCCCTATGTCAATCCATGTCAATCAGGATCTTGCCTTCCTGCCGTCTCTAATACCCCATTTGCCCACCTTGTGCATAATTCATGTATACCTATTGTTTCCTTAAAGATACCCAGCCATCTTTCACGGACTTGTGGTTAAGCGATTCATTTACAATACGCGTGCAAATACCCTGCATAGCTCATAATTGACTAGCAATGCAAATATCATTTTGTTTTTTTTTTATGAATCACGGATGAACTGTCAATCCTGGGACAGCACACGATGATGCTACCTAGCAATTCATCTGAGTAGATAGGGGCTTGCTATGCTTGAATCCACGCAGTGACCTCTCAGCCGAACTAGAACAACCCGGTTGCGTTGCATTAGCGGGAGACCAATGAGATCCCAAAGTTTGAGTCCTTAGAGCCTCGAAAAATACGCCCCCCCCCCCAAGTCTAGCGAGTCGAACTAGAATCCCAAGCTAACGAGATGACTCGACTCTGCGAAGCGATAAGACCCCATCAATTGTTGGCGCTTATAAGAAATTGTTACCCCAGAATCTCATAGTCAGACCTTTTCCGCCCGCATATTTGCCAGGATTTGAGTAGACGGCTGTATCGGCACTAGAGGCGCTTTTCATGCCACTTTTGCCCGACTCTACTGGGCGAGTGCCGTAATGTAGAAAAGTGTCAACCCCGCAGCCCCGTGCCCTTAAAGCTTGTGTCATCTTTCTTTTTTCCCCTGTATGAGAAAGTCGTTGTGCCCCATATCTGGGAAAAAAAAAACTTGAAGGTCGGCTCAGCACGCGTTGTCATTCGTTTTCCAAAGTCCATCATGGCGCGGGGTTTTTTGCTTGGTTACTCCTCGGCCTTTGGAGCACTACTGTAATGGCCGACTTCAGCAATATGGAGAACATCAATGCGGACTGCGATGTGAGTAGCTTTCCACGTCTATCGGAAGTGGGCACAGGCTTCCTCAACCGGACACTAATATGAAGATTCGATCAAGAATGGATGCTTTTTCAGCAGCCTCTCCGGTGGAGCTTGCACTACCGACGCTGCATGCATGTGCGACCAGCAGAGATCGGGCGAGACGAACTCCTGCTACATGGCCACAAACTGTGCCTCGATCGTCCCGTCCAGTCAGTGTTTCTTGTCGGTAACTAGGAAGGTAGAATACGTAGCTAATGACTATCAGTAGATTCCTGGGGGATCCAGACTTCGAATTGTGAATCGAGACACATGCTTTTCACCTTTGACCAAGTGGCTGCGTGTGGCATCTCACCGAGTACGGCCGCTTCTTCTGCTACTGTTAACGTTACCGTGAATGGAGCCTCTACTTCGACACCGACGACGGCGATGGTGACAGCTACTTCGGCGTCTTTGACTGATTCGCAGTCTACGGCTTCAGCGGGCGCTTCTTCAACCGAGAGTCAGACTCGTAGTGGCTCAACACCGACTGTTACGGCTGATAGTGCGTCGAGGAAGACGGTCGGTCTGGGAGCTGTTGGGCTTATTGCTGTAGCAGGAATGTTTGTTTAAGGGAGTCCCGAATATTGATGACAATCTATACTACTTATAAGGACAATAAAATTGTGCAAGCTGAAGAAGTTGTTGCGATGCTTTTTACATGGATCTGCAGCCTGTATACAAATGCAATGTGTGGGGTATTATATGGACAGGCAATTTCCACAAGACTCGAAACAATAGATCGAACCCCAAGACGCAAATGGGATATTTTTGGTCCGGTGCAATCCGTGAGGCTCATGTTAGCCAGTAATAGGAAAAATTTTTGTCGGTCTGCGCGATGATCTGGATGCCGCGCTGTTACATCTCCACCGGCAGTCCATCGAATCAACAGGGTCTTCTGCTAGAGATCAGGGGTAAACGGTTTCACGATAAGCAGCCGCAGGTGACTATAGGTCGGCTCACCGGTGAGGTGAGAGGTCGGCTCACCGATGAGTCATCTATGTTATGTGATACTTTTGATTAGTGTGCCGACCTTTGTCTTTATCGACTTACCGATAGTAAGAGATATTAGAATCGGTAGTAGCTAGAACTAGTTAATTACTATAACTAGTAATTAATAAATTTTAGTATTAATCCTAGTATCTTAGATTAGGAGAGCTATATTTCGCTTATATTAAATAGTATTATTAATTTAAGATACTAGCTCTTTATAGAGATTTATTTCTATATCTAGAGGGGGAGAATTAAGATTAATAAGTTCGTCAATAATTTATATATTGGTTTCGATCTACTCGAAAGGATTAGTGTCACTTATCTCAAACTAATTCCGAAGTAGTTATTGCGAGGTAAAGTAGTGAGTTTTTTACAGAGTGAAATTTATTATTACAGGCATCAGTGAGCCGACCCACAGTTAATGTGATAAAAGCGGAGACATCGGTGAGCCGACCTCTTTATCTCATCGGTGAGCTGGCCTGTTTTCTGGCAGTTGGGTCACAGCCATCACCAATCTTATCGCGCCACGCGGGTACAGCCCCTGCTCTGACCCGGACGAGGGCTATGCAACAGGTCGAAAGAGAATGGCACTATTTGGACCCAATTTAGTAGATAACATGTTGACTCGAACTGGCTACTGTCGTCTTTCCATTCTAAACCCTTCACCAACATGGATCCCCATGGCTTCCTCAATGAGGATGTGGAAGAGGAAAATCTTTTATCTTTCTCTACGCTTCGAAGACATGCAAGGGCCTTGATGATTAGCCCAGAAGAACCCGCTACGAGCGAGCCTGTTCCATCATTATACCACACATCTGAAGAGCCAACCTACGCAACCGAGCCTGATTTTGATCCATATGAGGCTTCCCCGCATTTCGACCATACCGTGCAAAGCAGTGAAGCAATACTCTGCGGTAAGACTGGGGGCATTTTACCCGGATTTTGAGGTAACGCCCTTGGAATATGATGACCTGGGACGATTTACTTCGGTTGGCATCCCCTTGAAAAAGCACACTTTCATATAAACTCACGCCGGATTTACGGATGTTCCTATTCGATGATCTGCACAATGCTAAAAGCCAAGACGAATCTACCACGGTTCACAGCTCCTCTTCACACACGCCAGATTCGGAACTTTTGACCTCGAGATCTGGACAGACAGCCATAACACAGCCGGAGAATGACGATCAATCTGGGAACCTGGATCACATATTGAATGCGACTGCTTACTATGAAAAACTCGACGACCTGGAGATGGTTACTGCAAGGATCTGCGGCATCGATCGAGGCCCTTCCGACATAAGCTGGAATTCCTACCTAAGGAGACCTGATATTTCTCTCAGCGAAAGCTTGTGCGCTCTTGAAAATTTGCAGTGTGAAGGATTCTGTGGAGATTCGCTATCCATATTGGTTGAAGAACAGACACGTCCCGGCATTGCCAACGCCATTCATATCTCGTCGCGTGAGCACGACTCGAACTGGACTTGCACATTCGCTTCACGTACAGCACCCTCAAAGACATGCTTGAGAAACTTGGATTACCTGATAGATCGTCCGAGTCCTACGAGGAGGCGGTAATTTCCTCCGGAATATTAGGTAAAGTGATAGCACTTGGCCTTGTATCCTTCTCTGGCTCTCACGTGTGTTGATTTGACCTTGAGCTATGGGGAACTTCTGTAGAAAGAATTCCCATTGTCGATGGCTACTATTTGGGCCTTTCGACAATTGGCCTGCCTGAAGAACTTCGTCGATGGTCCAGCTTGGGTCCAGGGAAAGCATAAGCCGGAACAAGAACAGGAGAGACTCAAAGTATCTCTTTCAGTTCTAGACCTTCAAGAACTTTGAGGCCCCATCTGGTTATTTGAAACACCCAATGAAGGGTCAATAATCCTCACGGAAACTGGTTCGCCGTCCCTCTTCCACGACAAGAGCAATCGGACTCTTCCTTGGGCGAAATTGAATGTCATTGGTGCATCGACATCACCAGTTATATTTCCCAGATGAACCCAATTCGATTGACTGGCTCATCACGAATTTTGATTGGCACTGAGCCCGCCAATCAAGCCAGGCTAGTTTCCACCCCTTTCTGCAAATCGCAAATCTTCCAAAAAGAAGAGCATATTCATAAACAGCTCCAGTTCACGGGAACGCGGAACGAATACGACACCCGAGATGGCCATGACATTCAATTTTCGGGGGTCAATACCTCAACATCGGAGCAATCATCAGGTACAAGCGCAATCCTATGCGTACAATGAAATAAGTCGATCCAGAGGGAAGTCTTCTCGCCTACTGGCCTTTCGTAGATGGTAATTGGAACCTTCGAATCGCCTCAACGCCACATAACAAATGGTTTGATGTGATTGCCGACTCACGGGATACAGCCAGCGAGGACTGTCTCGTATGTGGCAATGTATGATCGCAAGGCTTCCAAAACGAGGATCAAAGAACATGCTTATCGACCCTGATCCTCCCGCGCTCGGTGATGGCGAGAGATTCTTCTTCTAGACGTCTTCACATCTTAAATCCGGTTTATGAATCCGTGCTGAACGACATGTTACCCGAGGTATTGTTTAAATTGGGGAAGAGATCGCTCATGGTGAAGAATGTCGTGGGAAGGACAAGGCAGAGCGATGGTGGCTATAACCAGCGCGAGTCTCGGATTTGGGATCCCCGAGTTTCGGGAGCAGATCAATCCTGAGATCAAGGGAGGCGAACCAATCGAGGTCATTATATGCTCAAAAGCATTCGTGATATGGCTCGAGAGCCACGTTCTGGACAAGTCTGGAACAGATGTGTCGTTGTCATCGTCATCGGCATTATCAGTGTCCAGCTTCGGTGTAACGCGTCAGGATTGACCAAGGAGAACAGTCTAAAATAGACAGATGTTGCGAAGAGAATGGCCGAGATTGGAGAATCTGGCTGGATTTTGCTAACATAGCTAGGATCAAAGTAGCTGCGCTGAGAGTGTCAAGCCTGGGAGAGAGAGAAAAAAGAGACCATGAGGGAATGTAAACAGCTCGGGTGCTGCAGGATGCGTAGCCCGATCTGAATGTTTATTTCTTCTGTTAGCAAGGTTTCTGTGTTACAGACAGGTGCAATTAGCGTACGCAATGGTTTAAACAGAGAGATTTCCAATCTCTTCGCAGGCAGGAGCACCGATGACAAGCGCGTTGACCCTGCGATGGCAAGGAAAATTAATGTTCGAAGCCAAAATATTAGAGTTTTTATAAAGGAAGAAGATATGAATGCAGAATTGAATTAGATAAGCGCAGTACAAGCTGCTATTATGGTCTGCATAACAAACATGGCAAAGTTGGGAACACGTTCGATAAGTTCATATCCCAGACCGCCATCCCATTCTCATAAAAAAAGCATGTAACAGTTCAAACTTGTCATCCACTGATAGAAACTTGATCTAGTCATCTGTAAACAGAAGACTCGCCCGCAGTAGGCGTAAAGATGGGATCCATGGGAAGTTCTCAAAGAGCATGGAGAAAGACGGCGAGGAAGACTGCAATCATGATGGATTGGGTCAGGGAGCTACCATTGTGGTCAGCCGTGCCATTGTACTGAACCGCAGAGGTGGTGGACGCCACAGGGTGGGTTGAGTTGGTGGCACGAGGGGGAACAGGGGTACCAGGGGTACCAGATGTACCAGCCGCAGGGGCGTGACGTGACAGCCGCTACCAGAGCAAGGCACGGGAACGACGCAACCGCTACCAGAGCAAGGGATGATGACTGCAGTCGCAGTGGGCCGGGAACCAGTGGACAAAGTAGACGATACTCCAACCTTGATGACACCGGGAGTGGGCTCAGTAGGGCATTTGCCTGAGCAAGGCACAACTGGGACCACAGTGGGCTGGCAGTTACCGGAACAAGTCACCGAGGGAAGCAAGGTAGACTGGCAGAGGCCCTTGGAGCAAGAGATGGTAACGACAACCTCGATGGGCTGGTTGGTAGTGGTGGCGTTAGGGCAAGGCTCCGTTTCAGTAGAAGTGAGCACCACACGGCTTGGAGAAGTCACCCCAGTAGATTTGGGGCAAGGCTCGGTCTTAGTAGAAGTAAGCACCACAGGGCTTTCAGTAGAAGTGAAGCCAGTAGATCCGGGGCATGGCTCAGTGAGAGTGCTTGTAACAGAGACCAAAGGAGTTGCAGAAGCCAACTTAGTGATCGAAGTCAAAGCAGCTGTTTTGGTCACAGTGCTGCCGGGCAGCGTGAAGGTTACCTGAGTCATCCCGGCGGGGGAAGCCGAGGATATGGCAGTAGACTCAATTGTATTAACAGAGGTAGCAGTGATTGAGGGCAGACCAGGAATCAGGAAGTCTGTGGGCTTGGTAATGACAAGACCAGAAACAGGGATAGTTACTGTGAATGCAAGTCAACAAACGCGTCCTCCATAACCAAAGCAGTGCTTCAGTCAGACTTACCAACGCCAGTATCGACGATACGGGCAACAATGCCGGGGACATGATTGACTGTAACAGATGTTTAGTATGAGATATTACCAGCCTGGGAGGAAGATGTACGGTCGTGAGCCGCGTCACCATCAGCACGGACGACATGGAGCTCCTCGAAGGCATCCAGGTCTGAGAGGAAGTGAAAATCGGTGCCGTCATCTTCATGGGAAAGCACAAGAGAAAACTCACTGTTCGGGAGAGCTGCTGCCACCACAGAGAGGATGGTCATCAGGATGAGAACGCAAAGGCGTGCGGACGACATTGTGAAGAAGCAAGCGAACGACTGAAGATTGGGGTATTTCGAAGCTTGAAGCAGATGGGCTCGATGGAGATGGAGAATCGAGGAAACGAGCGTAATGAAGGGTAGGAAACGAGTGTGGAAGAAATCTGGGGAAGGTGAAGAAGGAAGAAGAGAAAGTGAGGAAGGAGAAGAGAAATACTCGAGGACAAAAGGCAACGCATTATTCACTGCAGGCGCGATTAATTCACTCAACCCATGTGACACGCTTTCGTTTGCAAACGCGACTTCTGCTTTAGTCCTTTGCCCATATACTTGCTCGGTACACCATCAGCATGGAGTACAGCCAGGGTCTGTCCCTAACACGAACCGCCTGGGGACCTGCAGATATCTGTCGTACAGCCCCGCCCCCGCCCTACAGAAGGAATTGATAGGAACAGGTAATGGCTGAATTTCGCTCTGTTGACTGGACACTTGATGCCTGCCCACACCAATCAGTGGACCTGAAGCACATCTCTAGACAGCAAAAGAGAGTCTCTGAACGAAGAGGCCATTCGGTTACTGGAAAGTAACCCTGCGGAGGAAATTGAAATTCATACACAGGTACACAAGTACACATGCCGTGTAACCAATGCCATGCAACTCTAACTCAATGGTGCTGGGCTGCTATCCATAGTTCTCAATTGGGCTTCCGGAGGGACAATAAACTATTGAAACTTTGAACTTGGGAGGCATGCAACCTTGACAAGCTTGGAAATCTATAGGCCCCGGAACATATAACGGGGCCTAAGGCAAAGGCTTAGAGTTGGAGAGTGATGGAGAGTAATATACCAAGTCCGGCTCCAGATGTATGCGACCATTTCGATATACTTCAAGACAACACAACACGTCCCCCGGCACCCAACCAACAACGGAGACTAAATGCGTCCCCCCACACAAACTTCATGTCAGCAAAGGAGAGAGTCCGTCATGAATAGTACCAAATCATCGACAACAAAAATGGATCAAGTCACCTCCCCAAAAGAAGGAAGTATAACCCCCCAAGACCAAGATATCTGACAGGTCAGGTGACAATAACAGAAAAACCCGACAATCTGGTAAAGAAGACTGTTCCAGAAAACTCAAAATTCCAGATCAAGTTCGATCAAGTTCCAACTTCCCAGTTTCAAGCTCCAGCCTTGACATCTGCCAGCCCTACGTACCAACACCAAGCCAATCTAGGCCAAATGCACTGACTCGGCCCAGAAGCCGAAAACTCACATCTCAGCGATCCCAGCGATCCCAGCGATCTCAGCCCAAGCGTTGGACCGATTCGAACCCCAAAAAAAGGACCAGACACGCCGCAAAACCCCGACGACCCCAACGCCACAAACCAATTCACCGCCCATAAATCATTACATTATTTATTATTTATATTAGAGAGAGAAAAGAAAAAAATAAAATAAAGAGCCCCGAAACACTAGCGTGACTTGCGTGATCAGCTATCACAATTTTCCAAGCGAGATTGCCCAACGGACAGTAACCACAAGCGGGCCCGTGGGAAATTTTGGAATACATCATACGGTCCGCACACGGCTGAAAAGAAGACCCGACGAGGCGATACGATACGGTAAGATACCTGGTCAGAATCGGTGATTGGTGTAAAGTACTCCGTTGCGGCACGACCCGCGGGTAAAAGCAAAGTGGGGGAACGTGTGGCTCCGTCTGGAAAGTGATGTCATGGAACGCCTTGTGGCTGGCGCTACGTTCCCTAACTCATCGACTGGCGCTGTTCTACCCTTTTTTTTTCTTTTTCCCGTTTCCCCTCCTTTCTTGCGCGAGAAAAAAAAAGGGTGGAGATATGAAGGGTGGGTTAGATTACGCGATACGAAAAGATCTCGTATTCACGTATCAGGCCCACATACCCAGGGATCCACAGAAGGAGCTAGAGGGAAGGGGAAGGAGAGATCGGCAGGAACGGGTAGTCTGGGCTCGAACATGGGTCGGTGGAAATGTGACGAAAACGAGGGTGCAGTTGGGGACTGCGCTGACGTCATGGGGATGGAGGCTAAAGTCGAAAGCTTGAGATCTTGAGATATGTGGGTGAGGAAGTTTGGATGGTGGCTTTTGGCGTGGATTGCGGAGGTGAAGAAGGTCGGGGACCACTTTCCACGTATTGCCGAGATGAAGGTAGTTTTGACCTGGTAGCTGCTTTGGCTCTGGTGTGTGTCACATCTACACGGAGTCAGTGTGTGCGTATCTCCGGGCTCCGTTCACGAGAGGCCCCCAAGTCTCACGGGAAGGTCCAGACTAGTACGATTTCTGTGACAAGATCATTCCTGAGCAGAAAGTTTTGTTCCATGGATACATTCTGGGTCAACGGCGACGCTAACGACATACCCGGTGTCAAGAGTCACCGAGGACTCCGCGGACATACTCGCAAGCCCCAACAAAAAAAAAAAGAAAAAAAAGCGTCCTCAAAAAAAGAAAAGAGGGGAATGAGAAATGAGAAATGAGGATAGAAAAGAAACGGAACCGAACGGACCCTAAGAAACCCCCTTAGGTCGTATCTGAAACCACGATCAATACCGGACTGGGAAGGAAGTATTCTCCTCCTCATGCCGAGCCCCAGATTCGTCGGTGGGAGACTGACGGGCTGGCATTCCACCAATCATGTCCCGCTGGGAACTATATACTTGCGAATATTCTCATTCGAAGCATTTTACATTGTTCCATGGGCCGGTAGAGACGGGCGACCGTGGTAATGCGCCCGCCAGCCCTGTAGTTCTTACCTGGTTGCTGGGACCGGCTCTGGGGGTGGGGATCCGCGAGCTTTAACCTCGCTGCTGGAAGACTTCTGTGCCGCCACCGGTTGGCTTTTCCGTGGGTCGCAATCGGGGTAGGACGCTACTTGCCTCCTCGCACCATCGTCCTTTTTCAAGCGTTGGAAAAGGACTTGTGTCTAAGCCATCTGACTTGTTTGCGAGTCCACTCGAGTGTTGAATTTTTACGTGCGCCACCCATTAATGCCAAGCACCGATCTGCCCGCATTTGTTTGCCATGTTCAGCATTTGAACCCGCCAGGTCGGGAGATTACTATGATAGCAATGACAACTTGGAAGGGTAATTATACTACATCATCGCGATCTGATCAGTTTGGAAAAAAATAATTGTTGATTGAGAACCCCGTCCCCGGGTGACTATTTGCATCTAAAGATTCAAAGTCCGTGTACATGCGCGCTCCAGGTAAGACAAAACAAATAAAAAGAAGCCGAACGCTCAAGACCAAATGCAATCAGCAAGACCAAGGTGAAGGCTTCAACAAGACAATATTGGATCGGGGGTATAAACATCGTGTGCGGCGTCCTTGTAACAGGTCGACAAACAAAAAAGGAAGGAAAAAACAGAAACTGGTTGAAAAAAAAAAAGAAAAAGAAAACAAATATGAGTATATCAACACGACTGCACCGTAGGTCCCGTCGACTCATGTATTGTCGTTGGAGAAACGCCGCAAAAGCAAGGAAAGCAATAAATCAAAAACATATGATGACAGGGTATCATTGCTCGGAGACTCGTATATTATCTCCGTAACCAATAACGCCCTAAGTGATGTCCGCCGACCCAGTGACAAGTAGGAGGAAGATGGGAAAGGGGTGGAAAAAAAAGGAAATAAGGATAAGTAGAAATAAGAACGGTAATTCAAAATTGAACTGCATAAGGTTGAATAGCGCGAGTCACGTATCCGCTGCACACCAGGTGCAGCCGATATCTCCATGATAATAACTCAGGCAGGAGGATACAGACCCAAGAAATCGAAAAACGGGCGTGAAATTTTGAAAGATATGAGTCAGGCGATCCACGCGATTATTAATATGTTAATTTGATCTCCATCGAGGGACTGTGGATGCCGTTGGTGCTCGTGTCGGCTTCGTAAATGTCGGCAATCATATCCTGGCCTTCCGGGAGCTCGCGGACGACGTCGTCGTCGACCATGATCCGCATGCCATTTTGATTGACGTGTAAGACGCGGACAATTCTTGATGGGTCGATATGGTGCTTCTCGGAGATCTTCTTCATTAAGTCGCGGACGGTGCGTTCCGTCAAGTAAATGGCGCGATAATAGTCGTAACTCTGCTCGGAACCGCCGAATCGCACGTAGAAGCAGGCAATCGGCTTGGGAGGTCGTTCCGCTGGGGGTCGGTAAGTAGGGTCGATATCAATGGCCTCAATGTATCCGGTCCTGGGATCATCTGAGCCTCGCCGGATAACTGTTGGGCCCTTTACGTCCTTTCCCGGCAATTTTCCTCCGTTGAATCGCGGCGAGTTCACCGAGAAATTGCTGCTGGTGGGCGAGAGAATCAAGGACTCCATGGATTGGGAGGCACCGGTGTTCTGATGACTGAGTGGTTCCACCGTCACGGTGTCACTCTCAGTGGGCAACCGAACCGGGTATAGATCGGGATCATCTTCCTCGTCACCGCGCAGAGCGAGAACGCTCACAACCCTCGTTGACGAGAACATATCCTGCATCATAGACAATTTCGACTGCAGATCATCCTCCAAAGACATCTTCTCAGGCTGGTCCTGAGAACCGATCGACCAGGTACGCTTGTGCTTCGACAGCTTCATACTCCGATCGGAGCCCTTCGAAATGGTGGAAGCTTGGCTACCACGCTTGCGCTTGCCAAAACCACCACCCATCTCTGCCTGTGCAATTTGCTGCTTCAACTTGTCGATCGTCTTTTTCACGTGGGCGACATCATTGGACAGCTTTCGCTCGGCACCGTGGTCTCGGAAAAGCTTGACACGGCAGTAAGCCACTTCTGCCTCGCGCGAAACACCACTGGCTTCTCCCGGTGTGAGGAGCTCAGTCTTAGCGCAGAGTCGCACCGGAATACCCTTGACACCCTTCGAGTGACTGAAATCGGTAGAAAGGAAGTTGAACCGTACAGGAATGGCACAGTCAGCGGCACCTGTTACCGGGTTCGGAGACCAAGTGACGCAGAATCCATCGAAAGACATGCTCTCCACCTGGATCTGGCGAGACTTGTGGTCATCGCCTCCCTGAATGGGATCCACGTATTCGACAGCCTGAAGCTTGCCTCCGCGCTGATGTGCCTCGTTCGTGCCACGGCCCTCCTTCCATAATTGCCAACAAGATGCGGGCTTGAGCCTTTGCTCGTCTTCTTCAAAAGATACACGGACATATGTTCGATACCTTACTGGCTCGTTGCTAACGATTGGTGGACTTGTGTCCATGACTGTGAGATTATATGCCTGGCCCTTGTTGAGATAAGTCACTGGAATTTCTCTCTTATGCTTAACCATCGCGGTCGGCGCTCGCAGGGCAACATTATAACGAAATTTTTCGCCGTGGGAGTATGGCATACCCGAGGCGTTCGAGAAGTCGGTCGAAGTAGAGATTGTTGAAGCCTGGTCGACCGGGAAGTCATTCATTGAAGAATTATCTCCAGATTCATCCATTGCATCAAATCCCGATTCTCGGCTGTGCATAAACGCGCTAGGGGCGTATGATGCTGGCTGGACGTAGGGGTTTATCTCAGGCACATGCTGCTCAAGATATTGCTGATTAAAATGATCGAGACCTTGACCTTGGCTGTGCTGGACAGACATGGAATTCGAAAGCGAAAGGGGCGTTATCATATTCATGCCGACGGTAGGTGTGTGCAAGTCGCCCGCCTGGCTGTGAAAGATGGCACCCATGCCGCCAGAATTGGGGGTGTAGAAACCCGGGTACTGGCTAGCGAGAGGCATCATGGGCATGCCATTCGGCTCAATCCACGAGGAGGTGAAATTGAGTTCCTGCAAGTTTCGTGGGGTCTGATCATTCGGATGTTTTAAATCGGACTCGTCCATTTTCATGTCGGTCGGCCTTCCATTCACCATGAAGGCACCATGTGAGCCACCCTCGCTGTCTCGTGGGGGACAATATCAGAAAATGTTTGGCGAAAGCGGCCGATGAACTCCTCATCGGGCTTCTGAGCGTTGTTTCTAAAGCAAACATACAACATTAGTTTCGGTTTTGTCGGGCCATCAGGTGCATCGTAAACGTACCGGTTTCGGAACATTGGAGCGGTTTTACTGGTAAATCACACCAATAGTCGCCAAAAGAAAAGGTTGGGGGTTTTAAAAAAATGAAAAGGATTGTAGACTTGTGTTCCACATCTGAGCCAAGCCGAAAGAACACGACCACGAGCGCGCACTCGCGATCCCTTTGTGTATGACGATTCTCAAAATAACAGTTCGGCTAAAAACCGCAGCAACAGATAGATTTGGAGTCCGGAATAATCGTCGTCACAGTTCGAATCAATTTGAGCACACAGTCGGTCAAGTCAGAGGAGCGTGGGAGGTGGAGTTGCAGTTCCAGTCGAAGTCAAAGTTGAAGTTCAAGTTGTCGGTGTGAGGGGGGTGTAGAGGCTCAAAGCGGAGATGTCGTGCGGGAAATCGCGGACAACGCGATACCTTAGGATGATCTTTTGGGGATCCAAGATTGGAAAAAAAAACAGAAAAGGTTCCAGAATGTGCACCTTGCGAAAAGGCCCCCTTTTTTATCGAGAAAAAAAAAGTTGTAGAGGCGAGGGGTGGATGGAGGGGTGGAGCACGGTGTATGACGAACGGGCTAGGAAGGGGAGAAGAAAAGAATAGCGAAGATGGTACGGTCCATGGATCCCTCCAATGATCAGTTCTACACGACCTCAGGCCCAAATGTCATCCGACTGAGCCACAGTTTGGGGGGGGGGGAGAGAAGAAATGGAAGATCGGAGTATGGTTGGGGGGACTGGAGGTGTAAAGTTCGGAAATTTAGAGAGTAAAGGTGTTGCCACTGGAAAGCTCCCGATAAGGAGCAGGGGCTGCATGGAGCTCTTCTTTTCTTTTCCGTCTTTTTCTTTTCGAATTTCAACTTTCAATTTTTAATTTTTAATTTTTAATTCTTTTTTTTAGATGGAAATGATTGGTATTGGAAAAGGAGAGAGCAGAATATGATTGGAGACCAGAAAGGGATCGAGAAATCAGACCCAAAATAATCGGTGGGGAAAAGGTGGAGCTTAGAATAAAAAAAGAAAGTGAAAACAGAAAAAAAAAAATAGAAAAAAAGGAAAAAGAAAAAAAAAAACAGAAAACGAAAACGAGGGTAAGTTACGGGACGTAATATTGTGGTATTGGGTACCTCCGTGTAAGCTAGGGTCCTCTGACTATCCTATAAGGATGCTAGGAGATAGAGATTCTCATTAATTCATATGCCGGCCGGGGCCAACCGAGCAGGCATCTGATCAGATCAATGTCTACAAGACTTTTGACAACCATCTTGTGAACCAGCCGGAGTCATTCCGCCTATCGATAGCACGGGCTCCCACTGTGTCGGGTCCCCCACACGCCACAACTGTCACTCGGTGCCTTACTGCCTAATTCTGATATCACACATCTCACATACCAAGCATCTAGAGTTTGGAAGACACAATTGAACCATTACTCCAGAACTTTTGAAAACAGCCAGAGAATATGGCGCTTTTGTGGCGTAGAGAGGTAACTACGAATCACAAGATGTGGAGATATATCTCCGAGGAGACCAGACGACAAAGGGAGACCGCAGGGGGACCGCAGGCAGCCACCAAAAAACCCAATTATCCCATGGTGACCAAATAGTAATCATCTTCATAGAACGGTGGCAGTTCGTTCCCGCCCATGGGTCCACGAAAAGATGTTCGGAATACCGCTTTGATAGGCGGGTTGACGAGCCCGGGCCCCGATATGGAGTTTGCACTCGGCATCTACGATTGCCCGCCACAACCTCGGTCCCTCGAATGCGTCACCTGTGGCTAGAATATGGTTCACCTGCTTACCCACGAGGTCTGATCGTCAGGGAGGTTTCCATGGATCTAGATCGACGTGCTTGAACTCATGTCTCTGTGCAAGGGTCTATTATTCCAGTCGCGGTAGATCTCACTTGTCTTCTCTCCTGAGGGGACACGTATGCACGACGGGGTCAGGCGTACGTAACAAAATGTGCTCACGGTTGCAATATGCGCGATGCGCAGGCCGAACAACGAACCCCCTTCCACGAACCGGTACATGCGCGTTACCATACCAGGAGAGAAGTATTTGGGCGCAGTTTATTGCTGGGATGGCATCCCGCCAATAGGAGGCCGTATCTGCAGCCTTAGCCCTCAGTGCACGTGTTGAGTACGATACCGTACAATACCAAAGCGCCGCGATGCTTAACAAGTGCCGAATGAATCTCAAAGGGATCCGAGAGATCGAATCCGTATGATGTCTAGGGTGTAAATACCACCCGCGCATTCCAATTTCGGAAACACTGCCGTTTACAAACTGCCACTTGCCACGAGGAGGGAAATTGCGCACTCTCATTGCACGGTTGGTACTGCCGGACGATCTGAAAAGGAATGGAGAGAGCCTCGAAGTGGCAGGGATGCGCATCGTGGTGCCGACTAGTATACCCTCTAATCTCCGTTCTCCGCTCACCGTTCTACCGTCAGCCTCCATCCCATCTTCTGATTTAAGCTCCGGGACTACCGTCACTGGCTAGTGCTTGCCCCACTTGTCCAGCCTGTCCATCTCGTCCCCTCCGCACTGGTGTTAGGGCACGGCCGTTGGTCGAGAATGGTGAAAGCTTTCCATGGTTCACACAGGCCAGTGATGGAATAGGCCTGAATCTTGAGGCCGTCGAGCTGTTACTGGAACGGATAAGCATCTCCGGTGTATAGAGGATATCAATCGCCTGCTTCCAACTCCTCTGAGAGTGAGAGTGACAGGGCCAGAACCGCTGTTAGAACAGACTCTGTATGTGCTTTGCTGTCAAAGTTACACTGGCACACAGTTTACCGCGGGCGCAAAGCCACACCCGTCATGAGCGACGTATGGGAAGGACATCCAGGGGGGAAAACGCCACCGGTCAGAATATAGGAATATATTGGGCGCCTCTAGGTGGCTTGCTACCATTGTTTTTGAGGATGGAATACCCAGGGTTGAACGAAGAATGGGAAAAGCAATCTTTTGCGATGAGATCGATCCGTCGTATAGATCGAGGGCTGGGCGTGATTGGCATATCGATGCATATCGATGCATATCGATGCATTGTTGGATACCTTGTTTTTCAGGCGTGTTGCGGTTGTCGCTTCGGTCGCGACGGACGGACCAACGCTCTATGAGGCAAGTCGTTGATCGAGTCCGGAGTTCCGGAATACTGAACAGATTCCAATGTGGACATAACAGTACGCGTCTTGAGTACTCGAGTTTACCGGCACCGGATATTACGGCTAGAACGGATCTCCGGATGGTAGTTTGTATACTATTGTGTGGAAGGCAGCTCGTTTGGAGGCGGCTGCTTTTTCCGCATCGATAGTAGGGCGATCGCCCTGTGGCTGTTCGCGACGGGGGATCCGCTGTCGACTGTGTGCAGACCAAGCGTGGCCAGTCAGGGCAAGTAACGGCCTTGCCACAACAGAAGTCTAAGGCATCCAAGACCAGGGTCACTCGCCACAATGCCAGCTGACGCAATCTCGCTCCGGTTCAGCCACAGGAATGTTAGTGGAATGACCATTTGGTGAGAGTTTTCAACGTGTTGGAGGTTTTCCAGCTCTGGGCCCAAAGGAGCAAGTCCGCGGAGATACGCGAAGAAGGTGTGGCGATTTCCAGTCAGATGAGAGTCATCCGGCATAGATCGGCGGTGGTCTGGTGTTTGTTTTGCTATATCTGTATTGGCACGGGGCGTTGACAAGTGGATGGCCTCCGCTCAGTATGAACGGTGCTTTTTCCTCATAGAATTCTTGTACAACGTGTACCGATTCTTGGGCCCCGCTCGAAGATTGGGTCTCGGGGCCTGCTTTCCCTTCCGACGAATAACGGCGCGCACGGGGCAGCCTTATGAGGAATCGGGTAACTCGAAGGGGGAACGGTGGCTGTGCTGTGGCGAGAACTCAATGCGTGTCATTGACTGATCTCAGCTGTGGCATAATAACCATTGAAATATGCCGTGGCGTTCCATGTCGAAGGGTCAGAGCGACCGTACAATAATAGCATATGATATCAAATCCCTTGCGATGGGTCCCATGCATGAGAAATTGATGACAAACATTAGCTGCATTGACAACGTCATATCCCCATTTGGATATGATATCAAGCATCAATCGAATGGTCGATTGTCGCACAGCCATTCCTAACTGACCGGCATGGCATGATCTTCTACTACCCAATGCTGTCGACAGCGAATGCACGTATGATCGCAATGAATAAAGCACTCGTTGGTGCCCCGTCCATGATATTACTCTTTATAAACTATCTGCCTAATATGAATGTCCCTTATAAGAGTCAGTGTAGTCGTGCATGAATCACCGTCGCCGCGATCTCGGAGTGGCTTCTCGACGGCGCGTCAAGCCGAATATGCGAATATGCAAATAATACAAGGGGTAACTGGCCCCGCAACACCTCTGGCAACGCCACCCAAACAGAAAAATTGGACGTATGGACAAAAGACACCCCTGGTCCGACAGGACTGCGTGTATATGTGCTGGCTGACCTCGACCAGTCCTGTTCCCCGGAATGTCGATCCCGTGATGGGATGAGAGAAAGATAGATGAAAGATGGTCTTTGACTTTGAAATGGATGGGCGACTTCAGTGCTGGATGATGAGGGAGAAGCCATCGACCCAAGCGCCACTCGAGCCTGAAACTCCGGCAATTTTGTATCCCAGAGGCGGAATCAGTGTGTGTCTGTGGAGAACGTAGTAATTAGTATTATATTCCTCAGTAAACTTGTTCGAGAAAGGCTTACCCTGATCCGCCAGAGGCATTGCCAAAGAAGCCGGATTTCCTGCCCATACTGGTGAGAATTTCCACGCCGTCGATCCAGAGCCCAGCTCGAACGTAGAATCCAAGGAGAATCTCTCCGCGTCGGGTGTCGAGGACAAACTCATCGCCGCCAGCCTTGCCACCGCGTTTGCCAAAGAGCTGGGTCGTCATATCTTCGTAGCAGAACTCAATGCCGTCCAACGCGGAGCCGTGGTAGACCTTGATGGAGGTGAGGAGCTTGGATTGGATGAAAGCACACTCTAGAAGCACCTGCTCGGGCTCACTGCCATCCAGACTGGATTGGCCGAGTTTCCCGCTCTTGTAGCCGGACTGGTTCTTGGGAAGCTTGACAAGGGAATTTTTCGACTTCAATTGTCCGACATCCTCCACAGTATAGCTGCCTAGTGTCCCAGAAACAACGACCAGGCGAAGCTTTTTCTTCTTCTCCTTTTCACCACCGAAGAGTTTCTCCTTTTCAATACCGGACATCTTTTGGCGAAGCTCGGTTTCCGTCACCATGATTTGCTTCGGCAGGCCATTGCTGCTCGACTCGGTGCCCAGGTACTCAATAAAGGTATGACAGAACTCCTCGCCCTCTGTGTACAGTTCCATCCACGCAATGCCCGATGAAGCAGTGAATAGAATCTTGCCATTCTCCACCGGCCACACTTGCACGCTGTCATCAGAACTCGGAGTGGCATCACTAGGAAGACGGAAGCATGGGTGGAAGCGGAAACGCAGCGTGTCCAAACGATGCCATCCGCACTCATCGTTCGGTAAGCACACCTTGAGTCCCTGGGTCTTGGTGCGCGTCGAGAACGGCTCTTTGGTGATGAAAGAGCGTCCCAGGCGCACATAGTCGCGAAGCATGATGCCTGACTCCTGGTGCGGGCAACCAAAAAGATGTCCCACCTCGTGCAAGTGAGCACCAATGCCAATATTGGCAGATTCCCAATTCGACCCGGCTTCGCCACAGTCGTTGGCGACATAGTTGGTATCAGTCCGTGTGCAGTCTGAAAAGGCATCGACCACTTCTTCGAGACACGATGGGTAGCTCTGGAGGCTGTGGGAACCGAAGATGGCCATCTTGATATCTCCGCCCCCCGATCCAAGAGCGGCGTGACCGGTGATGGTCTGCGATTTTGTATCCCAGTGGGAATCCAACAAAAGGACAGAAACATACTGCTGCTGGCCCGGCTGGGGGTGGAAGTGCTTCCGGACAGCCTCCTTCGCGATATCGAAAAGGGCGTCTTTTTTTCTGAGCATCACTGTATTGCTGGGCAATATTGAGATCCCGGAGTTCCGCTACCGTTTTCTCACTGCGAACGACGTGAATCTTGGCCTCGTTGCGCATTTGACCGGTTGCCAAGTCCCGAGAGCTGAGACTACCAGACTGCCACTCCTCTTCAAAGCGGAAGCACCGTCGTCCAAAGTTGTTGCGGAACATCTGCTCGCCAGTGAAGGCTTGCCAAAGATATGCGGCCGTGCGGTATTTTCGAATCGCAGTCTCCAATCCATTGCCTTCTCGCTCCGCTCTTTCGGGCACGGCGTCGTAAGTACCATCGGAGTCCTTGCCCATCAAAATTACCAAGTGTAGCGGCGGAGTATTGACTAGCGGGAGGTAATTGATGCAAATCCACGCGGAATGAATCGCCGGATGAGTGCTACCTGTAGACAGCTTGGGCGAAACAAAGTCGAACCTGAGACGATTGGGACCGGGAACGAGATGAACAAGAGCTTTGAAGTGAGACGCCGTGACGGGCCAGCCGATCGACGGGAAATTATCTTGGTGATGGTAGACCATTACATTTCCGTCCAGCGGTTGCGTTCTGGGGTCTCCGGTCTGGCCATAAACAAGAAGAACTTTTTGATGAACCTGATCAAGGAGTCAGCCACGTGCCCGATCGCAAATGCAGCTTGTACCTACCCAGGAATTGTCGGCGATCGATACTATTCTCGGCGCGTACGGGGAACTTGGAGTGGGCGACCGGTATACGCCATTGATCGACGACGAGGAGCTTCCCTGTGATCGTTGCATGCATTAGTATCTGGCACGGTCGCATGGTACTTGCCCAGACATACGTAGATGCTATTCCGTTGCGGATTGGTTGCTAAGGCTGGTCGTTGCGGAGGTGGAGCTAGAGTTACGCTGGCGGAGCTGGTGCCACTGGAATCGACCTCGTTCAGCGAAGGCAGATTGGGTGAAGAGAGGGTCGGTTTGATCGACGAGGGCGGAGTGATGGAGCTGTGGGAGGTGGTGTCGATCGTGGAGGAGGATTTTCCCGAGACCTCGTGGACCTGATGCGAAGCGCTCTTTGGTTCCGAGTGGAAGCTGGCCCTTGACCGGCGCCTCAACTGCTTCAAAAACGACATGCTGAGATGTGAAGACAAGAGACCTTCTCACCAGGAGCAAGAAACCCCTAATGAAAATTGAAGTGGGTAACTGCCGTATTTGGGTAATATGGGGGGGGGGTTCAGGAACAGGACAGCGCGACCGTTTGCGGACGGATGACGACGCTGATGTCGCCCCGCAAGTACCACTTCAGGGTTAGCAAGGCAAAGAGTCGGAGTAGGTTAAAGGGGATCAAGTTATGGAAAGGGGAAAGATGTTTGAATTATGGGTACCATATCCCCAATTACCAAAATCAAGAAACGAGAAAAATAAACAAGAAGATTAGCAGGGTGGCGTGTGAATGGCTTCCAACGGTCTTTCAACCCCCCTTAAACAGGCTATAGATAGAACGATAAGTTACAAGATTACTCTGCTTCCCAGACGCCCCCAGGTGGACTCTTAACCAGTTGCGCATTACGTACCCCCTCCTTGCGCGACAACGAGGGCTATCACTCGGAGTCGCAATGTTTCACCAGTGGATCTTGAATGATCGCCCTAACGCTCTTAGACCAAGATCTAGTGTCTGGGCTAACCACATACCAAGAATTAGGGCCCGTGGTCATCCCCTGTCGGAGAAGTCCCTGAGGCTACTACGGCCGCCACGCATTGCTCGGTGACCTGCACGATTGATGGATTTCATGTCTATAGCTATCCCGCCACGACGCCTTGTGCCGAGCCACGTCTGCTCGTCCTATCCCAAATGGCAGGGTCACGAACAAACTTCACGCTATGCTGGAATTCCGGATCTTCAAGTGATCAGAGCTTAGACTAGAGCACGTAGGTGTCCAATGGACCAGGTTCCTTCCAAGGCGTTTGCACGGGAGTTGGACGGGTCAAGCCCCGCTGCACGCGATCTGTGCTTGCATAGGCGACAGGTTCTTTGAAATCTCGGGAACCCCTATCCCGAAATGCTGTTCACCGGGAGAGTCCCCTCAATCCAGGTTGAGACGATTTCTTTTGACCCTCAAAGGCCTCTTCGTCTTCCTTAATCTACCTCTCCTCAGTGCGGACCCGGCCAAATCGCATCCGCATCCGGAAAAAGACTCCGGCTGCCATTTCCTGCTATGACATCAGACAGCGCTGCATGTGCGGCATGGCAAAGGTGGATCGGAATGTTCGATGGCATGCCGCATCGTTCTCAGGAGATTGACGAGGAATGCAAGGGCAAAGCACGCGCTCCAGGCAGAACTAAGCTCCGGTGTGGGCCCGGAGGCTGAACACCTATTTGGTGAATAATTGGTTTTCTTCTGTCGTTAGGGTGAATAGTTGATTGCTTGAACTGGTAGGATACATCATCAGCTACTCCATAGACATCTGGAACAATTCAGATACAAGTACGGTTGGGGTTGCTAGATGTGACATCGGGGCGCTCTCGTGTCCATCCATGGTGCCGTTCACCTTAATGTGCAGGTCGTCCCCGCAAATGGATTTCCTCAGATCACTAGGCATGCATGTCCATTGATCGTCTGCCCGAGTCGTTCCAGATATGCGGGGATGGTCGCAGGGACAGGTAGTAAAGGGTGAACAATAATAAATGTCCCGGTGAAGTATAATCTAGGCATTTGTTGCACCGCGCGGGTGGACAGTTTTTCTAGGTGAGGATCGTCCACATTGTGGATGTTGAAATGCTCAAAGGGAGGTTGGACTCGGCAATAACGCGACTTTTTGGAAAACCATTGTTTACAGTCTCCCAGAGTCAAACCCTCTAAGACCAATATTCCTCCCTATTGATGAACCACGACACACTATGAGAGCACGTCGAGAAGACCAAGTCATTCCTACAAGTTCGACCTAGTGATTTCCATATCAAGACCGATGTGAAAGGATCATTTCCGAAAAGGACAAAAGCCTTAGTCCCGGAGTGGATCCCGAGGCTGAACACCAATCTGGGAAAGGATTAATGGTTTCACCTTCAGGGTGAAGAATCACCATGACAATCGAGACTAACGTCTGTAGAAGAGAATAGGGTCTTCTCTTGACTTCGAACCTAGATCTAGTCCAGAAGTGCGCGAAACGCAACAAAGTGTCAGAGGTGCGTAGAAGCGAAGCGTGGAATGGGTGGAACACGATCGCGTAAATCTGCGCGGCACGCGTTCCTCGCTTCAGCTCAACTGCCCAAAACCCCTCCAATAGTCCAATCTTTACCCCGGACTTCCAATACTGGAGAGGGCGAGTAATTCCAACACATCCTATTTGTTCAGCCTAAAGATTCCGGAATTCCGGGCGTTTAAGTGTGGGCTCCATTTTCGATCGTCGAATCCACTCCCTTTCCAGCCGCCCTTGCCTGAGCAACGGACCCTCCTGCGCAAAGACATCTCGTCCTGCTCCTGGCTTTTTTCTTCAGCTATTTATCCACCATGACGCTATCCCAGCCTGGTTCGGCGGAAAAAACTATTCGCAAGATTGATATTGCCCAGGTAAGGAGACTGATAAATGGAAAGAATCTTGTGTCTACCCAAAGGCTGCGAGCACTGCAAGTTTTGCTTTTGGCCCCGCCCTGAATGCCTCCTAGAACGACGTCTAGATGGTGGGATGTGGCCGTTAAGAAGAAGTCTGGCTAATGTGTGATCTTCTCTAGGTGTCTTTGAGTTTGCAGGACCGATTGGGTCTCGCTAAACTCAAGTACCAGCATGGCCGACTGCATGGGTTGAACCAGCAGGATGGCAAGTTCGGTCTCCTCGATAGCGACAAGCCCTCCGATTCCTCATCTAATTTCTCTCGCAGTCGATGCGAGACTCCGTTTACATCTCCTCCCCTCCGAGCAGCGACCTACTCCAAGGAACTCCCTCGATCGTCTCGCAACAAGCACGCAGTGACCTTCAATTCCCGAGTGATGCAGCCTATGTTGTCTGCCAGTCGCAAGCGTCTTCGCTCTGACTCTGCTTCGGGACGTCCGGCCAAGGCTGCGAGGGTTTCTTGGAAGAGTTCATACCAGCTGCCAGAGTCTTCTCCGGGCCTCAATAAGCACCTCACAGCACGCCACAACATGCCATTCATGTCCGAGGCCACCATCCCGGAACTGTCCTCCCCGGTATATCATGGCCCGTCAGATGAAGAGAATGACCCGGATCTGCCTCTGCATAGTTTCCAAAACATGGGCTCCATGGTGGGCTCCTCGCCTCCACGCACTCCACCTCCCAAGCACTCACGATTGTCACGCACCGATCGTCCCTCGCAGCATGAGGACGGTGCGGATCTACTTCTGTACCTTGCCAATTCTCCCACACCTGCTCGTGTGGCCCGAGGTTCTCAAGTACATGGATTCCCTCCTTCTACACCTCCTAGTCAGCATGCCGTGCTGCCGTCCATGACGCCCAATCAGAACTTCAACTTCGCAGATTTCGTCAATGTGACCCCCAGCCCGGCACAGCAGGCATGGGGTGGTCGTACACCTGGCCCTTCTCGCACCCCTCTCGCAGCTAAGGATGCCCGCAAGCGTCTCAATTTTGATTCTCTTGTCCCTCCCACCAGTGCTGCCAGTCCTCGCAAGGAAAGAGGGCTAGCTCTCCAGCTTGGTGGTGAGCTGAGACCCTAATTTCTCCTCCACAGTTCGTTTATGACTCCCGCCGGCCCCCTTTATGACACTTTACGATTCTGTTATGTACACTTTCTTGACGTTTCTCTCATATGTAATCCGCTATCAGTGACCGAAGACCTAGCTTAAGGTCCCTCGACCCTCAGTGGTTACGGCACTTCCTCATCTGCATTCATGGCGTTTCATTGCGTTTCTCAATTCTTTTGCATGTCTTCGGTCATCTATTATTTTCTCTTCCTATAAATGATTTTTCTTCATCCATTGCCTTGAACTCTTTTGTGTGGCTTCCACCCGCGGCATTTGCTTTCGCTCTGCATCCAACATGCCTTGTGATGATACACAGCACCATTTTTTACTGCATTTTAATAACCAGGCTCTTCAATCCTGCTTTGTGCACAACGTTTCGGGTAGTATAAATCTCGCTAAGCGATGCAATTCAAGCCAAATGTATTTGATGATCGAATTTTATATATTTGTCCAATGACCCTTTCCCCTAGCTCCAGGCACTGAATTCAGAATTCAAGTCTAACCAAGTAACTCCGCAACAGAAAGTCATTACAAGTCACAACGTGCCTCCCTACCCAACTAGACATACGATCAATCTTCCTGCCATCCAAGTTCTTCCTCCACCCCCTCAACCTTCGCCTTCTCCGCCTGCTTCCTCCAAAGCAACGCAAGATAATCACAGCTTGTTGCCTCATCAATGCTCTTATCCTCCCGCACCTTCAAAAACCTCGGAAACCGCAAACTCAGCCCCCGCTCCTCACTGACTAATCCAATAGCGGCCGTATACGTCGGACTGAGCGTAATATCCGCAAAGGCCGTTTCCCACACTTCCTGAGGCTCGAACCAGACGTCCGGCGAGCCGTAATAGTCCACATAAGCAGGCCGCGAGATTACATTGGGACTGCCTTCAGCGTATTTCTCTTTGTTGGCTTGGTAGAATTTGTCGGTGAAGCCTGACATGCATTTCGTCACGGCTTCGAGAGCTCCGGATTCAGGGTTGCGCACTGCGAGGAGGATCGGGGACCACCATTTTGCTTTGCGGCCTTGCCCGTGCCATCCAGCTATTGGGATTAGATCGGGTGTTTCGGAAGATGTGCTGTAGTCCTTTTTTACTTTGAGCCAAGATTCGAGGCGTTTGTCGGGCTCATAGGTCGATAGGAGGGCTTTGCGTCTAGTGGTTTTTTCTTTAGGCTGTTTCGTGCTGTTGCCTTCGGTTACTGCTGGAGCGGGAGCTTCTACATCTAGATCGTTGGTGATGGAAGCCGTTTCGTCTTTGTTCGCGGTGGGAATTATCGTGTTGTCCAAGACCTTAACCATGATACCTTCGCATTTGGCGTCTGTGGCTCCTTTGAAGAATTCCAACACGGTCTCGGAATCTGCAGATGTCGCATCTAGATGTTTGACCCAGGTGAATCTGTTGGGGATTTCGATGAATAGGCTGCGGAGAAGCACCCGGCGCTCGCGGAATGGTCGATCCATAAGCGGTTCACCGTTAAGGTACATCAAGTCGAATGAGAAAAGACATACATTGACGGTGATGGCTCCGATTTCGACGTTCTTCTTTGCGCGATTGGAAAGGGTCTGGAAGGGCTGCAGGTCACCGGTCTCGCTGTCTACTGCGACAACTTCTCCTTCTAGAATAAAACTGGAGACGCCTTCCCCTCGGATTTGGGGCACCAAAGACACAAGGTCTGGATATTTCTCCGTCATGAGCTCGAGATGGCGGGAAAATATGGAGACCTTCCCTTGCTCGTCGCAATGTACCTGAGCTCGTTGTCCATCATATTTGTATTCACAGCTGAAGTCTCGTCCTTGAAGCTTCGTCAACATATCCGAAAGATCTCTTGTGATACTGCCCAGCATTGGTCGGAGGGGAATATGAAGTGCAAGACCACATCGGATCAAAAGCTCATCAGTCACGCCGATCTCGAGAAGACTGGGCACGAGATCGTTATAGTTCGGGTGTCTGGCATATGATGCTTTGACAATCTCTTCAGCGTTGGAATATATTTCAGCAAGCTGATCTTTTTTTAGACTAGCTAATTCCTTCTGCGGTAGAATCGTGAATTCAGCACCTTCTGGCTTAGAGTAAAGGAATGCACGCGCAAGAGCAATAAGCATTGTTGTTTTGACAGCGCCAATCCGCAGATTTTGTACCAAAGTCCGCACAATGTACCGGCTCTCTTCGGCGCCTCGGGTATCTTGCAGTAACTTTTCAACGATTCGTTGTTTTGTCTCTTGACTACCAGAGCCCTTGCTTCTGGCAATCTTGAGAAGTGATTCGTAAACCCCCTTGATCTTGAGTGGCTTAGGCCTGACTAGAGTGAAACTCTGTCTCTTCTTGGCTTCGAATGCAACATCGCCAGCATCTCCGTGTTTGTCATAGAGGGTCTTGAGGCCCTGACTATCAAGACCGTAAATCTTCTTGAAAGCCTTGGAGATAGACGAACCTCCTAACCCGAGCTCTGACTCGTCATAGGGAGGGGAGATGGAATTGGTTGCTAACCACACAGCAGGAAGAAGGCTAGACGGATCTCCTTCGATCAAGACCCGTAAGAAGTTGACAAGGGTATCAACGATCTTTATTCGGCTGGTCGTGGCATTGGCGAGGACAAATGCCCTTGTCAGCAACGCGTAGGAAGCATCGCCGCCTTCGCTGGCCCAACGCGACCGCAGGTCGTGGGCGTATTTGGTCGCATCGAACGTTTGTGGATTTTGATCAAATGGAACAGCAAGGGCAACTGTATCCTCTGTGCCAGTAGATGACTGCAATGATAGTGTGTTCTTCTTTGGTACCATCGGAGCCTCTGGGGTCGCCTCGGCGGGTGTTGAAAGCGCTAATGGAGCTGTGCTGGTCTCAGATGCTGCTGATACAGCTGATGCCGCTTGATCGCCATTTGCAAGTGAGCTCTGGGCGTCTTCTTCTTGATCCCACTCGGCTTGAAGCTTGCGAGCTAAAGCTTCGTCCGATAGCGTCTGATCACTGACATCAGGCTCATGCTCTGGATTGGGCCTAGTAGCTTGACCCTTGAAAAACGATTCGATACTGCGAGTATTCTGCGAAGATTCGCCATTCCGCTTGCGCTTTTTGGCCGGACTGGACATAATTTGATACTCCAGAGCGCAGTGTTGAGAAGGGCATGTTGCCACTCAGTAGTGCTGCGGATGCCAGACGTCAGACCGAAAGGCGGAGATCAACAATCGCGACACCTAGACTTCCGCCTCCATTCTATTTCCCAAACATGGCGCCATCCACGTCCTTGTCATCACATGAGCGGACAAGGGTGGAGGACTATCTGAATGATAAGATACAGGTATTTGCCGACCTTGAAAGTCTCAGACTCGCTGCTGTCGAACCTCCGCGCGCAGCAGGAGCTTCAGCGCAAGCAGGTATCCTTCCCGCCGTCATGCCCCGGCGCCAGATCTCTACGGACACATTACTCACACCATGAATATTAGTTAGCAGAAGCACATGAAGCCCTCTCGAACGCGACCAAGGCATCCAATGACCACGTCGAAGCTACTCGGAAGCGTGCCGAGGCATTCACGGCGGAGCAGGCGGACATCGACCAGCGCTTGAAGAATATTACACATTCGGAGAATAGTGATCATGCGGTACAGAGACTGGAAAAGAGCATGGAGAGACTCCAGCGGTTGGAGCTTTCTAAAGGATACGTGGAGCTGCTGAAGGAGGCCGAGGGATTGAGGTACGCATCCACTGGTGTTGAAGGGAGAGGGCAGTGGACGCTAAAAAAAAGGGATACAGTAAAGAAGCTTTGACGAAAATATCCACCAAGCCTCGCGACGCCTTGAAACCGTATGCGCGGTTGCGCAACATCGTGGTCGCGCTGAAGGAAGCCCAGCCTGCTGCTGAAGGCGCCGCCCTCATCTTATCAATTACACGGAGAAATTGGCGTCCGCATTGAGACAGCAGCTGAAAAAATTCTTCGGGGACCAATTTCAGAAGACACTTGAATCGCTAAAATGGCCGACTCGAGAAATTAACATCACCGATAAACTGCTGGAACAATGGAGACAGGATGTCGAGCTTTTGATCGACTTGCAAACACCGTATGGAACCCACGTCACCTTGACAAGATTCATTGCTGATGAGTATCAATAGGGAATTACAAAGTCACGAAGCGTTGGCTGTTGGGCAGAGTGTCGAACCTCCAGTTCTATTCCCAATGGAAGTGATGGTGCATCCTCTGGACCTCCGTTTCAAGTATCACTTCAGTGGTGATAAGCCGACAAATCGACTGGATAAGGTAAATCAATATCTTGAATCTCATTAGCCCATCTAACATGCATGTCTAGCCTGAATACTTTTTGTCGCACATCATGGACCTCATCAACCAATTCGGAGGGTTCTTCACTTCTTACCTACAGCCAATTCTTGATGAGAAGGCGCAATCGGCAGATTCAGGGGTGGAGTGGAACTTCTATAACGCACTTCATGTTTTCATTACCGCATTATTGCCAATGCTGCGCCAAAAGATCGACTCATTCATGCCCCAAATCGCCCATCACCCGCAATTACTCAGTCATTTCATCCATGAGCTGATGAATTTCGACAACGAGATTCGAGAGACATGGAATTATCTTCCTGACCCCTATTCCGAAGACAACTGGAAAGGTATGACGTGGGAGGTTCTCACTAAGCAGGGATGGTACGATCGCTGGCTTCAAGTAGAGAAGGACTTTGCATTGGCCCGGTACAAGGATATCATCGACACGCAGGACAGTGGACAGATTGACTATGATGGTGTCGAGATTACCGCAACTAAACCGACCAAGGCTGCGGTTCGAGTCAATGATCTTCTGGAAACCATCACGGAACGCTACCAGCCTCTTGCCTCGTTCAGCCAGAAGCTGCGCTTCCTCATTGATATCCAAATCACAATCTTTGATCAATTCCACGAACGCCTCTATTCCGCGCTAGAGGCTTACCTCGCCATGACTTCTACCTTGGGCCGAACGGTACAAGGAGCAGACGGACAAGCCAGCGTAGAAGGCGTTGCTGGTCTTGAGCGACTTTGCAGAGTCTTTGGAAGCGCTGAGTATCTTGAAAAGAAGATGGGGGATTGGAGCAATGACGTCTTCTTCGTCGAACTCTGGTCTGAGCTTCAAGCCCGTGTCCTGCAAAACCGAGACGGGCGTAACGTGGCGGGCACGATGTCTATCGCCGAAGTGGCCTCGCGCACTTCGTCGGCTGTTGCCAACAATGGATCTTCCAACGCGTCCTCACCAGACGGTGCCCTCTTCGATGAGACAGCCTCAGCCTATCGTCGTCTTCGACTCCGGTCCGAATCCATCATCACCTCCACTCTGACTTCCAATATCACCGCGGCCATGAAACCATATTCCCGTCTAGCTACCTGGGCAACACTCTCCACTCCCTCGGCCAGCGCGACACCCTCTCCACTCTCAATGACATCTGAGATGGCACATGCCATGCGCACATTATCTTCTCAGCTCTCCTTCCTCTCCCGAGCTCTGGGAGTGGCTCCTTTGAGACGAGTCACACGACAGGTCCTTCTCTCAATCCAGACCTACGTCTGGGACAATGTGATAACAAGGAACACATTTTCGTCCACCGGTGCAGCTCAGCTGGCCAGCGACGTCGAACATTTATGCAGCGTGGCTGACACCGCTCTTGGCGCAGCCGGGCAAGTGGGTGGCTCGTTACGGACTATGAAGAAGCTCGGCGACGTACTGCGTATTCTCAACCTGAGTGCCGCGACTGAACAAACGGATAAAGAAGCTAGTCTGGGACTGTGGGATGTGGAAAAGAGACTATTCAAAGATAATGAGAGTGCTCGGGCTGTGCTCGCTGACCTTGAGATCGACGGGCTAAGTGAAGCTGAGGCGCGATCTGTGTTGGAGCGACGGGTTGAGATTGGTAATTAGCGTTTACGATCTTCAATCAAGGCTTGGAGGGTTTGGAAAGTCTGACATATCCCATTTCAGACCACATTTGATTGATCGTCCAGCATTTTCATATACTGGTAGATGATGGTATGACAGAGTAGCAAAGTCTAGTATTTCTATTTCGTCTATCCTAATATGTACAATCAATTCTAATAGATGAGTTCATGCACGGTGCACGACAGGACCATGTCCGTGCTCCCCAGGACGCCTCTGGGGGACCACCGGAGTGCTAGATTTCAGCGCATCAACAATAGCAGGACCAACCTCCTCAATGCAGCTCACGAGAGACTCAACCGTCTCCTTTGAGGTCGAGACATTAACCACGCAGCGGAAAAATTTGCCGTTCCCAACTGCATCCTTGTCACAGCTGGGAGGAGCGAAGTCGATCATGAAGCCCTTGGAAACAATAGCATGTGTGATCTGCGCGGTAACCTGGCTATTGTTCTTCGCGCGCTGAGCCTCGAGAGTATCATTTGAGACCACACCTCGAGGATAGACATACTCCTTGCCAGGGGCGTAGTAGAAGCATACCTGCAAACAAGGAGGAGGGTGCTCGCTAATCAAAATGAAGTTGGGATTATTCTCCACAAGTGTAGCCAGGTGCGCGGCAACTGCGCACGCATTGTCGATCTGCTGCTCATAGCCCTCGGTTCCGTAGTAGGTCCAACCCAGGAAGAGTTTGAGAGAATCGGCCCGTCGGCCGCACTGCAAAGTCAAATCCGCAAGATCCCACACCTCTGGCGACTCAATTCCCAGCTCCGATGCGTTACCGTCCTCAGCGGCCGCGGTGTCTTCGTTGTGAAAGAGGTAGCCTGCGGGGAGGGTGTTGGCGCGATGGAATTGGCGCATGTCTGCTGCCAAGAGGTATGAGCAAGTCACCGGAACGCCGATCATCTTGTGCGGGTTGATAGCAATACTGTTTGCCTTATCAGCACCGGCCAACTTGTGTTTCTGTTGACGCGAGAAGACGAATGAACCACCCCAGGATCCGTCGATGTGGAACCACATGTTATACTTCTGGCAAATGGCAGAAATATCCTCAAAGGGGTCGAAAGAGCCGAAGACAGTAGTACCTGCGGTAGCATTGACATAGAACGGGGTCCGACCCTCGCTCTGAGCCTTCTGTACCAGCCTCTCCAGCTCCGAGGGAATCATTCGACCCTGCTTATCGATAGGAACAGCCCAGGCGGCATTGCTACCGAAACCCAGCATCTGTGCCGCCTTTTCTACGCTGTAATGGCCATGTGCACTGGTGAACAACACGAACTTGTAATCACCATTTCCATTCGTCTTCGTCTTGGGGTAGAGATTGTTGCGCGCAATCACAATGGAAGTGGTGTTCGAAGCTGACCCACCCTGCACGGAAATACCTCCAGCTCGCGGCCCGGTCAAGCCAAACATATTCGCCAGCCGCTGGCCTGTATATTTCTCAATGACGGTCAGTGCAGGTGAGACCTGGTAGACGTGGACATTGGTGTTCAAGGTGGCTAGAATAAGCTCCGCTGCAACACCCGGCGCATTGGTCGATGCATACAGTTTATCCATGAATCCCTGGTGCCAAGTGTTGACCGAGTATTTCAGGACCTTTTGAAGGACCTCAATCAGGCCTTCTTGTTGTCTGCCTTGCTCCGGAATCTCGAGCTGGAGGATATCGCGCAACTCCTCGGGTTTCTTGTATTCCACTAGCGCTGAGCCTGCGTGCTTTGCATGTCCATTGACGCCGTTCGTTTGTGGAACATTTTCCTCCGCGGATCGAACGAATGGAATGAGAAGGTCCTGGACGGCTTTCAGAAGCTATGATTCAGTGGTTGATTAGCGTAGGGCATATTATTATATCATAGTGTAGAAAAATTAAGACTCACATTTTGCACCTCATCGGCGCGGCTCGATGGCGGAGTGCTTGACATCAGAATGAATGTAGTGCGATAATCTATGAAAAAATATGTGCAATGCAACGCGCCAAACTCAAGATCTCAATGAACCGATTGAGGATTGGGAGAAGGTTAATTGGCGTGCGCGCGGCGAAAGCGGAAGAAAAGTTCTCGACGCCGCAAACCCCGATGGCGAGACTCACCGAGGATCTGACATCATCAGCACTCCGTGTCGATACATGGGAGAGATGGACTAGATAGAAGAAATAAGACTGTGATGTGCAGTATAGATAGTTGATTTTTAGGTAGACTAGGCCAGAGGTATCGTCAATATTCAAATGTACGGGGACCTCACCTGTCATTGAGGACCGTGGATTTGCCCCGCAGCGGGTAATCTTATCTTAGCTCACACTGAATCTCTTCATTCATTGCCGACTATCGGGCTATTCGACCTTAAGACGCGATACGAGATCATCTACATCTAAGAACCATGATGGCCAATGGGAAAATGATCCGAAGTGCAAGCGGCTGCAGCCCACGGAGTAACTGCAGCCACATCACCTTCCAAGCTTCGATCTAGATCTGTGGGGGACATAGGCTATTAACAGGGGTCATCACATTGTTATACATGTTCCTCAGCTTTACGATTCCGTCGCAGCCTTCTTCTGCTCTTCCTCGGCCTTTTTCGCTGCAAATCGCTCCGCCGCCAGCTGAATCTTGGATTTGGGTCGTGGTGCTGTGCCGTCGTCGGTCGGTTGCTGGTCAAGTCCCTTAGCCCGGGCTGCCCACTCGCCTCGGCGGCGCTTGTAAAGATCCATAGACCAGTTTCTCCACACTGCGCGACCCAAGAAAGAATCACGCAGGAGCATCTCGCTTTGCGCGAGCTCCTGGGCCATGCGCTCCTTGACGAAGTAGATGTCCTTAGTGGCTCCCCAGAGAGCATCGACCACGTGGGAGCCGCTGCTGTGTTGAGCGAGATCGACCAGATGGCCTTGGAATCGGGAGACAAACTGTCGGCGGAATTGCGGGGTGGAAGCCGGAGAGGTCAGAGCTTGCTGAAGGACACGGGATGAAGTAGGCTCTTTGGCAAGTTGCATTAATGTGTCGGTGTCTTGCGCGAGGAGACTGGAGAATACAAGCTCGCTCAATGGTCCACTGACAGTCAGCATAGCCTGCGCCAGCAAAGATCCATGTAGCTTCTCTGCGTTTGCAGCGGAAGAGCCTCCAGCAGATCTGCGTTCCTGGTGAGCCTCCTCGCCTGCATCCTCCATTTCATGATCAACCTCCTTTGCGGACTCTTCGGTGGGTTCACCTAGTCGGAGCATTTGACGCAGCCGTATTTTGGGGTCTTTGTCGTAAGCAGACGCAAGTGCCTCGGCAAACGGCTTTGTGTCGATGTTCCGCACCACACAGCGTTCAATCAATGTGCGAGGGACGATGAGCCTTGCCCTTTCGATCAGACCGGGGACCTCGGGGATGATCAGTTCCATAGCACTTTGCAGATCATCCTTTCCAAGTCTCTCCAAGGTGCGAAGAACCACGTAACCAGCCGTGTTGTTTCGAGAGAGAGATCCAATGCGATCGCGAATGGTATTCTTATACAAGTTCTTGAATACCTTTCCCGGCATATACTTCACCATGGTCTCCACCAGGCGGGAGCCGACTGGATCATAGAGCAAACCACGAATGAAAGTGGCGCTTTCAGTACCCTCTTCGAAAGACTCGTCGGGAACGAGTCTTCGCAAAATTGATTTCGGGTCCTTGGCGCTAGCCTTGCCAAAGTGCGAGAGCTCCAGGAAAAGCATCACCTGAAGGACGGGGTTTCCAACAGGCTGGGTAGCAAGGGCGCGCAGATATGTGTCATCTATTCCCGAAACCATGTCGTTCATGATCTTCTTGAGTGCGGGCTGGAAGGATTCGGGGACGCTGCGCTTCCCAGTGGGTGCCTTCTCCTTCTCATCCTGGGCGCCGGCGGCTGTCAGACCCAATCTCTCCTTCTTGCGGCTTGCCACGATCGAGTCGGTCGACGTCACGTCAACCGGCTCTCCGGCAAGAACTAAGAGCAGAACTCGGATCGTGTGTGATGCGAACCGCTCGGTCAAGAGATAACCCCAATTTCCCTCCAATTCGTTGATCACGGTCATGAACATGTCTGCGAGCGACATATTTGACTCAGTTTCCTCGCCATCTTCGTTCGACTTTTTGGCGTGGGCCTTGGGTGTCTTTTGCATAACTGCTGGTGCAGCGTGAATAAACAGTGTCTCACAGCAATGGCTCGCGAAACGATGCTGCACAAGGTGGAGGAAATGTCCAATGAACTTGCCGAAGAGGCGACGAATCTGATGGACATCTGACATTGAGATCAATTTTTCCATAAGTCTGGAGCAGCCTTGACTACAGGCAATCTTTAGCTCCTTGCCATTGGCCTCCTGGTACACACTCTCAACAAACAAGCCTCGTTCTTCCGCGTCTCCAAATTGGTTCGACTCGAGCATCTCACTGGCGCGTGAGAAGTACTCTGCCTCGTCAGCGTCGAGCAGACCGTAGAATGGCATATCCCCAGATCCAGCATTTTCGCCACCCTCCAATTGAATATGTTGCTCTTCCGCATCGAGAGGGATATAGTCTGTGTTTGCTTCGAGAGGATTGTCGTCGGTTTCGTCGGTCGACTTCATGCGTTTGGCGATCGGGTCTTCTGGCGCCTCGTCGCGCTTGCGCTTGGATTCATCCTTCTGGGCCTTGGCCTCCGCGCGGCGGCCTCTCTTTTCCTTTTCACGAGGCATAATGATGGTATTTGCTGAAAGTAGCTTGGAGTCGCAGGAAATTTTTTGGATAAGCAGTGGTCCAAGCGTCAGTTTGTCTTGTTTGCATCCCTTATCGCCCTGCGCCGTACGGAGCATCCACACCCTTACAGGTCCTATATCTTGCTCTCCAACCGATTCCCAGATTCAAAGAGTTGATGATGCGCATGATTCATCTCAATTTGTGAAATAATACAATTACAGATAATATAAATTGCTTTTGCCTCCTATACAGCGGAGTAAATGGCGGAGACGTGTCTTCCACATTCAACCCGCTGTTCCATACTCACATTACGCTTGCCAACCGGTCCCTTGTGTCGAGGCATGATCTGCAGTCGGGCCTCAGTTTCATGCTGCTTCTTGTTCTGCGGGGGGGCCTTAATATGATTTGGTTTGGCAAGGTTGGTTCGCTTGCCAGTGCCCAGTTGAAAGTGCTCGTTGCCTCCCCACCAAAACACCTCGTAGCCAAAGTCCTCCGATTTGTTTACAGAGTCGGTCGTTGCAGAGCTGAGACATGTTCTGTTGTCCAAAATGGCAGCGACGTGGGTGGTACCCACGGACATTGCGCGAGGGCGGATTGGTGTTGTCTGCTTCGTCTTTTCGTCATACTCGTCCAGCCCGCTCAAGTCTTTCACCTTCATAGGTGAGTCTTGAAGGTGAATCCACTTGCCAGTTCCAAGAGTGCCCCAAATGCCTCTACCGCACGACCATGTGTCGACAGTCACATTCCCCAAGCCGCGGACGTTGGCGGCGTCTTCCTCAGGGCCGAGGATCCGTTTAGCATCCACGGTGAAAAAGGTACTGGCGCCACCAGCAGCAATTCCCGTGACATTCGCCGAGTACTTGTACATTGGATAGAGTTTGTTCACGGCAAAAGCTATGGGAGCGTCTCTGAAGGGAAATTCTGGCTCAAATTCCACTCCTAGTTGACCGAAGGAGTTATCTCCCCAGCCAAAAAGACGCCCATCCTTGGTCAGCGCAAGAGAGTGATAGTCACCGGCTGCAATTCCAGTCACCTGAAAGCCCTTGAGAGCGGTAAGCTCATGGCAAAAGTCTGCTGGGCCGCTGGGCCGAGTAGACCAAGTCAGACCAGAGACACCAAGCTGGCCGAGGATGGGTAATTCTCAGTAGACGACGCTGCTGTAAAGACACGCCCGGAGCTGGTGAGCAGAATGACGTGTTGCTGACCACCTCGGATAGCTGTGACTCTTTCACCGAGCTTTAACGCGGGGTTCAAAATGCGGTAGCTCAGGGAGGACTTCCCGGGCCAGTAAGGCACCCAGGAGCCCTCTCGCGCCTTGGGACCAGTTACCTGGTCATGCTGGGAGATAGGCAACGAGTAAACATTTCCGTCCGAAGCCAGCGCAATTATCCGGCTCTCAGAGAAAGCCAAGGATGTTAGGTTCTTGCCGGTCAAAGTCTTCTGTGGCTTGAAGTCGGTCTCCGAGTACCCCTTACCCCATTGTATCAGATCACCATTCTCCATAATTGCAGCGCCAGACTTCTCGTCAACCTTGAAGTCGCGCAGCACCTGGCCATCGAAAAATTTGAAGCGCCGAGGTGTCTTGATATCTTTGTCTTTTGATTCTGGATCCACCACTTTGTATTCATTTGAGCCCCATGTATAAACACCAGGGCTCTGTAGGCTTCTTTTCTGTTGGATGAACTGAGCGCGCAAGTCGTTGACATCAATGACTTCTTTCTTGAATCTGGGATCGCTGTCGATCCAAGCTCCCTCCCATTCACCGTTGGCGTACGAATAGCCCAGGTATGCCGCGGTACCCGCAACAGCGACTCCAAGTGAGCTAACCACCCAGTTGGATGAAGAGCTCGGCTTCTGCGAATTACCGCTTGCTAATCGCCGCCATGGCGCATTCATAGGCTGAACTGTCCCGAGGTTCGGTTTGCGAAGTAGACGTGTTACTTGGGCCGGAGGCCGTCGCACTCGAGTTGCCAGCATCATGATAAATGGGGTTCAATATTTTCCTTAAGCTTCCATGATTCAGCAGCTCGGGGAAGCTCACCTTGCTCGTTGCGTCAGACAGGGGCGGAATCTACTGGCAGAATGTGGCGCTGTTGAACACCTCTCACTTGTCTGGTACACTGTCAACCCTTACAAGTTGCTGGTCCCTGGAAGGGATATGAGCTGGAATATCATAATTTCTACGTTCGGGCCCTGACTGCATCATGCCTACCACGAAGCAGCAGCGCACCCGCCGCCAGACCGCACCATCTGGTCCCCCGCGCAAACCAACAGCCAGCGAGACTCAATCGAGTCTCGCGCCGACGCAGGAACAACCTGGGATCCTGAAATGGGACATACCGACCTGGAATAACGAACTAGAATTCTCACAATGGCTCAATGGGGTCAAAGATGACCTTATTGAAGAGAGCTATGACCACTACCAGTAAATATGGTCTGACCTGGCTGGATTTATTTGAGTCTAATCGGTAATGATTATCTGAACTAGGAACTGTCTTGACGAGCTCCAACAGTCAAAGGAACACATCGACGAAATCTTGATGAGCAATCTGACCCTACTTGACGACCTGACCAGTCTTTCCGAGTCCTTCAGATCCGTCGAAAACCAGACTTCGAACTTCGAGAAACAATGCGAGGGCCTTCTCTCTGCGCAGGAGCGCGATACAAAGCTTGCGAATGGCATTCAAAACAACCTTCACTATTATGACTTCCTGGATCCTGCCTCGAGGAAGCTCAATGCCCCCGGGCGCGGGGAACACTGTACGCGATAAGGAGTTCTCCGACATGCTTAGGCGCCTCGATGTGTGCCTGGATTACATGGAAACACATGTAGGTGCCTTTTGATTTCATCCAAATCATATTCTCATAGACTCACAACCACTCTAGCCCGAACAAAAGGAGGCCGAGGTCTATCGCTCCAGGTACAGGCTTCTCTTGACCCGCGCCCTCACCCTCATCCGAGGAAACTTTGTGACCTCCCTCAGAGACATCTACCAAAACGTCTCAAAGAAAATTTCAGACCAACAATTGAATGACACAGCCTTATCAGCCCTTCTGTACGCCAAATTTAGGGTCGGGGCTCCCGAGTTGAAGCAGATCGGCATCGAGATCCAGAAGCGAGCGGTTCCACCTTTGAACCCGGACCAGAATAATGAGGCAGAGTACCAAAGTTTGATGAATGAGCTGCACAGCAATTACTCGGCAACCCGTGCGCGACTAATTGTTCCACTCGCCCGGAAAAAGCTCAGCGAGATTACACAGACCCCAAGTTCATCCAAGGACTTGGTATCATTCGCTCGAGCGAGCATCAGCTACATTCGTGGTTTGTGCCTGGACGAATACGATCTGTGGGGTGAATGGTTCCATGGACAAGCGGGACTGTACGACTTCCTCGAAACTATCTGCGAACCTCTGTATGACCATCTTCGTCCTCGCATCATCCACGAGACCGACATTCGCAACCTCTGCCAACTCTGCACTTTGCTTCAAACCCGCTACTTCCTGGATCCAGAAGATGAGCCAGAGCAGACCAACACGAATCAGCTAGACTTTGCTACCTTGATCCAACCTGCTCTGCAGGATGTCCAAACTCGGCTAGTGTTCCGTGCACAAGCATTCCTGCGCGATGAAATTGAGAAATACAAGCCTCTTCCCGCCGATATCGATTATCCTATGCACAGCAAGCAGGTTTCTCTGACTGTGACTGACACTCAAATTTCAAGCAAAAAGGATACCTCGGCGGATCTCATGATTGATATGACCAAACCTGGCAAAGAGGGAGATGACGCTGGCGGCACTCCACAAGATCAGGATGGAAAATGGGACTTTGAGACCCAGACCTTACTGAAGGGATGGTATCCGACATTGCGAAAGGCTGTCTGGCTTCTCAGTCGGATCTATCGCCTTGTCAACGTAAGCATCCTCGCATTCCAGCCGAACAACCTGTGCTAACTTGCTCAATTCAGTCCACTGTCTTCGACGATCTGGCACATCAAATTGTCCACCAAACCACACTATCCCTCACTAATGCCTGCACCCTCATCTCCGGCAAATCCACGCCAGCCGACGGCCAACTCTTCCTCATGAGCCACCTTCTCATCCTAAAGCAACAGATCGTCGCATTTGATATCGAGTACGTCGCATCAGACGTCTCCCTCGACTTCTCAGGCGTAACAAATACATTCTGGGAACTGCGCGAACGCGGCGGCCTGTTTAACCCACGCAATTTGATGCGTTTAGTTGGCCACGGTCTCATGCCACGCGTCGTGGAAAATATGCTCGACGCGAAGGTTGAATTGGACGGCAGGCTCCGGACCGTTATCAACGATTTCATCAATGCCTTCGCTGCGCGCATGACGGCTTCATTGCCGACAAAATTCGTCGATAGCCGGAACCTTCAGCGTGGCGAGCTTATCCACCCTACCTGCCACACCATTGAGAAGGAAGTTCCCAGTCTACGCAAGATTTTGAACGAGTACATCGATGAAACGCGCATGAAGGAAACACTTGTGGGTGCAGTTCAGGATCGCACGATTCAGATCTACGAAGATTTTTATGAGAAGTACATTTCATCCGAGAAGACCAAAGGACACGCTATCAGCAAGAAGGGCAAAGGACGCGACGATGCCATCTGGGATACTGATACTTTTGCCGAGTGGTGTGAGGGTGTTTTCCGAGTCGGTGTGGCGGGTCTTCAGTCTGGACAAGTCGACCTCGCTGAGGACGACGATGATTCACTCAGCACGAGCTCTTTATCTTGACCTTTTCCACCTTGTTCGAATCGGAGCATCTTCTGCATAGAAATCGTAGGGAACAGCGTCGATATGTATTGTACTACGGGTACAGGATACCACTATCAAACGAGAATCATTTCAATAAGTGTTCTCTGTTGGTTGTCTTACGAATTATCGTTCATAGACTGCCATTAGTGAATGTTCTTCTTTTTGTTCTTGGGGTTGCGTAGTAAAATGAAATTAAAGTAGGGGCTATGCACCGCGAGCCATCGATTGTCGGACCCAAGCTGGGTCGTATGTACAGATAAGTAAAATCAATAGACACCGAATGCCGAAGTCGAATCCAATGCCAGCAACCATTCCTCGCTTAAACGAAACGAAATGTTAAACATTTTGGAAAAAAGGGTATGTATAATACGATGCAATAAACAAGCACAATGAGTTTCAATGAGCAGGAGATTGTCGTTCATGGTTCCCGAAACTAGGAAGATGTCAAAGAACGTGTCGGATCTTGGAGTATAGCTCGGTGTTCAGGAAATTGTAGCTGGGGTCTTGTTCACAGAAAGGATGACCGAGTAGCGTGCTGGCGGTGGGACGTTCGGATGAATCACTAATACGGGATGAGTTCCTGAATCTGTAAAGGTGGGGGAGAGGGGGGGGAGGATAGAACTTACATCGTAAAGCAGTCGTACATGAACGCAAGAGCTGCGGGACTGATGTTCATGGAGACATCATCGGGAATAGGCGGAGCCTGACTAAGACTGCCTAGTTTGAAGATGGCGCCGATGGCTTCCTCCCTACTCCATGGTCGACGACCGGCGAACATTTCCAAAACCACGCATCCAAGGGACCAAATGTCAACCTTGGCGCTATAGCCTTGGCCTTGGGACTGGATGACCTCCGGGGCCATCCAGAAGACAGAGCCCTGCATGGAATTGGAAGAGTCATTGCCGTAGATATCGTCGGTCTTCTTTGAAATTCCAAAGTCGGAGATCTTGCAGGTGCCGTCAAGATCTAGAAGAATATTGTCGGCTTTTAAATCTCGGTGGAGAATGCCCTTGTCGTGCAGATAAGCCAACCCCTTCAGAGTTTGCTGTGTCAGTGATTTGACGACACTCTCCTCGAACTTGCCGTGTTTGCGGAGACAACTGCCAACTGAGCCACCAGAGATATACTCAAGGTAGATAGAAATTGATAAATCTCCTCGTTCACAACCCAGGTACTGGACGATGTTTGGATGTTCCAGGTGCTGCATTGTGTCAATTTCCTGGTCTAGCGCGCCGACCATTTCCTTGATACGGTCCCTATCTGCTCCAGCGATTCTCGCATTGATCTCAACCTGCTTCACAGCCAAAACTTCACCATTATCCGCGTTGATTCCTAGGTACACTCGTCCGTATGTTCCTTTACCGATGAGCTGACCACGGATGATGCGGAAGGTAGCCTGTCTTTGAGGGACAGATCCATTCGGTGTTACTTTGCGCTGAGGAATGGGGTCGAGTTGGTTGATCCTGCTACCCGGCTTAGGGCTGATTTGCATAATCTTGGCACCGAACATCTTTGTACTCTTGCGGCGCAAAATCCCGGACTGCTGGGGGCCAGTAGAGCCAATGCTTTTGGTCCTCACAGCTGCACCCTTGGCTACCTCTCGAATGGATTTCGCCCGCGAAAGACCGCCACCACCGCGGTCCAACTGGCGGCGTGCAACAAACCCAGGTTGTGGGCGCGTGCTTGACAGATCGCCTCCGTGAGTTTGGTTCACATCGCCCTTTTGTGGCGATACAGTCGATGGAAGTGCTGGCTTGTCCTTCATGCTGGGGTCATTCTCCATAGCATCCCTGTTGTTCGGGGATGGAGGCTCATCCACATATGGAGCATCAAGATCAACATTTGGGAAGAAGTCATCTAGATTGTTAATGACACCTTCGACTGGAGGTCTGCTAGCCCATACATCTCTAGCAAAGGAATCACGTCGCAGAGGTCTCTCGTCTTCGGGGGAAGCGGAAGCATCAAAAGGCACTGAATCCCTGCTGTCAGAGGCATCACCCGCCGAGCTCTGGGTCGACGGTCCGACAAAGCCCTCTCCGGAAGTAGTATTCGGGGAAATGAAGCTGACACGACGCGGATTGGCATGATCCGTGTTCACTGTAAGATTTGGCTTTTCGCTTTTCTTCTCAGGCTTGGGGATAGGTGGAGCTTCCTGCGCTTTCTTGCTGGCGAGTGGAAGCGCAAAGAGTCCGTCGTCAGACTCATCGTCAGAGTCACCACTAGGTTGGGGAGTGCGTTGGAAGGAGACTTCATTCTCTTCGAAATCGAACTCTGGGCCAAATGACTTGCGAGTTACCAGAGCAGGCTTCTCAGGTGACTCTTTTCTCGAAGGATTGGTTTTCAAGGAGTCTGGAATATCCACGTAGTTAGAAGAGGGTCCCATAGAATGAAGTTCACACCTATAGTCAATCGATATGCTTGGATACTGACCAAACGTTGTCCTACTCGAAGATGTTGTCGGCCGATCGGAATCTGATGCGAAGCTGTCTCGGGTGGCAGAAGAAGGTTGTGATGGGACCTGCACGGAGGGGGCAGGAGTGCCAATAGCGCTTGTCATCCGACCCATACTGGTAATCATAGCCCCTAGCCCGTGAGTATTGATGGCCCCTGGAGCCTGAGCACGAGCACTCCGCTCACTAGGAGCCTTCCTAAGTGAATTGACTTTGGTAAGTGTATTCGACTCGTTTGGCGCCGCGGGTGGTTTGCGAAATGGCACCAAGGTCTCTGCCTTCTCCTTTTCTCTCTCCTCCTTCTCTCTCTCCCTCTCTCGTTCTTTTTCTTTTTCGTAAGGCGAAACGCGAGGAGAGTCGAAATCAATGATCCCGTCTCGTCTATAGCCATTTTCACCGTAAGTGTCTCTCCGGGCTTGCTGTGTGATTGGAGGTTGTCGAGTGATGTTATGCTCCTTTTGCTTCCGCTCGACCTCGCGGAGATGAGCCTCGTGCCGTGCAAGCAAATCAGCCTTTTCAGGATCTAGTACTTGACTGGATCCTTGAGAGGCCGCCGCAATTGCCTTCGGGGCTGATGCCTTCAGGGTTGGCTGTCGAGAACCCAACAAAGGCGAGCCTGGTTTTGTGTAGGTTTGCGGGGGAGATTCTGTCGAGAGCATCTTGATCTAAGGGCTTGCGAGGAATTGGAGCATGGGTCGCGGCGGTAGGAGACAGAGCCGGCTTGTCTCCTGGAATGGAAACACCGAGGCCATTGAAAACGGGGATAGTAGGAAGTTGTGGATGGGAAGAACCTCCACCTTTGATGTATAACTTGAGCGACCCATACGCATCTGTCCGATTTCGGCGGGAAAAGTCAAGATTCGAGTCGCTCAGAGGGTCTTGGTGGTCTGTCTGCCCGGGCTCTGTCAGGAAGAATTGGGCATTAGCCCAATCAGACAAGCCTAAGTTCTGACAGATCCCTGAGCGTAAATTTTCGACAGATTCCATTTCAGAAACATCAATCAGACGGTAATTGGTTCCATCCATGGTTGCGAAAATCCACTTCTTCGCCTTCGTTGTTGCCGAGGATGGGCGGTCGCCCAGTGACATGTCGCTGGAATTAAATCCGGGCTTTGAATATGGAAGATATTGGCCATTCGCGCGAGGCTCCGGACTTGGTGGCGAATCTGGATGGTGATCTTCTGGAGATGGGTGACTCGAATCATTCCTGGCCTGCTTTCGTCTGCTAAAGATATTTGAAAGAATCCCTTTGCTATGATCTTTCGAATACGAAGAGTTCTCTCCACTCCAAGGCCGAACAGGCGGATCTGAAGGTGATGGGCGAACATTATCTTGGCCTTGTCGACGATCATAATATCGGCCAACGGCCGAAGAAGATCCACGTCCAGAGATCGAATCCGTGCTGTTTCCACGAGAATGGTCATATTTCAACGTCAGATCACCCGTTGAAGAGGATGAGAGCCCCGCATGTGAAGGCGATACATATTGCGTCGCTGGACTACCGCTCTTTGGGCTATCCTGGATTCGAGGCCCCGCACTTGAAAAAGTACCAGCATCGCTGGAAAGCGAGGGACTTTGCCTGCGATGATCATTGGTTGCTGCCAGGGCATTTCTTGAGTACTCTGACCGCAGCCAGGAGGGAAACTCCCGAGAAGGGGAATTGTACATAGGGGAATCATGGCCGCTAGGAACTGGCATAGTGACAGAGCGTTTTTCGGTAGGTTGCTTGTGGGCTTGCAATTCCGCCAGCTGATTCGCGCTGATGTCGTTCACGCCGCCAGAAGGACCAGCTGAGCGGGGCTCCGGGAAATGCGTAGAATAATACGCGGATCCATTGTCAGCAGCGGCGGAAAGTAAAGATGGCGGCTCGGCGCGCATCGGTGTAGAAATGATTGTATCGGTGCCACCATCGTGAATCTGACGGATCAGTTTGCGCATACGTAGTCCTTCTTCGCGCTCACGGGCTGAATCCCACCCAGTGCCACTCCGCGAGCATTCCTTGGCTAGCTGGGGATAGACGACCTTGTGCATCTTACCCAAATTTCCTCGTCCCCGGATGCTAAACCAAGTTCGAGAAAATCACCGCCTTGGATCTCCAAAGACTTGAAAGTCTCTTGCCACTCCCGAGAGAATCCATTTCGCGCCAGCCAGAGAAGGACACGATCGAGCGGCCACTGCACACTAGCTTCACTAAGAGTCAATCCTCCCAGCGATGTACCGCTGTTGTTATGGCGGTGGCTGGAAGACTTCGCGATGTCCATGCCCTGGCTTGTACTTTGCTGCGGGGCATCATTTGTCACAAGCTCGTGCACATTGTTGTGGAGAGCAAAAGGTGGAGCTGTACGCCCTCCTGGAGTTTGCGGGTTGTAGGTTCCTTCGTTGCCGGGACCTTCGTATGCCTGATTAGCTGCTGATCGATAGGCATCGTAAGGCAACCGTCCATGCGCCTCAAGTAACGGCGGAATACCAACACCGATAGTATCATTGCCGGGTATATAGGTCGCGGATGTGAGAGGTTCAAGAGGCATAGACAAAGGAGCTGTTGGACGATATGGCTGATGCTGGTTCTGACTCTGGTTCGGCATAGGAGGAGGTGGAGGCAAATAGCCTGGAGCCATGGCCTGTCGGCCCCAGGGTTGCTGCCATTGTGACGGACCTCCTCCGTACGTTGATGGAGGTGGGCCCGGCGGCGGCGGCGGTACGATCGTCTGAATTTGCGCTGGTGGGCGTGGAGGCGGCGGAGGGAGATTAATGGGATGGGCTTGAGCAGGCGGAGGCCCCGGAATGTACTGTTGCCGCTGTCCATCCATTGTGAGCGAGGGAGGTGCTCACGGAAGTCGCGATCACGGGGCCAGTGTTGGATGGATGAGGCCGTGCTTAGGTGTGTCCCAGATCGTTCGCATTACACTCGTCTGGCCCCAGTTCGAGAATGTTCGATCCGGTGAAATGACAAGAGAACGGCGGTCTAGTCTCGAATTTGCAATAAAGGTCAAGGTAGGGATTCAAACGATGGACATGATCAGTCTCGGCGCCACCAATTCCTTATCGCAGGCGTTGGGAGTCGCTAGGCGAGGAAAGGGGCAGCGCTATGCACCCGGCCAAGCAACCGCCAGCGGAGAAAAGGCTGGGCTCGGGGCTATACTTGAGATTATCGTCAGCGAGCGAAATGCGAGGGCGATCCCCCTCCGCGAAAAATGGGGAGTCCAAGCGACGGGAGGGGAAGATTCCATGCGCTCCTTGCTTCGGAGAATGATCCCAACCCCGAAACACAGACACACTCACAGCCAGATGATATCTACCTGGGATATTCAGAGAGACTTTCAAGAGTGAAGAGGAAACAAAGCAAGGTCAACTTGGGCGGTTCATCACGTGGATCCGGTGGAGTCGGGGAAGTTTCTGGTGGAAGTTTGGTAGCTACTGTAGTCCAGCAGGTACCGAAATGTCTAGGTACCCAAGGTAGCCACCAATATACGAAGTACGGTAACTAGGGGAAAGGCAAGTGTCATATTGGGACCCCTGCCCCATTCTACGACTCGGCAATGTTAGTGGACCTGTAATCCAGGTGTCTCAGAGTGACTTGTGGCGCCAGCTGAAGCTGCTTTACATTTTACCTATCTGAGTTAGACTGGAACGCGCAAAGCTCCTCGTGGAAGTGGACATGTAGGCCATATCGAGGATAAAAACAGTGATTAAGGTTCTCTTCTTCATAGATTAATCTAGAGCTGCGCACTCATGGTAACAGCGTAACCTATGAGAGGAGATTATCAGTTTATCAAATGAAAGGCTTATTCGTTGCGCTTGGCCGCAGCCTTGGCAGTCAACTTCAAAGCGGAGGGAGCGTCGTCTCGGGGCATGTACAACTCAACAAGCTACACACAGTGTTAGTCGGATTTAATTTCCCAGTCAGATAGATATTGCCAACTTACGCGAAGCTTGTCCGAATTGCAGAAGTCTGGCTTAGCAAATAGCTGGGTCAGTTCATCCCGGGTCTTCACCCGATAACCCTGGTATCCATCTTGGCCACCGAATACTTTGGGGATGCTGTAGAAGTCCCAGGGCTGGATGTCGTTGTAGCTTGCATCCCATCCGTGGATGTAGCGTTCAATGGTGTAGCCTTCATTGCAGATCACAAAACTGAAACATTCATAAGCACGCCTATCTCTACCGTGGGAGACGGCGTGGGGAGACTTACACAATAGGGTTTAGCTTGTTCCGCAGCATTGTGCTAATTTCTTGGACGGTCAATTGGGTGCTACCGTCTCCAATGAAGAGGATGGTGCGGCGGTTGTTTTGCTCCTTCGCGGCCAATGCGGCGCCCTGGCAAGAGCCGAGTGAATAGCCAATGCTGCCCCAGAGGACCTGGCTGATCGCAGTCACGTGTGCAGGGAATCGAGTATCCCAGATACCAAAGTTGGCAGTGCCAGTCTCGGTAATGATAATATCCTTCTCCTTGAGCCACTGGCCAACGGTCGGCCACAGCCAGTCATGGGTGACGACCTGGCTGGTTGAGTTCTCCTCGTTCTTGGGGAGACGATTTGTGAGGGGAGGGGGAGCAACAGCATTGACCTTGCCCATCCTCTGGATAACCTTTCGCAAAACACCCTTCATGTTGATCTCGGGATACTCCGAGTACCGCACGCGCACATAAGTGCTGTGGAAATCAATGGTATTCAATTGTCCAATACGGTAGGTGAATCCCGTCGTGTTGAAGTCCGACTTGATTGCCCCGATGCTGAGAATGAGATCAGAAGCCTCTACAGCCTCGCTCACATTGGGTTGTGAGCCGCTGCCGGCATACACACCGCCGAAATTCTTGTATGTCTCGTTCACCGCACCTTTGCCCATCGGCGTGACGAATGTGGGCAGGTTGGAAGCCTCGACCAAGTCGCGAACTTCTTCCAGAACCCGGTGTCGAATGGCACAGGCGTCAACCAGAATGATAGGGTTCTTGGCTGCATTGAGATACTTCAAAACCACGTCAACGACGTAGTCCTCCTTCTCCGGGTCATTCTTAGGCAAAGATAGATCGATCGGCTGCTTCAGACGATCACCGTTAACTTTGGCGGCAACCAGGTCAGCAGGCAGAGTGACGTAGACCGGACGACTGCGAATCCAGCATTCACGAATGGCACTGTCAATTTGCGTTGCAGCGTCATGGGGATCATTGAGCCGAGCAGTGTAGCAAGAGATGGCCGAGCTCATCTTATTGAACACGTTGAAGTCTCCATTCCCAAGAGTGTGGTGGAGCAGCATTCCATCTTTCTGTGACTGGGTGGTAGGTTGGCCGACAATGTGTACGATCGGGACGAATTCAGAGTAAGCGCCTGCAATGGCATTGAGGGCGGACAGCTCTCCAACTCCGAAAGTCGTGACCAAAGCGCCAATGCCGTTCACACGAGCGTAGCCATCGGCCGCATAGCCTGTTTGGGTGGTATTAGAGCTCAGGTCTCATGGACTTTCCCAATTCAGCGCGAAAACTTGCCTGCGTTAAGCTCATTGCAATTGCCTACCCAGTTCAGACCGCACTTTGGGAGGTAATCCAGGGCAGAGAGATTGTAGTCGCCGGGTACGCCGTGGACGGCACGGACGCCGACCTCGTGTAGACGTCTGAAGAGGTATTCGGCTACGTCCATGGGATTCTTCAGCTCCCGGGTAACGATATCGGTAGATGCCATAGCTGTTAAAGATGGAGGAAAAACCAGAAGGTGGTGGGGGGAGAGTTAGGAGGTTGGGGGGAGGGGGGAAATGGATAGATTAAGAGGGCAGGCGGGGTGGTAAGAGCAAGCTAAAAGCACCTCTGCACAAAGGTCATACGGGGCAGTCGGAAGACGGCAGGCCGACGAAAAAAGGGCCTCGGAGCAGTACTTTTCCTCGCCGAATGATCCGGAACTAGGAAGCTTAAGGTAGCTCAATCGCGATCGTGAGGCCTAAGACCCAGTAACCTACGTCATGATTGGGCCCATTGATGTCATGCCATTCATTGTGTGACAGCGACCGTACTACCACGGGAAACAGGCAATAATGGAGAACTAGCTTGTGTAAGACGGTGCTGTCTTGATAACAAGTTCGGAAAATACAAAGACCCTGGGAAAGTACAGAGACAAACAAAGTACATGTTGTGATAAACTTCAAGCAACGTGAAGCTCTCGCGATCCACCTTTGCGGCCCGCTAAACCCAACGGGGAGGCTGATCACACAAAACTCAGCTTCACCCCCCACCTGTCTCTTATCGGCCATCGGGGCTTTATCAACCACCTGAGACGTATTTTTCTCATGGGAGGGAAGCGCAGTATGGCGGGTCAATCAGGCGCCGTGAAGCGCAGAAAGGTACGACTTTCTCCGGGAACCGGGGAACCCCACCAGGGTCGCCCATCAACCATTATCCGCACTAAGAGAATTTGCAGGATGGCAAGGGCATGTATAAACAGCCCAGCAGCCGAGTGAGTATGGAGAGCGGAGACTCCGGTGTATTCGTGACCTGTGATATGGGCAGGGAGAGCAAATGTATTAGAGAAGCTGTTGATGTCTTTTCTCACGTCGGTCTACCTCAATTTGGAATGGTCCCAGCCTAATCGTCGAAATTGCTGACACGTCATCCTAGGCTGTTGAGTCTTCCGGTGAGTTGAAGACCGAAGAGGAGGACGAGGACGAGGATGATGGCGACATCGAGGCCCAGATCCAACGAGAGCTGGCAGGCTTGCAGACCAGCAAGGATAAGAAACGCCCTTTTCAAGGAATGCAATTGGAGATGCCCTGTGGTGCGTTCACGAACTTGGCGCTTTGGCCGATGCTCTAGATGCAAGTCTAGTCGAGGGCCGTGCTAATTAATCCCCGACAGTTGTTTTCCTGCGCCTTGATAAGTCGATCGACCCGGTCTCGCTGGTCCACCGTCTTTGTTCCGAAGCACAGGCCCATCCGGACACCAAGAACAGCAGATGGATTAAACGCATGACCCCAGTCTCTACTCTCCGAAAGACGCTTAGCGTCGACCTGGCAGCCTTCGCAAAGGAGATTCTCAAGCCTCATTTCCATTCTGGGGGCCGCCGAAGAAGGTATGTCCTTTTGCGGATCGTGACTCCTCACTGTTCACACCACGTGCTACATCTCGCTTGAGCGATGACGAGGCGTGATTCTGGGTGTCGATAATCTAACATTATGTAGTATGCGATTCGACCGACGATTCGAGGGAATAACAAATTCAAACGAGACGAGGTCATCAAGACTGTCGCTGATGCCGTTGGCCCTGAGCACCCCGTGGACTTGAAGAATTACGATTTGATGATTTTGGTGGACGTTGTGCAGGTGAGTTCCAGGCCCCAATCTTACATTCACTCCACACGTAAGCTGATGTCCGCGTGTCAGAACGTGATCGGAATGAGTGTTGTGGGCAGTGATTACGACCAGCTGAAACGGTATAATTTGGCCGAGATCTACGATCCAGCGAAACCCGCGGCGGATCAGGCCGCAGAAGCTAAAAATTAGCGTTGTGCGGCGCCTCACTGGGGCCAATGGGCCGAGACATCTCGTCCTTCTCGCTTGAGGAACCCATTATGGGATTAATAATAACGAGGCCCCGCTGCACAGTGCGGTGGCCTTGCACATGGAGATTATACACCCGCCGCTAGATCCAAGTTCGGAGACAATTTCATGCAGCCACCAGGCATCCCAAACATGCTTATCAGGTACATCATAATCAATTCGGCTTACTTCCGTGCCTCCCCAGAAAAAAACAAGCACAATTCTCAACTCATATCCGAGCACGAGGCTGAGCATGAGCACGAGCCTGGACCTGAGACTGGGGCCGGGACGGGGACCTGGACCCTCACCCTTGGCCGATCAGCCGGTCCAGGTTTCACGCCAGCAAGAGCCATGCATCTAGAATTGTACCCAACGCCCAGTGCTCTATCACAATCTGGAGTGACTGAGAACTCATCCGGATACTGCACGAGAATGTATTAGAGTCCACAGTGACTGTTTCAGGACTGGAGGGGTCAGTGGCCAATTTGGAGCAATCGGAAGCGAGAGCCATGCGAAACGGGAGTCCCTTGGCGATGGAAGAGGAAATACCAAAATCCCAAACAATAAATAGGGTGATGACATCGACGTGAAGAACATTCCAAAGGTTCGTCTCGGCTCCACCCCGGGGATCCACGGCTGGTTATTCGGCAAGCGACTCCCCTGATTGGCGCTCGCTCGGTGCTCGGATGCCCGCGATGCTCAACGCGGGATCCTTACGCGAGTGGTAACATTCACTTTCTATTTACTCCAAGGAGCCTAACCACAATTCAATGTTCGCTGATCCCTGGGTGAGTTCATTTTCTCGCTTGATCTCGGACGACAGGCGCTCCACAGCCCCATATCTCGCGTAGAACAACCTACTGAATGCCATGCAATGGCGTGGCTTTACAAGCCCGCGGTCACCTTCCCTGCTGAATTTTGACGGCTGATTTGACGGCAATATGTCGCGGTTTGTCCTCTCGTTGCTTTGGGGGACCACTGTGGATTTGGATCTGTGGCAATGCTCCCCGAACAGAAAAGCTCTCGTGTTGAGCCTTCTCCTCGGAAAGTCAGGGCTGGTCTTTGATTAGCAATATCTCCGGCCTCATCTATCTCCTTCTCTTCCCCTGTCTCCTTATTATGCTAGATACATGATCGGCATGTACCGCTCCAAGGTATCGACACACCCTCTGGTCTTCCTAAATGGGCCCAAAATGCTTTTCACGAATGGCCCACATTCGTGTGAAGCAGACGAACAACAGAGGCTGGACGCTGTCATCTCCTTGCTCTTCCCCTCCACGGTCCGTGTGCAAAGCTCGCAGAACATTCTCGGTCATGTCCATTCCCTTCGTCTCTTAACTCTTTCAAATGGGGTACGCCTGCTGTTGAAGGGGTCTCCCTTCCCCGGCACTCCTCTTTTGCGACAGGAGCGATACCTTCTCGAGACTGAAGCTCGTTTCTTGGCTCTTCTTGGACAAAGTGCCAACCCGTGCATTCCACAATTGTATCATTACCACCCACAAGGAAGGCTACTTGGGTCCTCCTACTTAATACGACACTATGTGAGGGGTACAGCTCTCGCGGAGATGGAAAGCCAACTCACAAGTCGCCAAAGAAATGACATTGACCGCCATCTGGGCTTTCTGTCCAGTACTATTGGGCAAAACGTCGCACCTGCATTTGGCACATTACAACAGGTCGCCGCCGGATCTGGAAGACGCTCCTGGCGCGAATCTTTTTGTGTTCTTTTCGAGAGCGTCCTGCGTGATGCAGAGGACATGTTTATCCATCTCCCATACGCCGAAATTCGTCACGAACTGGGTCGTCTGGCGTCGGCACTCGATGAAGTCACTTTGCCGCGTCTGGTGGTTGCAGGCTTCGGTCGGCCGTCGCATGTTTTGCTGGATGAGACATCGAAACAACTCTCCGGTGTGGTCGATTTTAGCAGCGCTTTCTGGGGAGACATGCTGATGGCGGAGCTCTTTGAAAATGCAAGCATTGCTGTCTTGGAAGGGGCAGGGATGCCTTTGACTAGGACAAAGAAGGAAGATGTCCGATTATTAATGTATGTTTTGTTGCTAGTATTTCATTTATGCTTTCATTTCAGAGTCATTCATACTAACCTACGTGCTCTTTAAGGTACGCGTGCTATCGATTGGTTTCCCAGATCACTACACAATACTATCGGGCACGAGACGAGACCGAGGAATTTGACGCCCGGCGTCGACTGATGAGTACGATCTCACACATGGCCGCTTTTGAAATGGTTTCAAGCGCTTGAGTACAAGATTGAGCGTTTGAAGTACCCCAGCAACATGATGTTCTGGGATTTCTATACATGTTCACATTGTTTTGCGAGCCTCGCGGCGTGGAGATTTCTCGAGAGCCCAATGTGGATTTAGCTCGGCATGTGATGCGGCGCTGAAAGTGATCATTGCCAACACAATATTCGGCTCGAATGGACCTCGGAACTACTTTCGCACAACCAGACAGACGTAGAGATTTCGCAGCTTGAATTGAGCAAAGTTATCTGACAACACTTCACGTAGAAGACCAATGATCTCCAAATGGAGGCGTAGAGCGGAAAGCGGGGCAGATCCGTTTAGCCTCCGCCATGCCGTCAGCTGCGGACATTCTCCAAGCTCCACCACTTTTTTCCCCGTTTCTTCCGCAATATAGCCTGCCACCCGTTCAACTGCGAGGATGGCTCAATTTCTGAGGGGGAAACAGGCCGGTATTCAGAAGGATTTGTCCGAGGGTCTGTCCCCGGATCTTTTCCAGCTTGACGACGTTCGTCTTTGCACTTCAGGCACCCTCCTTTGGACTCAAACTGACTCTGCTCTCACAGTTCGAGCGCTGCGGTGTCAACTCACAAATAAGTGTGATCGCCTACGATCCCATCCAGTCCCTCCTCGCCGTCGGCACCAGTGATACCCAGTTCGGCAGCGGCCAGATCTATGTCTTTGGACAACGGCGCGTCTTAGTCGTCTTTCCATTCCCGCGCAAGGCCTCGGCCAAGTTCCTGCAGTTCTGCGCTGATAAGCTCATCAGTGTCGACTCGAGGAATGAAATCTGCATATTCTCCCTTACCACCAGGTCTTTGATCACCTCCTACGCCCCCCCCTGGTCAAGCCACTGCACTTGCGACGGACCCGAGTCTGGATTATGCCTTCATTGGCCTTTTAAACGGTTTGTTGGGCGATTTTATGATGGGGAAGATAAACATAGAATGCTGATATCATCATAGGCGAGGTTGTTGCATATGATCTCGATCGAGAGTGCCTGACGCCTTTCAAGATCCCAAATCTTTGGCTGGAGAAGAACCCGCGTGCTCGCCTATTCCCGGTTGTATCACTCGCCTTTTCGACACGAGATATCGGTAAGATCTTAATTGGATATCCGGAGGGAGCTGTGACATTCTCATTCAAGCAAAATGTCGCGCAAAAGTACTTTGTCTATGAGGTTCCTCCCGGCGCCCCAGGTGGCGATTTCGAGATGCCCTCCAACCTTGTGCGCCGCCCCAGACTGATCGATGCGGTCTGGCATCCAAACGGGATATTTGTACTGACCGTACATGACGATACCAGTCTCGTTCTCTGGGATACCAAGGACGGCCGCAAGCTTCATGCCAGGACAATCCAGGCCACGAATATTGACCAGCCGGGCATGACCCGGTCCGATCCTGCTGCTGGGGAGTTCTCTGGACCCAAGGAGCCCATTACCAAGGTTACATGGTGCGCTAAGGAAAGCGCCGATGACACTGGTATCCTGGTTGCTGGTGGACGACACATAGGAGATCCGAATAAGGGCCTTACTTTCCTCGACATGGGCCCGACTCCCAATTATCAAACTTCGTCGTGGCAAGTTCTATCCGGCTATCTTGAGCGATCTCGAAGGCATATGAATCTACCTCTTCCCCGGGAGCCCACGCTATCACATACTGCCTCGTCCCACGCACCGATCCTTATTTCGCCGGTGCTCATGATCCAATCGCCATCCTTGTCGTGCTGTCCTCTGGGGAGTTGGTCACGATGAGTTTTCCCAGCGGTCACGCTATCACACCAACCAACATGCTCCATCCGTTCCTGTCTTTCGTTCATCCATTCGTGAACAAGGCCACACTCACACCAGTCGATCGTGCGGTTTGGCTGGGGCTGAGGGAACGCAGGTTACAAGGGCCTAAATTCGTCCTTGGGGGTGCAGAAGCGAAGAACCCTTTAAAGCGCTTCGAGAACCGGAACGTAATATCTACTGCGCACGCCGATGGCACGATCCGCCTCTGGGATGCTGGTCACGATGATGAAATCGAGAATGGAGACGCCGTGCAAGTGGATCTAGCTCGAGCCGTGGGTCGAGTTCGCAATATTGAGGTGACCGAGATGTCGATGGGAATTGGCACGGGTGAATTGTCTGTTGGTCTCAAGAGTGGCGAAGTGATCGTTTTTAGATGGGGCAACAACCCTTCTGTAGGACAGGAAAATCCTCCTGGTGTCAACCAAGGAGCTGGGAACCTGACGCCAATCTCTCATCGGACGGACCCTGGCTTGAAGACAGGAATGCTCCCCTGACACTTTTAGATATGCAACAGGGGGTAGTCACAGCTTTAAAGCATAGCCCGGTGGGTTTTGTCGCGGCTGGTTTCCAAGGAGGTAGCTTGGTGATCATCGACCTGCGTGGTCCGGCAGTAATACACACTGCGCATCTATCGGAGCTGACAAAGGCGCCGAAGCGCAGCAGCTTCTTAAAGAAGACTGGTACAGAGGATACTTCTCCTGAATGGCCAACCTTTATCGATTTTGGTGTGATGACTTTAGATGGTGAAGGTATGAGTCTGTGATCTCGGAATTTCTTTGACAACGCTTACATATTGGCTTGCAACAGACTATTCAAGTATTTGCTGCTTTGTTGGTACCAACCGAGGAAATGTGGCAACCTTCAAGGTGCTACCCTCCCCGAGTGGTACATATACAGCTGCTTTGGCTGGGTTCTCAAATGTCGAAGACAAGATCATCGCCCTTATTCCCATTGACGCAGAGTCTGGGAGACACGCTTTTGCCACGCCTGGTGTCGTCGGTGGACTGAGAAATGGCGTGAAGGTCAATGGTGTTGTGATTGCAGTCACACCTTCAGGCTGCAGAATCTTCAAGCCACCTACATCGAAGGGTGCACACAAGAACTGGGACGACTATCTCTGCGACTCAGCCGCAGTTGTGAAGAGCGAAGGCCGTGGCTACAGCTTGGTCGGATTGTTTGGTGATGGCAACGTCCGTGCATTCTCCATTCCTGGCCTTCGAGACATAGGCTGCGAAAGAATCAACCACATTGCTGATATGCGACGACTGCCTGAAGCATGCATCACACCAGCGGGAAGCGTGATGACTTGGGTTGGTCCTTCACAAATCGGGCTCTTCAATGTTTGGGGAACCGGTCGCAAACTGTAAGAATCCCTCATTGCTCGACTAGAATCATTTCGCTAATCTCTCGCAGGGCTGTGTCTCAAGATCGTCTACATGACCCTGCAAAGGTCCTACCCGCGCGTCCCACAATCACCAACATCCAGTGGATCTCTGGTACTCAATACGTTTCACCCGCGGACATGGATCTCCTGAGTACGTGATGAACTCTTCCCTTCGAGTGTCTTGAAGTATGTCTAATGCAAAATATAGTTGGAGGCCCAGACCGCCCGCCATCCAAGCGCATGATCGAGCAAATGAAAATGGAGGATCAAGAGCGCCGCAAAGCACTTCGAGAAGGCCGCGCGCCACCACCCGAGTCAGGCAATCAGGAAACCTACTGGTCTTCCATGTCCCGCGCAGTCCAGGAACGCACTGAGCGGCTTGGACTGGCAACCGACACTATGGACCGTCTGGAGGAGAATAGTAGTAACTTCGCCAGCGACGTGGGAAAATACGTACAGAGCCAAAAGAGGAAGGCTATCTTGAGCGGTAAGTAATTCCTGTAGGGTGTATCCTTGTCAACACCTGTTCTCCCTTGCATACCACGCGTGGAACTGACCCGATCTTCACAGCGCTGGGGTCGAAATTCGGGCTCTAGGGTTTTCGTTTCAAGCAGGCGTTTTCTTTCTGCAGGTGGATTGCATGCTTAGAAGATCCCCACAAGCTACCAAATATATTTTTTTTTCCCACTTTGTCATTACCCCTCCTTGAGATAAATATGGGGGACTGGGTTTTGTGATGTAGAGCGTAATCCACAGTAGTTAAAATCCAGACCAAGAACTCAAGTCCTGATTATTCACATCAACGCCACATAGCAAAAAACGGTCCGAACATTCCTCAGTGTCAATTCCCTTTGAGGGGTGCCAATCTCGGACCATTATTGTCGTGCCCATAGGTCGACTATGTTGACTATGGAGACATGAGACCCTGCATGCCTACCCGGTGAAAGGCACTATATAGTACGGATCTGCAGGTGGCAATTTCCAAAACTGAATTCTATCTCGTCACCCTGATCAACGCCAGTTGAAAAGGGGTATAGTATGGTAAATGAAGATATTGGGTCCAGGTGTCGTTAAGGTAATACTGGGTCATCAAAAGCACATTGGGAATAACAAGTGAAACGCAAGGAGGCAGCTTAGTGCACCATAACCTCCGGTCCACCGGGTTGAGACGGGTGGGCAGGCTTGTCATCACCCATCTCCACGTCCTCATCAGCCTCAGCGGCTTCATCCTCGTCCAATTCATCCTCGTCATCATCATCGCTCTCCTCCTCAAGATCTTCGCTCTCAGCATCAGAAGCTTCTTCTTCGTCGTTACCGGCTGTGGCCTCGCCGCCTTCCATATCGTGGTCATCACCCTCGATCTCGTCCTTGTTGGCTTCCTCGAGCTCTTTGACGAGGGCGGCTTCGAGCTCACGCTCCTCTGCACCGTAGGCGTTGCTATCGTCGTCCAGGTTATCCGCCTCAGGCTGGTCAGGCGGGTACTCGGCAGGAGCAGACTCGTCAGAATCCCTGCAAAGCGCTTGTTAGTCAAGTATGGATACAAGGCTGAACGAGTCGAATCTTACCACTTGATCGCAAAGCGAGTCACACGGGGCTTCTCAGCAAGGACATTACGGCGGATGTGCTCGATCTGGGGCTTCGCAGGGGGATCGGCGGCCAATTCCTCCGAGTCGTACTCGTTGTTAACGTAGTATCCTACTCGAACAAACTCACGGCCATCATAGCTACAAGTGAGCAGAATGACGGTGACGCCGAGGATCTCAGAATCGGGGATCCGCTTGTAGTCGGGGGCGTCGGCCTCGAAAATAAACTTATTCACTCCGACAGGAATGGGACCGACAAGCAGCGAGTCAAGTTCCTGATCTTGCTCGGAACTGAGAAGGTCAGTCAGAGGGGATTGAGAACGGCGGGGAGTGTGGCTTACGAGGTGGCGGAACCAACATACGTGAGTTTCCACTCCAGATCTGAATTGAAAGTGTTAGCAAGGGTGATAAGAGGAGGAATTTTGGGAGGCTTACCTTTTTGGAGTTGCTCGAGACACTCGAAAGTAATCTCGAATTGGTAGGACGAGGAGAAGTGGGCAGGGTTGTTGAGGACTTTAACCCCGAGAAGCGAGACGACAGACATGACGGATTGATGTATGTGATTATGTGATGAAAGAAAGCAAAGAAAGGGAAGCAGCGAATTTATAGGAAGAGAGAGAGGCTCGAGTCTGGGGAGAAACAAACAGCTTCACCGCATGGAATGCGAAGGCGGGGGACTCGTCACTTAAGGAACGGAAACTAAGGAAATCGAGCTGCGAGGAGACGCGCCTTCGCGTCCCTTGCGCGCTCACCGCCCACGTGACAGCCGCTGCGCAGATTCCATCGGGCTGGGACTTCAAAGTATCCACGTCTCTGCTGCGCTGGCTACAGGTGGACTGATTGGGTTTCTCACAGCTGCAATTTCCCCCCCCCCTCTCACCTTTCATCACATCTCTATCTAGTTGACTCCATACACATCCCCAATCAACAATCTTGAAGCTTGAGTCACAGCAGGTTGCGCACTGAGCTACTCATCACAGACTATCGCCAATCATGGCGGACGATGACGCCGAACAGGCATTCTTGCAGGCCCAAGCCATGAACGCCGATGCGATTGAAACCGTCGAAGCTGAAGAAGAATTGGGCACTAATGACAACGATGAATATGATCCCTCAAGTACCCTTGATGACCAATACGAGCCCACCCACGCACATCTCGAGCAGGACAATGTCGATACCACCGCAGCTCCCAATCCAAACGAATCCTCAGATTCGACCACTCACCAAGTCAGTGACGCGCCGGATCCCTCCCAGAGCCCTTCACGTGCTGAGTCTCAGACGTCCACGCCGGTACCACCCTCTGGTGCATCGGCGCAGCCCCAGACCAGAACGATCGGGGGATTTGAGGTCGAGGATGATGACGAGGATGACAAAGATGAGGCGGACTACGAGCCACCGGCTGCACTAGGGGTGGAAGACACAAATGCCATGCCTATGACCATGTCTGAAGATCCAAGTTCAGGAAATGCAATTCAAACTTCCCCTGATGTATCGTCGCAGCCGCCCGTGGGCTCTGCCAGCGTGCAAGATGTTGCCAATAGTTCTTATTCTCCTGCTCGTGTTCATAATATTGATCCCTCTGATCCTGGTCAACTTCAGTTGCCTGTCCATGATGCCAGCATGCAGAACAGTACCGTTCCTACCCCTGTACCTGACTCGCCTTCGGCGGCGAGAGGCCGCTTGCCTCATGATCGCGTGGGAATCCTGCAGGACAGGATCGACGAGGATCCGCGAGGAGATATCGCGGCGTGGTTGGAGCTGATTGGAGAGCACCGGAGTCGTAACAGACTGGACAGTGCTCGCGAGATATATGAGAAGTTCTTGAATCTGTTTCCCATGGCTGTAAGCTTTTGCTGTTGTTGTTGTGGCTCAGTTGTTATGCTAACTCTTCATGCTAGGCCGAACAATGGGTGGCATATGCCACGATGGAATCTGAACTCAATGAGCTTTTCGCCTTGGAGCAGATTTTCAACCGCACACTTCTCACACTTCCCAATGTTGGGCTCTGGGGGGTCTATCTTGACTATGTGCGCCGCCGCAATCCCTTGAGCACAGATACCAGTGGTCAAGCACGACGAACAATTTCTTCTGCGTATGACCTTGCCCTTCAGTATGTTGGCATGGACAAGGACAGCGGAAACATATGGAACGACTATGTCGAGTTTATTCGATCTGGACCCGGCACGATTGGAGGCTCGGGCTGGCAGGACCAGCAAAAGATGGATTTGCTGCGAAAGGCTTACCAAAAGGCTATATGTGTTCCCACACAAGCCGTCAACACGCTGTGGAAGGAGTACGACCAGTTCGAGATGGGTCTAAACAAGCTGACTGTACGTCTAGTCATCAATATCACAAGAAGTCGTGCTAACTTTGACCCAGGGCCGGAAATTTCTGCAAGAGCACTCGCCTTCGTACATGACTGCTCGCAGCTCCTACACAGAACTACAAAACATCACCCGAGATTTGATCCGCACCTCACTGCCGAGACTGCCTCCTGTTCCCGGATACGCTGGTGATGCCGAATTTGCTCAGCAAATTGATATCTGGAAGCGTTGGATTGCCTGGGAGAAAGAAGACCCTCTGGTTCTAAAGGAGGATGACCCCGCTCTCTTCAAGTCCCGCGTGGTCTATGTCTACAAGCAGGCGCTTATGGCACTCCGATTCGTCCCCGAGATCTGGTTCGAGGCTGCCGAGTTCTGCATCTTGAATGACCTGGAGAACGAGGGTAATGAGCTGCTGAAGCAGGGCATTGAGGCTAACCCTGAGAGCTGTCTGCTGGCTTTCAAACGAGCAGACCGACTCGAGGTTACCTCAGACTCTGAGCAAGATTCGGCCGGACGGGCCGCTAAAGTGCGGGAGCCTTACGACAAGCTACTTGATACTCTGTACGAATTGATACACAAGGCTCGAAACCAAGAGTCGCAGGATGTCTCACGGATCGAGGAGACCTTCGCACAGCAGAACCCCGAAGGCAACCAGAACGAGGATGAAGAAGATGACCCAGAAAAGAAGGAGAGGGAGGCCGCGAAGAAGGCACAGATCGACGCTGTTCGCAAAGCCCACTCTGTCCAGATTACTATTCTCTCCAAAACCATCTCCTTCGCCTGGATTGCACTGATGCGCTCCATGCGCCGCATCCAGGGCAAAGGCAAGCCCGGCGAACTGGCCGGCTCTCGTCAGATCTTTGCTGAGGCGCGCAAGCGAGGCCGCATTACGAGCGATGTCTACATCGCTAGTGCTCTCATGGAGTACCACTGCTACAAGGACCCTGCCGCGACCAAGATCTTTGAACGTGGTGCTAAGCTGTTCCCTGAGGATGAGAATTTCGCCTTGGAATACCTAAAACATCTGATTGATATCAATGATATCATTAATGCCCGTGCCGTCTTCGAGACAACTGTCAGGAGATTGGCCGCCAATCCCGAGAACGTGCACAAAGCTAAGCCTATCTTCTCTTTTCTTCACGAATACGAGTCCCGCTACGGTGATCTGGTCCAAGTCGTCAACCTTGAGAGCCGGATGCGTGAACTCTTCCCCGAAGAACCGTCCTTGGACCAGTTTTTCCACCGCTATGCCACACCCAGCTTCAACCCAATGACTGTCCGGCCCATTCTATCCCCCTCCCAAACAAGACCGAAGTCAATGTTTCCAGGCATGATTCCCGAGGCTCGCAGCTCTCCTGCGCCTCAGTTCAGGGACCAGTCTGCCAGCTCTCCGAAGCGACCTTATCCTGCTGATGACTTTGATTACGACTCCGATCGCCCGCGCAAGTTCGTCCGTGCCGAGTCACCTTTGAAGCAAGGCCGACGTGTCGAACAGCAGAAGCGAACTCAGCAACTCAATGGCTTGGCGGCGTCAGGTCATTATAAACCCCAGGGATCCCCCGCTCCTCTTCCCCGAGACGTGGTCCACCTTCTCAGTATCATTCCCGGTGCCGCAGCCTACAATATCTCACGCCTCTCTCCCGAAAAGATGGTCGACCTCCTTCGCCACGTAGACATCCCGGCCTCCACAGCTCAAATCCCACTTCCGGCCAACGCAAGAGGACTCGGAGCCCCTCAACAGTCCGGCATGAACCCCTATTCTGGTAAGTCTGTAATTCCCACGATCACGCTGCAAAGATTACCTAACCCTATTGCTTAGGCTCCTACCGTTGAGACTCGACTCTTTCCTGAAACGACCGCCGCCACTGTCTTCTGTGTATAATCTCAGGATCTGCCATATGAATTTCTCACCTAATTTTCAGGCGCGCAATAGCGGTGATTTTTCCTCCGAAGGGGTTACCATTTTTTAATGCTCTCCGGGATAAGATGGAGCTTTTGTGGGTAGCCCGGACCCGTTGCATCGTCGGCGTTTTTGCATTCTTCCCCAGGGCGTCGTTAGCCCTGTGGCTGTCTTCTCAGCAGGCACTAGTGTCAGAATCTCTGATGAGTGGGTTATCTATGCTTCGAACAGTCATTGACAAGCGCAAATACTTCATTGATTAATTGCCAAGCTCTCTTGTCATGGCTGTGTTGTCATTCCATGCGGTAATGCTCGTAGTTCTCATTGTAGCTTCATTGCTCTCTTTTGAGTTTGAGGGCACATTCCACTGTGTAAATGAACGGTAAGTACGTACAAATTAGAAGGTGAGAAATTGCACTGCGACTTTTTATTCTCGACATCGTAAAGCAGGACAAACTGCTGCGTAGGTCCTGACGGAGACCGGATTATTCTTGCACAGATATATTAAGGCCAATGGAGCAAAAGTATTTAGACAGGTACTCACAACAAGAAGCAAAAGACAGTTCGAAGTCACCAAAGCAAAACAAATAACCACGAAAGCCTGAAAACCCCGAGTAAAACACGCAAGGCGTTTAGGAGAGACCTCAAGCCCAAGCACTCTCTGCTTATGCATGTCCTCTGAAGCAGCTTCTGACCAGCCATAGGCTTCTTGTCCTTCGCTAATTGGTTCAAAGCTGCGGAGCGCGCATGTCGCATATCACAACTGAGCTAAACATCGGCAGTGAAATGAGCCTGGCAGGGTTCTACGACAACCGCCAGTAGTAGATACGAATCCAAAGAGATTCAAAGCACAAGAAGATAAGATTGGCCAGGAGGCATATGATATGGTATGATACATAGAAAGCAAGTAAAGATGACAGGCGGGATTGATACATGATTACTATGCATGCGAGCCCAAAAATGTGAGAATATAATGCAAACAAGACAAGCATGGAGTCATTGTCGCTGAGCCAAGGTTGTGACATCAGATGCCACTGGTTTATCAGCTGGGCATCCTCTCTAACAGCCTGTTCGGACCTTCTGGATCAAGGGATGCTCAACGGTGGAGCGATATATCGGCATTAAATTCGTAGAGATCAAGACATGCTCTTTAAGAAACAAGGTCCCTTCCCCGATATGCGTATGAGAAGTGATGACTGGAGAGAAGAAAGACACAAGTGGATGGTGGTATAAGACCATCGTGGAAAGATAAGAGTGTCGCGATTAGAATCAAAGATTGCATCATGCTGTGCCATTGGTCATGGACACGTCTGCTTGGGAGACATCACCATTACCATCGGTTGGATTAGATCCATCAATGGGCTTCATATCTGATGTGAAGTCCCCAGAACCATCCATACTACCGGAGTTGGCGTCCCCATCACCATTGAAGTTGGGCATCTCCAGCGCAACACCGCTGTTCTTCTTCGACTTCTTCTTACTCGGCTCAGAACCTCCCACCTTGGCGATTCCGGATGCATTTGGTGGCGCAGCCCGTTTCTGGGGGCTTGCATGGGGTCCTGAAATGCCGGCCAGTGCTGGTATTTTGCCTGAAGCTGGAAGACGAGGTTTGGTGGCCATGGGTCTTTGCTTAGGAGGAAGTTCCAGATCTTCCACGAGAGGCTCATCGTTATTGGCATCAAGCTTGCCTTTGAAGAATGCCTGGACAAGTCCGATCTGATCAGAGACATTGTCCACCGAGATGCGGGCGTACGGCGGGGGCGTGGGAAATATGGTGACCACTTGAGTGGTGTTCGTGTTCTGTGACTGGGCCGCGTTGAACATGCGGTTCTGGAGCAAGTGAAGTGGCACACTGAGGTTGGAGAGACCGAACTCGCGGTCTAGGCCGAGTTCCTTGAAGCCAAAGAAATCTTCGTCAATGTCTTCTGCGAAGTCTCCACCAACGAACTGTTCACTTCCATCCTTGAAGGCATTGGAGCCGTCCTCGCCGGCATCAGCAAGCGCAGGTCGAAGGAGCTCCGTGAGAAGGGATTTGAGGCGATCGTGGGCAGTAGCGAGCTTGGAACCGAGTCGTTCAACATCTTCTTTAATATAGGACTCTAGCTCTTCAATATCGATGCCAACGGCAGCAAGCGTGTGGAGGACAATTTCGGGTTCGGTAAATGCAGGTTTCCATTCAGCAGAGGCTGTCGCATTTTCCACGGTTGGGACCTTGGGAGCCTCCATATAAGACTTCACTGTTTCGCCAATCTTCTGGAAGAAGTCCGATGCAATATCAGTAACGACTTCGATAGAAGATGGCTGATACTCTTCAAAGCCAGCATGATAGAATATCTTAGCGACAGATCGCTGTAGCGCTGCTCGGCAAGTTCCAGGTGCGATGACAGGGCCATTGTCGTTCATGACGTGGGGTGGGACATCTTGTTCGGCAAATGGCTCGGGGTTGTACTTCTGGAATTGATTTTGGTACATCTGAGGAGACGTTAGTCTGACGATCACTTTGATGAAGAAAAACACAATACATACCTGAGATTGGAGCTGCATCTGCTTCACGATGCCAATCTTCGAGCAAATCTTGCGGGTCTCTTGCATCTGTCGCATGTTCGAATTCAACTTGCGAGTCAACTTGCTGTCAGGCTGCGTGAAAGAGCCCTTCGGCAGTATTCTGAGATACTCCTCTGAAGCATCTACCATGTTGCCCTGCGCATCTTCCTTCCAGGCGATTCGTTCGGGTAAGTCAGGGACACCAGACATGACATCGTAGTAGTAAGGAACCATCTTGTCATCTTCGTCCTCAATGCCTTCAGCGAGTGTCTCCCCAGCAGCTTCAGGCTCCCTCGCCTGAGAAGCAGCGTCGTGGATTTTGCCTCCCTCAAGAGCTGCTCGTTTTTCATGTCGAAGCCATCTGCGCATGCCAGCCTTGGTTCGCAGCAAAGCAGGCTCATCGATATTGAGCTTATCGCCTTTGAGAAGACGGTGTCGCTCAGAAGCAATGAGGGCGCGATCTTTCTTGGTCACCTGCTTCCAGACCTTGTACTCAGGATCATCTAATTCAGCACCAGGGCCTGCGAGAGCACTCAGCGCGGTAGTTGACGTCGTCGGCATAGTGTCAATGTCCATCGCATCGTCCTGCTGGCTGGCCGCGGCACCCATGCCATTACCTGTAGGGTCTGATGGTGTGTGAGACCCCGGAGGCGGGGTGGAGAAGCCGTTCTGGCTTGTTTCCATAACGGTGTCTGAATCTGCATGAGCGATAGCAGCAGGCTGAGAAAATGGGGCGCCAGGCGGACCTTCAGAGCCACTAGGAGTGCTGCGGGACGGCGCGGTGCCCTTCTTCGAGGACTTTCCGGGAGCTTTTCTTCCCCGCGAAGACATGATAGGCTCGTCATCACTCTCATCGGCGCCATCGAGCTCTGCCATCTGCATGCGACGCTCTTCCGCTTCAACCTCTGCACGGTCGCGGATGACAATGTCAGGGATCAAAGGCACGAGCTTCTCGGTCTCCTTCCGCATATAGAGGGCATGTTTGCGCAAGAAATGTTCAGGGTTGGTGTTATACTTCAAGCAATTGGCCCAGATGAGGTTAAGATCGTCGACAAAATCCTGCTTGGACCGATATTGCAAGCCTTTGAGCTTCTTCGTCATGCTTCCAAGATCCATGGGGTGTTTTATGACTGTTTGTCAGAGTCAGTATTAACGATGTCAAAGGAGCTCGTGTGGAGGGTGCGCAGTAAGCTTACTCGAGTAGTAGTCTGGTGCATCGCGCTTGTTGACTCGGGTCAAAAAAGCAGTAGAGTGTTCTGTCATAGCCTTGAGTTCACTCAAAACCTTTTCCGCGGCTTCATAGAGCTCCTCTTGGCCGATTTTCTCTTCACTGGCCCATTTGCTTCGATTCTTACGAACCTCGCTCAACAAGCTTCGAAGCTCCGCGTCTGATGCCTGCACCATATCGCGTTTCTTGTCGATCCGAGCGATGAGGTTCTTTAACGTCAAGCTTGAGGCACCGAGATTCGTGTTACTCAGCGAGCTGTAACCAGCCGAACCGCCAGCGGCATTGCTTCCCCCGGAAGTAGCTTGACCAGAAATCTCAGCCTCGACTTGACGTTCAGATTCCTCCAATCGCTGTTGATCCATCATGGCATCGCGATCATTTTCCAAGGTATAAAAAAGGGTATGAAAGCTTCGCTTCGCAGCTTCCTCTGTCGCCTTCTTATCTTCCTCCAGTTGTTTCCGAATTTCTTCCAATGATTCTTTCTTAGGCTCTTTATTTCCGTCCGCGCTTGCTGATGCTGAAGTATCGTGGCGTTGGAGCGTAGGCGTACCGGCACCAGGGTCCTGCGACGGCGGGACAGACTTGGCTTTCAAAGGCGATTCGCCCAAGTCGGCCATGTCTGCATCATCGTCCTCATCATAGTCATCGTAATCGTCGTCGAGTTTGCGGGTGGGTTTCTTCGGCGCATCCGCAGGGGGTGCCGGCGCATCGACGCGTTCAGCTTCGAGCGGTTCGTCGGCGACCGCGACATCAGCAGAATCATTGAGAGTATGACAACCAGAAAAAAGCGCGTTTATTTTCGCCTCACTTGTCCGATACAAGTCGCGAAATTGGGCAATGCGCGGATCCTCCTCGATCGCGATATCGGGCTCGGATGTCATACTACCTGGGATCGGGCCGTCGGCGCTGATAGAACCGCGTATTTGGGGAGTTTTCGAGCCAGATAATGTCTTTACCAAGCCATTGGCGGGCCGCGGAGAGTCCTGGTGATCATCTGGGGGGGCGGATATTGCCTGGAGGCCAGGCGTTGTGGCCGAGCGACATGGTCGCTCAGAAACCCCGGTTTTGGGGCGGGAGAGACTCGATGCTCCACGATTGGGATCACGGGCCGAGAAATCACGACAAGGGTGTTTTGCGGGGAAAAAAAGGCATGAAAAGATGCCTCGCAATCAGCCGAAGCGACAAGCGATGTCGAAATGGCCAAAGGCGATGACACGGCGGCGATGTTTGATGAAGAAGTTATGGGCTTCTGTAGGGAAGTTTCTCTGGATGAGGATGAAGTAGGGCGCGAAGGCGGAGAGCCGCGGCAGATCGCGAGAAGGATGTCGACGGCGACGACTTGGATTGTCTACGCGATTTATTCTATACTGGGCTTCTGCTTCTTGATGTTCAATTGTTCATTCAACTATGAAGTGACGATTGAGACGTTGTCCTAGTCTGGTTCATTGGCATATCCTTCAAACTCCACATATGACGCACAAGGCAGCAACTGGGGCCGATTGATCACCGCTTTGCTACCTATCGCCAATCTCCGCTTAGCTGTCTACCGCAATCAAGCTTGACCGGAACACCTTGGATGAAGCTTCGAGCCTTTGACTCGCTTGAATCACCATGCGCATCCGCTATCCCTTTGCAGGTACATCCCCGACCGTCATATTATGTTCTCGGAAAGTGCGCGCAAGCTTACCGAAGTACCTTAGGAGCTTTCGTCTTCCTCATCATTCTAGCTGGATATATCGGCCTACTTCCGCATACCACCTCATCAACGATACCTTCCAATCTCCAGCCGAATGACAAGTTCCTCCATCTGGTCACTTTTTTCCTCTTGTCTGTTGCTTTTTACTGGATCCTGGATACCACCCGTCGGCGCACTCTCCACCTGACTCTGATTGTTTGCACCCTCGGCCTCGGTATCGGATCTGAAATTATTCAAGGATTTTTGCCGAATGACCGTGCATTCGATCCATTCGATATTCTCGCCAATGTCGTCGGCAGTCTCGGTGCTGTCGGTCTATGCAGTTGGTATCACCGTCGCATGCTGGATCGTCGCCGCAAGAGCCGTTTCGGATTGATGGAGGATGGGGATGGTGACGTTGAGCTTGGTACCGGCCTTGGGGGCCATTCCACGCGCGAAGATGAGGGACTGAGTCCGCAGGAATCCGGCATTATGAATCTGGAACACGAAGTGGATAATTGGGACGAAAACGCAGTCGACAATTGGGATATCGAGGACGGCCCAGGACCTTCCGAGCCGGATGACTCTCCTCCGAGCTACCAGGAAGGCCACAAGGCGAGCGTTGGTAGTAGCGGTCCGGTAGCTGAAAGTGCCGCTGCGAAACGCGCGGACTGATGGCGCTTTGCTTAGAAGAAGGATTCAATGCGGCTCCACGCTCGAGTTGAGCGGTGGTCGCCACATTGAACCTACTAACTGTTTATGATTATGGACTGATGGGACTGATGCATCGATCGATCTCTCACGTTGGAATGATACCAGTCAAATTTTTCGATGTTTGTGTTTCGCAACGCTTGTGTTTCTGTTTCTTCTCTGTTTGATGGGCTTTGTGATGTTTTCTCTGAATTGAAGGAAGGGCAGAAATCGCGGTTTCACTGTTGTTTTATAGCGCAGTTCTTTCCATACGAGTGAGATTTCATCCCCATGAGGGATTGTACAGAAAAAAACACTCAATATTATGCTACTTTTCGATGACAACCGACATGATACATCGTCATATGTGCTTTTATGTGCTTTGTAACATTTTCGAAGATGGGTAGCCATGTTTAAGGTTTGTTGTCGCGGATGGGTCAATGGTCCAGTTCCATATCAAGATACATGTTGAAGTTGTTCTTGGTTAGATGATTCTTGCGACCTCGGCTCTTTTAAACAAGCCAGTATCATCATCATTGGGCATTCGCTAGTATACAGCAATTCTAAGGCAAGACCAGGCAACTCCAGTCAACGGGCATAGAACTACATAGAACGCAAGGGATCTCAAACGAGGGCAACCATGCAAAACTGGGGGTATTTCAAAATGGATAAGGAGGCTGCCGATGTGTTTCAGACGAGGACGAAAGAAGTATAGAACAAAGGCAGCCTGCTAAGGGATTGAAGGTAAAGAACAACAAAACGCAAACACCAGATGCCATGAGGGGATGTATATGAAGAAGGAAAGCATGTAACGGTCAAGGGGCTCGTGAACAAATCGTGATGGGAAAATTGGGGATACAGATGAATCGTGGCGGTAAACAAAGTGCGAAGAATCCAAGAGATGAGGTCTACTCGTTGTCGGAGACCTCGGGCGTTCCAGACCAGCTTTGCGTCGGAGTTGGAACTCGGTCTGGCGCAGCCTCCAATTCAGGCTTTGACGCAGGTTGATAGTTCGCTTCGTCTGTCAGCTTGACCATTTTTGCAGACCGCTCTTCGCCCTGCGCTCCAGGTGACTTGTCACTAGGCGCCGAATAGTTGCCCAGCTTCGCGTCAGCCTGTTCACGAAGGACTTCGTAGATGAACTGCATCTGCATTTCGTTGTACACCATCATCATACGCTGTTCACGCATCGAGTTGACGGTGTCGAACACGGGGTCGATCTCCGGATCGGCAACCTGCAGCAACTGGCCCGACTCGAGCTCGCGCAGGAGATGGTCGAGCGCAATAAAAGTTCCGGTCCGGCCAACACCCGCACTGCAGTGCACCACGCGTGGGTTGTCCGGGCTGCATTTAGAGGCAGACAGATTGATCAGCTCCAGCAGTGCCTGGCGATCGCTGCCTTCGGGTTTGGAGTAATCCGCCCAGCCCGCGAAAAGGAAATGCCATACGATCTTCGACTCTGAGCCAATGTTGAGCTCCAATTTACGAATCTCAGAGCGCGACTTGACATCAAACGTCGTTTCTAGCAGTGTGACTTTTCCTCCAACGGCGGCCACTTCTTGTTGACCATTTTCGTTGCTCCGGGAGTCATAATCCTCTTCCGATAGGATCATCGAAGCTTGCTCTGCGTCCAATGGGAAGTATTGCGCGCATTTCTCCCGTCCAGCTTCAAAAGTCTGGGTGAGCATGACGATGACGCCAACCTCCTTGCTTTCATGAAAAACCATATGCCAGAAGTGTGCGAGGTTGTCGTGTTTGGGGCCCTATAGAACGCTTAGCAAACGCTACATCAAGGAATCCAAGGGTTCTACCACCTACCTGTGTCGCAATGTACTTCCGTTCTTCCTGCGTGATCGTATCTCTCAGAGTAATGGGGGAGGCATTGATGAAGTCACATTGCCCTTCGGGCACCCGTAAATGGATCCGGCAGTTTGCCCATGCCTGTACGTTTATGTATCTGTTCCTCGCCTTGACTTGAGGATCACCCTCGAGCGCGAAAGGGTGAGAAGGGTCGTTAGAGAGCAAACCATCGGCCATGCGCGACCGCTGTATCCATTCGAGTTCTTCGAACTTGTCGTGGATCTCTGTAGAATACCAGAGCGGTCAGTACAACGAGTCCCACGTGCAGAAGCTTTTCTCCGATAGGCGCATGCACCCCTCACTCACCTGAGACAGATTGACAGAGGAACGGCGGGACGTTGTCCGTGTATCCAGCTTCTAACCGGGGATCTCCTTGCTCACCAACATCGAGGGCTGCATCGCCGTCGGGTAGCTCGCGCTTGGTCGCCGGGACGCTGGTATCGATTTTGATGGCCGGATGCGCCATCTTGGCGGCCGCGATCCGCTGGAATGCGCGAACCTTACCGATCACACCGCGCGCCTTCCTGGTGACGGCCTGACTCCTGGAACGTTTCTTCGCGCGCGGGGCAGACTCGGGAGATGGTGAACGATCCGGGTCGGTACTGGCTCCCTGCTCAAGATTGTCGATACCGTAAAGAGCGGCGGATGCGGAAGAAATCTGCAGCGTGGACAGATCGGGACAGCTATAGAAGCTGTCCCGGGAAGACGTGTTCAAGGCCAGATTTTTGAAAGAACGCGGGGTGGGCGTCGAGTGAAGAGCAGAAGCGTCGCAATAGCGAATCGTGTGACCTCGTATCAGGTGAAAACGGCAAACGAAGAATTGGGGGTCTAAGTGATACTCTTCTAAAATTCGCGGGGCGAAAAAAAAAAGAGAAGTTGCAATGAGAAAGAAAGTAGGACGGAGGAGGGGAAGGGAAAATCCCGAGGACTCCGCCACCTTAGAACGTGGACCCAAGTGTATAAGGTCTAGTATATCAGGATTTCCTGGGTTTCGTCCCCAGTCCGGAAACGGTGGTGATGGCCCTATTTTGGCATGTAATTGCGGCCTGCCGGGTTTGGCCATTCGCATTTGTCCTGCCCTGTAGGGCCTCTTTTCCCGCTATGTCAACACCCGATCCCTCCCCATTGCCTCAAGTCAGCCTGTGACTCTCTTTCCTGGACAGTCATCATCTTCTTCTTCCATAGGCGATCCTTGGATGTTGTCACGGTACTCAGTTTCCCACTGCGATCAAGAAATGACAACACCAAACATGTTTCAGCGCTGGGGAAAAGATGAACTACAAACGATGCCGGTTGGGCCAGGGCCGGAGCTGGTCGTCGCAGGCGCGTTTTGATCCTTATACAGTTCGCACGGGATGCTTCTCGATGACTGGCTGTCCATAAGCGGATTCGACACCACAACGGGACGTATCACGCTCAAATAGAGATCAAGACATGCAGCTCGTATATTCTAAATGGGTGTTCTAGAACAACTGCTCTCTGTACTCCTCGAATCCTGACAGTGAACCATAGTGACTCTCAAGGTTGAAAGGGTCTATTTGTCATAGATCAGCAATACTTTGCCGACATGTACTTACGAGCGGCTCAGTCAGGTCAAAAACAGAATCCAAGGTCCACCTTGATTCAAGTATTAGCAGATTGTGAATCATGTAGATAGTTCTTGATCTCTGGTCCTCGGAAGGATAACAATGCCAAATGCAAGCAAGTCATACTCCTTGCAGGGACAGGCTTGCGTCTCAAGTGTTGCTTCCCCTCTGGATCGTCAACTAACTCCATGATACTCGATCATTTAGAACCCAACATCTAGAGTCATGTGGGTTTTGCGATGCTTTGGCCTAAGGTGAGACCCACTCATGGCTGGGTATGGGTATTTATGAGAATCTGAAGGCAAAGTACATGTTTGTGGGCGAATTGGTAAGTGTCGTCAGTCACTATTTCTAGAGTACACTCACTCTCCACAAAACGCATCTGCCTCACCGAAGCTAGACAGTCTATTATGGACGAAGAAAAGGGGGAAATATAATCATAGAAACATGACACCAATCCCCAAAATAGAATGGAAAGGGTATTTTGCTTTACATACAAACATTGGTAATCGGCCGCAGCCAGCGTTGCCACTCGCGAACCGAGCTGGTTGCGTGAAACTGGGAAAGTGAAACTCAGAGAGTTCAGGAACCCGCCTCTGCTTTCCTCGGTATGATTCTCTCCACATTTTAGTCCTTGCTTTTCAAGGCTGAGAAGGGGGAAGGTTCGGAATCCACTTGTGTCCGGGACACTGTCTCGCATCTACTCTACCGATAACCCCCAGTGTTTGAAGCGCGATCCGCCGGATTACGCCGTCGCGCGTCCCTCCACCTTCTCATCAACACCCTTGTATCGTGAATTTCGGACCTTGGATGACGCGATCCTTGTGCGGGTGTTGATCACCCTTCACTTTTGCTAGAATTTCGCCGACTATGATCACGCGAAATGGTGTCTTCAGCTCAAGTTACCGATCGCGCTGGGCCGCTCCACAGCGCCCCGTCCGTCGTGTCGCGACAGTCGCACTCGGGCCGACGACATCGTTCGGGTCGCTCTCACCATGGCGGCTCTCTCAGTAGCTCGTCCAACGATTTCCCTGTCTTTACATACACCGGCGACACCGAGATCATCATTCGCGCCGGGTCGCAAGAGAAACGATACCTCCTTCACCGGTTGATTCTGGCGCAATGCTCGGGGTTCTTCGAAGCGAGCACAAATGAAGACTGGTCCCGTCAAGATCCCTCAGCAGTAGGCGCATCTAAGCCTGACGGGACTCTGTCTCGACTGAGCGAAGAAGATTCGTTGTCAAATGGGTCAACCCTGGCGCAGTCGGAGACCGGGGGATCGCAAACACGGCTGGGGGAGAAGAGACGGTGGAGATATGAGTTGGATTGGGAAACCCGCGCAGAGGATGAAGAGCCTATTTTGGTACAAAAGGTCGGTCTCTCGTCGCCAGGCAGTCGCTCCGATCTACGTGCACGTGAAGCTGAACATGACTCCTTACAGCAACCAACCTATGCCCCGATGTTCAATGGCGACCAAACCGTGTTTCCACCAACGATGACAAAACCCTCCAGCGCACAGGCAGGCTTCTTCAGGTCCATGGCGAACTTGTCAGGAATGCAGTCGGTTGTCCACCTTCCGTCGTCCGGGAGTGATAGTCAAGGTGTTGATCCGTTGGTTCGGGACTATGAAAACCTCTTTCGCATCTTCTACAACCATGCCCCGGCCCTCAACAGTGTTAATATCGCTTCTGCCTATACAGAGTGCAAGTCCCTGCTCGCTTTAGCAGACATGTACGATGCATTACCGGTGACAGGTCCGCGTGTAGACCACCACCTCTTGGGATTTGGATCACGCCTCTTCAAGCAAATCGCAAAGTATCCACCCAGCTACCTTAAACTTGGGTACCTAGCTCGCAGCCGTGTCATCTTCTCCGAGGCCTTGATTCACGTTGTAGGCCAGTGGCCCTCAGCTGTTCCCAACCTACGGAACGGATCATACGCGCCCCTTCCAAACGCTGTCCTCGATCTAATCGAGGACAAATACGAAGATCTCGAGGATCTGAAAGCCCGCGTAGAGTCCAAGCTCTTTCGCCTATCCCTAACTACCTCACGCGGCGAGCGTGTCGGTCCCGCCAACGCCTACCTAGACTGGCTTGCAGTCTCATTATTCCGCCAATGGCTGATTGAGAACACCACTCCGCCACCAGCCCCTATACTCAAGAATTCATCCAACAATCCCCCGCCAAACGCGACAGCATCGCAAACAACCTCATCAAGACCAACTACCTCACCCGATCCAGCAGCTCGGGTGTATAGACTCATTGGATCACCCTCTTCCCAAGCATACCTCCCTCATGACGAACTGAAACGATTCCTCAAACTCCACCCCACCCCTTCCTCCGACTCCCCCTATAGCCGCGAGACTCTCAAACGCTTCGAACGCAAGATGGACGAAATCAAGCGTCTAGCCCGCGAGATCGTCAAGCCGCTCATGCGGAACTTCCTCGAGCTCGAAACGAAGAGTAGTGCCGAACGAGCCGCTAGCACGGTCACCGTTCTTGAAAGTCCAAGCCCAGGGTTGCCGTATTTGACTTGTACACGCGTTGAAGAGGCTGACCTTCCCTGGGACTTATCTGGCTAGTTGGACTGGAACTAGCTTTGATTGGCGCTTGATTTCACTTCAGACAGCTGGCTCTGTCGAAGTTAATCGGCTGTATCCCTATTTCCCTGCCGTCTTTTCTGCGATGATGTGATGTGCTCTTTATTGATGCCTAATTACCATCCACCCCAATCTATGTTAATGTGTCTATGAGTTCATGAACAGTCTTTTCAATTTCAATATCCTATCCGGGTCATCATTATAGCTCGCAAAACTTGCCCCCAAAGGTTCCAGGGTAGGAAGAACGTCTACCGCGCTAGGAATGAAATAGCAATAGAGATACAACGAAATCGACGTATTCGAGAACTATTTCCAGTTGTTAGGAAACCTATCTATACACCTCGCCCAAACAAATTATTCCACAAATAATATACATGGTTCTCAAAAGCAGAGATATCTTTGCCAGCGTCTAGGCCTGCTTGCCAATCGTCTCGATTCCATCCATCCAGGGCCTCAAAACTTTCGGCACGACTACAACGCCATGCTCAGCATCCCATCCGTTCTCAAGGATGGCAGCTAGAACGCGCGGAACGGCCATCGCAGTGCCGTTTACTGTGTGCGGGAATCGGGAGTCTTTAGTCGCACCGCCACGCACGCGAGTCGCGAGGCGTCGGCTTTGGTAGTCCGTACAGATAGACGCAGAAGTGACCTCACCCCAAGCCGATTCCAATTTGTGAGCTTCGGGATCTATGGTAGAAGAGGACTGGTCGGTGGGACGGAAGCGCGAGGGGAAGAGAGCCTCGATGTCACGCTTGCGGGTTGCGCTGGCGCCGAGATCACCGGTTGGCATTTCAAGCACGCGGCAGGGAAGATGAAGCGATGTCAGGATCTCCGCTTGCATATCTAGTAGCTCGGCAAAGAGGTCATCTGATGTTTTTGCGGCCGAGTCAACATTATCCGCCCAGCCGAATAGTTCGACCTTTGTAAACTCGTGAACGCGGTATAGACCCTTTGTATCGACGCCGCGTGAGCCAGCCTCGGCGCGGTAACAGCGACTAGCACCGACAAGCTTGAGGGGAAGGTCTTTGGCGTCGATGTCACGGCCAGCGTACATCGCCGCGAGGGGGATTTCAGCAGTTCCCGTCAGCGAGCGGGGCGGCTTGGTATTGCGATCGCGCTCGTTTTGTTCAATCGACCAGATCTGCTGCTCGTTGTGCTGGTCGCGGGGTTGGAAGCCGCACGCCTCGGCGATGTAGGAGTAGACGATTGAGGGCGGGGCGACGGTCTTCCAGCCGCGGCGCCGGGCTACGCTCAGTGCATATTGCACCAGTGCCTGTTCGAGCATGGCACCCTCGTTGATGAGGAAGTACCAGCCCCATCCGGTTGTTGTAGCGGAACTGGTGAAGTCGAGGAGGCCCAGCTCGCTGCCAATTGTGACGTGCGACCGCGCGCGAAGGTCGGCTGGGGACTGGGTGGTCCAGGTCGGAGGAGATTGCGGGTCGAAATTGAGGTAATTGATCAAACGCGGGACATCTCCGACGGGGGTTTCGGTGGATGTGAGGTTCGGCAGGGAAAGAGCGAGCCGGTGAAGGTCCGCGTCGCAGGTCGCCTTGCGCGAGGCCATAGCAGCAGACTCATCTTTTAGATGCTGTGCCTCGGATTTGAGCCCTGCGAGTTCCCCTGCCCTTTTATTGCCTCCTTCCTTGGCTGCATCCTGCCGAGCAGCAATAGACAGCTTCGCGATTGTTTTCTCCAGCTGCTTGATTCGGGAGCGCGGGGTCTTCAGGTCGTGATCGAGCTGCTTTGCCTCATCGTAAAGGGCCTGTATCCTTGATGGATATTCGGCGTGTCCTGCATAGTTTCGGTCGACGCAGTTTTGCGCGTAGAGATCGGCATTCTGGCGGATATGCTTGATGTCTGGCGTGGGCTTGGGAGCTGTCGCGGGCCGTAAGATCTGAGAGGTTCGCGGGGTCACAGAGAACTTGCGACGGAATGGCAATTGCGTTAAGCCATATCGAGGTGATAATCTGCAATGGAAGCAGACGTAGGGGGAGGGAGTAGCCATGGGCAGAGCGTTGAAAAGAGAAGCGCTGAAGGCCGCTCAGGATGTGGATCGTCCGATGAGTGGGTCCGATGCTTCTACGGTTTTGAAGGGTCTACTTCCTCCTAGTTTGGAGTTCTTTTAGATCGAGAGTCAGAGGAAGTATACTCCTAATTTATTGTCGCACTTGTCACATAGCTACTACCCTTCCTCATTTCCGCTTCGTAGCTTGCAGGAATGATAGATTTTTTTCATTCGGATGCCTCAGACCTCACAGTCCCAGCTTATACGGTTTGACCCTGGCGCCGATTCCCGATAGAGTGACGAGAAGAGCGATAACAACTAGCCATGTTGGAATGCCGATGGCTGCTAAGTTGTAGTCGGTCCGTGTCGCCGCCACGACAGTCGCACTCTCCAGCAATAGCAGAACATATCCGGCCCAGCGGTGGTACTTGTAGATTTGTTTACCGGTTTCCACGCTGCCCAGGATAGTGGCAGGCAAGAAGAACTGAACCACGCCGACGAGGGCCTGCAGCGCAATGAAGATGACTGTGAGGAGGCCGAGAATGCCGTGCGGGGAAGCAAAGTGCGGATGGTCGCCTTTGTTGACCTCGATAACGATGAAAGCAGCGAGGAAGCAGGTGATGCTGACAAGCTGAAGGCTATAATGAATGCGTGTGCCGAGTAGCTTTTGCTGAGGGGTTGCCGTTGGTTGCAGGACTAGTGCAGCTTGGATTTGGAGCAGCAGCCCCGAAGACGCGAGCAGCTGAACAAAGGAAGCGTCGGGTTAGACAGTAATTCGACCCTGATTCAAATAGTAATCACATACCGGATGAGCCGTGAAAAGAGCCAAGGGCTGTGTCAAGACGTTGGACCACACGAGAACGGCCAGCTTTTCAATTGTCAGTTATCTGATGATCTGATGAAATGCTGTGCGACTCCCTCAAGTCCCACAGGCTATTTGGAACTTACAATCCACACTCCAGCTTGAGCTACACTCGCGGTTCCTATATCCAAGTCAATGATGAGTTACAGCGGAGAGCAGCCCGGGGTATTCAACTCACCTGAAATGAGGTTGCGACCGACGCTTTCTCCCTGACTCTGCGTGGCATCTCCAGGACGGCCCAACAGAGGTGCGCTCTCCTGCGAGACAATGGTAGCCGGATCAGCCTGTGGGATTCCTGTGGCAGATGCCATTTTGTTTTTAATGCTGATGCTGATATGTGAAGAGGGGAGAGTGGCGACCCTGGATTCTTTGAAACCAGGAAATCGACCCCGGCCATTACCAAGATTCATGCGGCATGATCCCGCAATAGGATCGAAGCTATGCTTCTCGATTTGCGTGATCGTCTGCTACAATGACGATTTCATGCACTTTTTTTCATGCAGGAGATCGGTGGTGGGACTGGTTTACAGCTAGCCACGCCAGTCAACTTCCACCGATTGCCAATCGTGAAACCCCACGCTACTCGACCTAGAGGGCGAGATAACTCGACCTCATAGAAAGCCTGATTGCAATTTCTCCGAAAATTATACATTGATCAACTACCACGGCATTTTCAAAATGGGCCCGTCTTCTCCAGATCCCACGCGACCGAAGACCACTTCGGCACTAACATTCTTCGCGTCCAGATTCATCACGATGTTAAACAAGGAGCTGCTTCGGTTCGAAATATCGCGCGATGGATCTTCTTCGCAGCAAATTGACTGTGGAGCATTAAACGTATCCGAGAAGACACGTTCTCTCAGCAAAGTGGGCGTGATTGCATCCCCCTCGATACCATTTGCGATCAATTCCTGTGTCAATACACCCAGCCGCTTGAGGCGAATCGGGGATCCAGACAGCCACGGCGGCTCATCTACATATCGGTTCTCAATAAAGTGGTTGGTATGACCGATAATGCCCGATGCATCTTCAGGGATGTACTTGTTTCCGACCGGCGATAACTCAAGTCCCAAAGCCGTGGTACTATCAGCGATCAAGATATGCTGAGCCGAGGCAACTCCGCCGATCAATTCGAGAGTCTTCACAGCAGCTTCTGCCGAGTCACTCTCAAGACATAGCCGAAGAGCGACGTGGATCGGGATCTTGCTACTAATCATCGGTTTGGCACGGATGGCGTTCAGACAGGTTCCAACGCCGGCAGTGTTGAATCCGATCTTACCCACAATGCCTGCCTCGGTTACCATGTAAATCGTAGGCTTTCCAGGCTGCTCAATGGAGACCATGGCCAAGTTCTTGCTCACTCTTTTGGTCCAGTCCCAATTCTGAGACAAGACTCGTGAGTTGTTGTTCTTTTTCCAACTCAAAGTTGTACATCCGTCCGAGAACTTGCCCAAGGCGATCTCGCTGCGGCAGTTCAGAGCCAGGATGTCGAGTATGTCGAGCTCTGCTCCTTCGGCGATTCCCTCCATTTCGGTGTAGAGATGCGGCACTAGTTTCATAAGATGAGGTTGAAACTCCCGAGAAACCTCGCGCACCTCGGGCCATGATAGCTTCGAGGTGTATTGAAACAGGGCGTCGTAGACGCTGATTTGGCTACGGATTTGATCTCGCAAGGCTCTTCCATGGCTATATCCGATCTTCGATGTTTCGGATTAGTAAAGAAATTATCGAGAGGAGCCAGGTTTAACAAAGAGGGGAAGTACCTCGCGGGGACTGCCCGTCAATATGAGCTTCATTGGCTCCTCGTTTTGTGCCATTTTGGGTAGCAGTGATGGTAGTGAATTTGAACTGTAACACCAGCCAAGAGAAGAGGATCTATGAAGTTCTCACTCTTTCGTATTTACGCTGCAACGCTGATTCAACAATGAAGCTGAGTCGCTTTCTTCCTTCAGTTGGAGTCGAGCGGGGGTGAGCCGATAAGGTAGCAGATTCGCAATGACCTGCCTCAATTGGCCAAGTCGGCAGATATCCAGGATCTCCTCAATAAGAGAAAAAAAAAAGAAACCAATGTTGTGAAGGCAACTGACTGGAAGAATTGCTAATACGTATTGCTAATCAAAGCTCTCTTGGGTGACTTTTACTCCAAACCCCAACAGCCAGGCCGAGGCATCTTGCTCAAGGGATTATGGTTGGAGTATTAGTTAGCCATTCATGAATCTATTCTCGTTTTATCAAGTGCTTGAACAGCTTATCTAGATAATAAGCAGATTGCTTTGGATAGCGAGTCTTTTCTTTAGACTCAAAGTCGATGAAAGTGCATCCAAATCGGTCTGAATACCCAGCCGCCCATTCTATATAATTGTCAGTCAGGCTCAGATGGGCGATTTTGTCGTCTACTTACCCCAATTGTCGGTAAAAGTCCACGCAAAGTACGATCGAATATCCACGCCATCCTCTTTGACAGCCCGAGCCAGCGCATTACCCACATAACCCTCAAAGAAGCGAATCCGAAACTTGTCATCAAGGACCTCTGGTGTTGGAGCTACTTCTCCTTTTGCTGTGGTACCATTCTCCGTCACATAGATCGGCGTTTGGTATCGATCATAGATCCAATTCAACAACTTCCTAAATCCCCAAGGTGAAGAACGAAGCCACTCCGTATCACTTTCCTCTCCACGCGGCACACCCCTCTTATTCTCATCATGGATCTCCACATTTCCCTTATGATCATTAATATCCGGCGGCGTCGTCGTATGCTTCACGAAAAATGTCGTATAGCTGTTCATCCCATAAAACTCCGAACTGCCCAGCACGAGCTTCGACTCTTCCTCCGTAAATGTCGGCAATCGATCACCAAGCTGCGCCCGCATTGATGCAGGATAATCCCCCGTCCTATAGACGGGGTCTGCAAACCACGATATCTCAAACTCGCGCGCCCGCTCAGCTGCCTCCTGGTCGCGCGGGTCATCCTCATCCCACGGCTCAGACCAGTTCCCGTGCAGCGTGATTCCAATCGTACCCTTTTGATGAGGTTTAAACTCCTCCCGATACATCCGAGACACATGGCCATGGGAAACTAATTCCGTGTGCGCGACGATAAAGGGTTCCGTCGAGGAATCGCCTTCGGCATTGCGTTCTCTGAATGATGATCGAGCGGGTGCGTGGACACCAGCTGCATAGCCAGCGAGTGTGTATACGCCAGGCTCGTTATATGTTATCCAGTGCTTGACTCGATCGCCGAAACGCTCGAAGCAAACTCGGGCATATCGTACAAAATCAGCTGTATAGGCATCCTGATTCAGCATTCCTCCGTAGCGATCTTCCAGGGCCTGAGGAGTGTCCCAGTGGAAGAGGGTGACGAAGGGTGTGATGCCGTGCTTCAGAAGCTCATCGATCAAATCCGAGTAATATTTGATGCCCTGTTCGTTGACAGGGTCGTCGTGACCTCCGAGTGGGATGATGCGAGACCAGGCCAGGGAGAATCGGTAAGCGTTCACACCGTAAGATTTCATCAGCGCAACATCTTCGCGGTAAAAGTCGTAGGCCCGTACAGCGTCATCTGCGGTACTTCCGTCGGAGACTTTCCCTGGAGTGTGGCCGAAGGTGTCCCAGATGGAGACTCCTTTGCCATCTTTATCCCACACGCCTTCAATCTGCGCCGCGGCAGTTGCATATCCATGGAAGAAATCAGGACGGAGAGCGCCTTTTAGGTCTTGAACTGATTCCAAGTCCATAATGGAAAACTTGATCACTCGATCTGGGAGGCCGGGATGTAATGCTTTGATCGTTCTAGAGCTTGATGCTTGAGAGCATCAACAAGATTTAGAAATTGTTTGCAAGCTTCCGGCTAAGATGGTATATTTGTCTCGGGATAATGAACATTCATCCAGCGCCCGGCAAATACGGGGTTTTGCTCCGTGACTGTTTAGGGAAACCCCAACGAACACAAAGTGCGGAGAAGTAGAGGTCCGCCCTACCTTGAGAACTCATCGGTCTAGCACTCAATACCAGGAAATGTTGGAAAGGAAATCAAGTGTAATTCATGTGTTGTTCTTCTACCGCTGAAGAAGATTCAGAGCACTATGCATTGATGAAATGATATTCGCGAGAGGCATCAGATCCCTTGATGTTCACCCTGCGCCCATTCTTCCCAGGAAAACAAATAATGGTCTCACTTCCTTGCGAAATGACCATTACCTGGCCAACGATACGGCCACTTTCCCAACTAAAATGTAATTCGAATCCACCGCGTGCCTTTACCCCGCGGATGGATCCAGTCCAACTGTTCGGACATGCAGGAAGAAGCCGGATCAAGCCTGGCTCATGCGATTGCACGAGCATCTCGACGATGCCCGCTGCCCCACCAAAGTTGCCGTCAATTTGGAATGGCGGATGACTATCCAGCATATTGGGAAGAGTAGAGTGAGACAAAAGCAAATTCAAGTGTTTGCTGCATTCTTCAGCTTCAAGTAAACGAGCATGCAAATTGACAAGCCACGCTCGGCTCCAGCCTGTATGTCCACCGCCATGTTCGGCTCGTCTGCGCAGCACGACGCCGCATGCCTCTGCCAGCTCAGGTGTTTTCGATGGCGTGATTGCGTTGCCTGGGTACAAGGCCCACAGATGCGAAGTATGGCGATGTCCTGGCTCAAACTCATCATAGTCCATAGCCCACTCTTGTAGATATCCCGAAGTGCTGATTTTCATCGGTGGGAGGCGGGTGCGAATAGTCCTGATTGCAGATACGAGAGGATCTTCCACGCCCAGCTCATTGACACATGACTCAAAGGCAGCCAGAACAGCACTGACAATCTGTATATCGATTGTGGATCCTTCGCACAAGACACCTTTCTGTCCGTTGTCGTAGAACGTGTTTTCTGGGGAAACAGATGGACTCGTAATGAGGTATTCTCCAGTCTGATCCTCAACCAGGAAATCGACGAGAAACTCCACACATCCTCGTAGAACAGGGAACATCCGTCGAAGAAAGTCATGACTCCCGGTAAACTGAAATCGCTCCCAAATGTGATAGCATAGCCAAGCACCGCCGAGCGGCCAGATAGTTGCCGGCATCCATCGATCGACGGGGGCAGTGTCGGCCCAGATATCGGTACAGGAATGGGCAGCCCAGCCACGACATCCATACATGACTCGAGCTGTGGTTTTCCCTGATTCAGCCATTCTCTCTAATAGATCGAAGAGCGGGAGCTCGCATTCAGCTAAATTGCAGATGTTTGCGGGCCAGTAATTCATTTGTAGATTGACGTTGATGGTGAACTTTGAGCCCCATGCTGGGTGAAATGATGGATTCCAAATGCCTTGTAAGTTTGCAGGAAGGGCTTTATCTCCTATACGACTGCAGGATATTAGAAGATACCGACTGTAGTTGTGGTAGAGGGCGATCAAGCCAGGATCTCGCGACGTCTGGATACGCTTGTCGGTTGGGATATCAGGATGACTAGGGGTCATTCGGAGTTCCATTCGGGCGAAGAGGGACTGATAGTCCACAATATGTCTTCTATGCAGCTCTGAAAAAGAGCGACGGAGATAATCTAGAGCCTTTTTGATGTCTTGTGAAGTACGCTGGTCAACGTCTGAGTGACGGAATGTAGTTTGTGCAGCGATCAGAATCACGGTGTCCTTGGAGTTAACGACCAAATTGTTCCCAATTGATGTGACATCCCCTGTGTTATCCAAGCAGTGAGCGGCCACTATGCAGCATGCACGATTGCTATCCCGGCCTCCTGGGGTAACATGCATCCTGATATAGTCACCATTGGCGCAGACATCGTCCAGATACTCATTGGTTTCAAAGTCAAGCTCGCTCATCCGAGTCAATCTGAGAACAAATCTAGATTCGACTCCAGATGTAATACGAATAGCAATGACTTTATCAGGGTGACTGGCGAAGATCGTCCTCTTCCAATGATGTCCCTGGTAGTTGTACTCAACGCATGCTGTGGCATCCTCGATATTCAACGACCGTCGATACTCAGTGACATGATCTGGCTTATGGCCAAAATCCATAAACAGAGTACCGAGGGGCTCATATTGTCGTTGGCTGATCGGATTGGCGAAGAAGGCAAGTGTGGCCAGCTTCTCGGCCTCTGCATGATCTCTAGCACGAATGGCCTGTCGTAACTGGGGAAGATATTTGAGCGCATCTCTGGGATTGCGGTCCTGGGCATCTCCATACCAGATCGAGTCTTCATTTAGCGCCAGCATCTCCGTGTCCGTGCGGCCATAGACCATAGCGCCGAGACGCCCATTGCCGACTGGTAAGGCTTCATTCCAGTCCCGCGCAGACTGTTCATACCATAGCTCTTCCATTATGGTATCTTCTTGTTCCACCAATCTGCTCAAGTCGATGGATCCTGCTGAAATAAAAGAGAGGAAAGTCAAGATGATGAGACCTGGTTTTTTGGCTAGCCTGTGATCTCGACCTTGAGCGACGATGAATTGAACACCGGTTGAGACGAAATGTCCCGGTTTCCCTCCAAGTCAGCTTAGCTTTGAGCCAACGACACGGACTAGCGTGATCGGCATGGCGGTTAGCTTTGGTCTAATGCAACGGGGTCTTCCCCGCAATCGTACCCCAATGGTGGAGAATCTCCAGCCATCGCCACGGCGCACCTCACGAATCGTAAGAACCAGTCGGAACGGTTTATCAAGATAACCTGGCATCGCCTGCAGTAGAAACCTCCAGCCTACTATGTCGAGCCGCCTACTATGTCGAGCCGCCTACTATGTCGATCGTCAGCGTGACCCGACTTAATCTGACAATCCGGTGATCTGCGGCCAATAAAAGGTGGTTCTTCCAGCAAGGTTAGGCCGTGGCAGGCGAGATGACCCAGCCATTTAGTCCACATACTGCCCTTTTCGCCTCGGACACTTGGCATCTCCGTGGCAGAATGGAATGTGGCCATAATAAGTGTACTTCTTCAATTGGTTGTCCGATCCAGCCTCGTGAAGCTATCCATGTCGACCGAAACAGAAATACCAAGGGTCAACCCCCTTGATTTCCTGGTTCTTGCAAAAGGAAGGCTTCGAAAACTCTGCGGAGCTCGACTTTGGCAATTCCTAGCCATCTTGCAACATTGATTGGCGCTAATCGGGATACTTCTACGAACCATGGCGAAATCAGAAAATACGGATGTGTTGGAGGCCGAGATGATCAAGGGCGGCGGAGAATATATCGAAGAAATTGCTCTTGCCCGCTTGACTGAGGAAGATCTATGGAAGCTATCTCAGGAGTCGCTGACCGTCTGGTCATGGACTGGCATTCGTCTAGGCCTCATCATGTTCGTCCATGGCTGCAACCAAGCCGGCTTTGGTATCGACTGGGGCGTGATCAGTGGTATCAGCGCTTTGAAACCTTGGCATGACTACTTTGGCTTCGGCACTTCAGGGGGTACATACGGTCTGATTAATGCTCTGATGAGCATCGGTACTGTCTGCGGTGCTCCGTTCATGGCCTTTGCGGATGTGATAGGTCGTCGTGGTATTAACTTCGTCGGAAATGCCATTGTCATATTTGCCGCCATTCTGCAGGGCTGTGCCATCAATTTGCCGATGTTCATGGCTGGTCGCTTCTTTATGGGCTTTGGCACTGCTCTCATGTCCAGTTCTCAGTACATTGGAGAGATTGCACCGCTTCATCTCCGTGGTCGCATGGTTGGCTTCTTCGGCGCCTGCTTTCAGATTGGTAGTTTGGTCATGCTGGGAGCTATGATCGGGCTCTCCAACCTGCCTGAAAACAACTGCTGGCGGATTCCTTTGATTCTCGAGGCTGCCTTCCCTGCCATTGTCTGTACCACAATCTACCTCTTGACTCCAGAGTCCCCCAGATTCTACATTATGAAGGGGATGCGCGAAAAGGCCAAGGAAGTCGTGGCAAAATATCACACCACCTCTACAGATATCAACCAGCCAATTGTCGAGATCCTGGTGGCTCAAATGGAAGAATCTCTTGAAAGCGATCGAGAGGGAGTCCGATCTTTCTGGGACTACCGAGTCTTCTTCACCAAAACGGCTCGGTATCGACTGCTTGTTCTGGTGCTTTATTCAATCTTCCAGCAATGGAATGGAGGAAGTATCATCACATACTATGTAAGCTCACCCCCGCGACTGCACTTGCTATCATTTGTTCATACATCTTTTTCCTCCAGATGGCAGCAGCATTGGAAACCATTGGTATTGACGGTACTCAACAACAACTCGGCATCACGATCGGAACAACGGCAGTCTACTTTGTTTTCACGGCACTCGGCTCTCTTCTTGTTGATAAATTCCGCAGACGAACCCTGATCTTTGCAGGCCTCATCAGCATGATCATTTTCCAGACAGCTACTACCATCACATCATGGAAATATAGTCTCCACGCTAGTCACGCTACCGCAGCACTCACTCTTCTCTGGATCTTCCTGTACCAGACCTTCTCTGCCACGCTGATTGCAACCATGCACAATCTCTACCCAGTCGAGGTACTGTCACTCCCCTTCGTGCGAAGGGAATGGGGCTTTACAGTCTGATCCAGGGTGGCGCAGGTGCCGTTCAGACGTATGGTATTGGGGTCGGCATCGGCAAGGTCGGATACAAGATCTGGGTGGTATACATCGCATACAACACCGTCCAGCTCATCTTATCCTATTTCATCTTTCCCGAAACCAGTGGCCTGAGTTTGGAGGAGATAGATAGTGTGTTTGAAACCCCTGGCGTTGCACCTGTCAAGATGTCCCTGGATATTCAGAAAGCTAAGAAGGAACGAGCAGCAGCAAGACGGGACGAGGAGTCTAGGTTCCTGCATTGATCTAGTGGTACTGAATCCCCTTTGTCCCTGAAAATCCATTCCGATGAATCAGGCACTCGTTGGAAATTTTTCCAAAGGCAACCCTTAACTTAGCTGTAGGCATCTGACTCAATACGCTGCACCTATCCGGCTCCTTGGAGATCCGAGCGTATCTCGAAGAGGATTGTCCTCTTCAAAGATAAATGGGCACAAGTCTCTTGCCTTCTCCAGAAGCTTCAATAGGAAACGACATTGAGTGTTCCCGTCTTAGCGTATGCCACACCAGCAAAAACCCAATGTCCACGCGGCAAGGATGAAACGAAGTCGGATCCGATTGCAAATGTGCGTACCCGTTCGGAGGGATGCTTGTTCTGTTGCACCGTTTCCGTCTTCCATCGCTTGGACCTTGAAGAGAGACAGAAGCGTAGATTACAACTAAAGCCTAGATTCTTGAAGGAATTCTGTACAAGTGTCATCTGCTGGGCTCGTCAGGGCGGCAAGAATGCCAAATCCAGTGATGTGACGTGCCCTTCAGTTCGGCCGTGTCCATGTGTATTGGGAACTCTGATCCTTTTTTTTTCTCCGAGAATCGTTGCCACCAGTCTGATTGCCAATCCAATCTCAGAAGTGCCCTCTATTGCGGAATACAGCGTTGCACAGACAGATCAGGTACCGAGTTAAGAGACTCCACAAACTCCCCCTTTCAGGTAGATGCACTGAAGCTCCTATATTTCATACCGTCGCTCAATTAGCGTTGTATTTGGTCCATGAATATAGGCAAATTATGACAATTAATTGGACAAGAGCTATGAGTGGAGGGAGTTGCCGGTATACGACCCGAGGCAACGATGTCTTATATGTCCTGCTCTTCCAGTACTGCCTAGTGATGTTTGCTAGATACACTACTTGAATACCCCAATGACTATTTCTACTACAAATCTTTATTTTGATAGGCAATGAACGATGAGCGCTTCGAGTCCTTCAACATAGTCACATTTTTCTGTCTCCTTGTCGCACACAGCGTGATCCTGTTTGTATGATGTCGATACTATCATCAGTCGGAATATTAAGCCTTTGAGACGATACTTACCCTGGCTACTCCTTTTCACAGAGATGCCAAGTTCCTCGACCCAGCCGATCAGAACATGGACATGATATCTGTCTCAAACAGCATGGAAAAGCACGGTGAGACGACGGGTAAACTGAAATGACTGGCAGGCCACATCAACTCTAATTTCGTGTCATCTCCCTCTACCTCGCCTATCAAGATCGAGAGCCAGCTGTAGCTTCCACGTATGCAAATCTCTATTTCCCGCGTGGCAGCGGTGAAAAGGTACAATCCCGGTGTCAGTGTTCAATTGGTGATGGCGGATTTGTCGAATCTTCTACTATGATCCGAGCCGATTCCCGCACAGGTGTTCTTCGAAACCTCTACAGACCCAGAGATGTAGATAGGACCAACGTGCGGGCAGGCCATACGGACTGAGACGGGACTGCATTTCCCATGCTTCCAGCAGATTCTTCCATGCACGGTTGCGCGGGTGAAAGAGGAAGCATCGTGTCACCGTCGGACTGCCAATGAGCCACCGAGATAGTGTCGCTATACGGTCCATTGGCTCGGCCTTCACGAGACAAATGACCAATTTTTTTTTTTCTTTCTTTTTTTCCCTAAAAAAAAAAAGAGTTGAACGGGACGTCACTTTCTTTCAGTGTGAATGAGCGCGGAGGGGGTAAAATGGGGAGATTGATCAGGCTTCTTCCTGTGTCCTTTAAACTCCTTCTGCTTTGGGATGACCAGATCTTGTCCGATACTCTCCGCAACACTGACAGGTTTGTGGTCTCCTAGGAATCCCCTTAGTATTACCCTGGACGTGGACTGTCGGGTATTGAAAGGTTAGCTCTCTTCATCAAGTCAAGGGCAGCGGACAGCGGAGTATGTTAGGAAATATAATTAGGTACTGACGCCCAGAAGTTCTGCCCATCGTCGGTCTTTGATTTCTGGCATTCGCTACTCAGGTGTTTTTCGCCACGGTCTCGATTGTTTGCCCCAAAGGGACATTGCGTGATTCATTTGTTGTTTCTGTTTTCGTCGCCGCCAAAGGTCTTTTTATCTTTTTATACCTACGCATGCTCCAGACTGAGGACATATCACCGTACCGTCCTTATGAACAATTCTCTTCCCACCTCAGCCTACCTCTTCAACCAGCCTACTTCCCACAGCGTTCAGAGTCACCGACGGACACACACCATCTTTCCGCTATGCCACTCAAGAATGCCCAAGATAGCTCTGCGATGCCCGAGGCACAAGGGTTGAGGTATAACGAATCCAAAATGGCCCTCTTCCATGCACGGCTGGCCTACGATTCCACGGTCGACGAACGAAAGGCGTCCCAAGATCCCAATCTCGTGTCAATCTCCGAGGCTCAAGCCAAGATCCTTAAGCGCTGGGACTTGCTACAGCAGGCTGAGGAGGAGCTAGCCGCACAGGGGAAGAGTTTATCCCCGACCGATAAACGACAATTGATGCAATATGCATGGAGATTCAAGCACCTGGAACAGACAGCGACCAAGACAACTGGAGGATAGAGTGGAAAAGGGTTTTTTTTTTCTTTGGATATTTCATTGCGCGTTAGTTCAGGCCAAGGGAAGCTCCGAGGAGCACATCCAAGGTTTGCTCGAGGGAGCATCTCTGGGATTGCATCTACTGTCTTGCTCATGGGTTGACGCTTGCTGGTTCTCGTTTGCTTTTTCCATGTTGTTCTCCTTGTCTATAATTCCATCCTTCTTTCCTAGCTTTCTGTTCTCGGGCATTTCAGAGCTGGATAGGATATCAAATAGAGAAAGTCGACCCGAAAGTCATTTGCAGATGTATGTTTGCATGTTGCATGACCGTAGAGAGTCCATGTTTCCTTAAAAACACTCGAGATGTGATCCCGTAGACCGTCGCACAAGCAGCCTAGCAATCTGGTCGACATTGCAACAGTAACTTGCGTGAGACTGTTTCTCAAGTGCTCAAGGACGGGCCCAGGCCCCGACTAGAGATTGCCTAACCAAGCCTCAGCTTCGCGTGGAGGCCCGATCATCTGAAAGTCCGGGGGGCAAGGTTTTCATCGCATGACTTTGTGCCATCCAGAACGTCCGAAGAATGGAGTATATCACAAATTACCACTTGAGTGTCCGGAAGTGGCTCTGCATCCTGCATTCCGGCCGAACTCCGGTGTCGTGCTGCTCGCATTGAGGTGCGGTCGAACATTCACCCTGACTTGTAGGCTAGTTCCCTCTTGATTCTGGGAGCTTCACAATTGCTCAGTATAGGTCACCCAGGGAATGAGTGTAGTTCCAGAAGTCGACATCGGGATACAGTGTGGTCTGGCCTTTCCGGGTTCCATTTTCGATGAGGGCGCTCCGGCTCCGACTCACTAAGTAGATGCCAGTACAAGTGATCACACCAATGTAATGAAGTGATTGCTTACTAAAGTACAATGATCGCTCACTCCATGCTATCAAATAATGCATCGCTGTTATTCCAAAGATGGAAGTGAATCCAGTCATCAATACTGGGGGAACGTTTTTAGTGTCTGATGGAAATTTCAAAAAAACTTACAAAAGCTCGAGCTTCCCTATATCAGGTAGACATGAAGACGCTTTTTCCATTACAGGATTATAATTCGTGGACAAGTTCCAAACCATTACCAATTCCCTCTTTGGAAACCTAAGATTGTCCTGCCTCTTCTTTATACTGGTCTCGTGGTCATGATTTACATGGGAAGTTTCCCCCTGTAAACCAAAAAGTTCTTTGGCTAGCTGCGACGAGAAAGCCAAAGGAGATGCCATCTTCAAAAGGACGAAAACGGGTCTATCTGCAGGGCTCACTGTGAAGAAGACTCGATTCGAGAAGTAGATAGGAAATCACCTGAGACAAGCAGATATATCGAGACAGCCTCAATCTCGAGCTGAAGTATGTTTCGAACCCGAGGAGAGACCTCTTCAATGATTCAATTGTTGACCATCTCCTAGCTTTCTAGAGGACTCGTGAATGGATACTAGCAGTATAAGACTGTTGTAGCTTATTTGCCTCTGTATTATCACACAGTCAAGGTACGTATATGGAGAGGTTCTTCAGTGAAGTCAAAGTTCTACGAAATCAGACGTGCGAAAACATCCCGAAAAGAACTCGTACGAATAGAAGATCGCATTTGTAAATATAAGCAAGCCGCTTTATCCGGAAAATGTTCCATTCATAGAGCCGAGGAATGGCATAACAGAAAAACAACAAATATCAAATGTAGCCAACGACGCCTCAATCTAATCTCGCACCATTCAACTGTGCAGGGTATCATTTGTAACCGGGTCGAAAAAGAAATCATTTGTCATCTGGCGTCTTCGGCAAGGGAAGTTGAGTATCACGCTGTAGATCACGCTGAGTGTCATCGGAGCCTGAAGAAGAAAAGCTAGTCGGTGTACCAGCCTCATGGCTAAGACTTGCTCTAGAGCTCTTCTCGCGAATAGCCAGACGAGTGCGCGGATGCGGAGGCATCGGCGCAAGGTATTTATCCAGTAACTCGCTCAAGATGGGCGAGCGGACTGGCTTGGGGAGGTAGTTGTTCATGCCGGCCTCGAGGCATTTCTCCTGTCGCCTTCAATGGCACTGGCTGTCATGGCGATGACGAGAACTTCGTTCACATTTGGATCCGGGTCGCGTCGGAGTTCGCGCGTGGCGTTGTAGCCGTCCAGTGTGGGCATCATGACATCCATGAGGACGATGTGGAAGGGGTTGCCTTCTTTGGATTTGGCGCGGAGGGCTTCGACGGCTTGTTTACCGTCACTGTAGGCTTCGCATTGCAAGCCCAGACCGGTCACGAATTTAACAGCGATCTTCTGGTTGATGGGGTTGTCTTCGGCGATACAAACGCGGATCTGGTTACGAGGAATTTGAGTGAGATCGCGGGTTTTTGCCCGGTTTCCGTCTCTATTCTGTTGTGCATGCTTCAAGTCTTGGGACCAGGGCGTCTTGACGGCAGTTTTCTTGGGTGCTTTGTTGAAGACCAAATGGAAAGTGACCGTGGTACCAACACCAGATTCGGACTCTAGCCAGATGGCTCCTCCGAGAACATCCTCGATAATGGCCTTGCAAATGCTCAGTCCCAGTCCACTGCCACCATATGATCGCTCAGTGGAGGGGTCAGCCTGCGAGAAAGGTCGGAAAAGGCGGACCTTCTGCTCGTCGGGTATGCCAATTCCAGTGTCGGCAACGGAGCATTCTAAGCGTACACGACCCTTACCCTCACGAGCAACCTTCGCTTTGACGGTGATAGAGCCTTTGGGTGTGAACTTGTAACTGTTACTGAGTAAGTTCATGAAGATCTGATGAAGACGAACAGGATCGCCGAGAACGACAAGTTCCGGTGGCACGCGCTCCAAGTCCTCAATGGTTTCTAAGCCTCGCTCACGGTGAGTATAGCGAAGAGCACGAACCACCTCTGAGATCGTTTCTTTCAGGTTCAGTGGAACAGTGGAGATTTTCATCTTGCCAGCCTCCAGTTTAGAGAAGTCGAGAATGTCATTGATGAGCGTGAGCAGTGTGTCGGCACAGACACGAATGGACTCAACGTATTCATCTTGCTCCTTATTAAGCCTGGTACCCTTGAGCAATTCGGAAAGCCCAATCACGCCGTTCATCGGAGTGCGCAGATCGTGGGAGATGTTGGCAAGGAAGATAGACTTGGCTCGAGCAGCGTCTTCCTTCAGCTTGACATTATGTTTGGCCTCCGCTTCTGCCACCTTTGCTTTTTGTTCCGACTCTCGTGCTTGTGCAAGCGCACGTCTCTGGGATTCAATCATCGATGCATTCTTCGCACTGACCTTGCGAATCTCACGGAATAGCAAAGCGTTTGAGAGTGAAATTCCGATTTGATTGCAGAGCAGGTGTAGAACGACTACATTGCGCTGCGTGAACCAGTTTGGTTTGCCTTCCAAGTGGATTACTCCAAGGAGGTGATCGCCTTGAACAATCGGGAGAGCGATGACAGACCGGCCCAGCGGGTAATTAGCATGGTAGGCTTCCGCCACGTTGGAGAATCGCTCGTCCTCAAGCACGTTGTGAACAAGAACCTCCTCCTTCGTGCGCATCACATAGTGCGAGATATGTTGAGCCATGAGACTCTCCATTTCTGAGAAAGGAAGGCCCTCCTCGTAGTACTTCTGGCTCTTCTCGGCATTCACAGCTGCGGCAATCGCAAATCCATGGTCCTCAAAGTCTGTAGCAATGACAGCAAAGTCAGAACCATTGCATGACTCCAAGATAATCTCAAGCATCTTAGTGAAGAGCTTGTCAATCTGAAGCTCGGATGACATCACCTGGCTCGACTCGAGTATACTGGATAGATCGATAATGTCTTGTTTTGTTAGCTGCGTAAGAACCAGAAAGGGCAAATATCTCCTTACCGAGTCCAACACTCGAAATGTCCATTGAGCTTTCACCAGCCGTGACACCATTCTGTTCAATCCACTGTTTTCGCCTCTCTTCGTCCTCGATCTGCGAAGGCAGTACAATTTCCTCTTGCACGGCGTCACGGGTGATCTCAGCGAGCGAGTCAATGGTTTGGCAGCCAGCATCCATGGTCCTGGCCGACGTGGCGGTCTTGAGCAACCATTCATGCTTCTCCGCAAGTACCGTTGCCTTTCCGCTGGCACTGACGGAGCTCCAAGCGGCAATGGCATCTTGTATCATTGCACGAGCAGCCCGCTTAGCCCCGCGCCTGATCAAGAACTCACCTTGTAACTCAAGGGCAAGTGCTTCCTCGAGAGGCCAGCCGTGGATCTGGCAGTGATCTATGGCAGCCTCGAACGCTTGTATTGCAGAGCTGTGGTCGTTTCGAACCTCGGATATGAGGGCATCAAGTAATAAAGCCCACATCCCATAATTTGCATCTGAGCAGCTCCGGGCGAAGTCAATCTCGGCCTTATACTTGAGTATAGTATCCATTTTCCCATCAAGGTATCCCTGGGCGGGATTGTCATTGTGGAGCGTCAATAATGCAATAGACAGGTAGAAATAGATGATGTAGGTCACACGCACAGACCACAATTTGTGAGCCGTCTCAAGCAATCTAGTGCCCACTTGGATCGCTCGGGTGTGGTGGCCGTAAAGGAAAAGTGGGATCATGGAGAGACCATAGTAGATGTCGCGAGGTCTATCGGCATTGCTAGCGTTGGCATCCAAGTAAGCCATGTATGTACTCGTGTGGTGTTCTTCATCTGAGAGAATATCATCGGCGCTTTGGTACTCAGTCCTGCCTTGGAGGGCCCGTGCTACCTGTCGGACAGCAATTATACTAGCACCGCCGCGGGTGTCCTGGGCCCAATTATGTATGTCTTCAGGAGTTTCCATGCAGAAGAACTCCAGTTGAGCCATGTCCTGGCCAAGGTAGAGTCTTGTCATGGCCATTGATGAGATGCTGATCAGTGTGATGTATGGATCACCTATTGTAAAGGACGCCTCTAAGGAAGCTTCAAGTGCTGGTAAAGTCGAGGCCAAGGGAATGCGCAAGTGGCTAACATAGAGACTGTGGACGATGGACCCCCTGCTCTGAGTCCATAATTCTGGGCAGTGCTCAAGGAGGGAAAGAGAGAAGTCACTGAGCTTTGCCCCCAAGACAACATCTTTAAAGCGGCTAAGGGAGATCATAGCGAGATGCGAGCAGCCGATTGAGACCTGGGTGAAGCCGCCTCGGAAGATGTGAATGTTCATCATCTCAATTGCCATTCGGTAGAATGTCAAGGCATCATCCCAGAAAGTGACGGCCATCGCCTCGGCCATAACGGCGCCAATAGTTATAAGATTAGGATCCTTGCTAGGAGGCTTTCGGGCGATAGCGTCCCAATCTGCAGCTTCGAGATATGTCTTGAGCTTCAGGTAGGAGACGTCACATTCTTCGAAGGTAGTTGGCGACCGAAGATGGACGCCAAGCTCATCAAGACAGGTAAGCAGTGCCTCCATTGAACGATGGTGGTCTCCTAGTTGGGCATAAATCTTGGCTTTGATGACCCAAGCTCTCGACTTGCTCACCGCGTCCTTGCCATGGACGAAGACGGCTTCTATCAATGTAAGAGCTTCCTCATTCTGGCCTTGGGACCATGACATTTCAGCCGCGGCGATGAAGAGACGCATGGTCTCGTCATAAAAAACGTCGGCTTGGCGATCATCCCACGGATTGTCTTGCAGCAGTGCAATGCAATGCCGGAAGTACCATAGAGCAGTGGGTCTTGCACCAGACTGGGCGGCCGTCTGGCCAGCTTCCCAAAGGATGCGTCGGTAGTCAACACGCCGACGAACTGAAGACTTGATTGTGCGCGAGGCGAGTGCTACATGGTGTGCCATGGAGTAGCGGCTGCGGTGGTCATGATAGTATCTCATCAAAGCTTGTGAAACAACGAAATGCATCTTCTCCACATTACGACCTTCGCTCAATTGAAGTGCCGCCTGCGCAAGTCGATCATTGCCAAATTTGAATTCATCGTCCGTTTTTCCTGTGTTCAGAAGGTTTGATTGGACCAAGTATTGTAGGCCAACGACGATGTCACCTTCAGATTGCCTGATCAGCGTATCATTGTGGGGGGATGTGAGATCAAGGTCGTCGTCATCGTGCGACGAGAAGAGAAATTCACTTGTCAGAAGCCTTTGGACCAAAGAGAAGGAGAACGGGCTGCCAAGAAGAGCACCCCATACCAGGATTGACCGGGCCGCGGCTGGAATCTCTTGAAGACGCTTGGTTAAGAAGCCTAGCCCCAAACCTTCGCCATAAACAGGCGCCACAAATTCGGTGAAGATCCGGTCAAGATCAAATTCCCACTTCGAGTCTTTCCAGGAATACCAGATGCAGTTCTTGCGGTAACATGTTTCCAGCATCACTCTCACATAGAAAGGATTGCCCCTGCTCTTTTCTTGAATGACAGCCATCAGTGGAGTCAGCGTCGGATTAGGGTCCTGATGCATCGTCGCCGCCACAAACTCCATGATATCGTCCTCCCCAAGTGGCTCAAGCTCAATCCGCGTGGCGTTGGAGCCATCCATATCGAATAAGGCCCGAATATCATCCGAGGGTATCTCATCCTTGCGACTGCTCAATATGAGGACGCAGGGCAATTTCGCTCGGATGATGTTCAGAATCAATTCCATGGTCTCATCATCTGCATACTCGAGATCATCCAGGCATATTGTGATCAACCGGAAATGACAAAGAGTTTTGAGAATCTCGACAAAAACATCCATCAGGCGCATGTTATTGGACGCAGCATTTGCTAAGAAGAAATCGGCTGAGCTTTGACCCTGGTCCAACCACGGAATGTTGACACGCTTCGAAGACTCGCCACTTTTGACCACATCCGCTTTGACCAACTGAGGAGTGGGCATTTTCGGTGAAGGCTTGTATTTCGCGCCGGGGGACATCAGTTGCTCGGGGAGTTCCAAGACGCGATGAAGGGTCGGCCACATCGGTCGTAGAGCATTCCGAATGCTGTTGTGATAATCGGTCATTACATCTCCCTCAGAGAAGATTTGGCGCAGAAGACTGGCTACGACTTTGGCGAAAGGCTCGAAAGGTACTCGCTTAGCTTTGTCCAGGCGAGTGATGGCAACGTAGCCACTTTTGCGAATGTTTGGTTGCACTCGGTTGACAAGATCTGTTTTCCCTATTCCAGCCGGGCCAGTGATTGTGATCAACTCGCATCGTCCATTACGCCGGAACTTTGCCCCAGCTTTTGTTTTACCCACAGAGTTAAATGAATCTGTCTGGCTGAAGACATTGCTTGACTGGTGACTGCCTCCAGAGGGATGACTCTGGTTATCCGTCTGATGTGAAGCCCGAGAATGAGAAGGACTTTTTAGTTTGCTCGTAATTGGGACGACAGATGACTGGCTCGTTGTATCTTGTCCCGAAGAATCGTGAGTACTGACAGATGCGAGATGATAATTCGTTGCGGTCGAGTTTGTGCGTGGGGAAGATGTAAAGATCCGGAATCACTGGAAACAGAAGCGAGGTCGAAGCTATCCACACGGCCGTCTGAAGCCGAAGAGCCGGAAGCAAGAGCATGAGCTGCTCCGGGGCTCTGTATTGACGCCTTTGCTGCTGCAGATGTCTGACGCTTCTTGACCCTTTCGACTACGGTCATGATTTGGTCGTACTCTTTTTGTCGACCAAACATTTGGGAGGGGAGAGTAAAGAATGATGATACATCGCGCTTCGCGATTTGAAACTTGTTCAAGGCTTCGCTGTCTCCATCACCTAACAACTGTGCGATCTGCGACAAATCTCGCTTCACGGACGAAATAGTGTGATAGCGATCATGGACAACTTTCTGTGTCATTTTCTGGACGACGGCGGAGAGTGCATCAGGGACATCCATTCTTTTCGAAGAAACTGGTGGTAATCTTTTGCTCAGGACGTTCTGCACCACCTCAACAGGATCACTACCTTCAAAAGGCAGTTTCCCTACTAGCATAGACCAAAAGAAAAGTCCTAACGCATAAATGTCTGTGCGGCTGTCTGGTTCAGTCGGCATCCTGCCGGTCTGTTCTGGGGCAATGAACTGCAGTTTATATTTGGCCCCCAGCTCCCTTGAAACCGAAGACCAGCCTTCGCTGAGAACATTGTCGAATGCCCGTGCACCATTGCCGATATTTGCCAATTTCACGGCACCATTGTCTGCGCAGAAGTGAAACGCATCGCCACGTATCTCCCCATGTACCGTTTTCAAGCCATAGTGAAGGATTTCCAAGCAATCGCATGCGCCAATTGCGAAGTCGAAAAAGACGGGAAGGGGGATTTGGTCGTTTGGTGTCTGATTTTTGTCACCCTTACTTCCCGCGACAAATGATGCAGGGCCAAATGTGACCAAATCTCGTAGATGATCATGACCTGGTGACTCGAAGATCGCTACCAACAGCGTACCGTCGTCTCCAGGTTCCGGGGGCAGTCTTATCAAGTCTATTGGCCGTATTGTGTTATTACAATCCGGATCCGATGATTGCACGATTGACCTCAGCATATGAAACTCGCGCTCGAGCCGGATGACATTTGTGGAGACACGCCCGACGACGGGAATCCATATCTGTTCTTGCTCACCCGCTCTCGATAAGGAAAATTCACTGCTTGTTTCGCTCACACTAGCTCTGCGATTCAAGAGACGCGGTCTGAGTTCCGTTCGAGGCGATTTACGGCTGAGGCTCGAGGGGCCAGAGGTAGGGCCGGACGAGGTGGGGCCGGAGGAGGTTGCGATAGGCGTGGAAAGCTCGTTCTCAACGGCATGGTGGAATCCGTAGATATGCCAGTGGTTGTATGTAGAATGAAAGGGTTTGGTCGATAGATCCCAGGTATAGCCAGGCAGATGTCCGAGACGTTCGAAGAGTCGGGCGGGTGGGAGAGGGAGATCCTCACCAAGAAATTGGCTCAACTCCATCTCAAGGTCCAGGATATTCGATAGCGGTTTGAGCCATGAACTGATTGCTCCAACCGTCTTTTTGGGGGTCTGGTCTTGGTGTCAAGAAAAGCGGGAGTGCGGCGCAATGGACATGGGGAATGCAAACGGCGACGACAAGGCGATAAGAAGTCAACCCTGATTTCCAAGGTGCATTTGGGCCTGAGGTGAGCGACAGAGATAGTCACAAGCCTTGACCCCAAAAATCACAAGGAAATTCAAATCCGTGAACGTTGGCGCGGGACGTTGGTGTGCACTGCGCGGGACAGACAGATCCGGAAAATCCTTTTTACGAGATCTAGAGTGTCTTCGGTATCGATTGCTAGGCTATGACACGTCTGATCCCAAGGTTCCAACGCTCAACAAATTGAAGTTCAATCAGCAAGTTACGGAGCCAGGTCTTGGTCAAAGCTTGATCGGAATCCCGTGGCGTTCTCGGAGAAATATAGAGAGCGGTTTGAACATGGGCTAGAGGATCTTATTCCCCTCTACCGCGGCCCACTAGAGAACCCCAGATGACTTAATTCTTCCGAAATTTGTCAAGATTGAAGACCGCCAATGGATGAACAGCCCAAGCTTGGAATCTGCCATAATTTCTTACAAGGGTGACCGGGCGACCTCCTGTCCCTCTCCGATTTTGCCAGACCGAATCTACCGGATACACCAGGCACATGGCGATCGTGCCTGAACCCGAACATGGTGCCTAATAAATATATTGAACGTGAAGCTGAGACATGCTTAGAGCCTCTGGTGGACGAAGGGTGGATATGATCCACAGAGCCTATTGAGGCCCAAAGGAACCGTGGCATGACGGGTGTCAGCCACGCCATGACGTACAGGGCCATTGAAGGATCGACTGCCAGTTCGGCACTGGAATGGCGCGTCTATGCACCGACGGCACATATGCATCCAATCACCAGGGCTATGCCGGATGACGACAGAGCAGGTGGACTGCTCTGATCGCCTCGGCCAGCCTCTCGACTCGTCTCAAATACGGCTTACCCCGTACTCCAAAGAGGGCAAGCGCAGTTCCCAAGCTGGATGGTTATTTCGGTCTAACTCGAACAGGTCCCAAGCAAGGGCGATCCTTTCGTTCCTCTCGTTCCCCGGGAAACCGTTCGTGTTTCTAGAACGAGCGCTAAGCGCCACCAAGATCCCAAAGCCGCAAAGTCGCAATGCCGCTTGCATCATGGGGCGGTGCTTTCGGCCTAGATCGCTCAAGGGATGTGCCACGAACACACGAACCCACGAACCTCGAGTCTAGACTTTCAACAGTCCCTAGAGAGACGAGATTCTTCGCGACCTTTTATAAACCTCCCTCCTTATCCCCCAGCGCTAGGACGAAGCAAGTAGTGGATACGTGCCCAAGCGAAACGAGCACTAGTGTCACGGGCCGGTGTCATGAAAAAGATCAGAGGAAAGATTAAAATAATAATCAACCGTGTGAGCTCAGAAAGCGAGCGGGTAACCCAAGAACGAAACCAACTCGGAGGGTCCACGTCGGTGATAAAAAAAGAGGGACAGTCATCTGGGCGGGAGAGTAGAGTGTAAAGGCCCGGCGTTCCGGGTGAATCACAAGTGAATAGTAGACAATGAGAAAATGAGGGTTCTGCCGGGGAGAAGAGTTGGTATTGAACCCATAAATGAGAAGATATAACTATATAAACGAATTGGGAATATCCCAAGCGGGGTTTCTTCAAGTCTAGAGAACCCCCTGTAGATATAGAGTAAGCCTCACCTGAAGCTGAACCAGGCAGGTCAAGGTTTTCCTTACGGCCAGGGCATGCTACGTCATAGCCCACTCCCCGGAGACGGTCCATCCAGAATCCACTTTTTCTTTCTCTTCATCCACTCCCAGGCCGATCCAAGCAATGGGCTGGCGGGTACTGACGCCAATTTCCAAACTTACACTGATTTCACTGATTGCACCGATTCCCTCGATCCCCGAACACCCACTCACACCCTCGCACAACTTGGACATCCTCCCCCCTCCCCTTCTTCTCCCTCTCGGTGATCCGGAGGCTCAGGCACCAGATACCGCCTGAAACCTTGATTTCTTCTTCATTGTGATTCTAAACAAACTCCAATTTCGGTTTCTTACTGGACGCTTTCACGCTTGCGTCCGCCTGGTCCCCTTTCCTTGAATCCCACCGTGAACCGACCGTTGCGGCCGAGACATGATCGCCTCACTTGTCTCTTGCGCTGCCCTGTCTCCTCGGCGTGCTGATTTCTCCATCGGTAGAGGAGCAAGATATGGGAGACCTGCGTAGTCGGAGGAGCCCTCCTTTCCCTTCGCCAACCGAGACCATCTCACCCATCGACGGGCCTCAAATTCATCACTCGCAAGACCCACGATCGCCGCCAAGTTCCAGATTTCCGCATGATAAGCATGCAGAAGGTCTATCGGTCGAAGGCATGGCGGGTGGGGTGGATACGGCAAACAAATCATCAGCTCGAAGGCCTCATTTTTCCCGTGGAGATTCTACCGAACAAAGTGCCGGCCTCACCCCAGTCACAGAGGACAGACGGCCAGACAATGAGCATGAGGAGGACCAAGGACGGAGCTCACAGACCTTACAGGAGTTGCGAAGACAGATGGAGGAGCTATTAGTGTATCAGCAGATGCAACAAACTCAGACCCAGCGTTCTTCGACAACGCTGCCACCGGACCCCTCGACTGAAGCCCCTCGAAAAAGGCGTCTATCGATTACGTCGGCAGATCTTCCCCCCACCATCATACCACCATCATCTGGTTCTGTGGGCTCTGCGGGAACTATCAAAGGTATCGATGTTCAATCCGCCGTTCGATCGGTGGACCAAACGCCCTCATATCCTTTTCCAAGAGTCCACAATCAATCTCCAGCCGAGAATGAATCAACAGCGCGCCAAAACCAATTTCGATTGAAGCTTCCATCGGAAAAGCTCAAATCCCCGTCGCCCACAGCTCACTTCACGCAAGAAGACCCTTCCACGAAGACTTCGGCTCCAGGACCTGTCTTCCTCCCGCCTGACCACAAGGACCTTATCGAAGACCCGGCCTTTGTTACTCCGAATCTTTATGACTTGACCCTGCATTTAAATTCGAATCCTGGACTCGAGGCTTGGTGGTCTAACTTGGTCGAAATTTTAGAAACCCATTACGGAGCGGAACGTATCTCACTTGCAGTTCCCGGAGATTCAACTGATTTGGAGAATGTGCCATGGGGCCAGAAGGCCTTTTTCAACAAGAATGGCAGCACCTCGTCGGAAAATATTCAAATCGCTCTACGAGACGAGCAAAGGACAGACACCCAAGGTGCCCGCAATAGCTGCGACCAGACGCAGGAGAACAAAGGTGGGAAATCGCAATCGCAATCTCAAACCAAGACTTCAAAGCCTATTCATGCAGTGACTCGTCCTTCCTTGACGTCTCGTCATTCCTTTGGTGGATTCGCTCAAGGCAAGAACAATTTGCCTCCAATGCATCTGGACGGTCAGCAGCATGTGTCGAAGATAATTACTGGCAAACCCGAGAAAAAGCACGCTCGAATTTCGGAAATGGTCGAAGCTATGCAATCATCGAGCAGTCGCAGGCAATCCATGATCCAAACGAAACCCAATGAGCGTCCGACCCTCTCAGTCCATGGATTGCGACAAGGTGTTTTCCCGGTAGCAAGAGCACTGGAGATGGAATCAGATCCCCTCATCAAACGTACCGGCGTAGTTAAGCTGTTTGGACGGGCCAGTCCGGTTGTTCTCACACGGGAATATTCGCCGGAGTCAACGCATCATTCAATCATGTCAAGCGAGTCACCTCTGAGCCCTCTGGAGATGGTGCAGGTCACTCCGATCGCTGACGGCCCCCACGAGACTGACCCTATTGCGGCTGCAGCCTCCGTGAGGCAGGCTGCCACGAACCTCAACCCACCCATCTTCGGACACTATGACGAATACGAGCAAGTTCCTCAGTCCCCCTGGTCTCAATCTCCTGCACCTTCGCCAGCCCCTCGGACACATGCAGATCAAAACCCATTTTTCACCAGTCACACTGTCGATGAAGGTGCATTCTCGAAGAACCCGCCCGCGCACGACTACTCCAGCCCCCACCCCTTAGAGGCCATCGGCATCGATCAGTCCAAGACTTTGATCCATATGCCTCTTTTACACGGCGGCTCCAACCGAAATCCATCACCAATTCTGAGATTCCCGGTTGCCGTGGTTTCATTCATGACCCCTATCGTTCCCTATCCACCCAATCTCCGACAATCTCTCGCCCACCTAATGCCGCACTTGACGGCCTCTTTTTGCTTGGCCCAACACTATAGCCAACTGGAGCGTCAGGTGGTCTCGAAGGTGGAGACTCCACGGTATGGGAACATTTTAGGACTTGGCGGCACATTTTCCGATGCGAGCAGCGAGCTGGAACTCGTAGCGGGTCTAAGTGGCCATGTCAGTTATTCTGTTGGCGATGAGAATTCCATGTCAGCACGAGCCAGCATTGCCAGCCCCAGTGATCAGTCTTCCATGAAATTCAGCCCCGCAATTTCTAGCATTGGGACACCAGGGTTTGAATTTGGTCAAATGGGCCTCGGCTCAGCAACGCAGTCCCCAGGTTTCGTTTCGCGCACTGAAGCTGGAGACAGCTATTTCAATGTACCGCAGCCGAAGGGCACTCGCGATAATATTTATCCCCAGCGCCCTCGCCTCGCGAAACCCAAGTCTAACCTTGTGTCGTCGACGCCTGAATCCCCTGGAAAGTTGCACGGGAAGGCTTCTGCTGTTGAAGAAAGTCATCTACAAGATGCATCTGCTGTCCCTTCTCCATTGCAAGAAATGAAGCCGCCTTCAGTCGTTTCCCCGACTCAGCAGTCGTCACGCCACGCGTCTACGAATTCCTTCTATGCCCAGCTTCAGCGGGATTTGCCACGGCCGTTCTCGGATACGATAACGCAACTGATGCTGAATTCCATTCCCCTCCATCTCTTCTTGGCCAAGCCACAAAGCGGCGAGGTCATTTGGACCAACGCCAAATTCGATAACTACCGAAGAAGCAAACCACAGGAGCAAAAGCTGCGAGATCCTTGGCAGAATATCCACAGCAGCGAGCGAGATCACGTCTCCGTTGAATGGGCAAATGCTTTGCGCACGGGCTCGCAGTTCACCGAACGAGTTCGTGTGAAGCGCTTCAATGACGAAAGTGCCTATCGATGGTTCATCTTCCGCGCAAACCCACTTTTGTCTTCGACCGGCGAGGTTCTATACTGGATTGGATCCTTCCTTGACATCCATGAGCAGCATATTGCTGAACTTAAAGCGATCCAAGAAAGGGAAAAGTTTGCCACAGATGCTAAATATCGGGCCTTCTCAAACTCGATCCCACAAGTTGTTTTCGAGGCCACAGAGAACCGTGGCTTGATATTCGTCAATGAGCAGTGGAATTTGTACACAGGCCAAAGCCTTGACGAGGCACTTAACCTAGGGTTCGCAAGACACGTTCATCCAGACGACCTAGACAAGTGTGGTGGCCTCTCAATGCAAGCGAAGCAAGAATCGGATGGGTCTGGCAATGCTGAATCGTCGCAGCAATCATCCAATATCCATGGTGTTGAGTCTGCCCTTCATGAACTTGTGGCCCGTGGTGTCGCATCGTCCCAGAAAGACGAAAATGGGCGTGTTTTCTACTCCACTGAAATCCGCCTCAGTTCTAGGGGGGCGAATATCGATGGCACTTGGTCCGCTTGGTGCGTGTTGAGACGAGTAGCTTCGGCAGTGAAGAATCGTCTTGGTACGGTACCTGTACTGATATCAACGACCGGAAGAATCTCGAACGGGAGTTGAACAAGGCTATGAGTCAACTCAACAACCAAATGGAATCCAAGACAAAGTTCTTCAGCAACATGTCACATGAGATCAGAACCCCTCTAAACGGCATTCTTGGTACTTTGCCATTCATCCTCGACACTCAGCTCGACAGCGATCAAAGACGGATGTTGGATACGATTCAAAATAGCTCCACTGGCCTCCGTGAACTTGTGGATAACATTCTGGATGTGTCAAGGGTTGAGGCTGGCAAGATGTCGATGGTCAACTCATGGTTCCATGTTCGGTCTATGATTGAGGAGGTGATTGATACAATTTACTCCAAAGCAATCGACAAGAATCTCGAAGTCAACTATCTCATCGATCCAGATGTGCCGGTATTGGTTATTGGCGACCGCTTCCGAATTCGACAGGTCCTCTTGAACCTTGTCGGCAATGCGGTGAAATTCACTTCCCAGGGCGAAGTTCATATCGGTTGTAACCTTTATCATCAGAATACCACAAAAGTCAAAGAAACTGAAGTTTTCCTGAACTTCGACGTTGTCGATACCGGAAAGGGCTTCAGCTCTGTTGATGCCAAACGCCTGATGCAAAGATTCAGCCAATTGGGTGAAAATGGGTCGCAGCAAAACGCTGGTAGTGGTCTGGGCCTGTTTTTGTCCAAACAACTCGTGGAAATGCACGGTGGCAAACTCACACCGAGTAGCAAAGAAGGACAGGGAGCGAAATTTTCATTCAATGTGAAGGTTGATGCTCCTGCACCTCCGTCGCCGTCTGAAAGACCAGGGTTACTTCGTCAGCCTTCAAGTGCGTCAAGAAGGCCGGGAATGTCCAGATTGAACTCCTTCGAGCCGAGCACAATGGTACCAGCAAGAGTTTCCGATCCCAAGCTGCAAGATCATTCAAACCTGTCGCCTGACATCGAGTCACCATCTGTGTCACCCGAGTTACCGGCCAAGTCGGCTTCAAAGAGTCTCTCGCCTTCCTCCAATGTATCTTCTGCTCTCCCAACTCCGGATATCGGCACTGTGAATCTGGCATCGAGCTTGGACCAAGCATCCGGTCCCAGTACATCGAGCCTTTCAACCCGTCCGGTTCCGCCAACATCCCAGAGCGCTGTGTCTCCGACCAAGGGATCCGGTCGACACGCTATTGTCACTCCTGAAGGTCCCCTCTCAATCGTCATTGTTTGTCCTCTTGAGAACACACGTAACGCGGCAAAGCAACACATCGAGCAGGTCATACCGCACGATATTCCATTCACCATCACGACTCTTCCCGATGTTGATGAGTGGAAAGACATGTTGCAATCAGGATTCAACGCCAAGTGCACTCATCTGGTTCTCAACCTGCCTACGGCAGATGATATCACAGAAGTCATTCAGCAGGTGTCGGAGCTGGACAGAGAGAATGCTCCCGCGCTTGTCATCATATCGGACCCTTACCAGAAACGTCAAATCGCCTCACGAGTGTCTGAGTTCGCCGCCACAGGGAAGCAAGTGTTCATCGTGAACAAGCCTGTCAAGCCTTCGGCGTTCTCGACTATCTTCGACCCTGAGAAGAAGCGCGAATTGAGCATGGACCGCAGAGATGATGAAACGCGGGACGACAATAACAATTTCAAGGTAGTCTCCAAGATGGTCAAAGAAGTCCTTGGCAACAAGGGCTATCGCATTTTGCTGGTGGAGGATGATGAGACCAATCGCAATGTAAGGCAGCATTCTTAATTCTTTTGCCGGTCAGGCATACTGATTAATCATAGGTCATGCTGAAGTACCTGCACAAAATCAAGCTCTCGTCGGAGACCGCAGCCGATGGACAAGAGTGCATTGACATGGTGTTTTCGAAGGAACCTGGTTACTATTCTCTCATCATTGTATGTCGCACCTCTCCTTGATGCTCAGACAAGCCAGCTAACACGATCCACAGTGTGATATTCAAATGCCCGTGAAGAACGGCTACGACACTTGTCGCGAAATTCGGAGCTGGGAACAAAAGAATCATTACCCCCAGATTCCTATCATGGCTCTTTCAGCAAATGCGATGAAGGATCAAATCCAAGACGCTGCCCAGGCAGGCTTTAACGACTACGTCACCAAGCCAATCAAGCACAATGACCTAGGCAGAGCGATGATGGAACTCCTTGATCCCAGTCGACCTCTATTGTTCCTCCGAGACCGTCTTGCCCTTGACAAGCAAGATCCAAACATTGGCCATTAGTGCCCTGCATCATTTCCACGCCCGTTATGACAGCCTTCTCCACCTTCGGTCCACTAGCCGAAGGGTCTGCCTTTTCCGCAATACCCTCTGTATTCGTTCTCGCATTATCCTCTTTGTCTGGAGAACACTGCCGGGCACGTTCGATTATTTTAGTTTCTTGTTCCTTACGGGTTCACAGTGCTCTTTTACGGGACAACGAAAGAGGTGGGACCTGGAGTTCTCGAGATATTGGCATTGATCGACACGAGCAACCTTCTGGATCCGTATCGCAACTCCATCATCTCTGGAACGTCTTTGAACATCCTACCGTCTGCATTTGCATCGGGCGTTGAGCAAGCGTCGCTCTCAGCATTTTCGGGTGGAAGAGCCGCCTATTTCCTGTACTATTTCACTTGTTCCACTATCGAGTGGGTTTGCTTCTAGCTTTAGACCCCGAGCGCATGGCGTCAATGCCTGGATAAGGTTGTTTTCTATTTTTTTCCCCCCTTTTAATTTCTTTTCCCGCACCTTTCAGCCTTGTGTTGTGCCTTTTGCTTGTGATACCAGGTTACGATCACCTAACGACACGACCACCTATCTTCTGGATCTGTAACTTTTAATAATTTCACTGATTCCATTCTTCTCTCCATGCTTGAAATTGTGTTTCAAGAGTTAAGAAATACGCGGTTCCGTATATATTAATTTACCATAATTTAAACCTCTTGAAGATTTTGAAACCATGCTCCAATCCGGCCAATGTTCTCAACGCCGAGATCTTACGAGATCTGAAAGCGGGCAAGACTGGGCATAGCAGGCTACACGCTGAACTTAATAGAAACCCATTTATAATCTAGCAATGAAACATGCGAAGGTTATCAAAGGGGCAAACCTCAGAACAAAAAGGAAGGCGTGAATCATGAATCTGTGAATCATGGGCTTGAGCCTTCCGCCAAAAGCCAATCGGAGCAAGGAAGATGCTTTCCCGACCGGCTCAGTGAACTTACATCGGGCGAAGTGTGAGAAGAAAAAGAAACAGCGAATGTAAAGGAAGTATATCCTAGACAGGAAGCGCAAGAAAAGAAGCGTATACAGTAAGAATTAGTCTGATCTTAGCATTCAGCATAGAAATTTGATGAACAACGCCCCCACTCTCCAGGCCAGCAGTGTAGGCTCGTCCCCATCTTGAGAAAAAGGAAGAGGAAAAAGAACGAAGCCCAATTAGGAAAGGCAAGTGTGAGTTGGCCACGACGTCCATCCAGTCATGGCGCTGCATGTGGCGGTGAAGGAAGCGTAGAGGGAAAAAAAAATCCCCGCAACCCCACTTACCTCTGGCGAATAAGTATCTCAACGATCGACTTTTCCTCGATTAGGACCGAGCCATTGCTGGAATGGGTGTTGACGTGAGTAGGAAGTCCTAAAATTTAGCATGTCGTAATCCACAAAGTATCTCTGTACCCTGTTGCAGGAGAGGGATGTCTCGAAGCCCACGGACCATATAGCCTCGTGTGTGACGCATGATGGATGGATTGTTGACAAGCTGCATATAAGTCTTGGAGATAAAGCAACGAATAGTCAATTGGAGCGGAGGGGGAAGGGGAAAGGGAAAAAGCGCAACCTAGTCTCGAGCACTGGGCTTCCGGAGCAGCGAGGCTCAGGGAGGGGCAGATCGTCGGGAAGTGAATGGACGGAAAATGAGAGGTTCGGGCTATGACGAGGGAGAGGGAGAGGAGAGTGTCATTACATGGCTTTGCGCGTCATAAACGTGGTGCCCGATGGGCTTGGGAGAACAGGAAGATAGATTGGGCGGAAGACGTAATATCCCTGCGACGAGGCCGGAGAATGTTTGAGGAGCTGGAGGAGGGTGGTGGCACGGTGTAATTCGGCGGATCCGTCCTAACGGGGCATTTTGGTCCTGGTCAGGCTTGAAGGCATGCAGAAGAGCGACGGTTCAGGCGCAGTGAGGCAGTTTGGCTGTTGGCAACGCAGTAATTCCAGGGTATCGGGTGCTCCCAAGGCATCCATGCCTTCCAAGTGGGTGCCCTGCGGTAACTCCGGTTCGGAGTCAGCCAGGGTATCTGGGACCAATGATGACTGGGGTGTTGCAGGAACCCTCTATGTCTTTGGTAGTTCTTGTCTCCGAGGGGCAAATCAAGCAAGTCATTGAGAGTGCATGGGTGGGGTGGCTCTAGCTAGGCGTCTAGAGCGCTTGTGCTGCATTGCTTCTTGTCTTTCTGGCCATAGGCGGGTGTGAGGCATCGTGTTCGTGAGCGATAGCCGCATCCAAGCGGAAGAAACGGGGTTCATATTTCTTCGTCTGAGACTTGACTTTGATCTCACACCGGTCACACAATGGGTCGATACCGCAGCCGGGATGATTCCAGCTTGCTGGGCACCTTGAATGTGAAGACATGGTGGCCGCATCGTTTGGTCCAATCTTTGTCGCTTTCTCCATGGTTCGTCGGCCCATGCAGTGATGTCCAACCCTTTGATCTTCAGGCCGTGTGACCCTGGCTCTTCTCCTCTTGGTGCCTTGCAGCTCCTTTGAGTTTGGGGATAGTTTGGACTCTGTGTAGGACATGCTCTCATTCTTTGACCGAAATGGCTCGGACTGAAGTCCGTGAGCTGATCGATTGCCAAATTTCCGGGTGCTGAGCAGGTCCGTTCTCTTCGTCATCCCTTCGGCATCCTGTTAGGAGACTCTGGTACAGCGTCTAATTCGCAGTTAATATCCGACCGGGACTCGGCAGTCAAGTGCTTGGATGAAGAAGGTACACACATTGTATGTCATACGGGTTCTTCTGTAGTTCGTGGATGGGCCTCGGTCGAGCGAATCAAGTCGAGCCTCAAGGTCAACGCCCGCGACCCCAGCCACCGAATTTCGAGAAGATGGGAATGATTGCGATGAGAAAGGAGCGATCAGTAAGATGGGAAGGATTCAGAGAGGGAGAGGGAAGACAAAAAGGCAGAAGAAATCACGGAACAGGTGAAGGAAGGGCGGCGTGGTCCATTTTTATACTTCGCCTGTGCGGTTCTCACCTCCACCTTTCACCATTTCCCCCCCCCTCTTCCCTCTCCTTCTTAGCCAACTTTGCAGATTTCATTTCCAAGTTTTCGCTCGGACCCAGCAGACGGTCAGACCAGGCGTAGTTGGTTTCTGGGTGGAAAGACACGGGAGAGCGGAAAGCCTCTAGTGGAGGCATGGCCTGGGCCGGACCAGACATCGAATATTTTCCCACCCGGAGCGGGGTCATGGCGGTTTCAAAAGACGAATCGGCGGACAGAGTCGGATCAGCAAATGCAGCCGAAGCTCGGGGATTGGGGGGATTGGGGGATACAGACGAGAGAGGGGGCGAATTCATGCCTCCATATCACTCCATATCCCGCTGGTCCAATGGCTCCCAGACCCTCTTCCATCCTTGTCGATTCTTTCCCTGCCTCGTCACCAAGAGGCGACCCCCGCTGGATGGAAGACTCTCCGGTGAAGGTTATAAATTCCTTGATCTGATCCTGCAGACGGGGGATCCCTTCTTCTTCCTTTCTCATCCTTCTCGGCTCCTCCGTTTGCAAGCCCTAGCCTTGGCATACTATATCACTTCACCCACTCTGACGCTTCGTGTCTTGCATACCATTGCTTCTTGCACATAATCTGCAGTTCCCTTCACAGCCTACACATCGACATGGCTACCCACCGTCACTATTATCAGCCCGCCGCTGCCATGCACATGCCGTCCAAGGCACCGGGCCCAGCAAACATGTACCCTGTGTCTCGGATGCCAAGATCGCCGCCAGAGTATTCCGACGCCAGCACTACCGCCGGCAGTCGTTCTTCTGGCGGACTCACCTTTAGCTCCGCCGGCGGCGATTACGACTCCAGCTCGGCATCGTACTCTGGCGTGGATGTCGTGGATGTCCTGAACGAACGGATGCAGAATTCCTTCGATCCGACACCTCTGGATCGAGGACTGGCGAAGCAGGCACAAACGTGAGTTTTCCAGCGAGAGTACCATTCTCCAAATCGGCAACATGCCGTTCTCGCAGCCAGGACAAGCATTTCTCAAAAGCACTTGGACATTCAAGGATATCGCTACAATTGGCAACAGCTTGCTAATCAAATTGCTTTCGAAACAGTTCTGGTCACCTCAACGCAAAGCAGCAAGAGCTGCTAGAACTGCAAGCCCTAGCCCAGCGCCGGCTGAAGGGGGTACGAGCCAACTTCAATGAAGGACTCAAGACAGCCCGCGAAACTAAGCGAGATCTCGAATGGACGCAGAAGCGTGTCAGGTAAGACAGCCCCCAAAGCCCCATCCATCTTCACCAGAAGACGAGAAGTTGCAAGTTCCGCCCCGCTCCGCTTGAAGCGAGGTTCACATAACCTCCGCTCCGCCAGCACTTGGCACGTGCACCTGCGATCGACAGGGCATCAAGTGCGGCGCATGCAAGAAATCGAAGGTTAATGAGGACTGCCAATAGCGCGCTGAAGAGCAAGGCCGAGAAGGCCCACCCGGACGAATACCGACGGGCCTCGAAGAAGTACACCTTTGACGACTACTGATTCGGTGGTGGACCCCTGAGCCACCCCGGTAGCGTGTTTCAATGCTTAATCTAACGACGATGATGAATTCGGATAAAATCGGGACTGTTTGGAAATCTGGGGCTCTGGGACGGGATGCGTGTCTATTTTTGGGTTGGAATCGGCGTGCTCTGTGGTATTTGTGTATAGCTCTTGCCCTAGTTTGTGGACTCAGTCTGTATCTGGGTGTATACTGGTGTGGAGGTCATGAATGGTACTCGTTTTACCTGCTTTCCCTGTTTTGACGTAACGCTGGTGCTTTCCGGCCAACGAGGAAGCGTAAATGCTCGATCTAGCTTGTATTTGGCCGAACACTTCGCTCAGTATTGAAGGTATTAGCCCTAGGATCAGTGGAGAAGGGCCAGTCATAGGCCGTAAGTTACTGAAGCTAGGGTCAGGATTTCGTATAATTCTTAAACCAAACTTAACAAACTTAACAGGGTTGAATTAGGTTAAGTCCCGGGTCTAGTTAGATTCTTGCCAGTTAGGGCTCCCGAAGTCTTTCTTCTTTCGAAGGATTGATACTTCATTCAATCCTATTCTAACAAGGGAGGCAATCTCCTTGATTCTATCTATCCTCAGAAGCCATGAAGAGTGTAATTATGACAGAATTGTAGGCCGCTTCATAAAAATGAAGATTATTGCTTACATAGAAAAAGGAAATCGAAGATAGGGAACGAGAAAGGAGAAAGACTTGCAGGAATGCACGCATATCCGTCATGAGTGTAGCGGGTTGACAAGACTCCGAAAGCCCAATTCTATCTATACACTATCTTCAGAAGGCCTGCTCCTCGATCGCCCGGTTGATCACACGAACAAAGCGGCCCACCTTATCAACATCCTGCTTGGCTGTCTCAATGCCAAGCAGAACCTTCTTGATACCAACACTGAGTCGACCATCCTCAGCCAAACCACCGACTCTTTCAAGAGCCTGAGCTATTTCCCGGGCATCAAAGGCGCCGGACTGCTCCATGACATAACGCAGCTCGCCAAAGGAGCTAACGTTAGGAACCATGATATCCGAGTTGAATGAATTGTAAACATCCAACTGCTTCATCAAAGCACGCTCGGTGGTCGTGGCCAGAACCAGCAGGCGGCGGCCGTGCGAAGGCTGCTTCCGGAGGAAGACCATTAGGGCCTGAAGCACACTGTTGCTGAAGCGGGGGCCGATGGGCACCCAGTCGATAATTCGCTCGATGTTGTCAATCACAACAATACTGGTTTGACTCTTATAGGCGCTGTCAAAGATTCGGCTGATGTGCGAGATCTTCGCCGGCTCACTGAAGCCAACCATGTCCTCGGGGCTGATCAACTTGATGAAGGGGAAGCCAGAGTCGATGGCAATTCGAGCAGCGAGGGCGGTCTTTCCGCTGCCAGGAGGGCCATGCAACAACACAGAGAAGAGCGGGGTGGCTTCAGCCTGCCCAACTTGCTTGACAAATAGCTCACCCTCACGCATGATCTCCTTGATGACATTCGAGTAGTGAATGACGCCATACTGGATGCGACTGGAAAGCTCCTCCTCAGAGACACCAAATGCGGGCTTGACTTCTTCAAGGGCTCGGTGGAAGTCAGCTCGGTTGACCTTCATGTTAACTACGTCATCGTTGATACTGGCCATCGTGCCAACCTTGACATGGCGAGAGAAGGCAAACGACGAAGCGGACTTGACTAGACCCGCGATTTCAGCACCGGAGAAGTTCTTGGTCAAGTGCGCAAGCTCTTCCAGGTCCACGTCGTGATCCATAACATTGTTTGTTCGCATCTTCTCTGTGTGAATATTGAGAATCTGACTTCGACCCTTCTCATCAGGAAGCGAGATTTCCATGTGGACCTCGAGACGGCCGGGACGCAGCAACGCCTCATCGATCATATCCATTCGGTTGGTCATTCCGATCAGCAAAATGTTGTTGAGCTGGTCAACACCGTCCAATTTGGATAATAGCTGATTAACCACGCTGTCACCAACGCCGGTACCACCACCTGCACCGCTGCCACGCTGCTTGCACACAGCGTCCAACTCGTCGAAGATGATAATGTGGAGACCACTCTCGTCACCTTTCTCCTTGAACTCTTTTTCGGCATCTGCGAACATCTTTCGGATGTTCTCTTCAGATTGACCGACATATTTGTTCAAGACCTCAGGGCCGTTGATGATCTTGGGCTCTCTAGCGTTCAGCATCTTTCCGATCTGGCGAGCAATCAATGTTTTACCGGTACCAGGGGGGGCCATAGAGCAAAAGACCTTTAACGTGCTGAATTCCGAGCTTCTCAACGAGACCTGGAGGGAAAATGCGAGAAGCAAAGGCACGACGGAAAATGGTGCTGAACTCGGAGTCCAGACCGCCAATTCCCATATCCTCAAATTTGAAGCCAGGTTGAATGATTGAGTTCGCAGCGGGGCGGCGGTTTGAAGGCTTAACATTGATTCCGGATTGGGAATCCTTGAAGAAGTTCAACTGGGTATGGCGGGTGACAATTCCTCGCGCCAAAGGATCGGTCTCGATTTCACCAGATGAAAGGTCAGGCTTCTCCGATGTAAGATCCACACGCTGTACCGTCTTGACATGAAGAAGAAGCGGAATGCTTCTATGATCCATTAGAATTCTTTGTCCGGGGCGAACAATTGGTTTTCAAAGTGCTAATTCAGTTAGTCAAAATTGTAATGTCGCCGATGGAATCGACTCACTCTAATAACGGCATTTGTCAATTCATCTTGATCATATGCGGTCTCCACGCGCTTCTTAACAGACGCAAAGCTAACTTCAATATCCGCAGATCCCAAGTAGGCCTGACCACCTTGGCTGAAAGGATCATACAGCTGTACTTTAACGGCATCTCTCATACCAATGTTCGCCCATGTGCGCTGGGGATCTGACATGCCAATAAGTCCAGGAGGGAAGCCTTCGAGAGGGCGAGCGGAGAAGACATAGATGTCATTGATGAGGACGAGGACGTCGGTGCCATCTCGGGAGGTGGGAATGTCCTGGGGTGATACGGCAACGCTTCAAAAGGTCAATACTGATCGAAGTGGTGCCAGACGAGTAGCATACAGGTTACCGAAAGTGTAGTTCTCGTTAGGGCTCTTCGCTGGGTTGAGCATCCAGGTCTGACCTCCGGCTGGCCGTCCGGATGGAGGCCGAGCAGGCATTTGCTGCGGAGGTCTTCCCATCGATGGCGGAGGTGCTCCATATCCCCTTGTTGTAGCAAAAGCATCAGTCATGGGCACATCGTAATCGCGGGAATCACCAGCGCTGGATACGGGGGCGAGGCTGTTGTCATACCGTGGCGGTGCTTGGTTAGGGTTCGAATAGCCTTGCTGTGGGGGCCGTTTGCCACCAGACCCAAAGGGATTGGGAACTGATGGAAGATTGCTCCGATTGAACATGACCGGGTTGTAGTCGAATAGCTTAGTGAGAGAAGTGGGAGGTGTAGGAGTGAGGTGTCGCCACTCTTGTCTTAGTGGGAGCAGGCAGCGACGTAGATCGAGCTAGTGCGGGTAAACGGTATCGGGTTCGCGAAGAGGTACCGTGGCTCAGTGCCGAATTTCAAGACAGGGAGGATTAATAAGATAGATGATGCTGGCCAAGTTGACAAGCTGGGGAAATCAGTTGCGCCGGGAACAGCGTCGGGCCGTGGGGCGTTATCGATAAGGACAGCTCTGACTGGGCTGCTTCATCCCTCAACTCCCGGCCCACGATGCCGCTGTAAGTCTTCTTTCACTACCTCGTCGTGATTTTTACTGACGCAATATAGTCATCTGCTCGGCAAAAAGTCATGGAACGTCTACAATCCAGAGAATATCGCCCGCGTCAAGCGCGACGAGGCACAGGCCAAGGCCCGCGAAGAGGAGGATGAACGGCAGATGCAAGAGGTCGATGCCGAGCGTCGAATCCAGATCCTGCGTGGAGAGCGAGTACCTACACCTCCTTTACCACCAACATCCCGTGAATCGCCGGAAGTATCTCGGCGGAGCCGAAAAGCCCCTGACGACTCGGGGAGGAATCGCATCAAGAGACGTCGCCTTGCTGGCGAAGATGACACGGACAGGGACATCAGAGTAGCCCGAGAGGACGCAGCTCAAGCAGTCGCCAAACGAGATGAGCTATCCATAGCCGCCCAGAGAGAACGTAAGGAAATACAAGTGTCCCTTGTGGACAGTGCTGGCCACATCAACTTGTTCCCGGAGCGAGAAAACAAGAATGCTGAAAAGAACCCCGAAGCCCAAGCCGAGGCGATGCGAAAGAAACGTGAATTTGAAGACCAATACACGATGCGGTTCTCTAATGCTGCTGGTTTCAAGGAGACCGCTGGGCGCCAACCATGGTACTCTTCTGGTGACCAAGCTGCGACAGCACCGAATTCAATGTCCGAAAAAAATGTATGGGGGAACGAGGACCCAATGCGCAAAAATCGAGAAAGGGCTCGTATGGATGCCAATGATCCTCTTGCAGCAATGAAGCGCGGTGTGCGGCAGTTGAAAACGGCACAGCAAGAACGAAAAAAATGGAACGACGAGAAAAGAAAAGAAATAGAAGACCTCAAATTTGATGAGCGCCAGCGCTCGAGGCGCCAGTGGAATCGCTCAACATCTAGAGATAGCCTTGATGGTTTCCGGCTTGATGCCCCAGCACGCGGAGACCGTGGCTCTGATAAAAAGGAGCACAGGAGTTCTCAACGTCACCATCGTCACCATCGTGATGGAAGCCGTGATCGACGTCGTGATCGAAGCCTAAAGCGTTCGTACCGGGATAATAGTCCTGAACGTTCTCATCGACGTTCATATTCTTCAGAGCGTACTCATCTGCATCCCCATGATGAGTCCCATGCTTATGACAGGCGTTCGAGGAAGTCTGAACCTGGCACATTCTACGGGAAGCGTTGATCGCATTACCAATTTTATTGAGAAGCAGTACTAAAATTTCCAGTTGATCTTCTATGCGCAAGTTTCGTTTCATCGGAGCAAGATTCGAAAACCATATCCAGGTCGCAGAATGCCTCCGCTGGGTATAATCATCTCTATCCATGCGAGTCGTTACCGGAATCTATTTTATCATGACCATGAGTAATTTGAATAACTTTGAACTTTTGAATCATATGACGTTTATGCAAGAGACCAGTGCTGGGCACTCTTGGTGTTCTCATCTTGCCACTCGATGTCAAGGTTCAGCAAGCGAGACCCCTTCTCCTTCTTTTCGTAGCCAATCTTGCCGGTGAGGACCTGTCCCTTCTTAAGAGGCTTAGGTGTGTGCTTTCCGTGGTCGATGAGGCACACAGTCTGCATCCAGTGAGTCTGGGTTCCATCGGGCCCGGTGGTAAAGGCCACAATGCCCTTCTTCTGCATCTCCGAGGGAATGGCATTGTCGGGGACTATCGTGTCTCTGGACGGCATGAAGAAAATATCAAACCAGATAGCCCAGCCATCAAGAGCGTCGATATCCTGGTTGATAGTTACCTGGAACTCTTTCACGAAGGTCAACTCATCGACAGTGATGGTGTGCAAGGGCAAAGGCAAGAAGACAGCTGAGTCACCAGCCATTGATGTGGACTCGGTGCAGCGAACGAGAGCCTCTTCGTAGATGTTCAGCTTCATGGGGTTCATCTTGAAGCCATAGACATTGTCCCAGAAAGAAATGTGGGACGCAATGAAGTCCGGGTCGGCATAAGGAGCGATCCGCAGAGTGGCGTGAGAGGGAACCATAAGTCCGTCGGGGGCGAGGTAACGGTCCCTAGCATAGATGACAGAGTCGAACATGGCTTCGAAAAGGAGAGCGTAGCCCATCCATTCGGAGATGATGATGTCGACCTTCTCGACGGGAAGGGTGACTTCTTCAATCTTGCCGCGGATCAGACTGCCCAAACGTTAGTACATTATAGATCTGCGCATAAGACGTTGGGGGTCCATACGTGATAACGTCGCCGAGACCGTTGTCATACACAATTTCCTTGGCACGGTCGATGATGTCCGAGTTGTCAACTGAGATGACCTTCTTCGCACCAGCTTTGGCGCAGAACATAGACAGAATACCGGTTCCACAGCCGACATCCAGAACAACCTTGTCCTTGAAGACATGCTTGTTCTCGTAGACGAAGTCACGATAAGCATCGGTACGAATAGTATCCTTCAGCATGGACTCATGGATTGCTTGGAAAAGTGAAGTTAGCAAACGAAGCGGAAGACATAAAGAGGAAATGGCGAACGCACTGTTGTAGGCGTAAGAAGTAAAGTAGCCCTCATCGGCCTCCTCGATCTTGTCAGCGGGAGACTTCTTCACAGAGGCACCAGGCTCAAGCTTCTCATCCTCCTTGTTCAACTGGTCGGCCAGCGACTTCTGCACGGCGAGTCTGTATTCGGAGAATTGAGTCTGAAGTCGCTCAAGATCTTCCTGGAGTTCAATGACTTTGCGCTCCGCGTCGTTGCCAGGTGCGGCCTCGGTGTCTTCCGCAATATCATCTAGGCTGTATAGAAGAGCATCGTCCTCCAAAACGGGCTTCATGAATGCATCGTCGGCGAATTTGGCCTTGGAAGAAACATCGGGGGTCTTGTTTCCAGCCTTCACCTCGGAACGCACGTAGTTAACCAACTTGATAGTATCGAGGAAGTCCAGGCCTGTCATGAAAATGTCGTTAGTCTCAGACCCTTTGGACATTTAGAGATCGCTTTTTGAACATACCAAGTTCCTTCTGAATCTTCAACAAGTCGAAGCTGTGCTTCTCCTTGCACTCCTGCAGCATGGAGCGCACATCAGGGAAGACTTGCTCGGTGAAGAGCCCAACAACGGGCTGCGAATCATCTTCGGGCTCAACATCTTCCCAGCCCTCCTCGTTACCAGAGTCGGAGTCATCCGAAATTGAGCGTGCATCGGCGGGGACAATGTCCACAGGAGGTTGAGTAGCACTAGAGGAAGCCATGATCGATTGGAGTGCAATTGACAAAGACAGTAGAGGGGCAAGCGATAACTAAAAAAAAATCACTTATCGGCATAGCGGCCTCAGGCCAACCGTTGCCCCGCCCCCGTTTGTTTATTACTGCCGTATCAGTGATGTACCGTCCTTCCGATCGATAGACTCGGTCCTCCCTCCACCACAATTTCGGGGCCATGGCTTTCTTCTTTAACCGTGGCCGATCGCGGCAACCTGCCGATGTTGTTCGTTCAACTAAGGAGCTCTTGATGAGACTTCAAGAAGCTCCTAACACACCCAAGGTCCGAAAGCTCGAGATCATTCCTGTGACGGAACCGCTAACGCGCTAAGTAGGCCGAAGAGGATCTTGCGAAGCAGCTCAGTCATATGAAAGTGATTGTTCAAGGGACGCAAGGTTAGTCGCCCGATTTCTTTGGATGAATTGCCGCCGAGTGCGAGCGTTTTGGACTGGATTGGAATGCAGGGCTGACGCCCTTGATTGCAGAGGTCAACACGTCCCCGGATCAAGTCCACGCTTTGATTCAAGCCAGTGTTCAAGAAGATCTGCTCTACGATTTATCGCGGTCCATTCATCTGCTCCCCTTCGAAGCTCGAAAAGACACTCAGACGATATTCTCCCATATTTTGCGTTTCAGACCTGCGTCCTACCAAGACCCCAAAGAAGCTCCCAAGGATCCTCCCGTCATCTCCTATCTTGTCCACCATCGACCGGAGATTCTCATTGAGCTTTGTCGAGGATATACGCAGAGTCAGAGCTCCATGCCATGTGGTGTGATCTTAAGAGAGGCGCTCAAGTTTGACGTGGTCGCTGCGGTGGTCCTTTATGATCAGTCGCATGAGGGGGAGCCGGCCGTGCGCCTATCAGAATTAAAGCCTAACCTCCCTCAAAAAGGAGACGGGGTATTCTGGAACTTTTTCGATTGGATCGACAAGAGTAGTTTTGAAGTGAGCGCCGATGCATTTACAACATTCAGGGTGAGAGTCGAGCGCCGAGGACTTGTGAAGCGGCTGTGACTGACTCGTGTGCGATAGGAAATCCTGACTCGGCATAAAAACCTGGTGACTGCATATCTCGCAACTAACTTTGAATTATTTTTCGGACGATTCAACAATATTCTGATACAATCGGACTCCTACGTGACCAAGCGACAGAGCATCAAGCTGCTCGGAGAGATTTTGCTGGACCGCGCGAACTACAACGTAATGATGGCTTATGTGGAGAGCGGAGAGAATCTCAAGCTATGCATGAAGTTGTTGCGCGATGATCGCAAGATGGTGCAATACGAGGGGTTCCACGTTTTTAAGGTATGTGTCGCCGATCAGGGGGGGAAAGCACACGCACTGACCAGCGAAGGTATTCGTGGCCAATCCGAACAAATCGGTGGCTGTCCAGCGAATTCTCATCAACAATCGCGACCGACTCCTCAGATTCTTGCCTAAATTCCTGGAAGATCGCACTGACGATGACCAATTCACCGACGAGAAGAGCTTCCTGGTGCGCCAGATCGAGCTGTTACCTAAGGAGCCTGTGGACCGGAGCCGGCCTACACAGTCGCAATCTGGGGTCAACACGGCTGCTGTCGCCTAAGTTTGATCCAACGGTGGACCACTGGATCCCACTGCCAGTCTGTTCCCCTTTTTCTTACGCCCATGATGATATTTGAGGAAGTATAGCCAGGATACTTGGTCTCCTTTTTTGCATTGGCAGCTGAAGGTCTGCTGGTTTCACAGCCTTCGGCTAACTGGAGTTTCCCACGTCTTTATTTTTCTTTTTTCTTTCTCCTGTGTATACATGTTACTTCGGGGGGGGTTTTACCAAAAATTGAATGGATTCCTTGAACTTTACGCGGAAGTAGACTTGCATTTACACGGCAGTACATGATCTCACCCCGCAAGTGAGCATTTATGAAAAGAGCTATAAAAAGCACGACTTCATCTAAAGAGCCAGGAAGCGTTACGCTGCCGTGGAGTGTTCCAATCTAAGGACAGCTAGTGTGCTAGTGTCCTCCACACTCGTTGTCTAGTCTCGTCCGGTCCCACTGCTGCGCGGCCCAAGTTCGTTGGTGGGACAAAGATGCAACGCCCCTAGAATTTGAGATTTTGTCTCTTGCGACAATTCACTCCTTTTTTCTTGTGTTCTTGTAGCCCAAACTACATCGCATTCTACCTTCATTCCTTAATTGCGTGGAATGGTAAAAGTGGCCTCCCGCGCCAAGGCTCCACCTCATCCATATCTTTCTCCTTTCCATTTGAATCTCCAGATCCTGACGAAACGGTGATGCGGGATCACTTGTCGCTCCTTTATTCCCTGTGATCCAGTTTCAGTACAATAGCCCCTTTCGTGCCCATCTGGCCATGCTGGGATCATGGTCAATGAGACTCCTGCAACATTGCCCGTCCCAGAGTCGCGCTCGATCCATGCCTTGTCCTGCGACACCGATCCGCAGCGTCCACCCGCCGTTCGCTCGGTCTCGCTTCCTACACCTGAAGATGTGCCACAGAATCACAATGGCCGATCTTTAAGCACCAGCTCCGCGTCGCCTCGTCATCTTGCCCGCCCCGCCACAGCCGTGGCGGGTGTGAATTTCTCGAGGAGGCACAATGGATTGAGACCGTCGACATCTGGGGGAGACGGAACTCGCCCCTTGAGATCGGAGGGTAGCTTTTCTGACGCTCCCTCGCTTCACAGCGTGCCCAGCATTGTGATCAACGATGCGGCTTCCCGCCCTAGCTCACGACCAGGCTCCCGGCCTGGTTCTCGCTGGTCGGAGCGCAAATGGCCTGGCTTGAAGAAGAGATCGGTGGAATTGGAACGGGACATGGACACGGACACGGAACAGCCACCACCGGTGCCTAGGATCGAGCCCTCATTCAGTGTTATCAGCATGGATATTCCGACGGGCTCTTTGGACGGACTGGGGCAATCGATGAAGTTCTCTACCCACGGTAGCCTAATCAAGAAGGACAAAAGAAGTCCACTTCCAAGATCTAGACCTGAGCAGGTATCAGAGGAGCCCAGTGAGGAGCGGTCTGAGATGAGCTCCGGGCCCCCATCCGAGCGACAATCTATACAGCAAGACATTGATATTACGACGGAACCTTCACCCACAGCGGAACAGCCAGAAACCGAGAAAGAATTGCCGAGGGTGACCCCGCGACCTCCGAGGCCGCAAAGCATGCTTCGCCCAAGACAGCTTAGTCTTCAAAGTAGAGCTATCTCTGCTGATGAGGATATGTTGTCCCGCCGAGTGCGGCTCATGTACGAGAAAGGCGATGACAAAGTCACGGACTCAGACGTGGCCAGAGCAATGGCACATGATAACGGCGTGCTCTGGGAAGAGGGTACACCTGACGCAGAAAATGTTTCGATTGCTGGCCCCAACTTGACTGTACAGAACGGTCATTCTGAGTCGAATGGTAGGGCGTCTGCCGAGGTCGAACGCATCAGAATGAAGCGGGAGACCCAGGAGTTGGCAGGTGGAATCGAGGATTGGCAAGATGTTGGGGCAGGGCAGGTAGATCGCTATGGCTTCATCCACGCACCTCCAGATAGCACCGAGCCGCATCCCATTCAGCGGGTCACAACGAGCTTATTGATTGCCTCTGAAGCGCCCCGCCGCAAGCGCTCGATTCGATCACCGTCTGCCCTGGCCAGTAATCGATCTTACAATGGTCGTTCGCCGACCCGCAAGGCGTCCCAAAGTTCCACAGGAGCCCGTCCAACCTCCTCGGCAAGTACAATTAGCGCACCAGTACGGCGCTCAACATCTCGCCTGCGTTCTGCTACCAATCGTCTCCCTCACAATCGAGACCGAAAGTTCACCGACGAGGCAGCCGATATGCTCACCCTTCCAGCAGAGGCTGCAAACGATGATGGGCAAGACACACCTATTGCCCGCGCAGCTCGCAAAAAGGAATGGCAGCGTGAAGACAAATGGACCAAGATGGCGAAACCAACAAAGAAAAGCGGGAATGGTGGGGGCATGTCATTTGAGTTCGACACCACGAGCTCGAAATTGATTGAGCGGACATGGAAGGGCATTCCAGATCGGTGGCGAGCAACGGCCTGGTACTCTTTCCTTGCGACCAGCGCAAAACGGCATGCGGACAGTCCGTCCGAGGATACTCTCATTGGTGCTTTCCACGAGTATCAGTACGTCTCTTCCCCAGACGATGTCCAGATTGATATCGACGTGCCGCGCACCATCACTAGTCACATTATGTTCCGACGGCGATATCGAGGGGGGCAAAGACTGCTCTTCCGAGTCCTTCACGCTATGTCATTGTACTTCCCTGATACTGGCTACGTGCAAGGCATGGCTGCTCTAGCGGCAACCTTGTTGGCCTATTACGATGAGGAGCACGCATTTGTCATGCTTGCCCGGCTCTGGCGACTTCGCGGCCTCGAGGAGCTATACCGATCTGGATTTGCCGGACTGATGGAGGCTTTGGACGACTTTGAGAGAGAGTGGCTTGCTGGCGGTGAAGTAGCCACCAAGTTGGTAAGATTTTCCCTCAAGAATAGCACCTTGAAGACATTGGCTAACGAAATTGAATTACAGACCGAAGTAGGAATCCCACCCACTGCTTATGGTACTCGTTGGTACTTGACTTTGTTTAATTATTCCATCCCCTTCCCCGCCCAGCTTCGGGTCTGGGATGTTTTCATGCTTCTTGGAGATTCCGAAGACCTTTCTGCTCCCGCGAGACCGAGCACATCCTCTAGCAAAGGAGGGAAGAAGGAGCCTGGCACATTCGGCCAGGGTCTTGATGTACTTCATGCCACCTCGGCTGCCCTTATTGACGGCATGCGTGACATTATTCTTGACTCGGACTTTGAAAACATCATGAAAGTCCTGACCAGCTGGGTTCCAATCAAGGATATCGAGCTGTTCATGCGTGTCGCGAAGGCGGAATGGAAGGTCCACCGCCGCAAGAATACCCACCACTAATACCCTGTCCATTTCTCGGCCTTGATGTTCAGCTGCGCCACTACCCTTTTCCTATTTTATTGTCATGACGGTTTTCATATACCCTAATGATCGGGCCGAATCCCGAACCGCACGATGTGTCTAATACTCTTATACCCAATCCCTGGTCCCGGAAATTGGTCCATTGCAGTATCCCAGGAGCAGTCCTACTAATACTGCTTACTTTATTTTTAATTCCTGTGTACCCTACCCTGCAGTGTCTCTCACTATTCTCAAAGAATCCTTTTCAAACCCAATTCTTCGTCATGAAATCCTTGAACATGTCCAGGTCCTGAGATGATGTTGACCCCGTGTACCTAATTTCTCCTTCTATTCTCACAACCTGTGTCCATCGCCACTTTAATATCGCAAGCTATACTATTCGGCTAGTCTTGCTCATCGCAGAACAGCAAGTGTTGCAGCATTTGGTCGCAGGCCTACGTTCGAGCCTATGGTACGTCTTGTGAGCCGCCTAACAAACAGAGAACAAACCGATACTCTCTCAACTATAAGTCTCATACTTAATCTCAGTCTACTTGTAGTAGTAAAGTCGAACAACCATCGATCTTTGTACATAGCGTTGTACTCAAGAAACCAGCACTTCTATTTCTACTCTAGCAGACCCTTTCCACCACGAGACCCGATTGCCATTACGAGCACACAACGCACGAAGGTGGTTGCCTTGGACTTGTTCCATGATGTTGACTGCATTGCAGAGCAATGACGAATGTGATGAGTATATGGAAGTACTAATGTGAGTTTCCCGCCCTGAAGTCGAATGACTTCACTTCAAGACTCTATGACTGTAGAATTGTGGTCATTGAGCTGAGATAAACGATATGTTCTGTGTACCGATGACCCTACATCATGACTGAATGGGATCAGAGGCGTTCTCATCCACAATCATATGACCCCGAGGACAGCTAGAATTGGGTGACTCAACAAATGTGAATGCTTAGTATAAGGGCGAAATGAGACGAGCTTTTTCTCAGGACCTTTTGGGAAGGCCTTTGGTCAGCTCAGGGCTTTGAACAGCCTAGATGCGGTTGTACCTGGTAGCCTCTGATTGCCGAGGGTCGGACAATTATCCCGCGCTAAGGAATGGCGAAATATAGATTGCTAGGGTCTTTATCATTAGCTGCTGCTGCAAGTTACACGTCTAGAACATGTTGTTAAACCTGCAGTGCGGGGGGTGGGGAGACAAGTAGAGTGTGGTAATGTTCGAAATGGGGGCATGCACCGTTCGGTACTCTCGGACAAGACAAACAACACAGAGAAAGCTGCAAGGGAGAAAGCCATTGCGCTAGCGCCGGGCGTTCCTCTCAAAGGATCGATCGTAGTTATTATTACGGGGCCTTAAGTCGCGATACGGAAGACTCGAGTTCCAACTCCACAGCACATTCACTATAGGGCTTTCCTTCTCCGGCTTAGTGTAAGGGCCATGTGAGATGGGACATCCCGGTAGACTCAGTCAAAAACTAGTATCGCATCGACACGAGAGTAAAACATAGCAAGTATCTCCCGAGAGAATAAAACCTTGAAGGCCACCGTGCGGCATGAGGCTGGCATACCCCTCATGCCAAGGCAAGAATCGAAGAACCCACGCGAAAAACGCGGGGGTTGCGCAGTGTCAGTATAAATATGAATGAGAAGAGCTCCGCATTTGCTGAACCTGTATTTTGTGCTGCCATGCCCACTTCTATAGAGATGGCGGAAACCCCCTCCGAGCGCCATGTCGACCATGTTGAAAAGACGGTCGTACATGAAACCATTCCGGATAAAGAGTCGGGCACGATTAGCTTGCACGAACTTGCATCGATCGATGAAGCGGCCGTTCTGCGTAAGATGGATCTCAGACTGATCCCGATGCTCAGTGTGTTGTATCTTCTGGCATTCTTGGACCGCGGCAATATCGGCAACGCCAAGATCGAGGGTTTGGTGGAGGATCTACACATGACGGGGCCACAGTATAATTGGACTTGTATGTGTTGCCATCGTCATTTCCAACTAGGGAGTCTGACTGGAAATTCATAGTGACGGTGTTTTTCTTCACTTACTGCGTCTTCGAGCTGCCGAGCAACCTTCTGCTCAAGAAGCTCCGACCCTCGCGATGGCTACCGCTCATCATGGTGGCATGGGGAATTGTAATGGTAAGTTCGCATTCCCATGGCGATTGAACGGTGTTGACCGATTCTGAAGACATTGATGGGCGTGGTCCAAAACTACAGCGGCCTGCTCGCCACTCGTCTGTTCCTGGGTGTTGCCGGTATAGTTCAAAACCCCGTCTCTCCAAACATCCAATACTAACACTCCAAAAAGAGGCGGGTCTGTACCCCGGTGTAGCCTACTATATCACCTTATGGTACCCGCGCCACCGAGCCCAGTTCCGTCAAGCCCTGTTCTTCAGCGCCGCTAGCATCGCCGGAGCATTTTCCGGTCTTCTGGCATACGGCATCGCTGTACGTTCCCTCGACTCATGATCAAAGCACGTTAAGCTCACATCACATAGAAAATGGACGGTGTCGGGGGATACGCCGGATGGCGGTGGATCTTCATCCTCGAAGGCCTGCTCACGATCATCGTAGCCCTCTTTGCCCCGCTCGCTATCCACGATTCTCCGGAAACAGCCACCTTTCTGACCGAATCAGAACGACGCTTTGTGATCCATGCTTTGCGGACCCAAAACTCGGCAGACAAGCGCGAGATGGTACAAGATGAGGGCGAGTTCCGGATGAAGTATGTTATTGATGCGTTTACGGACTGGCAGATCTATCTGGGTCTATTTAGTAAGTATTTCTCAACTTCGATGAGTGGCATGTCTAGTACTGATGATGATGAAGTGTACTGGGGCATAACCTGTCCACTGTATGGAATCTCGTTGTTCCTGCCCTCTATTATCAAGGATCTAGGGTACAAGTCTTCTACTGCTCAGCTGCTCACTGTAGGTCATCTCATCTGCCATGTCTACGATTGAAAACCGCAGCTAAACACTTGCATCCAGGTCCCCATTTATATCACAGCAGCCATCGTCGCTGTCTGCGCAGCATGGTTCTCCGATCGTCGCAAGCAGAGGTCTCCATTCATTCTGTTCTTCATGGCCATGATTGCCATTGGCTTCGTTATTTGTCTTGCATCGAGCGGTCGTGGGGTGCCAGGTGTGGTGTACTTTGGAGTATTTGTCGCGGTCATCGGTAAGATCTTCGCTTCCTATAAATGAGACAAGCCGAGATAGAAAGTCAAAAACACTAACAGAAGACACACAGGAATCTATCCCGCCTTTCCCGGAAACGTCACTTGGTTAAGCGTCAACCTCGCAGGCGACTACAAGCGGGCTGCCGGAATGGCTATCTATATTGGTCTAGGAAATCTAGCTGGAGGTGCGTTCGGGTGATTTGCTTCGATCTTGATGATGCAGTGACTAACAAACCACCGTTCAGCCATGGCTTCGAACTTCTATCGCACACGGGATGCACCGCAATACATCCTCGGTCACTCTCTTGAACTTGGATTCGTGATCGTAGGCATGATCGCGACTGTCATTATGCGATTTACGTACCAGCGCATTAATCGGAGTAGGGATCGTATGGATCCTTCACAGTATCCGGCGGATATCGACTCGATGGGTGACCGATCTCCTCTTTTCAGATACATGCTGTGATCTTCGTTGGCTTAACGTGCGCATAGTTGATATACGATGGATGAAGAGATTCTATACTGGCTTGAAGTGGATCCAGGGACGACATCAAGCTTCATGCGATTGATAACATATACAAGATAAGGAAGGGTCGGTGACAATAGCATAATACCTCCGTCATGCCATAGAGTAATCGGTCCACCCGCGTCGAATCTTGGCCCGGGTATCGTTGGAATACTTGAGAACGAGGGCTTCGGCGTTGAGAACAAGGTCCAACTAAGGTCTATCCAAATAGACAGCGCCACCCGGCGAAGATATCTTTTCGATATTGAAAGTAGTTAATGGATGATCTTGAGTGTCTCGATGTGAAGTGCGCTCTTGTTCTTGCTCTTGTTTGATTTCCTCGCGGCCTTGTAGTTCTTTGCGATCTAACAGTGCACCGGTGTGGAGCTCAGCGGGCGTTGGGTACTCTCCTTCGCCCGATTCATACGAGCTAGATTGATCTCTCAAATCTAGCCGGCGTTGAGATCTTGGTGATCCTTGGGTCTCTCCAATAGATCCATTCCCATCATTGGGGTCTGCTCCTGCAGGCGTATCCAGCGAGCGAGGTGGAGGTACTTGATGATGATGAGGGTATGAGGATTTTCGCTTACGGTTCAATGGAACCTGGCTATCCGTCGACGCAGAGGCTGGTACTTGTGGAGGCACCCAATGGTGGAAGGAGATAGATGGAGAGGATCGGCTTGTCAACTCGTCTCGGATTGCAGCGGTTTGCTGCTGCCGTGAGATACTTGTACGTGCTGTGGAGGAAAAGCTTGGGATTGTCTGAGCTTGGATAGGTACGTCTATCGCTCGAGCGCGGCCAAGGAGCTGCGAGGCACCAGCAGTCTCGAAGTGTAAGCGTGGTAATTGTGTTGACATACTTCCAGTTCTCGATGGGATGCTTGGAGTAGACGAGGTGTATAAAAAGGAACTTGTGGCGCGTAAATCACGTTGCGGTCCTGCCGGAGCTTTTTGAAGATGTTGGACGAGTGGAGGAAGAGTGGTGGATGACCCCGGGTTGGACAATGGTGCTTGGTTATGATGGCAAGGGCTCCGAGAAGTTGCTTGCATATGGACAGCCCCGCTCCGCGCCCACTGCTGTTCCCTTTCTTGGGCTTGAAATGGAACACATACCCCATTCCCATTCAAGCTAGCGAACAGAAGCGGCAGTACATCAGGCGGAACACCAGCACGTAGGGAATCCGCCAAAATCGCCTGTTCGACCTTGCGTTGCTCTAACTTCAACGCTTCCTGTCGGGTTTTTCTTCTTCCTGACTGCGGCGGTCGTCTTCAGCCTTTGCCCGCAGCCAATGTTGCATATGCTCTGGATTGTCTGACAACTCCGGAGGCGGGGGCATGGGAGTTGGCATGACTCTGGATGATCGGCATAGGACCAGGCGGGGAAGAACGATTCGAAACAAGCCTATAGATCAGTTCAGCCCTGGGCACGGACGATCACTGCGTAGTCCACAGGGCTGTTGGGAATGATCGGTTGAACATGAGAGCTGGTACTTTGCTGCAGGAAGACTTTGGTGGTCAGCAAGACCGGATGTAAAAGATACCGTCAGCAGTGCGAAAGAGCAATACGATACGCATGTTTTCCCCGAAGCTCAAAGTATCCCAAATAGGAAAGCACCTACCGATGAGTCAGCATCCGGAGGGCGAAGTTGCGTAACGGGAGCGAGGCTGTGAACTAAATGGACTGGAAAACGAGGAGGGCCCGGGGAAAAAAGCTTGAAACACGAACTTGAGGAGGGGCTCGTTGAGGCAACTCTGAAACCAGAATCTATTCAGTGCGGGCCGGTCCGCGGCAGCACGATTGAGTACGTCGAAGATGGAGAGTGATTGAGGGGTTGAGGGGAAGGTGGGAAGAGGGGGCCAGAGAGTCTTTGAAAGATCATCTGAAAGACCAAAAGCACGGAGTCTGGAAGGTACGAATGATGGCACTAAGCTGAAGGACACTTCCGGAAGTGTATCGCCCTCGCCCTTAGCCTCCTAGGAGCCGCTTGAAGCGGGCAAATCGGCATCGGCAAGCCAATGATAGACGATGGCTGGTCAAAGTGAAGCAGTAGAAGCGGGCGGGATGCGAGTTCCGCGTACCTCTAATCCACTTACCGATCCACTGTCCCAGGGGAGTGCCATTGCGCGGCACTGGACTGGGATGCCCGTGCGCTCACGATCCCAATTCAGGCTTCATGTTTGAGATGGATTCAGGGGAAATTCTCCGCCTTGACGTGCTTGGTGGCTGGACTTGGCATATCCTTGAGCCGAGGCTTACCTTATTGCACATTGGGAAGATGGAGATCAGGTCAGTCCAATAAAGCTGTGCGAGTCAGTTGTCCAAATGAGGAAAGCGATGGAGATCGTACGGAACACACGCGTCGGCTACTGGCGTTAGTCGCTCCCACTAGCCGGCATAGCCCCGGAAACCAATTTTGAAAATAGAAGATATTAGTCCAACCCGTTTCAATAGACGTATGGGAAGACATGGGAGACGTTCGAGGCAAGTGGCCGAATTATGACAATCAGAGCGATCTTTTGAGGGACCACCGGTGCAGGTGATCGGTAACGAGTTTCACTGTCAAAGATCGTGGAGAGTGTAGAGTCTATACATCTATGCTGTATCTGAAACCTCGACTACTGAGTTGGTGAGCCTCCCCTCTTGTGGCAAATCCACCATGACACGCTCTTCTCGATCAATCAGGAACTATCAATAGAATCGCCAAGGCCAATAATCAGCCTTTAATGTGCAGTAGGATGCCAAGGCACGATTGAGAGCGGGACCTAGGAGATCGCTCAAAGATCATGAACAGAAATTAGCATTGTTGCCACGGTTGTTGCCCAGATAGTCCCCGGCAGCATTCTGACCTATCGAGAAATTGACTATAATTTGGTCGAAAACAGCGACTCATTACACTAGATATGTCAGCAATCAATAGAGACAGATCGATGTCGCAAACGGCCGACATTAGGTTGAAAATATTAGTGAACAAGCCGGGTCCAACCTTGGCTGGAGCCCAAAGAGGGTAATGCCGCATCTCCAAACACAAATATTCGCAGCCCACTATTACAATATTATATCCCCACAATGAGACCAGTGTACACCTCCAAGATCTTTCAATAGAAAAAGAATCTACTGAATCCCGGAATGTCCGTTAGAAGAGGGAATGACATCATGGTCGCCAAGCTGACAAATGTGAAATCCGAAGGGCCGAGGGATTGACCTTCATAGCACCTTGGGGAACCTATCAGATGTGGTACGAGAAGTCCAAAGCTCAAAGAATGTTCCGCGGTTCCTACGAGGCTAAATACTCGTAATGCTCCCCCGCTTACTCTCCTCCAGCTTTAAAGCTGCATCCCGACTCTCCCGCATCTCTTCAACCATCGCACCCTACTCCACCATGTCTAATATCACACTATACACCTGGCCCACGCCCAACGGCGTCAAAGCCTCCATTACCCTCGAGGAGCTTGGCATCCCATACAAGACCGAGGGAATCAACATCAGCACCAACGCCCAAAAAGAGGAGTACGACCCCTCCACAAGATACAAGATAAGACGTTCCGATCACTAACGTCAAATAGCTGGTTCCTGAAAATTAACCCTAACGGCCGCATCCCCGCAATCCTCGATGGCTCCCAGCGCGTCTTCGAGAGCGGTGCAATTATGATCTACCTCGCCGATAAATACGACACCGACCGCAAAATCAGCTACGCCCCTGGCACCCCCGAGCACATCGAGCAGCTATCCTGGCTGATGTTCCAGATGGGCGGTCTTGGTCCCATGCAGGGTACGTACCACAGACATGCAATACTTCCCCCCCCCCCCCAAACTTACCATCCTATAGGCCAAGCAAATCACTTCCGTCTCTTCGCCGGCGCCCGCTCAGACTACGGTATCAAGCGGTACATCGACGAGACTAAACGCCTATACTCGGTTCTCGAGTCTCGTCTGCAGGAGAGCCCTTATCTGGCTGGATCTAAGTATACTATTGCTGATATCGCGAATTTCTCATGGGTCCGTAGTGCACCTGATGCGCTGGAGATTGATCTGTCTGAGTTCCCGGCGCTAAAGAAATGGGTCGATGAGATTGGGAAGCGCGCTGCGGTGCAGAAGGGTCTGGATGTCCCCTCGACTGGTTGGACTCACGAGCAGCGGACTGAGTTCTTCCGAAATGCGCGAGCTAAGATTGATGCTATGTCTAATAGCGATAAGTACTAGGTTCGGTTTCAGCTGTGCGCTGGATATGGCAAAGTTACGCTATGAATAGCACGTCTTTTGAGAATGATGACCAGTGGACGCGATCCATTGAGAAGCATTCTTACATGTGCATTCTCACATGGTTTCACGTATATTATTTTAGACTTTTTTCAGAGCTAGTAGCTCAATATGAATGCAAGATCCGAGAACGATGATTGGAAGGGGAATTAAAAGGGTTGAAGAGCCCAAGCATGTAGACGAAAACCAGTAACAGCTAGATACAATCGCGTGGTCATATGATCTACGGAAAGACCTCAGTCTCGGAACAGCTCCTTTGATTCATTTACAGTTACTGATCTTGGTACTGAGGCTTAACGCATTGCTCAGTAGCCTTGCCACAAGTGAAGATCAGATAATAGCTTATTGGACTGCATTCCTCAGACGGAGAACATTCCTTGAAACACCGAAAAAGGCCAACCTTGTGGCCGATTTTCACCCTCAAACACGCACTTTGCAAGCCCTTCTCTCGATCCCTGAAAAAAGAATACTACTGCCCCATTAATCAAATAATTCATACCTGCTAACAAACTGAGCATAGAATGTGAGATTGGTCTGAAACTGCGGGGTTCAATCTATACCGAGTGGTAGCATTGTCTTGAAGTCAGGTTGTGGATCTATATGACATTTTTTTTCTCATTTGCAGGACAAGCATCGAGATGGTTCAGATAGACTGTATCATTTGAAGAGTTATAGAAAGGCAATGAAAGAAATTGTAGTTGTTATGTCCAGATACGGAAGTCTACTTGATATTGGAGAACGCTAACCAGGCAAAACACGTAACGAAACCATGGTAATGCATCGAACAGGAGACCAGCAGGCACTCAGATCTCTCCAGGCCGATAGCTTCCCCAGGTCTTGAATCCAAGCTGCTCATACCATCCATCTAGAGCAACCCAATCCACAAAGACACCTTCAATACCACGTTCCTTCATGTGCTCAATAGCATGGCAAACGAGAGCCAGTCCAATTCCCGATGCACGGTGATCCCCGTCAACACCCACGCAGCCAATTAGACCTGTGTTGGGGCCACATATCTGAGGGAAAGCCCAGGCTTCGTTGAGGGCTGCGACAGGAGGAAGCATAAGGGTCCATCCGACTTGACGGTTTTCGGAATCAAAAGCTGTCATCACGCAAGAGGGATAGTCTTTAGGGTGTAGCATGACATATGCCTCGACCCAGCCCTGAATCTAGTTAGTGACGTATGTTTATTTTGCAATTGAGGGATGCTCACAGCATTGTAGGAGAAGTTCTTCCTCTGACCGACTAGACACTCTTCGTAGTCCTCAGCTTGGAGAGGTGCAAATCGGAAACCACGATCCCGCGCACGTTTCATATACTTCTCTGGCGATTGGAAATTTCGAATGTCTTGATATAAGTCTACGGACCTGGCTTCGGGTGGGCTCAGTCGGAATCCGCGGTGCGTGAAGAATTCTTGAGCACCGGGAAGCTCGCGAGGTACCCCAGGCCAGAAGCGAGGGAATGAGCTGCCGAGTTTCAGACAGTTCATGCTGAATTGCTTTCTGAAGAATGAGCGGGCTTCGTTCAACAGAGCAGTTCCAACACCTTGGTTTTGGAATTCCGGTGTCACTGCCAATACAGCAATGTGAACAACCGAGTTTGGTTCGCCATGAGCATTGCTGTAAGCAAGACAGAATCCCACCAGTCCCGAACCTACCCGAGCCACAAAATGGTGCGCATTGGGGCGAACTACCAGCGCGTACAGAGCCTCTGCTGGCAGAGCATATGTTGGCAAAGCTTCCTTCCAGACGGCAACAATTGAATCCAGATCCTTCTCGGCGTTGAAATGTGTCACTGCTGCAGGAGATTTGATTGAAGCACTTGGCCCAATGGGAAGGGTTCCCTGGGGAAGCTTTCTTTCCAAAAATGATGTCGGCGGCCACAGAGAAAGACTCAACAGTGGGCTCATATGTGGTCAGATAGGTTTTGATTTCAGAAACATCCAGCCAGTCGTAGGGCTGACATGCAGCTATGGATACCAACGACTTCACATGCCTGGGGAGTAAATTCCCTAGCGATTGCTGGTATGGTGATTCTTTGGCGTTCATCGAAACGAAAATCACGGCATCAGCGGATTTCACGGCAGACCATTGCTCGTCCGATAATCCGTCTTTGGGGTATTTAAGTTCTTTGATAGATTGATTGTACCTTCGCAGAGTGTTGAGGTACTTGGCGGAATCGTAGTCACCGGCCTTTCCCATGCCTTCTCCGTCCACGGCGCCTCCAGCAGGAGTTCCATCTCCGGGGAAGAGGAAAACGATGTTAGATGTACTCGACAGCGGGAGAATACTGGCTTCGTCGCGAACAAGAGTCACTGATCGGTCATATACAGCCTTGAAAATCTCAGAATGCTTCTTTTTCAGTGCGTCAAGCTCTGCAAAGTCCCCTTTGCGTATAGCCACGTCCCAGTTCAAGAACTTGTCTTTTAATTGGGCGACATGACGACAAGCATCATTGAATCGTGATTGTGTGAGCTCTCCAGATTGCACCGCTTCAGTGACCCTCTTGATAGAGGCAACGTGCACATCAAATGTGTGGCACATCATGAGACTGTCACTTCCTGCCTGAAGGGCAAGGACCGAGCCGTTTTCTGTACCATGTGTAGCACGAATTCCATCCATCTCCAGACAGTCCGTTATGATCATTCCATCGTAGCCCATATCCTTGCGCAAAATGCCAAGAACCTTGGGAGACAGCGTAGCAGGGAGCTTATCATCAATGTGCGGCAGTAAAATGTGGGCAGTCATCACAGTCTCGACCTTCTCAGCAACCGCACGGCGGAATGGAATCAATTCACATCGCTCCAAATCATCTCTTGTCTTTTCAATGACCGGAAGGCCATAGTGAGAGTCAGTAGATGTATCGCCGTGTCCCGGGAAGTGCTTTACACTCGGAATGATGTTCTTCTCGCGCAGACCTCGCGCTGTGGCACTTGCAAACCGGCTTACATACTCTGGATCATCGCCCGGACTACGTACACCAATAACCGGATTCAGAGGATCAGAGTTGATGTCGCAGACAGGCGCGTAGTTCATGTTAACTCGGAAGAAGCCCAGAGTTTCGCCCGTAGCTACTCCTGCTAGGTAGGCCGACTCTGGATCATGCGTGGCGCCAAGAGCCATCGGTCCCGGGATCTGGGTGGTCATTGGAGGGGCAATGCGAGTAACTTGGCCATTCTCTTGGTCAATTCCGATCAACAAAGGTCGTTTGTGCCCTGCTAGTCGAGCTTCATGTTGCAGAGCCAATGTCAAAGCCTGTCTAGATGTTAGCGTCGGTGAGTCCTGATCGGCGTATCGGTCTACCTGAAGTTGCTCGGCGCTTTGGTAGTTGCGGGCGAAGAGAACAATGCCTCCCACATGATATTCATGGATTAGAACCTTGATCTCAGAGCTTGGAGTGTACCCGTGAAATCCGACCGCAAACAGCTATCGCGCCAGTCAAGAATGGGGTCTCAATGGCTATAGATAAGAGGACAAACCTGGCCAACTTGCTTTTGCAGATCAGACATGTTGAATCTGAAATCCAGAGACCTAGAGATCTAGAGACCTAGATAGTGCCACGAGGGGGAGGACAAGATAAAGAGGAGTCGCCCCATTTGGCGTTGCTCCCCGCGGTTCCACTCATCCCGTGTCGATGCAACGTTCCACTGAGCTTCGCGCTTGCCCTGAGACCTTGGACTTCGTTGATAAGCCTAGATCCGCCCAAGGCTCGTCACTCCATGCTAAATGCGGGGTAAAGAGAAGAATAGAAAGGGTAAGGGGAAAGGGCGAGAGGCCGAAGCTGAACCTCTACTTGCCTCATCTCCATACTCAACGATAACGCGATATTCGGATACATCGGCCACAGTAATGGACGATGTTACAGATCAACTTCATGATACCAAAAACCCCGTGGCACAAGAAGAAGCCGCCATCAAGGTAGAAAGTGCAGGGTTCCAGCCATCTCACACACTGCGGGAGTACGAGCGTTTATTCGGAGTCGATGAAGATGCCTATGAGCAGCCTACCACGACCAGGAAGGAGCTTTGGTCTTATTACCTTTACTACAATGGTATGTTCATGAGGCTCTTCGCTGTAGATCAAACTCATCAGCTAAACAATCTTGCTACTCCAGGGGACAACGGCGTGGGTCCAGGATCATACAGCCAAGCCCTGTATGTTCTTGGAGAACACTCAAGTATCAAGATCATTCTACTGACAATCTGAAGCTTTCAGTGGGCATTGAATGGTGCAGGTTTTCAACCCGACACTGATCCACCCAAGCCCTGCACCAATACATCAGCATGCGTGGTTCCTTGGGCGGGTGGCACCCGATCTATTTTCCTCGGTCATCCTGATCGCTAACGGTCTGTGTTTTGCATTCATGACAGTCATTTTTGTCTGGCTCGGAAGCGCTGCCGACTACGGATCTTTCGGCAGATGGCTTCTTCTGGTCCTGACTGTCGTCTGCTGGGCGCTGCAGTACGGTATGATGGCCATCCGCGATCCAAGTCAATGGCCCATTGCCATGGGCCTGTACGTTGTCGCGTACATTGCCTACGGTGCTACCCTAGTTTTTTATGCTGCTGTCTTCCCTCGTCTCGCTCGGTACATGCCGCATGTCCGCAAAGCTCGAGAGGAGGATCTGAGAGAGGGCAAGATTGATCAGCAGGAGTACGACGCTATCGAGTCATTGGAGAGAAACCATCTCAGGTATCCTTATGACAGCGCTTTCACTCGAAATCAAATACTAACATCACATAGCAACGTGTCTACTGCTCACAGTAATATCGGGTATCTGCTCACCCTCGCCCTGAATCTAAGTGTCCTACTACCCATGCAGAACAACCAATACTCCAACAACCTTGCGCTCTGCCTGACAAATTCCTGTGAGCTCACCAGTCGATACATACTCGCTTATTCTGACCTTTTTCTGCAGATTGGGTGGTCCTAGGTATTTGGTGGTTCATATTCCAGCAGAAGAGACCCGGACCAAAGATCCCCAAAGGATCCAACTACGCTACCATTGGCTTCAAACAGATCTGGCTGGCCATTCGAGAAATCAAGGCCCTACCACAGACATTTCTGTACTTCGTGGCCTATTTCCTTCTCGCCGACGGGCTAAACACAACAGGTACTCTCGTCAGTATCATCCAAAATGACTACGTGGCGTTTTCTTTCCTACAACTCACCTACCTTGGTATCGCACAAGCGGCTTGCTCTATCACTTCCACCTTTGGGTTCTGGTACATCCAGAAATACTTCAAGTTCAAGACCAAGACAATGTTCTTATTTACCAACTTCTTCAGCGTCTTCATACCATTCTGGGGCATGTTGGGTCTGTGGACCAACAGGATCGGTTATCACAATAGGGTAAATGCTGGAACAATTCTCACATTGGCATCGCACTAACCTACCTCCAGTGGGAATTCTACTTCTATAATATCATTTTTGGACTTTTCCAAGCACCTTACTATGCAGTAAGTACAAGTCACCTGATGTGTCTTGCTCGTGGACTGCTAATTCAGCTAACCCCAGTACGCCCAAACAATGATCAGTGAACTTATGCCTAGAGGCTATGATAACATGTTCTTTGCTCTTTTCGGTATCACCAATCGCGCGGTAAGTTCAGCCTACTTAAGTCCCAAGTTACTTTGCTCATTTGACTTTAAGTCTTCAATTATCGGTCCAAATGTCATCCAGGCTATCATCAACGATACCAACAACAACTGGATGGGCTTCCCTTTCCTATTCGCCATCTGCACCGCCGCAATGATCGCCATCGCCTTTGTGGATATTGAGAAGGGCCGTAGAGATGCCAGAGCCTTTACTGAGAAACGCAAAGTAGATCGTGTGGTAGCTGAAACCGGCCTTCCTGCCAATGCAATTGTGAATGGGAAGATGGTGGATGATGGCGCAGTGGCTACTGGAACCGATGCTCATTCTACCGAAGTGCAGTGAGAGAATCAGAAGATAGCCATTGACTCATTAGAAATTTCCAGGCTCTAGTCTATCAAACGTTCTAGATAACTATTGAGGACTTCGTATCATGAAATTCATGTATCAGATCCGAAGAATGCCAAAGGCTCAAACCTCGGCTTTCTTCTCCGCGTCCTGCATGGGCCCCGCCTCACCTCTAGCAGCCGCTTTGCGCTGGTCCTTTGCATCAATTCTATCACGCCACTTATCTCCATATATAGTAGTAGCCCAGACACAAAGTCCTGCGGCTACTAAAAACACCGCACTGATGGTACTAAACCATCCAACGCCAATTACCTCCACAGCAGGAAGGACAAGTCCTGAGCCCATGGCGGCAAAAACATACCTGAACATGTAATTCCCCGCAACAACTTCCGCACTGCGACCCTTCGCTTGCATCACATCCAAACAATAGGTATTCAAACTCGGGAAGCAGAACAATTGCGCGACACCCTGCAAGAACATTGCCAGGACAGGAACCGGGATCCCACCAACAGCCTGATCAACGGTCCACCCGTAGACAAGGATACATCCCGGGATGAGAACCCCCAGAAAGACAAGGCACGACTTGAGTCGATCCTCGGGGACGCGTCTCCCGCGCTTCCGAATCCATTTTTTAACCGTGTGGTCTGCCCATCGACCGCCCATAAACGTACCAAGAAGATATCCACATCCGGGAGCGATGTAGAAGAGACCTGATTGAATCGGGCTGGTGAGATGGAACCGCGGATTCAGCACATATCGAATGGGCGTAAGTAGTGAATACTGGTTCCAGACTAGAGCACCAGCTGCAAGGCCCGCGAAGAACAGATTAGGATACGTAAAGAGGAGCACAGCGACGCGGACGGGGTTCGCACGGTGGGCGAGGAATTTTGTTTTTTGAGAGAGGCTCATTTGTGTGAGATCGGACTTGTCGACGTGAGGATATGTTTCTGGGAAGAAGAAAAAGACCAGAAGAGTGCCGCAGCCACCTAGTGCAGTCTGTAGCCAAAACACTACCCTCCAGGAGCAGAATGTGACGATCACGCCCTGGGTTTTGTGTCAGTTGGGGGGTTTGCTGTGTGTGCTGGTGATAGTACTTACGCCGATGAATGGACCGAATGCTGGACCGATCAGTGTGCCAGATAGAAACCATCCTAGTGCTGTTGCGCGAGCACGGGGCTCGTAGACATCACCAATGGCAGAGCTACCGACTACGAGAAAGGAAGTTCCTTGAAAGGCAGTGAGGATGCGAAAGATGAAATACGACGGGAGATTCGGGGCTAGCGCGGTTCCAATGCTGAAAGCGAAGAAGAGGAAGGCGCTTGCGAGGAAGATCTATAGAATTGGATCATGAGTCAATAAGCCTATTGTATAGCTTTTGGCGCCAACTGACCGGACGTCGTCCCCAGACCTGACTGAACGGGCCCCAGAATGGGGCGGAGACCCCCATGAATGCCAGATATAGGGCATTGCTGGCGTTGATTACGCTGCCGGTGGTGTTATATGTCTTTGCTACCTCCGGGATACCCGATAGAATTGAGGTTGAGGAGATAGGAGCCAGGAAAGAGCAGAATGACAGGACAAAGACAATGGCGATCTTGCGAGTCGGGGAAAAGCGCAGGTATTGTTCTGCGTCTACCTCGTGGAACTCATTGGCCACCGGCATATCATGGTGAGAGAGATGGCTCTGTACGAGATCAAGATCGTTCGTGCCCATTCCTGCGGCGATTTGGATGCTCTCGTGTGGATCGGTTCTATTGGTGTTGAGACTTCCTTGACACTAGATATGGAATGCGTCGACATAATAGTGTATACGGCACCCAATGCAATTCAACGGGCAGGCTTTGACCAAAACAGATAATGTTGTGTTTGCCTTTTGTGCGAAGTTGTTTGGTACTCGAAAGATTTGAGCGGCTTCTTTCCGGGATGCGGGACATACTCCGTGGACCACACTTCAATTGAAGAGAAAGCACCTTTAAAGAGATGAAGATACATAAATGGAATGGCAAAAGACAATGAGTCAGGAACAGAACATTGCAGACTCGGCCTTCGGCGCCAGCTCAGTTTGGCCGAGGATCAGCGCAGAGGGGTCACATCCCAACGGTAGGGAAGAACTGGCGTCCAAACAGACACTCGCATTGAATCAGAGTCCATATCGCGGGCCCTTCACGACCAATGAGACTACTCGAACGGATATGGGCTCGGGCAGAAGACCGTGGAGAAGTACACTTGAGGACTCCCAACGGTGCGGAAAAGAATCCGTGTCCGCAACTGTTGATAAAGGATGAATTGGGACCAAGCGGTCGACAGGGATTATTCTACTTAGTGCAATTCATCTCGAGCCTTTTTGTCTTACCGTCATTTCGATAGATCAAGATCAAGATCAAGATCCGGACTCCATGTCACGTTAGCCCAGATTCCCAAGATTCAGCTGGAGCTAAGCACATAGAGCGGCCATGTACCGAAGAACCAGATTCCCTAGTACCAAGTGGTCCTAAGGATGTTCGTGAAGCACGACGTTCTGACAGCTGACAGAAGCGCGCGGGCAAGGCATTATTTCCGGCCTTGCGTTGGTCGGATCCCAAAGGATGATCAACGGTGGCTGTACACAAAACCGATTTTCCCCTTTGGGCGAGATGACGTCGTCAGAATTTGACCGCCCAGCGACTTCTCTCCATCTTTATCTTCCCCACCTGTGTCGAGAAGAGTCCGAATACTTTGCCCGTTCGAGAATTTCTTTCCTTGTTTCATTTCCAACATGTCTTCCAAGAAAGATCCTTCCGGCGGTGTCCCCGCTCACAGCAAGGGCTCATGGACAAGTTTCCTCAAGGTAAGTTATTGTTAAGACGATGGCATGCGAGCACCAGTCTGGAGCCTGAAACTGACCGGGGTCCCAGTCGATTGCCTCCTTCAACGGTGATCTCTCCTCCTTGACTGCTCCTCCATTCATCCTGTCATCCACCTCTCTGACCGAATACTCGGCCTACTGGGCTGAACACCCCGCCGTCTTCGTCGCTCCCGCTAGGGAGGCCGATCCCGAAAAGCGGGCTCTTCTTGTGCTCAAGTGGTTCCTGACCACCCTGCACCAGCAGTACTGCAGCCGTAGCGAGAAGCTCGGCAGTGAGAAAAAGCCTCTGAACCCCTTTCTGGGTGAGCTGTTCATTGGCAAGTGGCAGACCGACAAGTCGGACCCCGAGCTCGGCGAGACCACCTTGGTCAGTGAGCAAGTCAGGTAGGTGATGCCCGGTATCATATGACGAGGTGAAAGTCAATTGCTAACAGGTCTTTTCTATAGTCACCACCCTCCTGCGACTGCCTACGCTATCCGAAATGAAAAGCACGGTGTCGAAGTAAGTTGATCATGGTTGCCTGGTTGGCCACCACAATGCTAACCAGCGATTTCTTAACTGCAGCTGCAAGGATACAATGCCCAGAAGGCGTCTTTCTCGAGCACCATTCAGGTGAAGCAGATCGGTCACGCCCTTTACACCCTCACCTTGCCCGGCACCCAAGAAAAGGAACGCTACCTCATCACTCTCCCCAATATGCACATCGAATCCCTGATCTACGGCACTCCCTTCGTCGAGCTGGAGAAGACCGCCAAGATCGCCAGCAGTAGTGGCTATGTTTCCAAGATCGATTTTTCCGGCAAGGGCTGGTTGAGCGGCAAGAAAAACACCTTCACGGCCTACCTTTACAAGGCCAGTGAGGGTGAGAAGCACCCTATCTACACAATCGACGGCCAATGGTCCAACACCTTCACCGTGAAGAACGCCAAGAAAGAAGAAGTCGACAAGTGGGTGGTCGCTGAGAACAAGACTACCCCGCTTACCCTTGCTCCGCTCGAACAGCAGGATGTGTACGAGTCTCGCCGCGCCTGGAAGGACGTCGCCGAGAACATTCAAAAGAGCGACATGGACGCCGTCTCTGCACACAAGTCGCGTATCGAAAATGCTCAGCGCGAGCTCCGTCGCATCGAAAAGTCTGAGGGCCGCGAATGGGAACGCCGATTCTTCAGCCGAATCGACCCCAAGGACGATGACCCCGAAGTTCAGAAGCTAGCTAGCGCTCTCGACCTGCCCTCTAATCTGGATGGCGACAAGACAGGTGGAATCTGGCGCTTCGATGCCCAGCGCGCCGCGGGTGCTCAGCCACCATATTTCAAGGTTGGTGGCGAGGGGCTCGGCCTCGAGTGAAATGGAATCTATGGCCATGCTTTGACGGCGAATCTGGAGTCTTCACTTCGTTTTGGATCGAGGCTGGTAGACCCATCATGAGTACTGACGTGTGTCTCGCCCCTTTTAAGCCAATTGTCTGCACACATAGAGTTGACTGTTTGATCTCCTTTTCTTTTTGCTCGGGATCGTGTCATGCTGCATTTCGATTGTATATAGTTCCGGGCTGAAGCGATGGCCGCTTATTCACGGTTGCGCGGTTGACTGCTACCATCTAATGATACGTTCGGTATTATTTTAATCTTTCTTTTTCGTGTTTTGCACTCTGAAATCGCCGTGTCCAGCTGTTCTAGTTTGATGCTAGTACTCCCACATTAAGAGTAGACGTAGTGATGAGGCACATGGGCTCGTGCAGCACGACGTAAGATAGGTTGAGATTCAAACATCCATCGATGAATGAACCCATAGCAAGGGGAAAAAATATTTACTTTTTCAAGAGACTTCGGAAGATAATTATGAGGCAGACAGGTCGGTCCTGGAATATCCGATTTGTATAGGTGCGTACATAACTCATCACACTTTTTAGCCAGCCCAATAACATGATAATATGAGCCGAGTTCATCACGATCTACCCCTCTTCCGAACCCACTAACATCAAGTATCGATATTGCACACGGTGGAGGACAGAATGACAGACAAGGGGCCCCCAAAACGAAACCCCATTCTTCCCACAAAATGACACACCGGACCTTGACACCGTAAGTTACCCTCAGGTAGGGTGGAGACAGGAAAACAGTAGAGAAAAAAAGAAAACCTTGGGAGAATTGGTGGATTTAATACAAACCGCATCAACAGGGAGCAGTAGTAGCAAAATGGAAAAAAAAGAATAAAAAGTAAAGTAGGGAGGAGGAAAAGCGAGAACGTTAAATGGAGGAGGAAAACACACAGACACAGTCCCAAGCCAGCCAAAGCTCCCAGAAGAGAGTAGAGATTACACAGATGTTGAGGGAAAGAAAGATGAAAAGAAATCATGGGTTTCGTCCATCAGGTCGACCGGCCGACTAGAGACATCGCCCTGGTGAGTAAGGAAGACAAAAAACGTGAACCCGGTTTCAAATCACCCGCAGATGCAACGCCATATGTGGTTGTGTGTGGCGGGGAGAATAGATGAAATATAAGTGAGCCTCCCCGACTTTATGTCACTTTAGTGGGTGTAGTTGTTGCCCCAGCCACCACGGGTGTTACCGCCGTAGTAGTTGCTGAAGCCAGCACCGTAGCCACCGTAGCCGGAGGCCTGGTGGGTCTGCGAAGCCGCACCCTGGGGGTTACCAAGACCGCCAAGGCCACCGTACTGGGGGTTCAACTGGGGATAAGCACCGAAGCCTTGCTGGCCCTGCTGGCCCTGCAGCGGGGGTAGACCTGTCTGGGCCTGAGGCTGACCAGGAACGCTGTTAGTGGCAGATCCGGGGCGGTTCTGTGCGAGAGAGGGGCTAGGGCCACCAGTCTTGGAAGCCTCGAAACCCTTGGTCTCCTCAGCGGTCACGGGGGTCTGTCCAGCGACGGGAGGGTTCTGGCCGAAGCCGGCTTGGGAGCGACCAAAGACATCAGACATGCCGGAGCTGAAGGCGTTGGTACCACTGGCGGACTGCTGGCTATCAGAGGGCTGAGCGGAGCCGGTGCGGCCGTAGACGGAGTCACGACCAGGCACGGCGCCTTGGTTGAAGCTGCCGGCGTTGGCGGGAGAAGAGTGGTCATAGAAGCCCTGGGGCTGGCCGTACATGCCACCCTTGCCGCCATAGGGGCCGTACTGCTGACCACCATAGCCGTACTGAGAGGCATGGGGCATGCCGTAGTGCTGCTGCTGCTGCTCCTGATCGTAGCGGCGAGCGTCATCATACATTCCACGGTTCCGGCCGTAGTTATGCTGGTTCATCTGCTGCATGTACGAAGCATACTGGGGGGTTGGAGTAATAGGGATAGCCGCCGTAGCCATAGGCGTGCTGGCTCTGGCCAGGCATGTGCTGAGCGGCCGGAGCAGCGGTCGCACCGGGCAGAGCCGGGTTGGGGGTGTTCTGGCCACTATTGTTGGCATCGACTGGGCCGTAGCGGCTAGGAGGCTGGGTGGTAGGAACCTGAGATTGAGCCTCACCGGCAGACACGCCGAAACCACCAGCAGCACGGGGACCAGCACCAGCATCCTGGTTCTGGCCGTAATTGCCGTAGTTGTAGTAGGGGAAACGCTGCTGGTCGGCCGCGTAGAAGGGAGAGAAGTCGCCGCCAGTGGTGGCAGTGGGCTGAGCCGGAGTCTGGTTGGCGAAAGGCTCCTGAATCTGCTGCTGAGGCTGGCTCACCTGTTGGGTGAAGGGATCGAAGGGCTTCTGAGGCTCGCCGTAGCGGGCAAAATCGGTGAAGGACTCGGCAGCGGAAGCCTGGGGAACCGGGGGCAGGCCGGGGGCAGGACGGGCAGCACCGGTCTCAGGTACACCCTGGTTGGAAGGAGGAAGGGAAGCACGAGGGGCGACAGGAGAGTGCTGAGGGGGGTTGAGCACGGGTCTCAGCCTGCTCACGGTTCTCATCAATGTCCACGGCATCACCGTTCAATCCCATGCTGCCGAACTGCACGGCGGCACGGTCAACGGCATGGTTGCCCGGCATAACGACGGCTTGCTGCTGTTCCATGACACGGCGCTGGAAGCCAGGAGCACGGGTACCTTGCTTCAAAGCACTGCTGGGGAGACCAGACGAGGTCACGCGTGAAGGAGTAGCATTGGCAGCCGCGGCGGGGTCGAAAGTACTGCCAACTGTGCTGGCAGCGGTGGCCGTAGGAGCAGGAGCAGAAACATCGGGAATTTGCTCGAGGTTGGTCTCGGTCAGGTCGTCGGCCGGGGGCTTAGCAGTGACCTGAGGAATGACAGGGGCGACAGGTTCGATGGGTTTCGCGACGGGGGTCTTCTGGACCACAGTGGGGGCGGGGACGGGTTCGGGGGCCTTCTGCTCAGTCGTGGGCTCAGCAGTCTTTTGGGATACAAGCGCAGGAGCCGCCTGAGGAGGCTTCTGTTGAGGAGGAGGCGGCGCAGGTTTGGCGAAGAGACTCGCCCATCCCTTCTTTGTGCCCTCAGGAATAACAGTGGTTTTGGGCTCGGCTGACTCTGACTCCGCTCCAGCTGTGGGCACACTTTCAACTTCCTCTGCCACCTGAGTTGTAACAGGCTCGGGTACTGCAGCAGCCACCGGAGTCTCTGTAGTACCAGCTGCCGCACGGGTTCCATTCGTATGAGTTGTGGCCCGGCCGCCGCGACCGCCACGACCCCGGTCTCCGCGGGCACGTCCACGGCCTTCAAACCCACCACGGCCACGAGCTCCTCGAGCGGAGGCTGTAATCGACTCGGTCGGGGTGCTCTGAACTTCCTTCGCCTTAGGCTTAGTCCGGTCTGCGGCCGTCTTCTTCTTGACCTCTCCCCACTGCGATACATTGCCTATATCAAACAGAACAGTCAGTAACAACGTTCAAACGATAGACTCCGGACTGGTGAATTGTGCGGAATTGATGGGAATCGACCTTCAGTGATGCGCTCAATGGCTTCCTCGAGTTCACCGTTTGAGTCCTCGAGAGCAAAAACGAGGTCTTCGTCCTTCCAGTCAGGGAATAGTTCCTTAAGAGTGGGCAAGGTGTCCGAATATTTCTTCTTCATTTCTCCAATTTCACCCTCTTCAAAAGATGAGAGGTCTGAGTTGTCAGCTGCGGATCTGCTGTTTCCACCACGGCCACCTCTGGAGCTGAAACCGCCGCGACCACCGCGAGCGGATACTCTGCCTCGTGCAGAACGGCTTTGAACTTCGGACATGGCGTCTGAGTGATGTGTGAGATAAAAGAATTCGGAATTGGGAAGGAGGTCACGATGGCGTCGCAAGGGTTGTAGTGGTGGAAGGATCTGAGGAGACTAGAGATTGGATGCACCCTCGCAGATGAGGAACAGCACCAGGACCACAGGCACGGGGCCAAGATCAGATATCCAAGGAGGACGTTTAAAGGGAGGAGAGGTTGAGGATGTGAATGGAGAAGGACTGAAAGCTCGGGAGATCCAAAGTTCTGATGTGTTGCTCCCAGTCGCAGCTAGTCTTGGCACTGCCCGGCTTTTTAGCGAGTGGCGCCTATTGGTGTTGCGGCTTGAGATCTCGCTTTCTTCTGAGATTCCTTGTACTCTACTGACCGATAGAGGCTGCGTTGCGTCTACTACTATCTCATCGAGGCTGGCCCTCTTCTACCCTCTCACTCTTCTCCGTCTTGCCTGGGTGCCCTTCCTCTGTGCGCGGTCTGCTCGTCATTAACTTTGGGCCGCTATTTCCTCACCGCCCACCCCTCGCGGCGATCTCCCATCTGCAGTCAATGTCTCTTTGGGTTCCCCAGGACTCACCGACATCACAGTATGAAGGGCAGCTCAATATTTCAGTTTAAAGGATGGCCCAAAATCCATCAGCCGCTGCCGCGTACTCCGCGTGAATCCCAGCAACTCCTCAACGCTCTCACCTCCTCCTTTCGCCGTCAGCTCGATCATGCATACCCGGCATCCCATGTCTCCAGCCAGAAAGGGGATCGACAGCCCTTGAATCCCGAGTCTTCGGCCCATGCAACGGATCAGCATTTGCATAACATTCTGGACAACCCATTGTTTCGACTTGTGCCTCGAAAACTCCCGCCGGTTGATCGCAACGCACTGCCGAACGATGAGAAGACACGAATGACAGAAACCCCCATGGTCGTGTTTGATGAGCTCGTAGCGTCGGGCTCAGTCACTGTGCCAGCCGCTGTCGCTTGTTTAAAATCCCAACTCCTCCTTGCGCGATCTCCTGATGACCGCGGAGTCAGTGAAGCCATGAAAGCCTCAAAAGCCGCTTCCAAAGTGACCAATTGGTTTCGGACTACGGATGATGCCACTAGGCTGGCATCCTTGCAATCGCGGGCCTTTACAAGCGCTGTGGCCAAATTTATGGCTGCTGAGGGCCTTCATAGCACTACCGCCTTGGATTGGCTGCGTCTGTTAATAAGTCAAGAAGTGCACGCCAGACAGGCTTTCACTCACCTCGTTGAAGATTTCCTCGATGCCGAAGTTCGATATGGGCGTGGCTTTGGCTCGGCTTTGGAGTTCTACTTGCAGGTGTGCAAGCTGTGCATTGCGTCTCCCCAAGCTAACGGATCCGCCCGATCACTGCTGGTGGCAGCAGGTGCTCAACTTAGCCGGGTGGCCTTGGATCAGAAGCCATCCATTGGAGATGTCTCAATTGGCCTTTATGAACATTACATGGATGTGATCGCTACCTTCACTTCAAATCGGTCACTTCTCTTTAGCGCCGTGGCAGTCTGTCATCCCACTCAGCCCGACCCACGACCTTTTATTCGCTTCGTGGAAAATTGCACGCCGAGCAAGTTTCAGAAATATAGTGCAGTCAGGCGGGATGCCTTCCTTCGCATTGGCTGTGATGCTCTGCGTATACTCATGGTCGAACGGGATGACTACCGCAGTGCCACCAAATTGGCTCAGCAGATGCAGAGCCTATTTCCTGATACGAAAAAATCTACTGTGACTGACAAATCACGCAACCCCGCCTCGCTGGATGAGGACTATCTAGTCAGTCGTTTGGACTTAAACCTGACTTGATCGGCTACCTACTTCGCAACGTTATGAATTTCCATCCATATATGGCTTTGACTGCAAGGTCTGGAAGACGCCAGATCATGCTTGCCTTTAATCGCATGTAATGAGACATCGAACCCACATCTCTCATACAGTCCCCTCTCCCGGGTTCCTCATGTATGGACTTCTCGGGACTCCTTCCTTGCGTTGCCACCTTCACCTCGGGAATGCGAAGGGTTATTTCACCCGGGGACGATCAGTTCACATCTGACCGGAGCAGTGTGGTGCAATGACGAAGATTGAAGCAGGTACTCCGCACCATTTTCTCCACTTTCATTGCGCCATCCGGATAATTATGTCCTCCAAAAGGCTTCTTCGGGGTGCTCAGGTAATCGGCGCTAGACTGCAATCAGCCTGGAAATGCATAGAAGATAGGAACAAGGGTCGGAGGGGCTCATTTTGTGGGATTTCTTTGCATGCATTGGCTGTTGTGCGACAAGAACGGGCGTCGCAGGGGCGAATCGACCCAGTCGTGATGAGATGAAACGGGCTAGCGTCACCCGCTGCTCTTAGTAAACGTCACTGCGCAACCTCACTTCGCACCCTTAGCCATACCAATCGACTTTATTGCGGCTACACATTTCTTCTGTAAACCATCATCCTAGCCATTTCTCTTCTCGCAAACTCTTCGCGATCCTACTTTGAGACTTCCTTCTTCGCAGAAGCACGTGCCAGCCTTGACATCATCTATCCACATGGCCAGCGAAAGCTTTCCCACCAAGGGCGCGTCCCCAGCTCCAGGTATTTATTTCTATGGTAAATCAAGCCTCTTCCGGGGCAATTGGTTGGGGTTACTGAAACCTAGCTGCTTACTCCGAAAGGGCGCTGGCATGTCCGTCGCATGAGACTCTATGTGCTGACTAATCAATAACAGTCACGGCCCCGGTCGGCAACGAGCAGGCACAGCCAATTCATAGTGTTGTGAACACATCTCACACAGACACCGAGCCTGTCGCTGTCGAAAAGGCAAAAGCTGCCGCACACACTGGTAGCTCTGAGGCGCCCAGGGAACCCGCGGCTGCGCAGCCGCCCGTCGCAGATCACCCTCTTGGCGGTGTCGCAGCCTCAGAAGCCAAAGGTTCAGCGGAAACAACCGGTGCTTTTCCAACAGAAGAAAAGAATCATGCATCAGAACAAGAAGAGTCAAAGCCCGCGCCAGAGCCAAGGATCGGCGAGAAGCGTGATATTGACTCAACGGCAGCTCCTGTGACGGCTCCTGTCTCAGCTCGTATATCCGGCGACAAAGATGAGCTTGTCATGGAGAACCCAAATGAGCCTGATATTAAAAGGCAAAAGATCGGATCTGAGCCTGTCGACGAACCCGCTCAGGAACCTAACAAGGATACCAATGGCTTCGCGCCTGCTCCAGCCACTGATAACACCAATGGAGAGCCGAAGAAGGCTGCACGACCAAAGAAGGAAAAGGTCAAAGATGCAGTGAAGAAGGTGATTCCAGGCGATGGAATCGGCAGCCGGACTCGCAGCAGAACCAAGCCGACTTGATTTACATGCACGATCAATAACGATTTGCTGTGCGAATTCGGCACCTATCATATTGAAATCAGCTGTCTATTTCTCCGTCTTTACCAGCCGTGTCTCGATGGTTTGGGACAGCTGGGATGAACATCTGTGGAGCTAGTCTATTCAGTATGAAACAATCCAAAAGCGCCCCTCAAATCCCACAAAGATAGTCTGCTCCCTGTGTAAGATTATGTACTCGTTAGCCGTCCACTATACTTGACCATTAAACCACGAGCCAAAGATCCTGCCCCAAATCGGGAACTATGTTGGGAAGCGCCGCCGATGATCGGGGCTGACTCACATCTTCGGGACGGAACAACTCACCCCGCTATCGTCGGGGAGTGTGTGTGCCCGCCGATAAAGCGCGATTTAATTGACCTGCCCCTCTACTTACTCCTCTGATACTTTCAATTGCTCAATTTTTCACAATGTCGTCCCAAAAGATTTGGCTGCGCGCCGAGACTAAGCCCGCTGAGGCTCGGTCTGCCCGTGAGTGCCCTGCCTACTGTCCATGGCAATTGTATTAGACCCGGGGTTTGAGATTACTCACAATTTGACTCTACAGTCACCCCCACCACCTGCAAGGCATTGATGGATGCCGGATACGATGTTACTGTTGAGCGCTCTACACAACGTATCTTTGACGGTATGTGCTCGATATGCTCACCATTTGCCACGCGGAACCTTTATTAACTTGGGACAGACGAGGAATTTGCCAAGGTTAGCTCTTACTCCATCGCCTTATCCCTTCCAGTGCAGAGTCCTGAACTCTCAAAAATATAGATCGGTGCACGTCTCGTCGAGGAGGGATCTTGGGTCAAAGATGCGCCTAAGGATGCTGTCATTCTGGGTCTCAAGGAGCTCCCCGAGGATGACTTTCCCCTCGAGCACGTCCACGTCACATTCGCCCACTGTTACAAGCAACAAGGTGGTTGGGAGCAGGTTCTGAGCCGCTGGCCCCGTGGAAAGGGTCTTCTGCTAGACCTTGAGTTCCTCACTGATGACGTTGGCCGCCGTGTTGCCGCATTTGGTTTCTCCGCTGGTTACGCCGGTGCTGCCCTGGCCGTCAAGAACTGGGCTTGGCAATTGACTCATCCCAATGGTGAGGCTCTGCCCGGTGAAGTGCCCTACGCCAACCAGGACCTCTTGATTCAATCTGTCTCAGAGGCTGTTGAGGCTGGCAAGAAGGTTGCCGGTCATTACCCCAAGATTCTGGTCATTGGAGCTGTGAGTCAATTCTTAGCCTTGGAAGCGTATTTATCGCCAATTCTAACAATGGCGTAGCTGGGACGTTGCGGCAAGGGTGCTGTGCAGCTGGCCAAGGATGTTGGCATTCCCGAGTCCAACATCATTCAGTGGGATATGGCCGAGACCAAGAAGGGTGGTCCCTTCAAGGAGATTGTCGAATCCGACATCTTCGTTAACTGCATTTACTTGTCGGCTCCCATCCCCAAGTTCGTGACTGTCGAATCCCTCTCCACCTCGGACCGCAAGCTGTCCGTTGTCTGCGATGTCAGCGCTGACACGTAAGTATCACCCGCAACACACGAGCCGTACATGGCGACTAATCCTTGTCCTCTATAGCACCAATCCCAACAACCCCGTCCCCGTCTACGACATCACAACCACCTTCGACAAGCCCACCGTCCCCGTGACTCTTCCCGCTGGCTTCCAAAACCCTGCCCTCAGTGTTATCAGCATTGATCACCTGCCGTCTCTGATGCCGCGTGAGAGCTCTGAACAGTTCAGTGAGGCTCTGTTGCCCAGCCTCCTCCAGCTGAAGGATCGCCAAACCGCGCGGGTGTGGAAGCAGGCCGAGGACCTGTTCAACGAGAAGGTGGCTACTTTGCCCGAGTCATTGCGCGCTTAGATAATGGGTATGAGGAACAATGACTTGATGGAAAATCGATAGAATATGCCGCTGGATTTGGAACAGGAAACACAAAAGCAAAAGTCGTGTGCTGTGTAGTATATTTCGGGACCCTGCTCTCGATGATTTGCTGGAGACAGATTTCGTTGACATCACTTGTCCAATCTTGTATATCTCCCTTATTTCTCGTATGCCTCTTGACCGGCAAGTAATCAGCCTTCATCCCTAGTGATGAACATCACAACTGGTAATGTCCAGGTGCGTACCTTCAATTGTGTTATTCAGAGGTCACTCATGCTCCTCTAGGGTCTATGTGAAACCCCAAAAGGCTAGCAGAAGCTACGACAGAGATCTGATTCACTTTAGCCAGTAAATTTTGCATGTCCTGTTGAGATCGTTCAAGGCTTTATTCTCTAAGATGTTTTGCTACCGGGTTTTTGGAGCAAAGGTACCAAGATTCTGCCTCGCTGATGATCTGACATGTAGGCAGGATACACAGGGCGCGGACCCCTCCTCTGGGACGCGAGAAATTTTCCCCTAGAACATCATCTCAAAACCCTCCCAGGCTACAGAAATTCTACCCAGATTTCTTCCACGGCTCTGGCGACTTCAAGCCCCATGCGGGGTATAGCTATATGGCGGACATCCGAAGCGTCCGTCACACGGAAATGGTCGGGCTGAGCGTGAGCCAAGGAGAATGCAACGACAACCTATCGGCATACCCAATCGCCTTCCACAAAACATGCAGGCTAGAGATCCAGCGGCATCGGATTGAGCCGATCGTGAGATCCGGAGTTTACCCTAAAGGGTGCCTAAGAACCGGATTGTGTTGCGACACCCCGTCTTCTCCGCAAATGATCCCTTCGGTCCACTCTCCGTCCCTCTTCCCCAGCCGAACCCGCCAAGGCCAGCACAATTCTTCCCTCCATAGCAGACACCGCAGCTTACAGGTCTCTTCGCCTGCCCTGATCTTGATCACTTCCCTGGCGTTCACCTTGCCTTTGTCGCAGCCAATCTGAGGATGGGGCGATGAAATCTCGGAATTGACCTCGATACCTACCGCCCACGCCACGATCTCCAGAGAACTCCCTCTACCTCTATAACGCGCCTTGATGCAAGAGAGACCGACCACGGTCGCTGCATATGCGGCAGGAGCCTCGCTCGCCGCAGTCGCGCTATTCTACGTATTCGGTCCTAACTACACGATCGACGGCGATGAGTCCAACGACAGCAACCGCAAAAAGAGCATTGTGGGCCTGTCGAACCTAGCCAATGACTGCTTCATTAACTCGGTGTTGCAGGCACTGGCTGGTCTGGGTGATCTGCGGGTCTATCTGATCCGTGAGCTGCACCGCCGCGAATTAGATGGACCGGGGGTTTACCACGCGGTCCCGGGCCCGAACGAGCTCTCGCGCGGCCAGCGGCCAGACAAGGAGAGGGAGTTACAGCAAGGGCTAATTACAAGGGCGTTGAAAGAAATGCTGGATCGGCTGAATGAGCGCCCCATCTACAAGAAGACTATTTCGGCGCGCGAATTCATCCAGGCGCTAGAGTTGGCGTTTCGCACGCGCATCAGTCGGAATCAGCAGGACGCGCAGGAATTCTTACAAATTGTGTTGGAAAGGCTATGTGACGAGTACCATGCGGGGGTACGAGCGAGACAGCGGGCCATTGCACTCGACAGCGCGTCTGCTAGCTCCGCCGAAATGGGAGCTGTACCTGAAAGCCATTCGGAGGTGGAAGTGCGCATTGATGATGGATCCGAGAATGGATTGCCGGCTATTATTGACACCAAGTTTCACGGAATTGACGACGAGCCAGGATTTCCATTTGAAGGGAAGTTGGAATCTCAGATCGTGTGTCAGTTTTGCCACTACGAGTACAAACCGAATCAGACGGCCTTTGTCAACCTAACGTTGCAAGTGCCCCAAAAGAGCTCTACGACGCTCAACAACTGTTTCGATGGACTGTTGAAGACAGAGTATATCGAAGACTTCCGCTGTGACCGCTGTCGGTTGATGCACGCCGTTGAAATCAAGAAGACGGAGCGAGCTCGGGCACGTTCAAAGAGCGAGCAGGAGCGGTTGGATCAAGAGATCACGCGCATCGGAAAAGCCATAAGTACGGATCCTGAGAGTGAGCTCGAAGGGATTGTTCTACCACCGTCAGACCTTGTACCCAAGCGGCGAATTGCACGGCATATGCGCATCGTTTCATTCCCGAAGGTCATTGCAATTCATCTGTCACGGTCGATTTTCGATCGTAGCAGTTCCACCAAGAATGCGGCCAAGGTATCGTTCCCAGAACGATTGCCTCTAGGAGGCATTCTGAACCAGATCTGGTATAAATTGCTTGCCATTGTCTGCCACAAGGGTAGTCACCACAGCGGCCACTACGAATCCTTCCGACGCAACCATCTGTACGCCCCATTCTCGACCCCCGAAGCCTTCAGCTCCTACGCACAGAGCCGCGTGAACAGTGTCAGCCCTTCAGCTGCACCAAGCCCGCGATTGGCACCGCGCAGCAGCCCCGACCTCGACACGGGTGGGAGCAGCAGCATCTCCACCGCGACCTCGACCACCTCGCTCTCGGGCGCCTCGCCAATTTCTCAACGCACGCCTTCCCTATCGCGTCCCTCTTTCCAGAGCAGCCATTCCCATTCCCGCTCCTCGACCCCCCAACCTACCGATTCCGACAGCAACAGCTCGACTTCCGACAAGGGTCGATTCAGTACCTCGTCTGGCCCGCGCGCTTCCCGAACCATTCCCCGCTCGTCCACCGAGACGGCGGGGTAAGTTCGCGACTTCGACGTCGTCGCAAGCCGAACGATCGCTGGTGGCGCATCTCAGACGAGAAGATCAAAGAATGCAAGACCTCGGACGTGTTGGGCATGCAAAAGGAAGTCTACTTGCTGTTCTACGAGATTGAGCGACCCGACAGCAGCCCCCGCGGTGGCTGAAGGGCGCCTCTGAGGTGATATAGAGTCTGTAGCGGTCACTTCTGTTATTCCTGTAGAAAATCATAACCCGCATATAAATAAATTCAATGTATGGTACGAGCAGGGGCGTGCGGCAATAGAGATTATAAGGTGCGATCATAGTTCGAATACTGTGAATCTAGTAATCATGAACCTGATTGATCGACATGCCGGGGCCAGGCCGGGACCACAATTCACTGGGGCAATTGCTAGGCTTGATGTCAGGACAGACCCAGCCCGGATCGCTGAGCTCCAGCAGAGTGTGCCTTAACCGGATTGTCGAAGGGTCTAGTGGAGCTACCCAGCAGGTCACAATCGCTGGATAGAACCGGATTGACACGTTGCACTTGGGTAGGTTGGGTACTGTAGGACTGATTGCCAACGTGCAGCGAGTTACCAATGCGGCCCCGTAAAGCGTCGAAGTGCGGCGAACGGCCTCGAATCGCCTTGGGATTCCTCGGTTCCCCGCCAGCGACGAACAAATTACGGAGTCGACGGAGCCGCGAGGGATCAATTCTTTGCAGCTGCCGACGTCCTCATTCAAGCTTCAAGCTTGACGTCTTATGATCTAGATACGATATGATTGAGATGGTATAGGCCCCCCGGATAGAAATTCCAGATGTTGGCAACTTCCCTTGCTCGCTCCTTTCCAGCTGCACCGAGCCCCGCGGCGGGGCAGCAGAGGTTATACAGTCACGAAGCCCGAAGCCGAACGGCCACGCAGATCGGGTCCAATGCGGAGAGACCCGGGAGAGCGCAGAGTTGGGAAGGAGATATAAAATGAATCCCTAACCACTTTCGATGATCTCATTTTCCCAGAGTTTCGCCTGAAATCACCGTGACCTCAACCCGCGCCTTACTGGTTGTCCGACGTCTCCACCACCCGGTGAGTGCACTGCAAGTCTTCACCGATGACGCTTCTGCCCCTCCACCCCAAACAGCTCCGCTGCTCTTTTGCCCCTCCTTATTTAACTCCCGCTTTCGTCGTCTCGGTAAAGCATTTTGCTTTTAATACTTCTACCATTAAACTGACCTCTCTTCCTCCTTTCTTCCCGACCAGAATCTAAAAACACATCTCTATTCTTACTATCACCATGGGTGTTCTTGAGAAGCTTAGCCGCAAGACCGGTGTCATCGTCGGTGACGATGTTCTCCGTCTCTTCGAGTACGCTCAGGAGAAGCAGTTCGCTATTCCCGCTATTGTATGTTTCTGGCTCTTCTCCTCCTTTCCCCGAACCGCTCCAGCTAACCACCTGACAGAATGTCACTTCCTCCTCCACTGTCGTCGCCGCCCTCGAGGCTGCTCGCGACCAGAAGTGCCCTATCGTCCTGCAGATGTCCCAGGGTGGTGCCGCTTTCTTCGCCGGTAAGGGTGTGAGCAATGACGGCCAGGCCGCCTCCATTGCTGGTGCCGTTGCTGCTGCCCACTACATCCGCAGCGTGGCTCCCGTCTACGGTATCCCCGTCATCCTTCACACCGACCACTGCGCCAAGAAGCTCCTGCCCTGGCTCGATGGCATGATGGATGCTGATGAGGCCTACTTCAAGCTCCACGGCGAGCCCCTCTTCTCCTCTCACATGATTGATCTCTCCGAGGAGGAGGTCGACTACAACATCAACACCACCGCCGCCTACCTCAAGCGCGCTGCCCCCATGAAGCAGTGGCTCGAGATGGAGATTGGTATCACCGGTGGTGAGGAGGACGGTGTTAACAACGAGGACGTTGACAACAACTCCCTCTACACCCAGCCCGAGGACATCCTCGCCATCCACAACGCCCTCTCCAAGATCTCCCCCTACTTCTCCATTGCCGCTGGCTTCGGTAATGTCCACGGTGTCTACAAGCCCGGCAACGTCAAGCTCCACCCCGAGCTTCTGTCCAAGCACCAGAAGTACGTCAAGGAGCAGACCCAGTCCCCCAAGGACAAGCCCGTCTTCTTCGTCTTCCACGGTGGCTCCGGCTCCTCCAAGGAGGAGTACAAGGAGGCCATCAGCTATGGTGTCGTTAAGGTCAACGTCGACACTGACATGCAGTACGCCTACCTGAGCGGTGTCCGTGACTACATCCAGAGCAAGAAGGACTACCTCCAGTCCATGGTTGGCAACCCCGATGGTGCCGACAAGCCCAACAAGAAGTTCTTCGACCCCCGCGTCTGGGTACGTGAGGGTGAGAAGACCATGAGCAAGCGCACCCAGGTCGCTCTCGAGGACTTCAACACCTCCGGCCAGTTGTAATCTGCCGGGTGATTGTTTCTCCTCTTTCTGATACTGTCATACTTCCAAGCCGAAAAATAGGTTGGGCGCGCCCGGGGATGTGGCGTACCGGTTGTATGTAGCGATGAATCTCGACACGTTGTAATGAAACGTCTATATCCATTTGCTGAAAAAAAAAAGAATGCATTTAAAATTTCCTAAGGCCGATTGCACAATCAATTTGGATGGATCCGTAACTCTGTACCTGAGGTAATCGCGATGAGTTTTACTCTGAGATCGATATGCGGCAGCTATGGCTTGCGCTAAGTCGCACCTTGCTGGTGGCGGAGTCCATATGACCCGATCATTTTCTCCATTCGCCGGGAGGACTGTAAGTCGACGAGGAATGTATAGCTAGATAGAAGATTCGATACTACCATGTCGCGCAGGTGCAATGGCAGTAGCAAACTCGTGCGAATCCGAACGGGACTCCATCTCGTGTACAGACCATGTGACGCAATCAGGAGGGGCAGTAGGTGCCTTGCAGCCTTAAGACTATGGTGTGACTTCGATGGTACCTGAGGCATCTATTCCTGAAATTCTTCAAACCTCTAACGTGCTGATCCAAAACATCCTCACCCTAGTAGGAACTAGGGAAGGTGTGGACGGTGGAACAAAGACTAATTTCCAAAAGTGTGTCAATGTGACCGGAGTTTTATCTGAACCAAAGACACCCGATGTTCCAGATTGTCTCCCCATCGGGCGCATGATTGGTCTCCCATAAGTTACAGGACGCCGGTCTGCCAATTATACCAGGTACAACGGGGCAGATGGAGAACCAAACGTGTTGCAACGCCACCAGGAACACAGAGTTGGCTGATTATGTATGTGCCTTTGACAGTTGACGCACTTCGTGAAAAGTCAACTCCCACGCAGATCGGCAAGGCCGCGATTACCTTCTAATAATAAACCACGTCTGGACCCTCGGTGCCTGTCAGAATCCACTTTTCTCTCATTCTCAAGCCTTTGTCTCACTTGGCACGTTATTTTTCCAGTCCCTTTTCCATCTCTACACCCCACAGTTCGTCACGTCTTTTTCTACGCCTCATGCCGACTCATCTCTCGTTCATCTTGTGATTCAACCGGACATGGATCCGCGCAGCTTGCAGCTCCGCAACGAGGGAACTGATCAGTTCCTCAAGCTTATCGCGGATCCCTTTCAATCTGCTGTGTGTCAAGCTTCTCTTCAAAGACCCTTCAGAAGCTGACAGTTCGTCCAGTTTACAGTGAGCGCTCTGTGGGCCTCCCTGGGCACTTCCATCGGTATATCCATCCTCCTCACCGCAACGTTCTCCCTCTTTCGTCCCCGTCACTCGCTCGTCTATGCCCCAAAGGTCAAGCATGCAGATCAACAACACGCTCCGCCCCCAGTGGGCAAGGGCTTCTTCGCCTGGATCAAGCCCGTCATCAAAACCCGCGAGGCACATTTGGTCGATACTGTGGGCTTGGACGCGGCCATTTTCCTGCGCTTCACGAAGATGCTGCGCAACATCTTTATCTTCATCAGTATCATTGGCTGTCTGGTCATGATCCCAGTCAACATCGCCGAAAGTCAAAATAACGATGATACTTCGGCCTTGTCCGCACTCACGACCATGACGCCTCTTTACGTTAATGCCAAGGCTATTTGGAGTCAAGTCGCGTGCGCCTGGGCCTTTGATGCCATCATTGCATTTTTCCTCTGGCGAAATTACCGCGCGGTGCGAACGCTGCGGAGACAGTACTATCAGAGCAGTGATTATCAGCGAAGTCTGCATGCGCGGACTCTCATGATTACCGACATTCCCCAGCCAGACCGGTCCGACGATGGTATTCTGCGAATCACCGACGAAGTCAACACGACCGCCACCCTCCCCCGCGCTGCTATCGGACGCAATGTCAGGGATTTGCCCAGAATCATCAAAGAGCACGAGGAGCATGTGCGGCAATTGGAGTCGGTACTCGCAAAGTATCTCAAACGCCCGAACCAACTGCCTGCAAAACGGCCAATGATGCGCCCACCCCGAAGTCAGCGCAACAAGCACCCCGATGGAAAGGTGGACACCATCGATTACCTGACAGTGCGCATCCGCGTACTGGAGGAGGAAATCAAGCATGGTCGGGCGTCCATCGACCGAAGAAACGCTATGCCTTATGGATTTGCAAGCTGGGAGAACATACAGCATGCCCACGCCGTGGCGTGGACTGCGCGCCGGAAACATCCAAAGGGCACTACGATTGCTCTCGCTCCGCGCCCTAGTGATCTCATTTGGGAGAATCTGCCTCTTTCCAAGCAATCTCGCAAATGGAAGCGATTCATTAACACTCTCTGGGTCACCCTGCTGACTGTGGTATGGATTGTTCCTAACGCGCTCATCGCTGTCTTCCTGGCCAACTTGAACAACTTGGGTAAAGTCTGGCCCAGGTTCATGACTTCGCTTGTGGCCCATCCCGACATCTGGGCTGCGGTGCAGGGTATTGCTTCTCCGGCCGTCACCTCGCTCGTGTACCTTCTGCTTCCAATCATCTTCCGACGTCTATCTGTTCAGGCTGGTAGTAAGACCAAAACTTCTCGAGAACGTCATGTCTTGGGCCAGTTGTATGCCTTTTTTGTCTTCAACAATCTGATTGTCTTCTCGCTCTTCTCTGCTGCGTGGACTTTCGTGTCGAGCGTGATTGATAAGACTAACCACAACGAGAATGCTTGGCAGGCCATCGTGGACAGTCAGCTCTACACTCAGCTGATGAGTGCTCTGTGCACGATTTCGCCTTTTTGGATCACTTGGCTCCTTCAGCGGAACCTCAGTGCTGCCATTGACCTGGTACAGATGGTCACCTTGGCTTGGGTCTGGTTTGCCAAGACCTTCCTCTCGCCTACTCCTCGACAGTCTATCGAGTGGACAGCACCTCCACCGTTCGATTACGCCAGTTACTACAACTACTTCCTCTACTACGCTACAGTTGCCTTGTGCTTTGCCACCCTGCAGCCCATCGTGCTTCCAGTGACTGCTCTGTACTTCGGTATTGACGCCATACTGAAGAAGTACATGCTGATGTATGTCTTTGTGACGAAGAATGAGTCTGCTGGTGCTTTCTGGCGTGTTTTGTTCAACCGTATGATCTTCGCGACCATTCTTGCCAACGTCATTGTTGCTCTGGTTGCCAAGGCGAAAGGCAATTGGACACTGGTGTTCTGCGTCATTCCACTGCCGTTCCTGATGCTGGGTTTCAAGTGGTATTGCTCGAGGACGTTCGATGCTGACATCGACTATTACAACCGTGCCGATCTTTCTGATGCCGAAGCTCTTGGCGTCTCCAATTCTGGCAAGAAGGCTGCCGACCGGCTGAGCTCCAAGTTCGGCCACCCGGCCCTCTACAAGAAACTCATGACTCCTATGGTACACGCCAAGGCCGCAGAGGCATTAAAGCAGATCTACCAGGGCCGTCTTGACCACAGCGACATGGCAGGCGAGTACTCAGACATTGCCATGGACCCCATGTCGGCCTCCCAGCCTGGCAAGGCCGAGCCTGCACCGTTCGAAGTCGTCCCGGAAAACCACCTCGACTTTTCCTACTTCAAGAACCGCGCCGACTTCCGCGATGAGTTTGGCGGAGGAATCTACGGCCGCCCGGAAGATCTCATGACCGAGCGCTCGCATACACCTCGCAGCCACCTAGGCGGCGAATGGTCACCGAGCTCATCTCGAGCCTCGTCTCCCGCCCCATCCCTTCCCTCAATGTCTGGCCTCAAGATGCACGAAGGCCACATAGACCCCCTACGTCGACCCCGATGCCCGCCTCATCCACCCAGCCTTCCGCGTCCCTATCTCAAGAGAAAACAGCAATGGCCCCATCGGAAATGGTCTCTACCAGCCCGACGAAGCCGAGACCGGACTTTTGAGCTCCGCTCAAGTTCCCGCACATACAGACCCGACTCCACTCGGACGCTGGAATACCGGTGGATACGGACCTGTCGAGCAGGACGAGGATCCATACAATACCTCGTACGAGCACTACCGGACCCCGCGGTAGGCTTCATCTCCTTGAGATCTTGTGCATATACATATTGTTATTTTTTCGGTACGGCGACTCTGCTTTTGGGATTGCGGGGCGGATACGAGATCACGATTATTTGGAGTTTTGAATCCTTTGCATCGAGCAGCACTTTGGATGTAGACCTTTTTATTCGACACTGTATAAAAACATTCATAAATTCTGAACATTCAAACATTGAGCATTGGAAGATATATAATTTTGGTTACTCGCTTATTGTATTGATTCTCTAGATATTACCATCGAAAGGCTTCTGAGTATATCGCTAACTTTTCATGTCGTGATCACTTTTGCTGATCATTCGATGTCCCTTCACCCCGATTGGCCTAGCCCAACGGCATCAGAATACCTTGGAATTTCGGATCGATCATCAAACAGTACATATTCCGGAGGCCACGATGCGTGTTCAGTGTCATTCGGGAACTGGGGCGTATGGACAGCTGATATATCGTCGACTGGAGTTATGGACTCTGGTTGCGGGTCATGGACATGGTCATCGTACAGAGGAAGCGGAACGAATGGCTCCTCGGCTACATCTTCGACGTCGGATCCCAGTATAGAATCGCCGAACCGGGTCGGGGCGAAATACAAGTATATCGGGATGGATACTCGGATCTGGTTGAAGTGAGAACGGGATCTTCTAGAATGGGATCCTGGCAAGTGTTATCTGCAGATATATACGCCCAATTGAAGTATGTCTCTCTGTATAGTTGATGCGGATTTCTACTCTGAGATCGTGGGAGATGCGGATCACGCTGGTGATTGCACTTTGGAGACAAGTCTTGGTAGATCGAGGTAGATGTACGGCCCTTGAAACATTGTACCAGTTTGCATCATCCGATGAAATTTCCATTTCACGCCAAGCTGGCGGTGTGAATTGATCTTTGAGCACCGTGCGAGATCGCTTGCTGCAGGCGGTCTGGATGGTGTCTTTCTTGTTCGTATGAGTCTCAACAAGCGATATTTTAATGAGAGCGAGATGTAGCTCTTTCATAAGAGGAGTGAATTGGAATTGGATGGGAAGGACATTGCCAAGTTCGATGGTATAGTTCGGGATGCCGACACTGTACATGATCCTTCCAGTCCATATGTTCTGAATGCTCTATTCGATGTTAGGACAACAGTCGATCTGTTTTCATGTTGTGCGGAGACATCGTTTACCGTGGGTTCAGGGATCAGTAGTGTCGTGCATATTCTGTATACCTTCAGGGGTTTCCAGATATCGGTGATGTCGTCTTTGTCGCCAATTATCTGTCCTCTCAAATGATATCTAATGTAACTGTCGTCGAGTCCTTCCGCTACAACACCAGCAAACGTGGCTTTTTCATCTGAGCTGGTATGATCATCCTTGCCGTCTGTGAGTCTCATGATAGTCAATTAAATGCTGGCCGAGTTCTCTCATATGCCATCTGTCCGTGGTACCTTTTCGTCAACCGCCGCCATCTCCATCCCATTCTTGTCATCCTTTTCGCGTACCTCCTCGCTATGGCCCCCAATTCTCTATTGGTTTCTGGTTTCTAAATCAGAGGGGCGTGAAAGCGCCCGTAGGGATCCAGAGATTCTACTACATCGCATTTCCGACGGGCCTGTGTATCACATCTGGCGTGTACTACTTGTCATGCTTGGCTTCCTCTCCTGTCGGTATTGAGAAGTATGCTGGCTGGAAAGAGCCCAAGGATTACTTAGATGAATCTGATCTCGTGAGAGAAAATGGGGGTTGGATTTGGAAGTGGACACTGCCGTCATTGAGAAAGGCGCTATGGCTGCTTATAAAGAAGTATAAAAACAACTCATGTAGACTGTCATGGCTTACATATGATTCTCTGAACCCTGTTGAAATAGTTCTAAAATTAATTGTGTTCTTCCAACTATGGAAAGACTTTCCTTGCAGTATAGCTTGTTTAGGTCTTTCCGCGAACTGCCTAGTGGCGGCATATAGCTCCACTGCCGCATCAATTTCATGACGACTCGATCTCAAGGGTGATTTGGAGTGACGAGCTTGGAACCGTATTGATGATTGGTACCATTCCAGCCAAGCGTGAAAGCAAGGAAAAGACAAAGCCACCGGAAACGACAAGTGGGAAAGGGAGGGTTGTGACCGTGTATCGACGTAACGTATGCGATGCCGGTGACGTCAGTGATCCAAGAATCGACCTCAAGCAGGGCCAAGGATTCCCCCTATAAAGAAGAGCTAGGGGCAAAGTAGCAAGCTGCTTAATTCTATCAATATTTTATTTGAACATTGAACATTGTGACCATCGTGCATTACTTGGCTCTCATTTAGACCAAAAATCCCACAATTCCACACTCCACTAGCCGCCACTTCATCACTATCATCATGTCCGCCGCACGCTTTGCTCCCATCGTCAGGTCGCGCGTGGCCACTGCCCCCCGATTTGTGGCATTCCGATCCATCTCCTCCACTCCCAACTACCAGAAAAGCCCCGTCGATGCGGCCAAGGATACTCTGAAGAAGGCCGATGAGGTGGTCTCCAACGCAGCTGTCAAGGGTATCAACAAAGGCGGTATGTTCAATGCCTTGCGGCAACTTTTGTAGTCCACGACATGAAGACAATCGCTAACGAGACTTTTCCATTCAGAGAACGCCGCCCACAAGATTAAGGAAGCAGTCGGATCCACAAGTGAGGCTGCCAAGTCTCAGGCCGACTCCATGAAGGGCGAGGCACAGAAGCAGGCTGGCAAGGCCCAGGGTGAGGCAGAGCATCTCGCTGGCAAGATGCAGGGCAAGGGAGAGGAGACACTGGGTGAGATGAAAGGCAAGGCTGAGGAAGCCAAGGGCAAGGCCGAAGAGGCTAAGCGCAAGCACCTCGGCTGAACATGTCGTGTCTGATTGAATTCCCCTGTCTCCGATATCCGTAACAATAACACTTTGCATTGCTACATTGTAATAACACGTTCGGTTTCCCATTGAGTTTTGCATGTAGAATTGAGTAGCTTCGTTGCTGATAAAGGATAGTCTGCTCAGGCTGGCGGCAGCATGAGGACGTACTCGCGAGTACTCAATCCAAAACGGATCACGTCCTTGTCCATTACCTCCATATAACGACCTGCCGGAGCAGCTTCACCATTGACAGTGGAGCCATTGGCACTTTCCAGGTCAATCAGATATGGCTTGACCTTGCCGATCCGGTCGCCGTATTCGTTGCGCTTCTCCACGTAGCGGAACTGGATAGCGGCATGCTGCTTGGAGCAGCTGGGGTGATCAAGCGGGAAATCTACGACCAAGCGTTCACGACCGACCAGCCAGCAGCTGCGTTCACTCAACTCAACCATTTCGAGCAATTCTTCTCCTTTGAAGACATACATACGCCAGGCTTCTTTCGCTGGTGGTTTGCGCGCCTCCGGGGGCTCATGATATTTGAGCACAATTCCTTGCCCGTCATCGGTATGAATAGTATTGCTTTCAGCGGCAAGTCGGCCTGTGTTTTTAAAGTTGGCCTTTTCTTTTTCTGGGAGAGGCGCATCAGATGTCTGCGTCACCTCATTCGAGAAGGCGTCGTTTTGTGAAGGGAGTGGACCGCGTCGCTGCAATGCCTTGGGGCTCGGTGATCGTTTAGGTGAATGAGATCGTCGTCGTGGGCTCCCATGTCTTCTGGATGACCGGTCACCGTCCCGATCACGGTCGCGGTCGTCACGGTGTCGGTGGCTGCGATGTCTGCGCCTTCGGCGATCCTCGTCCGCAGAGCTTGAAGATCGCTCCCGGCGCTCTCGAGGTCGTCGATCTCGATCTCGATCTCTTCGTCCACTGTCTCTTTCATATGGGCTGCGAGAAGAGCGACGTCTTGGGCTATCCCGGCGTGAGCTTCGCCGGTCGTCATCACGGCGGCGTGAGCGGCGGTCCTCGCGGTGGTCTCGTCGTCGATCGCGGCTCCGATCCGAGGATTGTGAGGGGGAGCGTCGCTCCCTTTTGGTCTCGACGTCGGATCCGGCCATTTTTGGGAGGGACAAATTCCACGGGCGCAGCTACGATCGGAGCTCGAATCGGGGAATCGCAGAAGCTTGATAGCACGTGACCCGCCCGGAGATCGGCCCAATCAGTGAGGGGATCACGCACCCATCTGCACCTCAAATACCTCGAGAGCAACGGGATTCCTGCCGTGCTCTCTTTCCCAAAAGAAAACAATGTGGCCATGTCTAGTAAGGCTAGCCTTCTCTCGCGCGGTGGCATTCGGCTTCTGAGCTCGCCATTCGCAGCCTTGCCACTCCCTCGTCCCAGCTTCGGAGCTGCGGGCCATAGTCTTTTGACCATCCCTACCAACAGATCCTATGCCACGATATCGGATCCCCCGGAGCATGCATATTCGTGGCCTACTACGCCTACATTCACCCCCTACGACGTGCTCAATTTAAGCCACACTGCCCCATACTCGAAAGTCCGGTACTTCGAGCTCGTGAAGATCTACCATCCAGATCGGCCCTGCAGCGATCATCCCCTTTGTCGAAACATTAGCCCCGAAGTCCGTCTTCAGCGCTATCACATTGTGGTCAACGCACATGAAATTCTCTCTGACCCTGATAGACGAGCCGCCTACGATCAGTTCGGGACTGGATGGAAACACCAGGCCAAACGATATAATACCGTAGCGGACGCAACAGCAGAGTGGGGGCCATACGGTCCATCCATCTATGCTAATGCGACTTGGGAAGACTGGGAGCGATGGCATAACCGTCATGGAGAGAAGCAACGAAATATCGTCGATCACCGCACTTTCACCCGGCTCGTGATCCTTCTTGTTCTTTTCGGGGGAGCGGTTCAAGCTTCCTGGATATCCCGGCTGAATGCCGGATATGAGCAGCGCCTACGTGAGGTCAGCGAGGATTCTATGCGCTTCCTCAGCGGCCGTCGACAGCATACTGTTCAACAGATGCCCTCCAACGATGCTCGTGTGCAAAGCTTCCTTATTCGAAGGGACCCGACTGGCTCGGGCCTCAAGGATGGTGAACATCGTGTATATCAGAAGGAGCTCAGTGCTCGTATCGACTCGCGTGGGCAAGACCTAGTGGGTGATCAAGCGGGTGATCGCCAAAAGGCATCGGAGACTCTGGAGACTGCGCGAATGAGCGAAACTCCTTCACATGAGTCTCAACATTAAAATCTGAACCCTATTCATTGCATGAAACCGTGGGTTTGCATGGCATTTCGGGCGGCCATGGTTTCAAGTACCTCTGTAGGCGCGATTGTATATATCTTAGTCCGTAAAAATACACGTTGAAACGGTCCCAATTGAATCCATTTTTCTCATTTGTAAAGCTGAGATACCAAAGCGTTCACACATTATATTCCATGGCTACCTTAAAAAGATACTTATTCAAGTGATGCACGTAGATCCGAGAGTGGAGACGTTTGTTGCAGTCAGGGCCGGACCTCGGCATCTGACGCCCCATCTAAATCCGGTTTGTTTCAAAGGAACAATCTCGTCCAGAGTATATGCAAATTCCTTGTTCTACCCGGACCCTAGCATACATCTGTTCGCCCAAGATGAGTTCGGCCAAGCATGCTATTAATTTGCTGAAATTGCTGCTGGTTCGGATCCCACTGATCCTGAAGACTCTTGTTTTGCATGGGGTTCACATGTCCCCGTCAAAGGGAAGCAGGATTTGCGCACTGAATTGACTGTCGCGGTGCTTCGCTCATTTATGACTTTCACCAAGCCGCTTGCCACGGTGCAAAAAGATAGTATGCGCGACCCTGGGATCAAGGGTCCCTATGTGGGTGTCCAAGGTCACTCTGCCAGAGCCGGAGTTCGATGTGCGCGATGCCATTCTCCGCGCAATTGACGATCTGAAGACCGGGGACGAGACCTTTGATGTCCCGGCTATTGCTCCGGTTGAGGCTGAATGGACTGGCTACCGCAGTGGCGTGGGAAAGAACACTCCCCAGCCTGATCTCACAGAGGCTGAGAAGTACGCTGAGCTGCGAAAGGAGTCCCCCTCTGATATGACGATCTTGTATCTCCACGGCGGTGCATACTTGTAAGTGTAGCTTCTCTTGAGAACACACTGTTTCCATGAACTAATGTAATTTCTTAGCTTGATGGATCCCTGCACGCACCGCGTGCCTGTTGCACATCTGTCCCACTTGACTGGGGCCCGAGTCCTATCAGTGCGGTATAGACTTGCGCCGCAAAATCCATTCCCTGCTGCACTGGTCGATGCCCTGACTGCCTATCTGTCACTCATTCACCCGCCGCCAGGCGCATTACACGAGCCCGTTCCAGCGAACAAGATCGTGGTGGCCGGTGACTCTGCCGGTGGAAACCTATCCCTCGTCCTGCTCCAGGCTCTGATGACTTTGAAGCGTGCCTCGCGATCTATTCGCTTCCACGGCAAGGAAATTGACATTGAGCTGCCTGCAGGAGTGGCTACTATTTCACCTTGGTGCGATGTCAGTCGATCAATGCCCTCCATCATTCGTAATGCCAAATTTGATTACCTTGAGTCTCCACCCGGCTCTTCTCTGAATTCAGACGACGTCCCATTCGCTCCACTTCCATTCCCTCCGGATGCGCTGTGGCCGATGTCCCCGCCGCGTGTGGACATGTACTGCAACGCCAACATGGTCCTTCACCCTCTCGTCTCCCCACTGGCAGCAAGCCCAGATCTATGGAAAGATGCCCCGCCAGTGTTTATTTCAACAGGAGAAGAAGGTCTTACCGATGAAGACTTAATCCTCGCCCGCCGGATGCACCAAGCAGGTGTTCCTGTCATCACGGAGCAGTTCGAGGGCATGCCCCATTGCCACGGCTTGCTCATGATTTCGACACCAGCAGGGAAGCGATTCTTCAAGGGATTGGCGGATTTCTGCCGCGATGCTGTGGCTGGCCGGGTCAACCCAACGGGGTCTTTGACCTACCTCGGTTTCCAGATGCAATCTATCCGGGAGATTCCTCTCGAGAAGGCTTGCGGTATTAGCGATGACGAAGTTGAAGCGCGCATGCACCGAAATCTCGAGGCTCGAATGGAGGCTGAGAAGGACTTGCTGAAGGCCTGGAGTGAGCGCGCGAGGCTTTGATTATATATGTGCATACTAGCTTCCAAGGATCTGGGCGGCTATCTATACGTAAAACATATATTTGATACCCCTTTCATTCTTAATCAAGTGATTTTCATGACTTTAATGTAATGCGAATTTGGAAATCAATTGGTTGGGGCGGGAATATATAGTAGATGCAAACGAGATAAAAAACTGTATTACGCAGATACTAGGCGCTAGCATACCATTCAGCTTTCCATTCAAGGTTGACACTAATCGCCTCACCAGTGATAGTTAAGGGAGGTTCCCGTTCCTGCCGATTAAAGTGCTTGATACCCCTACATTGTGAAATCAGGCATAGTGAGCATCATACCCTAAGCATGATTATTCCCAAATTTCAGGCCATTCTCGGGAAGAGTCAGCTGAAGCAAATCATCAATAGAAACAGGTACTTTCTTGGTCTGTTAGTCTGTAAGATTGAAAGGTTGCTCTTATCCCCAGATGAGCTGGCTTTTCCCATCTTCATCTTTTGCCGGCAGGGGTTTACTGCTCTGGAAAGTCGCCAAGATACCCGCGGTATTTCTCCAGCAGTGCTCAGAAGCTATAACCTGATCCATTTAAAAAGGCTTGTATGTGGAAGCTCAGACTGGAGGCTAAACACTTCGAGATTTAGCCCCCATTAAGCGCAGAAACTTACGCTGCCAGTCATGACTAAAAGGAGGGCCGAAGATAAGGGAGTTACAGTTATCCAAGTGCTTCAAATCCTTTCGAGATTCGTTGAATGAGCTATCATTTATGAAGCAATTGAGTTAAACTATATTTCGCCACTGTTCAACCGCTAAGTGCAAGTCCCAAATGGCTTGATGGGATATCTGACTAAAAGAGACAACGCCTGAATGCCCACCCGTCATTATAGAAATTCATCATCATCCATCGACGGCTGATCCTCTTCCCACCGAGCAGGAGCCTCATTACGTGGTGTCCACACGGGTCCTCGTGGCTCCTGAGGTGGGATTGATGGAGGTGCTGGCGCAATGTTCTTTGTACTGGGCGGCGACAACCAGGGAAATGAGACGGAAGTGCCGTTGATGCGAATCTCTCCTATGAGTTTGCCTAAGCCAAGCTGAGGCTCATCTACATAACCATCCCATAGACCCAGAAGCTGCGCAACGAGACGGAAGAAAGCCACGCCAATGGTGATGAGTGGGCCTAATAATGTTGATAGGTGGGACCACCGCCAGAGCATTGTTACCGTGACAAAGGGAAATACGGGTGCATCAGGTCGTAGGCAGTAGCCGTCGCAGGTGTCGGAGAAGATGGGGTGGGAGTATGCCTCACACATAGAGCATTCGATGACATACCAGCTCAGTGACACGAAAGTGACCCAACCAAGCATGGTAAGTTGGCGACGCCCAGATACGTGATTTCGCTTCCACAAACGGGGAAGTGGGATGGCGGCGTAGACGCGACCATCAGAGGGTATGAATTGGCTACCACCCGGGGCAGCTTTCTGGAGGCCATCCTTTCGGAGAACTTGGCCGTGAGGAAAGCTCGTTGTCTCGAACCACGTGCTGTTCCAGACTGTTGAGGCCCTTCTTCACCTCTGTGATATTTCTTGCCAAAGAGGATAGCTTTTCATGCAATCTATCCATGTCCACGGAAGGAAAGCTGTTCGGGTCGCCTTTTTGGAGACCTTCAACTATTTCCTGCTCTTTTGCAGCGGCTTCCTCCTCCTCGGTGAGATCGGTCTGACCATCCATTATAGCGTGAAGATATTCAATGGTATCGTCACTCAAGTCCAGATCTTCTTTGCCAGACTTCATATCTTCCATAACTGTTTCGAGGCCACTCTTTGGTAGCTTGGGTCGAAGAACGGGCGGTCTTGATCGTTTGTTCACTTCAGCATCGGAAACTGTCTCCTGCTGTTTTTTAGGCTCTGGACTTGGTTCTTCAATTTTTGGTTCGACCTCCACAGGCGGATTCGCAGGCGGTTGTGTCTGCTGGATCGGCCCATCGCCCTCTTTTGATGCCGGCGGTGGAAGGATGTCTTTGGTAAGATCACTCGGTATTTGAGCCATCCGCTCAGTCACAGGAGTGTCAATCCATGCTCCCGTGACTCTGGGCGTCTTGTCGTAGATCTTTCTCTCGAAAAGTTTCACTGGCTCTGGTGTCTGCATCGATTCTAATTTGGGGCTCTCAGCCCTTGAAAGTTTCCGTAATAATTCTTGAGAATCTCGCTTTGTGGTGTTTGGTTTGGTGAAAGTAGAGTTTTTGTAAACCACGATAGGTGTGTTGGGAATCGGGGCACCATTGCTTGGTGCTGCAATCTGGTCCAGGCTAGACTTTTGTTCGTTCTTGGTCTTTTCATCGGCATGGGGATTAGTGTTGCGTTCCCCCAAGGCGCTTCGGTTTCTCAGGGCTGTTCTTGAAGCGGTTGGGTCAATGGCCGTGGATCTGGATGCGACGGTCTGTTCTGCCTTTGATTTCGAGTATCCAGCGTGTTTCTGGTTCTCTTTATGCTCGGTGTTCTCCTGTGTGTCTGAGGCACTGCTTCCGCTGACGTTTCTAGTCCAATCGTGCCGCCGTGCCGCGCGACTACCCCAGGTCCGCGGAAAATTTAAAGACGGACCGCGCTCGCCATCATCCTCGGACACGAATGTGTCCTGCTCGACCTGTTCCTCTCGTCGCTGTAAATTATCCGCGGTGAGAGCCGCCCGTCCACCCTTTGCTTTGCTGAAGATTGGAGAATCCTTGCCCGTCACACGTCGTAGTCGCTGCTCATCCCTGCTGTAATCGGTAGTTCTCCTTGGAGAATGCGATGGGTAATCTCCAGTTCCATCGACTAGACCCAGACCTGCGTCTGAGTATGAGTGTCCATTATGCGACCCTGAATCCCGACTTTGGGATCCCTCTCTCCGATTGAGGCGATTTCTTGGACGCGCCACGGGAATAGCATCCCAATCATCATGTATGACATGGTCAGCTATCGTGCCATCTTCTTCTAACCTTCGATAAACATCCGTGAAGCCCTCGAGTGGGTTCGAGGTCTCAGATAACGGGGAGCGTTGAACAAACGGCTCACGGGTACGCCGAGGACTGGGAGTTGAGCCTAGCGGCGCGCCGTCATCGGACATGCTTGCATGCGAAGCAGCTCGATATGCGCCAGCTAGAGTACCGGTACGAAAGGTATGTCGAGAACGCGTCCCATTCTGTTTAGACGGGAAGGCGTCTAGATCGAAGTCGTAGTTAGATTCGCGGGCGTGTCCAAAGGGAGATTGGTGAAGATGATTATTTTGACGCGCCAGCGAGAAATCGTTCTTGCGGGGCGTCGACATGGCTCTTTCACTGACATGGAGCTCAAGATGAGAGTCGCAAGTTCCCAAGTAAACGCGACGGAGATCCCACATTCCCCAAAGGGGTTAGGCGCGGCGAGCTTCTGCACTTTACATCGACCTTGACACTTGAACAGACTTGACCATTTTTCTCACCATCTTGACGACTTGACTTCTTTTACTTCTATTTTAATTTTTATGACTCAGTTTCTGCTCGGATTGAATCACAAGAACGTCGCCCGTGACTTGTGGCATGTGATCTCGTGATCCGACCCGAATACAATACAAAAACCCCGAAGACAGCTCAAAAGCTATCTGGAACACAACACATACACCATGGGTAAATCCTCTCGTCGCAAGAAGACACCCAGTCCGTCGTCGGGCACCTCAACACCAACATCCGGCCCCATCCCACCCTTCACAAAATCCCCGGAGATCCTGAAACCGTTCGTCGAGCCACTCTCCCAGCAAGAAGTATACCTTGTGCACATCGACACGACAAACACCGACCAGAAATGGCAAACCTTCCTCGTCCCGTCAATCGTCAACATCCTGGTCGCCGTCGTGATCGCCGTTCGCGTCTACATGGCCTTTAGCACATACCCAGCGCTCGTGAAGACGCTATTCGGACTCGAAAGCGCTTCAAGCGTAGACACAGCCACCGTGTCCTGGATGCAACAAGCAGCCCTTGTTCTCCGCAGAACAGGTGCCATCTTCATCGACTATTTCCTCGTGACGCTTTTCCTGTCCTGGCCGTTTAATTTCGTCCTCGGACCCGTGCGCTGGCGCCGTGCCGTGGGCTTTCGCGACCGCGAAATTATTGTTCGCCGCAGCGCAAGCAGCTGGAGCCGTTATCTTGTACGCAATAAATGGATTCGCGATGACGAGGCTATGCGCGACAAAATTGTTGCGGCTGTCACGCCCGAGCGGATAGGAAAGACGGGATATCTGCTTGTGGACGCAGACTGGGATCTGGACTACGATGCTATGATCTGCGCGCATGGTCTGGTCGATCAGATCCGCAAGGGTGATGGCGTGCAGCTGGATGAGTTCCGGACAGCTGTGCTGGTCCATACTGATACTGATGGCTGGTTGATTTGGCGTGTTGGGGATGAGAACACGCCTGCGGCACGAGAGCGGTCTGAGCAACGGGATCAGATCCTCGCCTATAAGGAGAAGTTGACCGAGATGGGGAAGGAGGATTTGTTCTACCGATGGGTTGAGATGATTCAGTGGGAAAGCTCGCAGCCTGGTGGATTCACACCGGCGAGGCAGAAGTCTGCGATGCTTCAGGCGAAACAGATGTTTGAGGAGGAGAATGTGAATTTCAGTGGTTTCTGGGATGATTTGGGTGGTATGGAGGGCATTGATATAGAGGAGACATGACATTTCACTCATGTGAACAGCTCTGTTTTTCAGTTAGCGAATAGATTGGTTTGGTTCTCGTGTCTCCACGCTGGTGTATCCCATCTGGCTAAGGTTGCGCATTTGCCTTTATTCCGTAGCCCTATTGCCCGAATGCAGATGTCGATACAGTTGTCTCGTGTTTCACGAGAAGAAAGTTGGCTTGAAAAAGTGGCGACATATCATTCATACTGCTGGGTATCTCAGGTAACTCCCATCAAGGGATATATTTCGAGCCTCCCACCGCTGACCCGCGGGGTTTGGAAGTCTACAAACGCAAATCGAGAATTGAGAAAACAAAAAGGAAGTATGCCAAGACGCCAAATCACAGATGCAATCATTTCCTCCGCGGATCATCCTCATGCCGATAATCAAGTGACCACAGTTCTCTCCAAGGACGGGATCGAGCACCCCTTCGAGTAGACGTCGACCGCGACGGAGGGGACGCTGGTGATGTAGCGAGGCTGTCGGGACGTGGCTGCAGTAACGATGCAGACGTACGATCCTAAGAGAAAAGAGGTTAGGATGTGGTGCATAGGGAGCACCCGGGAAAAGTAGTACTTTGTCACGGGCCGAAGAGCAGATCGCGGCGAACCTCGTCAAATATCGGATCAGCCTCTCGAGGCTGGGAGCCGGCGTCGGCTTCAGCACGAACGAGATCTGTAGCCGAATCATTGGCGCCTCTTTGCGAGGGCGTGGGAGTGCCTCGTTTGGAGTTAGAACTGTCGCGGCGGCTGTCCAGACTTCTTGACAAAGTCTGGGCGACTGTGCTGTCTTCATTTGGGCGTTTCACACGGATACTGCCTTTGGCGTCGACATTTGCAGACGCGACGGTGCTTTTCGAGATTCCAGGAGTGGCCGGCGCGCCAGGCTTTTCTTCCGTCGCATCAATAAGGTACCAGCGAAGACCATCTGAAAGCTCAAAGGGATTCTCGTCTTCCAGTAGTGAGGCGCCATCGCTGACATCGCCGAGGGAGCGTCGATCGGGACCTACGCCATTCAATGATCTTGAGAGATCAACCACACGCTCCTCAATCTTGTTGATACGAGCAAGAAGCCAGTCTCGTGCTTGGAGCTTGTGTGTATCTTGCTCGCGCAGGAAGTAATGCGGTGCACCGACATTGAAAGCAGCCCAAGAACGGATGGCTTGGTTGCGAGTTGGCAGGAACAATGCCAGGTCTCCCTCCTTGAAGGAACGGTAGGCAATCTTTTCATGAGCTTCGCTCTGGACCCTATGATACTTGTCGCGGTAAGGTTTGTATGTTTTTGCCTCTTTCGACCATTTTCGGGCAAGAGTTTCAATGTCTTTCATCCGTTTGATGACTGCGTCTCCGAAGATGGAGACATCGAATTTAGCCAAGCCGTCAATGAAAGTGGAGAATTTGGCCTCTTCCTCTTCTAAAGTCTCGGCTTGCATCCAACCGAGCAGCGAGTTATCGGGTTTCACAGAAACAGAAACAATGCCAGACTGGGCTAGACTTTCCCCAAGGCCAGACATGGCATTGACCTTAGAAGCTCGTTGGACAACAATGCGGCCATCTTGCTGGATGATCGCGAAACCGAGCTGCTCAAGTACCCATTCTAGCTTCTCAATCTGCCAGTGAATTTGCCTAGAAAGGTCGTGAGACTTGGCGCCTCTAGCCTCGCAGCGAGCCATAGCCTGCCGCTCTGCCTGCGAGAGTGCTTCGAACCTCTTTTCCCACTCGGTTTCTTTCTCCTGGAAGGTCTTTGCCTGAGACTCGGTATCAACCAGGTTTTGCGAAAGGTCTGCGTGCCTTTGATCTCCCTCAAGACCGCTCTTCCCTACTGGCGATTGTGACTGCAAGGAGTTCAGCTTCGAACGTTCGTGTTCAAGCTCGGCTCTTGCGTCGTTGAACCTTGTTTGGGTGCGCAGAAGCTCTTGGTTCAGGCGAGCCAGTTCAGCTTCACGTTCCTCGGACTTCTTAGCGTGTTCCTCTGCTTCAAACTCGAGTTGTTTGACTCGCTCATCAAGGGTTTTGTTCTCGGCCAGCGTCTTGGACGCGATGTCCTCGGTATTCCTAGCATGGATTGAGAGACCTTCGGAAAGCACCTCAATGGCTTTGATAACGCTGGGAATATCCTCAGGCACAGCACCCCCCGGAGACAAGCTCATGAAGGCTGCCTGAAGAGAGTTGTAGTTTTCCTGATCTTTCTGATTCCAGATGCTTTGCTGTTTCTCAAGTTCGTTGACCTTCGTCTCAAGCTCGCGCTCCTTATTTTCATGAGATTGGATGCGTTCATTCAAATCATCCACTCTACGCGCATCCTCGGCAGAGATAGCTTGAGCACCCTCCAGATCAGCCTCGAGTTGGTGAATGCGTTCTTCTGTTTCTTGCTTCTCATGGTCACGACCGTCCATGAGTCTGTCGAGTTCCTCCTCGACCTCTTCGTTGCGAAGTCTGAACTTTTTCACCTCCGCCTCGAGATATCTGCGTTCATCCTCAAACTCACGCTGGCGTGCTTCAAGGTTCCCAATAAGATCTTTCTTTGTAGATTGAGCTTCTTGGTATTTGTCAGAGCTGGTTTGACGCTCAGCGTGAGCTTCTTTGTGGAGTCTCTGAACGTTCTCTTTCTCTGCTGCCAGCTCTGCCTCGAGGGTGACGATGCGTTGGACGAGTGCCCTATCCTCTGGGGACTGGGTCATGGAAACACGTCTGGATGAGACTGAGGAGCGTCTTGATAGAGTATCCGGGTGTGGAGATCCCGGAGGATTGGGAAATTCAGAGCCGAAATTGCCACTGGACGGGCGACTGAGATGGCTTTGGCGATGAAGCAGATCCTCCAACTTGCGAATCCGGCTATCCGATCCTTTGAGCCTATCTTCCAATTTCGTTTTCTCCTCTTGGAGACTCCTAACCATGTCATCGCCACGTAGTAGTATAGAGCTTCGACTCAAATCAAACACACTGCCGTTTTTAAATGCTTTCGCACGTCGTCTTTGCTGACGAGTGGGGGCGTCAATTCCTTGAATTGCCGAGATAAGTCCTCCGCAATGTTATTCAAGGCATGCTTTGATCGTAGATCTTCAATATAGGCTTCGATTTCTTGTCGGTTCACTTCGGGCCATTCATCGTCTTGCCCTTGTAGGTTAATTTCGATCCCCGGAGCAGAGGAATCTGCAGATGAAATAACATCTCCCATGGTTTTCAGCCACTTTTTCCGGCGACGCTGTTCCTCATCTTTCAATACAGCCATCTCCTCTGCCAAGGTCAGGGAGTCGGTCTTGATTTTGTCACTCCATTCACGCCGTCGCACCGACTCGATTAGAATAGACCCATAAAGCATCGGCATCTGGAAGACACTGTATATGATATCGAATGCATTGCTATCCACATCTAATTTGACCAGCCGAGTGTGAGCATCGGCCAATCGCGATGTGATAATGGAGATCGTGCGCATGTGCTGGAGAGCCGTCTTTTCTGCGGCGCCGCGGCGCCACACAGCCTGTTCCAAGGCTTGCTGCATCTCTGCGCCGAGTTCTAGCAGTGACGGAAGAAGGTTTTGAGTATGGTTGAGGGCAAGCCTAGAGACATTTGCGAGCATCTTTTGGTTGTTTGGAAGGCTGAGGACATGTTCATAGTCGGAGCCAATCTTCTTTGAAATCGTTTCAACCTCCTCAAGTAAGCTCTCATCCCCTTCACCGGGTGACGTTATTACCTCGTCAACCAGTTGTTGAGTGTCCGATGCAATGCCGCTGACAATGTTCTCGATATCCTGGACCTGCCCAGCAAAGCGTGGGGATACAGACGCAGCCTCCAATCCAGCTCGCTGGACCTCATTGACATCGACAAAATCACGAAGGGTCCCAGTTGGCCGGTCATTGTCCATCTTTGGTGTGGATGGGCGGCCGATGAGAGGGGAGTCTTTCCGGGCCGGGATCTTCTCCAACGTCTCCAGAGCCGCTTGCCAACCATCCAGGGCGGACTGCTGCTCTTCCAAAAGGTTGTTCGCCCACTCTTGCGTCTCTTGGAACCGATGTTCAAGGGTGCCCACGTGGGATTTCAGGTTCTCGAGGGCGACGCCAACTGCGCGATTGATGACATCAGTTCGCTCGTTGTGCTCCTGTATGCTCTTGTTGGTGTTCCCACAACGGCTAGAAAATTCGAGAGCCCAGCTCCGTCTTGTCATGAAGAGGTCCCGCCATGCTTGCAGGTCGTTCTGGTTTGTGAGGGACGCCGGAGGGTTACTCGGTTGAAACGGTGCGGGCGGAGGTAGCTCCGGGAGCTCGATCTCGCCAGGCTCGCTCACGTATTGTCGGTCATAGACAAATATCTCGGACTCAAGAATCTTAGTATCGCTGTACTTTCATGTCGAGAGGGGGTGGTCTCATACCTCGGTGGCTAAGGTCTGGGTCTTGACATTCTTGCCACGGGCAGTCATCAAGATCTGCCTAGCAGGTGGAATCGACGTACTTCGGACGATCCATACTTTGAGTGCATCTGGGCTGTGAACAAGCAGTGTCAGCATGCTTGTGCGAAGCTCGAAGGCGAAGGGACTCCGTCGTCTCTACGGGGAAGCATACGAGGCAAAGGCAACCGGATCAGCTAGTAAATGCTCACCGGTGTGAGCAATATAAATGTGCAACGACATTCCCCCTCCTCACTAGCTGAGCGTAGAAGCTCGAAATACCAGAGAAAGTGGAAGGGGATCGGCTTTGAGGAGAGTAAGTACTCCGAATGGCAGGGAAGCTCTGTCAGATCGACGACTCCACCGCCTCCCGCGCCATATCACAAGCACGCGCGCGATTCACGAGATCCTCCATGGCTGCAAAATCTGGCCCGACTCACCTGCTACCGGTTGAGGTAACCCTCCTTGACTATGCCGCAGATGACTCCTGTGATATTGCACCGCTGTCTGAGAAGGAAGCTCTAGTCCTGCAGCTCGCCAACCAGATCCAGGAACAGCGACTGGAGAAGGCGTTGCTGGAGCAAGGTACCGTGCCATATTGCTTTGCTTTTTTTCTCCATGACCATTACGCTATAAATCCTCACATTCGACTGACATATTCGCAGAGCTCGAGACACTTTCCGGGGACAATGTGGAAGAGCAGCTTGCGATCGCTGAACGGGAGCTCTTAGACGCGCGATCTACCTACACCGTCAGGAGGAAGGCTGCTCGTACCATCCTCATGACTGATCCCATCCTTAAAGCCGTTCATCTGAAAACTACTAGCCCTCCCGAACGGTTCGTATTCCCTGTTCAGTTTTAAAGCTTTCCCTTGAATCTCATGAAGCCGCACAGGGCCTTACTCCGCCTTGTCAACCGTCGCGATGTGCTTGCGCTTGCACATGAGAACCTCGCATCGGCGCACGACTTAATAACGAAACAGCTGTCAGACTTCGAGGTGGAGAATTTACAAATCAACAAAGAGAATCAGGAGCTAGTGCGCAAGCTCCTGGAGCTCACGCGTCAGGATGACTCCTGGCGGGAGAGATTGCAGGACGCAACTCTTGCATCACAGTTGGAAGAAGTTGAAGCCGACCTGAAAAAGCGCAAGGCACATTGGGAGGTTATGAAGAGCGTTACCAGTGCTATGGTTGTAGGCAGTGGGCTCAACTGGGCTGAAGATGAGAAGCTTCAAGCTCTGGTTCTTGACGAAAGTGATGACTGAGTAACGCGTACGGATGTTTTGATTGGCTATACCCCAGGGGATTTGGAGCACACGGCGCTATTCCCAACTCATTAAGGTACAATTTCATGGATTATGTTACCATTTCGGAGCTGCCAAGCTAGGATAATATTAGGATAGGCTTGAGGGTGGCCTTCTAAGACCTTTTGACCCACGCCTTTCATCACCGCACCCGCAATGACGGAGGGTCCGGTGGGAAAAAGGTGTACGGTGGACTGGGGCGTGTACCAGTCAGGACTGTGGCGAGGCTTGAAAGGTCGCAAAGCCAGCTGAATACGTAACTACGAGTATTGCAAGAAATACACGGATGCAAGAGCAATACGACGCGACGGGCGGACTCTATGACGCTCTCCTCTCGGAAGAAGTGGGAGACGTGTAAGTTACGGTACGGAGAGTATGGGCGGTACCTCGTACTGGCGGTACTTTGCTACGTAGCCGATGTACCGGAATGTTGCAACACTCTACAAAAAGTATGTACCCTTGCCCTGGACTTCTGCACTGCTGTACTTTGATACTTTGGTGCTTAAGTGCTCCTGCAGGGCCGTATTTCACAGTAGGACATAGCCTGCAGACTCCACCCATACAATATGACAGACAGCTCCCTCGGAATTCATACCTTTTGGTTATAGATGCTGAGGAACTTGCAGACGCGTCGTCTCGTGATTCAGAGGGTCAATTGAGCTCTGTTTTCCAGTCAGATCCATTCGCCCCAGTCTTGTGACCCAGCAACTTGGAACGCGATCTTCGGGACAGAACACACACCGATAAGCGGCCGCTTTCATTATCAACGGTATCGTGTCGCCATTACCGACCTCCATTTTGATTTCTTCGCGGTGATAAGCCGATGCTAGGGACCTGGGTCCCCAGATACCCCTAGTTATCGGCGGTAATTCCAATCTGCGGATATTTCAAAAGGGCATACCACGCTAATGATTGAGCAACGATCCAGCAGCCGCGTTTCCAGGGAGCCCTTACTTTGAGCTAGCCCGGGGAAGCTGCGCCATTACATGGACCGGTCGGCACGGAAAAAGGTACTGTGTACTCCGCCAACAGGTCGTTTTTGGAGCTCCAGCGCACTGAGCTAGGAAAAGGTGACTTGGCCGGAGCACGGATCCATTGATCCCAGGCCGATACAGCGGTGACTCGTCGCCTCAGGCTTATTAACAGTACAGCCCGGGCAATCTTGCCACCATTGCGCAATCGCAATCTGTCCGTAGCTGGGACTAGCTAGAAAATTCTTTTGCAAGTGGATTTTCAAAGCAAAGAGCTGCCTGTGGTCGCAGAGGCTTTGCAGTGAGCTCGTTAGAGTAGCTGCGTAGTGAAATTGCCAGATGTTTACCTCGCGACCTCCTTTCGACAGTGCTTACGATTTCTTCACCAGCCTTCTAAGAAGAATGAATTCATCCAAAATGAGCCTTAAATATCACTACAGCTTCCACACCTAATTGATCACATTTCAACCATTGATGGGCTCGGTGTGAAGGAAAAGAGCTCCCAGTATCATGAAGTGTGTATTGACGCGGTAATGGCTACTTGCGTGAAGGTCACTTTACTATGAGTTACAGCGTACTCGGTACGTCGGTTTGCGCGGTTTAATGGGAACGGATCATGGCGTATTTCTCCACCGCGAGATTGCTCAAGTATGTTACCGTTTCGTACGGGGAGACTGAAGACCCAGCAGAATCATGTCAACATTGCTTGAAGAAAGGGGAGAAAAGGGAGTTTTCGTCAAAAAAAAAAAAGACCTGAAGTATAAAAAAGAGCTCAAAAATACGAATTCCGATATTCATAATGTCCCCTCGGGCATAGTGTGAGGCCCAACAGGTAGGAGTTTGGAAGATTTACCCATACATGATACATGACATGGAACACAGTACATTCCCCCCAGTCAGCAAAACAGCCTGCCCTTGCTGTGCAGCCCACCCTTTTACCCTTTTCCCCCTCTCGCCCGTTTTCCCCTACTACTACGCTGCCCCCCTCTCCTCTCTCTCTCTCTCTCTTCTTCCTACACTACCAACTTCTCCCCCATCTATTTTTGACCATACAAATCAGGTACTGCATATTCCCCCCCAACTATATCAACACCCGCCATTTGAGCTCCCCATTCTCAACACCACCACCATTCTCTCTTTTTTTTCTCGTTCTTTTTCACCTTGAATCTCTTTTTCTTCAACTTCATGATTCTTTTTTCCTTCGCGCGACCGCGATCGCGCAACCTCGCAGTCGCGCTGCACTCAAAACCTTTGTGAACCACTATACTAATCGGACCTGTTTAATTTAATTAGGTCAATTTTCCAAAGTTTTTAAAACAAATTTTAAATGTGAGTCGCGTCTTTCTTCTCGAGTTCTGGAGGTGTTTCCGAGGTGAACCGGTCGAAACCTGGTCGCGCCTGGGGAGCGCGCGCAAAATAGCGCGTCGCTTTTTCGTCGCGCGCAACGAAGGTCGCTTGATTGCACTTGTCTCATTGACTGTTCATCATTCTACTGTTGTCTCCCTTTGCTCCTCTGTCAATTCGTGTTCCCGACTTGGTGCAGGCCATGTTCGACCGACATCAGGACCAAGCTCCATCAACCTCAATACTGATTTGCTATAACAGCCATTATGCCTAAGGAGAAGACCACGACCCGCAAGGGCGGTAAGGAGCGCGTTCAGCGCCGCAAGAAGGGTATGTTGATATCTCAACCCTGATCAAGCGCAAGCTGCGCCGTCTGAGCTGTTGCATTGGTCCTAACTTGCTCCAGACCCCAACGCCCCCAAGCGCGGTCTCTCTGCCTACATGTTCTTCGCCAACGACAATCGTGACAAGGTTCGCGAGGAGAACCCCGGCATCACGTTCGGTAAGTCAATCCACCTCGTGCGCAGTTCCTGCTCCGGCTAACACCCACTCCAGGCCAAGTCGGCAAGATGCTCGGTGACAAGTGGAAGGCTTTGACCGAGTCCGAGCGCAAGCCTTACGATGAGAAGGCTGCCGTCGACAAGAAGCGCTATGAGGAAGAGAAGGCCAAGTACCAGGCCGTGAGTCCCCAAGATCCCAACTACAAACGGCGATCCCCGACTAACCATTCATATACAGGGTGAGAACGACGAGGAGGAGGAGTCTTCCTAAGCGCCTCGCCGCAACTCTCGATTGCGCAGCCGGCGTTTGTGTTTCTTTTCGCTAATTCTTCTCGGTTTCGATTTATCACTTACGGGCTTAACGGAATGGTCTCCACGGTGGTTTCTGCTTGCTTTATGATGGCCTCGGAGAGGCCTTGTCACTTTTGATATGGGAAACGGCTTTTCTTTTGACTCCATCTTGTTTTTGCTGCTCTTGTAGTGGAGAGATGGCCGGACTGGCGTGTAGGATTTCCGACACAGGCTGGTCTAGGCTTAGTCTAATTAATCCAAATATGTTTCCCTGAACTGCTTTATTGCTTCTCGTAGCACCCGACAGTATGCACGCTATGGCGCTGAGGAAGTGGTCCAAGCTCCATCTTGGGACCAGGTACAAATCTCCGATTGTTCCCGCCACCCGCCTTGGGCGCCTTGATTGAATTAAGGTTGCCGTTACGATGTAAGCATCAAGAAGAGACAAAGAAAATATGGTCATGTCAATTTCCAAGACACGGAGTAAAATAGTAAAGACCCTTTTTCCTAGATCCAATCGCTAAATCCAGCTTCAACAGACGCTGTCTTAAACTTGGAAGTATCGTTACCGAGCGTATAGACCAGGACGTCAACAAAAGAATTGCAACCGCGAACCAACTTTTATTTGTCATGCTAATCATTACCACCATAAATATCATGATTCATAAAACTCGTTCGTAAGTTCCTAGGTAAGGAGCGACAATGTTGCATCCTCAATTGCGCCCAGGAAAGCGTCGGCATCTTAAGACTCATGAGTATGGACGATGAACCGCAATCCCGGGATCGGTACTCACCGCCGCTTGAAGCAAATTTTAAAACATGCTCTCCCCGCGAGGTCACTGGGGGGATTGTAATCCTCGGCCGACATCAGAATGATCGGTTTCAACTCGCGCACCAGGACCGTGCGTTGATCCAGACGGAGAAGCCATCCGCGTCGGCCAAGCTGCGGAGTCACGAAAGCGGTCCACACAGGAGTTCTACTGATACATTAGATCTTGTTTCACAACGGCGTTGGAAGATGGTCATACCGATCCATTTCACTCAGGTGGACGGATGCCTGTAGCCTGATGGCTCCAGACACGGTATCCTGATAGACACGTAGAGCATGTCGGTAGGTATCATCAATTATTTGGCTAGATGGGGTGAGTCAAGTGTTACCGAGTAGGAACGGATCGAAATTACCCGCCATAAAGCTCTTCTTCGTCTTCCATTTCATAGTCCCGAATGTTGTCCACGGGTCGGCCCGAGTCTTGAGAGCGGAGAGCTAAGAACGTGGTGAAGAATACAACCATACCTATAGGACAATTAGATATGATCTCGAACCCTAGATGGAAGACACTTGCTTTCAATAGTCGTGAATTTAAGAGTAGCCCACAAGACAAGCTCGGTTCCAGCACGCCGCCTCCGACACAGCTGAAGACAGGAATCCTGTCTAAGAATTTCTAGCATGTTGAGAGGCAAGCAGAAGTACTCGCTGGGTTTGGTTCGATGGGGAACCTTGATGACAATTCGAACGCGATGATCTGTCTCTCGGAGGAAGAAGTATATAGTCATATTTGAAGAGTCGTTGAAGGCGCTATCGGTGAAGTTAGCCTTTTAAGTGTATGAACAAGTGAGTTATACACACAGTTGAAGAAGTTGCTCGAATCCCTGCTCTTTGAGTATTGCCTTGACTCCAGACTGGGGCTCACCGAAACATCCGGCCTTGTCTGATGAAATCGGGATTGGTGTTCCGGATCCATAGTTGGTGAACGCTTCTCTAATCCAATGGTATTGGACCGCATCAGAATGGGTCGATTGGCTGGTAGCCGTGGTGGTAGATGTAGATCCGGTCAAGGTCGAACTCACATCGGGCGTGTGCGGTGCCTCCGGTGCGGATGGAGGGATGTCGAAAAACGGGTTAGAAATTGGCGACTGAGGTGAGAGAGGCGATTGCGGGGACAAATGGGGTGGACGAGCACGCTCAAAGGAACGACGGCGTGGCCGACGATCACTGACTGGGCTTGGAGGATCAGTACTATCGCTCGAAGGCGGGTTACGACCCAACGACAGGCGCGCAAAGCGCGCTGCAACACGTTGTTCTTGTGAAGCCATAAGGGTCTTCAAAGAAGCTCGATAGCCCGCGATAAGCGGTAGATCGTGACCACGGCTTTCAAATCAGTCAGTATATGTTCTTTTTCTTTTCATCCGTGTATCTTACCCTTTCATGAAGTCGGCTATCTCCCGCAGGAACGTCTTATACTGCGCCAAGCGAGTACCTAGTGCATACTGCGACTCATCCCAGAAGAACCGGGACAGATCCAACCAAACTCGCTTGTAGCCCGCCTGGGTGGCTTTACCGCCATCGAGGCGGGCAAAGAAATCGAGGATATCCTCAATAGTGTACTTCAGACTCAAGCGCACCAATTCCAGATCACCCTGGACAAGAGGCCAATTGCGACGGTAGCGAGGATCCTTAATTAGGTCCGCCAAACTACCTAGAGTTGAGCTGAGGGCATAGAAATCGGACATCAGCGCCGTCACTTCTGTTGCGTGCTCGGCAAGAGGGGCACGGAAGGTGCTGAAGCCGGCGGCCGCATCTTCGCACTCATCGGCAGACAAGCGCAGGTCCATCAGGTCAGGCCATGGGATGAGAAAAGAATACGGGAAGTGCGAACACACAAATCGGCGGTTTTCTCACGTGCAGGTATGCGGCTCTGGTCGCTTTTGACGTGGTCGTGCAGGAATGGCGGGGCGAGTTGTGTGAGGGTGGGGGGTTGACCCTTTGCCCAGAAATTTGCTTTCCGAACTTGTCATACCTCATAGATAAAAAGTATACCAAGGTTCATAGTCTAGCTGCACGCCGTAGCAAAGTCTTTCATGATTGTTTTGACAGCTGAGGAGCCTATGGTTCCCCCACTCGCGAACTAAGGGTTCATCTCCCCACATATCAAGGTTTGGCGTAGGGCACGGTAAAACAGTCATCTTGAACTTGAAAAATGGAAAAGGAAGAGGGATTCTCAGACGACGGCCATCAGCTTATATAGACTCTCCTCAGCCCAATACTTAGCAAACAGCATCGGTGTTGCCTATACTACCGGGCCAACAATGAGGCTGTGCAGTCCTTGCGCTTTTGGGGCGCGCCTAGCGCGATCAGAGCGTACTATTGCCTTGCACGTAGTTTGATATTGACTTTTGAAGAGGGGAAGAAACCCATTAGAGCGTATATGTGGATCAGCCTTATCAGCCTTGGGGAGGGGGGGGGGGGGCTTCTCTACTACCGCCCGACTTTCCAAAAAAGGGCCCATCTCTAGAGTCTCCCATAGGTCAATATCTGCGTTAAAGTGTAGACACCTGGAGGAGTGGTTTTATATAATCTAAATGGCAATAGACGATCAATTCAAGATCTGACTTAGAGTTGACTTCGAGGGTCAAAGGTGTTGAGCGGGTTGTCGCACATGAGCAAGTAGCCTATTATCAACATATTGCCGCACGGGTACTTTATTTCACGGCCCGCATTTCAAGGTCCTCAAGGGCTACTTACGAGGCTCAAGAACGCCTACATGGGATCGTGGTGAAACAATATCATTCGCTTGAATTGCACCCGCTACCAGTATGCTATTTCGCTAAATGTACAAAAGAAGCCGTTTCCTCAAGTGCTTGTTGCTCCCGTATCAGTGAAACCACTCATGAATCGCGCAGCCAACCTCTTGCTCCGCAGCTCTTGGATCTGTCGCCGCCGGTCATCGAGGGTAGCCTGGTGTTCCGCAGCTCTAGCCGATAGTCGATCGCGCTGGCGCTGTGTCTCCTCCCGAGCCTGTTTCAGCTCCTCCATTTGCTTCTTGCGTTCCGTTTCATCGCGAGAAAAGGCATAGAAGCCTGTTCCACGATTACGCACTTCGGCTTCGGCATCATAGTGCCTCTGATCCGGCGGTGTAGTCGATCGGTCCCGACGCGCGGCGAGATTAGCCATGTGGGATGCAATGTTCGCGTCGGGATTGAATGCCTCCGTTTGAACTGCTTCACCATAAATCAAATTCTCTGGTCGATTCGGTCGCCATCGTTCTTGCATTGATTGACCGCGTTCTTCTTCCTCCCTGGCGCGCACAGCTCGAGCTGCCTCGGCTCTGGTGCCGCGGCGATTGCGACCTAATTCGTCTTCGTACGAAATGATGGATGCATTATCGTCGTCTGCATCCTCTGAGCCACTGGATCCATCTCCTCTTTCACGTTCCTCGTCCGCCCATTTGCGATCGAAATCAACGAGTGCCTCTTTCTCCTTGCGCCGTAACCTCGACAAGTAATCTTCTTTCGTGCCACCGGGTGTGTCATCTTCATCACTGCTGTTGCCTGCGAGATACAATCCTTTCTTCATGTCCTCATACTGGCGCACCTTCTGCTCCATGCGGCGCTTCGAACGACTCAGCGTGGCGTCATCGATGCCTCCGATGTCTTGGCTGCGTTGATGGACTTGTTTGGAGACGTGGTGATCGTCATCTTCAAGATCTGCAGCAGCACGTTTCTGTGCGCCTTTATTCTGTTTGCCGAAGATGTCGGATTTGGGGTTCTTGGATGGTCGTTGACGACCCTTGGTCGAGGTGTTGGAGTTCTGGGAGATGAGGAGGAGAGTTGACTGGTGAATGCAAGTGTAGACGATGATGGAAGGTCTTGTGATTTTGAAGTTTTTTCACGGCGCTTCCCATATAGGGAGGACTGATCTGAAGCCATGGTGTGTTTTTTAGCTCTCGAAGCTTGCCACGAGCTGAAAGTCGCCCGATTGCGATTGCGATTGCGATAAGCGATAAGGATTGGAGCCTGGTTTTGCTGGCGAAAACTGGCTTGGATGACTTATGGTCATAGCATATTGAGCGAACGAGTACAAGTTGATCTGAACAACAATTTAACACATTCTCTATAATATATATTTGACTGATCTGGTTTTCACCAATGCACCAATTTAAGAGAATATAGGAAGTCAACATTCCGATGGATATAGGAAGTCACGCCGCAATCGGCCCTGAGTCAGCGCTGCCCCGCGGACCCCACGAGATGACGAGCTCGGCGATTTGTCTCGGTTTCAATCTTTACATTTTCCCAAGATTCATCTTGTTCATACCTGCGTCATTCAATTGAGCGTTCTCTCAACCTGAATCGAATCAATTGACCCTTATCATGTCTGCTACCCCCATCTATCTCGGCGTCGTTGGTAAGTATTCCATACCAGAAGTTTACTTCCTATCGATGCGCTAATCGGTCTACCTAGGTGTCGGCGGTGTTGGTACCGCATTCCTCTCTCAGCTTGCTCGTCTCCCCAATGCCCCTAAGCTCGTTCTTCTTGCCCGTTCCTCGCAGACCCTCCTCGCTCCGGCACCGGCCTACTCGCCGGCGATCCCCGCGGCCGACTGGGCTACCGCGTCGGCGGCTCCCTCTTTGACCAAGGCTGGCGCTCTGCCGGCTGAAGAGATCGCCACATATCTTGCTGCGGCTCCCGGACGTGCTATTCTCGTCGATAACACCTCCGATATCAACCTGGCTCGCTCCTACCCCACATCTTGAAGAAGGGTGTTTCTGTCGTCACCCCCAACAAGAAGGGCTTCTCTGATGACCTTTCCCTATGGAAGGACATCTTCTCCTCCGCTGCCGAGGGCAAGGCCCTTGTTTACCACGAGAGCACTGTCGGCGCCGGTCTGCCCGTTTTGTCCACCCTCAAGGACTTGGTTGCTACCGGCGACGAAGTGACCCGCATCGAGGGTGTCTTCTCCGGAACTCTCTCTTTCCTCTTCAACACATTCGCTCCCGCTTCGGGCTCCTCGAAGGCCCAGTGGAGCGCCGTTGTGGCTCAGGCCAAGGAGCTCGGATACACCGAGCCCGATCCCCGTGATGACCTGAACGGCATGGACGTTGCGCGCAAGCTCACCATCCTCGCCCGTCTTGCTGGCCTCGAGGTCTCCCGCCCGGACTCTTTCCCCATCGAGTCCCTCATTCCTGCCGAGCTTGCCTCCCTACCCTCTTCCGCGGACGGTATCTCGCAATTCATGGCCCGCTTGCCAGAGTTCGATGCCCAGATGGCAAACATCAAGGACGCCGCCGAGAAGGAGGGCAAGGTCGTCCGTTACGTCGGTAGCATTGATGTTGCCAACAAGGCCGTCAAGGTCGGTTTGCAGTACTTCGACAAGGACAGCGCCATTGCTGGTCTGAAGGGTAGTGACAACATCATCAGCTTCTACACCAAGCGATACGGCGCCAACCCTGTCATTGTCCAGGGTGCTGGAGCTGGTGGTGAGGTTACTGCTATGGGTGTGTCTTCTGACCTGCTCAAGGTTATGGAGCGTCTGCACTAGGCAGTGTCTGTCAGATAAAGAAAAGTTCAAATTTATTACGATTGCAAGTCTTATGAAGCAAGAAATACTGTTTCAAATTATCTTCTGAAAAAGCCATACATTAATCAAGACCGCATAAACTCCTTCACGGCCTCTCCCCAAACATCAGCCCTCTTATAAGAGTTCATAGCCGGTACATTCCCTTTCACAAGCCCATCAATGGCAACTGCCAATTCCTCCCCAAGTCCCTCATCCTTGATCATCTGAATAGGATAGGTATAAGTGTGAAAAGCAAAGACCAAAGCCCGAGAGCGAGGAAGGCGATGCAAAGTCTGTCGCTCACAGCGCAACACCGTCTACAGATATCAGCATAGCCACCCCCAGAACGCCATCCAATTTTCATCAACATACCTTTGACAAATCCAACTCATCCAGCCTCATAGCCCTAGATCGCGGCTCCTGGGAAGTATTCGCTGAAGACCCATGAACTTCTCCAAACGCAGCAAACAACTGCGCGCCGGTCGTGATACTCCAATTCACACGCTTCACATACTTCCCAACCTCAACCCGCGCAAAGAACCGGTCCATGCTGCGCTCTAATTTTTCCGCGTATCCAGGGACCGGGCCGTGTATATCAGCGAGTCGTCGGCCTAGTTTCTCACGCGGATTGAATCCGGAAGGGAAGCATGTTGTATATGCCTCTAGTTTGTATATGGGCTGATCCGCCGACGAAGGGGATAATTCGGGTAACAGGATAAGGAAATCTTCATCGATAGTTTGCATGAGGATCTCTAATGCCTGGATCGTGGGTGTTTCTGCTGTGAGGGTTGCTGGCCATGTTTCTCTAGTGACGAGGTTCTCAAAAGTCTCGGTTTCTCGCCTGAACATGCTTGGGTAACGGGTGGGGAGATATTCGCCCAGCACGAAGGTGTATAGCTCACCGACAGCGGCGCGAGTGAGTGTTTCTGTCATCTTGTTGCCGTCTTCGTTCACGGCGACTACTATGTCGTGATGCTGCTGGAGTAGCGCCTTGCGAAGAGAGAGACGGTCTTTGTACGTTTTGTCTATGAGTATCAACTCGGATGGTTCAACGTTTTCAAGGGCTGAGGAATTATCAGCCTGAGTTCATATTCATTAATGGGAATATCAATTACCCATGGTCAAGTTGAACTTCTCTTTCCCGCGAAATGGACAAAACTGCGGAGACTCGGTGGTCTCCCAGTTGAACTCTTTCAATGGCGCAATTCCAGGGTTCTTAACATCTGGTTCATTTGCGAGGATCGTCGGATTCGGGTTGCTGGGAGTCAAACGGCGTTGCTGACTCCATCGCCAGATCCAGAGACATGATCCTACAAGCAATACTCCAAACAATGATTGAAGTGAAGGAGTAGCCCGAAACTGCATTGCCGGGGTCTCTACGAAGATCTGCGCCATTCTCGTGAAGTGGTGTTGGTATGCGCTACCACCAGAGGTCGAATTGTGAGAATTCTAGGGAGTTGCACTAAAAGTTCACAAACTTCCCGTGCAAAGTCCCCCCGAGCGAAAGTCGTGTCTTATCAGTCCCGACAGTTACTCCGCACGGCCTCCGCAGAGGGGAAGTGAAGTCGCATCCACCTTCCACTTTCGCCAGCTTATACTCATCCGTTTTTCGTTGACCAAGTATAAGATGCACAAAATGCTCACATTATAATATATGAGAATCGTCCGAGTAATATAAAATAGTCTTCCACACTGCCGAAAACGGGTATCACCCGGCAGATCGATATCACCATAAACGCCACAATCCGAAACTCAGGGATTCCGTAGATGATACAAAGAAAACCACCGATCGTAGACACCACCATAAAGGAATATCAGACTCGTGTAGCCCTATACTTCACGTCTCCATCGCCAGAATGTACCCGTGTATCTGTAGTAGGGACCACATTCTCCTTCTCTGCTGTTCTATCCAGTGATCCGTTGCGTGATCGTCCGCGCTCGTTTTCGTCGGGTTCCATGCTTTCTAACTGGAAAGATCGCCGGTGTTCGTCGAGTCGCTCATTCAGACTCGGTGCCCGGGGACGCTGTTGGCCCCGTGCGCGTCCGCCAATCCAGGGGAATTCCCAAATGGTCATTCGGTAGAGCCAGAGGCTGACGTCGAAAACGATGAGCACGGCCCAAGGGAAGATTGTGATGATGCCGAGGAGGACCTGTGGGAAAGCATGGGTGAGAAATAGAACGAACGAGGCGCTAGTCGCAGAGAGGTCAGACATACGAAGATGCGCACTGCCCAGCTCTCGAGCTGGGTGAGCTGTGGCGGGAGGATAGAGTACCATGCCATAGCTACGTACGGTGTCGCCCGATCCTCGAGACAATCAAATTGCACAGTTGAGCTGATGCCAGAAATGAGATCCAAGATCTCTCAATTTATTTGTTGCAGGCCAGGATCTCGATGACAAGTTCAATGTTGCGGGTATTGGAGCTATTGGTGGCGTGTTGCGGTACCCCCTCCACGGAATCCGGGGTAATGGGATGATTAGCAGGCAAAGTCAGTCGTCTGAGCAATCGTGATAGCAAGTGATAGACGCGTCAAGGATCGGTGACGAGATGTAAAGTTATCCACAGAGAACGCACCACTCTCCGCACGGTCCTTCGATCTGGGGAGTTCGTTGACGAGGCTGCTCGAGAGGTGAAGGAGTAAGGCGGTGGCGCGAGCGAGGTTGGGGGCGCGGCAGGTCGGGTACAGGGGGTAAACCGTTGCAGGGAAGCTGATCATAGACACACGGACACGGACAGTCGCCCTGGAGGACAGCTCTGGAAGTCGCAGAGGTAGAATCCACCGCGGCAATCGACGAACGGGTGGCCCCGGCAGAACGCAGATCCCGTTTAGGCAACTTGTAAGCACCTCGGCTGCGATACTGTGGCAACCCTGGAGCATTCTCGCCTGTGTCTTATCATGCAATGGGGGGTTTCCAGTCTTTTCAGGGATCTAACTTTAATCTTAACCCCCAACCGTCCGCAACAATATTTGATCTCGAACTCAGAACTCGTTGGCCAAGTGGAAAATTTAGTTCGGAAGCATAGCTTTGGTATACAACAAGAGCAAATGACAATAAGCGGAAAACAATGTCTAATTAAAAGATATACCATCTGGTATGGGGTATATTGACATTATCCGGTGGGGTATTGAGAACATCATCTGAGAGCAAGCATAGGGGAAATAATATGAAGCAAAACGCCAGCTATAGATGTGAGACGTCTATGCATAACACCGCAAGAATGCTTCCCAGACCGTCCACAGACCCAAACTCCTTCCTACTCCTATCATGGCAATTAGAGCCCCGGTATCTCAGGGTCCACCAGCAAAATGCCTACTTCAAGCGCACCAGACATGCAAAGCGTGTGGATAAAACATGATAATAACAGATAGCAATATACCTGTATGCAAAAGCCATATTTAACGGAAAGTCAAGGGAGACCGAAGATTCAGCCTCATGAGAAACTTAAACCCAGCCCATCATAGTCAGCTCTGGGAGGCGAGCTACCACTCCTTGGCCGCCTGCCGCCGTAATACTCCAGCGGCGGAGCCGGCGCATAGGATTGGTTGCCATCGTGGATCAAGGGCCCCGATATATTCGGGTGATAGAGTTGATAGGTGGGAACATGACGGGGAGTCTGCAGACGGCCAGACTCGTGTAGCCGTTGGCGCGCATCTCGCACATCGACGCGATGACCTCCGAATTGGAGGATTTGAGAAGGTTCGACCTCGGGGTTCCAGGCTAGACTCATCTCTCGTAGTCTTTCGTCTACTGAGCCTAGTCTGGGGCGTGATGGAGGGATTGATGGGTACAGTGCATCGGATTGGAGGGCACTATCTGAGACGGAGCCGCCGGTCCAGCTGATGGCTTCGGAAAGTGTCTGCGATTGGGCCATAGCTTGCTGGGCCAAATGGCTCTGGGTCATGACTGGGCTAGCAGTGCGTTCGATTTCGCCTGATTGATGAAAGCTTGGGAGTGGCGAGAACAGTGGTGGGTAACGGACTGGCTCTGTAGCCCAGGATTGATGTGAGAATCCAGAAGAATTGCGCGTGAGAACGTCGGCGCTCGGGTGCTCGGCAATTTGTGGTATGGGGCCATCCGAGAGAGTCACTTGAAGAGGAACTGCTCCTGGCATGATCGCGGACGGATGGGGCACAGGAGGGGGTCTCGAAGCTGGTCTCGAAGCTGGTCTCGAAGCTGGTCTCGAAGCTGGTCTCGAAGCTGGCCTTCTTTGGCGTGGGGCAGTGATGCTGATATCTTCATCATACGGGAGTGGTGGAGGAGGAGGAGGAGGAGGAGGAGGAGGAGGAGGAGGAGGAGGGAGGAGGAGGAGGAGGAGGAGGAGGAGGAGGAGGATAGGGAATGAGAGCAGGAGTACTGGCAGAAAACTCTTGGGCAGGGTGATATGGCACGAGCGAAGGTGAACTGGCAGACAGTTCCCGTACAGGATCGTATATGTGAGCGAGTGACGAGCGGCGAGACTCCATGCGGGATGCAGGAGCAGTCTTGAGATCTAGTAGTAGCTGCTGGCCGAGAAAGTCACCGCCGGGCTCGCTATAGGTTGATCGTAACATCGGTTCAGACATCAGCTCATATGTTGTCACTTCATGCGCAAGTGGAGAAGCAATCATATAGCCTGCTTGGCCGTCAAGTGATTCGGCAGAAATCTTCATCCGTAGACCTGGAGCTAGTTCCTGGCCTCGTAATGGGTACATAGAGGCTGGTCGCCTTGGGCGATCTGCCTCCAGTATTCGTCGAGCTGCCACGCTGGCGTAGGTGGGGTATATTCTCTTTACCCGCTTGCGTTGGAGTTGCAGAAGTGTTCTCACTTTCAGGAGCTGACTTTCCACTGCCACTGCTATATCGCCGAACGGCAGCCAACGCCATCTCAGCCGCTGAAGCCATGATCGAAGAGCTTCCATTTTCCGATGACACGCGACTGCACGAGCCTCGCCCCTGGACAGTTGAGACTTTGACTAATGGAGTGGCTGTTTTGGCTCCACGCAAGCGACGAAAACCTCGGGTTCGCTTCAAGGATTGTCTTTCTTTTGTTGACCGCGGCTTCGAATGTCGATCCACCAAATTCCATTCCGCTCCATCCGCTGGAACAGGAGGGCTTTCTGTTTTTGGAGACGGTTTCTCCGTAGCTTGGCTCATCTGCGAAAGCGCTGGTGAGATTTGGGGAGCTTGCTTTGCTTCTCCGTCCGTCTCGTAGCCCTCTTCTGACTCGTAACCAGCTTGTCTGAAGGTATGAGGAGGAAACAGATCTAATTTGAAACGCGCAGGTGCCATGATTTGCTCAGGTGATTCTGCCCGAGTAGATCCCGAGTCGGTCCAGTTGAATGTGGATTGACGTGAGGGACCTTCATCGGTCGAAGATTCAGGAAATGAGGATGATGAGCTACTTGATCTATCAAAGACAGACTTCTGGTTGCGCGAGGTCTCCTGGGAAGAGCTGGGAGACATGCGATCGATCTCGCTGCTTACACTTTTCATCAGCTGACGCAGATATTCACGCGCCTCCCGAAGAATCGGAGGATGGGAGCTCATAGCTGATCTCTTTGGGAAGAGCCCCGCAAGGCTCGATGCGTGAGTCTCGTATTCTCTATAGTCACGGACGAGACCGCAGTCGTGATAATGCGCCATCTTCTCTGTTGCAGCCTCGTAGGATCGGCAGAGAAATCGCGTCGCGACAATCAACCACGAGTCGTAGAACCCCGGATCATTCTTATTAAGGGTGTCTTTGTACTCTTCGTCCTTGATTCGGAGCTCATCTCGGCAAAATCGTTGCACCACGCTATGCATCTTGACAACGTCAACAACCAAGCTGCCACGGTAGATCGAAAAGAAGCCTCCGGTGCTTGTCTCTGTCAGAGACTCGGTCAAGCCTGGGAGACCGGGTGTTGGAGTGGCATCAATGCATATGCCATCACTCGATAGTTGAGGGGAAAGGTTTGGAACGGATGAAGTATGGGTATCTAGAGTCCTCTCGATCAGGCCGTAGTGAATTAGCGTTCCCAGGGTAGTGTCGAGACCCGGATCCTCTCCGATTTGAGCACTGGACTGTATCTCTGCGTTTTCGGCAGACATGACGCCCTTTCCGAGGTTGATCAAGCCGACCGGAACGTGGTGGCCGAGGAACGCAAGTAGGTTGATTAGATTCAAAGCCTCTCGGTGGTGCAAGCGGTATAGATCATTCATGATACCCAAAAATGGCTCGGCGAGTTTCTTGTCAGTCACTTGGTACTTGACGCGGTATCTCTCGATGGGCTTGCCCGTAGCGTTTAGACGATGACCGATAGCATGAATGGCGAGTGGAAGACATTCGTAGTATCCCACCAGCTCAGTGGCCTTGTGCACCTGCTCCTGTGTGGGCTTTTTGATTCCGAGGTCTCTAAAAAGAAGTTTGCAAGCATCTTCAACTCGCATGCGAGGCATCGAGAGGCAGTATGGCTCGTATAGACGCTGCTTTTTCCGCAACGTGGCATCGATTGAGGTATAGATGATACTGCACCTCTTGTTCCAGGGGAGAAAAGGTCGAAACTCATCGATATCATCATCATGATCAAACGAGATTCCATCAAATACCATCAGCCACTCATGGCGCGTCTGGAGCCAGTTTCGGACAGCGTTCACATATGTTTGAGTCTTTTGATACTCCGGGTCATGGGTCTTCATGTGGTCGACCAGGGTGGCTGCTTGAGCGATTTCCCAGAAGCATTTGTATGAAGACTCGCGGGACTTTGCATCAATCCAGAATATACCACCGGGATAATTCTCGCGTTGCGCAAAGACATACTGGCGGGCCAGGTGGGTCTTTCCGGATCCTGGAACACCAGAGATCAGAACGGCCATCGTTCGATCTGCGCGTGCTCGAGCCTTGAATAGGCGGTTGTGCAGCACCTCCAGCTCCTTCTCCATTCCATAAAAGGTTGCATTGGGATGAAAACCCGGAGGCGCGACGAAGAGCGATTGATCTCTGAGAGATATTTGCGACGATGTTAAGACACCGCTATGGTTCAAGTCGGATACTGGGGAGTTGCGGCCGCCATCGGTAGCGGGTGGCCGTGGCAGAGTACCCACGGAATAGTCTATTGAAAAGACAGTCAGCAGATGTCTGACTTGTTATTTCGAGCAATATGGATGATATCAACTATATTGAAGGAAGAGACGGGAGCCACGCCGAAAAAATCAAGCTAAGTACATGAAGGTCCAAACATTGTACGGGAACGCACGAATAATATGAACAGAAGGAATATTGGCAGCTTCGGTCAGACGAGGAAGATATTCAAAGTAAGACCGACAGAGTCGCCCAAGCAGACGATTGCAAAATGAGCAAGAAGAGTGGGGTTCGCAACAATCGTGTGCCGATAGCATGGCTCTCCTCGCGCAATAAACGACTGCCCGCAGGAATCAAATACACAGCGAGGAACAAGAAGCAAAAAAACAGGAAGATCAAACAGATGGCTCCTCAATCTCATAATCCTTCAATGTGGCTGACTCTTTCGGGGATGGCAGAAGGTGAGAAGCCCTACCAGGCGCGATCAAATTCGGCATACTGCGTCCAACGGTCTCATCTACTCTACCTGCAATGGTCAGTAGTGTTTGGGATGTCTCAGAGGAAGGATCTCTACCGTCATAAATCTCACGAGCCTTGGCCTGCTTCTCCAACAGACGAGTTTTCTGCTCTTCCACCCAACGGTCTGCAATGATCGTGGGAGCCTGGCGGGAATATCGGAGGAGGGCTTCGGCAACTACTTCAAAGCCCGGAGAATTCTCATCGTCGAACTTGCACATGTGGCTATGATCAGCCTCGATGCCCATTCGCTCCACTCCTTCAAGGTATGGCGCAGCTGATGCCTCGTCGACAATAATCTCCCGCGTTCCGCGCAAATCTGTAGAACGCGTCTCATGGAACAAGTAGATGTGGAAACGGCCCATGATGTCAGCGAACAGACTATTGATGTGCTGTAGGGTCTCGTTGTCTTTTCGCAGGGCCTGCACGAGCTGCGAGGAGCCTTCCATGACCTTCTTGGGGAGAACGGCGGTACAGATATTGTGCAATAACAAACCCCATTTCGCAACGTCAGAACCATTATGGGGTGTGCCGAGGAAGAGGATGCCGAACGTCGACACGTACACCGAACGCAGGTGTTCTGTTTTCTCGTTCGATAAACTTCGGCTATAGATGAGGGCACGTTTGACGACCAAGCCTCCTAGGGAATGGCAGACAAAAATGATTGGGCGATCGGAGCAGTTTCGTAACTATAGAGAAGCAGAGTCAGTCGGACCAGTTGAGAAACGTGGGAGAAAAGACTCAAAGACACGATCGGGATGGAAGACCGCATACATTTCGGTTGGCAGCCAGATTGGACGCCAGCGTCTCTGCATGGCTGACGATTGAGTCGCGCGACGCGCCGTCGGTGAAAGCAGCAACGCTGGCATTATAGCCGTAGGTCAAGATGCGCGGACGCAGTGGTGCCAGGATCTCGCGCAGTAGATCCACGGGCCAGAAACAGCCGCCCTTGTCTGTCTTGCTGGGCTTGCTGGTCCAAGTATCGTGAGGATGGCCGTTGAGACCATGGACAAATACAATATCCACGGTGGGGTCCCCGCGGGGAACATAGACCTGCGACAAGCCAAAAGGCTTGACGGGTCGAGGGTCAGACATGTTTGATCATACAAAGGCCATTGTTGGGGAAGGTAAATGTCAAATCAGCGAAAGACCTTTATAAAGCAGACTTGCGGGCAGGTGATATTGTTCCCCTGACCTCTTCAGATGACATTCAGGGACGAGTGGAGTCGGCGGCCCGCAGATCCCCAAGTGGACTCGAATCGGGGTCTCTCCTGCACGCCCCCAACCCTCGGATATCCTCGACTGCGCCACGGTCCACAATGCTAGCAGGAACCTGGGCAAGATGCGCCCGGTGGTGTTGCCCGGCTGAATCTGGGTGCCTGGTGAGTCATCTTAGGTGAATTCAGGTGTGTTCGGGTGAGAGTCGCATGAATCTTGAATACGGCAGGCGTCAAGGGCATGAAGGGATCCGGCAAACCTGCAGAACTCGCCAGGGTGATCCCAAGGTTACTCGATGGACAAATGAGAGGCCAAGCGGTAATGATCTTCCGGGGTGCATGGGCTAGACATCAAAACCAAAATATGATTGTGGTCACTTGCCGGTGCCGCGATCACGCGTGGCAGACAAATTGACGGGCGATCTACGGTTCAATCCTGATCGACTTGATCTGCAGTCATATTGTACCTTATACAAAAGAGAATAATCTAGCATAAATTAGTCCTTTCGACTCCAGTCCGACACTGACCACATAAATCAAAAAGAACAGGGTGCTGGAACACGTCGCGGACGGAGAAGGAAAGGTCCTCATAGCGCGCCAAGGCTACAAGCCGCATCGCCCCAATAGAGTCACCACCCCAGTGGAAGAAGTTATCATCAGCAGTTATCTGGCTTCGGTCGATCTGGAGGACCTTTGCCCATAGACCTTGCATCAGTATTTCAGTCTCTGTTTCTGGCGCGCGCTTTCTGGTGGCCTTCCCAGAGAGTCTGCCAACATCGGAGACGCTGAATGAGGTTCCAATCTGCTGGAGTTGACGTCGGTCAATTTTGCCAGTAGTAGAGATCGGCATCGTTTGAAGGGGTATATAAGCAGACGGCAGCATATAAATAGGGAGCTCTCCTGCAAGCTGCTCCGTAGTCTGGGCGGCTATGCGCTGAACGGCACTGGTGAAATCATCGGAAGACAACATCGATGAATCTCTCTCCAGACTGACGAATGCAACAAGCGACTTATCCAACGACCCATCCAAATGAAGGTATTCTACTGCCACTTGCATGTCAGCTGCATAATCATCACTCATAGTCCCAATGGCTCGACGGACATGACTTTCGATGTCTCCCAGCTCTACCCGCTGGCCTCTGATCTTGATTTGCGAGTCCCGGCGCCCAAGAAAGACCAGGGAGCCATCGCCATTGTATCGAACTAGATCGCCAGTGCGATATAGTCTGCCTGATCGGAAAGAGTGTTGACCATCCGGGGAGCCACGCTGCAGCCATGCCGGGTCATGGACAAATGCCTGCGCAGACCTCTCCACGTTGTTGAGATAGCCTTGGCCAACAAGGGGGCCTTCAATCCAAAGCTCACCGGGCGCGCCCACGGGAGCCAATGCATCTGGATTTTCAAGATCCACAATCCATGTGCATACTCCTGCCGCACGTCCTATCTCCCCTTCAGTGGAAGAAGTGATGTCAAGAATTGCACTGGTGGGGGTACACTCTGCTGGACCGTAGGCGACTTTGATCTGGGTATCTCCCCTACCAAGTTGAAGTCGCTGGGTGATACGGCTTCACCCCCTAAGATCAATGTAGCCAGCCGTGAAAGGACAGGTGGTTGGACGGTGCGTGCAAGAGAAGGCGTAAGATCGACAATAGTTGCCTTATATTTCTCCAGAGAACCACCGAGATCATCGACACGCTCTGCGGCAGATGGGATGCAAAGACACCCGCCACTGCTGAGTGTCTTGATTAAATTGAGCCATGCCACATCGAATGCGTTTGATGCAAAGTCAAACACTCTTGAGTTGGTGTCGAAGCCAAGCCGATCTCGCTGGTAAGCAATGGCGCTGCAGAAGTTTTGGTGGGTGATGATGACTCCTTTGGGGTTACCGCTGGTACCAGAAGTAAAAACAACGTAGAGCACGTCTGACGGATGGACCAAGGGTGGCTCGTAAGCGATGGATATCACACCTTGGTCTAAGAGCTCCTCGCTCACGGCTAGCACATGATTGCTGCCAAAGCGCTCGCAGAAAGTATGATGGTGGGCCGATGATAAAATGACCTTTTGTGTTGAATCAGCAAAAACCTGATCAATAATTGCGCGGATCCGCTGCTCCGGATACGACATCTCGATTAGCACAGATGCTGCGCCTGTTTTCATGACTGCAAGTGCAGCCACTGGCATCCACATCGATTTCTCGAAACAGAGAGGAACAATGCTTCCACTACCAAGGCCTCTATAGACCAATTGACTGGCTAGCTTGGATGAAAGTAAGTCGAGTTGACCATATGTCATACTTCCGTCCCAAGCATCAATAGCCACGGACTTGGGTGAATGATTCGCTCTCTCAATGATCATGCTATGAATACAACCGCTGACTGGAGACGGCAACGTGGCATTCCAGGACCAGATTGTGTTTAGATCATCAGCACTTGCGACCGTTACAGTTCGAACTAGCGTATCTCGCAGTTCAAAATCGACCAGCTGATGAAGAACATGTTCCAACTGGTGTAAGAGCCGGGAGACCAGGGGGGGCATCCACGACAGCAGGATCGAATGTAGTCTGGATTTGGGTGGATTGGGCTTCAACTCGAGCTTCAATTATCAATGACGGTTTGCATAGCTCGTAGGAGCCTTCTGGGGCGACAACAGCTTTTGAGACTGTTTGAATCTCGTCTCCAGGATGAGTCACCAAGATGGACTGTAACTTGCAAGCCAAAGCAGTCTCATTCGATATGCAGGCCACTTGCTCCAGTCGCATCCGTTTGAAGGGGCCAAGTTCCCAAACCTGTTTCCTGATCTGGCTCAAAAACGAGCCAATGCTCTTTTCCCCATTGACAAGAATCCGGATTGGCAACATCGAACCCGCGCCATGGCCAGCAGTTGCTGTGCCAAACAGGCTTTCGTCCGAGTTAGACAGGCGAGTAGTAAGCAGGGCCCATGCTGCTTTCAGAATCACATCTGCTGTGAAATCATGGCCTGTCAGACAGAGTTGTTTCAGGTCGAAGGATACATTATTGTAGATTCTGTGATGAGTGACAGTTGGCTTGATGGCAGGGAAATGAGAACCTCGAATATCGGTAAATTGAGTCTTCCAGAACGCCTCTGCGACTGGCCTTTCGATGCCCCCGACCTGCGTGAAGAATTGGCCAAAAAGTGTCGAGGTAGAGTCCACTCGTTGCGATGCCCGAGACTCCCCATGCTCTGAGATGTGGTTTTCCGTCGTTGTTAAAAGGTGATTAATCGCCTGTATGAAGGTTCCGTACACTTCCTCAGCAACCTCATGAGACACATGGGGCTCTTGAAACTCAATTACAAAGTCTGGATGACCTTGTTTAAGAGAGATGTTCAGTCTCAAGTCAAACTAGCCCGGAAAATGTTAGCCAAATCTTATTTAGATAAATAAGATTCTTCTCTTACCTCATGCGCATCTTCGCTTCTCACAACTTGAAATGAGATTTTCCTGTTGGGCGCAAACTTCTGGGTTCCAGTGTCACGGATTGAAAGCGAGGTATTGAAAAGTTGCTGTCCGGAAAGACCCAAATGATGCTGAATGTCCGCCATAGAGACATTTTGGAAGGCCCAATCTTGACCTGCTCTTATCGAGGCAGCATGCAATATCTCATTTGCCGAAGCGTTGAGGCGCACGCGACTGATGAGGAGATTTGACAAGGGTCCAACCAATCTGTCTACCCCTTTGATTGGAGCATCGCGGCCAGAGACATCATATCCAAAGCAGACATCAGACATTCCGGTGTAGTATGAGAGAACCATGGCCCAAGCAACATGCATAAGAGAAGAGAACATTATTCCAGTGCTCTTGCAGAAATCTGCGAGATCAACCTGAAATGCTGGAGTGGCATGGGATACCTCGCCGAATTTGACGGGTTGAGCTGCTCCCGAATGCAAGGATGAGATAGGGAATTTGCAGGGCTGGATCCCTTCCAAATTGGCCACCTTGGTAGCCAAAGCCTGTACTTTGGAAGTCCTGCTGTTGTATTGTACAATTTCAGAGAACATGGGTGCCGTCTGTAGTTCGCTGCCTTCGTATGCGAGTGCTAGCTCATCCAAAAGGATTATTTCAGAGTGAGCATCTGTCAATATGTGGTTTATATCCAAGCGACAGACTGTTTCTCCGGTACTCGATTGACTGATGGTGAACGAGTGCTGTGGCTTACCAGGAGCGAATGATGGTTTCTCCAGTTTGAGCAAAGACGTAGTGGGATCGTCACACTCAGGAAGTATCTGGGCCACGTGGATCACAGGGCTATCCAACACAATTTGGATGAATCCATCTCCATCTGGGTGTAGCGTAAATATGGAGGAAAGAATACTGTGTCTTTTCGTCACTTTCTGCCAGGCTTTTCCCAGCAAGGACGGGCAGACTCTCGTCTCTACTTCTGATGCGTCAGCAGATACGCAACGCCAAATTGTGAAAGTATGGTATGAGGCGGCTCCCTTCATGGCACTGAGTAACATTCCTTCTTGCAGCGCCGAGCATGGATACATATCCACAACAGAGGAAGCCTTGACTCCCATTTGAGGAAGACTCTTCTGGAGAAGAACGTCAAGACCGCGGTACGATAAAGAAGGAATCGACAAATCGCCGAGTGTGAACTCGGAAGGAGCTCGTGAAAGACTGCGACAGAGATCCTCAAGTTCATTGGTGAAATGGTGCATCCATTCCTGAATCCGATCTAGATTCATCTTTTGGTGAACGGTGAATGATACGTTGAGCTGCCCATCGATCACACCCAGGGTGAGGTCAATGAGAGATGGACGCTGGGCTGAGCCTGAAACCTGGCTAAACTGGCACTCATGAGAGTCCTCATTTGCAGGTGACGATGACTCCTGGAGGATTCCATCTTCCTTCTCCAGTTGTTGGAATCTTCCGGTAAAGTTGAATACCAGTTCGACGACATTATGACCTCCGAATATCCGGCGACCCGATTCACTATGAGACCGACAGGAAGAGAATGGTTGGCCTTTTCCGGGTACTTTTCGTCGGATGTCTTTCACCAGCCGTACAGCATGAGAAGGTGAGTGAGCTGATGTGATGGGCACCACGAGAGGGAAGATTGTCGTAAACCATCCGATGGTTCCTGAAACATCCATAGACTGGCCATCCAACTGCTCTCTTCCATGGGCCTCTGTCCATACCGGAGGAACAGACCGCTCTGGAAAGGTTAAAGCAAATCCACGCATCAGAGCAGCGAGCATCAGATCGACGGGCTCAGTCCGTAGGCTGTTGTTACTCATGCCAAACAGCAGCGTGGTGACGTCTGCAGGAAACGTGACATCCAAGTTTTCACATTGATCGAATGTATTTTCTTCCAAAGGGATGCCCCAGAAGCCAAGCTGTGAGTCGGGTAGACTATATGGTAGCACCTCAAGTGGAGAGAGGGTCTGACCGAGTCGGGCCTGGGTTGCACACCATCTCTGGAAAGACATTGTCGGAGGGGCTCGAAGGGACCCATGTCTGATATGATCCTCCAAGTCTCCCCATAGGATGCGCCAAGAAACAAGATCTATCACCAGATGATGCGCAGAGAGCAAGACCATTTGCCCACCAGAAGTAACATTGAACAAGTCACAAGCAAAAACAGGGCCTTCTCGGATATCCAAATTTTCTTGTCGCCATTGCGCAGCGTTTGAAGCCGCCGCTTCATCAGCCACAGTGTGGAGAGCGAAGGCAAATGCCTCAGGTCCGTCTTCGGCAATCCTTTGCTGCCAGGAACCGCTGTTCGGGTCTTTCTGGAAACGAGCACGAAGCATCGGGTGACGAGAGACTACCGCCCTCAAGGCATTTCTAAGCGTAGATGCTGAGACAGGCTTCACAAGATCCAACAAAAAGGACTGGTTGTAGTGATTCAGACCATCGGGATAGAGACTGAAGAAATCCTGCTGGATCGGGGAGAGCTCCGATGGAATTGACGGGTCTTCACATCCAAGTACTTCCGTCAGCTCGTACCGCAGCGGTGGTGCTTTGCAGTGATCGGCTAGTTTTCGGATGGTACGCGCTTGCAAAATGTCGCTGACGGTCAGTTGAAGATTGTGCATTCGACATCGTGAAACGATTTGCATGGCTGAGATTGAGTCTCCACCGAGTCGCGCAAAGTCCGCGTCAAGAGATGCTTCTTCTTCCGCCAGGTTGAGGATAGCGATCCAAACGTCACGGATAATAGATCCAGTGGAATTGAATACTTGGTCTTTTCTTGCTTGGCCTGCTTCATTCGCACGCATAGCCAACAACAATGATCTAGCTTTCTCGCGAAGCTCACGTCGATCGGTCTTCCCCGTCGTTGTCACTGGAACCACCGGCAGTGAGAAGAATGCGGTTGGAATCATATATGATGGCAAAGTTTGGGCCAGCCGGTCGACCAAACCATCCGCTGTCTGCTTGACTGCGACTTCGTGTTCAGCCTCCGTCATCCCTTCAACCTTCGGAAGCGTCACGAATCCCACGAGAGTTAAGGTTGACACATTGGTTAGCTGGACAACCTCGACCACTACGCGGGCTCCGATAGAATGCAGGATTCGCTCCAAGGTAATTTCGATTTCGCCGAGTTCGACTCGCTGGCCTCGAATTTTGACCTGGTGATCTTTCCGTCCGATGTAGACAAGTGAACCATCTGATTCATAGCGAACGAGGTCGCCCGTACGGTACACACGTCCGGTTCGGCCAACGTGACGCAGTAGCCAGGGTGGATCATGGATAAATGCCATGGATGTCTTTTCAGCGTCGTTGAGGTACCCATCACCCACGATCGGCCCTTCAAGCCAGAGCTCACCGACTGATCCCACAGGGGCCAGTCGGCTTGGGTTTTCCGCATCAACAATCCAGGTGCAAGAACCATGCCCACGACCGATTCTGACACCGTCTGCGTGAAACCTGGAAATAAGAGCGGTTGGTGTACATTCGGCAGGTCCATATGCGTTGATGATTGTCGTTCGGTCGCCTGCGAGTAGTGCGTCACCTGGGAGCATCGCCTCCCCTCCGAGGATGAGCGTGGCCAAACGAGATATCACCTCCTTGCCTAACGTCCGAGCAAGTGAAGGAGTGCTGTCCATGAGATTGATGTCGTACTTAACGAGGCAATTAATCAGTTCGTTGTCGCGTTCATGGGCGGATGGGATACATAAACACCCGCCAGCAGTGAGTGTCATGAACAGATTAGACCACGCCACATCAAAGCCATAGCTGGCAAAGTCAAACACTCGGGACTTCTCATTATACTGCAATGCTGCTTGCTGGTAAGTGATAGCACTGCGCATGTTGCGATGTGTAATCTGGACACCTTTGGGAGTTCCGGTGCTACCAGAGGTGAAGACCACATAAAGAAGACTTGCAGGATTGACCAAAGGCAGTTGGGCTGGAGGGTGCTTGCTTCCATCAGAATTGCTTCCCACTACCAACAATCGTTTGGGTTGAAGCTTTGAAGCCAGCTTCTCGTTCTGAATAGAACAAAGCAATAACGGAGAGTCGGTCTGAGTCACAATCTCTCGAAGGCGTTCCTCTGGCTGTTTCATCTCGAGAGCATTCAAGGCACCTCCTGCTTTTAGTACAGCGAGTGCTGCCACAGGCATCCAGAGGGACTTTTCGAACAAAAGTGTGACTAGGGTACCAGCCACTGGAATCCCAGCCAAATGACCTGCCAATCGAGTGGAGAGTTCATCTAGTTGGTGGTATGTAATCTCTCCATCCCAGGCACATATCGCCATCGCTCGTGGAGATTCCCTAGCTCGCTTCTCAATGACGAAATGCACAGTCTCTTCAACCGGGGGACTATATTGCGCATTCCATTCGGAAACTTGGCTCATGAATTTGGTCGGTGTCAGCACTGATGCAATTGGGGCATTTGATCTCTGCATTCCATCGTTGAAGCTTGCCAATTGGCGCAGAACATGCCGCAACTCGTCCATGAGCTCTTCCACGTCTCCTGACGGAATGACGTTGCAATCAAAATCAATCTGGACGCACAATCCACCCAATGACAATTGGCACTCAACCTCAAGAGCATAGGTTCCAGAGGCACGCTCTCCCATCAAATTGCTGGTATCCAAGAAATCACTCAGAAAGGGTCTCTTGTCAGTATTCTCCGACTTTTCATTCTTTGGTTGAATGACCAAAAGTGATTGAAAGCCGCAAGCAACCCGAGTCTCGTCGTTGATGCGCCGAATATGCTGAAGACCAGTCTGCTCAAAGGGTATCATATCGGCCGCTTGGCACTGCACACTCTCTAGCAGTTGACTGATACTCCCCGTCCAATCGATCTGGACCCGAACGGGGACTGTGGCAATAGTGGGACCTGCCAGATGTTCAATCCCCGCGAGAGCTCCCTGCCGTCCTGATACCGTGACACCAAAGATGGCCTCGTTGGAGTTGGTGCGGCTGGCTTGCACAATTGCCCATGCCGCGCGTACAACAGTGGTAGGGGTAAAACTGTTCTGGCCCCATTTCAGGTTTGATAACTCGTGGGTTATCGTTTGCCTGTTCTGAGATTGATCCAGACAGAGCCCTTTTTTTGTGACGGGAAAGCTAACTCCAGCCGAACCTTGGAACAGCTTTGCCCAAAAGCGCGCCACGTCAATAGGGTCCATCCCTTGAATGTACTGTATCAATCCTGACATGGATGATAGTCGTGGACCCACTTCCTGGTAGTAAGTGTGCTCAGCATCCTTCAGGATCAGTGGTTGAGACCATCCATCATAGAGCGCATGGTGAGTCTCCCACACGAAATAGCGAGACCCCGGCGTGTCGTTTCCAATGAGTACGAAGCGGGTAAGAGGGTCACCGAGGCCAAATGCGGACTCTTCGGCCAAGAATCTCCGTTGGTACAGCTCAAGACTATCCTCAAAGATCCATTGAACCTCTTCGTTGAGGATCACTTGCACAATGTCGTGGCCTGGTAAGGTCACCATTCGGGTGCGTAGGATAGGGTTCACCGCTACCACCTGGTCCCACGCGGCGCGGAAGCTCTCCACATTGATACTGGGATCAATTTCGAAGAGATGCTTGGCCACGTAATTCCCAGCATTCAAGTGCGTGAGCGCCAGCAGCCCAGCTTGGAGAGGCGTACATGGTAAAACATCCAAGACCTGCTTCTGCTTGACATGGCACAGCTGGGCTGCATAGTCGCGTATTTTCTGGCAATCCGTGGCAGGCCCCAAGAGCGAAAAGGGAGGAATGACCTTATTTGTAGTTGATACAGTCTGGTTCTGAAGTCGCTTGACTAACTCTATTAGGCGCGAGTTCTCGAAGATATCTCTCGGATCTAACCCGAGGCCCTCCTCCTGGGCGATCTGGCTCAATTGAAGAACACTAGTAGGCGAGCCGCCGCACAAAAAGAAGTCATCGTGTCTTCCGATCCCGACATCCTCGGCTGTGGTGCCAAGGGCTTCGGCCCACAGCCTTCGCATTTGCTTTTCGGGTCCCGATAGTTGAACGGGCTGAGGCTCTGCTGGTGCTAAATCTTGCTTTTCCGCCAGCACAAGTGAAGAGTTGGACTGGGTGAAGTCCCTTTCATTCAAAGCCGCATGTAACAAGTTCTTCAAAAAGGTCTTCATTCTGAGTCAAGTTGTTTAGAATGACAAGGACTGATTGGCGCCACGAAAAAAGTAAAGCTGTAGATATATCTCCGCAATATTGGTGTTGCTCTGTGGTTATATACACAAGTAATAGTCGTCTAGATTCGAGATATAATGTTCATATTGTGTCAAAGAGTGCGCATGGCCATGCGGGATTTAGCTATATGACGAATACGCGACCCAGTCTACTGCGAGGGCAATGTAGGGGGATGTTATTGGGCCCCCCGGTGCGTAAGGGCTATTCCACGAAGTTAGAAAGAGTAAATGGCTGACCTTCGTTCCGAGCTATTCGAGCTGGCTTCCTGCGAACACCACACGAGTAAATGGTGGTCGTGTGGCGCATTCCATTTCTCAGAGGTTATTCAAAAGTTGTTTTGCGCATGATCCATAAGGTCATAGCGTGGGTCCGCCTCGGAATTCAACCACTTTGCATGCAGCCGACGGCAGCATGTTATACGGTAAACTCTTTTGCAGATGCCAGATCATCGTCTTTTTTGCTATCCCGTTGCAAAATAATATGCCTTTGGGAGCTCCTAGGTCGCTGCAGTAGAACGGGGAGGCGGGTGAAGCATGCGTAAAGCGGCGGTGCGTACCCCTGTTGCCCCCTGCATTGGTTGTGAGGACTGGCTTCCTAGCGCTCTTTACTCATTGCACGAGGGATAAACTATCGTAGAAATCCCCCGAAGGCGATTCAGGCAATTCAGGCAATTCAGAAAATTCAGGCAATTCAGGCAATTCAAGTATTTCATCGAGTCATTCCAGAACTTGTTAAATGGCGCAACTCCAATTCTACACTGCGCTTGCACCTGAAGCCATCGCCGAAGATTCGGCAATCTGGTTTCGCGCATAGAGAAACCCCCCATAAGTAAGACAGTTCACGCATACGCAGGAAAGGGACCATGATTGAGTCCCGTCTACATGTCGTCAGGTCGCAGAAATGCCTCGAAAGCGACGAGGCGACTTTCGGTCCCTTAGTTCATTCATCGTGCCTTGGAGGATATGACTTTACCCTGCTCTTCGAGGAGAGTGTCCTGACAATAATTCCCGCAATGATTGCCTGTTTGCTTCTTGGGATACGAATGTGCAACTTGCAGGGTCGGCCCAGCAAGGTAAAAAGTTCGTGGCTTTACGTCGCGAAGTTGACCACCATCTTACTATACGCTGTTTTGCATTTTCGTCATCCTGGCTGCCATGGTCATTGGAAGTGCATCCGAGACACCAGTGAGCATTGCAGGTACTGCAGTGATTGCAGTGACATTTCTGTTCTTTCTATATGCAAGTCACCTTGAACACACTCGATCACTGCGTCCATCAACCATCCTCAGTCTTTATCTCGGTCTTTCCTTGGTCTTCGATGTGATTCGTGTACGCACCCTCTGGTTGAGCTCTTCCAGCCCGGTTCTAGCGTCTTTACTTTCTGTATGTGTGGGTTTGAAGGCTGTCGTGCTTGTGCTCGAGGGGACCTGTAAGCGGCCGTTTCTGAGAAAGCAATATCAAGATACTACGCCTGAGGCAGTGTCTGGTATCTACAGCCGTAGCCTCTTTCTCTGGGTAAATCCTTTCCTATGGAAAGGCTACAGAGGCATCCTCTCGGTTGACACGCTCAATGTCCTCGATGATAATTTGGTTTCGGCGTCTGACCCCAAAGCCCTGATAGAAATTTGGAACAAAAAAGGTAAGCAATCTCAGCCAGCCCTGGCCTATCCTGACTGATCACCCGGTGGCTGACGCGAGGCCGTAGACAGGTGTCGGCCTCATGGGCTATTGATTGATTTTTTCTGGCACTACAAATGGAACATTCTAGCAGGAGTGATACCTCGCCTTGCCTACACAGGGTTTTCCTTCGCGCAGCCTTTTTTGGTTCAGCGCGTGTTGGACTTTTTGTCTGAGGCCGAAGGCCCGAATTCACACACCGAGGCCTATTATCTGATCGCTGCGTACGGCATTGTATACATAGGCCTTGCAGTACGTGTACTCGGTCTGCTTGAATCAAGACTAGTGTTGACCATTTTTGGCAGATCTCCATGGCGGTCTACGAGCATAAGACCTATCGTGTGATAACGATGGTCCGGGGCAGTCTGAGCACGATGATATTCCAGAAGACGCTTCGACTTCCACACTCCAAAATATCAGACACAGCGGCGGTCACACATTTGACAGGGGGGTATTGAATGGGTCAGTATGGGGCTCTTAGAACTACATGAGTTTTACAGCAGTGTCATCGAGGCGGGTTTAGCCATCTGGCTGTTGTTTCGATTGCTCCATGCAGCCGCATTGGCATCTGCGGCTTTTGTTGTTGGTAAGTCTCGTCGATTTCTGCTCACCTAATTCTTTTCAAACAACCGCTGATTGATTAGTCTGCGTCCTTGCTGGGCTGCCCTTAGCACTTGCAGCGGGAAATGCCCACCTACCATGGCTGGATGCTATTGAAAAGCGCCTATCTGTGACCTCCAAGGCACTCGCTGCAATGAGACCTATCCGGATGAGCGGAATCTCACAGCCCGTTGCATCTGGGATATTGGATTTGAGAACTGAGGAGATCAGAAGCTCCAGATCAGCCCGACTTTTTGACGTTTTAGTGGTTGTGATGTGTGAGTTAAGATAACCTCCTTGGATGCTCACGTTTCCTAATATAATATCCTAGCCTATACATCTGCCACGTTTGCGCCGATCCTCGGGTTTGCCATATACAGCCTGCTTGCACAAAAGGACAATACGACAGCTTTGACCAACTCCGTCGCTTTCTCCGCTCTTACACTGTTCTCCCTCCTCGAGAAACCGGTTATTACGCTGGTAAGGGGCGGCGAGCAGCTAATTGCGGTAGTGAAGGGGTTTCAGAGAATACAGTCATATCTTAATCGGGAAGAGAAGCCGGTGCACCAATTGAATGCACGAAGTGATTCGGAGTATGGGCACGCCAAAGATACAAAAGGTTTTATACCCACATATTCACCCATTCAAGGCCATGTGGGCATTGAACGGACATTTCCTGGGAAACATGCCATTCTTCGTAACGTGTCTGGACTTTTTCCCGAGATAAAACTACCTCTGCTCCAGAATCTATCCTTGGAAATCGACCAAGAAAAGTTGACCATGGTGACTGGTCCGATCGGATGTGGTAAGTCGCTTCTTTTGCAGCTATTGTTGCATGAAATCCCATACTCTGGTACCATGTGGACAAATGCTTCCCAGGTAGCCTACTGCAGTCAGACGGCATGGTTGTTTTCAGGAACGATTCGGGACAATATTCTAGGATCCCGCAAATGGGACGAGCTATGGTACAATGAGGTTCTCCGGGCGTGTGCTCTGGACGAGGATATTCGAGATATGCCCAAAGGACATTATACTCGAGTAGGTGTTCGTGGGTCTCGGATAAGTGGTGGACAGCAGATGCGAGTGGTTAGTCAATTTCCTTTCCGGTGACTATTTTGCTTCATGGCTGATCTACTTTGCAGTCATTGGCCAGAGCATTGTACTCAAAACAGAAAGTCCTGATTCTCGATAATGTCATGGCTGGCCTTGATCAAAGAACTGTGCGCCATATGCTACATTCCCTGTTCTCTTCTGATGGCATGTTGAAGAAAAACAAGCACACGGTCGTGCTAGCCACAACATCCGGTATGACAATTGTATTGCATGACTTGCTCTTTTTTAATCATGAAATCTAGGGGCCCTTCTTCAGTACGCCGATTCAATCATTGTACTCGGTCCTCAAGGCCAGCTTGTGGCGCAAGGGACGTACAGTAGTATTTCTGCCGAAGGCCTTCATGTGCAACCCACCAACCAATATGCGAGTCTCCAAGAACATGACGCGCTTGTGGACGAAGAACCTGAGCCATTTTCTCTGGATCATACCACAGAGCTAGAACGCATTGCTCTTCAACGGCCTAGGAATCGCGATCGGGCTGTTTATCTGTTTTACTTTCAGAAAGTTGGCTGGCTACTGGTGATTTTATACTTTGCTTTTGCTATTTCATTCATGATTGCGCTCAATTTCCCCCGTCAGTATTCTTTGAGACACTGAGTGTTTATTTCGCTTTTTGCTCACTATTTCCCGCAGAGATTTGGCTAGAGTGGTGGACCAAAGGCAACTCTCAACATCCAAATGCCCGACTGGGCTACTGGATAGGCATATATTCTGGTCTAGGTATTTTGACATTGGTATTACTTGCTGTCCTTGAATGGTACAATTGATCGAGTTCAATACGTGAAGGCCTTTTGCTGATTGTCCAAAAAGGATATTCAAGATGATCATTGCACCGAAGACAGCGGCGAAGTTTCATCGAGCCTTGTTAGACACTGTGTTTATGTATGTTGAATATTTTAATTGGTTGGCCTTCTTGCTCACATACCGAATGAATAGGGCAAAAACTACTTTCTTGGGCTCCACTGATGTTGGGACAACCCTCAATAGGTTCGGTCCGATGTTCATAACGCTCAAAGAATATTGGAAAGCTAACCACTCCACTCTCTAGATTCAGCGAAGACCTTGGAATTATTGATGGGGAGCTATCATCTGCATTCGACATCACCGTTACTGCCCTGCTTGGTTGCGTCGCCGAAGCCGTGCTCATATTCACCGGGTCATCCCGATATGTCTCATTGGTGGTCCCATTTTGCGTCATGATAATGTACTTCCTTCAGAAGTTCTATCTCCGCACTTCTCGTATCATTTGACTTCTAGAGATCGAACTCAAGGCTCCTTTGCAATCTCAGCTTCTTGAAGTGCATACAGGGCTTTTGACCCTTCGTGCATTTGGCTGGACGGAGCATTACCAAGAACGAAACAAGCTAGCACTGACTGCATCACAGCAGCCCTACTACCTGTTGTTCTGCTTACAGCGATGGTTGAACCTAGTATTGGACCTTCTGGTGGCTGCGATAGCCATTCTGGTTGTTTCTATCGCGACGACAATAGCAAGAAACTCCAATACCGGTTTCTTGGGGGTCGCGCTATTTAATATTGTCAATTTCAGTGGCAGTCTACAACAAATGATCGCCCAGTGGACTACGTTAGAAACATCGATTGGTGCCTTATCCCGAATCAAATCCTTCGTCGAGGACACTCCACGTGAGAATATCAACAAGGAGTCTGAGAATTCATCAGATGACTGTTCGGAGGAAGGTAGAATATCCTTCGTGGGTGTTTCTGGAAATCATGGGTATGTTGAATCACTATCTCGAAAGCCCAGATGTTCTTTTGCTCACATTTAATCCAGTCCAGGCGAAGACAATGCTATTGAAGATATAATTTTAGAAATTCAACCCGGTGAGAAAGTCGCGATCTGTGGAAGGACTGGAAGGTAAGCAACATTCATCTTCATCCATCTTCGGCGCAGCCAGCCTCAGGGCCATGGCCATTTCACTGTGGCATAGAACTCCATAACAATCTCTAACTGGCAAATAGTGGAAAATCATCATTAGTCATGGCGCTTATGCAAATGCTGGAGATTCGCAACGGAACTATTCGTATTGGTGGTGTCGATGCATCTCAAATCCCACAACCTCGTATTCGAGCCGAGCTTAACACAATCACCCAGGAACCAATATTCCTACATGGGTCTGTGCGCCTGAACCTGGACCCGCATGCTCGAATTAATAATGAAAACGTCTTGATTGATGCTCTTCAAACTGTTGGATTGTGGGATTTCATCAGTGCGGAGGGTGGTCTGGATATCGAATTATCTGATGATAGCTTATCACACGGACAAAGGCAGCTCTTCTGCCTGGCGCGAGCCTTGTGCCACCCCGGTCGAATCCTGATCATGGATGAACCTACCAGCAGGTACTTCAATTGCGGATTGCCATTATCATAATTACGAGCAAAAGGCTAACATGTCCCCAGCATTGATGACGTCGAGACGGAAAGGCGGATTGATATAATCATCAACCGTCATTTCCAGCACCATACCGTTATCTGCATCATGCATAAGCTGCATAACGTTATGTCATTTGATAAAGTGGCCGTCATGGAAAAGGGACGACTTGTTGAATTCGGCCCCCCACGCAGTCTCCAGGCAAAGGAAGGTTTGTTCAAACAACTTCAGGCAAGTGGGAGCTCTGTTTCTGGCTTGAGCTAGTCTCTTAATGTCTGGATTTTGGGGTTATCGCCGCATTGTGATATATAGACTATTTAGTCCGTCTTTCTATTATCAGGAGTTGCCTCTCCTTTCGTAATCTTCTACAAAATTATCGCGAAGTGAAGATCAGATTTTCCACCAAATTTGGACCTATCACTTACAGGACACGACAACAGTAACCTTCATTCTACTACATTTGAATACATCTCGATATGTGGGGAGCAATTCCATGAAGATATCAATTCTGCATAGCTATGTTCTCTATTACTTGACGCCCCGGCATATATTTGCCATACACTCGTGTGGAACTGCAGCCATCTAAGACCTTGCGCCGTCGAAACAGATAATCGATAACTAGAACCAGCATCAAACAGACCCGAGGATTCACACAAGGGAGAGAAACAGATAGAAAATTCGCGCCACGAAACAAGGAAATAAAATATATATATCTAAATCAAATAAGCTATATCCTATATATAAGCGGTATTATATAATGCCGATTTATAATTTATAGTTATTTTATACTAGTTTTGATATACGACTTGGGTCGAATCAGGTCTAAATTAGGTTTTACTAGGGCCCCAACGCTAGGTCCGGGTTAGGCCCGGGTTAATGAAGTTTAACCCGGACCCAGGCCGGGTTAGGTTCTGGGTTGAGACCTTCGACCCAAATTGGATTATGCGGAAGTTTAGACTTGCCCACCATATTTGCCCATGGGTTGCCCATGGGCAATGCTGATGTCTAGACATTGCCATAACCCGCAAATAGGTCAGAACTCGACCGTAAACCCGCCTCGTTAACTTTACGGGTTTACGGGTTTACGGGTTGTCTAGTCCCGATAGATGCTATTCTGACTTCGCAAAGAACCCGATCAAGCCGAAATAGCTAGTCGATCGTATACAAATCAATCAATACATCTCTGCATCAGCAATTTCACCGCAGTTTATCTTGATCTAGATATGCTACGATTAAGATTGTTATGGATGGGCCTTTAGATCCACATTCATAGTTCTTCAGGAGCTTTTTGTGCATGCCTCCGTACTTGAGGCAGAACGTTTCCATATGCAAATCAACTAGGTACAATTCTTACGAGTGTATTAACGCTTCCTACTAGACCTCGCCACAGCCCAAGGTTGGGCGGCCCATCATGGGCGGGTAAGGACCTACCCGCCCAAATACAGCCTTACCACTAGTAAGTCTCTTGTGATATAGTAGAATTTATGTATAAAAATCTGTGTTGATCGTATGTAACGCTGTATTTGGGCGAGTCGGAGCTTAGGCAGCCCATGATGGGCCGCCCAGGTCTGGACTATGGCGAGGTATACTTCCTACTCTAGGTCAATCAACATCAAGCCCCCCCGGGGTTAAGACATGCCAAAGACTAGCGGATATAAAGTACGAACAAATGATATCCACATTTCTTGACTAGTGAGTTGATCATATTCGACATCTTCACGCCCCGTAGTCGATTTATGTGAGACCACGCAGGAGTCTCTAGTGTAGGTGGGTAAGCGAGGTAGAAGCCTTCACGTGCGTGTGCACAATATGGTTTTATTGTGGGGTAAAGACTGAACGCTGGTCTCTCCTGAGACCAGCGCGGATGGATTAAATACATGGACTGCCCCTGCTAAAGGTGGTAAAGGTCCCCTTTCTGCCATTGTTCCTGATTCATTCTGATGCCTCAGGCAACGACAATTGTCCGTCCTGAGATGGGTCCTGACAATTTACCAGCGGATATAAAGAAGAGCTTGGCAACTCCGTATATCCGCACTGCCGGAAGTATAGAACCAACAATGGCTCAGCCGGATATCGGCCCAGAGATACCCCCTCGGAGCTACGGAAAAGCTCAATGAGTACACGGTTAGAGAGAAACGAACTAAGCAATCTCGATCGCCAAGAGACCAGGGTTGGATCAGCCGGCCACTTCCACTCCAGAGCCCGGAACGGATGCTCAGATCAACCATTATAACGTAAAGACCCAATAGACGTAAAACCATCTATAAGAGTTTCCCCCCCCTCCCTTTCCGGCTGGGAGCGTGAGCAGGGATTCATTTCAACGTCAAACGACCCTGGGAACGGAATTCCTTCACCAGAATGGCGGATCCTTTGTCCGATACCGAAGTCGAAAGTGTCGCTTCCATGTCCGTGGACCGATCTCACCCGGAGGTCGTCGAGAAGCCCAAGAATGACAACGACTGGCCCATGAAAGGTGATGTCGAGGATTTCCACCGCCGCAATATTGGATCCAACCTCAAGGAGCGCCGGCTGGGTGTGACATGGAGCAATTTGACCGTCAAAGCAAACAGTCCCGAGGCGGCGGTTAAGGAGAATTTTTTCACCCAGTTCAACCTCGTCCAACGAGTCCGAGATTTTCGAACCAAGCCGCCGCTAAAGACGATCTTGAATAACAGCCATGGCTGTGTCAAACCCGGGGAGATGCTGCTGGTGCTAGGGCGTCCGGGGTCGGGGTGCACGACGCTGTTGAAGATTCTCGCTAACCGGCGCAGGGGATACCATTCTATTGATGGAGATGTCTGCTATGGCTCCATGACCCACAAAGAAGCAGAGCCATATCGCAGCCAGATCGTGATGAACACCGAGGATGAACTCTTCTTTCCCACTCTGACCGTCGACCAGACGATGAAGTTCGTCTCTCGACTCAAGGTCCCTCACAATCGACCGGATGGGATGAACCCGCAGGAATATGAGGAGTACATACGAACATTTTTGATGAAGTCCATGAGCATCTCGCATACTTCTGATACCAAGGTGGGGAATGAGTATGTGCGAGGTGTCTCCGGGGGCGAACGAAAGAGGGTTTCCATCATCGAATGCCTCGCAGCGCGAGCATCCGTCTACTGCTGGGACAACAGCACTCGAGGGTCTGGATGCTAGTACTGCCTTGGACTGGACCAAGGCTCTTCGAACCATGACCGATATCCTGGGCGTCACAACCATCGTCACCCTCTATCAACCCGGAAATGGAATTTACGAACTCTTCAACAAGGTCTTGGTTCTAGATGAGGGGAAGCAGCTCTTTTATGGTCCCACGCGGGAGGCACGTCCGTTCATGGAAGAACTGGGCTTCATATGCCGGGACGGAGCCAACGTTGCTGATTTTCTCACGGGAGTGACCGTCCCAACCGAGCGAGAAATCCGGCCGGGATACGAATCAACCTTCCCTCGCACCGGCAATGAAATCCTGGCCCATTACCAACAAGCCGAAGTCCGGGAAAGAATGGCACTGGAAAATGATTTCCCCTCCAGCAAGGACGCCGTTCAGAATACCGCCTTCTTCCAGGAATCCGTGACGTTGGAAAAGGACCAAGGGTTGTCCCGCAGCCCACTGACGGTGGCGTTCCATAAGCAGGTGCTGGCGTGTGTGGTTCGACAATACCAGATCATCTGGGGAGACAAGCCCACCCTCTTCATCAAGCAAGGGTCAAACGTGATCCAGGCATTGCTTGCCGGATCCCTCTTCTACAACGCCCCCGCCACGTCTGCCGGCCTGTTCACTAAGGGAGGAGGCTTGTTTTTCTCCATCCTGTATAACTGTCTGATGGCCATGTCGGAGGTGACGGATTCTTTCACCGGCCGTCCCGTGCTCATCAAGCATAAGTCCTTTGCCTACTACCACCCGGCCGCGTTCTGCATTGCGCAAATCGCCGCGGATATCCCGATTATTCTGTTCAGCATCACGATTTTTGGCATCGTAATGTATTTTATGGTGGGGCTGACTGTCTCGGCCTCGGCGTTCTTCACCTACTGGGCCAGTCTGTTTATCATTACCATGTGTATCACGGCTATGTTCCGAGCGTGTGGCGCCACCTTCAACACTCTTGATGGCGCATCCAAGATCTCTGGTCTTTTGATTTCCGCCACCGTGCTGTACACCGGTTATATGATCCAGTACCCCAAAATGCACGGCTGGTTTATTTGGCTTTTCTGGATCGACCCCATTGCATACTCCTTTGAGTCTCTAATGGGGAATGAGTTTCATGACAAGACCATCGACTGCGTGGGTTCCAATTTGATCCCCAACGGACCCGGCTACAACGACACCAACCACCAGTCCTGCGCAGGCATCTCAGGCGCTATCCCGGGCGAGGTCAGCCTGACGGGAGACGAGTACCTAAAGGCCCTAAGCTACAGCCACGGCCACGTCTGGCGCAATTTCGGGGTGGTCTGGTGCTGGTGGCTCTTATTTGTCCTCATCACCGTGGTGGCAACCAACCTGTGGCGGGACATGGCAGAAGCGGCAACCTTGCTGATTCCACGGGAACGATTGCAGGCACGCAAACAACGGGTTCTGGATGTGGAAGGGCAGTCGCAGCCAGTGGGGACAACCCATGAAGGGGGCGGCAATGCAAACATTGACGGACAGTTGATTCGGAACACCTCGGTTTTTACCTGGAAAAACCTCACCTATACCGTCCCAACCCCCTCGGGAGACCGGATCTTGCTGGATAATGTGCATGGATATATCAAGCCGGGTATGCTGGGCGCCTTGATGGGGTCGTCAGGCGCGGGCAAAACAACCTTGCTTGACGTTCTGGCACAACGCAAGACCGACGGCACCATCCATGGGTCGATCATGGTTGATGGAAGGCCGCTGCCCCTGTCCTTCCAAAGAAGTGCTGGGTATTGCGAGCAACTCGATGTCCATGAACCTTTTGCGACGGTTCGCGAGGCACTAGAATTCTCTGCCCTGCTTCGCCAACCGGGCGATGTACCTGAGAGAAGAAAAGCTTGCCTATGTGAACACCATTATCCAACTCCTGGAACTGGAAGATATTGCCGACACTCTGATAGGAAAGATTGGTGCAGGTCTCTCGATTGAGCAGCGGAAGCGTGTGACAATTGGTGTTGAATTAGTGGCGAAACCAAGCATCCTGATTTTCCTCGACGAGCCCACATCTGGACTGGACGGTCAATCAGCCTACAACACCGTGCGCTTCCTTCGAAAACTGGCCGATGTTGGGCAAGCCATTCTAGTCACGATCCACCAGCCTTCCGCGCAGCTTTTTGCCCAATTTGACACCCTTCTCTTACTAGCTCGGGGTGGGAAAACCGTGTACTTTGGTGACATAGGGGACCATGCAACCACCTTGAAGGGATACTTTGCCCGCCAGGGGCTGGTCTGTCCCCCCGAGACTAATCCCGCCGAGTTCATGATCGATGTTACCTCGGGCCACCTTTCCCAAGGGAGAGACTGGCATCAGATCTGGTTGGAAGCCCCCGAATGTGGTCTTCGCGCCTCAGAGCTTGAACAGATCATCGCGGATGCTGCCGCAAAACCTTCTGCAATTGAAAATGACAATGGCTCGGAATTTGCTACTTCGCTTTGGGAACAAACCAAGATTGTCACCCATCGGATGAATGTTGCGCTCTTCCGGAATACAGATTATGTGAATAACAAAATCTTGCTGCATATCATCCTGGCTCTCTTCAATGGCTTCTCATTTTGGAAGATTGGGCCTACTGTTTCGGGTTTGCAACTACGTCTCTTCGCCATCTTCAATTATGTCTTTGTTGCCCCTGGCGTCATCAACCAACTCCAGCCGTTGTTTATCGATCGCCGTGATATCTACGATGCCAGGGAAAAGAAATCCCGCATGTACTCCTGGATAGCGTTTGTGACGGGCCTGATTGTCTCTGAAATACCCTACCTGGTCATCTCTGCCGTCCTCTATTTCCTCTGCTGGTACTACACCATTGGCTTTCCCCGGGATTCAAATAAGGCAGGCGCCACTTTCTTCGTCATGTTGATATATGAATTTGTTTACACGGGGATTGGGCAATTCATTGCCGCCTATGCCCCGACTGCTGTCTTTGCATCTCTCGCAAACCCCTTGATCATCGGGTCCTTGCTTCTATTCTGTGGTACTTTTGTTCCCTACTCCGGGATCCAGGCTTTTTGGCGGTACTGGATGTATTACCTCAACCCGTTCAATTATCTCATTGGCAGTTTGTTGGTGTTCACCAACTTTGATTCCAAAGTGGAATGTGCTGAAAGCGAATTCGCGGTGTTCGACCCTCCCTCTCGGCCAGACATGTCAGGATTATTTGGCAAACTATATGCAAAATGAGGGCTCGAGAACCTCGCTGATCAACCCCGAGGCTACTTCCCAGTGCCACGTGTGTCAGTATCGGCGGGCCAGTGATTGGCTCTATACCCTCAATCTCAAGGATTACTATGTGGGATGGCGGGATGCGGCTCTCGTGGTACTCTTTGCGATTAGTTCTTATGCGATGGTGTACTTGATGATGCGGTTGAGGACGAAAGCGTCAAAGACAGCGACGTAATCTTGGCGCTGTTCGTCCGCTCCGTTTTGCCAGCCACATTAAATTTGTTTCTCGACTGGAGTTGTCACATGACGGTTGGAGAGGGCTTTAGTGGGTCATTATAGAAATTTTTTACCTCATGTTTGTACTCGTTGGCTTAATCCTTCATTCTCTTTATCTTCTGCTTTCTTCCATCTTATTTGAAGTGGTCTGTTCTTAGTCTCTCTGTTCTTATCACACGAACAAATACTTACTAATTTATTCGGTAAGCGAGTGACGCATGTAATATCTACGCTATGCTCGCGGGGGTCGTTTGACATGTTTGCCTAGTCTAGCTTCCATATCTCTCCCATAGCTTAGATAGTTCTTCCTTCTTCATTCCTCTCTTCTCGAGCATTTCAATACACATCATTCTCATGCTACAATTGCTCCATTCCTAACAGTCCTGAACATAGACTAGCTCACTCGAGAAGAAATTGAGTTTATGCTGGGGTGCAAGGATAGTACCAATCGCGTAAAGGCTGCCATATGTCTTTTCGGTCTTTGTGTAGTATGCCGAGAGTTTGTCTTTCCCTGTGTTAAGAGCCTCGGGCATTGCCACTTTCCAAGGAACTGTAGACGCGGAAGACATTGTGCACAGTGATATCCTTGGTTCGCGAAAGGCCGGTGGTAAACCTATAGAAAGGCTCAGTGATGTAAAGAAGGTAGTCGACTTGTTGCCATTCTTGTTTGTTGAGCCTGAATTGAGGATGCTTATGCTGGTCGCAGTATTTGTTGCGTAATGTACTAAGACATTTGGCACGTCGTAGCATCAAAAACGTTGAATTCCAACGGGTTCACACATCTTGGATTGGATCAAGCTTTGGCTCTATATCTTGGAGACCAAGGATTGCATCACGGCGCTGAGGGCTAGCATTGATAAATACTGCAAGTCCACGGATCTGGAAAGAATGTAAGTAAAGAGAACATAAGATAAGAGTATACTACATACCTTGGTAAGGGTGTTGACGATTCCTCGCTTACTTTAGTTGTACGAAGTGATTGAGCCTGCACTTCAGACCACGCTCTATCAGTTGTATTATTCTGAGGGTCTGCCTTTACGAAGCCAAGTAGTGCACGAAGACTGAGTTGAATGACATGGGCCAGGCATGGAATTGGGACAATGAGTGGGTTGCCTGGTAAATCAAGAGAATTGAAAGAATCCTGATGGCGGTTCATCATAGTGGTGTTATTCGATGCATTATCTAATGTAATTAATAATTCCCGATCAACAATGCTATAATTCTGCAAGAGTTGTTCCATAAGCATAACACTTAGATTGAGCCCTGAGTGGGCTCCATGGAGTGGTTCAAAACCAAAAAGGATTTCTCTGTTACCGACCAAGACAAAGAAGAATTCGTGTATCATTAACAGAAGCAACTAAACTGGAGAAGAAGAAGAAGAGAGAAAGAGGGAAACGAGCATCTACGAAACAAAACGACTTCCATCCCGAATCGGGTTAGACCCACGGCTCCTTCCAGATCACGTTCCCCCTCAGGCCTCCCTCAGGCCTCAAGATAGTCATGCGTCACATTTAGGGTTAAACGCAATCCCTACCCTTTAGGTATATATTTCTTTATATAATAATATACCTTAATAAAAGGGCCTTCCTAAGGACGCTAATATAAAGTAGGAACGGCTTAATAGCTATCTAGTAATATAGACTAGATAATATATATATATATATATTGACTATCCGGTATAGAGGACAGTCTAGATAAGGCCGTACTAATACCATAATATAGTAGTACGGAATAACCTTAATACTATATTATAAATAGAGGAAATAGGGTGAACCTAAATGAATTGGGTAGATAACTTATCTATCACTAACTCTATCTTAAAGATACACTATGCACTGCAGACATTGAATTATGCCTGAGGCCACACATATGCTATTTATGTCACCGGTTCTCCCACTACAGTATCTTAAGGACTAAGGAGGAACGTAATCTGGAAGGAGCCGCTAGGCTAACTCAATTAGGGATAGAGGGGGTTTTACTTTATAGTTACTCGTTTCCCTCCTTCTCTCTTCTTCCTCTTCCCATTTTAGTTGCTCTTTTAATGATACACGAATTCTTTCTCGTCTTGGTCTGTAACAACCGGTATGAAACATGTACATGAATTATGATGATGACAAAACTTCATATTAGTTTAGTAGACCTAAAGACGGACGTCCGCTCTGGCAGTTCGAAAGGACCCTGCTGAATCAGCTCTCTATCGCCAATTTCAACAAGAGGAATCTTCCGTCGGTCCATCTCACAGAATGGGCCTCGTTCCGAGCCCATCTCATATCTTTGCTGGCTATGGTCTAATTCGTTCAGTTGGTTCCATTTATCATCCGGAGCTTCCACAAGGCTGGATTGATGCGCTGAAGACCATTTGTAAAATGACTTTCTGGCTGCATGATCTTGATCCTGATCGATTGTTTTCTCCTGCTGTCGACGGTAACGAATGCAGAACCCACAAAAAAGGGTAATCATCATCACGCCGCCCACAGCAGTACCAACGATGATGCCAATCTTGGCAGTTGTGGAGAGACCACTTTTATCATTAGTTGAGTCGATAGTTGAGCTGCTGCTTTTGGGGCTTGTTTTGGTATCCGTATTGGTCATTTTCGTTTCTAAAACATTCCAGGAGGTCTTCCATGTGTCTTCCCAGCTGTTAGAAGACCCCAAAATTGCAGATTCGTCGTCGCTTATTGTCACGGGATTGACAATGAAAGAGCCATCGGGTCCTGGTGCTTGGGCCAAAAACCACTTCCCACCAAGCCAATTGACACCAACAAAGGCTGCTTGCAGGAAAGCGCGGCCTAGAACAGGGGTGCTGTTGGTGGCCATGCATGGGAAATATTGCGTCGGCGTCTTCACAAGTGGGGCCTCTAATGTGAGATTCAGGAGTGCGAAGGGAACCTTGATCGTGATCTCCTCGTTATTGAGGTTATTCTTGCTGAACTTGAATGCCAAATAAGCTGGTGATGTTGTGATTTTGTTGTACTGCGAGTCCGATGTGTTCCAAAAGTAGAGGCCATAATCAGGCTGGTAAGTGACGGGCAACTCTGCGGCTATCGCATCGCATGAGCTTTGAGGCAGATATATGTATGGATTGACTGGGTCCACGACAATCGTGACACCGGAATCTAGGGAGGAATTTCCCTGAGCCAAGAGACCTGTTTTGTTGGAGTAATTCCAAGGCGATCCGCCTTCTGCCACTCCAAGACTCATATCGTACATTTCAATGGGAAAACTTCCACTTGAAAATGACTGAGAGGATACCTCTCCAATGACTCTATTCTGATCATAGCCGCCCAGAAGAAGTGACCCCGAAATTCCCAGAGATGCTGACCCAATATGCATTCCATATGAATATGATGGTATGTTCGTGGAACCCTCCTGCTCGTATATGTAGCTGGTGATAAATGTTGTGTTGATTTTGATCGAGGCCCCAAATGTCTGGTTGATATCTGGACTTCCAAGAGAAAGAGTTCCAACCTCCAAAGGGTATGCTTTTCCACCTGGATAAGTCTGCCACCCAGCAGATATGGTGATCAAGTCAACATCAGGAATTGCAACACCGTCAATGGACATCCAGTCCGTTGCTCGTGTTGCTTTGGCTTGAATTGGAACCGCGTTGGTGTATCCCCAGTTCACCTCACCCCATGTTCCATATGGGGGTGATTCAATCGAAGTATTGTCGAGGGTGACTGATATGTCGCTGTCGAAAAGGCCTGCTTCATCCCCATAGCACACAGATGAGAGAGTTTTGTTATCACATATGGAAGAGAGTAGAATTTTACTGTCCCAGCTACCTCCCGGGTACAGCGCCACTACTGATGAAGGCACAACAAGTTCGGAGTAGTTACTTCCCATGGACACAGTGACCGCTTGCCAAGGGCCATCAGGTCCAAACTTCTTATTTGACCAAGTTATCTCTCGGGGGCCAGAACAGAGAACATCATCGAGCCAAAGAATCCAAAGGGTGAGAACCCATTGTTGTAGTCGTTTCATTCCTGAGGGTGAACGATTGTTAGCAATCCCTCCTTGAAAAAAGAGGTATACGACAAAGGCATTCGACCCGAAGGAGCGTACCTTGAAGGTAACTTGCCGATGTTTCCATTGTTTGAGGACGGATCAAATCAGGTTTTTAAAGCCAGTGAGCAACGAAGGTCGCAAAGCTGAACTTCAATTTTTAGACAGAGGCGAGTTAGAACTTCGTTCCCTTCTAACTGTCAACGCATGGAATATCTAGGAAATTTGACCCCGATAGCCGCTAAGGGAAATTTGAATCATGATCTATGAAAGCCCAAGATTCGGGCGGTTAAGCGCCCCTCGTACATTAGCTGCTGTTCTTAGCCGCATAAGTCCTAGTCAGAGAGATTGCGTAGAAGCGCACTGATCATCTGGGATCCGGAAATAGATCCATGTAGAGTGCGTACCAGGTACTATCACTCCCGTGTGATCCAATGCTCTACTCTCATAATAAACAGATTGTCAATTTGTATGTCTGCCGCTTCCAGCCCCGACAAACGATGATGAATGGTTCAAATATTACCCAGAGGAATAGTCCAGAAGCAAGAGGCGGATATCCTATCGCGCTACTAACCCATGCGCTTGAGTTCCGAGCATAATGTATTCCAAAAAAAAAATTGCCCTGTTCGATTCATACCCTCGGTATTAGCGCTCAGTTGTGTTTCAGCGGTGGTGGATTTGGGCACGGGCCGATACGGCCCACTGTTGAGGCGTTCCGTTGCCAATCAGTCGCGGCCGTAGATTATAGCGTGTCTGAGATGATGCACGGGCAGCGCTTAACCGGCCATTTATAATTGTTTCTTACGATCTCTGGGCGTTGCCCTGAGGCAATCGACAGCCAGCTGAGGTGGTCGTCCTCAGGAAGTGAAAGGCCCCCTTTTTGTCAATTACCCTCTTCAATGTCCTCTGCCCTTTTACATGCATATCCAATATGGATTGACGGCTGCGAGAAAACACATACAAAGTTTCGCTCCGACCGATACGCGGAATTAAGAGAGATTCCTTCCAGATGGCAAACTGTCAAAATTCGCAAGCGACCATGATAAGTATGGCCCGAATATCTCCAAGAGTCTTTCGCTCTATAATCATAATTGTTTCCACCATATTCGGGTTTGTGACATTATTGCGACTTCATAACAACCTGAGTCCGGGCGATTCTTATTCTCACCTCGGCGCTCTGGAGCAAATTAATTGGTCTCGATTTGCATACACCCAATATGCCACCGACAGATCTTATCTGTGCAACTCGCTGATGATTTTTGAGGCTCTTGATCGCCTTGGAAGCAATGCCGATCGCTTGTTGATGTACCCTTCAGATTTCCTCTTGTCTGAGAGCGATAGTTCAATGGAAGCCCGTTTACTTCGCTTCGCAAGGGACGAATATTCAGTCAAACTGAAACCAATCGACGTAATTATGCGGGGTGGGGGAGGAGGTAAGTTCATCTTAACTTATGACAAACCCACAAACTAATAGTGAGCACAGCACCCTGGTCAGCGAGCTATACAAAGCTCCTTGCATTTAATCAAACAGAATATGACCGGGTCATCAACTTGGATTCAGATGCAACTCTTCTGCAGGTAAGTAGGCCAATTTGTAGCTATTCTCATTGCAACCTAACATGCATGAAGGCTATGGACGAGCTGTTTCTACTTCCATCTAGCTCAGTCGCTATGCCACGGGCCTACTGGTTAGATCCAAAGGATCGAACCTTTACATCTGGACTAATGCTCGTCCAACCGTCTGAATTTGAATTCGGTCGCATAATGGATGAGATTTCCAACGCTACTTCTGACGTGTACGACATGGAGATTATGAACAAGTTGTATGGCGACAGCGCGCTGGTCATACCGCACCGTCCGTATACTCTTTTGACGGGAGAGTTTCGCTCCAAGAACCATGAGGCCTATCTTGGCAATACAGACGAATTGTGGGATGCTGAGGAAATCCTCAAAGATGCCAAATATTTACATTTTTCCGACTGGCCGGTTCCTAAGGTACGTCATACTGTCTGTCGGTATGCTTTAAAGCATTTCGTCTCAGATATGCTGACCTCTTGCGGGTAGCCATGGATTGCGGCTACTCGTGATGTGATCAACAAAACGCAGCCACCTTGTGAAGTCAACCCTGCAACTGGAGAACGAGATGACTGCCGTCTCCGGGAACTCTGGCTGGGGATATATAAGGACTTCATGACCAGACGACAGGTATGTCAAGCCCCTTCTAGCCTCGGATCAATTCCTTATCAAGCTGATTTAACCTGGACAGAATGTATGTGGCAACCTAAAAGTTTGAACTGTGAGAATACTGTTGCGGAAATGTAAAGCGTGAAACACAGGATCGAGTCGATCCAAACCCCCATCTAAAGGTGCCATACAGGTTTGGCGTAGCTTTACCCATAGCACTTCTCCTGGGGTGACATGGAGGTCAGCCTTGCCGCTGGTCTAACTGGTTCCTGTCTGAGACTTGATGCTATGGTGTAGGTGGTAAAAGATTGGGAATTGAAAGGAGACGAAGATAGCCTCATCACGTTGTACTCAAATTGGGAGGGTCAAACGCGGCGACCGCGCCGACCTGAAGGGATTCGCACCTATTGCTCACCCGAGCGAAGCCCACTCGACTACTGCACAGAAGCCGCACGCCGGCAGTCTAACACTAAGTTGGGTTTCCATAATGCAATGGCTATTTTCGTGACACAAAAAAAGGTAGGCCATGACCAGTACCAGGGTTTCCAAATTCGTCAGAATTGATGGTCGGCATCTATGAGCTCGCATTTCTACTCGCAGAATTGAAGTAGTCAAGCGGCGGCTTACCGTTGGAAAGTCACGGTGGAAAGGCGGGTGTTTCTGGCGCCAGAAGCTGTCATTCTCGGCTTCATTTTCACGGGTTCTTATATATTCTATATGTGAAAGCAGTACCTCGAATATAAACCAACCCATTACCGCGGCTCCAAATATAGATTCCAGAATAACCCTCATTATAGCATCTACCGTCCCCGGAACGCAGGCTTCCGCTTTTCGGCAAAGGCGCGCAGCGCCTCATATCGATCCTCAGTCTCAATCACACCCTCGTACGCCTGGTTCTCAGCAACTTCACCCATGAAAGATCCCTGCACAGCGATGAGTGCCTGTTTCAAGGCGATGGGCCCGCCCTCGCAGATATCCAATGCCAACTTGATACTTTCGCGCAGCACCTTCTCCCGTGCCACACCCTCCTGTGCACCCTCCTCGGGCAAAACCTCAACTAGGCGATCACATAACCCCAGGAAGTAGGCCTCGGGGCCGTGGACCCGACGCCCGGTGAGAATGAGATCGCGCGCCCGAGTGGGCCCAATCAGCGCGGGGAGACGGTAGGTACCGCCCGCACCCGGGATAATAGCCAGACGGGTTTCGGGCAGACCAACGGTGCATGATGAGCCGAAGACGCGAAGGTGAGTGCATAGGGCGAGCTCGAGACCGCCACCTGAGAGCCATGGAAGAAATAGCGGAGATGGTGGGGACTTTGAGGCCGGCGAGTTCTTTGAAGGTAGAGCGGAGATCCATGAGGAACTGTTCTGTTCTGAGTTTTTGGAATATCGGTTAGTCGGAGCAGCGAGCGGATAAGTGAGAGAAACTCACTCGCGGTGGGTCATTTTGGCGCGCTCCTTCAAGTCTGCGCCGGCGCAGAATGCGGCATCAACATTACTTGACAGCACGACTGCTCTGGTAGGTCCGTTGCCGTCTTCCGCGGCGATGGTCTTCACATGCTTGGAGAGGGTGTCGAGGAGGTGGCGCGAGATCGCATTGCGAGCATTGGGCCGGTTCAATTGCAGCAAACGCACATGTCCGGATCCCGGAGCCGGAATTTGCTGGGTCAAGATGATATCATCTTCAGCGGCGCTGGTGCTCAGCCGCGACACAAACACCCGAGTCGAGGTCACGGTGGAGGTCACGGCCGGTCGCGTGAAGTTGGAGAGAGGTGTGAGGCGGACAAGCCGTGGCGACATGATAGACGCCATATCCCGAATTAAGTCGATGGATCGAAGAGTACTCGGTCGCACGCAGGCAGTGCGTTACAAGAGATATAGTAATCTGGGAAAGTGGTGACAGAACTTGGTGAAGTTAAAACGGAGCTTTTGAGGTGTGGGGAAAGCTCCACGGCCGACGCTTGCCGACCCGAGTTCGGTCTTTGGGGTATCACATTCACATTGCAACTAATAATACACGATCTGTACACTTTATTCAAGATATCTTTCAACGTCTTCATCGCTAGGCCATTCCCAGCCAGGAGTCTGGCTAATGAGGTTGTATGCCTCTTGCACCTGGCGATCCGATGCTACCCGAGCATCATCCGGACGATGCAGCTTCTCCAGGAATACCCGGATCGCCGTAAAGGTCTGATGCTTCATTGCTTCGCCGTTTAATTCCTCATCTGCGACTTCATTGAGTCGAGTAGCCGACTGATTCATCCATCGCAACAGGTATAGCAAGCCTTCGTCGTCTCCTACGAGCCCAAGGACTCGCACAAAGCTATGCAGCGTCGCATAGGATGGTACGTGCAGTCCGGAAAGTACATGAGCCTCTGAGTCCGTAGTGAAGATACTCCGCTCTGCCAGCGCTGATGTTTTCGACGCCGGAAGGACTAGGCCATCGAATTGCGATTTGAGAACCTCGAGTCCATTTGCAACCATGGCATCAAAAGGCTCCTGTCCATCGGAGTTGATCCGGGCAAGGCTAGGTTTGTGTATGAGTCGAGATGCCTCCTCGACAAGGCCATGATGGTGCGTTCCAGCATCAACCGCCCGTTTGAATGCCAGGCATAGAAACTGAAAATTATTCATGCAGAGGTCGAGCTTACGAGCTTTCATCGATCTCAAGACCACAAGCACTTCCTGCCATACAAGGATCCGGTAAAGATCTTGATCCCGTAGGGTCCCTGAGAGGCAGCTTCGAATCCATGTCCTTCGAGAAGTTGACTTTTGGCTTAAAGTATTGAGAATATGGGACCAGGCCTGGTGGCAGGCTGGCTTCAACAGCTTGACCAGTTGAACGGCATGCCACAAAGACTTTGGTTGGCAAGATTCCTCAAACTCTTCGTTGAGGCCAAGAACATCAGATATAGGCCCGGGATTTTGCTTGCCAGCCATAAGAACGGGGAAATGATAGAGCAGTGGCGTGCGTGGGGCAACAGTTTTGGCTTTCACAAAGAAAGACGAGCAAAGGAGCTTGATGAAGGAGGCGAAGACGAAATCTGGCAACGATTGGAGGGCCTTGATATGATCAGCTTGATTTAACGAGTCCTGATACCATGGGGTGCACAGTGCCGTGATCTGCAAGTCAGTCAAGTCACTGTATTGCAGATATCTCAGACCAAGGCGGAAGTTGGAAGTTGACTCGAGAAGCAAAGCCAGGAATCTCCCAGATGGACGGAATCCATCCGATAACATCTGATCAAGAAATTCCTGTGAGGATGGTGGCTCTGTTTTCACGTAGATGAGATCTCGAGCAGACGCCGGTTCAGGGTGAACCTCACGACCATCACCTGGCAGAGCAGAGCTCTTGTGATCAGATCCTCTCTGGACAGCTTTTTCCCGATATATCAATTTCTCGGCCATCGCAACATATATGGCAGCTTTGGGGGGAAGATTTTGGTCGCGGTAAGCCAAAAAGCAAGCCCATGCTTCTCGAACAGTTCTCGTAGCACGAATACGTGCCACCCAAATTGCGTAATGATTGGGGTCCACGCCGCGCTCACGAGGCAAATACCCGGTCCGATGCACCAGACTTCTTGTCTGGACGGTCGGGCTACCATCTGTATCCCAGCCAGCCAGAACAGAACACATTTGTTCCCAAGTCTGGTGGGAGTATCCAGCCTCTTTCATTTGTGAAAGCACATTCATTGCACGGCTGATAATTCCTTCGTTGCCCCGTTGCGCATCAATGCCCAATTTTGCTTCTTTCCAAGGCGGCCACGAGGGCGCCTTTAGCTCAGCAGACTGGCGCTCCTCGGTTGTCTTCTTATGAGCCATCTGAACAGCAATGACTGCTCGATAACCCTTTCGGGTAAGGGGCAGGACTGGCTTGTGTGTCGCCATAGCTCTAAGCAGCTCGAATTGCGCTTCTTGCTGGATGTTTGATGCTCGGAATGGATGGATTTTTGTAGGAAGCGATAGTAACTCAAGACAGCTGTTGAATTTGGCTGTTCTGAAGCCATCGGTTTTATGCTCGGTCAGGCTCAAGGGCCCGCCCTCTTTAACCGGGCCGGCAGTCAGGAATCGAGAGAACGAACGGGCAATGATGGGCAGTGCTTCAGGCCAAACCTGCCGGGCATGTCGGATCAATCGAACGACAAGGATCATGCATGTGCTTCGGTCGATTGCAGACCGAGCTTCGGGGGAAGGCTGGTCTGAATGGGTATCAAAGTTCTTGTGGAGTGCATCCAAAGTTGGGAACGGCTGACCACTCATGAGATGTAGGGAATAAATTAGAAGTAATCGAAACGACTGGGCATCCAGATAAGGCTCCTTTAAGAGGAAGAGAGGAATGAAAGTGGGAACACGACTTATTTTGGAGTCAGCTTCCAATGCAAACATTCGAGAAACTGCCCGGTGGTGAGTTTGACTTTTCATGATCCATGCCCAAGAGACAACGTCTTCGACATCATAGCCTCGTTCGGTCAGATACCGTTGGCTGTCCGTACGAAAGACTTCGGCGAGGACAGAATTGAAGTCGTCCCCTTCAAATATGCCCGAGGTGTTTGAGAGAGACGGCTCCACCAGTCGAATGTATTCACCCAGAATTGTTTGGAGCGACGGTCGATCTGGTCGACCATACGTCTTTTTTGGACCTCGGTGTCTCTGAAGAACGCGTCTTGGAGCCTTTCGGTCAGGATTCACATACGACAGATCGACCGCCCACATCGACCGCTCGCCGGTACCTATGGTAAGGCCGGTTCTTTGAAGACTTTTCGTGAGGTATTCGGAGGGTGTGGGTTTCGGTTTCGGTCCCGATTTCGACGGTTTTGATTGTTTTTTATATGCCGTAGCCGGAGGAGAGCCATCTTGAATCTCGGACCGGACGGGTGTTGTGGAGGTATGGAGGAGCGTATAGGATTGGAAGTAATGTCGGGGGCGAGAGGGTTGAAGGGCACATCGAACATCGCGGTCATAATGTGGCTTGCGACATGATCCGAGCAGATGCGCCGCTCTCACAGATACCCCCGACAGACTTCGGGCATGATTGAGAGCGGATGACATCCATGAATGTCGTCATGAAGATGCCCTTTCCCAAAAGCCTCGGCTCCAATGAGCTCAATGATGCGTGAAAGATGAATGCTTGTAAATGCTCGAAAAAGCGCGCGGCAGAAAACGGGGATGGTCACGTGAGGATCGTCACGGGCAGCGGTTTTCGGGAAGGCGCGCATTTCTAGTCTCGGTCGGTCTTCTACTTTGCCCCTTCTACCTCGTCAACTTCTATTGAGTGGGAATAACTTCAGGCAATGGCAATCTCTGCCTGATTACAGTATCCTACTTCTCTACTTGTTTCTTCTGTGACGTGGGACATTCCTGCGTTGGCCCCTCGTCGCGATCTCATCCTTTCTCGATCCTGTCTCGAGCCTCTCCCCATCAAGACTGATCGAACAGTTCCTAAAGCGACTGTGGATCACCCGCAACCTTGATTGACAAACTTTTTTTTTTCTTTTGGTCGCGTTCTCTCGGCCTATCTCCCGACAGTCTAAGCATCATCTAGGACGTCGTCTGTTTGGAAGAGAATCGCGTCGGAAGAAACTCTGTGAACATCTGCATCGTCGCGACTTGCCCACCATGAGTGCCGACGAAGGCGGAGATACAACGCCGATGCCAGCCACAAATGGGGAGCCTCATCAGGACTCGAATGTGGCCGCGACTCCTGGGAAAAGGAAGCGTTCTAGCCAAGAAGAGAAGTTGGGCGCAGATTCCAATGCCACAACAGCGCGCGAAAAAGCAAATCTTCACGAGAACTTGCGAAGCCTTGTAGATCTGCTTTTGAAGTGAGTATAGGTCAAATTTTTGAGTTGTCCACATCGTCACTAACAATTAGCAGACATGACACCGAACTACAGCTACTCTCTTGTCAATTCGCAACCTCCGGAGCAAAGCCCCGAGCGAAGCGCGCCAAAATTTCGAGCGACCAAGAAACCTCCAACATTCAGAATCGGGTCGAATCGGACCGCTACAGTACCCTGCAAGAATTCTTGGCCGACATTGAAAGGGCCTCTGCCGCTGTCATCGAACGCAATCAGAACCAGGCAAATGGCACTAAGACCGACGGCACACCTCTGACTGAAGTCGTCAACCGGATTGCAGCGTTTAAAAAACACATGAACAGCTTGATCGGCCAATCATTCGTCAACCAGCCCGAGGTCAAAATTGAAGTGTCAGACGACGAGGAAAACGACCAAATCCATTCGACCGTGTCTTATGTTGGCGCACGAGAAGACAGACAGGCCCTAACTCTGTTTGGTGGTAGCCAGTCAAATCCGAAGCAGCTGTTTTCAAGTCTACAAAAGTCGGTTCAAGTGCCTTTGCAGTCTTCTGGGTCTGATGAGCCAAAGTTTGTTGAAGTGCACGAAGAGCTTCGCGAGGGCGCCTTGCCGAATGGCATCGCAGCTTCCAAGGTGGTTCCCTACAACCTGAACGCCGCAACACCCCCAAAGAGAACAATCGGTGAAGTTTTTGGCCCTCGCCCAGGATTCCCACCACTGCGCCCTCCACAAAAACATGATTACCAGAGCACCTCGGTTTCCTGGATCGATCCATTCGATGCTGTTTTTGACCCCAAGTTGTTCTTCGGCGAACGCAACAACTACTGTCTTTCCTCGCTTCCTTCTGGTCAATGGCTGCAATACGGCGGAGTCACATCATCACCCGCCTTCTGGTCTCGTGTCGAAAAGGATCATGCAGAGGCTGAGATCAGGCCAAAGCACGGCGACCCTGCACTCTGGACTGGTGATGACTCGTCTCTTCTCCAGGGTGTCTACTCTTCGTTTGCACCCTCTTTCGACAGCTCTGGTGCAGTTCTAGAGCCCGATTCGAAGGACATGGTCTGGTGGATGAAACGGGGCGCAAAGCGCTTGCGCACCCTCCTTTCTCTTCCGGTTCAAGATTTTGAGGAGGAAACGTCCTCCGTGGAACCGGGCAGCATTGGTGATCTCGACGATGCCGCGCTCGAGGAAATGATGAAGGCTTGCGACACTCAGGACTTTTCTTACGACTTCGATCAAGAATACCCAAGCAAACAAAACCCGGAGAGCAGGGAATCTGAAGAGATGCTCCAGGAGATCTCTGAAATGCTGGACACATTGAGTTCGTATCAAAGAATCCGTAACCTTGTCGACCCCGTTGAAGGCGAGAAGGAGGAGTCAGATGAGACACCCGCTCCAGACTTTGGCACTCCCGAGAATCCATCAGATGCTGAAAAAGCTGTTTACGAGCATTTGAAGACGACCCTTATCTCGATCATCAGCAGTCTGCCTCCCTATGCGGTTGCAAAATTGGACGGTGATCGGTTAGCCGACTTGAACGTTAGCCAAAAGATCCTCATCGAGAATCCAGACTACAGCGGTACTATGGAGAGAGATGACTATACATTGCACCAAGAACGAGTGGCAGCAATGGCAGCTGCCTCAAGTGCTACTAATCGAACATCCACGCCTGTTGCGGCACGACCTGGTAGTTTCTCGACGCCACAAACCGCTTATAATCAGCGTTCCTTTGCTTCCAATGCTCGTGCCCCTCTAACACAAGGAGGGTTCCAAGTACCGCAGAGTGCGCGTCAGCCCTCTGCCTCGAGCTCTTTCACATCCGGATATACTGGGGGCCGCCCATCAAGCACTCCCTCCCAACGCCCTAGCTACACTCCGCAGCAGCAACAATTTTCGCAGGCGAACTCGCAATATAGTCAGGCCAACAATGTGCCGCAGTTCCAACGCCCTGTGCAAAATGGTCACTCTGCACAACAGAGCCAGTCTCCCCAGCCTTACACCCCACGACCCGGCCAATCCGGATACAATGCTACTCCACAAGGCCGCGTTCCTTATGCCAATGCAGGCCAACGGCAACCGTACACAACTCAGACTCCATCGCAAGGTGGTCACCCAAACACTGCTGCCGCCACGACTTACGCACGTAGCGCTGCTGAACAAGCCGTGCTGATGGACCGTAACAAGGCCCAGCTTGCTGCTCAACAGAGTCGTAAGAGCCCCTCCACACCACAGCCAGGTATTGAGACCCGTCAATCGCAAGAGGGCAGCTTGACCCCAGGCAGCAGACAGAACGGCACCCCCGTCACGTCATGAAACGATATTCTCTTCTGGTTCTACAGCTTTGGAGTGATAATCATTTTCGTGCAGTCTGAGAAGTTCCTTCTACCATTTCGTCTGCGAAAATCAACCTCATTCCACTGTTTAATAGCCCACGATATTATTCTATTTTCTTCTTTCCCACTGTGTTGCTAATGAATGATTCCTATCCTCATATATCTGTGGACCCATGTGATCCCTTTCCGGTGTTTCGAAACAGCGATCGGCGTGTGAATGGCTCTTATAAGGCGGGTCCAGCCTGGGTGGTCTGGGTTACCGATGGCGAGGCACCATGTCTTTTATTTACAGTGCTTATTAGAAAGATTGCTTTCGATCGACTTCATTGCTATGTCATATTCGTAAGAGTGTATCAAGCGCCTTTCAGCGGGTAATACGCAGCGTTTTACATATGGAAGGATGACCTAATAGCGATAAACGTATAAATCAACCAGCGTTCACGTCAAATTACGGTTCAGGCACGATCACGATTAAATCTTCAAATGATGAAACTCATATAATCCAGGAATGCATTAGAATCTCATGAATAGTACAGACAGAAGAACCTTGGCGCATCAAGCTAACCAAAATCACCCGTGGACCTGCCTCATAGCCACCCTGTAAATCCGCCCAACCCGTACAAATCCAGATCCCAGAACTGGTAATCTATCTAATCAATATTCTGGACTCCAACAAAACAAACGCCATGTGTATCAATGCCAGTTGAACAAGTGAGAGAGCTTTTTTCTTTGTTCAGACTTTCGAACTATTCCTCTTCTATGGATCGAGGCGTGGTCGAAATGTTAACGGCTAACAATTCGGATAGCAAAGGAAATAAATTATGTGGAACATGAAAGACGCAAAAATCGTGATTCGTGGTGCCCAGGTAGAGCTAAGGTATGAACATGGCAGCAAAGGTCATGAAGCCGAAGTAGCTGAATCGTATTAGTTCCCTATTCGGTCAAGGCTGATTCGGGTCAAAACATACATTGTAGCGCATCTCCAGCCGTCGCGTGAATCGACCAAAGTATCAATACCGGCAGAGTAGTTCGCTGCAATGGCTGCTGCTGCGCCTCCGACAACTGTGACGACGACGAGTCGGCCTGAGAATTCGGCGATCATGCTAAAAGCCAAAAGTGGGAGGAGGATTGCCCCGGATGCAATGACAATGGCTATGTAAACAGGCGCGGCGGCGGCGGATGCTGCCAAGCGGGGGGGTGAGAGAGACAAGGTCGGCATCTTGGTCCAGGAAGCGGGTCTCGGCGGCAGCGATAGGGTTGTGGTGTTTCATCCAGGAGCGGTAATTTTGCACGTCGTCTTCTGAGGCTCGGGGGGAGAGTCTGTAGGACTTTGCTGTATGAGCTAAGGGCATTATCTGTATTTGGTTAATATGGCCAAATTTGACGGAGAGGGAAAAGACGACTTACTATACTGCTCAGTTTTATGGGTCAGAGCAGCCAGGAGATCCATGCGTCGATAATGCAGAGAGGAATATGACTGCGACTGGACCTCCATGCGGCGAGAGGCAGGCACAGGCTTGATCCCTTCTTGTTCGGCGGAAGCGATGCGATGCATCTCCTCATACTCGTCAAGAGTGTGAAGTTCTTCCTCCATTTGGGCGATTTCATCTTGCAGATGAAGTAGCACGCGGTGGTTCACGCTTTCGAAGCGACGGTATAGCGGCGGGAACCCAGCCTTTTCCTGGGTGTTCGAGCGGGTGAGCTGCGATGCAACAAGTCCGTAACCCGATGACACCTGCAAGGCACTCGAGTCTCTTCGTCTCGTTGGTGTGCCGCGGTGGTGGCTATCCTCTGGGCTGCTCGGCGGGGACGGTGGCAGCGATTGCCGGTTAACAACAGATGTGTTTCGTGAGGTATAGTAGTCTTCAGGGTGCGAGATTTGCAATTGGCGTTTGGCGGGAAGAGGTGAAGGGCCTGTTGATTTGTATTCCCTAGCAGATGATTTCCTAGGACGCGGTTGTTTGCGTGTCATTTGCATTTGACTCTCGGTGGGAGGAGGGGCCGGCGCTGAAGGTGGACGTGAGTCACTAGGTCTCCTGGACTTCCCGGTCGATGACGGCTTAATCGTGGTCGGTAATATCTCCGGTTCGGACAGCAGTAAAGGCGAGGGAGCAGTCCGAGGTTGAGGGGACTGTATCTTCGTGGTAGCCTGCGCCTGCACCGGGGGCGTGGGTTCGTCATCATCGGGTTCCGACGATGATGATGAGGACGAGTCACTACTACTGTCGTCCAAGAATTCAAAGACATTAGGTGACTTTTTCTCCGATTCGGCGGGGTTATTCGGCGATGATGCAGAAGCCGCTTGTGGTTTCAAGAGTTCTTTGGACGCATGGTCCTGCCCTGGAGAATCGGCTCTTTCGAAATGTTTCGAAATTTCAGCAGGACCAGCCTGTGTGCTAATAGTAGAAACTGTTGACGAGGTGCTTTTCCTTCCATCTTTCTTAGACTTTCGTCGAAGACCATGAGATCCGTGGTGGAGCGGCATGATGATCGGACAAGTTCGGAAGTATCCGGGTCATCGCTTGAAAAAAAAAACTGTAATCTTAGGCCATGCCCGTCACAAGTATAGTTGAGGGGCATAGAGGGGGGCCTGGAATGATAATGGCGATAGATTCTTGGAGGCGTCAGTATGGGGGCCCGAGGCATGGCACAAGGGAGAGACAAATTCCGATAGATCGTACTGAAGACGCGGAATCTAGGGGTAGAGACCTGTGCAATGGAAAGTAGTCAGGAAATAAAATAGGACAATGCGACGGTCCAAGTGATGTGATGTGTGAGGCCTCTCCGGCGTCCCTTGACATTCCTCTGGCGGGCTGATAAAAGTTGAGTATAACCCAAATGGTTCAGCAGCGCGTAGCGTCAGCTACTAGGGTCGGAAACAGACTTGGCGTCACCACAGGGCTAGTATGGGACCGGGTGTCTCCCTTGGGGGGTGAAGCAGCCATACAATTCGTCAACGAGAGAATCCCCGACAATCTGAAGCAGATGAGAAGCGCCGGGGGGGCTTCAATCGGCAGCCAATGACAGAGAGGTCGCCAGGAGGATCCTTGAATCCCTGTCGATCACAGAGTATGTCCAATCTACCGTGACTCCCGTTCGATGTCGCACGGGAAGTGAAGAAAGACGGGAGGGTCAGTGTGGAATTGTTTCTTCAAATTCGGCGTCCTGTCAATACAGTGGGCCGATGGAGGAGCAAGTCAGCAGGGCAAAAGCAGACGCCGTCCAGTTCCGGATTGCAATGCATGCGTGTCTGAACCGAGTTAAGTCATTGAGGCCCATCGAGGGGTGTGCTGGCGATTCGCCTGCCGATCATTCGCGCCTTGCGTCCCTTCTAGCGGTCTGGCAGCCCCATTTTCGTGGTAGGAAGCGGGGACGGCGTGAATTTGTGACCAGTCCACGCCGTGCCACATTGCAATCTCTTGCTTGCAGGGTGTCTTGCAGGATGGGGTTGAGTGCATTGTCCCGGGTCGATTGACGAACTGAGGGTATGTGCTGGCATTGCATTGTTCGAGAAAGGATCGCGATGTTGACTCTACGGATGGTGTGGGTCGAGTGTCGAGAGGTGAGGGTCGAGACTTTCCGATCGCTTTAACTAGATGTCATCGTGGACTGCCCAACGTCATCAATGGCACTATCCATCACCTAGCGAATTTTCTTATTGTTTATTCCGTCAGAGTCTGCCTATGGTTTCTTACGCTTCGGCCCTTTCACTGTGCTCGAAGTATCACGAACTCAATGTGTTTGTGATTCAACAATCAGATCCCAGGTGTTCTTTGGCCTCCACGAAGACAAGTCCAGCCACTGACTGGCTCGCTTCCGAACCATCATATTCATGCAGTTGCAATCATGCCATAGAACAAGGATTAGGCACCGGGGAAGAGATATTAGCCATGAAACTGCCATTTGATGAAGCAACGCGGGGCAGCTGCATGGATGAGAAGCGCCTGGCGCTGATACATAAGACTCGATCACAGCGCATGTATATTATATATTTCTCAGTCGGCATGGGCCAGGCTATAGATAGACTAGGTCAAAACGGAAACAAGGCTCAATTTGTGCTTGATTCAAAAAGGTCTAGTGAAAGTCACTTATTTACTTCATGGAGAAACGATGTGGCGGTGATCCAGCTGTGGCTGATGCAATGATGGTACAGATATCTGCGGATGAACATATATACATCTCATCTGTTTGCTACAAATCTAATTTTACCTGTGAAGCTAATTGGAATCAAATAGAGCTACGAAGAAGTCCCAGAATATAATATTTTCGGTTGACGATTGCGTTGTCTGTAGAGCTAGAACTGCATGTCTCCGAACCTTGGCTTCCGCGGATCTTCCAATCTTCATCCACCACCTCTCTCTATGCTCCGGCCATGGCCTTCCAGCGGCGCTGTCCGCGCTCTATCTCGAATAATCCGCCGTCCGTTGTGGATTCGCCCCCGTAACGTTCATTTCTCTACCATCACACCTTGCCTCAACGCCAACTCTGCAGACCGCGTCCCTCTCCGCAAGCAACTCAAGCAGGATGCCAAGAACCTCAAGGCTCGGAAGAAGCAGCGCAAGGAGAGCGAAGCGGCCTCCCGACAAGAGTGGGAATTGACAGTTGGTGTGGAGATTCACGCGCAGCTTAATGCTGGAGCCAAATTATTCTCTCGTACGCCTTTGACTGTCTCCGCAACAATCGCGTGTTGCTAACTTTTGGTGTAGGAGCTCCGACCGCCGCCAGCGAGACTCCCAACTCTAATGTTGCCTTGTTCGATCTTGCCTTTCCGGGCAGCCAACCGGTTCGTCTTTTTTATGGAGGATAGAAAGTCTCGAGCTTATGCGATACAGGAATTCCAAGCTGCCACACTCCTCCCAGCCCTCCGCGCGGCCGCCGCTTTGAATTGTGATATACAACCAGTCAGTCGATTTGACCGAAAGCATTACTTCTACCAGGATCAGCCATCGGGCTACCAGATCACACAATACTACGGTGGGTACATTATTTTTTTATTTCTCGATCAGTGAGACGGAAATTAACGGCTTGCAGAGCCATTCGCGCGCCACGGATGGGTCGATCTATACGACTACGATGGCATCGCCCCCGAAGATGGTAGCAGGATTCGCATAGACATCAAGCAAGTGCAGCTGGAACAGGATACGGCCAAGTCCCAGGAATATCCGCCCTCGACTCAACTCCTCGACTTCAACCGTGTCTCTCACCCTCTGATCGAAATTATCACAATGCCGCAGATACATAACCCCGCCACCGCCGCCGCCTGCGTCCGAAAACTCCAAGCGATCCTCCAGGCATGTGGTGCTGTGACAACGGGAATGGAAATGGGTGGTCTTCGTGCCGATGTCAACGTCTCGGTTCGGCGTCGGGGAGAGGCGCCTGGGGGCTACGAGTACGACGGGATCAGCGGGTTAGGGCAGCGCACGGAGATCAAGAACCTGAGCAGTTTCAAGGCCGTGGAAGACGCTATCGTTGCCGAGAAGAATCGTCAGATCGCCGTGCTGGAAGGTGGCGGTGTCGTGGAGGGTGAGACCCGTGGGTGGACGATTGGCAGCACCGAGACTCGCAGACTTCGAGGCAAAGAGGGTGCTGTGGATTACCGTTACATGCCCGATCCCGACATCCCACCACTGGTGATTGGTGAGGACCTGGTCAACTTGATCAACGACAATCTTCCGACGCTGCCTGATTCGCTCGTGCAGATCCTTCGAACAGCTTACGGTCTCTCGATTGAGGACGCCAAGCCATTGATTGAGCTGGATGATGGAGCCCGACTGGAGTACTACAGAGATGTCGTGGACATCCTTCGCTCACTTCATCCTGATCAGGATGAACAAACGCAGGCGGCCCTCGCGCGTATTGCGGGCAACTGGGTCCTCCATGAGCTGGGTGGGTTGTTGACCAAGGCGGACCGACCCTGGAACGACGAGATAGTGCCGGCCCGGTCTCTGGCCGACCTCATCGACCATCTCCAGCGAAAGCTCATTACCGGACCCACGGCCAAACAAGTGCTCGCTGCAGTGTTTGATGGAGATCGCCGGCCCATCCCGCAGCTACTGGAAGAGGACAAACTTCTTTTACGGCCGCTATCACGGGAGGAATACCTGGCTCTCGCCGAGTCGGCCATTGCCCAGAACCCCCAGATGGTTGAGCAGATCCGCAGCAAGAACCAGCTGGGGAAATTGGGCTGGTTCGTGGGGCAGATGATGCGCACGGGTGAGAAGGGCCGCGTAGAAGCGCCTAAGGCCGAGGAGGTTCTCCGCGAGCTGATTCTGGGGAAATAGAATGTAGAAATCGTGTAACTACAACTTAGAAGCGAATGATACCCTTGCACTCTCAGATTTTGGTACCCGATCAGAGTGTAGCGTGAAGTCACTCGAGTCTGGTCAGTCACCCTTTACCGGCGCAACCGCCACAGACACGCCTCTTTAAGATCTCACGAAAGTCCGCAAGCCATTACGACAATAATCCGGTACTGCCCCTCACCAAGAATGAGCGATTGCAACGCAGTGGGACACTTGAGTGGACTAAACGGGGCAGCTCTCCTCAACCTGTACTTAACGGAAGTGATGGAGAACCCGGCGGAGTGCCGTGATCCCTAAAAGCAGTTTTTAGCGACTGTCCCTGTCCGCGGCCAGGAATGAAGCAGGGCCGGTGAGATTCGGGAAAAGAGGGTCGAAGATATAAAGCTGTGCTCTTTTGGCATTCTTTGGGTTCCTTCTTTTCTCTATCGAAACATTCTCCTGATTTCAATCCCTCCTTGTCCATTCCTTCTCGACTCCCCATCGGGGCTCCACTTTTATTTTCTAATCTTATCGCGGATCTCTCCCAAGTCTCCAAGCCTCAATCTTTGGCTTCTGCCTTTTTGAACGCCTAAGAGATCAGTGCTTGCACGCTACATATCTTCGCAATGACGCTACCGCCTACAACAATCATCTCGCGCTTCCTCACCCACCCCAATCAATTGGGTGTGGTCGCCGTCGGTTTCAATGGCGGACAGGTAAGAGACTGTCGCAAATGACGATGCCGAGGAACATGATAGCTAAGACCCTTTGTAGATGAAGAAGGGTGTCGAGGCCGCCCCGATGGCCCTGATTGAGTCGGGCCTGCTCACAGACTTGAAGGAGGACCTCGACTACGAGGTTCACCACGACAACATCGTCCACTACTACGAGAATGATATCCCCGCCGAGGACCCGGACCACCGTGGTATGAAGAAGCCCCGCGCCGTCAGTGCCGTCACCGAACGCCTGAGCTCGCAGGTGTATGAATACGCCAAGGACGGCAAGTTCGTTCTCACTCTCGGTGGCGATCACTCTATTGCCATTGGCTCTGTCTCTGGAACGGCTAAAGCGATCCGCGAACGGCTGGGCCGCGAGATGGCGGTGATCTGGGTCGATGCTCACGCCGACATTAACCTTCCCGAGATGAGCCCTAGTGGTAACATCCACGGCATGCCCATGGCCTTCTTGACCCGGCTGGCCCGGGAAGACAAGCGCGACATCTTTGGCTGGCTCCAGGATGAGCATATTGTCAGCACGCGCAAGCTGGTGTACATTGGTCTGCGTGATGTCGACCGCGGCGAGAAGAAGATCCTGCGCGACCACAACATCAAGGCATTCAGCATGCACGACATTGACCGGTACGTAACCCTTTTGTTCCGTTGTATATTCCCTTGCTAATTGCTTCAAAGTCACGGCATTGGTCGCGTCGTCGAGATGGCTCTCGCTCACATTGGCAACGATACCCCGATTCACCTGTCGTTCGATGTCGATGCGCTGGATCCCCAGTGGGCGCCTAGCACTGGTACCCCGGTGCGCGGTGGTCTGACCCTGCGCGAGGGCGATTTCATTTGCGAGTGTGTGCACGAGACCGGCAACTTGGTGGCTATGGACCTGGTGGAGGTCAACCCCAGCCTGGAGTCTGTGGGCGCCGCGGAGACCATCCGCGCCGGGTGCTCGTTGGTGCGCAGTGCGTTGGGCGATACCCTTTTGTAAATTGCTTTTTAGATTATAGAAAATAGAAGCGGGTGAGGATACAACCTTTTCACGATGATGAAACTCTCTGAGTTGTGAAGAAACCTTGGTTCGAGGCCAACGCGTGTTTCCCGTACCTGAGACTAAATTCCCCTGCCACCTCAATTTCCGATCAACAAATTCCCCCTCCACCGACTTTCTTCTGTTTGCTTCTTTCGTACTTCTGCCTTCCTTCGAATATTTGCGACTTCAAATAACAGACACCAAAATACTTCTCATCCTGGGCTATAGCTCCAAGGTCTCAGTCTTGATCACAGCGCCTAGCGCCCGATGTGCTGTTCGGCCTTATCGGCCCCCTCCCCCGGATTCAATTAACGCATTCCTTGAATCGAAGTATCCACGCTGCGCTGTTCGGGTGCCGAGTCGATCGCATTTCACCGACATTCATAAGGCGATCATATTGGGCAGTCGCGCACACCGCGAATCCTATATATCCAAGGCAGCAGCGGGCTGTTGGCCCCAAACACCGACCGACACTCAAAGCATCCGTTCTATCGTCCATCAAACCCGCACTCGTTCACCATGGCAGTTGTGCGCAAAGTAACGCGGCCTCGCTACCACTGGCCCGAATTTCAGCTGAATGTCTGGCTCATCGTCGTGCTTGCAGGCTCGGCCACATGTCTAGGAATATTCTCGTGGTTTATGGTCGTACAAACACAGATGGAGCTTGGGACTCCATGGTGAGTGCTTTCACTTTTGCAATTTTCTTTTTTTTAGTGACACTGGATTCACTGACCCTCTTTCTCTAGGCTCTTCCCATACATGGTTACTGTCAGTACCTTGGGCGTCGTCTTCATTTTCCTCGTGATCGGCCTGATCGCCCGCCATTTCCTGCTCCCGGGTATCCTGATCCTCGGCAGCTTCATACTCTTCGTCCTGTGGGTAACGGGGCTTATTGAAACCTCGCTGCAGCTATATGGTGTTACCGGGAACGTGAACGATAATTGCCAGATCTACGTGGTCGAGAACCAATCTAGGGGGAACAACGTCGACACCATGGCATGGATTATGCAGAGCACGCTATGTGAGTCTTTTTTTTCCAAAATGCCCCTGATATGCCCGCTGATATTGTTTTCAGGTAACTGCTGGAAAACCGCCTTTGCCTTTGAGCTCGTCAATACTATTTTCTATCTATGGATGATAGTCATGTCATGGCAGGTTCATCGAAACTATTACCATTGATGCTTGTGATGCTCTTTCATGTTTATATTTTTCATGTCATGAACTATGATACCATAATTTTAGCATCTGAAGTGGCGTTCGAGTGAATCTTAGCTGCAATTTAACTTGCATTTTCCTGCCGTATGGTTTTTTCCAGCCAGCATCCACCAAGCAGCGCGTGTCAACACGCGCGGGGGGGGCTTGTCTTAGCTTAATTCACAGTCCCATAATCGGCTGCAGACTACACAGGACTGGAAGTTCCGAAAGGGGTCAGTGACGGAATTAGAGCAAGAGAGCGTGGAGACTTGATAACTTCGAGGGAGAGTCAGTCAATGAATATATGCCACCTATGTTCATGTGAACCAGATTGGGAGAAAAGCCGACATCAACACGCATAACAATCCGAGGATGTAGGATACTGGCACCATATCGCGAGATTGAGATATTCAGATGAGTCTATACACAAATCGTCATGAGTTCTGCCCCATTACATGGATACTCTAAACCCTGGGGCATGGTTCACAGAAAATGATGATGATCTGCTCTATACTGCAGCCTGTTTGGGCTAATAGCGAGCAGATAGGCCTTATAAATTAGTGTCAGGAAGTGACGGGAACTAGATGGAATACTGGATAGGAAGAAGGAAGGGTGCGCGACTTGACACAGACGTTTGACTTTGAAGCCTTAGATAATCCTTGTATTCGCTTCTCTCTGCGTCGTGCGCTAATAATATCTCCAGTCCGGACGCCTTGACTGGAGGATGGAAACCATAATATATACATGATCGATCGATCCGGCAGCTGGACCATCGAATGAACCTATCGAGAGATCTGTTGCAGAAATCATGACTAGTGATTTGAGTGACGTGAAGGATATCGCTGAGGACATACTGGAAGGGGCGAGCAGGGCGGGAAAACCAGGCGAAGTCAGAGCCAAAGCCTCAAAAAGCGTTTCAAGAGTGACTCTGATCAGGCTGTACGCTGGGTCTACCTATCGACAGCCCCGAAATGTTAAACAGTAAAGACTAATTCGTACGATTGATCACTGGAAGAACTCATATAGGATATCTCGCGTTCAGTCGAGGGTATTTTGAGCATTGTACACTGAGAAAGAAGCACGCTGTCTCACGATGGGAAACAAGAGAAAAGAAAAACCACCCTATTCCACCGGCGCCCAGAAAGAGAAGATGACCATTGGCTGAAAAAGTGAGTACAAATGACATGACAAAGTTCAGGAAATATCGTATATGCTGCGTGCAAGAAAACCTCTTGCCCGACACCAACGACATACCATTCATGCGGCTGAAAGAGCTTTACTCTGCGAGCCGAGAATACGTGATGAGTTGGCGAATGATGGTAGGGTCAATGTTGGGGAGCAGCAAGGCCCCGAGAAGTTGTTCTTTACGAGGGACAATTCCGGATGGGAGGCGGAGGGGGGAGGAGTCGTCCACCTGCTTCGATTTTTCTGCGAGTCGACGTAAGATAGCCAGTCCGCGATGGATGATCGAGCCAAATGCGATGGCTTCGCTCTCGGCCTGGGGTCTTGGCCGCATGCTGATTTGTGGAAAGCGTTCATTGCAGAGCATACATGAGAGTCGCAAAAGGTGAACGGCGAATCCATCAGTAGATCCAAGCCAGCGTTTTGCCATGATCGGATCTACGAAAGTTGTCAGGACATCAGCGGCTAGGAGGCCATGCATGAGGAAAATTTGGCGCGCATCGGCAGCCGCCAGAACGCTCTTGTGAGGAATCGGGCTGATGGCGAGCCCGAACGCGCGAGTGAGCAGCTCTGGCCTCGGCGCGGAACCATCCCCAGAGAAGATGGCCGAGAAGTAAGTCCGGTTCGTATCGTCCTTCGCCAGGAACTTAGCAAGGGCGTCTACAGCGGCTGGAGTGTATCGGTGGATAGAAGGGTTGAAGGCGGTGAACATCACACGATCGGACTTCATCGATGGCTCAGGCAACGGTGAGAATGAAAGCAGGAAAGTCAACAGATTCAAAGCTTCCTCTTGTCCCGGCATTGGCATGACATGGGCTGTGTTGCTCATGAAAATCACGGCATCCTTCATAAATTCCAGAGTGTTCTGATTGGACCGCAAGAACAATTTCCGAGTTCCAACGTAACGGCAGACGTCGGCAAAGAACTGGGTGAGCGATGGGACAGCGAATGCAGCCAAAGTCGAATCCGCGGGAATGAGAAGTTCCGGAAAATCGTGGTGATGGCAATGATTCGGTCCACTGCCCGATCAAGTTCGTACTCAACACTGCCAAATTCAGGCACTTCAGCGAGGGATGTGAACTCGGAGTAGCAGGCTCGGGTAACCTCCTCATACGATTGTAGTTGCATAACATCTGATGTCTGTGGGATATACTTAACCAGATAGTCAACCTGATCTTGGGCGCAGTCGACCAGACTCTCTACCAGGTCTTCGCAATTATGGAGTGAGATGTGCACTTGAGGATCACATGAAACAGTTGTAAGAGTTTCCAAGGCAACTCGAATTTCGCCCAGGATGCCAGACTTGAGACTCATGTTCAGAGCATGGAAATCAATCACGCCCAATTCTGCGAACGCTGGTATGCCAGGCCGTAATTTCAAGATATCATCTCCAAGCCGGTACATCTCGTCCACGTTGATGGGTCCATGGAGACGAGGATCGTCCACAGCCATAGGTTCATACGGATCCTCGATAGGCTTCTTGACGAACTTCTCGAGTTTTTGTTCAGCTTGAACTGGTGTTGGTGTCGCACCCTTCCCTTGTTGTGAAGGTGAGGGTGCAGTGAACTGACCCGATGCGTCAGTGGGGGGAACAGAAGACTGTGACTGACGGGAGATGCTGAGTCGATGACCAGTCTGGGGAGGTTTCTTTTGACTTGGTGCTTGTGTTGGTGTTGCGAAGCCATTAATTGGGGTCGGCTGCGTATTGTTCGAGATTGGTGTGTTGTTTTGGGGGGAGTTGGCGAGTTGCTGAGGCTGTTCGAATCCTTGACCGGGTTTGACCGAGGGTGACTGGAATTGCTGCATGGCCGAGGGCTCATTCGGCTGCCGCGGGACTCCACCTTGCTGCATTTGGTCGCCAACCTGTTTCTGTTGCGAATTTAAGAAGGCCTGCTCGTAAGGAGCCAAATTCCTTGAGTGGTAATCTCGAATCTCTTGCGCAGCAGTGGGAAACTGCATTTGCGCGAATTGGAATTGCTGCGCAACATGTGGCCACATGTTCATTTGAGTAACTTTCTTTGATCCGCCCATTCTCATCACGGTTCCGTAAAGCTGGAGAAGATTCAACTGACGACCACAAATCACAGGATTCATGTCCAGCGGAAGGTTCCGGGCCATCATGAACTTCTGCAACCCTCGCACAAAAACTTCCGGGTTATTGGGCTTTGCAATGTTCTGTTGCATCTGCCGAATAGCCTGCATTTGCTGGGGATTGCCCTGAGGGATCATCCCACTAGGAGCAACTGAGCGCCCTGCCATCTGTTGATTGGCATTCATTGACCGGTTTTGATTTTGCTGCTGCATCTGCATCTGAAGTCGCGCCTGCTGAGCCGCGATTGCCTGATGATACCCCTGAGGTACTTGTTGCATGCCGCCTTGTTGCATGCCGCCTTGTTGCATGCCGCCTTGTTGCATGCCGCCTTGTTGCATGCCGCCTTGTTGCATTCCACCATATTGTGCCTGCATAGATGGCTGTTGCGCCGCTTGGCTCATCCCGTGTCCTTGCTGGAACTGCCCCCCCCATGCCTTGGGGAAAAGCTTGTCCTTGCATGTAGTTGTTGTTCTGCGGGGTGTTCACCCGGCTCCCATGATCTGATTGGGACGGGGACATATGAGCACCGACGTGTGGGCCGGCCGGGGAGAAAGGACTTGGGGAGGCGGTTCCCATACGAGCACTCTGCTGGTCAAAGTCCTGCATAATCGGCGACTGCGTCACATTGGGCGACGTTCCTTGCTGAAGATGTTGGTAGGGCGTGGGATGTTGAGGGAATTGAGCTTGCCCGTTTGTGGGGCCTTGATATCCAGGATATGGTACTTGGGGAGTCTGCGATCGCGACCCAGGCATGCCGCCGGGGCCTGGCCGTGGCGACATGGGCATACCATCTTCGGGTCGAGCTCGCTTAGACGGAATCACCTGGTTGGGATTGTGGAAGCCCGGGGAGGCATTCCGTGACACGCCATTGTTGAACATGCGCTGGAACTGAGAGGGGTCCTGGGGAGTAGGCGAGGTGTGAAGGAAGGCGGAGGGGTCTATAGTGGAAGGATTGAAAGCCCCATTATCCTGGCCAGGGAGGGTCGAGGCGTCGGCGAGCCAGGCGTTCATGTCGTGCGATTCTACCAACCCATCTGTCCAGGCAAGAGGGTCAGCGACAGCTCCACCCTAGGTCCACGCGTCATCACCGTGCGGCAATGAATCACGCGAAGTTCATCTGATTTATCAATGAAAAAATGGGACAACAGAGACATGGGTTGCAGGATGAATCCCAGAGCCATGTGAACGCGTATGGCTGGGATGTTTGGGGTCGCGCTCGGTCGCGACTTGCTCCCGAGGGAGGTTCCAAGGAAAAGGCAAAGAAGGCATTCTCCCCGTGAATAAACAAAACAACAGTGTAATAGAAGAGGGAAGGGAATAACGAATGTACATACCGACAAAGCTGGATGACTTTAAATTCCCGACTTGCTACTGGATGACTGAGGCCGGAACCCGGAATTAGCAGATGAGACGAGGAGCAGAGGTTGGAATTGGGTGGTCACGTGGTTGGTGGCCTGAGGCTGGAAAGTCACCACGCCGAGCAGGCGGCGCGGAGCAGAAGGGGGAAGGAGGGAAAGACCGATGGGCTGGACTGGGCCACTGATCATGGGTTGGGGAACACACTGAGGATCGACCCTAAGGTCACGACACTTCTTCGGCCCGAAGAACCATAGACAAATTGGGGCAGAGGAGGGTGCGCTGGGTGGGCTGCGCCGGAAGAAGGGGGAAGGCGAAAAAGGGAAGGGGGAAAGTTGTGGGTGCGTGGCCACAGTAAAACAGTAATAATAAAAAACACTTACGAGGGGAAAGGGGAACCGCCGAAAAGCAGAAGTAATACTTACAGTCCAGAAGCCAAAAGACCTCAGTTAGGGATCAAAGGGGAGTGGAGGCAAAGAATGGTGAGGGAAAAATTACTCTCTGGGGTGATGGGAACATGCGGGTACCGGAAAGTAAGGAATGTAGCACTATGGCGGCTGTCTGGTTGTACCACCAATACACTCCGTATCCCGTATCGTACGTTCTCGTTTGCTCTCTTCTCTTTTCCTGGCGTTTTCTCTGCCCCTTCTATTTCTGTTGTGCTAGTTAGTTCTTGGGGTCAATTCATCTTTCACGTATCCAGGATTCGGAGAGTTGCCCCCATTTTTTGACTGAGAGGTTTCTTTGGCATGGCGTTCGCGGTTAGCGGGTTTCGGCTGTCGCATACTGCCATCAGGAAGAGACTGAGCAGATCAGTCACAATGCGGGTGCTCAGGGAAAAATGGCAATCTCCTCAATTTTTGAGTCCATGAAGAAGAGGAGAAAATGGAAGGAAGGGAAGAAAAAAACCGACGCTGGCCGGACACAAGTCCAGGCGAAGATCCATTCCAACGGTCTTCGCCCAGTCAGGTTAGTCCGTATACTCCAGTGCCGGGCAGAGTGCGAGATCTGTGGCCCTGGCTTCGCACACGGACTCGCTCCAGCTATGGAGGACCCTCAAAGGGTCTATACGAGTGCATTGTATATGAAGGGGTCAGCGAATGTGTGGAGGGAAAATGAGAAGGTCCAGATCAGGCGCGGTGACGGGTGACGGGCGTCGGCACTACTTGTATAAAGCTCGGACTAGCGTCTGATAATCATGACGAGCGCCCTCAATGCTCCGAAAGTCTCTCGAAAAAGAAATCAGAAAAAGGAAAGAATAATTTTCTCAGCACCCTTCAGATGAAAAAGGCGTGGTCCAGGTTTCCATGTGCACGGATCCGACTCGATCCGCATGGGAAATCATTGATGGTTCTGTGCCTGTCCCACCTAACCGCGTCTCGGCCTTGCTCCACCATGATTGGGTCTATCCTACGGTTAAGATGATGTCGAGGCCCAAGCGAAGGCTGAAGCACATTCATCTCGTGTGTCTCTGTTGCTAACGGCTACTCTTGACTGGCGCAAAGATCAGCTGCCTCAATCCGTGAGGACGTGCAGCGTCCTTTCCAATGGATCGTACGAATCATACGAATCACCTCACGACCCTGTTCCATTGGATTCGGGCGCCAAAGCTGAGCCCCTGGTCGAACAACCGGCTCAGCATTAAACCTCCGTGGGTGGATGACACGAGGGAAGCCTGATAATATTCCAAGGCCGGAGTAGTTCCGCCTCACATGCACAACAGCCCCAGGGTGAGCCTAAAGACTGCCTAGTTAGTGGAAAGAGAAGAAGAAAAGTACACCGTAAAGTCTTTCATATCCAGTCCAGAAGAAAGACAAATCATGATTTGGTGTTTGTGATGCATGAATTTAGAAAATCAGGGCCATCGACTGGCCAGCGCGGCGAATCTCACGTGACACAGACGTGAGCTCCAGGTTCCCCGATTGAGCTCCCAAGGACCATCATCGGACTCTTTCACAGCCCACCCCAACATTGTGTCAAACCCCCATAAGAAAGCGTCGAAGTCATATTCCCATCACTGAATCATTCTCTGTCTTAAACGTCAATCAGCTCCATCATGGGAGACGTCGCCGTGGAGAACCCGGCGAACAACGTCACGCCTCTTCCCAAGCCCAGCGCACTGGACGCCCTCGGCAATCTGGACACCCTCGAAGGCACTGGCGTCGATGGTAACGATGAATATGCTTCCCTGAAGCGGTTACAGAGACATCTAGAGTATGCATGGCCCGTGATGTCGAGTTTACAGGTGCTGACGCCTTTCACCCAGATACATTCAGTTGCAGGAGGAATACATCAAGGATGAGCAGCGGTTTGTTTCTCCACTGCAGTTGTGGGTGCTACAATACTTACCATGCCGTTCTACAGGAGCTTGAAGAGAGAGCTCGTCCGAGCACAGGAGGAGATCAAGCGGATACAGAGTGTGCCGCTGGTGATTGGGCAGTTCATGGAGGCTATTGATCAAAAGTGAGCTTGTTTTGCCATTATTCCCATCCAACTTTCAGTTTGCTGACATAGAAATTCAGCACTGGTATCGTGCAGAGCTCGACCGGGTCTAATTACGTCGTCCGCATCCTGTCCACACTCGACCGCGAGAAGCTGAAGCCCTCCTCTTCGGTCGCTCTTCACCGACACTCCAACGCGCTAGTCGATATCCTTCCCCCGGAAGCTGACTCTTCCATCGCCATGCTGGGTGACAATGAGAAGCCGGATGTGACCTATGCCGACGTGGGTGGCTTGGACATGCAGAAGCAGGAGATTCGGGAAGCCGTTGAGCTGCCCTTGACGCATTTCGATCTCTACCGGCAAATTGGTAGGTACTCAGTTTCTACGCAATCTTTCATCTGCTAACCAAAATATAGGTATCGATCCTCCCCGTGGTGTTCTGTTGTATGGCCCCCCCCGGTACCGGTAAGACCATGTTGGTCAAGGCCGTTGCCAACAGCACAACCGCCAGCTTCATCCGCGTGAACGGCTCCGAATTCGTACAAAAGTATCTGGGAGAAGGTCCGCGTATGGTCCGTGACGTTTTCCGTATGGCTCGTGAAAACTCGCCTGCCATCATCTTCATTGATGAGATCGATGCGATCGCTACCAAGCGTTTCGATGCCCAGACCGGTGCCGACCGAGAAGTGCAGCGTATTTTGCTGGAGTTACTCAACCAGATGGACGGTTTCGAGCAGACCAGCAACGTCAAGGTCATCATGGCCACCAACCGTGCTGACACTCTCGATCCCGCCCTGCTGCGTCCTGGTCGTCTAGACCGCAAGATCGAGTTCCCAAATCTGCGTGACCGCCGCGAGCGTCGTTTGATCTTCACCACCATTGCGTCCAAGATGTCGCTGTCCCCCGAGGTGGATCTAGACTCTCTGATCGTACGCAACGAACCGCTATCAGGTGCCGTGATCGCCGCCATCATGCAAGAGGCCGGTCTGCGTGCGGTGCGCAAAAACCGATACAACATCATCCAGTCCGACCTTGAAGATGCCTATCAGGCACAGGTGAAGGCTGGCCAGGACGACGACCGGTATGATTTTTTCCTAATGTCCTTGTTTTCTTATTTCATGCCACTAATTCACTCGATAGCCCTGACTTCTACCGGTAAATGCCTACTCTTTGGCGAGGCGCGTGGATGCGGATGGTTCAAACTTGGCTCCATTCATGTATTATCAATCCTCTGAAATTTGGAACCCATGGATGATGTGTTGTTTCGCGAATTATAATACAGGTGAAAGTACCCGATCAGGACCCCTGTAGGGTGTAGGGTGTAGGGTGTAGAGTGCAGAGTCGGGCGGAGTGAGACCCCTGCATAGTCAGGGACCTATCGTGCCAGGGTCGTAGGGGGGAGATGACAGCCTAGGGCCGTGGCCATCTGTGCCTAGACGATACAAGACAAGGTTTTGCTGGTCACACCTTTCATGGAGGAACAGGGCAACGCCTCAGCAACTCTCGCCACTGCAGCTGCCAGGTACAAGTGCTTCGACCTCTTCCTTGCTTTCCTGCTTAGCTTAGTTTAGGCAGCTATCCCCAGCCACCGCGTCAACGAAAATCACCGCAGTTTTACAGTTGTACACTTGGAGAGTGATACACTCATGGAGCCCTCGCCTATAGTGATGACCAAATAAAGAAATGAATATAGATAAGAAATGAATATAGATAAGAAAGAAGCCGGAAGGGACGAATGTGGGATGAGCGTAACCCACACGGCGCAGCTGATTCCGGGAATGACGCATACCCGTCACGTTATGTCGATCGCTTCCCCAAGGCTCCGCCCCCAGCTCCTCTCTTATCTTCCTCCTCAACTCTCCTCATCCCACCCAACATTATGAAGACCTTCGCTTTGCTTACAGCCTCTGCGCTGCTGAGCACCGCCTCTGCTGAGGTTCACAAGCTCAAGCTCGGAAAGATTCCGCTTGAGGAGCAGTTTGTAAGGAATACCCTGCCGTTTCCGATTCCACGGCTCTAACCGCAGATAGAACGCTCACAACATCGAAGAGCATGTCAAGGGCCTTGGACAGAAGTACATGGGCTACCGTCCCAACTCCGACCAGGGCTTCCAGGACACCTCGTTCAAGCCCAACAGCGGTCACGATGTGTTGGTTGACAACTTCCTGAACGCTCAGTGTAAGCACCTCCTTCGAAACCTCTGCCATTCAAGAAATGAACGACGATGTTGACTTGCATTAGATTTCTCAGAGATCTCTCTCGGTACCCCGCCCCAGACCTTCAAGGTGGTCCTTGACACGGGAAGCTCCAACCTGTGGGTCCCCTCATCGGAGTGCAGCTCTATTGCCTGCTACCTCCACACCAAGTATGACTCGTCTGCCTCGAGCACCTACAAGAAGAACGGCACCGAATTTTCCATCCAGTATGGATCAGGCAGTCTCAGCGGTTTCGTCTCTCAGGATAACCTGCAGATCGGCGACCTGAAGGTCACCAAGCAGGACTTTGCTGAGGCCACCAGCGAGCCCGGCCTGGCCTTTGCTTTCGGCCGATTCGATGGTATCCTGGGTTTGGGATATGACACCATCTCTGTCAACAAGATGGTTCCCTCCCTTCTACAACATGATTAACCAGGGACTTCTGGATGAGCCCAAGTTTGCTTTCTACCTGGGCGACGCCAACAAGGATGGTGATAACTCCGAGGCCACCTTCGGTGGTGTGGATGAAAGCCACTACACTGGCGAAATGATCAACATTCCCCTTCGCCGCAAGGCTTACTGGGAGGTTGACTTTGACGCTATTGCCCTTGGTGATAACGTGGCTGAGTTGGAGGACACTGGTGTCATCCTTGACACTGGTACTTCCCTCATTGCTCTGCCCTCCACCATGGCCGAGCTTCTGTAAGTTTCGACACCCGCTAGTTTTTCTCCTATTCATTTCTAATTTGACAAACAGGAACAAGGAGATTGGTGCTACCAAGGGCTTTACTGGCCAGTACACCGTTGACTGTGCTGCCCGTGACTCGCTGCCTGACCTCACACTTACCCTGAGCGGCCACAACTTCACTATCACCTCCTACGATTACATCCTGGAGGTCCAGGGCTCTTGCATCAGCAGCTTCATGGGAATGGACTTCCCCGAGCCCGTCGGCCCTCTGGCCATCCTTGGCGACTCATTCCTGCGCAAGTGGTACAGCGTCTATGACCTTGGCAACAATGCTGTTGGTCTGGCCAAGGCCAAGTAAGTGTCTTATCAGATCATAAAGTTCTAGATGTCGAGAAGCCGAGAATATCGTAAATACGCCATGCATATGCGGCTTCTCGCGGGTGACATGTGAAATCTCAACGGCGATTGATCCGCCCCTGGCTGCCAGCATATCTTCTCTGCTCTTTTTTGCTCCTGACGGTAATTTGTGTATGTGGAACTGTTTTTCTGACGGTATTGCAAATTGCTGTCCCGAGCATGAATTATCTTCGCATTTCATTCGTTCCACTTCGCCTTGAATTAATCTTCTTCGATATCGTACTATTTTTATCTTCATGAAAGCAAATACATAGATTGTAGAAATGATCCTTGTAGCTCGTAATCATCGTCCTGGGGCCGCTCCCACCGCAACGGGCCGAGGAGCTTGAATGGAGCCGGAGGTCCGTGACTGCAGCGAGTCAACTTGAGAATGACCAATCATGGGTTCCAATCCAGCCTGAGGTGAGATCCATGCAGCTCTGATCGAGTCGCCCCAGATAGCGACTCCCATACAAAATGCTATGAAAGAGCTAATACACAAAGAAAACCGGTTGGGACGTCGTTAAGGCGGTCGGTGTTGACATAAGCGGAGCTCGAAGGTCATCCCAGTCCCCGCACAGTTCCCCGTCGAGCTTTGCTTTCTTCGATCGCAACCCCATCTTTCATTCATCCTCCTTTGATTATCCTCTTTCCCACACTATCGTCGGCCTGGTGCGTCATCTCTTACCGTTACGCGCCAGGTTGTGCAAGGCGCACGGCTTCTATCATCCGCGTCGGGTGGCGATTCCCATCACTCGACAGCCTAAGCCGTCGCGCAGCGCGCCATCAACCGCATACCCCAGTGTGAGACGTGTCTCACCAGACAAAACACCCTTCAGGCGATATAAAGGAATTTTGATCGCTCTATCTCCCGAGCAAAACTCATTCACGCGTCGCGTGTTGGTGATGACACCATAGCCGCAGTCGCACGCGATCATCCATACACAACCGTCCACGCCCGTCAATCAAGCGGACTGGACTCAGAGACGAAACCGTGAAAGGGATCAAGATTGTGCTTGAAGATACATTGAGCTGACCCGTGGGTTCCATCGCCTGGGTGCGAATTGAGAGCGACCATGCTTCTCCGTCTGCCGCCCAGCTTGCACTACCCCATCACCGTAACCTCACTGCTTAAGCAGCCTGGAGATGCGATTGAGCGGGATGAGGCCCTTTTCTGGTACATCTACCAGACGACTGTTGAGGAGGGCGATGGGCTAGGCAATAGAGTGGAGGTCAAGCGAAAGTTTCCAACTCGCTTTGAGTCGACTGTCGATGGGGAAATTGTACAGTGGAAGGTTGCAAAAGGCGATGTGATTACAGGGCCGTAAGTCTTCCATCTATTCTGCCGTGTTTCTGTCGACTAACAATGGACATAGTGTTGACGTTGTCGAAATCGATGAGCCATGCGCACACGAGGTTCAGTTCGGAGGACTTTGCGCTGAATGTGGAAAGGATATGACTGAGTGCGTATATACAAGACACGTGGAGCTGGAGCGAGTATATATTGACCGTTCTGTTCTTGATAGAGCTACCTATAACACCGAAGTGATGGACTCATATCGCGCTCCCATTCAGATGGCCCATGACAATACTACCTTGACTGTTAGTGAGAAAGAGGCTACCCGTGTGGAAGAAGATGCAAAGCGTCGCCTTTTGGCATCCCGACGTCTGTCTCTCGTGGTGGACCTTGACCAGACCATTATCCATGCCACCGTCGACCCGACTGTTGGCGAGTGGAAAGAAGATAAAGATAACCCTAACTACGAAGCATTGAAGGGTGTCCGCCAATTCCAATTGATCGACGATGGGCCTGGCATGCGTGGATGCTGGTACTATATCAAGCTTCGGCCAGGACTGGAAGATTTCTTACAGAATGTCGCCGAGCTATATGAACTGCACATCTACACCATGGGTACCCGAGCATACGCCCAGAACATAGCTGACATTATCGATCCGACTCGAAAGCTCTTTGGTGACAGGATTCTGAGCCGTGATGAGAGTGGTAGTTTGACTGCAAAGAATTTGCAACGACTATTTCCCGTTGACACCAAGATGGTGGTCATCATCGATGATCGCGGTGACGTGTGGCGGTGGAGTCCCAATCTGATCAAGGTATCCCCTTATGACTTTTTCGTCGGTATTGGTGATATCAATTCCAGTTTCTTGCCCAAGAAGCAAGATCTCGGCGAAACGAGTAAGGCAGTGAAGGAGAAGGAGAAGCATGCGAAGCAGGAACAGGGGGATGGGGAAGCAGCGAAGGCAGTAGCAGAGAGTGACGTCTCCGCACTAGAGCAACTAGTGACGATGGGAGGCGGTGATAACCCAAGCTTATTGAAGGAGCAAGCAAACGCCCAGGAAGAGACAATTATGCATCAAGTGGAAGACCGCCCACTTTTGCAAAAGCAGAAAGAGCTAGACGCAGAAGATGACGCGTCTGCAGACGGTAGTGAATCATCCTCCAGCGTTGATGAACCTCAAGAAGCTGCCAAGCAGCGTCATCATCTTCTGGAAGACCATGATAAGGAGCTCTTCCAATTACAAGACCGCCTAGAACGGGTTCATATGGCATTCTTTGATGAATATGACAAGAAGCGGACACATGCCCTCGGAGGCCGCGTGGCGGCTCTCAGAGGCGATAAAGCTGCCCATAAAGACAGAGACGTTGATCTGAAATTGGTACCCGACATCAAGGATATTATGCCGCGATTTAAGCGGTCTGTATTAGGTGGCGTGGTCCTGGTATTCTCAGGCGTTCTTCCTCTCGGGACAGATACGCAGAATGCTGACATTTCCTTATGGGCCAAGAGTTTCGGCGTCGTTATATCATCAAAGATCAACGCCCGAACCACTCACCTGGTGGCCGGCCGCAACCGTACTGCGAAGGTGCGTGAAGCTACGCGGTATCCCAATGTCAAGATCGTCACCACACAGTGGCTTTTAGACTCTTTGGTCAGCTGGAAGCATCTGGATGAGACTCCGTACTTGCTTCCCGTGCATCCAGACGATCGCGGTGAGCCTTTCTCGCCCGGCTCCTTGGAACTCGCAGATAGCACATGGCTATCGTCTTCAGACGATGCAACGGGCTCTCTCTGGGCTGATGATGACGGCAACGAGGAAATGTTCAAATCTTCCGGGCTTGACGATACGTCAGTTCCCGGATACGACGAGGACGAGCAAGCTTTGGTGCACGACGAACTCAAGGAGTTTTTGGGCAGTGACGACGAGAGCGAAAGTGACAGTGAAGCATGGGGTGAAGAGACAAACGAGGGAAGTAAGAAGCGCAAGCGAGGGGAAGACACCGAAGGCGAAGGTGACGAGGAGTCCGGTGAAGGAGAGGGCGACGAAGATGATCCCCAAGGCTCACGTCTATCACAACGCATCAAGCGTTCGTATGAGCGGAGCACAAGTCTTCGAGAAGTCGCTACAGCAAGGGGCTCTATCTCCGATCCCTCGGGTCATCACGACGAGGAGCCAGATGCCACAAATGCAGGTATCACGGACGATCATGATGACGGATATCCCGAGAATCCAGACGACGATGACGATGCGCTAGAGCGTGAAATGCTCGCTGCTTTCGAGGACGACGATCCCCAAGCAGAGGAAGAAATCGCTGCTGAAAACGGGTAGTCGGTGTATCTTTGATTCCATCTTCCTTCAGTTCGCTTTGCATCCCCAATGTCTCAACTCAGTGGTTCACCTTTGTGTTTTCTCTCCTAGTGTCTTTGCAGTAGCGCTGCTTTCCTGGCATAGCGGCGGCGTTTATCTGTTTTGGTTTGTTTGTATTTCTGCCTGCATGGTCTCTGGATCCACGTATCTACGGTTTCTGATCTACAGTCTATGCTCAATACAGTGGGTGGGCTCCTCTGTTTTGATTATTGTATTATCTTTGAAAATTGAACATGTTAGTCGTATGAAATATGTTTGTAGTCTTTGTGATGCTATGAAAACTGTCATGACACCAAGTTGGAGGCTGGGCATAAAGGTCCAGAGTCCAATCTCAAGCTACTGAACAGATCTGAACGATGTTTTCACAATAATGATAATGCATTGATCCATTCAATTAGGAAAAGGGGACTTGAAGTACCCATCGAGTCATTGAACATATACAGAGAGGAGGAATAGTACAGGTGGTGAAAGCAAGCGCCAGAAAACATGACCTGAAAAATCGCAAAACCAGCAGATAAAAGACGCAAAACCCCGTGATTGCAATTAGAAAAGTACACCGAGGGAAGAGGGGAGCTCGAGAAAGGAAATCACCAATGGGTTTCATCGGCCACCAGAGCTGTCGGTCTGGATTTGTCCGTCTTCATGCTTTTTCTTCCTGTTCTGTGCTCTCTTACTTCTGTCTGCTGATCCCTCGCTCAAGTGGGATCCACTCAATACTTTTGTGTCCATCACTCGAATGAGAGTGGCCAGTGGAAAGATAAAGGATAAAAATTTTTCGCTCAGAAGTTTCGCTCGGAGAGGAACTTCAGGATTTCGGGTTTGCGCCAGCCCTATGGTGATAAATTAGTACTGTATTCGGCCATAGCACTCACGCCATGCTCGAAAAAACATACCTTGACAATGATGTGGCCGTTAAGTCGATTGATAGACACGTCAGGGCTTCGCACATCAACGCCTAGGGTGTATGCCAGGTCATCGCGCAGAGCATCAAGGTCACCCTCCGTCTTCTGGATCTTAGTGAGCTGCTTAGTGCCGCCGGCTTTTGTGACGAGGTAAACGGGGAGTTGGTTGGAACCGGTCCGGCGAACAAAGTAGGGGAGATTGCTCAATTGCACAGCAGGCTGAGTCTTATTGGCCTTCGGGGTGATTGGGGTCGATGGTGTGACAGGCTGCTCCTTTAGAGCTTGTGCCTGGTGGCGAAGGTTGGTGAGGAAGCCACGGATTTGGTATGAGGAGGAGTTTCGGCATGATGAGGATGGGAGGGAGACTGTAACGAGGAATGATGTTAGATCTGCGTGATACATTTGCAAAAGTAGCATATTGGGTTGAGCGCTTTCGCCGCGACAGGAATGTGAAAGTAATATTCTTATATTGCCGATGCGCTCACTTGCAATCTGTAAGATCGCCGAGAGATACCCCAGGAAAGAAGTTCAATGTTCAAACTTACAGAATGCCGGCCGCGTCGGAGAAGATAATGAAGAAAGGCTGGATGTCTGCACGGAAGCCGCGGAGCGAGCAAAACCACTGGAATTGGCGAGCTGCTTGCACACAGCCGAAGCAGCTGTGGCTGAGTTCCGGAGAGACGCCATCGAGGGGCGATGTGAGCAGGAAGTGTGAACCTGGAGAATCAAATGATCAACATGAGGCCAAGTGAAGCAGGTTTCTCAACCGCCGGGTTCTGCCACCGCCCAATTTCCATATTGGGCTTAGCGCGGTCAACCCTCCCGCACACAAATTCAAAGTTGATCGGATTGTCTCTTTGAAGAACATCCTCACGTCCACCATGGCTACCACCGCCCCCGCTGAGGGCACTCGCCCGACCGACTATGATCTGATGCCCCGGATCATCCCCTACCTCGACCGGCACCTGGTTTTCCCCTTGCTTATGTTCCGCAGTGAGGAGGATAATGAATACATTCGGCTCGCCTACGAACTCTTGAAGCCCACCAACATCGTCGGCTTCAGCGAACAACTATGGGGAATGTTCAACGATACCGAGGCTCCCGCCGAGTTGAAGAAGAAAGAGGCCGATATCGCGGCGGAGAAGGAGCGTCTGGAGGCCAAGACTGAGAAGATGAACGCAGTCTTCGCCGACGAGGAGGTTCTGAACAGCATGCGCAGCGACAAGGCTGCCAACTTCCGCTTCCTCGAGGAGAACTACGGCGTCACAAACGAGATGGTCAACGACCTCTACGACTACGGCCGATTCCTGTACAGCACTGGCGACTATGGCAACGCCGCCATCACCCTTTTCCAGTTCCGTTTCCTGTCCACCGATAACGAGAAGCTCGCCTCCGCTACCTGGGGTCACTTGGCTTGCGAAATCTTGAACGGCCGCAACCGTGAGAACCCCGCTTGGGAGCAGTCCTTCGAGGCTGCCCTCGGTGAGGTCCCCAAGGTCAAGGACTCAATCGAGACCCGCCTGTTCAGCAACCCTCTTGGCCAGCTCCACAGCCGCACATGGCTCATCCACTGGTGCTTGTTCCTTCTCTTCGACCACGACTCCGCCCGCGACACTATCACCGACCTCTTCTTCTCCCCCGCCTTCATCAACACCATCCAGACCAGCTGCCCCCGGGTTCTGCGCTACCTCGCCGCTGCCGTTGTCACGAACCGCAACCGCCCCCACAAGCACAGCGGTGTTTACCCCAAGCAATTGAAGGACCTTGTTCGCGTTGTGCGCCAGGAGGGTTACGAATACAGTGACCCCATCACCGACTTTGTGAAGGCTCTTCACATCGACTTTGACTTTGAGGAGGCCCAGAAGAAGCTGGGTGAGGCTGAGGCCGTCCTGCGTGACGACTTCTTCCTGCACGGTCAGGCCGATGCCTTCATTGAGGCCGCCCGTCACCTCATCTCCGAGAGCTACTGCAAGATCCACCAGCGGATCGATATCAAGTGAGCAACGGAGAATCTAAGCTTTCAGGAACCAGACATCTAACTTACATCATAGGGACCTCTCTACTCGTCTCGGTTTGAGCGAGGACGAGGGTGAGAAGTGGATCGTCAACTTGATTCGCAACACCCGCGTCGATGCCAAGATCGACTACAAAGCCGGCACTGTCATCATGAACCACCCTCCCTCGTCGGTGTACCAGCAAGTCATTGAGAAGACCAAGGGTGCTTTCTTCCGCACACAAGTCTTGAGGTATGTACCCCCCCACTTCGTTTCTGACCCCACAAACCCCATTTACTAACCCATCTTCAGTTCGGCTGTCGCAAAATAAATATCCTCCATGAGCTGATGCCAAAAAAACCGACTTCTTCTTTGTTATTATCAAACCCTGTTTTCTGCCTGCCCGGTTTAGTGATCTCCCCGTGTATGTCACAACACGGTATCATGGATCTTCCGAGATGGAGAACACCGAGCAGCGTGGCATCCGGCTGGCGTTCTTAGGTGGTCCACCTTATTGATGTTTCTTTTTTTAACCTCTTAGTCCACAGTTTCCGATTTTTTTACCCTTCTCTGTCGTCAGATATTTGCTCATGTTTGGTCGTTTCAAAAGAAGTCTTTCAGCCCTGTAGGGCTTGATTGAGAGGGGAGGGTTGGAAAAGAAGCCTAGAGAGACATGGCGTCCCGCCTATTTGAAGAAGAGACGGGGCTTATGTAGACGACTCCTGATATCCAAGGGTCTAATGGATCTATGCTGTTACGAATGGTCTATAGAGATGAGTGAAAATGATGTCTGACAATATCTGCTCCAATGTGAACGAGATTCGGTAACGAAAGTAAGAGAATCCATGTATTCGAAGACAAAGGGTATCATCAAGGAAATGGGTCGATAGCCAGATGTTCCCAGGTTCGATTCGCTGTCCGAGACTTCCTTTAGGGGTCCAAGTGGCTGGTATGGCTCCACTCCAATGTATAAATTTGGATCATTTCATGGAGTCCGGGCGAAAGTTGTGTCCAGGGAAAAGTCCACGAGAGGAAAGATCAGGTGAATTGAAGCACACCACCGCCCTGGGAATGATTGTGTAGGTGCTAGATGTCACCGAAGGCTTCTTGGAACTTTGAGCATTAGGCAAACTCCATGGACAATCCAAAAGAAATCTATCAGCGGCAATAGTTCCATCAATGGATTAGGGCGTCAAGCGATCAACGGCCACCTCTCGACTCGGGCTCCCGTCTGCGACTTCGATTTGGATCCACAGGAATAAGCTCATTGATGTACGGTTCCAATTGTCGCGCACCATCAGAAGTCGTGTTCTGGTTCGTCATGCGCAAAGCCTCCTGCTTCTCATATTCGCGAGACATCGCGGCCAGATCGTCGATTTGTTCCTGGAGCACAACAATCAGCACATCGGTCCTTTTGCCTCTATAAGTCCAAGAGACAGACCCGTGTGAGAGGCACGCCAGTAATCAGATAGCCTTCACGCCCCTTCAAAGAGTGTCAGAACATCTGGTCAGACCCCGTTAACCGTGGCGCGCCGCCGGGAGATCTGCTCTGATATACCTGGTAACTATACGGTCTCACTGAAGCGGATGGTCCGAGGAAGTAATGAATGTGGCCTAGGACGATATGTCGGGATAGCCCGTAGCCTGGGAGCCAGTATTGCTGTTCGCGCGACATATCTGCTAGGAGAGAGAGGGCTTGAAGCTCGGGAGGATCAGCGGGTCAGACCAGCCCAACGGACCACGAAGACTTGGGGTATTTCTCAAAGTTCCATCAGGGTCATTGCGGTATAAATAACAGAGATCACCCCTCCCTTCCCCCCTCCTTCACGGCGGTCAATCAAGAAGACTCCCAAGACGACGAAGACCTGCAGAGCGGGAATCCTCGACGATGATCTCACACTCCAGATCCACTCGAAATTGATCTCAGAACAAATGGCGCCACGAAGTCAGGGACACAGAATGATTCCCCGGAACTGTCGGGGCATTGCATTGAACCGCCTCACTCTATCGGACCACGACGTCCAACCCTTTTCACCGGTTGAATCTCATCAGCCCTGGCCTTACCAATGAATCGGTTACCTGGGCCATTGTCAAAGTGAGGCTTGCTGCCAATGCTCGAATCAGCTTTTTGCCTGAAATGCCCCGGTAATTGGATACCAGGATATCGGGTTTCCTCGCAACCCTTTTCCTCTCACCGTATCTTGGAGTCGGCGCCATTCTGGTTCGCGCGATGTCGTGGCACCATGGAGCTGCGGTCTTTTGCGGGGCCCGAACTGAGCTGCAGGAGACATTGCTGCAAAGCGCACGATTGGGATAGAGGTATACCTTTGCCGGCTGAAATAGGCTCGATCGATGTCGAACACATGGCATTTGCAGGCGACGTTACGAACGGATCGAGACCATGCAGGTGGGGTTTGATCTCCCTGTCCAAGTGGGGAGGTGTATCAGTAAGGACTACTCGCTGGGTTTCTAGTTCTTTGCTGATGCTTGAGCCTGGGTGATCGCAATAAGGTGAAGGATGAAGGAAGAGGAAGGTTGGGATCTCGGTTAGATGTGACGGGGGTGTGCATATTGACTTGTCATTGGTCTGGCGCTTCTACGGTCTCTACAGAAGCCGGGCTGGCATGCATAGTATCATGTATTATTCTCTAGTCTTTTCATAATTCGTCCCGGATATTCTTCTCATATCCTCACCACAATCTCCTATTGCGGAGGGACATAGGGCTGTACCAGCATGTTGCTGAACCTAAATGTGACGGTTAGTCTGATCCGATACCGCTCGTCGCTCGTCCAGAGGCAACTTACTTCTCCAGCTTCTCCTTTCCACGGACCTCCTCGACCAATAGAGGCATGCGGACCACGTTGAAGTCCTCGTACAGCTCCTCGATCTGCTCGAGGTACTTCTTCTGCATCTTCCTCCGCGCATTGCACTGCTCACAGCCGCTTCCCTCCTTGGGGAACAGCAGCTGGTTGACAACAATGGAGTGGGTATCAATACCATAGCTAGTCAATTCCTGGATCATGCGCTCAGTCTCGTACAGCGACAGGAACTCCGCAATACAGACACACACGAAAGTGGTCATATCCGGATTCTTAAACTGGGTGTTGACCTCGCCAATAGTCTCCCGCAGCGACTCCATCTTTTGAAGCAGCTCATCCATGTTTTGACCGCCGGGAAGGCCACCGCGCGCACCGAGGATCGAGTTTAGCATCGGGCCGAATTGCGATGACAACTGCGAGAGCTTGGCCAGTGCCTTCTCGAGCACGGTAGGGAACTGCAGGAAGCGCAGCGTGTGGCCGGTCGGGGCGGTATCGAAGACGATCACCTCGTACGAGAGCGACTTGACCTGCTTGAGGACTTCGGCAAACGACATGGCTTCGTCAACGCCGGGAATCTGCATGGGTTGATGGCATGATTAGCGTTGTAATGGGACTACCGGAGTCAGACAGCCACTCACGCTGAACGCGAGGTCCTGCATCATGTTTCCCATGCCCATTCCAGCCATGGGATCTTCCTGTCCATCGCCATTGGCCAGGAGATCCTGGATGCTGCCGTTGGGGTCAATTTCCATGGCGCTGAGGTTGCTGTAACCGTCGATCAGGCGGGCCTCTTTGCCGAACTTCTGGCCGAAGGCATCGCTCAGGTTGTGCGCGGGGTCAGTCGAGATGAGAAGGACGGATTTGCGGACTTTGGCGAGTTGGATGGCCAGCGAGCACGAGGTGGTGGTCTTGCCGACACCTCCTTTGCCTCCGACGAAGATCCAGCGGAGAGTGTTCTGGTTGAGGATCGACTGGAGCGTAGGCTCCATGTCGAGGTCGTCGCTGTGGACGACGGCGGAGGACATTTTGGTGATGCGGACGGGAGATGAGTTGGAGATGATGGAGGGATGTGATGTTCAGAAATGACGGGTTTGCCCCGCAAAGCAATCGAACGTTCGGGAAAAACAGTCTAGTCAAGCGTCAAGTAGGTCAATTGGCGATTCTCTACGACGCAGAAGTTGTCGCCTGGGCGCTTGAATATTTTGGCCTGGATCTTTGTCCGAAATTTAGTTAAAATCGGCGGTATGTATTCATTGTCTGGTCGACTCGATCCTCCGCAACGCCGACAGGTACAGTACATTTCAATTTAGCAAGGAAGATTACCCAAACTACCATTCACGAGGCTCCAATCACTTTCAGTCTACAAAAAGTAAAGATATGAGCTATTGCCAGCTCTGTGCGAGCCCAACAATGCTCGCTCCACCCGCGCAGAACAATTCATGGCATCCTCCGCATCTATCGGTGCTCTCCGATACCAACGGCCCATAGAAATGGCGACGCAATCCTCCTACCTTTTTTCACCATTTACCTTTTCCAACCCACCTCATTCTCTTTGATCTGCTTGAATGGACCTCTCCCGCCAAACAGATCTCGGTCGTATCAACAATCGCCTCGCACTGCACCAGCAACACCTTGAACCGGCCCCGCACTCCACCGCAAAGCAATCGCCCACCATGGCCGCTCGCGACCCCATTACCTGCCACGTCCTCAACACTCTGACCGGCACTCCAGCCGCAAACCTACCCGTCACTTTGACGCAGATGACCTCCTCAACCTCCAGTCCCGTTACCTTCCAAGCTACCACCAACGCCGACGGGCGCGTCGCCAATTGGACGCCCGTCAGCGGATCCGCCTCGGTCCCTTCCATTCTGAGCGCGCTTCCGGCCGCCGATAGCAAGACAAACTGGGCTTTGCGCTTCGAAACTGGTCCTTGGTATGAGGCCCAGGGAATTGAGAGCTTCTGGCCGGAGGTAGAGGTCAAGTTTACTGTTAAGGGCCGTGGTCGTGAGGGCGAGGAGGGCTGGCGCCATTATCACGTCCCCGTGCTTCTGGGTCCTTGGAACTACTCGACATACCGGGGCTCTTAAACTTTTTATATACTGTTGTCAAGGACTTTTGTCATGGAATATGTTCTTCTTGGAGCATGTGCTCGTCATAAATTGGTATACTCTAGTTCAGATTCCGGATCTATGATGCACTGTGGAAGTGAACTTCTTTGTGATAAAAGCTGTGTGCTTGATAAGGCATGATTCACGCCATGGATACATCAACAGGCAAGATGGCCGAGTTGGTCCAAGGCGTATGGTTCAGGTTCACCTGATCCAAGTTTCCATATCTCGTTTTCGGGGCGTGGGTTCGAATCCCACTCTTGTCAAATCTTTTTTTGCTTCCTCTCTTTCTTGCTTGTCAAAGCTAATCGGCTAATCCATGGCTGTGTGGATTGACTAATTATTTTTCTTTTTGCTGAAGTAGTTCCCGAGAGATAATGCAATTGTTAAAGATAAATGTTATGAGGACACCGCACACTCGAGCGAGCCCGGAAGTATATCGAGGTTTGCCACAGGTGGGGTCCACATCAACACCATTGTATACACCGAGTAAGAACAACGAGCAGCCGTTCAAAAAAATAAAAATAAAATAAAATAATTCAAGTGATAGTACAAAGGCAATAAAGACGATGTTTACTTCCTCTTCCAAGCTGGCTCAGTATCTCCGTCATCCGCAATGTGGTTGTACGGTCTGTCATATCGGTTCTCCACTTCTTCATTGTGCTTCTTCACATCCTCCGGAAGGTCGTCTCTGAGATTACCCTCGTGATCGGCAATGGGGGACTGCTTTCCATCGTGAAGAGTGGGCTCAGCTTTGTTAGAGGGAATCGGGTGGTTGGGATGCCGGAGGGAAGCATCTTTCATATCCTGGTTCTCGGCATGGCTTTCTTCCTCCTTCGGGGATTTCTGAGCGTAGCATCGTTGACGAGGTAGGCTGAAGACCGGGCGACTGAGGTAGGCAATGGAGGAAGGGGCGCGCAAACGCGGTTGGATTCGTAGCAATGAGGTCATTTTGGAGAGTTGATGTATGAGAAATATGAAAGGCGAGCCTTGGGCTTACTTCTCCATTTAATAACTCTCCGACGTGAATAAGCCACAGAGATCATCACTTGTTAGAGTGAAATCAGGTTTACGAAGCTTAACAGGGTGCGAAGCTGCTCCTTGTCTTTGCCCCTGGCGATGACGTACTCCGATGTCATATCTGCCAAGAATTCGAAAGGGTGGTCTGTTGCTACATCTCTTGCAATCTACAATGCTCTGCCAGTCAGAATGATGCCCATGGAGTTTCAGGTCGTGAAGCCCACGATCAGCGACTTGATGCAAGTTTGTCAGGGTTGGTGTGGGGTGACACTCCGCCGACAAGGCTTAATTTGTGGCAGCATAATCTTTCTCACCTCAACATACAATAGATAGTAATGTATTCAATCCTTAGATCCAAGCCATGAGAAATCAGTTTGTAGATATTGTTCAGCGTAAACTTCTGCACCTTTGGCAATAAGACAATAGACTATTCTGAAGCTGGCCCGTAGAACGGCGGTACTGAGAGCTATCCAGTAAAATCATTATATCTCTTCTCCTTCACTGTGCAAATTTCACAGCAAGCTCATTCTCCAAGTTCTCTTTTGAATTTCCTGTAGGGAACGTTGAAATGAGCTATAGAGAGTCCCCATCGCGTGACTGCATTGAAGCAGTTTTGCTTCTTTTTACTTCGACCAGCTCCGACGTTGACAGGGTTGACCAGGCTAGGAATCAATATGGACGACTCCAATTCCTCTTCGATGGATTCATTGTGACTGTCCCTTCACTTTGTCACGTCCGGGTTGCTCAGCGCTGATACTGCAAATGATAATTGAGTCGTACCCAGGAATCCCGTACATGCAGAGACTCTGAGCGAGAGAATAATACTAAGCATTGTCATCAGGGATACCCCGTCTCGGAAATCTCAACCTTTGGTGGGCTGAGCAAGCCCATCTGCCACCTGGGGTAGCAAGAGAGAATATCTCCTAGCGATACAAAATTTCCTGGCTACATGACTCAGGATCTCAGCGACGTGGCGCTCAGTTTAGCAATGAATAGTTGTCACATCATGTCGCCTGACCATTACTGCCAAAAGAGCGATGTATGGCCGCTCATACAGGAATCTTGTCTGTGTCGGACAGCTGAGGGACACAGTAGAGCACCGGTGAACTTCGCAGAGCCCCCTGCATTCCATTATGCTTAACAAGCCTCGAATGGCAAGATTCAGGGGAGAGTAAGGCGAGGAAGTCGAGCGGCTAAAGTTGCCAGTTTTCTACATCTTACCGAGCGGCCTGGACCCTGCCTGGATCCTGAAGTGTGGATGCAAGGATGGTATAGACTGATTATTAATGCGAATGTGGGGATTAGCCATCAGCTCGTAGGGCTCGGGAGGGAGTCGATCGTTGGTGAAACATTCCACCACGGCCTTATTTACATATTTCCGTCGGACGATCAGAATGAAGCCGGCGATCAGGGCCAAGTGCAGCGTTAATCTGGCAGCACGCGCCAGCAGGGCTCAGTGACGTGACTGTCACGTGACCCTGATGACAGCCGCGGATCACAGCCGAGATGTCCTTAAGACCGCGCCTCCACCTACGGCGCCACCTTCATCCCCAGCTTCACTCTGCGTACTCTCAGTGTGGCTGTATTGAAGATGATAAGATTATTGGCATTTGAGCTGTGATTCGGTGTTCCAAGTCTTCTTCCCTTGTCTTCCGACCCAAGTCGCATTCCTTTCTCCACCATGGCATCGCTCCCAGGCTACCCGGCTGCGGGGAGAACGAGATCGTCCGATGGTGCCACAGCGACAAACCCTGACGCTGGCTCCACACTGGAAAATACGACCCTTCAAACACAGGCTTTTGACGATGTCGAGACTGTTCTCTTGAACAAAGGTTCCTCGACTCCGAATCCCGCCGATAACGTCACGGAAGTAAACGAGAAGGGCGTCGGCCGCTCTTCAAATCTCAACGATGTTTCCAATCATGATGAGCCGCGCAAGTGCTGGATTTGCTATACCGATGAGACAGAAGATTCGCCTTTGAACTTGGAGTGGCGATCTCCCTGCCCTTGTGCCTTGACAGCCCATGAGGCATGCCTGCTGGACTGGCTTGCTGATATGGAGAACCCTCGCGCGCGCAAGCGAAATGGTGCCAGTGCAAAGATGGTGTGTCCGCAGTGCAAATCAGACATCGTCGTCACTCGCCCACGAAGCTACGTTGTCGATACCCTGCGCGTGGCTGAGAAGGTGGCGGGTCGGTTAGTCCTCCCTGGCATAGTCTTTACTGTGGCTGGAACCGTGTGGGCCGGCTGTTGTGCACATGGAATTTACTCGATGCATCTGATCTTCGGCTCAGAAGAAGCAAGACAGATTCTCCAGAGTAGTGCCGAGGGTCCGTGGAATCCTGGATTGAACATCGGCCTTCCGCTTATTCCGCTTTCTTTGATATTCTCTCGCACCCGCTATGGCGATGGTCTCCTCCCAGCCATCCCCGTACTTTTCTTCGCCGCGCATAGCCCTGGGCAAGAGCCCGACTTCGACCTCTGGCCGCCTACGCGGGCCATAACTTTTGCCGCTCTGCCGTATGTTAAAAGCGTATACGCCTCGCTTTACGAGCGATTCTTTGGTGGGTTAGAGAGAAAGTGGATATCCGAGGTACAACCTCGCGCTGCGGAGGAAGTGATGGATGAAGTGCAGCAACAGGACCAGGCCGAAGGCCTCAATCGATTTGGCGAAAATGTCAATGGCCAAATTCTTATGGAGATAGATCTCGAATTACAGGTAGGGATGGGCGAGGATGACGAGCCGCCAGAGGCACCGGCTATTCCTGCCGCAGAGAATCACGACGGCGCTGACCTCGGCGCTCAGGACGGACAGGCACAAGGACAGAACATCGGGCAGGGCCTAGGTCTCGGGCGCCGTCAAAACGAAATCATCCATGATACCGGTAACCTCGCCGAGATCGTACTCGGAGCGCTCGTTTTCCCGGCCATCTCTGCCTCAATGGGAGGACTTCTGAAATACGTATTGCCTAAGTCATGGACCACTCCGTCTTCAGTCCTCGAGCGCAGTCGTCCCGGTCTCCTCCAGAGCCGCTGGGGTCGCAGCGTCATTGGAGGATGCATGTTTGTGCTTCTCAAGGATGCGCTCATTCTTTATTGTCGGTGGAAACTAGCGCAAACTCACCGACGGCGCAAGGTGCTGAACTACGACAAATCCAAAAAGAAGGGCAGGCCCAAGCGGTGATGTCGACAAATGAAGTTTGCTATCTTTCTCTTTCACTTCGGTTCGATTCGGACGCTGTTTGCATTCCACGGCGTTTAACAGGGGATTCGATTCACGATTTTGGCGAGACTCGCCTTTGATACGCATGCCTGACATATGACGCCTCACGACCCTTAAGATACCGGTGCCATACTCATTGATACTTCTTTTCTTGATATTACTTTCTTTGTACTCACCAAGCCCTTCTTGTACTTAGTATATGTTGGAAGATCCAGACACTCCTGTCACATAAAATAATGGATGCACTCTAGCAAAAATCTTTAACACAACCATTCAGGAATTGCAATCTGATAGTAGCTTATGCGGATATGGTACTAGGTTTGAAGATAGGCAAGAAAGTGAAGAGCAAGGCGAGGGGGAAAGGTAAGGAGAAGAGGCGCATCAGATCAAGAAGACACATTGTAAAGAGGAAATCAATACTAGTACTATAGGAGGAACGCAGATAGTATAAAACTGAGTCTGAGGAGCTCCTGTCATTAATTCCCCACCAGTTTTTAAAGGGTTAATGACCAAAAGCGCCGACAAATTGCTTCAATTGATGCCTCCTAAGAGCACCGAGTGTCAGGATTCGGTCATAACTTACATGCAAATTGGTTTCCGGTCCCCAAGAGAAAAATCAGTAGAAACATTCAGGAATGCCTTACGGCGGGGATGCATGATTCAGGGCCGGTACAAGATAACAATCTGTGTGATGTGTTTTGCCCTTTTCCAAGAACGTAGACTGGCGCATACTGCTAATGTTTTCATGATCCGATATTTCTCATCAATTTTGATTAGATCATGTCATTGAGGTGGTAAAACAATCGCGAAATACATCGGCGCCTCAATTCCGCTAACGTGGAGCCTCAAAAGTTATTCATAAAAACATGCTATTCTTGGTCATCCAATGATTCAGGTAGTCATTCTGAAGACTGACCGTTCAGGCGCAGTATCTGGCTTTTATCATTAATTTAATTTTTATTTTCTATCTTCTAGATGGATATCGCCTCAGGAAATTGAAATGAACTAGATCTGATCGAGGCAGTTGTTACAATAGTCAAGATAGATGCTGCCGGGTAGGCGCGCGGCTAACAAAAGGCGGACAAGATTCTGCCGTCAGGGAATTATTCACCCTGTATCTGCGCACCGCGTGTCCTGCATCCCCCATAAACCATCACAATGCGGTCTCTATCACCAGCCCTCGCGTCCCTCGCGAATGTCTTCCGAATCCCCATGTCACTAACCCCGGCCCGCCCGACCGTGTCCCGAGTCTGTCACGAGACTTTGGCCCGCCGGCCATCACCACAACTCGGCCCGATCACCGCGGCCGTGCAATCAGCTCCCTTCTCGTCGACAAGTTCAATGGCGAAGAGAAAGAGCGGCGGCTCTAATGTGGACAAGCGAATTAGTACGTTTCCGGGAAGGCAAACATTTGCCCCAATTGCTAGACGCATTGCCGGCTGTCTAGACCACGACAAATATTACAGTTTTAACGTCACTTCCAGCTCTCATCCGCTACTTCCTTTATCATCCTCTGACTCCCCGTCCTCTCCGTTTCTCCCGCAACCGTTACCTCCGCCACTGGACTATCCATCGCGCTTGGCAACTGTTCCAGGCCAAACAGCGCAAGGCCCACGAACTCGAGCTTGAGCGCCAGTACCAGGCCATGCAGTCTGCCTGTGAGGAGCTGCGCGTCGGTGCCGGCGATGGCGGCAGACTGTTCCGCAAGTCGATGATCAAGCAGGGTATCTTCACCGACATGTTCCCTATTGAGTACGGCCGCATGCAAACCGAGTACCCCGCCGGCGAGGGCTGGAACCACGACTGGAAGCGCCCTGAGAGAAAATAAATAGAAGATTTTACGCAGAGGGTCTGATATTGCCATGATTGGATTTGCTCTCAAGTGAATTGGCAGAGGAAGATTTTGTATTATTTGGCGCCATGTATTATATGCATTTTTTTGCTTGCCATATTCCATTTGTTTCCAAATATATTATTGTTAAATTTCGGGGCCACTAGACTCAAATATCTACAAGTTTTGCCTGTACTGTCTGTGCAGATGAGATGGAATTGAAGACCCTTGGAACAAGAGAATGACCGCGTTGTATGAGAGCAAAAAGAAAATCACAAGAATCACTACAAGAAATGAAGAAAAGGAATGAAAAGTGGCAATAGCACTGCACTTCAGAGGAATGAGGGAAACAGAGATCCGGAGTTGCACGGGCATGAGATCGGGATATAAAGGAAGGGCGGTAAGGAAAGACTGTCAAGGTATCCCGAAAGAATAGACAAAGCCAACGGACCGAAAAGAACACAAAAGGCAGTCGTTCCCGACCCAATCGAGCCAGGATTGCACAAGAACCTCCCAAACGCCAATGATGCATGATACAGCAGAAATTCGAATCAACTGGCAAAGAAGCGCTTAAGCCAAGGCCATCGAGATCCAAGAGAGAAAGATAAATCGAACGCTGGGCAGAGAAAAGAGTCGCAATGTGGGATCGGTCACATTATCGGGTCATTAGAGAACGACGCAGCAGGAGTTTTTCCGCTTATCGAAGGTGAGGAGTGCCGCTCTTGTTGCAGCTTCGAACACATCGTCGACACCCTCGCCGGTCAAGGAGGAGCATTCGAGGTATTTGCGAGCGCCGATCTGTGTCCCGGTCTCATTACCTTCTTTGGTTGTCACAAACTTCAGTGACTTCTTGCGCATTTCTTCAATGGCCAAGGGATCTTCACGGAGATCTTTCTTGAGCCCAACCAGGATAATAGGAACACCGGGGCATCGCTCGTTCGCTTCTTCGATCCACTATTTCCAGCCATTAGTGACTCACAGTTGGTTGCTGGGGCGCCGCGACGAACCTTGTGCTTCACGTTGGATAACGAATCTGGCGAGTCCACGGAGAACCCGATCAGGAGAACATGCGCTTTCGAGTATGCTAGCGGCCGCAACCGCTCATAATCTTCTTGGCCTGCTGTATCCCAGAGAGCCAATTGTACTGAGCGACCGTCCACTCGGCAATCAGTCACGTAATTTTCGAATACCGTCGGGACCTAGGCAACAACAATTAGAGGGTGTCAACGGGGAAGAATTTGCTGTCGACGAACATAATGCTGTAGCGGATATCTTGTCAGTGATTTGCTTCATGACGCGACTTCTTGTGGGTGGCAACATACGGTTGGGAAGTAACCGAGGGTGAACACACTTAGTAGACTGGTCTTGCCGCAGGCACCGTCTCCAATAATCACAAGCTTCCTAAACAGGTGGATCGGATTAGCATCTGCCGATCACACGGGCCAAGCAGTTTCAGATTCAGATTCTGGAACGAGCTCCAATATCTCCAGGAATGACATTGCCACTGGGTCGTTGGAGGTACTGGGCACATTCGTACAATTGGGCTTGAGAGGCGGGTATGACAAGACACCCTGGGGTAAGGAAAGTGGCCGCGCGTACCTCCGCATCACATTGTCGTTCTGTTGTTGGGCCATGGTACACAGTGGCACGTCGAATCGAGTTCGTCGGAGAGCAAACAAGATGATGATCGAGAGGATGACCAGGTCTCGGGGCTCAGATCACTTAGATTGTCGAGGCGTGCTGACCACGATCGCGACACGGAAGCGGACAGGGGCGATGGAACTTTAGCCCTGCGCACAATGTACTTTATCCCTCACCCAATAAAAAGCAGGAGATGAGGGGAATGGGGTTGGCCTACAGCACAAACCAAAGTGACGTGACGGGCCGGAGTTTGAAGGGGAGGGGGCGCCTCAAGGCGGTCGGAGATTGAAGATGGGCAAAGTTGAAAGATTGGAGAAATCTCGAGGGTCCCGAGATTCAAGCAGAAAAACGAGTGAATGTGCAGATGCGTGGAAACGAGAGAACCCAAGTTGTTGATAAGATGAAGGGTTGAGAGTGAGGGTGGGAGGGAATGCGGTTAACCAGAATCCGGAGATTTAAGGCTCACCTCCGGGGTTCAGAATACGGAATTTGATACACACACGGCAGTACCCCCGTCTACAATCATCCGCTCTGGTTCTGCTTAGAAAAATCTGCCTTTCGTTATTTTTAATTAGCGCTGTCCGTGTCTCACTGCGCAGTGGAGCAAAGGCGTTGCTGTCACGTGGAAGCACACCGCTTTGATAGACAGGCAGAGCAGAGCGGTGTGCCATCAGCACGTGATCTCAAATTGATCGTGATGTCTGCGCGGGCGTGGGATATTCTGGAGAATAGCGCATTGTGACGATTGGCTTGCGTTCATTGAGCTCACATCCCGGGCTCCGCTAATTGACTGGTACTTTCTTGAAACGAGCCCTGTTTGCAGTTGCTGCCTGACTGGTCAGGCACCAGCTCGCTTGCGGCGGCTATCTCGTTGCGGCGGCACGACAACCAGCCAGAACGCAGGAAAGCCCATCGCTTCGTTCATCATCTGGCATAAGATCTCGCTGTCTTTGCGTCCCGCGACTTTCGGGGCTCTGCTTTGCTGCTGGCCCTGGCTTTAACCTCTTGTACCTCCCACACCGCCGGTCTCCCACCGCCCCGGCCTCATTTCCGACCTGCGATCACTTCCTGACCCGCCGGCATTACTGCCTTCCAACCCCCTCCTCGACTACGATCCCACACCCCTTCTGCTCGCTACTCTGGCCCTTGTGCAAGTAACAAAGGATTTCTGTTCTTCTCCACACGCGCAGCGGAGTCTGTCTAGGCCGATCCCTGCATTGGATTGACCGGAGCTTTGTTGGTAGGCTCTTTCTCCCTCCCGCCTCTCCGCTTTGAAGCCTTTCGCTTTGGAACCCCACTCCCCGACCCCGACGTGACTCTGAATTGGAACTAACATTCCTTTGCTCGTGGTCATAGTCCACTGCGCAGGCAGTCGCTACAAGCTCCTCGATTCATCATGGCGACCCATTTATCGACTGCTCCGTCACCACCTGTCAACGGCGACGCGCGGGGTCCTTTGAGCCTTTCAACACCCGGAACCATGTCAGTACCGACGCCCGGCGTGAATCGCAAGAAGCAAAAGCGTCGACAGAAGCAAGCTGCTCGCCTGGCAGCCGAGCCGAACCACTCGCATGCCTCCGGCGACCTCGCCGACCCGGCTGATGATCGACATTCCTACGATGACAATGCCGACCTAGATAGTGCGGATGGGAACCATTCTGGCGACGACCAATTTTACAGGAATGGGGAATCAAGCTCACACCACGACCTTGTCTCTCCAGGCGGAGCTGACGATCATCACCACCTCACGAGCGACCGATCAAAGAAAAAGAAAATCAGAAAAGGCCGCTCTGGATCTCACACCCACGCCAATGGCAGCTCGACTCCCCTCTCTACTCCTTCCGCAACCTTCTCTCATCCTCCGCCGCCTCACTCTCTGCCTTATTCCACCAGATTTCCTGCCCGATCCGCTAAGGAAAACAGCATCTGGAACCAGTCGTCACTGGAGGAACGTGAGAACATCCGAACGTTCTGGTTTGAGCTGGGCGAAGAGGAGCGTCGCCAGCTTGTGAAAGTCGAGAAAGATGCCGTGTTGAAGAAGATGAAGGAACAACAGAAACACTCTTGTAGTTGTACTGTCTGTGGCCGGAAGCGCACCGCAATTGAAGAAGAGCTGGAAGTACTGTACGATGCGTACTACGAAGAGCTTGAACAATACGCCAACAACAACCAAGGCTCCTTTGAGGAAGGAGCTCCCATCATCCCCCCACCTCGCTTGTACCAACCCCCGCTTCGATCACCCGGGCAGCATACTCGGACCCATGGTCAATTTCATCCGTCACGAGGCCGAGTCGAAGAGGAACCAGAAGACCAAGAGGATCTTGAAGATGATTACGACGAAGAAGAGGAAGAGGACGAAGATGACGATGAGCTGTACAGTGACGATGAATTTGAGGATGAGGAAGCCCGCGCTGCTCGAGCTGACTTTTTCGCCTTTGGTAATAGTCTCACTGTTAAAGGTAAGTGCGCTAATTTCTGATTAATTCGATGGAAGAATGGCAGGAGGCTGACCCGTGGCTTCTTTAGACGGCATCCTTACGGTGGCCGATGATCTTCTCAAAAATGACGGAAAACACTTTATCGACATGATGGAGCAATTAGCCGAGCGACGAATGCAACGAGAAGAAGACACTCAATACAGCATAGCCACCGCTCACCAATCGTTCCATGCCGGTCACAATCACGGCCCTCTCGACGACGAAGACTACGACGACGAAGAGGACGAGGATTACGACAGCCAGGAAGAAGAAGAGTTCGACGAAGACGAAATGGATGCCATGACCGAAGAGCAGCGTATGCAAGAAGGGCGGCGTATGTTTCAAATATTTGCAGCCCGAATGTTCGAACAACGAGTCATGACAGCATACCGAGAGAAAGTCGCCGAGCAGCGCCAGAAGCAACTCATAGAGGAACTTCTGGAGGAAGAGAACCGAAACGAGCAACGGAATGCCAAAAAAGCTCGCGAGGCCCAAAAGAAGAAAGATAAGAAGCGCCTGCAGAAACAGGCAAAGGAAGAGGAGAAGGCTCGCCGAGAGGCCGAGAAAGCAGCCGAGGAGGCTGCCATCAAGGCTGCACAAGAAAAGAAGCTCGAAGAGCAGCGCTTGAAACGCGAAGAGCAGCGGAAGAGGCGCGAGGCCGAACGCAGAGCCCAAGAAGAAGAGCGTGCACGCAAGGAAGCCGAGAAGCAACGGCGTCTTAAGGAAGAACGAGAACGTCAAGCTGAAGCTGAACGCAAGCAACGCGAGCAGAAGGAGGAGAAGAAGAAACGAGACGAAGCCATGCGCAAGGAGAAGGCGGAGCGCGACAGGAAGGCCAAGGAGCAGCATGAGCACAAAATGCGCGAGCAGCAGGCGAAGAGGGACCGAGACGCCGTTCGAGCGGATCAAGATAGGGGATTCGCCAGGAAATCCACGCCCCTATATCCTGCCTCCATCCCTATTGCTCCGAGTTTGCCATCCCATTCTTTTAGTGGCTCGCTTCAATCACCGCTTTATGCTACAGCTTCCCCTGTTGCTCCTAAAGCGTCGACCCCCGGAAGAGCGCGTCAACCGTCCCAGCAGGGATCCCACACATCCTCTCCTCATTCACAGCCTGGGTCCTCGGATTTCCCTCCGCAACCGTCCATCTCACCTCGTTCTTTGGCACAACCGCAGGGTAGACAGGGATCTCAGCACCAGCCTCCTTTACATCATCCTCAACCTTCTGCTCCCCTTTCGCCTCTGGGTCGAAATGGCCCTCCTGGATTTCCGGGTTTGGGCGGATTGCCTTCGAACCCTCCAGGTCTACCGCCAATGGGTGGCCGGCCTCTCCAATCCGACTTGCACATGTACTCTCCCAACTCGGGCATGATGAGCCACCTGCGCGGGTTCGGCGGGCCGGGAGGAATTCCTGCACCACCTGGAATTGGCGGAGTGCGTCCCATCCCACAGGGCCGCGGGTTCCCCTCGGAACCTGGGCATGGCTTCCCCTTCCCGGGACCGCCTGGGATTCCCAGTGCATTTTCAATGCAGCAGGGCTTGTCAAAGTCACATTCACGGCAGCCATCTGCATCGTTTGATCGATCTCCGTTGGAGTCGGGTTCCCAACCATTCCCGATTACTCGACCAAGCCCTATCAAGCGCCCCTCAAGCACAGCACAAGATCAGCAAGAACTTGGTCACACTCCATATCAGCGGGAGGTGGATCAATTGAGTACTCAGTTGGGTAGCAGTGCGCTTCTCGACGATACTGATGATCCATACTCATCGAAGCTTTCCCAGTCGTTACCAGGTGCCACGGCTCCCGGACATTTCCCTACGCCATCACGAGCTAGCTTCCAGGGATCGTCGCTATTCGCAGATCCTCTCGGTAAGCCCAACCCAATATATCATTTGTCATCTTTGGAATTGTTCAACTAATCTGCAGTAGGATCTAAACACGCGAATTTCCCTGCTGTCGGCCCTGGATGGGGTGCCTCACCTTTCGGGAGCACGGCCTTCCCCGGTGCATCTACCTGGGGGCCTACACCCGCCGGGAGTGGATGGTCTCATAACGCCTTTGCAGCCGGTGGTCACCACCGTGCTCATACGTCGCGACCTGTAACAATTCGCCTGCTGGTCATCCAAGCCTGCAAGCACTTGAACACGCTAAGCCCTATTCCCGGTTCTGGGGGCTACCACAATGTGAATCTAGTGCTAGGCCAAGTGGAGCAGTTACGACCATCAAATGAGCCCGCAATCTCACTGGATGAAATGCTTGATATCTGTGACACCGAAGGAAGCCCCCAGAACGGTGGTGGGTCATTCTCTATCAAGGAAGATGAGAATGGCCGGTATGTCAAGTTCGAACCAGACACCAACAGCGCCGTGCCTGGTCACCGGGGCAGCCTCGTGCCTGGTGATATCGGCAGTCCCATTCCTGGGAATAGCCACCCGGCCGCCTTCGGTGGATTTGGTGCTCTCCTCCGTCCTACGGCAGTACACCTCGCCTCCGGCTGGATTGTTTGGGTCTTCCTAGGTAGTCCCCTGATATCTTGTTACGCGCTCTATGGGAATGACTCCTGAAATGCCCCCTTCTTACTGTCTCTTTTTTTCTTTGTCTCTGATTGAAGCGTCACGGGTTCACGTCATCCACACGTTCTGAAGTGTCTTTTTCTTTTCTGATATGAGATTATGGACTATTGCTGATCCCTCTGTTCTGTTTCTGGTTTGCGTTCAAGTCGGCTTGACTTGAGCTCGGGGCATTCGGGTTTGTTTTGTACGTCATGACTTTACTGGCCTTTCTGCATTATGCAGCGATATCCTAGGGGATTGGGACAATCTCCCTCTCGTCGTCGTCCTTGAAACAATTGCATGATCGAAGGTTTCTTCGTCTTTTATTCCACGGCCTGTGATCGACGTAGTCGTAAATAATTGTTTTCAATGTCTGCAGGGTGAATGCTGTCGAGGTTAAGTTCTCAAGTTCTCTCTGGAGTCATAGCTAACAGCAAAGGAGATTGCAAGCCATAGCTCGCCTCGTTCTATAGGTACGAAGAGAATCAAGAGCAAAATAGAGGACCAGCATTGATCTATTCGGAGGCAAAACAGGCAACAAAGTTAATGGAAAGGGTATGGTGTTATCCAGAGACAATGGTACACTTGTATATACTCAGAAGCATGAAGAAAAAGCATCACAGACGAGAGGCTGGCTTCCAAGGATCAAAAAGACGAAATAAACAACCAAGGCAAAAAGATCCCCGCGCTGCAAGTCTCATACACAGAACCCCCCACACGACCAGGGACTCGATCAGTTCCCACATCAGAGAAAAAAACTTCTGAAAGATCTCACTTGAAACTACTGTCGCTCAGTCACGACACCCTCGTACTCTCGAGAGCGGATGTACTCCAGGGTACGCTCGAAGTGGCGCTTCGGGCCATCGAGACTGGGGTTAGGCTCGTCCTCGCTGGTTTGCAGGTTGGAATGGATGAGCTCGATGAGACCGTTGAGATACTTGGTAGTAACCGTCTCGTTCTGCTGGTCGAAGTAGTAGACGTAGCGGTTGAGGATCTCGACAAAGAGTTCGACTGACACAGCAGTGTCCATGCAGGCGTCCGCGACACGCAGAGCGCGCTGGAGACATTCAAGGACTCGTTTCCCGTCCCGGTAGAGCTGATGATATGTTAGTAAACGATGCGTCAAAATGAGGATTTGATGAACTTACGCTCTGTGGATCTTCGTCCACGCGTTGGGGGTTTTCGACAATCCACCAAAGGTGACTTGCAAGGTACACGGCACGGCACTGATCAGGCTTCTTGAGAAGCTTGCTTCCGTGCAGGGCAGCCTTGGTAATGAGGGTGTCGTAGTTCTCCTTGGAGAAGCCACGGGTACCGTGAAGGGCACCCGCAATAACGCAGACGGCCTGGAACTGGGCACGCGAGTCGCTAATCGCATCTTCATAGATAGTAAAGGCCTGTGCAAAGAACTCGTAGCTGACTTCTTCGAACCCAGTCTGGTCGGCTACCTCACCACACATGACAAAGAGTCGCAGTGCCAAATCCGCACAGCCAGGGTTCACCCGCTGGTAGAGATTGTTGACGCACTGGTGCATAAAACGGTAAAGAGCCGATGATTGCGATTGCCAGTTTTCGTCATAATGCTCGCGTGACTTCAGCTTTCGCGCCAGCCGAATCGAGGCTGTGATGATGGCGGGTGTAGTATAACGGATGCGCTCGTTACCCTCCATATAAGCCTTGCGCGTTGCCTGAAGGAGCTATGGGTATAGTGTCAGCAAGGGATATAAAGTCGAGGGAGGGGGATCGTACCTTAAGTTGGGTGTCATTATCTGGTGCCTGAATCAAATGTACCAGTCGCGCAAGCCATCCTTGTTCCTCGATGGTCTCGTCAGTCTCTCCTCCCCGTCGTTGTGCCTGCACACCAGGGTATCCTGCGGACTGTTGAATGCCCTCTCTGATTAGTACCTTTGCGGTCTGCAACACACGGTCAAGGTTCTCTGTCGAGGAAACAATGGTCTTGTTCTTGAGCATGCTTCGAATAATCTCTCCGGCAACAGACCTCCTAGTGGGATACGACTGCGATGTGAGAAGCGGCAGATAGTGCGGTAAAGCCAAGGCCGTGAAGATAGAAACGTAAGAATGGAGCGGAGCGTTGAGAAGGTGGAGAATGTGCTGCTGAGTTGGTGCCGAGTGCAGATCGGCGTGATCAGTGTATTCGGCGGTTTTTTGAGCTGCAAAGTCGAGGACTTGGTCGACATATTCCAGTTGGTCCGGGTAGGTGTTCAACGCGAGGTTGACTAGGGACACCAGTAGAGCCATGGCATCTTGAATCGGCAACGCGCGCGTTTTAATCAGATCAACCACCTGCTTGTAGAAGATGTCGTACAGCTTGGCTTCTGCGGGAGGAGCGGCCTTCCCGTCCTCCCCATTGGCGGCTTGTTCAGGCTCCTTTGCGGGCTCAGACGTCTCCTCGGGCTTGCTTGTTTCACCAGTGCCATTTTCTTCGGTGCTATCAGGGCCAGAAGCCACAGTGGGCTCTTGCTTTTTATTCTCCTTGTCAAGCTCGAGCTTCTGCAATAACCGAGTAACCGCTTCTTCCTCATTCTGCTTCCGCGCTTCTGGCTCAAGGCGCGACTCCGTATCCTTTTGGGCGTATGATGACAACCGGTCCATCAGGCCAATAACAATCTTCTTCAAATCAACATGTGGGTTGAGCCGAGCGATGGCGGAGAGCAGGAGGTCCAGGGTGTGGAGATGGAATTCATCAGGGAAAACCTTCGTGATAACTGTCGACAAATCAGTAGCCGCGCACCAGGTGCAGATCAAAAGGGAACGTACCTTCCAGAAGATATTCTTGGGCCAGGACATCGCGACACTGCACCACTTGCTCCAGAAGGGCCTGAAGAATGCCGGACTTGTATGTCTCGAGATCTACCAGCTGGCTCAAGCGCACAATGTTACTGCCCACCAGAAGCTCCAATTCGCGTCTTTCCTGTATCCGTCTTTCCCGCTCTCTTGACGGACCCTGATGCTGTAGCCGGACCCAGAGCTTATTCATCTCCACGAAATTGGTCAAAACGAAATTGATCGAGTCCTGCAGGTTGCCCTCGGGGCCCTCGCCAGTTCCATCAGGCAGGAAATCTCTCGCCTGACCAGACAAATAGTATCGTAAAAATAACCCCCGAATGGGATGCTGGACGCCACGGCTCATCTCCATCATGTCCTTCATAATCTCCTTGACCGGCGCATCCTCGACCGACATGTATACGGTACCGACGGTGATCATCAGATACAAGCGAGGTACGATATTACCGGCATATTGAACCAGCTCATAAAGATCGGCCAGGTGGTTGACAGGGTGGTTCTCTTTGAGATAAACGGACAGGTGTCGCAGCGCATCGAAAACGGCCATGTACAGCTCATAATACTGCTTCGGACCGAGACTCGGGGTTCGCAATTCGGAGACAAGAGTTGATCTGTAGCCACACGTCGTAAGGACGCCGCAATTAGCACGCATGATTGTCTTGCGCAGACACCCGACGGTCCAACGTCGCTGCCTGGGGGGGTAAGAGGACGACTCACCCACACTTGAGCGCATCCATGAGCTTTCCGGGGGTCTCAAGGCATTTGCGCATCATAGCCGACTGCTGCCGCACCACGCCCAATGCCTCCTCGAGGAGGCGGTTTTGGTCCTCCGGGACAGGCGGTGGGCTCGCCATCGTGGAGCGAGTGAGGGAAAACTGAGGAGGCAGGGGAGCTTTCAAGAGCAACTCGAGAAAGTAATATTCACAATGTCCACACCCAGAGACAACAATTCATGGACGTGGGGAGGTAGCTTGGGAGATGGGGGAGGGGAAGAAGGTGAGTTGGAATTGGAGGCCAAGCTCGTCCCATTGGGTGACACCATGAGGGTGGACAATCCCCGAAACGTCACTTCACTATTTACTATCGTTCCATGTTCACCTTCAAATGCGCTTTTCCAACACCGATTCAAGGCTTCACATTTTCTACATTATGAAGGTAAAGATTGTAAACTCATGCGGTCATCTCGATTGTCCGTAGCTTCTTCAGCCTTCAGCCTGGGATTCTGTTGCCCGCGGGGACACCGCATTCCAGCACGTGGCCAGCTCCATCGCGCCGTCACTATAGTGAACGGATGCTGCGACAAGGAACTGAACACTATAGACTATCTCAAAAGGGGGGGCTCCATTGCCCGTGTTCTCGCCAGGCGCTCGTCGCTAAGGTGCAACGGGCGGGAACTTTTCCTTTCCAGCATCTTTTCAGCATTTTGGAGCTCATTGGTGAATTTTTGAGCAGGAAGCTGCCATAAAAGCGTTCGGGTCTTGATCATTGTTGCTTTCACGAGCTCCAAATAGCTTGGACCTTTGGACGGAGATGTATGGAGTCTTCCTATTGCGCACAGCTGGATCAATGTCTGCCATCGATCTCGATTGGTCCTGAGCATGATGATTTTCAGGACATTCATCATGGTGTATCTCCGTTCACTGATCATATTGAAATGTTTCAACTTGCGATGTCGGGCGGCCGTCTCCTGCAGCAGCTGGGACTGTCGCGAAAAGCTCATCCGAGAGCGTCGCGCATTTCAAGTTGGCTTCGAGATTGAACCTCAAGACGGATCGCGATCCATGAGCATACGTCGACTTAGCCCGCTGTACCTAGTCTAGATCGAGGACGGCCGCAGGCCCAACAAGCCGTAGTTCCAGCTTCAATGGAAAATGGCGGGAGTGAATCAAGCAACTCCTTGGGCTTATCTTCCACGATCGTGTAGAATCTCCACATTTCCATCTAGAAGTCCATGATGTTCATTGTAAAAAAACTTTCCACACGGGGGAAAGATACAGGGGTCCTGGTCCTGGTCGGCATCTCTATAGGCTTTCCCGCCCTCAGCCTTGTCACACACACGATTCAGTGTATCGAGCCCCGCACTTCCCAGCAGTAGGTTGGAGCAGGGCACAGCTCGCTTCAAAAAGATGGGCTTTGGTGACTGTAGACTAGTCTTAGCTGGCATCACTGGGATCAAGGCACATGCGTACAGGGTGCAGCGCAAGGCATCGAGCAGCTCCAGTGTGAACAACGGGAATGTGCATCTCTCTTTGCATAGTTTGCATGGCTCGGAGCACATACGCAGCCATTAAGATTGAAGACACAACTATTCTCACAGCAAGGAGGATAACGGTATCCAGAATGGCAAGCCGCAGTGCAGTCATGGGTGTAGTTGGCGTAGGTCTTGCCACACAGAAGTAGGCAGACACCATGTTCAATTGAAGATCCCCATCCACCTTATTCATGAACCACTGGTGGTATTGCTTGTTACAATTATGGCCACAGGGCATGAGACTTCCGGAGCATCGGTACTGAGAGGAAGTGATGTCAACATGGCAGTCAACGGTAACTTCGTGACCGCAGCCGGGTATTTCTCCACCGACTCACGACACTGACTGATCAACCGATACTGCCAGCATGCAAGATCAGATGGAATATGATCACATTTGACTGGGTGCTCCTCGTGACTTTTCACCATGCATTTTCTCACAAAGTGCCAGAAAAGAATATCTCAAGGTGTAGGATGAAGTGTAGTATATCCATTCCTCGAGAAAGTGACACAGGGAGATAATGACCAATACTTCGAAGACATTCCAGCAATGAACCTCTACGCCTAGTGTCAGTTATTCTCTAGCATGATCTCACTGTGTCAATCGGCTGGAGTGGTCTATATTTGGAATGAACATGAGCTAGCCGCCTTGGGAGACTGGAGGGGGCAAAAAGTGGAGAAAGCAACCCTTCCGCAGAGCCGTATCTATCACTTGCACCTATATGAGGAAGCATGTTATCCCTCAAATTCTCTTCGCCATCCGATGACCAGAGAACAGATACTTCTACAATACTGTATCTATAATGCCCACATGTATAAACTTACAGCCCGACCGAGGAAGTAATTTAAATGGGTCTCCGTACTTCATTCTTCGGTTGTGTCTCGACATCTTTTTTTGCTTTTCTTGAGAACTGTTCAAATTTCCTATTTCCTTTTCCAAAGAGATCAATTGACCCCGAGGATAGGCCATGATGATTTTGCCAATGTAATATGTATTTGTTTCAGGTCCGACAATAAAAGAGGAGGAATAGTATGTAAAATCTTATTGATGGGTAGGCTCGCCTGATCTAATGAGGGATAGATGCTGCATCTCGTTCATTTCTTTTTAGTGTTTATTTGCCTTCCTCATCTCAGCCATCTGCTCATCGGCCGAGTTCAAAACAGCCTGAACTCCCTTCTGGGAATACATGCGCTGAAGCCAATCCCCGACAAGAGGGAAATCCTCCGCGTTGAAGCCAGTGTCTGCGAACGCACCGTACGCGCTTCGCTGCCAAGGAATGAACGAAAGATCCGCATAGGAAATCTTGTTCCCGACCAACCAAGGCCCGTCCCCACCGTTATCCTTGTTCGCCTCCTTCTGTTTAGCAAGACACGCCTCCAGAACCCCCGTCACGCGCTTAGCCTCATTGACATAGCGATCGACCGCAGACTGAATCTTCTCGCTATGATATTTCATGAACCAATAAGCCTGGCCATAGTAGGGACCCTGGCCGGTCGTCTGGAAATAGAGGAAAGAGCGAGCTGCTTCGGCCTCGGCGCTAAATTTGGGGAAGCTCAGCTTGCGGGGCTCTTCGGTGTCGTAGCGCTCGATGAGATATTCGATGATAGCTCCAGATTCCCAGATAGTGAGGCCGGTATTGGGGTCATGAATGGACGGGAGACGGCCGTTGGGATTGATTGCGACGTATTCAGGTTCTTTGACCTTGTCGAAACCAACCTGGATGGCTTCATAGGGGAGACCGAGAACGGTAAGAATGATGCCGACTTTCAGGGGATTGGGTCCAAGGATTCCCCCGTAGAGTTGGATTGGCTTAATAGCAGAAGCCATAGTGGATGGTTTTGGGGTGGAGCCGAAGTCTCAATTGATGTTGATGATGAATAGATATGCTTTATGGTGCAACTTGCCTCTTCTTATGTAGGATGCAGGTAAATTAGAACTCCGTAGAGTATCATAGTTGTTTCCAATTCAATTATTAATTTATTCCTGCGAAGTGGGCAATAAAGGATCCGGGGTAAGCTCAGGGTGTCATTCTCTATTTCATTATTCAGCCGTCGGGCTTGTCGGACCCCGATCGCCCAGGATGCCGAAGCCGCAACTACGGACGAAATCCACGGATGAATCTATCAAGCTGCGACAACACATTTTGACGAAAGAATAAGCACCAAGATCTCATTCACGAAGTAGAAAATCTTCAACTTCAATAAATTTGAAATCTTACTATCACTGAATCGGTAGCTTTATGGCCATGGAGTCTGAGACAATATTCCTGCTAGGGGGCAACAGGTATAGATGTTGAGCATCCCGGTCACAGTATGACTTATCCAGCTAACACGATAAGAATAGGTGGGCCAGGTCTTGCCTTCATCGAAGAAGCCCTCAGTTTTCCTAAGCCACCCCATCTAGTGCTTTATGTCCGCACTTCCTCGAACAGTTCACCCGTTATTACCAAAAATATAAATGTATCCCTCGTCAAAGGAGAACTCACAGACCTTGACGCGCTCACATCCGCCATGAAAGACCATTTCGTCACAACAGTCGTTTCTTTCCTCGGCGCATACGTGTCTTTCTCCGCTATGCTCATCCGCCGCATTGACACGCCAATTGCAGGACTCGTTCCAACTCTTATTCGCGCGATTGAAGTCAACAGAGTCAAACGTTTACTTGCTCTGTCGACGTCCTCGTACTGGATTGAAGATCGAGACGTCGCAACGTGGACGATGTCAATGTATAAGGCTCTGCCGAAGCTCTTTGCTCAGCGTGTCAGCGAAAGCAGCGCGGATCTAGACTGGACTATCTTTCGCATTCCGCATCTGACGGACGGTTCTGCGGATCTTCCTGTTTGGGCTGATTATATAGGACCGAGTCACAAAGGTGGGTTGAAGTTATCTCGGCGAAGTCAGGCGTGTTGGGCGATGAGAGAGATCCAAGCTCGGGAATGGGTTCGAAGATCGCCGTTTTTGGCAAACTCTTGAAGCTGTCGCGATGGTTCGAGTGGTGTGTTGGATTCAAGAGTGAAGTAACGACACAAGGTAAATTGGCGATAAAACAAATTCCATGTTTCAATAACTATCTGCTCCAGTAGAGGGCAACTGAAACAATACATCCTCAATCTCAACATATGACTCGAACACATGAACATTATATACACACGGGGTGAAAGGCGACATGGAGAAAATAAAACCGAAATGAGATCAACAACCACAATGCATGCGAATTGAGATACCTGACCAGCCAACCCAGCAAAGGGGGGATCAGGGGAACCCGTACCGGTACTCGGGTGCCAAAATTTTGCACTTTTGTCATAAGGTCCGCGGGAAGGCAATGTTTTTTTAATGGAGTTTCCGTGGTCAACTGATGCTTCCCAATCGCTTTTGGTGGACCTGCCAAGAAAACGCCATGGATATCAACGGTAAAAATAAATGACGGTTATGATAGACTTGAGCTCTTTAGGGAGTTTAGTCGCGGTGGTTGACGGCAAAGTCGACATTCCTCTTCCGCATCAGATCCTTGCGCTCCTTCTCCTTGGCTGTGAATGAGTTAGTTGATGGATCCATAATGAGTATCGGAATGAATGCGCTTACCTTCGTCATAGACCAAGAACTCGTGGAGACCTCGGCCAGAGGGAACCATGGGCAGGACAGGGACCTTGCGGTCAGTGATGACCTCGAGGAGAGCGGGGCCCTCTTGCTCAATGAGCCACTTCAGCTTGGCCTCAACCTCAGAGGCGCGGGAGACACGCTCCGCGGCAACGCGCATGGCGCGGGCCAGGGGAACGAAATCGGGGTTCTGCTGGTGGGTGTGGGAATAACGGTCCTCGTAGAACAGGTTTTGCCTAAATAGGATACTTAGCTTGAGTATTTGAAGATGGAAGATTGAGATGCATACCATTGTGTGACCATGCCCTGCTCTTCGTTGTTAAGCAGAAGAACCTTGACACCAATGCCGAACTGGGCAGCAGTGGAAAGCTCAGTCAGAGTCATGTTGAAGGAAGCATCACCGTCAATGTCAATAACCAGGCAGTCGGGGCGAGCCACCTTGGCACCGATGGCGGAAGGCAGACCGTAACCCATGGTACCGAGACCACCAGAGGTAATCATGGTACGGGGGTGGCGCCAACGGAAGTGTTGGGCAGCCCACATCTGGTGCTGACCGACACCAGTTGTGATGATGGTCTTGTCCTTCATGTGTGCAGTGAGGTCACTGAGCTTCTCAATGACAGCCTGGGGCTTGATAGGACCGTCCTCGGCCTGACGCTCATATAGGGAGAGCGGGAAGCGGGTTTTCCAGTCATTGATCTGCTCGAACCACTCCTTACGCTCGGTCACGGCGTTGACATGAGGCAGGAGAAGGCGGAGGTTGTCAGCGCAGTCGCCCTCAACGGCCTCGGTGGCCTGGACGACCTTGTTGATGTTTTTGGGCATGATCTCGAAGTGAACAATACCACCACGACCTTCGGCAGCGGCGGCCTTGGCCTGAGGAGCAAACTTGGGAATGCTCAAGGTGACACGGTCATCGAAACGAGCACCGACGGCGATGATAAGATCGGCCTCCTGCATGGCCATGTTGGCGTAGGCAGAGCCGTGCATACCAAGCATGTGGAGCGCCTTAGGGTCCAGCTCGTCGAAGCCACCAAGACCCTGGAGGGTGGTGGTGACGGGAATCTGACACTTGTCGGCAAACTCCTTCAGGATCTCAGGACCATCGGGACGGGCAAGCAGACCCTGACCGACGTAGAGAACGGGCTTCTCGGCCATATTCACCAGACGGGCAACACGGCCAATAGTTTGCTGGAGGGTCTTCTTGCTCATATCGCGAGCGGCCATGGTGGCAGCGCTGGGGAGAGAGGGAATGGTGCTGTGCATGGGGATGGGGTTGCGGAGAATGCCGGCGGTAACATCCTTGGGCAGGTCGACGAGAACGGGACCGGGGCGGCCGCTGGTAGCGATTTCAAAGGCCTCTTGAATTCGGCGAGGCAGCTCACCAACGGACTTGACCATCACATTCCACTTGGTACAGGCACGGGAGATACCAATGACATCGGCCTCCTGGAAGGAATCGGTACCGATAGCGCTGGTGGGGACCTGACCACAGAAGACAACCATGGGGGGTACCGTCGGAAAGAGCATCCTGCAATGGGGTGATAACATTGGTAGCGCCAGGACCGGAAGTGACCAGAACAACACCGGGCAGACCAGAAGCACGAGCGTAGCCCTGAGCCATGTGACCGGCACCTTGTTCATGCTTGGGGAGAGTGAAGTTGAAGTGCTTTGAGTTGTAGATGGCATCGAAGACGGGAAGAATGGCACCACCAGGGTAACCGACTATCAAACCAAGATGTAAGCTGACGGCGGGACGGTAAATGGCCGAACAATTTGGCACTTACAGACTTGCTTCACACCGAGACGCAACATCATCTCGTGGAAGATTTCACCACCGCTCATGCCCACCATTCTTTCCTTTCTGTCAGCATGTTCCATTTTGCCAAGAACGCACAGGATTTGACCTACGAGTCATCGAGCTCGGGGAGCTGGCGATTTTGCAGAGGAGAGACCTCATTGCGGTGAGGCTCCTGGTTGAACGCCGGGCTAGGGACGGGTCTGGTATCACTGATGATCCAACGTCAGCAAGGCATTGGCCCTGGCTACATGACGAACTCACGAAGAAGCAGCAGCAGTACTCTGGGTACGCTTCTGAGGAGAAGAGCGGTGGGCGAAGCAGCCGAAGCCACGAAGGAAGTCGAGAAAGGTCGACGAGCAGAGGTGAGCTGCCTCTGGATGTGCAGAGCGCGCAGAGCGCTTTTGGACGGTCTGAGAGGCATCATCATGACAGCCCAGAAAAATAAGGATAAAGGTCAATGAAGGAGAAAAGCTGCCTCTGGACCGTGAATCTTCTGGGGAGAGGAAAATCGCCTTAAACCCAAACCAACCGACCGCTCTGAGTCAAGAATTCGGGCCTTGCAATTGGTTCTTGCCCCCTCCGCACCTCCGACCTCGGCGCGGTTCGGCGTCACCTGACCGTCAGCCAATCTGGATCATGTGATCCCTTGCATCCTGGGGAGTATATATAGTTATGAAGAAGGTACCGGAACAGCCGCAGGCGCAGGGAGCAGTCTAGGTCCGAGCACCTGAGTCTCATCTTAAAGATATTACATCCTTACCGACGTCGCTGGATTCCACGTGTAGCTGTATCGTATGTGTCTGGGGTCTTCCCCAACTTGATTGATCTCACCTTGCCGATCGTGGCGGACATGTCTCCTTATTTGACCGAGTCCTCCAGTACAGTGTAGGCAGTGTCTACGGAGGATCCCGACCTTGCACGGAAAGCCGGGGTGGGTCCATGACAACTCGGCCCGGTTATTGTCGTTGCTAGGACCCGGCAAGGGTGACGGCGATTATGCCCTAAGTGCAATCCCCGAGGAGCGCTCTATTTATTTTCGGGTTTCCCGATCCTACCTGAGATATTATGACATCGACGTTTCCGGCATGTCTTGGCCCTGCAACCTGGACTCTACCAAAAACCCTAGACAAACAGCGCGGAAGAATTATTCCCAGTAGACTTGGAATCGAATCTGGCCCAGGAAGCTTTGTGACCTTGCTACGTCAATTGCAAAGCACTGGCCAATTAATCCAGGGACTGTAGGGAGGTCCATGCCACCCCCGCAAAACTACGCTGCAAAAGGACACCGGGGATGAAACCGAGTGCGGTACGGAGAACCCCACCATTTATTTACCCGGGGTTGAATCTGGAGGGTGTCATTGTCTATTTCAATTACTCAATTGCTTCTGAATTCTATATTGTCTCTTCTCTCTTCTCCTTCTCTCTTCTTTCCTTTCTTGTCTCTCTTCCCTCCCCTTACCTGTCACAAACCCTCGCCCCTTTCGCGATCACTCAGACCAGTACCCCGCCATGCCGTCACTCGAGCTTGTCCCGCAAACAGAGTCCATCGCCGAGGTCTACGCCACTGATGATGCCTCCGTAAACTCCGTGGCCCCAGAACACCAAAAGCGCTGGTCTACTCTTATTCAGCAGTTCAACAAGCAGTACAATCACCGCCCCGACTTCGTGGCGCGCAGTCCTGGCCGTGTGAACATTATCGGCGAACACATCGACTACTCCCTCTACGATGTCTTGCCCACCGCCGTGAGCGTCGACGTGATCATGGCCGTCAAGGTCATGCCCGCCGGTACCTCCGACTCAACAGTGAAGATTGCCAACGTTGCGCCAGAGAAGTTCCCTACGCGCGAGTTCAATGTGCCCCACGACTCGGATATCGAGATCGATCCAAAGAAGCATGAATGGATCAACTACTTCAAGGCTGGTCTGCTTGGTGCTGCGAAGTTCTTGCGTAAGGAGAAGGCCGATGACTCGTTCGTCCCTGTGAGTATGGAGATCCTTGTGGACGGCAATGTGCCCCCGGGTGGTGGTATCTCTAGCAGTGCGGCCTTTGTTTGCGCCAGTGCTCTGGCTGTCATGAAGGCCAACGATCATAACGTAACGAAGCAGGATCTTCTGGACCTGGCCGTGGTCTCGGAGCGCGCCGTTGGTGTGTACTCGGGAGGGTAAGTTGGTATTGATTGGTCCGATATAATAGAGTACTGACCAGATCACTATCTACAGTATGGACCAGGCCGCCTCCATTTTCTCGAAGCGTGGCTTCCTTCTGTACACACAATTCTTCCCACAGTTCCACGCCCAGCACGTTCCCATCCCCAAGGCCACCAACGAGATCACCTTCCTCATGGCCCAGAGCTTCGTCACCTCCAACAAGGCTGAGACCGCGCCCAAGCACTACAACCTACGTGTGGCGGAGTGCACACTCGCGGCCTCGATTTTGGCCAAGAGCTTCGATCTGACTCTCCCCAAGGACAACAGCTCCTTAGGATACAGCCTGCGCAACTTCCAGAACCAGCTGATGACCAAGGAAGAGCGCTTGCACGACCCTCTTGAGTACCAGATCGACTCTGTCATCCAAGCAGTTCAGGACATCCTGACCAAGGAAGAGGGCTACACACGCGAAGAGATGGCTCAGATGCTGGGCATCACCGCCCCCGAGCTCGAGTCCAAGTTCCTTTCTTCATTCCCCGTGCAAGCGGAGCGCTTCCTGCTGCGCCAGCGTGCTTTGCATTGCTTCAAGGAGGCCCGCCGCGTGCTGGACTTCAAGGCGTGTTTGGTTAATGCTTCTCAGCTTGATGAGAAGCGCATCCAGTACCTGGGCCAGCTGCTCAACGAGTCGCAAGAGTCATGCCGCACACAATATGAGTGCAGCGCGCCAGAGGTGGACGAAATTTGTGCTATCGCTCGCCGTGCTGGTACCTGGGGTAGTCGCTTGACTGGTGCTGGATGGGGTGGATGCACTGTCCACATGCTGCCTCAAAGTAAAGTTGAAGCTGTGACGAATGCTCTGAAGAATGAGTACTACCTCAAGAAATTCCCTGATATCAGCGCCGAGAAGTTGGAGCAGGCTATGGTCATTAGCAAGCCGTCAAATGGCTCTTTTGTGTATGTTTCAGAACCTCGTGGATCAGATGAATGTGCTGCTAACAAATTTTAGTGTTGCGGGAGCTGCTATTGACCAGATTCCTCTGTGAAGTCATTGAGATCATTTTGAAATGTTCATTGGCGTTGAATCGTGAATTACATATGCTCTAGAAGATTTGAAGTTCAATATTCCCCAATGACATTGTTCAGACCCAACTGTTATAAGCTGATTGGCGCTCGACGTATCTCATCAGGCGTCCTGATTGTAGAGCATCACCCTTCAATTTGCGCCCTATTCGGCTTGGGACGCAAGTGGTAACCCATATAGACGCGCGGGGAGTCGGACAGGAGCGGGTCGGCGTGCCGTAGATGAGGTCACACGAAGCTGTATTAGCAATAGCTGTGATAGTCTATAAGACTGGCAGAGCCTTGGATGTGGAGACACGGCTGCCCATCGTGTCATGCTGAAAGATCAAATCAAATCGTTCGCCAGCGAACCATTCAAGTCTTCTTCTTCGCAGCTGCCTTTCCGAAGAAATCACTCATCTTCTTCATACCAGTTGTATTGACCTTCTTCAGGTTCCGTACTGCCTGAGACTCCGCCGCCTTCTTCACCTTTTCCTCCTCCTCCTTCTTGCGCTTCTTGTCAGCGCGAGCCTCCATTTCTTCATCATCCAAACCGCGCTTGCGGCTGAAATCCGACAAGTTTCGCGAGGCGAATGCCTCGGTTCGAAGTTCAACAAGTTGCTTTAGGCGATCGTGCAATGGCTTGAGATCCAATGGAGTTTCAGGCGAAGCAAGTATCTCATCAATTCTGGAACACAACGACTGTGGCAGGTATGATTCTTTCATGAAGGACAAAGCCGTCACAATTCGCTGCAAATGACTGACAATGTCCGTGCAACTTATATCCTTGCCAAGAGCCGGTGTGGATTCTCCCGCAGGTGTTGATACCGAGGGAGTAGCAGTGGTAGCCACCGTGGACGGGCTGTCCTGTCTCTCTCTTCGGACTTGACGCTTGCTTCCTCGTCTTTCGAAAACTGCCCGGCCAATGAGTCCTCTCGCTTGACAGCCATCAGCGGAGCAGCTAATGTCTGGCGAACGAATCGTTCCTCCAAACTTGCTGGTAGCCCCAGCGTAGCCATACGCTCGGCCTTGGTAATCAATTCCTTGAGAAGTTTCATTTCGCTAAAACGGAACATTTTCTCGTCGCCTGCCTCCATAGTCTCACAGATCGCTTCTGCGCGAGCGAGGAGTGTGCCTCGGAATGTTTCATCATAGAGGATATGGCGGAAATGAGGAGGGAGGTCATCGTTTGAATCGATAATATCGTCCAATGGCTGGAATAGAGACTGGCCCGATTTCATAGAGATTGAAAAAAGGTGTGTCAGGAAGAACAGGGCGTCGATTGGTGTCGCGACCAGCAATTCGGCCTTCTTTGCAATTGACGCGGTTACTAGAGGCACGTTCTTCTTACGCCCATCTTCGGATGCGATAATTGCTTGTTGCAATTTTGGCGTGAATAGAACGCTTCTAGCGGCTGTTGGAGGCGAGGCGACGACCGTGAATTCGTAGATACCGCGTTCGGGGCAGAAGAAGTAGCGCGAGAGCTCGCCGGACTGCGGATTGGGAAGGGAGAGCAGACGCGCATTGGCGCTGGTGGGTGACGGAAGAATGAATGTTTTGCTGGGATTTGCTGCGACCACCAAGGTCTTCCTATCTTCGGACTGTGGCTCCGCCTTAGGAGCTGTTGCTCGAGTAGTGCGAGGCATGATGAGTTGAATGAGAAGGGTGGAAAACGCGGGTCCGAAAGAAGGCGCGAAGCGCGCTGGAACGCGCCGATCGGACTGCGAATCATGTGCGAATGTGTGATTCCTCACATCTCCTTGCATTACTCATTTCCGGCTTATTTTGGCTAACTGGCCTCGTGTTTCGGAGCTGACCTGCGTTCTGCCTTTTCATCTCAGCACTTTTGATCTGTTTGGCTTTTGCGCGCCGACAGTGCGGCTGAAGGAGCGGGGAATGAAGCTCCGTGGGTGACCTCTGCATTGAATCTCCCAATCTCAACAGACAAAGAGTGAGTTTCTCCATAACGTGAGCTGGCAATTATTGCTTACGGTGTTCTCTTTTAAGTGGCCGACAGTGCATGGCCGCCCAAATCGCCTCGGGATGCGCTGCTGAGCTCGCCGGGGGGCCGACAAAAGTTCCAGGACGTTCAGCGTCGGCGAGAACTCCTTTCTTCACCCTTGAAACGCTCGAATACAACACCGAACTTCCGGTCAAAGGCGAGCCAGGTCCTGGACGAGGGGGAGGATGACGACGAGGCCGAGGATGAAGAGACGCTGGAATTGCAGCTGGCAGAGATCCAGGCTCGCCTGAAATTGAAGCAGCTGCAGAAGAAACGAGCCAGATCTGGCACAACGAGCTCAAATGCAGAAGACGGAGAAGATGAGTCTTCTCGTCTGACCTCCGGTATTGCTTCTTTATCACGACCCCGAAGCCATTCCTTGGTCCCAGGAAGCCCACAGCGCACCACCCAGCGGAGGACACAGGTCGGCGAGGTTCAAGTTCCGGTGTCCCCTACAAAACGAGAAGCAGCGTCAGAACCTTGGTCTCCACAAAGATATCGCCTGGGTATCGATAAGGGCTGGAAAGCAAATGATGTATCTCTCAAGCGACCACCGATCTCAAGGCCAGACGCTAGGCCAGCCAGCCAGCTGGGCACCAGGAGTGGTGCTATGTCACGATCCAACGATGTCTTTTCATCATCGAGACCGCAGACATCACCTTCAAGCGGAGGATTGCACAGGATCAAAAGCTTCAGTGAGAGAATGGCCGAAGGCCGAGCCGCTGAGAAGGCACGATTGGAGAAAGCAGAGAGAGTTCAAGCAAAGAGAAGCGCTGCCTTTCAGTTGGATCAAGCTGAGGTAGATGCTTTCAAGGCCGCAGCTTCCAACAGACTACCCTCACCACCCTCGTCCTTCCGGGAACCTGAAGCACCGACTTACAGTCGAGAAGACATCATGCGAGCTCTGAACAAGCCCCGACCTGGCGGCTTGACACGCAGCGAAACAGCTCCAAATATCAGACAGCCAAATGGCAAGGATGACACACCGTCCGAAGAATTAGGAGATTCATCTAAGTTTGAATCACACTCTAGACAGCATCTGTCGAGTCGCGTTTTACCTCATTCTTTTTTGAGCCGCACACTTGCAGACAAAAAGGTCCTCACAATTCCGGATCTCCTCAAGACCATTAAGGCGCCTGATTTTGAGCTACCCGACGAAATAGACGGAGACTTCGTAGTCTTTGGAATCGTTGCATCCAAGTCCGACCCCAAACAAAAACAAAACACGCGAAACGCTTCCACAAAAACCACTGATCCTTATGATGACGGGCGAAATAACACTGACCGCTACATGGTAATCACGTTGACTGATCTCAAATGGACCATTGACCTCTTCCTCTTTGACACCGCTTTCCCACGTTACTACAAAGTCTCGACGGGAACACTCATTGCAATCTTGAACCCTACAATCATGCCCCCTCCAAAACACAAGCTTGACACCAACCGTTTTAGCCTGGCACTTTCATCATCGGACGACAAGGTTCTCGAGATTGGACACTCTCGAGACATCGGCTACTGTAAAGCCACGAGGAAAGACGGGAAGACCTGCCAAACATGGGTGGATGGTCGAAAGACCGAGTTCTGTGATTTCCACGTGGACATCCAGATTCGACGCACCCAAGGCCAACGAATGGGTGTAAACAGTGATACAGGCATGTTTGGACCTGGAGGCAAATCTGGGCCGCGCACCGGCCAGTGGCAGGAAGGCAAACCTCGCAGCGCTCAACGTGATTCCAATAATCCCAAGCAAGGCTTGAAGCCGGAGGGTGCTCAGTATGACTGGGGCTCCCAGTCAACGTACTACGTTGCGCCCGCGCGGAAGGGTTATGGAAATCGAACCTCCTATCATCCCAATGCATCAGGGGACTCAGCTGCGAACTTGCTTGATGCAGTTAGCGATGACCCATTCATTGCGGCTGGCATGATGGGCCGTGGCATGGAAAACAAGGAAGAGCGACTGCGCAGACGTCTCGCAACCCAGGCACGCGAGCGTGAGATCACACAAAAGCTCGTTTCTGGGCGCACTGGCGTCGGTGCAGATTATCTCCGCACGCGTACTGCCAACGAGAACCCCCTCGATGGCAGCAAGAGCACGCCTTCAGGAACACCCAGTACCCCGAAGACCCTTCCCCATAGCAGCAGTATGAATCTAGCTAGCTTTGGCAAAGCAAGAAACGTCCGCCTGAGCCCCCAAAAGCGTGCCAACGCCAACCCACATGGTAGCGGTGTCAAAAAGACTCGCTTCCTCACTGCGAATGGAATTCGAGAAGCAGGTCGGGAAAGTCTAGGTGACCCGGCTCAAGCTGGTAGTACTAGACGGCAGGTTTTGTTGGATGACGATGATGATGAATTGGATATCATCTAGCGTTCGGTTGGAGACACTGTTTTTTGAAGCCATAGGCTCGGCTTGCTATAACGCTGTTACGAATCAAAAGAAGCATGTCTTGCAACAGGATTATTTCTCTCAATGCATTCAGGTAGATTCCAGGGGTGAGAGTAGAGTAATCCATGGGTCTACGGTCTATCGTTGAACGAATGCCGGTGTAGAGCATCCAGTCAATCATGTTAGGTTGGTCGAAGACAATTTCTGAGACCTTCAGGTTTTATTTACCTAGCAGGAAGTCTCAATCTACAACTACAATCTCTGATTCAAGTTGTTGAGAAGTGAATGATCGTATCAAAGAGAATCTTCATTTTCGTCACCACACAGCCGTAGACTCCATCGCACAGTCTATTCATCTTAGATCCATCAATCCAAGGTATAACTAAAGAGGACGGTCCCGCAGAACAAAAACAAAAGGCAAAGAAGCCGCATTAAAAGACAAGACAAAGAACTCAACTCCGAGTCCCATAGAAAAAAAAGGAATGATAAGCTACCAGGTATCCATGGCTTTTCGCAAGCCCCAAACCCACGCGCCGCATTGAAATTTCCCAGCGCTTGAATGACACAGCAGTTGTGAAGGGAAAAATAGGAGAAATTAAATCAAGAAGAAACAAACCAAGCTGCAGCAAGAATGTGCAAAGGCAGCATATGTGTCCACATATGTGTCCATGCTGTTGAAATGGCCGTCACACAAACAACCTGCGCAGCCGTGCAAAGTCCAGAGATCGCGATACGACCGGGTAGTGCACCGATGGAAAGGAATGTCGAAGTGATGAATTGAAAGAAGAGCGCTCACGCAATGCACCATGATATCAGAAGGAAGGCCGAAGAAACAACTCCAGAGAGGCAATATTGCACCTAGGAAGAACGGGTGCTTCGGGTTTTTCTAGTCGCAGAGAGACCAGGAGGACTAGCAGCCCGGTCACTTGCCTTGTCGGCAACCTGAGGAGGTGGTACCGTCTCAGGCTTCTGTTTCTTGCGTAGCCACTGGTCGAAGGGGCTGATGCGCTTGCGTTTGGTCTGAGGGGCAATGTTGGCGGTAGGAGTTTCTTCGACCTGAGGGCCCCGAGCAGACGAGCGAGTAATGCGAGTGGCCCCGGGAGCTTGAGGTAAGTCGAGGGACGTCGGGGTAGCAACAGGGGATGCCAAATCATCATGAGCCTGTCCCTCATCATCGGTAGGAGCATCATCATCCCCCTTGTCCACAATGTCACAGAGTGGGGGACTACCCTTCCTTTGCGCAAAGAGTTGGCGAGGTTGGATAGAGTCGCGACTCAGAGTTTGAATATTGTTCAGCATCTCGTCGTCCCCTTCCAGCAGGTCAGGACGAGCAGCGAACAGGCCCAAGTCATCTTCAGATTCCTCATCATCGGCATCGAAAGTTTGAATGACTCTCTTGCCACGGCTGCGGAAGTAAAAAATTAGAATTCGTGAAAGAGGCGCAGGGTAATTTGGGGAACACACAATATCATCGTCATTTGGTCATCGGGTGTGCGGCGGGCATCACGTCGGCGTCTACTCACGAGTTAGTTGAAATCACCTAGAAAGCTTCAGAGTCACAAACTCACCGAACAGCTGAGCTTGGAGGTCCAAGCCCACTGAGATCATCATGTTCAGCTCCATCTCTTGGTGGAGCACTAGACCCAGCATCATTAGGTGCCTGCAGGCGAGCAGCAAACGGTGTTGCAACCTGTGAGGCCTTTGGGATACGGTCACGGGAGTCTGTGTAAATTTGGATCTCCCTTTTGCCAGACGCAGGGGCCTCAAAGCCCCCTAGGGAGAATGGAGCAGGCTTCTTGGGAGACATGGTGTGGGCGGGGAAAAGAGTACGGGAAGCTGATGAGAAGTTGTCGACCTTCTTCTTTGAAGGTGTTTTAGCAGGTGTGGGCAGAGCCTGGCTCCCGGCTGTGCGTGAATGAGGGGCAGCAGAGGAGGGAACATTGTGCGAGGCAGACATGTCAAAAGGATCGTAGGCAGATTGTGCGTTAAAGCGGCGACCTTCCTTTGAAATGGCAGCATTCGGTTTTGAGCGCCCGCTAGCACCAGGCGTTGATAATGTCTCTTCATCAACCTGGATTTTTCGACACTTCTTTGGCGAACCACTTGATCGTGCCTTGCTCGGAGAACTTGGACAAATCGGCGGAGGTGTCGTCTCAGTGCCTCGAACAGCGCGTTGCTTGGCCAGACGTGTTGAATACCGAGTGGGATATGGCGAGTACTGGTCATATCCTGCTCCATGAAGAGGAGCGGCTGGGACCCTCAGGGCTGAGGGCGAAGGCGGCGGCGGAGTGCTCGCCATATTGAAATTCGAACTGGACGATATATGAAACAACGAGTTTTATCAATCTACGCGTCGCAAACAACGATTGCACGGGTATTTGAGGTGTCGAGGTCGTCTAGCCAACGGTTGACCAATTCTTGTGTTGATCTTGAGACGGATTCAATCAAGGGCGAGGCGATTTCCGGGCCTACTTCGGGCAAATAAGGCTCCTCACAAGGACGGCGATTGAAAGCGAAACAGGGTCAACTTGACAAACAATCAACGAAGATATCGAGGTGCAAGAGCAATAGGTATGAGACTGTTGGGAGCGTTGCAAAAGAAAGGGCGAGATCCCATTAAAGGGCGCATGTTTGGCGCCCAGCCACCCAATTCTCTGACCGCCTTCTCACCGCCCGATTATCACTCGCCCCGCGGTTCCCACGTTGGTCTGCCGTGGGTCTTTTGTTGACTTTCTTCCTGTTCCGATTTCCTTGAGGCTGGGGTGTTGCTATGGTCCCGCCGACCGTGACATTACAGAACTGGATTTTTTACATCCCGAAACAAACATTGCTTACATCCAAAGCGCGTCTCAAATCGCATCACACTAAAATTTGCCGTCATGGCCGCACGAAGTGCCGCCGAGGAGATGGAGAGGCTCCAGCTCTCCGACGAGGATACCGAAGATCTATGGGACTTTCCGTCCAAAAGGCGGGTGAAGACAGGCTTCAATCAGAGATCGTCCGACCAGGTTCCCCCGGCAGAGTCGCAAGCGCCCCACGGTGGCGGGGATACACTTTTTGATCGAGAAGAAGCGCGCGAAGCAGCTCTCCAGAATGAATTGCAATCTGTGCGGAACATCAACGAGGTCCTTGAAGGCCTTTTGAGTAGTATTGACCGCGCCAAGGGAAATATGGCGGTAGGTTACTATCGATTCGGCAACAATTGAAACCCTCTAATTTCAATGCAGACCGTCTCCAACACAGTTGCATCCGCATCAACTCTCCTCAACACCTGGACCCGTATTCTATCCCAAACCGAACACAATCAGCGATTGATCCTCAATCCCAACTGGCAAGGTGCTACTCAAGATGTTGCCGATAATGAGAACGAGGCTATTCAAAGACAACAAGCGGCTGAACGGCGTGAACAAGCTCTCCAACAACAGCGAGAAGCAGCGGCCCGCAAAGCCGAGGAAGATGAGAGACGACGGGCCTTGAACACTAGAGGTGGTAGAGGCACTGGTCGAGGCACAGTCCGAAGCACCGGTCTCGGAAGAACGCCGAGTGTAAGCACCAGCCGCACCGGAGCTCGTGGATCATCAACGACGACCCGGCGACCAGTGAGTGGCATTGGGCGTGGAACTGGAACTGGAATTGGAACTGCAAATACAAGTGGCATTGCCCGTGGACGAGGACGGGCATAGCTGATAACACTTCTTGTACAATACTTATTATTCTGGAGATAAACGCGCTCAATGAAAATGATACCCCATTCCAGTGTGTTTTGTGCCTGAGAAAAATGGCAGCCAACGTGAATGCGCGGCGATAAGGACTGGATAAGGAGAGCTTCCCCAAATGAACTCCCCTTGGTTTCTCCCCACTAACAATGAACTTCGCTCCCTATCAGGACGAATCGCCCGAGATCGAGCGGGCACTGTCCCCTCCGAACGCGGATACCCGTATTAAGTCCCCCGGTCTACGCTCGCCGCGAGCCTCTGCCGACCTCCCGTCTCCGAGCCACTTCGCCGGTCATGGTCACAGCAACACGGGCTTTGGAAGAGATGTGGAAGGTGGTCATGTGAGTTTGGGCGCCTTTGAGACCAGCTTGCCTATTCGGATGGATGTTGAGGCTATGTTGGCCTATCTGCTGCTTCCTCCGGCTGGAGGTGTGCTTTTGCTGTTGATGGAGCACAAGAGCGACTACGTCCGGTACGTACTTGGGCCACAGGGAGATATTGAAGGGAAACATTGACCGAAAGGCTGAACTGGATGATAGATTCCACGCGTGGCAGTCGAGTTTGCTATTTTCCGTCCTTTTTGTGAGTATCTCATCGATCTAACGATTAAGTATAGTCTAATACCCGTCCAGGTCATCCATCTCATGTTCGCCTGGAGCAGTTTCCTCTCTTGGACTCTTCTTATCATTGACATCGGTCTCATCGGATTTCTCGGCTTGCATGCTTATCATGACGGTGAGTGGTACAATCCTGATGGCAATATCGTGAAGCACGCTAACGTTGCTTTCTAGTGGATACCCTTGATCATTTCGAAATCCCCTTCTTTGGGCGCCTTGCGAATTCTTTCGTGGATAATGAATGAGTAAACTCATTTGTCATGGTCACAGTCCATAGTCTTTGTGTCTGCCTGAAATTGCTTCTTGGAGGGTATTGGTTTTGTCTCTGCATATACCCCTGTCTGTCAATGTGTTTTCGATCTACAGCTTCCAAAGTCACCTTCTTTCAAAATGAAATGAACTTGTGCATATTGTTTATTCCACTGGATTCGTGTGCATATGACTCGAGAACATCCTCGATAGATTGACCTGGTCAGGGTCACAGGATATCGGTTAGTGAACATACTGTGCCTTTGCGTGCGGGGATACAAACTACCGCTTACCTAAAGAGCACTATGCAACCACCTAGAGCTGACAAGTCATAGCCACCTCGCATCTCCCAATTCTGATGACGGTAAAATTCATAAAGTAGAATATAAGAAGTGGATAGTATTCCGTGCAAATATCAATCAACATGCTGTTTGCAAATGTGCTCCAAAACTAATCGGCGGTCGCAACTGCGAGATTGAGCACTCAGCCATCAATCACCCTTTCTTTAGATTAACAGAAAAAAAAAATCCACGTGCTATTGGGGCATCGCTTCCGCAGACCCGGCAGATCTTGCTCTGTAGGTCGGGACTAGGTGACTCTCTAGCTTCCTTCGTGCTTAGCCTGCGAAACGAAGGTTACCATGAACAATGAAGCTCACATTGCTACCAATAGGGGGCTCATCACCGCCGTGAAAATACTATAATGTCCAACTGCATTAGAAAGGTCGATCAACGCGCTATTCCTATCTCTAGCTGTATCATTCTGCAATACTGTAAGTCAACAGTATGAGCTTCGTCACTTAAAGGTCCGATGGAAATAGTGGGGGAGACTGACATCAAATTCCCCTCGCATTACTCTGAGCGGACCTTTTGAGGTAGATCCTGCCACTCCGATTCATTTGCATTCGGCTGCACAAGTTTGAGTCTCGAAAAGAGGAAGTATTGCCCGAATTCCCCCCAAGCCAAAGGAAATATCAAGTGCACACAACTGTCTCACTTGGTCAATCATGGTTTGCTTTCCAGGTATACGATAGCCAAAAATCTCGTTTGGCTTGTGCCTATACATCACTTCAAATCCGGTGATGAAAAGGTTCTCATCTTCATCAAGAACAGAGACGAGGAGCATGAGAGGGTCTTTCATGGCAATTGTCTGATGCAGGCCAAAATGGTGCCTAAGATTATGCAGATTGCTTGCGAGTAAATGTGTCGAGAGCTTTGCGCAAGAAGTTCCATCGAGTCGAAACCCCCCGCAGACCTCTTGCCAATGCAAATCCTCAGAGAGGATACTTTGAAAGGATGACACGATTCGACAAATAGCTCCACCTATTCTTTCGAAGGAGTTTGGACCTCGCCTTTTCCAGGGTCCCGGCGTCTTGGTCATGGCATGTTTCATACCGCACATGTCTTTGATCCATTGGTTTCTCATACAACGAATTTTCCTCGCTCTGAGGTGATGAGAGAGGAACGATCATGAGTGAGACGGTACAGTCGTCTCCAATCGGTCGGCCGGTCCTCATAATATTGAGAGTCTTCGGTAAGATAACTCAGGAAGCCACGATCTCCTGTCACGAAAAATCTCGTCCTCATCTGGTCAGAGAAAACGACCGCCGTTGCTCGCGATGCGAACCTTGTTATAATATATGCGGGCGTAGGAAGGTAAGATGCGACTTCCACGCGAAGCTCAAGTGGGAGTCCCCAGAAGGTATCATACGAGATTGTTCGTGGAGAAAGAACTTTGCTAGCTTTGTAATGACCCCGAATATACCCTGCTTTTTGTGGGAATTTGAGTGGTCTTGATCGTCGAATTGTTCTTGGCGGATTGCAAGGATCGAACTTTTCCATCTCACGATCTGCTTGAGCGTTTGTATTGTGACAGAATAATCAGTCCTGAATTCTTGAGTATAGATGCTAATATAGCTGACCTCCCATGATCAATATAGGTGACCTTCTTAATACGTCAAGTAGCGTAGAAGGATTGATTTCGCTGTGCTCAAAATGTTTGAGTAGGTCATTCCAGCAACTGTTATGGAGCAATCTTGATGAGCCAAATGCCTTGTGCATTGCTCCACATATGTATATGCCAGATTCCAAAGGAACACTTCCGTAATGTTCAATGTAAAAGTACAAGTCAATCTTGACTGTGTGCACACCTTATACTCGAGCCTCGTCCACCATTCCATTGGTACCCGTGTGGACTGCCATGTCATTTATGTATGTCAGTAGTTCTCTCGAGAAATCAAAAGCCTCTAAACGCTACCAAGCCAGATACAGACTTACCTGAACGAAATTTTCTTTTCCAATACGTACCTTTGAGAAATCGGCCTCCGCAAGACGCACAGAGAAAATGTGGGTGATATTCGACGTTCGTATGGTTCATGGCCGATATTGGAATCTTCGTCAAGAGTTTAATTGTACATTATAAAGAGAAAGAAACAGGTTAATAGTAAATTGTAAAGAATTCGAGGCGAGTGTCCTGGTAATGATTAGATCATCCCTGCCTGCTGCAGTGGGTAAATTGCTGGCTGCATGTGGTGGCGGTGTAATGTATAAGACTTTCTACACGCAGCATCGTATCCGTTAAACTACCTTATTTATATCAGCCAGAGGTAATATGAGATCAGCCCGGGTGACAGCTGGCAATCTCTTTGCATTCTAGGCTCCTGGACACAATTGCAATGATACTTGGGGACGGATGTTTCGAGTGCTTCTGATCGTAGTAGGCCTCAAGGCACTGAGGCCTGAAAAAGCTAGTCTTGTCGAAGTTATAGATATTCGATAGTAGGATATACTTTACTAATAGCTTAAGACGATTATACTGGGCTCATAGGATGCTAATATCCTTACCTTCTCCGCTAGCTTTTATTTTACCTAATAAAGGCTATTAGGTAGGCGCTTAGTAAAGTTATATACCTACGTCTTATTAACGAGTGCTCCCCTATCTCTCTCGATTATCGTATTCGCACTTACTTTAACTATACGCGCACTAGGTAGGTAGAACGTAGAGGCTACTAAGGATCTTAATCTAGCTAATTAGTACTACTTTCTTACGAGGGATCAAGACGCTTAGTGGTAATAGTACGCTAAGAACGAGACAGCCGACCGTAGAGACGCGCCCGCAGCCGGGTTATTGGAACGTCGAATTCGCGCGCTAGCGAGGTAATTTTGGCGTCTTTTCGATATCTGGCGGCTTCACAGGCGGCCTAGATACGTTACACAATGGCTATATACGAAGAATACATAGTGGGTGTGGAACAATAGTTGTGAACAGCTTCAATATGTGTGTTAGGATCCAAATGTGCGTTAGGCCGCGGCGGACCAACACCCGAAGCGGTGTGGGTATGCCACTGGACTAATATATGTACACTCTATTTTAAGTTAGGCATATGATAGACTTAGTCATCCGTGATTACACGGATACGCATGACAACAAACAATACATAAAGCCTTTACCACACTGGTGGGGGCAGTGCTAGGCAGCCGCTTTCCGCATGTTTTTGGTACCACAAGGTTCCCAGGTCCTTGTATTTACAAACTTTCAAAGGGTCCAGAGCCAATTTAGGGGGCTCCATGGCCCCCGAGCCACCAATCACATTCAAATTAATTGTCAGCCATACAGCCAGCTTTTAGTGGAGAATTGCGTACACAGTAGGCCAAGTAGCAAGTGACTGAAATAAAAACTAGAGTTGATGTTCTAGCACAATTTTAATGCGTTGAAAAATCGAGCGCGATCCTCAACGGTCAACATGCTACTGTCCACCGGAAGTGGAGTCGTACAATTCCTTCTAGGTCAGTCGAGTCTCGGTACTTAGCCGTCTCGGCACTTATACAATCCCTGCTTAACCAGATCTCAAGGTTTTTCTCCACTCTTCGCCATTGCATCTGCCGCATCCAACTCCAATGCCGCGAGCATTTTTAACTATTCTCTGAAACAAAACTCGAACTTCACTTTTGCATTGAATATCCCCGATGGCTCCTCCGATCTATACTTCCACCTGTCTGGCCCGACCGACTACTCGTGGGTTGCTGTTGGAACAGGAAGTAGGATGAAAGACTCGCTCATGATCGTGGTCTACTCCAGCGCTGATGGAAAGAGTCAGCTCTGCCCTCCTACTATACAGCTAGTGAAAGGATACCGTGAACTAACGTTGCCTTGCAGACGTCACTGTCAGCCCTCGATACTCTTCTGGTGAACAGGAACCGGTATATTCGCCTTCACTTGTGGTCGATATTCTGGATGGAACTGGTATCTTTAATAATTCCATGATCGTGAACGCCCGATGTTCGAACTGCACAAGTTGGGCGACCGGATCGCTGGATCTACAGTCCACGTCCCAGTCTTGGATTTTTGGACTAGGTCCGACAGGCGGCGAGGCTGCCATGCTACGCAGTAACTCCAAGACAGCTAGCATAGAGCGACACTCAAAATATGGTTCGTGTGGTCCAGGTTGTTTGAAAAATAACACTTACCAAAGGTTCCCATCGTACTGACACACATTGTTTTCTCAGGCGTCTTCACTATGGACATGGTCCACGCCAAAGGGGGTCCAGGTGGACTACCAACCTCTTATACGACCTCGGTTGGCTCAGCATCCAGCGAGCCGGTAACCAACGACAGCAACTGGCCTAGCATCATTCACGCTCTGTGTCTTTGTGTAGCACTCATTCTCTTAAACCCTGCCGGGGTCATTCTTCTCCGAGTCATTCCTAAAAGTGTCCGCTGGCACTGGATCAATCAAACCTTTTCTTCGGCCATCGCTATTGTCGGCATTATCGTCGGGTTTTACCTCAGCACGATGTTCACCAAGTCGCAATCATACGGCTCCGCGCACCAGATCTTGGGAATTTTGATACTACTCGCTATTCTCGCTCAATGGGGAATGGGAGGCTGGCATCATCTTGTCTACAGAAGAACCCAGTCGCCAACCAGATTTGGTGTTGTCCACCGTTATTTTGGATATGTTATCTTCTTCTTTGCTGTCGTCAACGGCGGCATCGGACTTACCTGGTCCTATGCGTCAAAGTCTGTTGTAATTGGGTACTCCGTTGTTGCGGCTATAATCAGCATCGGACTTATCGCTGTCTTTTCTTGGGCCCGATGGAATGCTAGACGCGACCAGAAAAGCCCTTTCAGTGACTCCTTCCAGCTCAGGGGATATCAGCGGGGCGACGACTCCGACAGTTATCTGGGTCAGGATACGGAAAGGGTTTTGGCTTCTGATTCCAGAGATTATCGGTGAGCGAGAGAGTCCCTTAAGATGCTCGTTCATGAATTGCGACCTGAATGGATTATAATCTGTGACAAATTGGATCATGGAGATACGACGAGCAGTCTAGTCATGATATGGTATTTTTTTGAATTGAAGTACAGAGGAGATGTGAGAGTCTCGTCACATGTCTGTACAGAAACAGCCTGTTAGAAATTTGGCGGGAATTATTCCAAAATGCGTGCATTGTTATGTCCATACCTGTTCTGACCTAATTTTTAATCGCTAATCGCCCACCGGGCGGCCGAAGACCCGTGCTGCGCGTGAAGCTTCACTGATCACGAGAAGCTCTCGACGTGCAGATAAAGACCGCGATGGCCATCTCTATTCAATGCGACAACCTTGCTACGAGCCTCGATCGAAAGAGTAAGAGGCCCACATACACCAATAGCGCTCTCTCCTTGGGCGCCTAACAGGGCATGCTGGAAGAGGTTATCCCAATCAGGCCGACCCAGCGCAATGCTGAGACCGGGAAACTATGATTCTTTGTCTGCCAGGATGTTTTCTCCGTCTCATTGGCTTGTAACTGAGGGCCCAGTGCCGGACTACTGGTCAGGGTCGCTCGGTATCATCGACCTTTGTCACGAAGACCTGGATAACGAAGACAATGCCTGCCTTCTCGATATCACGAGCGACCATCTGCAGTTCTTCCGTAATCCACGTAATCCAATTAATCCATGTAGAATTGCGAATCATCCATGCCAGAGTCACCAGAGTGGAAAGGGTTTGCCATCGCCCTCGGCCGCAGATGCGGCACGGTGTGCAATGTCGAGCAAGATCGACATAACAAAGGTTATGCCCGTAGCACCAGCAATGAGGATGATGGTATCAAAGTAGGCATATTCTGCGTGAGACGCACCATACGGACCATTGACCAAAGCGATATAGTTCGTGAGCCGATTGTGATGTTGGTTCCCTTGCTCTGGCGCATCTGAGCTTGGCTTGGATGGGCTCGCCCGCCCAGCGTCGTAGATACGCTTATGAAACGCTTGTAGGCTCGAAGAAGCAAGACCAGATCGCCGTTATGAGAGCTAAGAATGGACAGGACAGTGGCTGGGTGTGACTGTACCAGTCCGCACCGGGGAATGCCGATCATAACGTGCGATCCAGGAGCCCAGGTCTTCACGTGGCGGCAAGAAACGTGCACCTTGGTGACACCACCTTCAAGAGGCTCGACAGTGACTTTACTGGAGCCTGCATTGTTGAAGACAAAGCGGATGAAATACACCAGGCGCTCGACCAGGTAGAGCGCGACGGCAACGAAGATGTAGACACGCGCGTACTGTGCACTTCCAGGTATGTGCTTTGCAATGGCAATGATGAGCCCAAAAATAAGTAATAATATGCTGGATGACGAAGAATTCGTACGACAGGTGACGAAGTGGAGCAACAGTCGAGATGTTCATCCAGATAAGAATCACATAAGTGGCCACCTCAGAACAAAAAGCCTCGTCCGTGGCCCATTCCAATGATTGCAAACCAGGGAAGCGGCTCCATCCTGAGGCCAGGAACGCGAAGTGAATAGTTGCAAGGAGGAGAAGACCACGAGCAATCCAGCGATGCAGAACGTTTAGTCTCTCATAGGATACACCGATGATCAAGCCGATCAGATGGTAATTGCCGACTAGCAAAACGATCAAGGGGAGCTGGGCCACAGCGAGCCAACCAGCTCGAATACCCACAAAAGTATACCATCTTGGTCCCCGGACGTCGTCATCCACGAACTCGAGGAGAAGGATAAAGAGAATGTACGCCAAGATCAGATAGATGGTTCCCAACGGAGGGATCTTGAACCAAAAGGCGCTCCCGATAGGAGTGATTTGAGGAAAGACCAAACGCCTTGATATCAATGTGATGAATCTCGTGGCCTTGACGAATGGGCTGGGGGGTTTGACTTGGTTTGAGAACTGTGTTCTCCGGCCCCTGCGAGCGCCAGTCAGCATATTCGCTCGAAAAATAAAGACAGAGTGGTTTGAATGACTTACCTGAGACCCAAGTCCACTCTCCAGTAGAGATTCTAGATGCCTGTCACGCCGATGGGCGTCACAATACCATACTAGAAGTATCTGGCTCTGGCATTATCGTCCAGCTGAAAAACACTGTCATCAAGCAGATCGGACAAGAAGTTTGATGCTTCCGTCACATTGTGGAAATCCACACCCTCTGAAGACAGCATGATGGGATCAGAGTGAAAATATCAAAGAGGAACGCAAAGTTGAGGAACCTATACGATACCTTCCAATAGCTCTCACAATTCAGAGGGGCGAAGGACGCTTTCCTCTACTAGTACATATTCCCAGCCGTCGTTCCTGGCCTATCTAATGCCAGGTCGTTCTAATGTCGCTCGGTGAGATTTGTACAAAGGGTCCACCCAATTTAGCAGAGATGACCCGTATCTGTTCGAGAACTTTGGCTTGTTGCCTTCCCAGACCCATCCACCGTGGTAGGTATAAAAAAGTCCCATTGGCGCCACTCTAGGAGATTCGACACTCCAGGTCCTTGTTTCTCTTGAAAAAAGCTTGCCTACAGATTAGTTAAGGTTCGACAAATGGAAGGACGGTGGTAAGGATCGACAGAGGCATCCTCAACAGGAAGGTCGTAGTAAGGGGCCACATTCTTCCTAAAGAGCGTACCGAAGTTTCCAATTCTTTTTTTACCCGCATATACCGACACGGGGAAATTTTGCCCGGCAAGCCGCGAAAGCGTGCGTACGTACGAGCGTTCCAAGCCACTGAATTCCATAGAAACTTGACAATCATGAGACTTTCTTCATTTCGAACAGTACAAGCACAATAGATATGAAGATGAACCTCAATCGGGCGTCAGGTTCATACTAAACGTAGTATACTCAGTTTCGTAAAATCTCCGCACCAACAGCAAAATTATAAACATTGATCCAGCTACTCGACAGAAATAAGATCCTGGGATTGACAGACACCCAAACAAGAAGGGCCTAAGGATCATATTTGTGATTCTCGCCAATGAGGCATAAGTCTCCAACTGCAGACGAGCCACGTTTCCTCGAGTATGCTTTAAGCAGGTTCTTCAGCTCTTCTACCACCGTCGGGCTTGAGTTGCGTGCCCAAGCAGCTGCAACTAAGTGTGTAGATTGCTGTGGTCAATGCCATACACTATCCCGTAACTCGTGCCCGCGGCAATGGCTCCAACTAGTAATGTCTGCGCCGCACCGTAGAATCCTGCACGCTTGGTTTTGATGACAACGTAGTTTTTGACGAAGCCGAAGGATATAAGATTGACGACTATGATGCCGATCGAGACGAATAACGCATGGAGGACTTTGTGCATGACGAAGTATGGGATCATGGGAAGCAAGCCACCTACAAGGAGGGCAATTGATGTTGTTAGAGAGGGAGAGCCTATGGAAATGACCAGGGGCAGGTGATGTTGGTAAGGAGACATACCAATGAAGTAAGACAATCCCATTGTGGCTGCTGAAATCCATGCTCGAGAAATATTGGGCTTCTCTAGTCTCAGCTCAAAGTCCATCATAAACTGTGCGTCTGCGTGAGTTTTTCTCCTTGCAAAGGAAACCAAAAATCATCGAGCACATACCCGAATCCACTGATCAATATTTTGAGCCAAGCAATTGACAACTGCTTGGCTCGCCTCTCTGGATATACCATATTCGGCGAGAATCTCGTGTACCTCCTCCTTTTCCGCGTCAGGCTTCGTGAAGAAATCAATTTGATCCACTCTATAATCGTTATTTGTTGTCTGGTTGGGATGGGAAAATGACCGAGATTTCTGGGGAATAGCAGTTCCTGGGGCCGTGCGGTGAGCTTTGAATATCGGACGATCTATTTCCAGGAGCTTCTGAGATCCTGGGAAGGCGAAGTGGATTCCCAGATCTGCTCTGGGATTGAGGAACAGAACTGCTTGGTATTGTTGGAAGGTGGAGTCTATGATTAGATATAAATTAAATATGAGCCTTGTAGCAATCAGACCAACGTCGCATTCCAGCCCTAATGTCAGTCTTTTTCATTTATAGAATTTCCGCTATGTCGAGGGTTGCGGGGCTACTGTACGAGTACCTCCGAGCAATGGGAAGGGTAGCAAAAAACACCTCATACGGTATTCTAGTTAAACAGGGTTGAGTACATTTGGACGAAACGAGTTTGTCCGATATAATATCATCTATGTACGCTACATGGGCCAGGGATAAAGCACAAAGAGATACACTCGGTTTTCTGCCATAGGATCTGGAAACAATTGAGCTATGAATTGCCGTAAGACCGAAGTCGTGGGTCAATAGCTTCCTGGTTTGATGCAGTCGATTTTTTGGAACACCGCAGATCATGTGAATGAGATCTTCGATCCCGTCCCGCGTTGCTTACTACAATTGAGGCATTATTGGCTCGATCCAGCACTTCTTCGCATAGTTGGTGTTACGGTTCCTCTGCTGGCTGTGAACGGAGTGATTTTCCTTGCTGGAAGAAGAATCAGACTGCCAGGCAAACTTCGAAAAGTATCGGCTTTTGACTGCACCCATAGATTTTTCAGGAAACGATTCAAAGTTTTTTCAGGAAACGATTCATGATATGGCCGCCACGATAACTTTTGAGCATCTCTCAACTTCAACAACCGGTGTTCGTCGTTCATGGTCCATTTGTGGCGCGTGACAGTCGACCTCGATTAGGTAGTGCTCCGGGAGTGCTCCGGGTTGCTCCGGGTTGCTCCGGGTTGCTCCGGGTAAAACTCAGGGTAAACTCAGGATAAACTCAGGGTAAACTCAGGGTAAACTCAGGATAAACTCAGGGCGGCACCCGGACTAACTCAGGCCGGGCTCCGGGAGCCGATCTCTACCCGAACCGGAAGCCTTACCGTCAACAATATTACACTCCAAAGAAGCGGGGGCAAGAATTAAAAGGGTCGTGAAGATTAGAGAAAGAAGAGAAAGACATAAAATTCATCGACCATGGAGAAAGCACATGGTCAGAGATCGTTCATGGCACAATTTGAACCTAACCCGATCACTCCCAGGATATGAAAACGACATATTCATCAAATCAAGTACACAGATTGTCACCAGTAAACTTAAATAAGACACCAAGATCAAAAACAATTTAACGATTGCTCAGCGTGAAAATGCGCGGAGGTAGACGCCAGGAGAAAGAATATGGTAAACAAGGATCGTGAGTATGTAAAAGGAGTCGAAGAAAGGCATGGTATCTACGTGAGGGCATTAAAAAAGACGCAAGAAAAAGGATATCCGTCAAGACAAGAGGCAGTGTGGGTCGTGGCGGGTCGTGAGGGTAAGATGGGTATCTAGAAGATTTGCAGGTAATTGCTCGGCACCAATCCAGGGTGACCGCGTCCGTTGGTGATTTCGGCTTCCCACCATCCATCATCCTGGAGTCGGATCACTGAAAGGCAATCACCCTTGGTGAAGCCAAGTTCCTCCGGAATGGCAGCAGTGTAACTGTACAAGGCGCGAGCTGTGAGTGGAGTTAGTATTTTGGTCCGAGATGGACTAATGGGGTACGGCTACTTACCAAAGTGCAAGATTGGACGTCCGTCGCGGCTGAATTTGCGAGCAGGGTCAGCCACAGCAACGGTGCGGCTGCGAGATCGGCCAACTGGGGGACCACCAGCGTCACCATAGTAAGATGAGGGCCGACCGTCACGTCGAGAACCATAGCTATCCCCGACACTACCGCCGCCATACGAATCAGCCTGACCATTGGAGAGCTGGAGCTCCATGCCTCCGGCGCTGGAAGGACGAGCCTGCTGGCGGAACTGGGGCTGAGGAGAAACTGCGCGATGAGAGCCGGCAGGAGATGGCCTTCTGGCAAAGTCATTGGGGGAGTAAGGCGGGTCTTGGGCACGGAGCGGCGTTGGAGACTGGCTGTAACGACTGCGCATGCTGCTGGATTGAGGAGCACCTGGGCTAGCTGGTGCTCCCCCAGCATACTGAGTGCCCATCCGGGTATCAACTCGGGGTGAAACCTGCGGGCTAGCACTTCGTCGAGATGGGGCCGGGGACCTGGCACGAGGAGCTTCTTGAGGCTTGGGGGCCATGGCTGGGTTATTACTTCCCCCACGAAGCATGCTCTGGGTCTGACCGGTGTAGCGCTGAGTGGTCTTTTGCATCTGCTTCGACGTAAAGGCCGGCTCGGGGGCGCCAAGTCGTTTCACTGAGGGATCGTTGTATGCCGGCGGGGCTCCAGAACTACTTCCACCATAAGCAGATGATGGCGCAGAAGGAGTGGGAGTGGTGATTCCATGGTACCTGTCAGCCGAGACGCGGAGAGTGGATTGCTTTCCACCAGACGTCTTCAAATCAGCGAGAGCGCGCGCAATCGGGTCGAGATCATCTTCGGCTCCCTTAGCCTGCTGACCCCCTGCCTTCTTTCCGTTCTTGTCGGGAGAGGCAACGTCAAACACATTGTTTCCGACATTGAGCTGGAAGTTGGCACGAGGGTCGACAGGTTCCGGGCTAGCTGCACGACGTTCATTCTGATTTGGAGAAGGAGCAGCTTTAGATGGAGTGGAATGCTTGCTAGGAGAGCTCCAAGGGCTTCGCGACGCGGACTGAGCTGCTGGAATGACAGGTCTTTCCTTTTCATGACGGCTCTTGCGACGGAAGGGGCTGTTACTGAAGAATGCACTCTTCTTCTTCGGGGACATATCATCTCCGGAGCTGGCACTCGGCAGTGGCGCACTGTTTGTTGGCCTCTGAGGTGATATTTGTTTGGTACTGACTGGCATTGGCGCCTCAACACTGGACATAGAAGTGGGATTTGATACCTCACTCTGGGAATCACGACTGGATGGTCGGTATGCGCTTGCTGCTGAGCCTCGTTCCGACGGAGGACCAGTTCGGCAGAACATGGTCATACCGTCGGTCGGGTAAGCATTGTGAGGAATCTTGTTAATTTCGCCGTGCTGCTCGGGGTCATAGTTGGGGGGGCAGATAGCCGCCTCGGCGGAAATCCAAGGGAGCAGGTTGCTGCGGCTGCATAGATTGCATGAGCTGCTGCTGAGGCTGATGTGATTGCTGTGGCTGCTGCGGTTGCTGTGGCTGCTGCGGTTGCTGAGGTTGCAGGGGTTGCTGAGGTTGCAGGGGTTGCTGAGGCTGCAGGGGTTGCTGAGGTTGCAGGGGTTGTTGGGGCTGCGGCGGCGGCTGAGCCTGCTGAGCTGGCTGAGGCTGTTGGTACTGCTGTGTTGGCTCTACGTTCGGTGGAGGAGCCGGATGGCCCATTTGAGCCGCGAGATCAGATTGGGGATCATGATGAGACTCATACGTCGAGGGCTGAGGAGAAGAAGTGCGGAAAGCCGGGTTCATCGTACGCTGGAACTGGGCGACTGAATAACCTTCGCCCTCGTCAATATCGGATCCTGTTTCATAGTCGTCTTTACAGAAGTTGATGAATCGGGGGGGCATCTGGAATCTCTTGACCAGTGCCTCGTTCCTTAATGAAGTAGACAATATCTTTCTCAACCTCGCAGTCCTCAAGGGAGAGTCGAATCTTCTCGCAAGAGGCATCATCGCTGACACAAACAGTCGATGCGATGTTTGCGTAGGTCCACAGACTGCTTTTTGTGAAGTCCAGTCGCTCCTCCTCCAAGTCTTGGAATTTCTGTGGTATGTTAGTAGCGAGTCCATCAACAAGTGAGATGTCACATACATCGCAAGCAGCTTTCCATTCTTTGTTCCAGCGACCGGTCGTTTCCTCGAGAGTCTTGATTGCAGCCTCGTACTCCTGGCTATTGGATGCAAGCTGGATCTGGGTCTTCTCAAGCTTTGCCTTGTTCTTACGCTCTTCCTGGCCCATGACCATGTGGCCTTGTGCCAGGTAGCCCTTGATGCGGAGACAGTCCTGTTCGTATCGATCTCTAGTCTGTCATCAGGCTACTGTCAGCTTATTATTCCTTGTGTTCGAGTTGTTCAACGTACCTTGTTCACAAGTGCTGTCTGCTGCACTTTGGTTTTGTGGAGGCGCTCAATGGTATTTTGAATAATTTTTCGTCGCTCTTTGATTCCACTGGCAAATGCACCCAGAGGCTCCTCGAGTTCAACTTTCATCTGACCCGCGATGGCAGCATGTGCCTTGGCAATGGCTTCAGTTTCCCCGCGGACCACGTCCAGCGAGGCTTTGAGAGATCCAGTTTCACATGTACCCAACGGTTTGCGACATAAGGCTTGGAGTTTTCGTGCGTATTCGTCTTCAATGGATGCTCGGACTTTGAGACCATTAGCTAAGGAAACCTTCCAACCCATGATCATGATTGCGTACTTGTGTAGAACGCCTTCAATTCATCGCTTGTTGTCTTCGATCCGTGCATGCGGTCGAGCATGGGTTGGAGACCGGCGTCATCCTTTCCCCAGAAGTTGTTCGCAACTGTGGGTGCATTGTTGTTAGCTTGTGAAGTCGGGGCCGGGAATTGTTTCACGTACAGGACATGGAGACCGAAGGTCCCTCTGCCACAGTCCCAGGCATTGTGGTTAGATGTTGAGTATCGGCCAGCCTTTGCTCAAAGTATCAATTCAAAAGTAACAGAAATTGAAAAACGATAGTGACAAAGAGAACACGTAACGCGTAAAATGTGAGACGTAAATATTGACCCCTCGGTCACTCGGATGTTGAGAGGGTTGGAAGCGACGCAATATGTTTACGGGCGCGTCGCTCCGGGCAACAAGACGAAGGGATTATGTCAGCGCATCACGGCCGTGAATTTCTAAATTGATGCGTCACTTTTCTACTTTCCCTGTTTAAATCCTTCTTTTGAGGCTTCTTTCACTTCAAAAAAGAATGCAGGTAGGTTGACTGAGACGATAAGTCTTATGTATTTCCTCTTGTACTTGCTCCCACAATTTTCTATTTGCTACTTTTTGTAAATAAATACATCCTAGGCACTTTCAACAAGATCCATCAGGCGACAGAGGCAGTGCCCAACACAATCAGGCGGAACTCATTATTTGCCCCAGCTTGCTATCGGCCTGACCTCTTAAGTCGTTGCCATTGCGCATTTGCTACCCATAAAGTGCAAATATAACAACTTTGTCGCCGCAACGTATGTTTCAGAGAGATCTTCGACAGGAAAGTTATAATGCGCCAAAGCCGGTGAATAAGTGATGCCCGAAGATGTGGTCTGCTAGAATGCACTGTGCCGAGCCAAGACAATGACCTTGATGATCTACCTTCACTAAGCCAGGGGGTAGTATTGAAGAATTGTACCGCGTCATTATCTGGCGCACCCTAGATTATGACAAGGTTAGAAGGGGGAATTATGTTCAAAACGTGCACAATCCCTTGCAGGGCTTCTGTATGTCAGGAGCGGCGTCGAGCTTTCTTGATACTATGATAGTGTGGAATGTTCCTCTGAGGAAAAGCAAGCTTTCAGCAGGTTCATCAATAGCCTGGACTACTGGCTTTGCCCCTTGCAACAATTCTCTAGATTAGCATACTTCATTAAGATACATAAAGAGTTGTGCACTTCCACTTATTCGCACCCTAGCTCAAGCACTGTTTCCTCTGCTGCAATGCCTCACTACTGATTCTCCAGACTATCGCGCGCAACAATATTGGTGAAATAATTATGACAGGGTGCATCAAGCAAATTCTTGATCTTAAAAGGCGATGGATGTGGACTCTGTAATGGCTGGTCGTCATCTGTTTTTGCCAGCAAGACTTTGGTGATTTTGGCGCAGCCCTGTAATTTGGATCACACTCGAGGTGGACGATCTAGATATCTATCAATCAAAGCTAGGCCTGAACATGAACCAAAACATGGAGTTTACTTAATTCTCTCAGATAATTGCGAGTCATTCACGCCTCTGGGGCCTCATATCCAGACAATTAGACAAGGAATCCATGAACGATGAGCATTTGAGACGAGAGCGCCATTAGGCATGGCCGATCTAAATTCGAGATCAATATAGCCAGTGGAGCCCCGGAAATCTGTAGTAAGGTGCAAATTCAGCTCGTCCAACAGGTGCACATTGCATTACCATTGCTAGTGCACGGCAAGGACATGTCTAGATTTAAGAACGGATACGGCATCCTATCAGGCCTTGGTAACATTTATTTGAACGCACATGCACCCTTATTCCCCATCGTTGATAATGTCACATTTCGAAATCAATATGCATGCAGGTGAATAAATAATCAAGAGGTAAGCTTCAATTTCATATTTTCATTTGTTCAATTCGTACTTTGGTACTCTCTATGTCATACCGGGGCTATAATCCAGTCTATGTAGGCCCTAAAACAAAGCAAAACAGACCGTCCCACATTCGCAAGTAAAAAAAAATACAGGTCGTGAAGTATTCCCAAAGAACGCCGGTAATGCCCAAATTGACTGTCATCAACAGCCATAACCATAAAGTCTAGCTGTAAACACGGCCGAAATCGTTTTCATGTATCAAGTTCGTCTCAATATCATATTCGTCTCAATATCATCTTCGTTTCATATCATGGGTCGAAGATCCTGTCATTTCATGCAAATTTGTTCTTAATGTTGCAAGCCATCATCGTCTTAGTAAGGCAGGTTAGTGGCCGAAGGCGAGGGCGAGAGGGAGTAGCTGGGGCTCGGGGCCGAGGAGGCACTGGACCAAGCCTGCTCACGGATGGCGCGGCGAGCTAGGGGAGTAGAACTGGGAGTGAAGCTCCAGGCAGCACTGGAGGAGGTTGAAGCGGTCCACTCGCGAGCAACGAGAGGAGTGCTGGAGGAGGGGGCAGCCTGACGCTTGACACAGGAGATACTGGGCCCGGCAGACACGCTGGACGAGGAGACGGGCCACTCGCGAGCAACGAGGGGTGTAGCTGAGACGGGTGCACTCATGCTGGAGGGGGTGGCCGAGGAGAAGGCAGGAACACTAGATTTCCAGCCGCCGAACTGGCGAGCCACGAGAGGAGTAGACATACTCACGCTCGAGGATGAAGGGGTAGGAGACACAGTAACGGTGTACCAGCCGTAGTCGCCGCGGGCAGCGAGAGTAGGAGTTGGCACAGGGCTCCAATTACTGGAAGCGGCCGCCGAGCTAGAGGAGCTGTAGCTGCGGGCGATGTAGTAGGGGTCACCAGCAGAGTTCAGACCGCGGCGGAGGAAGCCCGAGCCGGGAGGGAAGAAAGAAGAACCATGAGGAGTGGAGCTAGGAGTGGCAGACGAGAAAGGGATGCTGGATGGCGTGGCAATGACGGTGACGGTGACGGGCACGGGCGCAGCGCCGGGAGTAGTCACAACAGACTTGATAGTCTCGGTCACAGTATCGATCTCAGGAGCAGCGGAGCTGGACTCGCCGCCCACATTGACAACCTCGTAGCTGACTGAGCGACCATACAGGTCCTCCTCGGGCCCTGCGAATGGAGCAGCCGAAGTCAGGCTGAGGGAGGAGAGGGCAATGAGGGCAGTGGCGGGGAAATGCATGATAAAGGATTGGAGAAGAATGTGCGTTTAAATGGGAGATCGTAAAAAGGTCGTAGAATTTTGGTACACGCTCAGCTCTCAAATGGAGTTGAAGAAGAAAGAAGAGCAGAGTTAGAAATAAATCAGGTCGAAGAGTGTCGTATGGGCAAGAGGAGTCTGGATGGATGGGAGGGTTTAAAAGGTGTAAGAGAAAGATCCATTTCGATATTCTGCTCCTGCTATGAGGTATACCCATTCCACATGGCAGCTTCACGATTGGGTCGAAAATAGGCAGGCTGGGATCTACAGGTGGCTGGACAGACGGCTTGATAGATTGTTGATTCCTTCCCAGCCTTCTTTTTCTTCTACTTCCAAACGTGGGTCCACATGGCAACGCCACAACCTATCTCGGAAACTTGGCGCGCGTTGGCCGGGCGATCCCGATAATATAAGCGGACGAGTCTGCGTGGCTGGGGCTCGCTGGAGATCCACTATCATACATCACTGGTGCACAAAGGGAAGGCCGGTGCCTAGTTTCTTTTCTTAGCGCCTGGGTATCAGGGTCATCGACTGGGCTCATAGCTCTAGATCGACATCTTACACTGCCCGAATTCGTGTGATCTACCGACTGCCGAGTCCACCTCTGTGGCAGGACAATTCTAGATGGCCAGATCCTCCACTCGCACCAGGCCACACCCCAGCGCCGCGCTAGCCCATGCCGCACATGCACGACTAGGGTTCCATGCCAGTGACGTGACGTGAGTACCTTCATCATGGATCGACGTGAGACTGAGGCCTAGAGAGGGTTTCTTTTCTCCCGCCAGGTTTCGGGCTAGGCTCTGACTATCCGCCTGGTATCCATCATAGAATCGACTGACACCTGAGCTATGAGGATCGACACCCTGGGCCCAATCATGTGTAAACCATAGCTGCTGCCATTGCTGTTCTTTGTTGTAAAGGAGTCGGCGGAACGGGTTACTGGCCATGACTTCACCCCCGCATCCCCCGTACATGAGACACGGGTGCCAGAAACTGGGCTGTGCGACACAGGAGACGGTGCTGGGGCATCGGCCGACCGTACTTGAGGCAAAGAATCGACGCGTGGGTAGCATTCGGCCGAAATTGTTCTCGTCTGTGGAGAAGAAGGAAAAAAGAACAGGTGCGTAGCAGAGATGAGGGGAAGCGATTCTCATGCGGGGGGTGGAAGCGCTTTCGCCTGTAGGGTCGAGCATGGACCAAAGTCTGGTTTCGCCATCCATGGCTATTGTGGAAAGAAGATGAGGATTGGTCGGATATGCCGAGGCGATGCTCAACACATAACTTGTGTGAACGGGATGATAGAAGTAGGGTAATTTGTCGGAGGTATTGGACTGTTGGACATTCCAAATGGCGACGAAGCCATTGTTACAGCCTACCGCAATGTCGCTGGGTGAAAGCCAGGTCAGGCAAGAGCAGAGGGTGGACGGTGGCTTCGCTTCAAAGATTGGTGAGACAATTTTCACTTTCCGATGGTCAGTCGCAAAGCCTAAAGATAGAAATGAGAAAGTTAGAGTCAGTCTTACAGAATTCCGCCTTTTCAGATTTTCGCTGAATGCTGATATCCAATACACGCAAAACCCCATCGCCCCAAATCCCAGCGAGTAGCCCGAGATGCTCTCTGTTGCCTATCTCGTCTTCGCTACGCTTTTCTCGGCCCATTGGACACCAGGCCATGCGGCGCAAATCTCCCCAGTCTGCACACAGAGCCAGCCGAAGTCGGGGCTTGAATTCCATATCGAGGGTATTGGTCCGCTCTCCTGTCTTCTTGCCCTTGAACTCCCATAGTTGAAGAGCACAGGAATAGGGAGGCGTAGGATGGAAAGGTGACAGAGGCTCACTGCCTGCAGGGTGGTAAATCTTCTTTTGCTCGTCGGAAAGAGGAGCGACCACAGCCATGTATTGCGAAAGCCCATCTTGATTGGGAGCCCATGCTATGCATTGGACCTTGGATCCGAAGTTCATCAGCCAACCTTCTCGTACCTGCGATTGAGTAGACTGATCGCTCTTTCTGGCCTTCATATCTTTCCAAATCTCCCCAAAATTGTAGGATTCCTGGTAACCCAACTGAATAGGTGTTTGTTGATTTGCTGGGCCCATGAGGATCGTGTGCTTCCCGCTCCTCGGCGCCGTGAAATAGTTTTTCAGTGCATCTGCTTCGGTGATTTTGGACAAGATCTGTTGTTTCTGTTGCTTCTTCCCCAGGTCATTATAGAACCAGTCCCAGCCTCTTGTTCGTTCTGTTTCAAAATGCTCTGGTTCAATCCCCAGGGTAGGTCCGTATCCATAATCTGACCCCTCCGGCTGCTCCAGAGCGAAACGAGTGGGCAAGCAAGCATCGATACCACGAAACCATCGGTCCCGCATGTACATTGCCGACAACAAGTCCCGCTCATCAGAGCCAAAAGTCAAGGCATAATGCATAGGCTTGGCAACATGGTCTTTGGGGTCCATGATTCCGCGGAAATGGATCTCATCAAGTGAAGGGGCAGTCTCGTTATTGGGAGGCCGCCGTTTGTGCACATGTGGGCGTGCATGAGTAGCTTTGCGTCTTGGGGTAGACGCTGCGCTCTCGACCTCCATCTCATCTACATCATCAATTTCTGCAGCCCCAATCTCCTCGGCTTCTTCAGAGACATCATCGTCATCATCATCATCATCGGGCCTGTCGTTCATATCTGCGTCGGAGCCTGGGGCGACGAATTCCTCGTCGGAGGCTGACTCTTCTCTTCGCCGTTTCCCCTTGCCTTTGCGATTCTTAGCCATCTCTGATGCCTTTTCTGAGTCTGAATCATCACTAATTCCGACTGACGCGAACGGATCCGTAATGTACTTCGTATTGCCCTTCACGCGGCCGGACCTACGGGAGGGCGGCATTTTAGCGACGCAGATTTCGGCGCACCATCCACAATCAAATTTGACGCAAGCCTCTCCGATCCAGTTGCGTATTCAGATGACTCAGACTTGAGGATGTAGCGACAGAGAAAAGCGGCGCGAATCGCGAACATCAGAATGCTTGACTTTGCCGTTCATGAAGCTCAGTCGCGCTATACCCGATTGGGACAGGTTACCCATGCGCGTTAACCATGAAACTTACACTGGTCTAGTATCCTTCAAAAGATACAAGTATTTACCTTCGAATCGTCAGAAACTGCCCATGTAGCGCTTCTACATACCATCTGAGTGTTCAGCTGATAGTGCGGGATGCAAATGGGTATTGCATCATCGAGCTGTTCATCCCCAAACATCTCTCACTCGGCAGGTGATAAGACAGTTTGCTGACGACTTTATACTCTATCAAGTATTGAATATGCTATGACGTGAACCGTGATATTGTCGAAATCCATCGTACAAGATTGCTCCATGAAGCGACACCCACGTTCAAGGTGGTGCAACCGAAGAGGCTCTTTTCCCAGGTTCATTGAGTGGGAGATGAGGTCTGTTGTACAAAGGGTTCCTCATCCTACCCTGGTGGGAATATAGAGAAAGGTAAGCTTTCTCCCTCAGTATCTCACCGGTGCATCGATTCAATTCTTGTATGAGAGTGTTCTGGGACCAACTCCGTCAGAATCCGATCCAGATGACAATGCATTGTAAAGTGTGTCTCTTCCTCCTACACCTGTAGCTCACAGACGGGTAGCTCTTTGATATAGGGGACCATTGGTCCTGGTACATTCGAATACTGAAGTGCATGCTAAACTCTGACCTTGTCGTTTTGTCGTTCGTAACTTTTTCCAAGATGATGGCCCAAACCTGACATTAACAGTTGAGCATCAAGCCCAGCTGGAGCCATACCTTGACAGAATTACTCAAATGCTTGTCGAGGCATAAATTCTATCTTCGCCTTCTGGTCACATTTCTTGAGTCAAGCTTGCTGCTGCGCTCATCTAGCCATATATCCAGCCGCTGTATTGCCAAAGGCGAGGATAGTGCTTGTCTGAGCATCCAGATCAAACAAGTCTAGTCTTCTGAATTCCAATGGCCAATGGTGCGCTATTAGAGCATTGATCCGATATGGAAGCGACATGTGGTGATCACCCGCCTCTCAAGGCCCTGCGTCGGCCAAATATCCCTCCCGCGGAGATGTCGCAGATGAGCTTAAAAGCCTTGGTCCACTAGTCTTTGCGACTCTTGTCCGGGACATCCCTTACATGTATTGAAGGCCTCAATCTCTCGATTCGAAAAATCCAAGGGCGGACGGGCAGAGAAATCAGCGCCTGCTCTACAGGTCCAACTAGATTGTCTCCTTGGTCGGGCTATGTATTCTTGTTACGAAGGTACTAGCATAGCATCGAATTAAATCGACTGTGGAGAGGAAACCAAAGCCCCGCGGTGGGTCGGATACGTCAATCGCGGATCATCCCCTTCTCTTCTCTGCCCTTTTCTCTATCAACAATGACATCCAGCGCACGCCGTGGTCCTTCGCAAAGTGGAGTACTCCACGAATATGTATGGTACACTTCCTTTCTCTACGCGGCATAAGCTTACGGCTCGGACAGGCTCCTAGGCTAGTGGCCTTCGAGTACACCTCTCCCGCCAAGGCAAGCAGCAAGCAGAACAGCTTGATCTTCGTCGGCGGTCTGACTGATGGCCTATGTACTGTGCCATATGTATCGAATTTGGCTGCAGCTCTGGAGGACACCGATTGGTCGCTGTTCTCTATCCTGTTGAGCTCCTCCTATAGCGGTTTCGGAGTCCAGAGCCTTGACCGCGATGTAGAGGAAATCGGGCAGTGTGTGCGATTCATTCGCGATCTCAAAGCAGATCGCATCCCCGGCGCCCCGTCAAAGCATGGCAAGGTCGTGGTCATGGGCCACTCCACTGGTAGCCAGGATGTTCTGCATTATCTCCACGCGCCAAACCCGCTCCCGAAGAGCGAATTTGATCTGGGGCTTGAGTACATACATCGCCCAGAGCTCGATGGTGCCATAATGCAAGCTCCTGTGTCCGACCGCGAAGCAATTTTGGCGGTTCTAAAGTCCTCGAATGATCCCCAGGAGGCTCGTGCTGCCTATGACCAGCTCGTGAGCACTGCCCAGATCGAGCCATGGACCGCGGACTCCGACAATATCCTCCCGATGAATATGACCGCCAAGCTTGGTCTGCCTGGTAATGCGCCTCTCAGTGCCCGTCGGTTCCTGAGTCTGGCCAGCCCGCATAGCCCCGAGAAGCCTTCTCAGGATGACCTGTTCAGCTCCGACCTAAGCGACCAGCGTCTCCAGGAGACCTTTGGCCAAATCTCCACCCGTGGAATCCTGCAGTCTAGTCTGCTTGTCCTCTACTCTGGTTGTGATGAGTATTGCCCGGCGTGGGTTGACAAAGAACAATTAGTGCAGCGATGGCAGAAGGCTACCGAGGCCGGAGGGGCCAAGTGGGATGTGAACGGTGCTATTATACCCGGCGCTGTCCACAATGTCCAAGATGAGGGCCAAAAGGAGCTGATTGATCGCGTGATGCGATACCTAATGAGCCTTTGAAGATCGAAATATACAACTACACAGCGATTACAAGACATGAAGAAGCCATAGAACGTGCAATTGAGACGTAGGGTTCTTTCAACACACATGATAATCGAAAAGACATGCAAACACCGCCAAGGCGTAAAGAGGATCGGAAATAAGAGAGGTCAAAATGGGGGTATATCGAAGCACGGGTCCGTCCAGATCACGGCGCCAGAAGCTGACACTGAACCGGCCCCGCATGGATGCGCACGACTCGTCCTGTCAATGCGTCTGCGCGGCGTCGAGTTTTCTAGACTTTCAGCCACAAGGTCATCACGCCCTTGAGATACTCGACGATCTCGGATCCACCCAGCTTGCTTTCACCGTACAGGCGGTCCACGAAAGTAATGGGGCACTCAGCCACCTTGTAGCCCATGGCCTTGGCGCGCACCATCATCTCCATCTGGAAACTGTATCCCTTGCTCTGGGTGCTGGTAATGACCTTCTCCAGGACGGGCTTCTTGTACAGACGGAAACTGCCAGTCAAGTCGCTGACGCCGGGCATAAGCATCACATCTGCGATCAAGTTGGCTGTACGCGAGGTAAACTTGCGGAAGAGATCCCAGCCATAGACACCGCCCTTGCTATTTCCGACATTGGCGTATCGGGTACCGGTGACAATATCGGCGTCGGTCTCCTTCTGGATGCGAACCATCTCGGGGATGAACTTGGGGTGGTGGCTGAAATCGGCGTCCATGATGATAACGTAGTTGCCGGTGCAGTGGACAAGGCCGTGGACGTAGGCGGTTCCAAGACCGAGCTTGCCCTCGCGGGGCTTCAAGTTGATGTGCTCTGGGCCGTAGAGCTTCTGGAGCTGCTTTCCAATTTCAAGGGTGCCGTCAGGGGAGCCATCGTCGACAATAACGACCTCCCAGTCCAATTTACTACAATGAGCACCCTGTCAGTTGCATTGTTCAGTAAACGGATGGAATTCAAGCGCATACTTCTCGGTAAATGTCCTCTGGATTAGCCAAACGATGATAGGGAGGTTCTTGCGCTCATTGTAGGTCGGCAGGATGACCGAGTACTTGTTCTTGGTGGCAGCCATGTTGTATTAGAGGTATTCAGAGCTCAATCAATGGCTCTAGGGAATAAGAAGTAAAAGAAAAGAAAGTAGGGAACGAATGGCAAGAAGCTTGTTGACTCCAGGACGAACAAGTCGCGCCAACTCGCCAGATCCGGAGTACACCGCTTCCGGCAGAATCAATAGCTTATCGGCCCGGACAACAACTTACCTACTTCGTTTCGATCAAGCGCGACTGTGCAAAGATGGCGTCGCCTACTCAGAAGCATCATCGGAATGTCTCCAGATGTAAGTATCTTAATGAAGGGGACTCACAGGTCATTGTTGCACGAACACTGATCAATGCTCCAGCTTCGCGACCCCGCAGCTCAACCCGGGGTCCCTTAGATGTATCAGATGAGTGAGTTGTGCGCTGAAGGCTGAAGATAACCAAACTACTGATCGCTAACACTTTTCAGTCCTTTGGCGGCATCTAACATGCCCGCCTCTCCAGAAATGACCCACAAATCGCTCAATAATGACATCTCCAGTGACTCCTTTCACGAACTAGATCCGCTGGCTCCGGATGATTTACCAGAGACACTTGGGAAAGATCTCTCATTTCTCCTCCGACATAACATCTTCCACCCGCTTTCCCACATCAATATCCCTCCTCCTTTGCGCTCCGAGTTCATTGTCCTCAATCCTGGGGAACCATTATCGGCATCGCTCAGGGTTCTTGAGAAACTACTAGTGGAAGGTCGATTTTTAATCGCTGCGCACTTCGCCGGCTCTATCCTTACATCCTCCCTGATCTCTCCTACGAACATACGAATTATATTTTCTCTATTCTACACCCGTCTGGCCTGTCTAGAACTGTCCGGGAACATTGTCCTGGCAGCTCAGGAATCGAAGGCATTGGAAGATCTCAACTCTGCCTTCTACTTTATCGATTCCAGCTTTGATTCCTCGGAAAATGAAGGAAAAAATGAACACATCCCTCGACATATTGTTCCCTGGCCGCTTCGCGTCCTGGCCGTCAGGCTGCAGAGTATCGGGTTCGGCGACTCGCGCAGGAGTATTGCCGGTTTATATGAACTCGGCATGGAAGCACGGAGGGAGGTCATGAAACGTGAACACGATGATGCTAAGAGAGAAATCTGGAGAAACAGACTGGCGGACCTTGGAATAAGAACTGTTAATGCCTTGGTAGAGATGGGTGATCTGGATGCAGCGAAAAGGTCGCTTGAAAGTCTGCAGGAGCCCACGCCAGATTCCGACATCATGAAACTACGCAAGGGACTCTTGCTCCTAAGGATTGGTGACATTGATGCGGCTGAGCGGATTTTCGGTAATGCTCGCGACTCCAAAGAGGCTGCTCTGTTGCAACCCCTTCTCAGCATGTCGGATGGCCGATATGGCGATGCAGCAGACGAATGGCGCTCTCTCCAACAAGACAACAGCAGAACTGATGGAGGGCTGATTGCACAAAATCTGGCTGTCTGTCTACTTTATACTGGCAGACTGGACCAGGTATGGCACAACCTTCTCCCATTCTCAATTGTCGATCTAACTGACATACCTTTTGTAGGCACGCGAGCTCATGGAGTCTCAGATATCAGCTAACCAGTCCTTTGGAAGTCTCATTTTCAACCTATCAACTATCTACGAGCTCTGCTCTGACAACGCAGGCCATTTAAAGGGGCAGCTGGCAGGCATTATCGCCAACCAACCTGTATCAGGGCAAACCAACCTGGACCGATCAAACACAGACTTTAAGCTATGATACCAATGAAAGTGACCTTAATCTGTATTGAACCCAATTTATCCTTGATGCCCCCGAACAATAAAAAGTCAAGTCTTTGAACGCCATGCATGCGAAACCAACGCCACCAAAATGCTTGTCTGCCCTATGCAATTGGCGCACTTGAGCCTGTCGCCGTCGGGGGCGAAGGCCTAGGTTTAGGCCGACGAATGATAACCTTGTCCCCTTCCTTCTGCCAACCAAGCTTCTCCGTCTCGACAAGCTTCTCCCAAGTCCAGTCTCCGTCATCGCCTGTACACCCACCCACAATCCAACTTACATGGACATTGAGATAGGCACTTCCGACGGCCTTCAATGCATGTCTCCGAACCCGATCCACGGCCCAATTCATCACGGCCCGCACGTATGAGTCCACGGTCTTGCGTACCCGCCAGAAGACGATCCAATTGTCATTCATCAATGCAGTCAGGACTTGGTCGACGGTCTGCGAATGAAACCCGTGCTCCTTGCGTGCTCGTGCGCGCAGGTCAAACGCCGCGGACATGTCTTCTTGTCGGCATGCATAGTCTAGGATCATATAAGTGACTAATTCTTTAACTTCGGAGTCCTCGAAGGGGTGCGATGCGGAATGTAGCTTGTCGAGGCTATATCGCAGGGATGGAAAATAGGACGGAGGATGTTGCGCTAGGATCGACAAGCGGATTGAAAAGTAGTGGACTTTTTGGGAAAATTCGACTGGTGTGGATGATGATGTCGCTAGTGCTGCCTCGCGCAGCTTGCGAAGTGATAGGAGAATAGTGGATAGCTCCGCTGATGGTGGCGGAACGCCTTTGACCGCGGGGCTTGACTTCGAGGATGGCGCAGCCGCCGGTGGATTGGAGGTGGCATCATTTGAGGAGTTGATCGGGAGGGAAGCAAGAGCAGCATCCAGATCTTCTTTGTGGTCTGCGCAGAACTGCAAGTACCGCTTGGTAATCTTGTCGAAGTACTCCTTCTGCGCAGGATAGTCGAGTAGCCTGTTTATGTCAGCGATCTCCTTGATAAGCTCAGAGTCCGTCCTACTTTTTATCGCCCTTTGATACGAATCCAACATTGGCCAGTGAATCGGCCGCCAACGGCGGTGGCCGTAAACGACTTCCCTGTTTGGCCATGGCGATTGAAGCATCGAAATGAAGCCGCGGGGAAACATGTGGATCGATGTTTAGCTTGTTTGCACCGAGGTCCCAACCCGTGGGCCCGTGGATTTGCTCATGCCCCAACTACTCAACTCCTCAACACTCTTCTATACTTCGATCCTTCTTCTTTTGCTTTTTTATGTATCCTGTTGAAACATTCAAGCATTTGGCGCACCGTTGATCTGCTTATTTGTTGTGCATCTACGTGGCTGTTCTGCGATAAACCCTCCATACCTTGTACCCTGCATCTGACGTGCATGTGAAGATGTCTCGCCAGCGTCGTCCTGTTCAGGAGAAAGATAGCCAATCGACACTCTCTCCTGTACAAGAAGACCCTCCCGCAATCATCAAGAAGCTTGTTCATTGGGATGATCTTCCACACTGGCAACGCGATAACAAACATATCCATAACGGATACCGACCGGCCTCAGAATCATTTATTGGGTCGTTTAAGTCACTGGGCTACATCCACAATGAAACAGTCAATATTTACACCCATCTGTTGCCCGGCATGCTAGCGGTACCTGCGGCGTATCAGCTCTACCGGGCCCTGGCACCACGCTATCACTCGGCGGCTGACTCGGACATTCTAGCGTTTAGCTGCTTCTTTGCGGGAGCGGCATTCTGTCTTGGAATGTCTGCAACCTATCACACCATCTCCAATCACTCACTAGCTGTGGCACGCATTGGTAATGCGCTCGATTATATCGGCATTGTGGGGCTTATCGTGGGAAGTTTCATCCCAAGTGTCTTCTATGGATTCTACTGCGTCCCCGAGTTACAGCACCGGTACTGGACCATGATTTGCACAATCGGTCTTGGTTGTATGGTCGTCTCGATTCTCCCACAATTCCGGACTCCCCGCTGGCGTCCGTTCCGTGCAGCCATGTTTGTCGGGATGGGCCTGTCGGCCGTTTTCCCGGTTTTCCATGGGGTGAGCGAATTCGGGTTCGAGCGCATGCGTGGACAGATCGGTCTCAGCTGGCTACTTCTTCAGGGCTTCTTGTACATTTTGGGCGCGGGGATCTACGCGGCGCGAGTGCCAGAGAGACTTTATCCCGGCAAATTCGATATCTGGGGCAGCTCGCATCAAATTTTCCATGTACTGGTGGTATGTGCGGCGGGGGCACATCTGACGGGACTTTTGAAGGCGTTTGATTATCGGCACAGCGGGAGTGCCGAGATTTGTCAGATTCCACGCGGCTGAGTCTGGACAGCGGGTTGGGGATTAGGGGCGAGGTGGGACAGCATATGGCATTTGGAGAGGTAGTATGGAATGAAACTTAATCATGTTCAAGAACCTGGTTCATGATGTGCAACGATGACGGTCGATACGGTGAACGATATAGCGAAAACTCGTGGCTGGATCCGGTCAGCCGAGTCTGCATTTCACATGGCATCTCTGGGGAATTCGATATGGGTCCCATTGGCCCCGCATCGTGATGGTGTTGGTTGGTGCCGGCGGTGAGCCAACACCCAGTCAGCACCAGGCCAAGAACCGAAGCTATCTACGATGTCGCATCAGGATGTGCGACTCAGGGTTTCCAAGAGGGAACGAGAAAGCCCTAGAGGAACCTGAGGGCCAGTATTGGTCCCTGAATATTTCGCTGGGAAGGGCAGTGCATTTCCCAATTCGGTCTGGGTCAAGTCGAATTGGCGGGTTGTAGGATCGAGAACGCTTTTCTGCTCGAGGTTGATCAGATGGAAAGCATCTGGGGTTTCACGGCGGCTGACGTCTTGATGCGGCTGCCGTCGGTACAGGAATCCGAATGCGAGTGTGACATCTTGAATGAGCTGGTTCTTCGAAGCTTGAGCTTGTTTTCGTTCTCTTTATATATATGAGGTGATACTACATCTGGCCAGCCCCGCTGGGTGAGATGCGCGATACTCATGCCTTAGAGGCACATGAAAAAAGAACTATCACCCATTGTAATATCTTCCACCGCTCGTGGTCCACCTTTCGATGCTCGAGTCTGAAGTTCAAGATCCGTACATCGGCAGCGATGTCCCGAAACTTCGAACAGCTTGTGAAAGCTGTCGCCAGTCCAAGGTGAAATGCAACTTGTCCGGCAAGAATGTTTGTACACGTTGTCTGCGCCACGGCCTGCAGTGCCAGTACGGCTTTGCCAATCGATCCGGCAAGCCGAAAGGGAGCAAGAACCGGGCAACGCTACGGAAGTTGGGTCAGTTGCAGGAGGATAAGTCGCCGATGCGTGGATTCCGTAGCAGTCGGCTGCCTCCTACGGTTGATCGCGAACCTCTCTCGGCTGAATATGGGCATATCGCCGATACAATGATGGGCGACGACGTAAGTCTTCACTTGCTCCATTCCTAGGACTTATTCTAAAGTCTTTGCTCAATGCAGGTATGCTTGGTCCCTAGACCTCCTGGGCTTTGGGAGAGTCCACGGAGTTTCAATAGCGCCCCAGCACTGGAGACACCAACATGCCCTTCGCAATTGACCGTTGATGACTCCCCTTTTGCTGAGATGATGGACACATGCCCATCTCTTCCCGTCGGTCTAAGATACCCTGATACACCAGTAACTCCGACATTCCTACCATCAGACCCTCTTGCGGATGGAATAGCCAGCCCATCTTTTGGAAGCACTGTATCCTCGCCTTTTGCTGGCCCGTGCGAATGTGTCGACATGCAGCTTTTCCACATGAACCGACTCAACCATCTCCTCGCCGAATGCCTACCTCTCAGATTCGATCACAGCCTGCAGGCCATCAAGGCCACCTTTCGAGCATGTCAAATGTTTCTGCAGTGTAGCAAATGCGCCAAAGACAGTGCCAACTTGTTACTGGTCGTCTCTGTGTTCAATTTGACTCTGCAGCTGTTCGAATACTGGATCTCACGCGAGATGTCCCGGACTCTACGAACCGAACACGGGTTTGATATCAGGTATGGGTGCTACGAAGTATGCCAGGGAGAGAACCGGCAAATCAACACTTTTCTACTTCGTGGGTTACTGCTTCAATGTCGTGAGGTGTTGTCCATGATGACCGCCTATATCAACACAGTCTATTGCAATTCCCCGAAGCTCGCCGAGCGCACAGGCTCCTCCAACAAGATAATTACTGAGGAACCCAACCAGCTCTGGGGTTTACCTAATCATCTTGGTGTTTCATCGTCAGGCCTAGATCGAGACATGCCGGGCACCGGTTCTGGAAACGATGGTCTCCTTTCCATCATCGCCGGCTACGAAGCAACCGTCGAGGCCTTCCTGCAGACAATCTCCTCCAGCGATTGCATCTGCGGAGCGACCCCCGTTTCTTGAGATAACATGACTTGACTCAGACTGTACATATTTCCTATTTTTAGGGTGGAATGCCACAAAGGTTTTCATACCTCAAAGGGGACGAAAGTTATGTAGAGAGACGGAAAAATTCAATATGCAATTCCCAGCTCGAGCAGTAAACGCAGAACTCAGCTCAATTGTTCCGAAGACGAAAAAAATAAAGAAAACCACAACGAGCAAATAGCTTAATATTTGTTTGTCGTATATCATTCATCCCAACAGTAGTCCCCCCTCTCAACCCCACACTTTCGGTCCGCGGCGAGCCTCGGCACTTCCCCATCGCCGAGTCCCCAAGTATAAATCCCCAATCCAGTCAACCTTCCTCCCCTTCCCACATTACATCCAAAATGGCTCCCACTGATCGCCTCAACCAGGTCAACAAGCACCTCAACTACCCGGCCGGCATGCTCGCCGGCCAGGTCGCCATCATCACAGGCGCAGGACAAGGCATCGGCGCCGAAGCGGCGCGGCTGTTCGCGAACGAGGGCGCGAAAGTAGTAATTGCAGACATCGACGCCCGTACGTGTGGAACCTAAAAGCCAGACCCCCTCATGGAACTTTCGTAACGTGGTATCCGTGACTCCGACTGACCAGGGCTACAGAAAAGGCGAAAACGGTCGCTGACGCTATTAATGCCGTTGGGCCTGGCCGTGCTCTGGCGGTCGTGGGCGATGTGCTGGATCCCAAGTATATGGATGAGCTGGTGAAGAAAGCTGCTGAGTTTGGCGGTGGCAAGATTCATATTATTGTGAATAATGCCGGGTTTACTTGGGATGGTGTTATTCACAAGGTAGGTGTTTCTTTTTTTCTCTTTTCTTTGGCATTTCCAGCTTATGTGCTGGAAGCGGGTCAAAAAACTTGACTGACTCGGTTTTTTTTTTCTTTCTTAGATGACTGATAAACAATGGGAGACTATGCTGGCAGTGCATAATACGGCGCCATTCAGACTGGTGCGTGCAGCGGCACCATATTTCCGGGTGAAGGACCAAGAGCCGCGCGTGGTTATCAACATCAGCAGCACGAGCGGTATCCACGGCAATGCGTATGTTTTGCCCCTGCCTTTTGTATTCTTTCTATAGGTCCCCCAGCCCAAAACTAATACAACATCCCAGAGGCCAAGCAAATTACGCCGTCGCCAAAGCCGGCGTCGTCGGCCTAACCAAAACCATCGCCAAAGAATGGGGCCCGGCGTTCGGTGTGCGCTCGAACACAATCGCCTTCGGCTACGTGACCACCCGGTTGACCGCCGCCAAGGAAGCTGGCGCTTTCATCACCACCCCCGACGGCACCAAGGTGGCCCTGGGTATCCCCGGCAAGCAGTTGGATGGCAAGAAGGGCGCAGAGGCCGACTCGTACCCGGATATCCCGCTTCGGCGACCCGCGAGCCCCGAGGAGGCGGCGAGATCTATTCTCGGCGTTGCGAGTCCCTACTTCTCGTATGTGAATGGGGAGACGATTCGCGTGACGGGGGGCGGAATATGTAAAAGTTACCATTTTGCAAAATTAGGATCTACTAGTTAGAACCAAGTTTAAAAAAAATTGAGGCACTCTATATTATTTTGGATTTTGGATTTTGATTTAGATCCATGATTGTAAGCTAAGCTCATTGACTAAGATCAAAAACCAAATGACCCGCTTTCCTGAGTTTCGTGACCAGGCTCTGATTGGGTTGTTGCTCAGAACGGTGCCTCATGGTTTCACTTGGGCAGCAATGGGCATCTGCGTCGCACAAGTCAACCACTAAACGTCCACCCGAAACGAGGCGCCACGGACATGTCACACCGCGCAACGTGGTACGAAGAACATCAACGTAGTGAAGGAAGAGAGGGATTTAGTAGAAAAGCAAGCTTGAGTTAAAAAAACACGTAGGAGAGAGTTTTTGAGTAAATGAGTCAATGCATTGGTTCGCTCCATTTGCCCAAGGTATCATAATCGTGAAAAGAGTAAAAATATCCAACCATGCCGTTCTATGCACAGATGCAGTCTCCAAGTTCCAAAAGTTCAAAAAAGTCCGAGAATTTCCAACCTCCCATGAACAAAACGAAAGAGTGATCAACAGTATTATAAACAAGACATCCTTTCCCAAAAGTAGAAGGTAGGAGACAAGAGAACATAGACAAGACAAGAAAACATCAGAATCAAGTTGCTCCCCGTATTCAAAACGCCAAAGAACCCTTGCGAGTTCTTTTTTTTTCCCAAAATGAAAAGTTTGTGTCGTGGGACACCGCCCTCCCAGGGGCGATATGCTTTCATATCATGCCTCCCGGTCCCGATATTAACATGCCTGGTTTTTTGTGCGCGAAAATGAAGAAAATATGAATAGAATCCCCCCCGATATGAGGAAAATATTAAAACAATGAAAATGAATCTCCATACTGGCCCCGCACGGTGGACGAGCGGTCAGATAGAGAGATGGCCCGAAATCCGGTGGCAGTGCGGAAGATGTCCTTGGTCGCGGGGCCCAAGATTTGAATGTTGTGTCCAAGAAAACGAGGATGGGAAAAATATGTCCAGGGAAAGAAAAGGATAAGGCTGGGTGCCCTAGTCCAAGAGAGGTCTCGAGTAGAGACCTCTTTCTTTTTTTTTTTGATCTTCTTGGAACCGGCTTTCAAAAAGGCTGTCCATGTGGGGGGTATGATGTGCCGAAAGAGTCGAATGCAAATAGAGAACTCCGCCAAAAAGTCAAGTGGAGAAGAAGGGGGGGCGTGATCGTCGTTGCAACTGCGTTAAGGGGAGAATGTGGGTGGCCTCAAAAAGATTCAATAGACCGGAATGGGATGTCCCATAAAGGTATCCGTGGGGATAGAGTGATCCACACAGATGGGATGGGGAACACGACCTTGCAGTCCGGAACCTGAACGGGCTGAGAGATGATGGGTGACATGCAATTGTAATCACTGTAGTCGGTGTAGTCCTCGGTGAGCGCAGATGAGATCGACGCGGCCGACTCGGAAAAGTCCGAATAGTAAGAAGAGTCCGAGGAGGCGCCAGACTGCTGGGCATGCAGGGGTTCCACGGGCACGAAGGGCTGGACGAAACAGTCTGGAATCTGCTTAGGCACCCAGGGGGGCTATGGGGGTCTCGGTGAAGCAGGGGCACTCCAGAATCAACTGACGTAGTTCCGGGATGGTGATCCTCTTGGCAGGATCGCATTCGAATACGCGCGACAGGATACACACCATCTCCGTGGACAAGGGCAGGATAGTCTTCAGGAAGGACGGATCCTTGAGGTAGGCCCGGAATGTGGAATCCTCCAAGGATGCACGCTTCCAGGGGTTGCGACCACAGGTCAGGTTGACGAGCATGACGCCGAGACTCCAGACGTCGTTGGCTGCTGAAGAGTAGCAGGACATGGGGCGAGGGTTGGTCTGTTGGCATTCTGTTTGGGATACATTAGATTTTTGGTTTCATGTGGCGGGGGACAAAACCATCCGGAAAATGGTGGGGGGGTGCTTACCAGGCGACATGTAGAACGTCGAACCGCAACCGAAATCCGAGGTGAAGTAGTCCGTGGTGGCGAGGCCGAAATCCGCCAGCTTGACGGTCATTCCCTGGTCCGTCACCAAGACGTTCTCCGGCTTGAGATCACGGTGATAGATTCCGAGATTGTGGCAAAACTGCACGGCATCCAGCAGTTGCAAGAAAACCCGTTTGGCCAAGGGATCGTTACCGACAAAGTTGCCCTTGTCAGTGATGTTGGAGAACAAATCACCCTCTGGGCAGAATTCCATTACGACGTAGGTACAATCCGGGGAGTCCATGATCCGGACGAGGGAGACGACGTTAGGATGTTGGCTGGCCAAGTGGTGCAGGCGGATCTCCCGCTGCTGGTATCTCAGTTGGCGTGGGTCCAGCCCGTTCTTGTTGAGAGCTTTGACGGCATAGCGAATGTTGGTATGAATATCCACGGCCGTATATACCACCCCGTACGCCCCGACACCCAGGATGCCGGTCAGCTCGAGGCGGTTGGCTAAGATCAATCCTAAACGGTCCTCGGGCGTATAGCAGCGCGGGATGGGAGAGGGAGGAGGTGTAGGGAGCATGGCCGGATACATGATCAAAGGAGGGAACGGGTGAGAGAATTCAAAATCCAAGATCTTTTCTAAGGATATAGAAAAGGTAGTCCAGAAGGAAGGGAAGGGTCGGTTGTTTAGATCCAAAATCCACGGCAATCAACGGTAGTCCATTCCACGGGTCCAGGGATTTCAAAAAGGATAGAATCAACAAGAAAAAGGAGAGTCAGATTCCGGATCTGTCCAAAGCAAGCAGGATGAGAGAGGGATAGAGATAGTATAAAGAGGAGAAGGGGGAAACGGTTTAAAAGGACACGGTTTAAAAGTGGAGTATAGAAGTTAAAAATGTTCGATGTAAATGTCAATGTCCATATCAATGTTTTGGGGAGGGGGGGGAAAGTGATAAAAATATCGATGATGCGTCGAGCCGGGACCGACCAAGGGCCACGCAGCGGGACCCATGTGGACCCAAGGCTGGCTCTGCTCTTTGGAGCGGTGTGCATATACCGTGTGGGTCTCTGCCTCTTCTCGTCGACTCGAATCACACGTCTCACCTCTTGCAGCCCGCCACCCTAGGTTCACGGTATGATTGGTGTCCCCAACGCTGGACTCTTCTTTGGGGGGACTCTATGGACTGTCTTCTCTCCCCCCCCCCCTTTTCCTGCATTCTGCCTTGTCCTTCTCTGACTCGACGTGTGGCAATTAGCCCCTCATCCGGTTGACTCCATCTTTTGTCCTCAGCCTGGACCAAACATCTGACTTTGCCCGTTTCACCCAGAATCTTCCAATAAGAGGGGAAAGAATATCGTAGTGATGGTACTCCCCCATTTCTACACCGTATTTTCTGTACCCGGTTCTGGACCTAGGACCTGGACCTGGATCTGGATCGCAATTCTAGTCCGACTGTCCGACTGTCCGACTGTCCGACTCTTTGTCTCCACCATGTCCGGGCCACCTGAGGCACTGGGCAGGAGTGAGGCGATCCAAGGAGGGCGGCCATGGCCAACCATTTTGCCCCCCCAAGGCGGTTTCGAGAACGAGTGGATCCTGGCACGGGCCCTGGCCTCAGAAGTGTACTGTATTGTGAACAGGGTGACCAAGTACCACGTCCGGGCTGGACACCGGCGCTTAGGGGAGAGAGGGGGCTGCCACACCCCAGTGCACGTCCGTCTCATCACAGTTGGATGAGGGAGAATGAATCACATGATCGGTATGGTGATGCATCACATCGTGATCCTCCTGTCCATGTACCCCAGAGCACGTACTGCAACTCTCGCTCTAATCTCTCTACACCGCTCCCCTTTCCAAAAACCCCCCCCCCCTCTCTCCTTTTCTACAGTATCCTACATATTACCAGTCTAGCCGATCACCGTTAGATTGCACCTAGTCAGGAAGTATCCCTCCACCCAGGGTGAATATGCACCTCACATTACAGGAAACGGCAAAATAATGCGTCCCTCAATGATTTCAATGATCAACCCTGCAGGTGGCGGAATGCCGGTCGCAGGGGAGAGACAATAGGGATAAATTCACCGACCCACAAAAATAAACAAATCCTGAGATCATCAACATCATCATTTACGGTGGGAAGTCGAGATCGTCTTTTTCCCTTTTGCCACCGGCGTGGGATGGGTGGCAAAGCAAAAAAAAAAGGCCTGGAGATCATCAGCTTCCAGAAGCTCCCGCGGCCCACTCTTTAACCCACCATCGGATTTATCCACACTTGAGGTGGTGTTGGGTTCTTTAGGATCTTGGGGTTTCCAAAGAGAGATTGCCCTCCATCGACTCCCTTAGTACGCTGCACGCTACATGCTGTATCCATCCAAGTCAAGAGTAAATAATCTGCAAATATCCAAGCCGCGTAGACCACTAGCTTTGCATCACCCCAGCCAACCAGAATGGTTTTTGATCGCGGGATTATTGCCCTGTTGTCTGCCCATCCACTCCTCACTGGCCACGCAATTTCATAAAAGATGCCCAATCGGCGACGATCCACCGATCCCCAAGCCCATCATCTCCCAACGATCCAGAACGGAGATGACTATCCCCATTCCAGCACATGGAACGAGAGGGGGCGGCAATAGAAACCTGCCAACATCCTAGTAACCCCCGGCCGCAGCCAAAGGGGGATCACGGGCAATACGTTTTGTGATGGATCAAGATGTGAACCGTGGACTGAGGAAAGCGCCCGCACGGATCTAGAATCTCGGTCGAATCCGCGGAGCTAGGGAAAAGACCATGGGGGACCATAGAACAAGTGAGGAGGCTGGACGTGTTCTGTGGGTCTAGCATAAGGAACTGTGTTGGCCGTGGAAACTCACACTTAGCATCTGCACTTGAACATGAACATGAATTTTCGGAGGCGTTGGGACTAGAGGCCTGAGGTTCGTCTGAATCCGGAGGGAGGCGGGTTTATAGTTTGGCTGCATTTGGATAGTCTCGGCACGCTCGTTGTTTTCAGTCACGGTGAAAGTATTTCCGTTTTCCCCCCGCCTCCGCCACATACACATGGTTTGGAAGCCTAGAATGACGCCAACTCGGGATTGGTGTTCTTGTGGTGCCCTTTTTTTGCCTCTCTGCCTAGTCGACTTGGCTGCTTTCGGGGGCCGCCAGGTTGCCACGGACTACGCCTCCCCTGCCGTCGGGCCCGGGACGTGGGGCCTTTCCTCTGAGGCATACACTCTGGCCTGAGAAGTGAGGGCGAAATGGGGGAGGTGCTACATCATAATCATGGACCACTGTCATATTGTAGATACGGTGACCTTGGAGATAGGGACGCGTGAAACTACTAGTTTGCTGTACGAGGCGCAGCTGTACCTTGTCCTCGGGTCCTGCGCGAAGGCCAGAGGGCAATATGATTTATTCAAGGCTTACAGTATTGACATATCCTATAACGTGGTCGGTAAGCGAGTGAGCCATGTAAGCGAGTGAGCCACCCAACCACTTTTTCTACACTTTTATACATATTAATCAACCACAACGCCTTTATATTGATTAATCTCTAGCTTTACATATATTCCTTTTATGTCCGATCTGTCCGCAGCTAGTGCATTAGGGTGGACGCCGCGTCTTCGGTGCTAGTGTGTCCCGCGGTAGTAGGCTTGGTGGAGCTAGGATTACCTAAGAGGGCTCCTCATAAGCTTCCTCGAGCTCTAATGCTTCTCGTACAGATAGACTGTTATCGTGGGCTATCTATCTAGACTTACGAGCACGCTTTTGCTTTTGCGTAGCGTTTGCGGTATATAGCTGCTTATTTTCTTACTCGAGAAGGATACCGTTTTGCATTGCGATCTGATAGCCTTTAATAAGCTGGTTTAACGCGGTTTACGAAGGCGATAGCGGACTTTTTAAGCGTCGCTTTAAGAAAGCTTTAATTAAGGATACTTACTTTAAAAGCTTATCGACATTCGCGGGCGTATATAGGTAAAAAGCGCTTAATTGACTACCGCGGCTTACGGGAGGTGTCGGCGTCCGAAGTTAAATATTAAGCTTTGATAGCACTTATTAAGGATTAATTAGTATTAATCCTGCTACTCGGAAGCTATTTTATATTATATTTAGTTTATATACGTCGACGCGAGCTTGTGGGTATATAAAAAGGAAATTAAGTTTATCGATATAGTTAATCCCGAGCTATATCTTTTAGTCGATTAGACCGCCGTATAAACGCTTTAAAATAGCAAAATATCCGATATTAAGTGGCTAAAGTAGATACGAGGAATACGGTAATATATAGATTAGGATAATATCGTGATCTGCGTAAATTTGGTCGAATTCTGGCGTAAGATAACTCCCGTGTCCGTCGAGGACTAAAAGTCGATATCTTCCACGCGTACGATTGTGAAGGGCTGAAGCGAGACTTAGATTCAATCTGACTAGGCCACGAACTGTGTACAAAAAGCTTAAAGAAGGGATGTTCCCTCCGTGCGTTCGTTCTGTCAACATGCTAGGGTCACGTGGTTTATGTGACCTATACCGGGTATGGGCCCGTGACAATCCCCCCCTCTAACCTGAACCTCCCGGGGGTCGCGACAACGTGCGTATCGGTGTCGATTTAACGTCGTATCACGTCCGAAACGGGGCCGTTTCGTTCCTTAAAGGCTTCTAATACGGCGCAATCCTGGACGGAGTCCAAGGTTTCCCACGTTTGTTCTGCCTACCCCGTCCATTGTACTAGCGCTTCGTCGCGGTGTCCCCGTCCGACCTTCTTGCGCCGAACGGCAAGGATTTTCTGAACTTCGTACTCTTCTTCGCTATCGACTATAATCGGAGGCGGCTGCGTATTGTCTACGATTTGTGATGGGAAGGGGTCCGCTGCTGTAGGCCTAACTAATTCGATATAGAAGACTGGGTGTACGCCTGTGGGTATATTAAGCTTAACAGTATGCGGTAACGGTACGTCCACGACTCTATACCGGGCGTGTAGCCAGTCTAGCTTCTTCGATAGTCGTTACGTGCGTATATTCCGAAGGTTTAACTATACCCAGTCGTCTTTCTTATAGATAGGGGCGGCCTGGCGTTGTCGATTTATCTGCTCCTCCTATAGTGTCTGTGCCGAAGCAATAGCGGCTTAGGCCTAATCGGTGGCTTCTTATAGGCGATTCACAAACGTTTCGCCTGCTTTTCCTGGCTGTATTAGGGCGTCCGGTAACTAGTTCGACTTATCTATCCCGATCGGGTCGATATAGTATCCGTGGGTAAAGAAGAAGGGGGAGATCCCTATTAATATTACGTCGCGGTTATTAATCGCGGTAGCGACTATCGGTAGAAGCTTCTTCTAATTATCCTATGCGTAAGTGGAAAAGACGCGTAGGATCCGTTCGATTTCTTAGTTAGCCCGCTCCGTTATACCGTCGGTCTGCGGGTAGAAGACAGTCAATAATCGTCGTTGAATTAATAGTGTTTCGCACACTTTTCCCTAAAATGCGCTAACGAACTAAGGGCCGCGGTCACTCACGATCGCTAATAGGACGCTATAGTATATATAGAAGTGCGTAAGGAATGCTTCCGCTATATCTTTTACTATTATATCCCTTATTCCA